CATATTCTGACACCTTCACCCTATTACCGCGGACAATACCTAACATTGGATCATAAGGTCGTCGAGATTGACAAGGATTTCATTCGTGAGATCTCTGGTACCGTAGCAATATATATCTGTCCTTCATCTCGGGCCCTTTTTCTATATTAGTCCACTTTACTCACTCATCAGTTTTTTTTTTTTTTTTTTTTTTTTTTTTTTCCCCTTCTATTGACGTCGAAAAATACTGTAGGGTTTTCTCATCCTCGATCTGTCAAGATTTTGACGGAAGTGATGGTGTATAATGCTCAATCTAAAAAGCCTACTCGTGTACTTGTACTTGAACGTCCTTTAGTAGGGGATGGTATTCCTTTAACCAGACCCTTCGATGGTCCTACAGTGCCAGGGTTGCGACAAACAATGAGGTAATGGTTTACCCCGAATGTTCCGATATATATTATCTTCATCATTGAGGTGAGATCAGGGAAAGAAAAGGCAATGGTTTTCCCGCCAAGAGACTAACCAATTATGTTGCCTTATTCAGTGACATGGCATTCCTAGAGTCTTTTCCTGAGCTTAGCCGCGCTTTACGTGATTTCAATACCTTGTGCCAGGAGTTTGAGAACACCTATGTTTACATTCGTGGATTTGCAACACACACACTGGAAAAATTACGCTTGATTTATGAAAAGGCCTACCGTGATTGTGTCGGAGACTCGGTCAAACTACAAAAGATGCTTGATCGGGGCATCGCGGTCGAGCAAGAGAATTTTGCGGAGCTCATGGAAAAGTATGTATAAATCCAATGTCTCTATCACATTTTATTTTATTTTATTTTATTTTATTTTATACTACTTTATTATTCTTTTATCCGGTTCACGAATGCAAATAGGCGCATCACTTATCAAACCCTTTGTTTTGCTCAATGTACCACTAGTGTTGTCCTTGGAAAACTATATCAAAAACTATTTATCCATTCACTTGTGCCCTGTTATTCTGAACGTGATATTGTGATCGATGATATTGTCTCCAAGTATCATCATTACATGTTCGCTGCTGGCGCTCATCGGGGGATCGATGTTGGTGAATGTTTAGCTGCGACTGGTAATCCTCTGCAACAAGAAGCACTCCGGAAACTAGAATTGCCTGAAAAATGGAGGACAATGCGGTTTGATCTTGCTCTACAAGGAGCAGCAAACTTGCTCCGAGCTTGGGATCAAGATAATCAAGATGGCTCTGCAGGGCCATTTTCTTTGAGTCAAAGAACCGCCATGGCAAATCATTTTCATGAAACCGAACAAGAGAGAAGTCGTCACCAACTTCGAGAATCTTTAAGGGCCCTTGTTCAGGATGACAAGTACAAGTCAGGGAAAATGGCCAACAGCATTGTATCAGATGAGACTGAAGCTGACCAAGATGAGGAAGACGATCCGTTGGAAGACGCAGTTTGGAACACTCCAGTGGAGAAAGCCTATTGTATCAAGTTGGTTCTGGATATGATTGCTGCTGCAGCGGAGGAACACCTCATGAATGGTCAAGGTTTCGGATTTGTTCATAAAAAACGTTCAGGTAAGCTGATACTTTAAAGCCTCATGTGCATTCCATTAGCCATTGCTGCGGAGACTGTATACTGAAGTTGAGAAGCTTAACATTACCATTTATTGTATTTTATTTTTTCTTACGATATTACTATAGAGGTTTCTGTGACAACCGATGACTTTATTCCACTATTAGCCATTGTGATCATTCAAGCTAAAATCACACGCCTTGGCAGTAATCTGTTCTACATCCAGCGATTCCGTATCAACACACCCAAGCCTGACCTTGAGTATGTGAACAGTAGCATGATATAAAGCATCTTTTGTCTATCAATTTTCGTTTTAATCCAATGGATTCCTAAACTTTTTTTTTTTTTTTTTTTTTTTTTTTACCTTCTACCTTCTTGCTTAGTTTTGCTCTGGTCACTTTTGAAACATCCATCAATTTCCTCAAATCCGATCCCCTTAAACTTTTGAACGTCGATAATACCCCGACGCCGTTGTCGTCTCAGAGCCTCAATTCAGCTTCAAGGGTTTCGCTTCAAGGATCTCATCCTCGAATCGAGATTGATCAAAATACTCCCGTAGAAGAGAACCAATTAATTCCATGGGGGACCCCGTCACAAACAGGCTGGGGATTTTCCCCACCGAATGCAGAGTCAGATGCTTTGCCGTTTGACCTGTCGACATCATGCTCTGAAAAGAGTACGTTAGGGGCCCCACCCATAGAGTCATCTCTAGCGCGCCCATTCCTTTCAACCCGAGTCAGCGATTCGCAACAATACCAGCAACGCCATTTCAGGTCCGCATCCATGAATTTTGATGACCGTTTCCGTAGAGTATCCCAAGCAGACGAAGGCGGCAATGGATCAAGCAATAACAATAGCTGGTCAAGAAGCCCAATGCTTGGCCCACGATTCACATCCGGCGCCAACTCACCCCTTGGAACAACTTTCTCAAGCCAGGGAGAGGCAGGGTTCGGCTCCCTACCACGTAGGCCTTCACATCAATTGACGCAAATGCCACAACGACATTCAATTTCTAATGTCCAGGCTCACACGTATACACATTCACAACAGAACCACCACTTGTCAAGGATCTCTGGCGAATACAATCGCCCTGCTCTTCAACCTATGCATTCCCCTAGTATGACTCCACAACTGGTGGTCAAGCCGCAGATCATGCTGCCACCACCAAAGACACCACCAATGAGTGGCCAAAACACCACAGGTCGAGCCAGGCCAATATCAATGGGTATGGGAGCGCTTGCGTCTTCAACCTATTCTAGTTCATATGGTGCAGCAGGGGGTGCTGTGACGCGCAAGTCCTTTTCCTCAAACTACTCCAGTCCTGCTACTAGTCCACAATTGGGACCAGGAATAGGAAGTAAATTTGACTCACGATCCAACAGTCTGGTTTCAGGAGCGCCCCCGATGTCTCGGGCCAATTCGGCGAACATTGTTTCTACTGTCAATGAATTGACTCTTGGGTCAAATCCCAGTGCGAAGCAGGGAGATCAAGGAGAGCCTCTTTCGCCAGTATCGCCTATATCGCTCTGGACCTCTAAAATTATAACTCAAACTCCACATTCACCCATGCTATCGGCTTCGCCTTCTCAGGTACATGGATCTCCGGTTGAAGAAGAGCCGCCAGCCCCATTGCTAGATTCCAAAACATCAGAGACTTCGAAGCTGTCGAGGTCCCGTTCTAGAATGAATGCGCCAGGTCGGATCAGAACATCCTCTACATCAACTATCTCGTCCATTGCCACCCCTACGACTCCTTCGACTTTCTCGTCTGTTAGTGGCAACGCTTTACTAGAATCTTTGGCTGCAAATGCTCAACTAATTAATCCTATGACATCTCAAGGGCCATGTTCTGGTGCAGGTACAGGTACAGATGCAAACACAGGTACAGGAGCACATCCTTCCTCATGCATTCCTTTGGGTAACACAGAAGGTATTCATCCGCAAACACGTACCAGTCGACAAAATTCTGTACGATTGTCAATACCAAGGTTGTCGCTCCCGCCCTCGGCCCCTTCGACTGCATTTTGCAAGACAACCGTCAATGCGATCACACATGCGACCACGAGTGTAGATGACTTGGAGCCTGCTTCGACAGTGCTGGGAACGGCAGATCAGTATGGGACGCCGATTATTGGCGCCATCACGCCCCCAACGCCCGGAACCCCCTCTTCGGCCATGGCGCTACCCTGTAGTAGAAGCATCACCAGTACCGAGACGCGCCCATTTGGATCAGGCAGTAAACCTAATGCTTCAGTATACCCAAAAGTGGATAGTGGCAAGTTCGTTGGGTCGCATCATAGCGCTACTAGCAGCACATCCAGTAGTACAAAGAGCTACTACGGAAGCACGGGGGTTCCTACCAGCAGTGGCAACAGCAGCGGTGTGAGTAGCAGTGCTATTATTGAGCACTGTATTAGTGGAACTGCACAGGAGTTTGAGTCGAGTTTCCGGAATGAGTCCTACCTAGATTCTAACCCACAGAGCTTGGATAGACGTCGTGATAGTGCAACGAGTTTGAGAGGTATCAAGTCTGTGAGTTCTCAGCCTCAGGTGATTTTACTCGGAAACCATACCCTAGTTGGCAATGTTGTTGTGGACCATCATCATCCTGGCGGGACACGCCCGCCGCGTGATCTAGGAGGAGAAGGCGAAGGGGGAGGTAGAACTCGTCAGACAATTCCATTTGGAGATCTTCCATCGTCCTTGCCAACCTCAAACTCTTTACGATCACAAACCCCACATCCCCTCGAGAGCTCACGGCAAAAGGCAAAGCAGACAATGTTGGGTGATTTTTTGAGTGAGCTAGCCAAGGTTGAAGATGGCGATGTACTTGTTGGCAATAGACGCGATGGAGTCATGAAAGTTTTTCAGTGAGCTACTACGAAATAGAAAATATATATAGTCTGTAATAAAATTATAAATGTGAATATGTACATAAAAATCCGAAGTAAAAAAATGAAAATGGGTTCATTATAAACTGTTCACAATTATGACAATGTATATAAATATTAATGTACACTTTTTCTTTTTTTAATGGATTTGAAACTGAATCATTGGGAGGTCTTTTGTCCCTTGGAATTGTAATCGTGGCGGCAAAAAGGGGGATTTTTTTTTTTTTTTTTTTTTTTTTTTGGATTGAACCAGGGCAAGGGGAAATGCTGACATGAGCAAACGCTCCATGTGCAGTTTTCATTGGTCATTGACAGGTCAACGAGGGGGATTTGTATAAAAAATTGTCCTTCAACCCTCGGTCCTTTTTATTCTTTCGTCCTTTCACTCTTTCACATTCTTGAGCTATTCTAAAACCAGCACTAATTGCAATTCCCTCTGTCCCTCTCTCTCTCTCTCTCTCTCTCTCTCTCTCTTTCTCTTTCTCTTTCCCTCACCTTTTTTTTTTTTTTTTTTTCAGTTTAAAATATATTCAAACCATGACCATCACCGTAGCGACAAATATTTTTCAGGATGAACATTCAAAACGCCTCTTTTACTTGACGGCATACTCACTCACAAGCGCAGCCCTCATGGGTTCATCCATCGGCTTGATAGTTTATCAGGGTCGACAATTTTTCTTTTTAAACCTCCTCGGCAATATCAATGACAACAATTGTAGAAGCAGCAGCAGCAGCAGCAGCACAAGCAGTCCTGATGAACGCTTCGAAATCATAAACACGTTTCCCTCAACATTACAACAATTCGGAACCTTCGTCCTATCGACCTGGCTTCCATTAACGGTCTGGTTCCTGGCATTGATCTCAAGCTCGTTGGTGATCAAGTTTTATAGACTAATCCCTCGAGTCCTAATGCCTCGGACGGCGATCCTTTTCAGTCAAGCGGCCTTTGCCCTCTTCTGGGTCATCCTCGGATGTGTTCAAGAGGTGGAAGAAAAACTATCGAATTTTTCCTCCCTTACATCATCATCATCATCTGCAGCTGCATCTGTCAATGGCAACAACAACAACAACAACAACAACAACAACAACAATAACAATAACAATAACAACAACAGTGACAATGTCGAGATGGATAATGGGACATTGTTATTTTCTAGAGAGCGACTAGGGATGGGTCAGGATCAGGTTCTCATGCTACAGAACATCCGATCGATGTTGGTTCCTTTATGCATCGTTTGGTATGGTGCTGTGGTGCTCCTAGGCGTAGCTACGGGATTATTGACAGCAGGTAGTACCCTGTTGGAGAGACAACTAGCGAAAGAGTCTTCTTCTTCTTCTTCTTCTTCTTCTTCTCATGGAACATTATCATTCACGACGCGAAAGGAAAAAGGAGATGTTTCAGAAATAACGCGTCAGGCGAAGCATGAGGGGTTCTTTGATGCAGTAACCATTCATAACAACAACAACGATAGTAACAGTAACAAGGATTGTCATCCAAGACAATATACTATGATCCAAAAGCTTTTGCTTAGTGGATGGGTCGTGGTCTTGGTATGGAGTCAGATGTGTTTCTTTCAATGGATTATCTCATATGGTTCCCTGTCGGGTTCGAAGGGACAAGAACAGAGCGAATCTATCTGGACACCTGTATCGACGTCAGTGACGATGTTTGGCTTGGTTTCTGGAATGGTGATGATTACCTTGGGCACTCGATTGATCCCTATGCATACTTCCGATACTTCTTCTTCTTCCTCCTCCTCCTCTTCTTCTTCCGTTCATTGTTTGGTGAATGAGAAGTCTTTTTCGTCAGTTTAAAAAAAAAAAAAAAAAAAAAAAAAAAAAAAAAGACTTTCATAGTGTAAATATTTTCGACATCATGTATCAATAAAATAAAAAAAAAAAAAAAAAAAAAAAAGAGAGGCAAATCATCGCCCAAATCTTTGATGTTTACAGCACAGCAAGCATCATCCAATAATCCAAAACAACCAAAAGATGTTGTCGGCTTAGTCTCATGACATGATGCAGTTTTTTTTTTTTTTTTTTTTTTTTTGGCATCGCCCACGAGAATCTGTTATGGTTCGCCCTAGAAGGGACGTGCATTGGAGAAAAAAAATGGCTTTGATCGTTTTTTCTCGGCTGTGTGCAAGTAACTCCCGGGTATTTGTTTTCCTCCCTCTTCTCCCCCCTCCTTAAAAGAAAGAAGAAAGCCTCAGCAAAGACCACAATCCTCTTACATGTCCTCTTCAACTTTTTTTTTTTTTTTTGTTATTGTTATTATTATTATTATTTAATTTCTTGCTGATTAAAGTTGTTCCTTATTGCAACTATCTCTTCAGGCGATTTCTTTTTTTCTATTGTTTCATTCTTTTCTTCCTTTTTGTTTTCTGACCCACTTTACAATCATGGTCAACAACAACAACAACAACGACAGCGACAACCATAACCATTCCTACGAGGCCGAAGCTGCCTTCGAGGACAAAAAACCCACCCAAAGACAATCAACACCCGATAGTCAAAAACAACTACAAGAACAAAGACAACAACATTCCATCAAAACACTCGAAAAACTTTCTGCGCAGTTCAATTTGTTTCTGGCATGCACTTGTATCATCTTTGCTTCCTTATTTCCATACTTGATCTCTGTCACTCTTGGATACCAATTACGTTTACGTGAAAACTATCACGGTGGGGAACCTGGTAGTGTAGAAGAAGGCAGTGCTAGCGGCGGCATCACCACTGACAGCAGTAGTGCCAGTGGAGGTAGTATCAATGGGTTTATTGGTGATGGAGGAAAAGGACAGACAGCTCCTTTTTGGATTCTTCCATACGTCTTGCCTTTCAGCATCTTCGTTCCTCTTATTGCTGTCAAAATCATCAGCAGACTACATAAAAAGAATGAACAACGGCAACAAAAAAGTGAAGGTGTAACTGCATGCCCATATGAGAAGCTGAGGCGACGTCTTCTCGCAAAATTCAGTAGTCGACCTCGTTATCACGTACTACAACAACAACAACAACAACAACAACAACAACAACAACAACAACCGCAGCAGCAGCAGCAACAGCAAGATGATACCAACTCTTGTGTGCTTAATGTATACAATGGAAACACGGGTTTGTATCAAGGACATCAAAACCATCACCATCACCATCACCATCACCATCACCACCACCATCACCATCACCATCACCATCATTATTCTCCAATCCATATCAATAAAAGTCTTCGATGGTCCAAATCCTTGGTCCTTTCAAGTCTCGGACTCTGGACTCTTCTGATCATTTCAGCCCCCAGATGGGGATTAAACGACGTTATTTCCATCCCCATCTCGCCTATCAATGATATGTCTGTTTCAGTTTCAGCCACTAGCAGTAGCAGTAGCAGTAGCAGTAGCAGTAGCAGCAGCAGTAGCAGCAGCAGCAGCAGCAACAGTGGTAGTCATATCGCCATCACCAACAAACCTCACTGGATCGAGCCTGCCAAAAATCCAAACAAATGTTCAAACAAAGCGAGTGATAATGACGCTCGCAATCATCATGACGATACCATTATAAAAAACAAAGATATCTGGCGATTTCAGCCAGAGGATCCGTTTTCTGGCCTTCCCTTGATTCCCGAGGATGATGATGCTGAGGATGATGATGCTGAGGATGATGACGACGACGACGACGACGACGTTAATGACAACGAAACCAATAAGCTTAAAGAAATGGTTCGTATTGCTGAAGAGGATGAAATCATAGAGTCCGAATGGCTCGTTATCTCTCCTCAAAATGAGCAGCAGGAACAACAACCACAACAACCACTCACCCAACCCGAGAGATTGTCTGCTCTTCAAGAGTTCTTTGATACACACGATAAACAGCTCGACAGTGGCTGTAATGACTGGGTACTGTCACCCCATTGCGCCATCATGCATGATGGAGACCTCTCTGTCTCTTCTCCGGTATATATCCCTCAGGATGGAGGAAAAAGAGATCCCATGTTTGATATCGACTTTATTCAGGCTTATAAATACATCCCAGGTTGGACAGAGGCTATAACCATCTGTATTGGACTTTGTCTCGGTGGGGCCATGGCCGGTCTTGGACACATGCGAACTCAGACTCACAGAACCATTGCAAAGTTACAAAAGCAGCTGGATCATCATGGTGTTGATGATAATAATGATAACGACCGTTCCGAAGAGAAAGAAAAAGAAACCAAGCGTATCCAAGTCCTTCGTGCCAGTTTGGTTATGGTCACTTCATTGATTACATTATACCTCTTGTTGTGTTGGATGATCCTATCTCAGTACTACATTTTGCCTACCATGCTCATGGGCAGCGCTGGATTTGTCTTCTTCACAGCGGCTCATTGGATCCTCCCAAAGACTTTATTGGACCCTGACAACGTGATGGCTGACATGTCTTTTGATAATCTCTCGCCAACCTGTAATCTTGCCGTTCCTCAAAATGACAAAGGCAAGGAATAATAGCGATATTTTTACTCTTCCTCCATTTCGTCAAGTAAAAACAGTAAAAAAATAAAAAAAAAAAAAAATCAAAGTCCTTGTTGCTTCCATAATATTTTATAATACGTTCTAAAGTGCGCTCGTTTATTGAATGGTTTTTGTATGAGTACAGAGTAAAACAAGAGGTGCATGATAGTAAACGAAAGGAAGAACAACTATAACAAGATGATTAATTGCAGTTATGACATGCGAAAGAAGGAAAAAGAAAAATGAGATGGTATATGTACAGGTATATAGTGAGAGAGGAGTAAAGAAGAGAAAGAGAAATATATATATATATATATGTGTGTGTGTGTGTGTATAATAATAGAGATAAAAAGGGTGTGTAATCATGAGCTTTCTTATTCTACCACACCCAACATCCAGAAAGGTGGAACTCCTGTGCCAGGTAATGAGCCACCAAGCGAGTCTTTGAAATCATTTTCATCAGTAGCTAAAGCCTCAAAAGTATTGGCTTCCAATCCGAGATCGCCCCACTCTAGAACATCGACATTGGCTGGATTAAAAGGTTTTGCATATTTCTCAACCTTTTGGCGATCATTGGCTGCTAATGTTGATGATGATCCTGATGACGATCCTCCCATGGTCAACAATGCTCTAGATGGGACGTGATCATAGTTTCTGCGTGCTGTATAAAGAAGTGCATCCATAGTCACCTTTCGCAAAGCTGGTGAACGGTAATGATCCTGGCGAACATAGTTGCGGACAATATCTCCTAATCTGTAACCACGCTTCGAGCGATGGCGCCAAAGGTCTGGGGCAGAACTCATTCCTGAATTGTCGACCATACGCGTCAAAAGTGTCCAGTACTGTAAGTTCAACGTTGAATAACGCTCTGTTAACTCTGCTACTGTATATATGGGTTCCCCTGATCCCTCGGGTACAAGTGGTGGCGTCGACGAAGCTACAAGGGGTTGCTGCTGCTGCTTCTCTTGAGGTTTGGCAGGGAAACCATCATCCTCGTCATCAGTGACATCCTGGTCCGTTAAATCTTGATCTGGACGACGCTTCTTCTGATAATCGTCATCATCGTCGTTCTCAGAGGACTCGACTTTCTTTTCAGCATCGGAGTTTGGAGCCTTATTCGCCATGACAGAGTCCTTCATCATAAAGCCCAGATCTCGTGGCCGGCTTATGGACTGATCAAGACTTAAATCGAGCTCATCATTTTCCTCGTCCAGATACATACCCGCTAGTTCCTGACCAGAGACATCAGCAGCTGCACCACCAGGCTGCAATAGTCCTTCCATTGACTGTCTAGTCGCGTAGGCATTTTCGAATGGCATCTTGATCTTTCCATCCTGGACGACCATGAACTGACGTCCAACTCTCATACGGCATCGATTCACGACTCGGAGGAAGAGACGAACATCATCTGTGATGGCTGATAGCGCTGCAACATGCAGATCCATAAATGATGATCGGTGATCACCTTGTCTCGCATACATGATCCCCTCAGGCGAGTTGACCAAATGCTCGAGCCAGGTAGAAAAAACAAGGTTGAGTTGGATGTACTCGTTCTGTGTGAGCACATGGACTCGATGAAGCATACGGACTGCATCCAGGAAAGCCGGCATCGTGTCCGCCTTCAGCAGATCTTTGGGAATCGTCAGCAGTGGTCGTGACCCAATGGCGCCCTCCTTCTTTGGGATAATTCTTGGAAGACGGTTCAGAGCCGGGAAAGAATAACCATGATCCAGCAGGTATCCAGTTTCCTCGACTGTTGGATGTACTGCAACGTATTGATCACGCTCCTGAAGAAGAGTTGTGCGGACAATATTGGCCGCAGCGCGAGCAAATGTTTCGTTACCGGTAAAATAGTGGGCCAATGTTAGGGTTGTGACCTCATCATAGAGACCTTGCAGTGTAATAATTTTAGAAGAGCCATCCTCGTTAGCAATGTTGACGGATGATGATGGGGGAATAATTGGTTTGCCCTGACTATCGCCGGGATAAAGGATCAAGTCCTCAGCAGACGCCTTTTTCAAGAGGTTCAAACGCTTAGAGAGCACCTCACATGCTTTGGTCTGAAGTTCCTGCACCATAATAGTGACGCCAGATTCCCCAATCCAATACTTTTGACGATTTGCCCGGAGCACACTGTCCTTGTAGACGAGAAGATCTGATGGCCGGAAGGTCTTACGAGCGATCCTCTCATCAATACCATCGATCAAATCCTGAATAGCAAGCAATCGATTGTAAGCACGAATGGCTGCAGACTGTCGTGTATTCTCTTCCTGTGATCGTTTTCCTGAAAAGAGACGGAAGACCCAGCCCACAGTCTTGAAATCGGCTTTGTTGGGAATAGGTTCACGCTCCTTGGGCTCCCATGATACTGATGGTTTGCTAATTTTGCCGCGCTCCAGTGCACCCAACCTCCAAAGAAGCTCAAGCTGTAAAAGAGAAAAACAAAAGAAGGAATAGGTCGTAGATGAGTAAGAGACAACTGGAAGTAATCACAATCACATATCAGTACTGATTGAATTTATCGTATCGAATGTTACCTTGGATCGACGACCATATCGCATGTCTGTGTTATACATATCTGTGGCATCATTTCTGAAGATGATTTGCGGTTCCTCTTTGGAATTTGGACGGGTGTCGACACCTTTCAAGAGCTGTGAGTTGTCAACTAGTCGTGCCATTGGTACAACAAAATACTTTACGGTATCACCATAGTCTCGAATGGACAGTTTAATTTCATTCATGGCGTTCTTTGTCAGGAACGAGTTTCCATCAAAGGCAAAAATCCATCGAGCTTCGACCTTGGTCTTGCCATGTTGGATTGCGATATTTCGACCACCGTTCTAAGGTTGGGGATGTTGTACAAAGAGTGACGGCGTTAAAATCACAAAAATGTCGTAATAGATAAATGATTCTATTTTGAGGCAAAGGCAGTGCAACCATTTGAGTTGGTCACAAACAAACCCTGATGGATCCCTCATTGTTCCTAGTCTGTTTCAGCCTCATTGACCTCTTTTTTTTTTTTTTTTTTTTTTTTTGACATTATTTTCCCTTAGTCCCGATGTGGTTGAGGCCTGACTATACGCACACGAGACCTCCTCATCCTGATGATAGTAATAATAAGATAATAACAACTTACATTATTCATGGCATATTTGTTCTTGTCATGATAAGTATAGTCCAGCACTCGAAGCTTGGCTACCTTGGAGAAAGTCGAATAGTCATCTGAGGAAAAAAAGTCTGGTTCTGGAAAGTCCTCAAGCCTGAAATCCTGCTTTAGGTATTCATTTTCTTCAAAGGGAACTCGAATGTATTCTTGACGGTGATGGTCCAGTAGCTGAATAATCGCCTCTTCTGCGTGCTGATCCACAATTCTATTCAACACCCAGAGCTTCCTTGTCTTTTCAAACTCAGGCTCGTGCTCCAGAATGAAACGCACGTTTGATAGTGTCTGGCCAGGACGATGACGAGGAGGCAAATCATTGCCGAGGATACGGTAGAGGACAATGGACTCCGGATCAATGGTGTCTCCTGCCCTTGGCGGAATACCCTTTCTACCGAGGTCGGAGTTTGATCCATGACTATAAGACTGATCCAAATCTGCTTTGTCTGGTTGGTCTGGCGTCTGTTCACCGGAGTGTCTTTCTGAATCATTGTGCCCGCCTTGCTCCTGTTTCCAAGGTTTATTCTCTTGATCAGATACCCTTTGATGCTCCAACTCCTTTGCTCTTTGCCTGCTTTTATCGAGAGGGTAGTCGTAATCATAGTCATAATCGTATCTGTGCCTTTCACGGTTGCTAGAATGGTGTTGAGAGTCGACCGATCGACGGTTCTTCCAGAGTGGAATAGATGGTTGAAGATAAAAGAGCAAAAGGAATGCAATCAAGGCAAGGATGAGGTAATAGCCCAGAGCCCTCTTGGTGAACAGCCGTTTCCGTAATGAGCGAAGTCTGGATGAGGCTGACGTGGAGGGATAATAGACAAACTGTTTATCGACAAGTGCTGAGGGTAGATCACTTGCAGTACTACTATTACTGAGTGAGTGATTATGGCGGGGGGTGAAGGGTGTGGATGATTGTGTTTCACTACTGCCATGAACGGAGCCGTTACTTTTACCTCGTACACCCTTGACAAGAGCTGCTGCAGAGGCAGCGACTGCAGCAAGAGTTGAGGATCGGACTGAGGCTGAGGTGTTGGACGAAGAATAAAAGTTACTGCTACTGAGAGAGTGACCATTAGGGGTAAGAGTATACTCTCGCACGTTGCCGTTGCCATTAACATTGGTAGGATGGTTGCTCCTTCTGGTATAGGGCGGCGGGTCCTGAGGATGGACCATGCCGGGAAAGAGAGGAGGAGGAGAAGGTGAGGTAGATCTGGAGGACGCTGCAGAGGAGCGGTAGAAAGCGTTATTAGTGGATGTCATCTATGACATGAACGAGAAAATTGTGTGGAGTGCAGCACAGAACAACTAACTCAAGAGATAAAAGGCTTGATGAGAAAAATGATAAACGAAAGGGATGGGGGAAGTAGAGACGGAGTGAAAAAGTTTCCAACGGAGAAGCAATAAAAAAAAAAAAAAAAAAAAAAAAAAAAAGATAGAGGAAAAAGCAAAGACTGAAGCTGAAGAAAGAGAGTAAAAGATTAAAAGAAGAGAAAGGAATGGGGAGTAATGTTAGCAGCTGACAGACATTTACATTTAGATTGTAAAAAAAGGGGTGGATGGAATGATGAGAATGAGATGACTTTATATGACCGAGAGAAAAGAGAGAAAATAGGGTCAAAAATGGCCAATGTCGCCGTTGTAATATTCTTTTTCTTTGACATCTAAAAATAATGTTTTCGCTTTCTTTTCCTTCTTTTCTTTTCATTGCATTGCACTTTTAGTGTGTAAATGGGGATGAGGTGCTTTTTTTTTTTTTTTTTTGCAGTGCCCTGTGAAAATTGAATGCATTGGGCACCACTGCAGAAAAAAAAAAAAAAAAAAAAAAAGTGGCTACAGCTCACTTGAATCAAACTCAAGCCCAACTGTTCCAACTCTTCCTCAACCCCAAAGACGGCGCCTTGATCTCGCCAACTGTTTCTTTTTCTCTTCTATCATTATCAACCACTGAGGTGGTCTTTATTGTCTCTCCACCTCTTGGTAAACAAAAAAGAAAAAAGAAAAAAAAGAATATACATTATTTAATATATATACTTTTTTATACACAGCCATAGACTATACAAGATCAATTGAATGTTTACGTGGCAGTGTGCCAAGTCACAACAGGTTGGCACAGCAGCGGCGCTGAGGGCTGCAGACGCATAAAAAAGCTTATCTCTTTTTCTTTTACTTTTTTTTTTTTTTTTTTTTTTTTTTTTCTGTTTCTTTTGAAAGGGTTCATACTGGCAGTGCAAAATGGTAGGGATGAGATCATGTCAAGGATGGACTTTTGGAATCAGTGGCAACAACGTGAGCTTTGCCACTCTTAATAATTGCTCAATCTTTTTTATCTCAAAGTGAATGTGCGCGCAGTATAAAAGCTAACAATCGACGTTAAAAGTAATAATGATAAAAATAAAAAAAAAAAAAGACAAACTGAGATGTGCAAAGTTTTATCGGGAAAGAGAAAGAGATGATGTCGTTGCCAACTGATGGGATGTGTGTACGTTACTGTTGTAGAGATGATGATATAGGAAACAGTATTAAGCTCTTTACTTTTTTTTTTTTTTTTTTTTATCAAATTTTTTCTTGTCCAGGTAAGTTGTTAAGAGGAAAGATGGATTAGATACAAGGGAATAGAAAAGCGAATGATGGTTCTGAAAGAATGTGATGATAGCAGAGAGAAGTGAATAGGGAGAATAAAGGTCAAAAAGTGGAGGAGAGAAGAAAGAAAGAATGGTTCCTGAAGGGCATGTCAAAATAAAAATAAAAAACTATTTATACAAATGACAAAGTAATTTCTTTCAACCATTGTTCCTTGGCTTTTTTCTTTTTTATCTGCCCTGTACTACATTCTCTTTCTGATCCATTGGCTTCTCTTTGGACAACATCCAAATCTCACCCAGATGATTCTGTTGTTGCTGCCCATAGAAGAACCTGAATCTACTATTCAGTTTCTTCTTCTTTCATTCTTTCTCTCTCTCTCTCTCTCTCTCTCTCTCTCTTTTTTTTTTTTTTTTTTTTTTTTTTGTTTGATTATTCAATATAGACAATGCTTGTAAGCAACGGTTAATAGGTACAAATATACCTCCTTGCTGAAAAGTTATGCACCATGCAATAGACTATTAAACATGATTCATTAATCATGAACCATGAGCCATGAGCCATAAACCATGAAAGAACTATTGCTGTTTGATCTGTTTGATCTGTATGGCGATCATTACATCAAATCATCCTCTTTTTTAAGATACAATAGACAATATACAAAATACTCTATTATTAACTTCTTTTACTTCTTCATCACCAAAAAGAAAAGACATGACAAATGATGACAATACAACAATTGAGCATAAAATAAGGTACACACTTCATATCCTTTTCCGAAGGGAGAGAAAATCTCCAAACTGAAGCAAAAAAAAAAGAAAAAAAAAAAAAAAATCAAGCATGTCTGTTTTCATGAGGCTGTTTTTATGATTGAGAGAATTTTTTTTATTCGCGCACCTGGAGAATAAAAAAAAAAAAAATATTGGAGGTTTGGGTTACCATTAATATTGCCATAATTATTTTCAAGGTATTAGTTATGGCATAATAAACTGGGATTATCATATCTAAAAAAATAAAATGCTTTTTTATTTTTTATTTCATAATAAGCATAAGCATGGTTGAGGACCCTGTTCAACCTTGTTTTAGTCTCTTTCTGCGCTAAGACTGGATTGCAATGTCTCCGTGCATCATTTGTCATGAGCTCATCCAAGGTCAAACGGGTAAAACTAAGGTTTTTATATGACCAAAAGAACATTAGAAATCACGTAGTCTTAAAGTTAGTGGCACCTGGTATCGTACCACATAATCATATTTCAATGTCTCAAAGCTTCCCCTGTCTTCACCAATATGGCTTTGACTACATGAATTAAGGCATTTCAAAGAAGCCTTCTTTTCTAGACATACAATCCCTTGAGTCTAGGATATATAATGTGTCGATGGCATAAAATTGCATATCAATATCGAGATTGATGGTAAAGTCTCCAGAGAACATTTGATACTCCGTAGACATATATATCTCTCTTCAATGAACTAAAGGATTGATACCCATATTTCTTCGCTCTTATTTGACATGTGTACCTGCATTCTTTGGGTCTAATATTCGGTATATTTCACTACAAGGCTCTTTTTGAAACAATACTTGCATTTCATTGCAATTTTACACGGAAACATACATTTATGAAAATATAAACTAAAGACCTTGGCCGAAAAGCCAACATAGTTGACATGATGCTGTCACGTGCTCATAAAATGATTGCATAGTATCCTAAGGTTTAGTAGACTTTGACATGTCAAAGGTTCCGTAAGGAGGTGGGTCGCGAGATCCTCCTCCTCTACCACGGGAGCCATACAATCCCTCATCTTGAGCCCGTGCCAATGCTTGTGATCGAACTTGCTCCGCCAAGGCTTCGTATTCTAACTGTCGCTCGCGTCGACGGCGGGCTTCGTCAATCTCTCGGTCAATATGCTGAGCTTCCAGCAGAGCCCTGACCAATGAAGCCTCTCCTTCACTCTCGCGCTGGCTCCTCTGCTTGTCAAAGCGGTGGAACAGGACCGTGGCGCCCAATAGACTGACAAGCTATGCCATCCAAGTTAAAGCATGTTTAATCATCGTAGAAAAAAACATTGACACAGACCTGTTTAGAGAATTTCTGTGGTAAGGTGGTAATGTGGTAATGTTATTATATTACAAAAAACAAACAAATAAATAAGCTTACTTCAATACCACCAAGGATTGCCCCAATGACACCAATGGCTTGAAGACTGTCTTGGAAAGCTGTTTGGATATTTTCGCGACATCCTGCAAAAAAGTGATGATCCAGCGCGCATGTCACGGGGACTGGTCTGTCCAGCACATGCTCAAATCCGCAACATTGAAACTAAGAAAGAGTGTGTGTTACCAAATTATAATTAGGTGGATTGGTCGTATAAAAAGTCGGGAAGCTGCTAATGGAGATCCATTCATAGACTTACAAACGACTCAAGGTCTTGAATGACATGGGGATCTGACTTATAAACTTGGTCCCAAGCTTTGTCTAGAACCTCAATACCTTGGTTTCTATAGGCGAAAGCGAACGCCCCAACCGTGATTTGTAGGGCAATGGCAATCAATAAGATCAAAACATGGATCCAGAGGATCCATCGCTTCTCGTTCATAGTACCATAATAACCCAAGAACGAGACAAGCGAGATGGTTGCACCTAAAACCAAAATCAGATGTGGCAATAGCGTCGATGTCACGAAGACTGCGCCTGGTGCAAAGTAGACAAATGTGCCTATACAGTACATTAATGAAAAAAAATGGTTATCAAAAATGAGTTGCCCATTGTTACAAGTGATAAAAACAAGCTTTCAAGTCACGATATGACTTCATGACCTCCAGAACCATGATAGCTTACCGACACATAGAAGAATCATCCCCACGAGCTATTATTCAAGTTTGTAGAAAGTTTGAATATGAGCCCTACATTTAAGACAAACTTCTGTTTAATTCATTAAAGACAACAATGACTCCACTTACCAATGAAAGAAGATTCAGAACCGCAATGGCATTCTGAATTGGACCATACGACCTCGCAGGCCGAACAATAACATACATGGTTGCTTTGTTCAATCAATGGAATCGGATATTTATATAATGTTGATGCGTTAATGAAATGCTATGGCGATTGATAAACGTTAATGACAATGAATTGAAGCAATGGTCATCAGGAGGCCGGAAAAACTCTTGGCTTCCTCCTTGTGCAAGGGCCAACCCGTGACAAAAAGCAAATCAAAGTAGAAACATTTTTATTTGGCTATACCGCAGTGTGGCTCACGGTCTCCCACAACTGAAAGATAATGCTCTACTATCTCGCGATCCTTTTTCAAATAGAGAGGAATTGAGGTCATCTTCTTGGGATCAAGGTCAATACAGGTGATTTTGTAAATAAAGTCTTCGTCCTTGACCTTTATCCTTTGACGGTTTTCTTTGAATAAGGGGTCTTGTGTACCTATGCCAGGACATCGGTCGCTGTAGAAGAGGTTTATAATAAACAAAAGTCAGCATCAATTAACTTCAAGCGGTGTAGACACACGCTCCTGGTGCTCCTATATGATCATGTGCGCTCATTACCTTGGAAAATTTGACTCCTTAGAGGCGTTGTCTGCTTCCTTCCTTATTTCATCCGCACGGCAAACAGCAATCAATAGTGAACAATCCTTCAGAGTCGCTGACAAGAGGAATTCCCGAAGATAGTGCAATTTTAAACTATCAGGAACCGTATTGGGGTCATCCAGATCATCCTCAGGTCCAAACCCAAGGTTAGAGGCATTATTACTCAAAAAGTCTGCAAGATCCTTAGTCATCATCTCATTCATATCGGTTCGGTACAAGAATGACTCGGCTGTATTCAAAAACTCTTCCAGCGTAGGTTCCGGAATAGTCCCTACCATGGGACTAGCGAGCTGCGTGTAGAAGCGATGAATTGTCTCTATATCTAAGGAATCCAGCGCCTGTTGAAGACGACCAAGCCTCTTGAGTATGGGTGACTGAACAAGGATCCGTGTAAGTACATCTACGAGTGAGATTGGTTTAGAGCTTTCTTCCTTATGGATTAGAGAGCTGTTTCCCTGCGGCGGTTTCTCTTCAATCGATGTCTTGAATAAACATTTCACCATCATTTCCTTAGTGATAGGCAGCTGCTGCGTCCCATTGATAAAAAGGCGGAGATTGTTCTGGGGGGTCCGAATTAGTGCATCTAGAGAATCTTGAACCAACGGCTCCACACCCGAAAATAGGTCGATAGGACAGTACTCACTAAGACTCGTCCCATGTCCAGATTTCATTTTTAAGTGCTGGTGCATACAGTGACGGCACTTGCGTCGTTTAATGTTCTCATGACGGATAAAAGCCGATTGCGTAAGAAATCCCCACTTAGGCTAAAGATGACATGTGTTGTCCATAGTCATGTTAGCATTGATACCATGCTGCCAATAATAATAATAATAGTAAATAAAGCATTTTTTGGCAACTAAGGCCCTTTACTTTGATCTCTACAGCAACTGAAACTTGACTATCAGCTAAATCAATAAATCGAGTGTGGTCCAATGCCAGAAACCCGGCAGCTTGCGATAAATCAATGACTTTATGCAGTCGCTCCAAAGGTCGTGAAGGCTCGATTGCTTTCGAGAGAGCAGTCAAAAATTCATCAGGAAGCGAGACTACAACCTACAGCTCAAGGAAAAATGACAAAAGAAATACATCGAATGAATAAATAAATAGCGCTACCCGGATGCACGCCTTGAGTGGACGGTGGGTCACCATACCAATTGGTCGACATATTCCTGTCCAAGAAGCAAGCTAAAGACTTTAGATATAAAAACGGACTCTTGAAGCAAATTCTCTTTTTTATCTGCAAGAACGGTTGATAGGGTTTCACTTGAAGTACTTTTTGATGCTTCGCAGATTTTCTGTTGACGATCAGTCTTTCGGAGGCGAAGCATGGTAGTTTTCTAATACCATATGGACAAACAGACACTGTCAGATCGTATTTCAAATAGTGGCCATAGGGTATTCGAAAACCAGGATAACTGTTTGCTCAGTTAATGCCCTGGCATAAATTGAAACGCAAACCATTTGGCGTTAGCGCAGCCCTCGCCGATTGCTTACAAAGCGAGGATTCGGGCCAATGTATTTCAAGACAAGGTTGGCGTTGCCCTCGGCTCTGTATTGCCAATGCTCCACATGATATAGTTCGCGCAGCGCCGCCATAATATAGTTTCCTGTCCTTCAGTCTGTTGAAAAGGATGGGAAAATGGAATGAATGTAACGAATCAAAGTTTTTTTTTTTACGCCGATGCTCTTGATCTTTTATCGTCAGGGAGTTTTAGTGCATGTAAACAAGGTGCCAATTTGGTGGTGAATAAGATTAACAAATATTTCCCACTCTTTGAGCTTTCCTTCATCCTGTTCATCAGACCCATTGCTTTTCAATCCTTTTCTTCCATTCATTGTTTTTTCTGATTTCCTCTGACAGAATTGCTGCAGCCATGACCGCCTCAACTTTGATAGATCAACCTTTGCACAACCCAACGCCTTTATTGCACTCAACTGTGCTTAGTCGTAAGACACAGACGTAAGATAAGGAATACATCACATTGGCACAAATGCTAATAATTTTTGACCTGCATATCCCACAATTGTTGACATGAAGTTTAAAAATTCCACAATTCGTACAGTAATATTTGGCTCAAACTCGAGAACCTGCAACCTAGCGGCTCTTTCAAGATCAGGTAAGAACATAGGCATTTAGTAATTGTTGTTTAGCTTGATCAAGACTTGATATTTTTATCACATTCACTAAATATGTCTTGCATGGATTCGACGCTGTAGAGGTCTTGGGCACATGTGCCAGAAGGCCGCTCTGAAGCACGGCTCTAAGACTCGTCTTGTCTCTTCGTCCGGCGGGAATGCTGGCCTTGCTGTGGCCTACGCTGCCCGCCAGCTCGGTATCCAGGCGACGATTATTGTTCCTCAAACGTGCAATGCCTTTATGATAAAAAAAATAAAGGAAGAAGGCGCACATGTAGAGATGCATGGTGAGGTATGCCTTTTTGTGCGTGAGTGAGTCTACACATTCGGCTGTACGTAGTAAGGCTTATTACTAAATATTACTATTGCTACATTTTATCTCAGGCTTGGGATGAGGCTGATTTACGTGCGAAATCTGTAGTTGCCGATGATCCGCATGCGTAAGTTGAGTCATTTATATAAGAGTTTATTCAAGACTGAATTCTTTTCGATTATTATAGTCAATGACAAGAGTATTTCGACCTTTTTTTTTTATTTAAAAAAAAAAAAAAATCTGTAGTGTGTACATTCCTCCATTCGATCATCCAGATGTTTGGCAAGGAAATTCAACCATGATCACCGAGCTTAAGGCACAGCTTGGGGGAATTGTTCCCGATGCCATTGTTTGCTCTGTAGGCGGAGGGGGAATGATGAATGGGATCATTCTTGGATGCCAATCGGTTGGATGGGATAAAGGTACAACATGTTCTGTGTAACGTTGATCCTTACAGAGGAGATATTGTTCTGAAACATTTTTTTTTTTTTTTTTTAATAGTTCCTCTTCTTACTGTGGAGACTCATGGATCAAATTCTTTCCAACAATCTGTTTTGGCTGGAGAATTGGTGACTCTTCCAAAGATCACATCCATTGCTACCACCTTGGGCGCCAAGACCCCCTCCGCTAAATCGCTCGAGCTAAGTCTTGTCCACCCTGTGGTGCCATTCGCTGTGAGTGATGCCATGGCAGCAAGTGCTTGTTGGCAATTCCTCGGTGAGTCATTATATTCTATTAATTAATCCATGTGACCATGGTTTAGGATGACAGTGGCTAACACTGATTATATTGAATGATGCCCTTATGGAACAGATGATCACCGTTTTGCAGTTGAGCCTTCCTGTGGTACTGCACTCTCTATCGCCTATACACCAGCCCTGCTTTCCAACATTTTCCCTAACCTAAATCAAGATTCGAATGTTGTATTTATTGTCTGTGGTGGATCTAATATTAACTTCGCTCAACTCACAGAATTTAAAGAGATGTTTGGTGCAGAAGGCCAACAGTCCTCGATCGCTGTCAGAAGTGGGGATCAGATTCTGCTCAAGATGACAACAGATGCTACTGCGTCATCTCAAAAAGCTATCCTTTCCACTACCTATAAGCCAGAGCCCAAGGCTGCCAGTGTTGACTCAAACAACGGCGAGACAGCCATAGCTGAAAATGCTTCGAAGTAGGCGTGGGAAGAAAAGCATAATTTAAAAAAGAATGTGTTTGTAGATTTCTTTTGCCTATGAAATAAACTTTAGGGCTCGTTTGATATTGACCACGTGACCATGAAGATCTCATAATCAGCATCACGTATTTGCCATCCTTTTCGTTAAAATCATTTCATTCTTCCAGTTCAATAAAGGCACAACAACAATTCAACTCATCCTTAGACTAAAAAAACACAAGGATACAACAGTCATGACATCACCAAGCAGCGGGCTCGACTTGGTCGAAAATCCATCCAGCTTAATCACGAAGCGCAAGATTCAAGAGATGGTGGCACAAATTGACCCAAGCGAAAGACTGGAACCTGAAGTGGAAGACGTATGAGCCATGAATTTATGTCAAATATAATTAACAACTGACTTTTATTATATATTGTTATATTTACTGACCTTCAAATTTGAACAACCTTTTTGTAGATTTTGTTAGAGCTTGCGGACGAGTTTATCGAGTCAGTTACACAGTTTGCTTGTAAACTCGCTGTCCATCGAAAATCATCAACTTTAGAAGTTAAAGATGTTCAGCTTCATCTTGGTATGCAAAAGATCACAAAAGGATTATGGAGAGAAAAGGGCATTGGACTGTTATTGAGCTGTTGGATATGTATTCAATATGCAATAGATTTTAACAATGCGTCATTTCCCTTCTTTTAGAGAGAAACTGGAATATCAGGATCCCAGGATTTGCTTCAGAGGAGATCAGGTCTGTAAGAAAGTCAACTGTACCAGCGTCGCATACACAAAAGCTGACTGCCGTGAGCAATGCCAAGGCAGCACAGGCAGCTTCAGGCAAGTAACGAATCGCCTCTAGAAGTTCCAGGATTATATAGCATGTCCGCAACCATTAAAAAAAAAAAAAAAAAAATAGTAGTCATTCTGCAGGAAGGATAGGAAGCAGGCTGTATATTAATATCAATAAAGTAATTCTTTCAGTTTTTCTGTGACGTGATATTCGAATACCCTTTTTTTTTTTTTTTTTTTTTTTCCCTTTCTCCCTCTCTCTCTTTCTCTTATTAAAGATTTTTTTATTCAACATGGCAAACAACGATGTCTCGGTTCAGGCTACAACTGCCAGTCCCACGAGAATGATTACTGTATTCTGCGGTTCATCTCCGTAAGTGCCATTAAGAATGTAGTCATGAGCGACAATGTTCAGGAAAAATAAGTCTCATTCTTTTTTTTTCTATTGTTACAATATAGGGGGCGTGATCCGGACTATATTAAGATGGCCAAGGGTGTGTGTTGCTTGTCGATTAATTTTGATGGTTAATTAAATATTTCCTCGCGTATTTAACGTTACTACGTTTGTGTTTCTCAATATTAGAACTTGGTCGCGAGATGTTAAAGAGGAATTATGGGCTTGTCTATGGTAAACATGTGTATCCTATTTATTGTGTTTTGCGATCGATAAGCATCAATTGATCTTAATATGATAAAACATCCTTTGCCTTAATAATCCACCGCTTAACTTACAAGTCTCCTTCCTCGTCTTTTATTTCCCAAAGGTGGTGGATCATATGGTCTAATGGGTGCAATCGCTCAGACGATCCATGAAGGGGGTGGAAAGGTTATAGGAATCATTCCTGGTGCCCTCAAAAAAGTTGAACGCCCAGGTAAACATAAACCTGGTGCTATAAGGATGATGCTTTGTTGTCCTGCTTTTTCCTTCAAGCTAAATTTTTCTCTTTTTTTTTTTCTTTGGTAACAGAAATTCCGGATGTTGACAATCAGAAAGTTTTTGGTGAGGAAATTATTGTGCAGGACATGCATACTAGAAAAGCGATGATGAACAAATTAGTACGTACAGAATTTTTTTTTTTTTTTTTTTTTTTTTTTTTTCGTTCTCATGTAAATGCACACATCGATAATTTATTGATCAGCATGAAACATTTTTTTTTTAGTCAAGTGGTTTCATCACTATGCCAGGTGGCTACGGCACTATGGAAGAACTTCTAGAAATCACGACCTGGTCCCAGTTAAGCATCCATGATAAACCCGTTGTTCTTTTCAACATGAAGGGTTACTTCGAACACTTGCTCAAGTTTATCCAGCACTCTGTTGAAGGTTAGTCCGCAAATGAATTGATAAGTGTAGAGATGGGCACGTTTTTTAATTCATCAATAAATTACTAATACCATCCCCTTTATTTATTAATTTATTTACTTTGGAAACTTTTACAGAGAAATTTGTCGTCGATTGGAGTGCTGACATTATCGCTGCAGGAACAACTGCGGAAGAGGTGCTTGATAAGCTGGAAGCCTACAAGCCTCCTGTTTCTCGTTATGCCTTGAAATGGGACGACACAGATGCTACTCACAAGGAGGATTTCGTTTAATTTTAATTCTTATTAAGGGCGATTTTTAGGGAATAAAAAGCTTAGAACGAACGAACTGTAATGCTTTTTTTTTTTTGTCATCACTTTGCCATTATACAACCTCTTTTTATAACCATGCCAGTATGTCCTCTTTTATATTTTATGCACAAACTGTTCACTGACATTACACTACAATGCAATCAACATTCTGCTGACCCCTGTCTCTCATGTGACATGGTGCTTCTGATTAGGTTTACAAGTACGACGTTACCATGACCTGCTCTGGATGCAGCGGTGCTGTCACCCGCGTTCTTAACAAGCTCGATGGTAAATATTAAAAAGACGACATTTTTTCTGGATATCACGACATTGTGTTGTCCTATCCACAGCCTTTTTTTTTAAAAAAAAAAAATAATAATAATAAAAAACTACTGTTCCTGAATATTACTGACATTATTATTTGAAATTCTTCAGGCGTCAAGACATTCGACGTCTCACTTGAGAACCAGAAAGTCATTGTCGAATCTGATACTCTCACTGAGGTTAGTCTTTTACGTGTTTTAATGTCTTGTGAACAGTTTGAGATGAGACTAAAGCAGGCTTATTTGTTTTTTCATGACAATAGGAACAGATTCTTGCGACGATTCAAAAGACTGGCAAGGCTGCTAAGGTTGCCGCTGCTTAAACAAAGAAAAAAGACGTTTTAAAAATAAATAAAATATACATATACATATATATTATGTATATATATTTTTTTCGAATGGGAGCATGGTAGAAATGTCAAAAAAAAAGTATACATTTGTCTGTATGGCTCTAGATTAGTTGACAGACTTTGTTAAATTAGGATTTAGTGACTAAATATAATTGTTGGAAATAGTTGATAGAACATGTTTTGTTATAGATTTGGCCTTAATCGCATTCACTGTCGGACAAAAAATTCAATTGACAAAGTCCGAAAGAAGAAGAAAGGGCGGATGTGAAAGAGTTCTGATCATTTTAATGAATTGTATTCCAATCCAACTTTCTCATTAATTCATCTTTCATTACACATAGACTCTCTCTGTCTCTCTCTCTCACACACTTCTCTCCTTCTCGATTACGCGTCTAATACCAATACCATGACTCGCTTCGTTGCTCTCTCTCGCCCACTTGCCGCTGCCGCCCGTGTTCAAGTCACTCGTTCAGCTCTTGCAACTCGCGCTGCTATTCAGAGTAAGCTTTTTTTTATTTTTTATTTTTTTTTTCTATTTTTCCATCTTCAGTCTTCTCAAGAGTACAGCGGCATTGGAAGCATTCCCTCAACAGCTATGTAGCTTCAAGACATACAATCTGCACATGGCTTTTATTTTGCGCGTTTTTACGTGAACGCGCCTCTTTCAAAGGATAGCAAGCTATAACTTTTTTTTTTTTTGTTATATAACAAGCTATAACCTGCAACTATTTATCATGAATTTTTGTCACGTTAACTGACAAAGCAGAATACAGAGCGAGGGGTAGGATGCAAGGAAATTTATAGTCAATGGCGACTCCATTTTCTTTTTCTTTTTTTTTTTTTTTTTTTTTTTTGCCTTTTTTTTTATTTTTTTCTTTTTTTATGGAAATACAAAAACGAAGCCTTTGTCCGGAAGAAGCAAGAGCTCCGAAACCTGTTTTTGGACACAGCACAATTGAGATATAAAACATCTGTCTATAAAAAACAATGCTCCTTCATTTTTTCTTGTTATTACTCGTTGGCACTGAAAAGGAGGCTGTCAACTCATAGGAAAACGATGCTCCATCTCATGAAATATGTTGACCTCTTTTTTTTCATTTGTAAATATATATATTTATGCTAGTCCGTCATTACTCTGCCGATCACCACGAGGAATCATTTGAGGACTTTACAGCTCGCTTTGTCAAGTTCTTTGACAATGTGGATGATTTGTTTGAGCTTCAGCGTGGATTGAATAATGCTTTTGGTTATGATTTGGTTCCTGCGCCTTCAGTTATCGAGGCTGCTCTCAAGGCTGCTAGACGCGTCAATGATTACCCTACAGCTGTCCGTATCTTTGAAGGATTGAAGGTCAAGACTGGATCGGATGCTATTTACAAGCAATACTTGGATGAGCTGGCTCCTCTGAGGGCTCAGTTAGGTGTTGATACCAAAGAGGAACTTGGATTTTAAAAAAGTAACAACAACAGCGACAACAACAACAACAATGACAGCAGCAGCAGCAGCAGCAACATTGACATCATCAGCCGCAAAGAGCAACAATATTTTTGTACAGTTTCAGGAGAGTATTGAAGAAGAAGAAAAAAAAAATGGCCAGAAAAAAAGTAGAGAAAAGGAGGTTCAGTTGATACTGCAATAAGCGACATAATACAATACAGCAATACAATGTTTGCAATGCTTCCTCTGTTGAAAAACTAGTGCAGCAACACATAGAGTTGACCTTCTTGACTCTTTCTTTCTCTCTTTTTTTTTTTTTTTTTTTTTTTTTTGTAGCTTGAACTTAAACAAATGCATTAGAAAAAAAAAAAAAAAAATAAGAAAATAAAAAAAATAAAAAAAATTAACCTCATTGTTCATTTTATGTGGCGATTCTAGTAGTTTGTCGACTTGGTTTGCAAACGGTATTTTCCCATCGCCACAAAAGTTTTGCTTGCTTTGACCCCGATGGAGTCGAGTCCTGTTTAACTTACTGGTCGTTGGAGAGAAGAGACATTTAAGCACTCATGATAAGAATGATTTTTGAATGCATAAAAGATCGATTTAATAAGAAAAAAAAAAATAATAATAAGTGATGCGTAACGTGAGTTAATCCTCCCATCCATAATCTACAGAAAGAAAATATTTTTTAAAAAAAGAGGCTAATATATAGAAGAGTAGAAGAGATAATGCAGAGAATAACAAAAAAAAAAAAGTGCACAAAGTAGATTTTTTTTTACTTCTTCTCCTTCTTCTCTTTCTTGTCCTTCTTATCCTTCTTCTCTTTCTTATCCTTCTTCTCCTTCTTTTCCTTCTTCTCTTCCTTTTCTTCTTCCTTATCCTTCTTCTCCTTCTTCTCCTTCTTGTCCTTCTTCTCTTCCTTCTTGGCCTTCTTGTTGCTGGATTCGTCATCTGATTCAACTTTGCGCTTCTTATCTGATTCTGATGCAGACTTCATGGTGACATCTGCAGAGGTATTGTATGATGAAGTCGCAACAAACTCATGTTTCTTCTGATTCTTGGCCGCACCTGCCTTCTTGCGGTCCGCACCTGTGTTGTTGCTACCAGAGCGACCCTCGAGCATACGGAGGCGGGCCTCAACCTTGCCACGGTTTTCAATACCAATCTCTGGAGAGTCAGTCTCGCCAAGGGCATCAACTCTGACAGAAAGTGCAGCTTTGGTAGCAACCATACGGGCAATCTTACCCTTCATCTTGGGACCAGCCTGACCGATTAATGAAGCGTGGTAGATCAAACCATATTTGGGTGTGTCGTGCTTGGTCTTCAAGGCACGGAAGAGTGCCTTCTCAGCACCAAGAATCTGAATAGTCGAGGCAGGGTGCTTTGCGAGTGTCATCAAGGAACCGGCATGGGCAATCAAACGAGCACCAACAAGGTCACCGACGAGGGCAGTCAAGTTGGGAGCAATGGCATTCATTCGGTTCTTAAGATACTCGTAGAGCTGAGTACGATATTCAGTGATAGAGATGATCTGGTCGCAAAGTGCATGAATATTTTCCAAATCCTCCTCAGAGATCTCAGTTCCCATGGAAATCTCAGAGGCCTCCTTGACCTCTTCCTCAAGCTCCTCAGGAAGAATGTCCGAAAGATCAGTCTTTGAGCAATTGGTGCGGAAGCCCATCTTCCTCACAATCTTGGCGTAAGCCAAGTTATCAACAATCAATTTGGTCATCTCAGGGAAGTGCCAACCATACCATTCCTTCACACGCATAGCATAGGTGTTCAATTCCTTATCGAGGTCATCCAAGAGAGCAATAGCCTGAACAATCATGGTATCAACTTTGTCGGGCGAGAACTTGAGTTTATAGCGGGAAAGAGAATGGGACAGACCTAAAACCATTGCCGACAAATCCGATGATGACAATCCAGAAAGAAGAGAATCCAATTGCGTACGGATACCGCGATACAAATCAAGAGTGGTCGAATCAGAGATGACCTTCATGTTGAGCTTCTTGGCAATGGCACCACCTGGTTAAAACAAATGACAATAATACCAAAAGAAAGAAGAGAAAGAAAAAAAGAGAAAAAATAAAAAAGCCATTTCGTTAACTCAAGTCAAAGAGGAAGAGGAAAATAGAGCATGTCAATCGTGGTAGGATAAAATTCCTGTCACGTACCAAGCTTGGCGTCACCAACAATAAGCGATTCCTTCTTCATCTCCTTCTCGCTGATCTCCTTTGACAAGAACTCCTTCAAGTTCTTGGAGAGCTTGCCTTCGACTAGGGCAGTGACGGCAGACAAAGCATCAGTTGTATTTTCGAACTTGCTGAAAGTACGGAGTTTCACACTACATAATACAAAGATAAAAAAAAAAAAAAAAAAAAAAGTTATTGACCGCAATTAATTGCTGTTAAAAAAGAGGAATGATATATTAAAGCAGGGACAGATGCAAATTAGGTAGTTGAATGAACCATTCCGATAGAGGGATTATTGCAGTTGTAAAGTATCTGAATAACAGACCAAGAGAGAATTGAACACTAAACAATTGCATAGCTGATTAAATCATTTCGAATGAAATATGTGTCAAATTATGTATTAAATGTAAATGAAAGACAAAGGAGGTGTTTCGGTCATAGACTGTTGGGGATTTTGATCAATGGATTGTAGCTGAGGCTGGTCTTGTTGTTTGATTGTTGAATGAAAATGAATCTTACGTCTTTTTGGCCTGTTCCGGAGTCTCAAAGCTCTTCCAGATGGAATCAGGCTTCTCGAGCTTTCCCTCATCGAGAAGGGTAAACAGAGCATATCCTGCAGGAGTCTCGTAGAGGACCAACATTGTATTTGTCAATGAATATGCGGTCGAGAAGGAGATGAGTGATGAAGGATTAGGACAGAGAGAATAAAAAAAAAGGATCAGTACTCTATTGTGTGTTTATTTTTTGCTTTTTCTTTTTTTTTTTTTCTCAAAGCAGTCCCATTTTGATTTTCTATAAATTAGCTACATTAGTTTTTATTTAAGGGTTATTCAAAAATCTTTTTTTTTTTTTTTACGAGTACAGATCATCATCTGCAGTGCTGTCCTGGCCAAAGACCGTGTTAGTCTCGGTTGTTAATGTTGGAGCAGCAGATCCTCCAACACCGCCTTCTGGGAACTTGAATGAGCTAAATCCACGTGAGCTCTGGAGGTTCTGTGCAAACATTTCGTAGCGACGAATGTCGCTGTCTTGTACAGATCGGCGAGCAAACTTCATAGCCTCTTCAAAGTGAGCACGAGTAATCTCAGGGACAGAGTCTTCCTCGTCCTCATCCATGGCTCCCTCTTCACCACGTTCCTTACGCTCTCTTTCCCTGCGCATATCTGCCTCGATGTTTTCGCGGATAGCGAGTTTACATGCACGTTGGCAAATTTCTGTTAAATCAGCTCCAGAGAATCCATGGGTTGACTTGGCAATGAAGGAAAGATCAACCTCAGGCGACACTGGAGACTTGCGGAGAGTAGACTTTAAGACAGAAAGACGTGATCCTTCGTCTGGAAGGGGAATATAGATCAACTGATCTAAGCGACCAGGGCGCAGTAAGGCACCATCGATTTGGTCAGGTCTGTTTGTTGCGCCAATAACAAAGACGTTCTTCTTGGCGTTCATTCCATCCATTTCAGTCAAGATCTGGTTGAGCACACGGTCACCTGCTCCACCAGCATCGCCTGCCGAATTGCCGCGAGCTTTGGCAATGGAATCCAGTTCATCAAAGAACATGACACAGGGGGCAGCGGCACGAGCCTTGTCAAAGACATCACGAACATTAGCCTCAGACTCTCCGAACCACATCGTCAAGAGTTCTGGTCCCTTGATAGAGATGAAGTTTGCTTGACATTCATTAGCAATAGCCTTGGCCAATAAGGTCTTTCCACATCCAGGAGGTCCGTAGAAGAGGACACCACGTGAAGGCGACATGCCAAACTTCAAGAACTTTTCGGGGTGCTCGACTGGATACTGGACAGTCTCCTGAAGCTCTTGTTTGACCTTTTCCAAACCACCAATATCGTTCCATGTAATTGTAGGGACTTCGACAACAGTCTCACGGAGAGCAGAGGGGTTGGAGATGCCCAAAGCATAACGGAAGTTCTCCATGGTCACAGCCAACGAGTCGAGAACCTCTGCATCAATGGTCTCGTCATCTAGATCGAAGAGCTCCATCTTTTCACGAATTTGCTGCATAGCAGCTTCGGAACATAAACTGGCAACATCTGACCCGACATAACCGTGTGTTTCAGAAGCAATTTGCTCCAAATCAACGTTGTCATCCAACTTCATATTCTTAGTGTGAATGCGAAGAATCTCGAGACGGCCAATAGGATCGGGGATACCAATTTCAATCTCGCGATCAAAGCGTCCGAAGCGACGAAGGGCAGGGTCAATCGAATTGGGACGGTTTGTGGCAGCCATGACAACAATGTTTGAGCGAGCCTTCAATCCATCCATGAGAGTCAATAGCTGTGAAACTACGCGTCTCTCAACCTCTCCGTTTGTCTTTTCACGTTTGGGTGCAATCGAATCAATTTCATCAATAAAGATAATGGCAGGACTGTTTTTTTCAGCCTCCTCGAATGCCTTTCGCAGATTGCTTTCGCTCTCCCCTGCCATCTTGGACATGATTTCAGGTCCATTGATCAAGAAAAAGAAGGCTCCAGTTTCGTTAGCAACCGCACGTGCCATTAGAGTCTTTCCTGTTCCAGGGGGGCCGTAAATCAAAATTCCGCGAGGTGGTTTGATACCAATCGATTTAAAAAGTTGAGGATGACGTAAGGGAAGCTCAACCATTTCACGGATCTGAGCCATCTGTTTGCGACATCCTCCAATGTCATCGTATCCAACATCAGCTAGATTAGACTCCTCATCTTCACGCTTAATGGGTTCGCCTTCACAGTGAATTACGGTATCTTGTGCGACCTAAGTTTCCTCGATCGAGAAGCAGCAAACGATTGTTAACATTCCGAAGTTACTATTTTGGATATTCCATCGTATATTTCTCATTCCATAGGAATACATACAATACAATACTCGGCTGGATCTGTCTCCACGACTTTGAACTCGACAGCCCTCATGCCTCCGCGGACCAAAAATAAGTCGCCCTTGCGAACAGGCCTGTAAGCTTCCAAAAAGTATGGCTTCAAATAGACTTCAAACAAATTTCCAGTGACGCCCTCGACAGTATCATCAATAGGAAGGGCATGAATACGCTTGCCGTATTTGATATCTGTACATGTATGAAGCGAAACAACATCACCAAGACGCACACGAAGGTTGTTTCGAACCACTACACAAGTAGACATTAAATATGCGGATTTAGTACACACCCTCCAAATCTTAAATTAAGCCTCATACGAAGGAAAAAAAAAACTCTGATCCGCAACTTACCTTTGTTGATTCGAACCTTCGAATCCTCAACACTGTCATCTGCCAGGACAATCAAGACAGTATCACGACGCTTCTTTCCTTTCACGAGAACCATGTCTCCACGGAAAAACTGAAGCTTCTCCATGGTAGCAGTAGACAACGCAAGGACTGAATTGTCATCATTAGTGGCGTCGTCCACAATGAGTTTGTTGGGGGCAGATTTTTTGCGAAGAATGGCTGTGGCGGGGTCGTGCTCTGGGTCAGGGTTGGGGGCACTAATGGATGCATTCTCACTATTCATGAAAATATTCAGTTGTAATTAGACGCAATTATACAAATTTGCCAGCATTGTTCTGTCCGACATTGTTCATGCGCACAGGACATGCAGCTGAATGAATCACACTTACACAAGCTTTCCTTTAGCTTGACTACTGCTGTTGTGGGCCATAATATGAGTTGTTGTAAATTATAAAATGCTGTATATTGGTGGGGTTGGGTTTGGTATAGACAATAGTAATGACCGGGCTGAGAAAGAGAGAAAGAGATTAGAAAAGTTCTGGGGACGTGAGCGAATGCGCCAGCCCGCCTTTTATAGTTTCTGCGGCATGGAACACAGGCGAAGCAATGAATTTGCCCTTTAGAAAGCGCCACCACCACCAAAAAAGTCAATGTGCCAGAAGTTCTATAATGAGTAAGAGCTGTCTCTAAGTCTTTGTTCTGTGATATTCCATGGCTATCATTCATCATTCCTATAGGTTTGTCATCAATGCCAATCAACTTCACACAACTGGTTGGCACATTGGTGCATTTGTGAAGCATGTGTTCAACAATGTCTAAAGATTAAAAACATTTGACGAAATAAACCTCGAAAACGTGACCGACATCTAGACAGTCCGCAGACGAAGATTTCGGCAAAGAGAGCGGATACGTGGCAAGCGGCCAACAGACACCCTCCCCCCCCCCCCAAATGCTGGTATCCATCATAAAGGAGCTAGATCACATCATGTATAAGACTTGCTGATAACTGGCTGGCAAATCGTCTTAGGAGCAAAATAAGCAGTACGGACTAATATCGCAGTAAGATTCGAAACATCGTCGAGGCAAGACAGAACGCGGTCAACTTTGGGATGCGATGCTGGGCGTGTAAAGGTCCTGGGCCTGGGCCTTGGCTAGGTATACGTCGTTGGGCCTGTGAGTGTCTTTTACATGAGCACTACGTTATGAAATAAGCAGAAAAGAAGTGAAAAAAGAAGAGGAAGCCGAGTATAGAGCAAGTACAAACTAGCTGCTCAAGAAAATCTATGGATGCATCGGCCCGTAAAAACACAATTCTAACAAGGCCATTATGAGAATGATTCGCTCCAACTCTACTTCGTGAAAGGAAAATAAAAGCAGCTTTCATTTATTGTTATTGTGTTGCACTTTGTACAATTTTCCCTCACAAAGGCGACGTATTAGTGAAGCCAGGCCTCTAAATTTATTTGAGGAAATCTTTTTGTGTAAGAGTGCAGTCATTCTTTCTCTCTTTCTTTACAATTTTTTATCCACTATTCATCCATATACTGAAGTAGATCATCAAACAATGTCTAACAACCAGTCTCCACAATCGAAGCTTAAAGATTTAGTCAAGGAGCAGACTGCTGTTGGCAAGTGGTTGCCTCCGTTAAAGCGAAGATCTTCAAGGAAACTATCCCTCAGGCATAGCGGGTTACGAAAGTCATTTTCCTTAGTCGATAAAGCAGATTTCATTGCAACTGTTGATGGACTACGAGCAAAAGGATTTAAAGTCTCCATTGCCTCTATTGGAGCGGGGTTTGGCATGAGCCCCAGCACGGCACGAGAGATTTATTGTCGAAGGAAGGAGTATGTTCAAGACGTGAAATCCCTTCCCCTACTGGCTAGTCAAGCAGTCAAGCGCAAAACTAGTCGAAATATGAAACCTATAGAAGATGCCTTGATGGAATGGTATGCTGCCGAAAGGAATCTCGATCTCAATGTCACCGATAACCGCCTACGGGGGACAGCAGCGACAATTTGGACTGAAATGAAGCCCTTCTTTCTTCCGGATCAAGCACCCAAACAGTGCTATTTTTCGAAAGGATGGCTCCACCGCTTTAAAAATAGGAATGGCCTTATTGGGCATGGTGAAAGTGACTCAGCGGACCTGGAGATTGTGAAGGATCGCATCGAGACTATTAAAGCCAAGCTTACCGATTTCAAACTTGACGATATCTATAATTGTGATGAGACAGGTCTCTTCCTCACAGCTATGTCCAACAGAACGCATGAGGCCGCACCTATTCGTGGAAAGAAGATCGTTCGGTCAGCTAGAGTCTCAATCCTGCTCTGCAGTAATTCAACGGGGTCTGACAAGCGCAAGCCTTTGGTGCTTGCCATGCACTGTCCAATGGGTCTGACCAGGACCATCTTCAAGACGATTGACGCAGACTTTTCTGGCAAGGGTTATATGCAACAACCAATGTTCATTAAGTGGCTGAGGCAACTGGACGATGATATGCAGGAACAGGGCCGTCGCATTGCTCTCTTAATTGATAGTGCATCAGCACACAAGGACTGTGAGGCAATTGAACTCAAGAGCATCACGATCATTCGGCTCCCTCCGAACACGACGGCAATGACACAGCCTTTAGATGTAGGCGTTATAAGATCGTTCAAAGCTCTTTATAGCAATAGTATGCTTGAAGTCGTGGCGCGTGTAAGGGCAAAGAGAAAATCAGCTAATGCTCTGCCATCCAACGCGACATTTTGGTCATGTATCGCTAGAGCTTGGGAATCAGTGACTTCAGCTTGCATCCGTAGTTGCTTTGCTAAGGCTCCTATCTTGACCTTCGAACAAAGGAGCCGTTTGCATTGGCTTGGAATCGAGTCAAAAGCAGATCATATCTCCAAACTTCAAGATAAGCTTGCTAACCAATATAGTGGAGACAGAGAGGAGGGCACCAAACAAAGGGAGACTAATGTGCTTAACTATCTCATCATGAACTACTGTGAAGGACCTTCTGAGATGATTAACGATGCTGTCCATAAGATAATGACTTCTGAAAAGTACAGACACCGTTTCATTCCCCACGCAGAAGACGATATCATTTACGAAGGTGATGAGGATGATGTCGATTATAATATCAGCCTTTCTGAATTAAGTTGCCAAGACTCCGTGCGATCTGAAAGCCGCATCGAGGATGTGTTTGAGTCCCCTCCTTCAAGTCCAACTATACATGATTATCAAGAGATAAATGAAGAGAGCCGATGAAGAACTATTTGGAGTTTATGAACGCTCGACACGAAATCGATAGCCCTCATCTGATGAAGCGCTGGGTCGCTGTACAAAGACATTTGGAGTTATTTAATGAATATCGCCACTTATTGAGAGAGAATCAACAGATGAAGGAAGGAGGGAGGGAATTGAATTAGAATGGAAGACATAATAAAGTTTCATTAAACTGAAGCGAAACAGGCTCGGTTTCAACAAACCGACGGCTAGTGAGAAACACTGTACATGTAGTAAATGCAAAAATATATTTCATCACAACGTCCATTCTGTCCAGCTCGTGATTACGAAGAGACAATATCCGTGGATGAAACAAAGAGCACCGCCAGCCACAAGCACAGACGCACAGCCGAGTCTGGGTCAGAGCACAGCACCGGATCGTGGCCAGAGCTTCAAGTGGTAGCACCTTTGCGCGGCTTAAATTTTTGTCATTTCGTGTAACCACAGCTTGAAAGTTGCACAGTTCCTGCCCTCGGTGACGTGATCTAACTTTTTTTAATGTGCATGCATTGGATTGCCCTCAGAAGGGTCGGGAATCATCGCAAAAATGTGCTCACTTATGCCCATGGCTCACACTATCACGCTATTTTCTTTTTTTTTTCTCCTATCTTCATTCTCCACTAACGCCTCGTCAATCGCACCTGCCGCATTCATGCACTAGTTTACTCATTTCTATTGCCATCATCATAACTGACTCTTCATCATTTTAATATCTAATCTTAAATCTGATCAACTTGCCTCTCTCTGTTTCCTGTTCCTCTCTCTCCTCTCTTTTTATTTGCATCTTGCCTCAGGATAACCATGGAAACACAACATGTGTCAAACCCATGGCAACAACAGCAAAGACAATTCAATAAGCAGGACATTTACAATATGAATTCGACTAAAAATAACTCCTTCCCACTAACTGATGAAGAGACTCGCTCGTTTGATGACTTTTTTGAAGACCATAAAAAAGTCTTTTATCAGTCGCAGCAACTCTTGCAACAATTAAAACAACAACAACAGCAGCATCTTCAGAAAAATACCACTGAACATCAGTTTAATAGGGACAATGGAAGTGAATATGACGACGAGGACGGTGAGACAGACAGTCAAGACACTGCCTGGAGCCGACTAGGAATGGAATCACCTCTGAACCAGTCCACTTCTACTCTTACAGATTCAACCACAGTATTCCTAATGACAGATTCAAAGTTTGACAAGGAGGTAATAATAGATACTAAACAATCCACTGAGAGTTTTATTATTATAAGTATGCACGTTAGCCTCCTTGCCCGCCACTCATTTATGTCGCGATCATTGTCTTCCACCCTTTCCCCGTGTTCTCCTATATCCCATGTTCTCTTTGTTATTTCTCTCATCCTTTGTTTTAACACATATAATCAAAAAGGGATCTTTCCACTTGCCATTCCTTCAATCTATCTTTCAACAGAGCTATTTGCATTGATATAATTGCTCCACTACTTTATCCTACAATCTTTAAATAGTCATAATATTGGTTTTAACACCGTTGTTATATCGTCCCTTTATCTAGGGGGATGTCCTTGAATTGTTGGTCCAAACACTTCAGTCCGAAGTAAAGGACACTCGGGCTACAGTTCACGACCTCGAAACAAGACTGAATTTGTAAGCAATGTTAATAATATGAATGTTGTTGCTCAAATGGTGATAAATCTCTAGCACATGCTCTTATTAACTTGCCCTATCACTTTTTACAGGGCTGAAGACTCTAATAAGCGCATTGTAGAAGAGCTCAAAATGCTTCTTGCAGAGTAAGTAACAGGAGGGAAAAGTTTTGTAGTTTTCGACTGAAAGGGGAATTGGGACTGAGCGCACCAGGCGTGAGACTTCGACTACTTGGCCGTGATCGAGCGGGCTTATTTTTTTTTTTTTTTTTTTTTTTGCTTTTACTTTGAACTGAATTGTCAATGACAAATCTTGAATAAGCGCTAATTCGTGACCAGAGTGTGTGAGTGAAAGCGCAATGTGCTCTTGTTGGGGAGAGATGGAGATTCCTCCCTGTACCACCTCAGTGTTAAGATCTCTTCTCTCGCTCTTGGCAATGGCACGCTGTTTTGAAGAAAAAAAAAAAAAAAAAAAAATAGTGAAAACTGAGCCCGATTTGCTGTTGAACCACACCAAGAGGAATCAATGTTTGCATGCGCATGTGCCACTTGAATGTCAATGCAATAATACTCATACTCCACTGTACCACCTTCCACCACATGGGGAGTATAATTAATCAGTGCAGCTCTTGGCACCAACACATATGCTTACTATTGTTCATATTTGCAATTTTTTTTTTCCCTTGGTATTTTTTCTTACCATTATCCTTTTCTAATGGCATCTGTTAAATGTATCTCTGTACACTCACTCAGAGCCGAAATGACGCTACAAAATGCCGGAGAAGCAATTAACAACAGCGACAATAACGGTACTTCATCCATTGGACGGAGCACGGAGGGCGATGAAGATTCCAATGTTGTTTATAATCGAATTTGTGTTTCATTACAATTACTGATTGATGAAGCCCAGACAGCCCTTCAGAAAAATTCATCTATGAAGCAGTTTTCCACTTCCGAGGCAAAGGCACGGCAGACACCAACGGAAAGTCATTTGAAATTAGACTGGACAATTATGCACAGTGGCGTTATAGACAATGTTGGCTCCAAACATGAATTACCTAGTCGTAGACCCGCCAGAAATTCACTCACACTTCTTACTGCAACCAAGATGCAGGATAGCAACTCTTCAATCCTAGAGCCCTCCGATTACTCCCCACTCTCGTTTTATTCTGCTAATGACGAAGTCTCGAGAATATACTGGAGGCAGAAGCATGATGAGCAACATGATCGCTATAGGAAATCATGTCAAAGACTTACATTGGAGTTGGACGAACGGTTTCACGGTCTGACGACGGATTCTGATGACTCTGAGGCAAACTTTGGATCTTTAACACGACGATCAAAAGGCAGTTCATCAAATCTATCATTATCATCACTAACACAATCAAGTACGCCCCCAACGCCCACATCATCATCGCAACCGTTGCAGGGTATCCTACGATCCTCCAAAACAGATGAACGCAGGAAGGAACGACTCAAGAAAAAATATCAGGTTCAATTCTTGAACCCTGACATTGATGGATCAAATTCCCGACAGGATACAATGTTATCCACATCGTCTTACCGACAACAAAAAACACAAGGACAACAGCCAGAAGAGGCGCGCCAGCAGCTGATGCAACGGCAATATACCAGTCGGAGTGTTGGGTCGAATCGGTCTCGAGGCGTACTTTTGCAACTGTATGAACTTTGGCAGCAGACATGGCTGCGGACACGGATTATGCATGTTGTTACAGGATCTGTAGAGATCGTGATTATTATCTGGGTGGTGATCAAGGCGAGCCGTGCAACGCTAACATGGTTTGGAATCCAACCCTCGAGCATGAATCAACTAATCACGTTTGTCTATGGATACCGCAATGAAGCTGATACAGGAGCCAAACAACTCTATGAAAAGATTCGCAAGGATGGCTTGCGTCTAACTCAACTCAAGACGTGGAACCGAGGCGAACCAGAATCATTGGTCCAAGATGTGGTGGCAGGCGCTGTCACATTACCAGGTTTGCTTTCGCCTTCAAATTTGGTGTATGGTCCTGCAAAGAAAGTAGTGGGACATGCAGTATCAGGCGTGGCCCTTGCGCTTCTGTCAGGTGGCGCCCGACGTCTGATCAGGAAACTGTAACCATGAAATATTCCCCTTTCCATCTTCGCATTCATCCTCACTTGTAAATAGTTTATCACAACCATCGTCATCATCATCATTTAATAGCATTGCTTTCTTTTTTTCCCCATCAAATATCAAATGTTACAGTAAACATTTATTACTATTATTATACCAATAATGTACAAGGGGCATGCATGCGAAAAAAATGTAGGCTTTTTTTTTTTTTTTTTTTTTTTTTTGGCAGACGAATAAGTGGAGAGATGACACAATCAATATGACGACAAATGAGAAAAAAAAAACCGCTACAGTGCGCCACCAGAAACCCAGAAACGTCTTGTAATAGTCTCATATCGATCAACAACCTGACCACCATTTGGAAAGTCCCATCCTTCCATGTATTTGCTGTGATTCAGTCTCGTGCTCCTCGAACCGGATGCATCAGCATCCCGTCCTTGACCGCCTTGGACTTCAACGACGACCATCTGAACCTTAAGGCGATAAAATGCTGGAGGGACACGATCATGGATTTGCAGATACTGAAATCTTGTCTCTGCAGGAATATTTCTCGCAAGAACCGAAACAGGTACCAAGGTCTGGTCCTGCACCAGCTCAGCTAACACTTTAGCAACGAATGTCTTGTCATTATTATGAAGTGCAGGGTTGTTTCTTTGATCGATGGCTTTGTCCGTCATTAGACGAAGGCGTGCTTGTGTGTATTCCAAGAGCTCTACAACACGTGAGGGGACTTTCCATTCGAGGGTATAGGGCGTCAAGGTGTAGACCTTTTGATGGAGACCAAAAGTGTGCTCCAGTTCGATTGGTTGCGCCACATTGGGATATTCTTGACGAAACTCGTCTGGAGAGAACTCAAAAGGTTGATCCTCTTTATGACCTTTGTAATAGTCTTCATTGTTGATATCGAGATGGGATGAAGAAGATGAGGAAGATGTAGTAGAGGATGGGGACGAAGATGAAGAGGAATACGAGGAAGTCATGATGTCGCGTTCAACTCTGCGAGACCGACGGGCAATGCTGATATCGGATCGACGAAGGATTGATGGGATACCGTTATCATTATTGGGCTCTGTGATGGTGCCTCCCGTTGATGTTTGGGATGCTTTGGTCGTTGTTGTTGCTGTGGAAGTGAACGATGCTATTGTTGTTGACTCTGAAATGATAGAAGGTTCTTGAGCTTTTGATTCAATTGTCGCAGGTTTCTGACTACGCCCATGATAGAGCTCAAGTACCAGCACATAGGAGCCATCTTCAGAAATCTTGGAGGGAACCCAAACTTGGGCACTGCCCTTCCGAAATGGGATGAAACGTTTCAGAGAAAAGAGCTTTTTGTTGGATTTTGAGTCGACAAGGATGATATCCACTGTGGTATCCTTGGGTAGCCTGCGAGCATATTTTTTTGACCACTTTACAGATTCAATTGAGCCTGCATGCCAGACGGAATTTGAGTCTGGAAGTAGAAGCAACGGCGGCTCTTCTCCTGCATATTTCGATGTTGCTATGACCGAGGAAGTAATCTTGTCTGCACGTTTTATTTTGGATGATGCTGTTGGTGATGGACCAGTGGACAATTTGCTGTTACTTTTGTTGCTCCTATTGTTTTTGCTGTTATTTGATTTGTTCTCTGCATGTGCTTTTGCTGAGCGAGCCTCTCTGACATAATGGTGTGACCGATGTTGTTGTTGTTGTTGGCGCTGAGATAATGGACTTTCAAGTGAAGTTGGCTTTGAGGGGTGTGCTGGTAGGGCATGAGTAAAGGTCGAAAAGAGATTGATGGCTACTACCAGATTAAGACTGAGAAGGAGCGCAGGCTGTGAGAACTTCATAGCTTCTATTATACTTTGATGTCAGGGCAGGGACGAGAAAAGGATTAATGTTTCAAAAATGGGGAAAAAAAAAAAAAAAAAAAAAAAAAAAAAGTAAGGAATGTCAATGAATGAGTAATGGCGAATGGTAGATGAGGAAGGAAGACAATGGTGGGAAGAAAGTAGGAAAAGGAAAAGAGAAAAAGAAAGGAGTATAGTGTAAAGAAGTAAAGAAGCTAAAAAAGAGGCGAAGTCTGTTCTTTGTTAAAAAATGATTGAAATAGTATGAAATATGTAAAAAATATATATATTAAATGCCGAAAGAAGCCCATTTAGTCCAGGTGGAACAACATTATTGCAGCGATCGCTGTGCTCTGAAAATAGATTGCAGGTTCAACAAACAACTTATCCAAGGTTGGTAATAGCGACGACAACCTGTCTCAGGATAAATACTCTTTGGAAAACAGAAAAGGCACTATGATGCCCATAGACTCACTTTCCTTACAGTTACGCTGGCTCATTGAGTCGGTGTTGTGGATAGATCAGTCCCAGATCTCTTTCCTCCGCCCATCAAGCTAAGTCAGTTGCAATTAAATGACTTCAATAGACGACGATAAAGTATAAATCAGATTCAGGTTCATCATTTTAATAACTGTCTTTTCGCTTCTGGGAGGGTACCGAAACATGTGTATGATAGCCATATTTTTTAAATACAGCACTTAAAAGCAATCAACCTTGATGTGTACTAAGGGATGGAATGTACTATTTATCTAACCAATCAGCCAAGCAATAGATTAACAGAAAGAGAAGAGGTACTATTGAAGAAACGGAAAAGTAGTACATGAGGTACATAATACGATGGGTTTGGAAAAATAATGTCCACCTGGCTCTGCCTGTTCTAGCACTTGGCTTTTCTCCTTATTTTTTACAGGATAAAGAGTATATATAGAGGTGACCAAAATTGTCAAAGGTCTTTCCAAATTTATTTACTTGTGGATACTATCAACATAATGTACACACCATCCTTGTCATTTCTTCCAGTTTGCGCTAAATGGCTGCATGCCTTGATGTGCTGCGTTTTTTAGTGCTCCTAGTACATGTACATGGATTGGAGGTTTTCAAATTGGAGAATGTATAAATTTTCAAACAATTGAGGGATAGAAATAGGCTAATGACCGAGAATGAACCATTTGTGGAGGATTCAAATCCCTGTGAGCCCTTTCCTTCGACTGCTGTAACGGGTATCAAAAGAATAATAAATTGCAATTTACCCAAACTAATCTGTGACAACACTAAAAAACATTTGCAAACACATCAAACAAATCTAATGGAGAATACGAACCTTTTTCTTCTTTTCAAATATGTTGATTGTCCAATCGCGGCGTTGTCTGATCCTAGGCAGCAGGCGCGTAAGCCATCTCCTAGACCTCTAGGTTGCAAATGTGATCAAAGAGCAACCCTTAATCATCAGTACCCAGCGGCAGGGTATGAACGAAAAAAACTTCTTTTCGGCTCTTGATTTGTTATCGCGTGGAGCTTCATCAGATCCTCGTAAGGTTCAAAGTTAGGGTAGTCCTCAAAGTCACGATTTTGAAAAAAAAAAAAAAAAAAAAAAAAAAAAGGCGAAAAAGCGCCACCAAAAGCAAAGGCGATCATGACAGTGCATTACGACGATAGTTTTTTCTGTCATTTGCCACCACGATTCTCTTTTCTTTATTTGGCATGTTGATCTTGTTTCATTGACAATCAGCAACACGAATTCCTAAACGCACAGCACTGATTTATTTAAGTCCATAACATCTCATCATTACGGTTCTTATATTCACTTGTTAAGCATTTCATTTCTACAATCCATACTCTCTTTTCGCGTCTTGGTGAGTACATACCCTAATGCGCCTGAAGTTCATTGGCCACTTCAAGCCATTCTAGACGTTAAACACATTATTTGATCTTTTGGATTGTCTTCGGTAATGACATGCACCAGTGAACTTGCTCTTTCATTGTTCCTGACGAGAGCGTTCTTTCAAACTGCATATTGGATTTTAGAATCATGCCCAAAAGAAAAGCTGAAGCCACGGCCAATGATAAACCCACAAAGGGGGCAGCGAAAGCCAAGAAGACATCAGTTAACTCCAGAGTATCCAAGGCCAATAACAAGGCTTCTGCATCAGAGGTTAGTAACTAACGACTTTAATACTTCCATTCATATCCACCATGTCCAGATTATTAGACATGAGCGAAGGACAGTCCCCTTTGCACACAGTTCCTTCTCCCCCTTGACTGTTCGCCGCACGAAAATAATGGTCCTTGGCTTTCTATTCCTCATAAACCATCCGCCCTTTTTCTTTTCCTTTCTTTTTTTTTTTTTTTTCTTTTTTTTTTTTTCCTTTTACTTCCACTCCTTATAATATTACTCTTAAAATATCTCGTGGGATCATTCTCCTTCCTTTTGTGCACCAAGACATTTTGGGTACCTTATACTTCGTTCGGGAAACGCTCCTTACCGTTTTTTTTTTTTTAATTATTTGTTAATTCAACGCCATGGGCAGCAAAAACAGTAAAGACATCATCAAATCAAGAGGAACAAAGGTTGACACAACTACAGGATCGAAATCCCGCTCAACGTAAGGACGTATATGCCTGCCATGGATTGCATGCTACACACACAGCAACAATGCAGATTTTGACGTTCATAACGTTCATTCTATTCATCTGACATCTTGGAATTGTCGAGTAGACTCAAGAATAATGGCGCAGTGGTCAACAGAACCCCAGCAACAAAGTCTCCCGTACCACCGGTACCAGTACCCACACCAACGCCGGCACTAGCGGCAAAAGTATGCCTCTTTCATTCTCCCTTTCGACATCCACTTGAAGAAACCCAACGTTCCTACTCCAATCCTTCAGAAACCTATCTTAGACGGAACTATACTTCTCACAAACACTATTTCTGCTCTCACTTTTTGACCATTTAGAAACGATTCGATCCTGAACGGTGCTACGCATGGTTCAAGTCGTACACAGGTATGGATGGACATGATATCGAAGAAAAGCAAATTAATGTCTGCTGGTGTTAAGGCGCTTCTCCTTTTTTTTGCAATCTTGCCACGACATTAATTTCTTGGATTAATTGTCATCTGCTAGGCCTGGAAGAAAATGAGGATTTTGATAAAGATCAAATAGGACCTGCTGGTATCGCAAAACTGTGCGAAGACATCGATGTATCTCTGGAAACAGTAAGTACTCTCCTTGCGTCAGGTCTGGCAGAATTTTGCATTGAAATCTTGAGGATATATACAATAAAGTAAAAGATATCTTCGAGTCAAGTATTAATGTGTAAAGAACAAGTATACAGCAATTTTGACAAAAGCTAATTAATTGCCTGCCTGCTGGTGTTTGGAATTTTCACTCTCACCTCTCATTAAATATGCTGCTATCATAGGTTGACATGCTGGTTCTCGCTTATCATTTGCAGGCTGACACGATGCGTAAGTTTAGGAGAACTGATCAATAGCCACGTGATACCCAGGATATTGGAGCCCTTTCTAACCTGTGTCGCATTTTATTTATTTCCATCTATTACAGCTATTTTTACCAAAGATGAGTGGATGAAAGGAATGAAGGAGCTTGAGTATGTTCATTGTCGATCGATCTATCACTATCGCTGCATGTGGATATTATTTATTAGAGTGTTTTAGTTTAACCAAAATATGCTTGACGGCAAACTTTAGGTTGGATTCGACGGAGCAATTGAAAGCTGCAATGCCCGGCTTAGTCGCAACACTCAAGGATCCGAAGAAATTCAGGGAGGTTTATCGCTATGTCTTTATGTTTGCCAAGGACTCTGAGCAAAAGTGTATGCCATTGGAGGTAATTAACAATGGTTTTATATCTATGGCGATGGCCTGCTAATATATCAATCATGATGATGAGATGCGAACATAGTTGTTATTATGGTCTAATGAATCGCTGTTGCGTTGTTGTAGGTTGCCTGTGCAATGCTACAGACCGTGTTGAAAGGAAGGCCGCATGAGGAGCGATTTGTGGAGTTTTTGGAAACAAAGAGACCAGTCAAGGTCATTAACAAGGACCAATGGTACAACTTTCTGGACTTTTCAGAGACAATAGCTGAGGATCTGTCCAACTATGATGAAGCAAGTTCTGCATGTAAGTCATGCTTGCTTTCATGGATATTATGTCTGTGATATGAACAGGTACGAGATGATGAACTTGTTTGTTGATCGATCGGTCAATACTTTTTTTTTTTTTTTTTTTGTTTACATAGGGCCTGTTCTTCTAGATGATTATGTTGAGTGGCGAAATGAGCAGTCTTCGTAAAGAGAGTCATAAATGTCACCTTGGGCGAGACACGTATATAGTCTAATAATGACATGACATGGTGGACATAATAGATGTCGTCCAAACAGAATAAACAAAAATAAAGGTTGAAGAGTCTTCACATTGCATGTCACTAAATAATTGTGTAGCAACACAGCTCTGTTGTAGCAGAAGAGAAGAACGTCTTCTCCGCATGGATTTTTTATTTCACTTGAGTCGATCTATTAAGCTGAAATATTGGCACGTCGACATGCCCTATCCGTCCATTCCCTTTAGCAGTGTTTGGCGGTAACGGTGGCGCTCCGGCAAAAGATTGTGTTACCGTTGCCATTAATGGTGACGATCTCGAGTTCAACGGGAGTCTATGTAATGAAAGCATCCAAATAAACCATCGGTAATATCAGTGCTAACCATATTTATCATTAGTAATTCTTTTTCAAAAAAAAAAAAAAAAAAAAAAAAAAAAGACATACATCAGCAATTACATTGCCCTCGATTGGCATGCACAGAGTGAGGGAGGTCAAGGTAGTAGGGACTGGACAAGGGTATCCTTGCTGGGCCAAGAGTATACAAAGATCAAGGGTCTTAGAGTAAACGACTTGGCCGGCGAACTTACCCTCGAACTTGAGCTTAGCACCTTGAGTGACAGGGGCCTTCAACTTGCCAGTAACAGTAGCACAGGCTTTCTTGCCGATGCAGAAGGGATTAGGGGACAATGTATAAGAATCAACCTTCAGATCTACAGGACCAGTAGAGCAGTCCGAGTCTAGTGCATGAGCGGTGGTGATGGCAGCAACAATGAGAAAAGATGCGAAAATAATGAGGATCTTCATGGCAAACTTTGGAGGGAAAAAGATTGTTTTAAAGAGCGAGTATGATATCTGCGTTAAGAGTGAGGAAGAGGGAGAAAGCAAGAGAGAATCACATCCTTTTATGCCTGTCTCGCCAAATTGCTTAAATGTAAGCTTTGATTAGAGTATACTTTACGCTAATGGGTCAAGTATGTGCCTGTAAGAACAGAACGTGAAGGGCCAGAATGAATGAAGAGGTATGTAAACAGAGAATCTTGATAAGACTAGATCTATGAGAGGTCAAATATTCATGTATCCACAAACTAATTCCAATACACTGCGATAAATAAGTTGTGATTTCAGGGAACAGTCGCGAAATTTTATTTGCTGGACAACCGAACAACGAGCGGAGGATTGAGTGTACATGAACATTTTTGTTCCACTGTTTAATCAAGACTATTATATTTGCAACGGTCATGGTGCGCATTTTAGGATAGGAAACTACTAATGGCGCCATTCTCTCACTTCTTTTTTTTTTCTGTGAAAGGGTTGAGCAAGTGAAGCTCAGATATTTTTCCAGAATAAGACCCTTCTTCCTAACAGCAAGATAAAAATCACCCTTAGGACGACGAAGAATCATCAGAGGGATATTTACCATCATTCCCTTCCCTAAACTGATGGATAGGCCAAACATACATTCACTAATTGATACTTATTATTACAGTCTATTCATAATGTTATTGACAGATCATTCACCCTAATAGGCAAGGGAAAAAGGAATTGGCCTTTAGACCTGAAAGGCTTTGTACTCTCATCACATGCCAATGTATACGGGTGATTACCATTTCCCCTTTAATGCCATCCAAGAAACAAAAAACTTGGTACACTAATGTTCATCTAGACCGTGCCTTGACACGTTCAGCTCTGGATTCTTTATTATTATTATTATTATTAAACGTATTTAATTCACACTTTATGCATCAGTTACATGCGCACAAGAGATTAGTCGAGCCATTCCTCATGAATTTCAGAAAAAAAGAATATACTACTTTTTAAGAAACAAGTAGCAACTTATTAAGTGCTATATTTTTACTATAAACATTGGTTGGAGCGAAACCGCAATGAAGTTGATCTCCTTTGAACCTAGTCGAAAGCCAAATGCATCGCCATTGGTTTAAATAGAGTTAAAACAAAAAAAAGCCGAGTGTCGCGTTTCAATCAATGTTTGCCACTCAATTTCAGAGTTCTAAAGTGTCCAAATTACCTTTGCAAATAATGAAATGTAGCCTTGACTGGTTTGCCTATGAAAGCACGACTGTGCGCATTTATAACCTGCAGTGGTCCCTTGAAATCGACTTTCTTGGATGCAGCCTTTTCTGCATGGTCCATATTCATAGGCAGGGCTGCCATAGACACCATTGCATTGGTAAATGTAATCGTACTTACATCCACTGAGCAATCGAGACTGTCCGCAGTGCTTTCCAGCCGTGTGATTGACGCAGATGCAGGCGCATCGCTGGAAGACATGAAAAAGAGAGCAGCAAAGACGGTGGTAAGGAAAAACTGGGACCTTCATTTTTGGCAGAAGAGAAAGTTGGAATCTGAGAAAGTGTTTGCGTTTCGACAGGGTAATTTGCAGCCTTCTTATAGTGAAAAAAGACGAAAACTAAGAAAGCTCATTGGTGAGAGGAACGAACCACTGTCCTTTCTCTCATCGTCTTTACCACAACGCCGCCAATGCTGAAGTGGTAAAAGATGATGAGAGAGGGATAATGTTTCATTTTCTCTCTGCATGAAAATGATATGAGAACAGCTGCTATACTATTGACTTGCACGTACCAAATAATAACACATGCCAACAGGTAACATGCTCATTATTAATATAGGATCTATTATTGCATGTAGCTGGTGTCTTGTCACCTCCCTAGGTCTGAGCTTGGGTTTTTTTTTTTTTTTGCAAAATTTTTTACTTGACCAAAAAGTATTCAGCCCAAATCCAGCATTGTCAAGCGCTTAGATTAAGACCGGCGCGGGCAGTGCTTAGTGAAAATGAGAACGTCCACAAACAAATATATGTAATTAGGGCTTTTTGTTCCCTTACTATCGGCTTTTCCAATCATGTTGAAGCAAAATTCAGTAAGCGTTGCATGTTCGTTCACTAAACTGTCACGAAATAAGATTGTTTTTTACGGAAAAAATATTTTTGCAACAGTAATCGACTTTCTAGATAGTTGGTCTTCAGTTTTGCCTGAGCAAGCAATGACTTGAAGTTACCATCTGTCGAATCATGGCGGAGCATCTTTTAGCCATGCTGGAACGCGTGATTGACCGTCTTTTCTGATTCCTAGTGCATATGAAATAGGCCTCTAGATCCCAAGCCTTACTATATAGGGCCGTCGTGCAGGCCGGAAAGCATTTCCGTGACACTAGCCCAAAATGGAAAGAGACAAGTCCATTATAGGCGATTGTTATTGATGAGGGTATTGTAAGTTGTAGAGTAGCCTTGTTACTACAATCAACTGAGATTTAGCCAATTGTTCTATTTGTTTTACTATATAATTATATTTTGGAGTTGCTGGCGCATTTTTTATTTTTTTCCCTTTCCTTTAGCAATCCTACAGTCAACACTTTGAAGAATGCTTCTGATAGTTCATCTTCCAATCAGCTTTGGAAAAACAAGGCTTTTAACCAAATCTAGACTTTGGTTAGTCTCTCTTATCACTCGGAGGGATAGTAGTTCAAAATCACACGAGTATGTATTATTTATTATCAATATAGATGGATTGATGAGTAATCTTCAATTTGTCCATTCTCCCAAGCCTGCGGTGGGTATCGTCGGAAAGGAAAGGGGAGATGGAGTGGATGAATGCCTTAGATTTCAACGGGTATAGTCACGGGCACCGGAGCTCGAGTACCCCTCACATAATACGAGGGGCGTTGCCATTTTCTTGCCCCGCATGTACGTCTCCGATTTCTGATAGCAGCAATCGTGCCTATAACAAATTGCTGTGATATTAGGCGCACAGAAATCATTATTAGTAATGTTAACATTGAGGGATTGTAGTAAGAGATTTCAGTATTGGTATGATTGAAAGCAAAAAGTCTTGTTTACATGTGCTGCAACCAGAGGTTCGCGAAAAGGTAACAATAGCCCAACTGAAGATTGTTCATTGGGAGGTCAAGCAGCTCCATGGTATTACGCATGTACAAGGCTTCATATCCTAAGGGCATGAAGAGCACATCACAGCAGCACGCGAACAGAAGGCAATCAAAGTCAGGATTCATACAATTTGTGTAAATGAAGCTGAGTAATATCTAACCGATAATCAGAGATGGTACCTACCACTAGCAAGGAAGCCAATTGCGGCAGGATTGCACACATCAGCGGCGAGTAATCGATCAAGTATGGTTTCCCATCTTGCAAGACAATTTACGCCTGTCTCCCTCCAGAGTATCGACATCTGCGCCCGAGTCCTTCACCCCATCAACCGCAAACGGTAGACTACCCTTTTCTGTGAAGCAGTCAGGGATGTAAGTTTCCTCAAACCCTGCAGGCGTTAGTAGCGGATCCCTGGCCTTGGACGGAATGGCACAAATAAATAGATCTGTTATGTGAGTAGGCTGTTTAGAGGATAGCAAAGAGATAAGAGACGATCGCATTTTACATACTAATGGTCAACCGCTCAAGGTCTCTGAAACTCCCACGATGATATTTTGGTAAGGCTTTCATCGTCAGCAGATTCTGGTACTAGATACATCACACCAAGCACACCAGAAAAGGCGAGTGGTGAAAAGGGTATTATTCAGACTTTCCACTCCTTTCCGCCTTGTCCTTGCCAAATGATAAGGCAGAATGTCGGTGATGAGGCGTGGTGGCCGATAGTACTTCTCTTCTTTCGGTTATTGCCGCGTCTTTCTCGCACTCCTTCACAGTCAGTTCCACGATTCAATTGGATGGAGTCCTTTTTTTTTTTTTTTTTTTTTTTGTGTATTTCTGGATGTTAGGGTATTTTGAATTTAGAAGTCAACTGTGTTTTTCTCAAACTCTGACTCTCTTGCTATTGCATACGAGATATTGGTCCTTCCATCGATTATGAGACAAGGGATCGCCTCCTTGCGTGAGTGGACAACCTCGAGCCTTAGTCCTGACGTTCAGGGATTATTGCCAGATGTGAATGCCTCCCCCGTTGCAAAGTATATACCGCAGAAGCTAAAAAGCGGATCAAGATAACCCTTTTGCATTGCATCTATTAATGATACTAATACATTTTATCATCTCAATGACATAGATACAGGGAATTGGAGCATTGACGCCGAGGTATGACCAGGGATACTCAAATAAATATTAATTGATGACAGCATATACATGAAAACCCAAGACTTGGCTAGAACCAAAATTTTATTACAAGAAAGAATGAGGCTGTTGGCTTTAGATCAATTCTGTAGCCCTTTTGTCAAGCAAAGTGATCCATAACTTAGCGCCATAGTGACTTCAGTCATCAAGCTGTATCAGTACCACAAGGCTTTTGAGAACAGAAAGAGTTGGTGGGTAGCACCCTGTATGGCGGCGTCTAGTGAATATACTGTAAATATACTTTTTAGAGTGCCATCAAGGGCTACCATTAAAGAGTTACTTTATTTCGTACCCCTTCGTGTATACCTAAATGTTTACCAGAATTGCATTATCACTACCCATGCATGTCAATGAGACAATGTTCTTTTACTATAATTCAACGGGTTGAGTACTTGTACCAATTTAACTTTTCTTTGATCAAGTATTGATGTCATGCTTCGAAGTTTGGAACTAAATTCTTATTCATTATTATTTTCTGGTTTAGATACATCTACATGACAACGAGAACACTATTGGGCCACCATGTGGGTTTTCAACCTCATTAGGCACGGGTGGGGAAGGAGCACCGATCCGGACTCTGTCCTCCGAAGCAAACGATATTTCACCTGCGCCTGTAGGCAGACAGACTGTCTCACGGAATGGATGCTCTAACTGCACAACAAGTTCTTGCATCCATTGTCCATACTCCACCCAACCTAACCTCATTCCCGTCACTTCGTTCCAAGTCTGAACCAGTGTTCGAATTTGTTCCAGCGAAGATGAAGACGATGACGATGAGGAAAAGATGTCGGATTTATTCTCGCTACCTCCTTCTGCCCCTCCTCCTCCGTCTGCAGAAATCCGGATCGTGAACTTTTGCACTTCTGGCCGCCGAACCAACGATTGAAGAGCCCTCATAAACACAGAGTTGCCACGTGTTTGTGGGGTCATGAACCAAACCAACTCATGGAACCAAAGCCCATCAACTGCCGCATGTTGCGCCAACAACTCTAAAGATTGAGCTTGCACAAACTCAGCATCAATATTCAGGGCTTTGGCTACTCGGCTCAATGATTGTAGGTACGGGCGAAATGAGTCGTCATAGGATGTAATCATTAATTGTGTTTGGTCCATCCTTCGTGTACAAGATGATTCGAGACAATGACCCCTCAGGTCGTTCAACCGTAAAAGAACTGGCTGGCGGTGGTCTTTCCTTCTTAATTTATCAAATGTTAATCCTGTCAGGGCACCACTATCGCTACCATCGTCATCGTCATCATCATCCAAAGCAAGTGCAGCTGCAGCTGCAATCGCCTCTGCTTCCAACAACTCTTGTGTCAAAAATGACCACCATTCCGCAAAATATACTGTCTCACAAGCTAAATCCATAGTTTGAAGAGATACAATGTTATTAAGGATCACATTGTGCATGGCTTCGAATGTTCCCATATCTGTTTTAGGGGCTTGGTCAATGTCCAGTTTTCAAGCCCCACTAGATGCTGTAAAAACACAGTTGGCGGTCGACAAGTCCTACGTTGGACTTTTCGAATTGCTGCTCGTCGAGGTTGATCCTTATCTTGGTCGTCATGGACCTGCCAAATCACCCCCTCTGCAGATTCGAGGGTTGAGACACTCAAGTTTAAATACGTGAGCTTGCCAAAGTTAGGGATCTTGTCCTGGAGTGAGTACATCATCTGGTGCAAATCAGAAATTTGAGTCTCGAGTTCTCGCAATTCGCGACAACATGCGACTACAGAGGCGAAAGTCTGGGCATTAAAGTACCGTGTCCAATGCCGGATTGCCAGATGACGCAGTGTAATACTGTTGTGCAGCGACAGTACAAAGTTGTTATTATTATTATTGTTGTTGGTGGTGGTAGTGGCGATAATGTTGCCAGCAGTATTCTTCTGTTCCTCGGCTAGCTGTAGAAGGCTCTTAGAAGCATGTCGCCGGAACTCAGTTAATGAAAATGATTCAACAGGCCCCTGGGCTTCAAGCGATATTTGATCCGGGAAAAGGTAACCATCGAATTTCTCGACTGTGAAGGACATTAATCCTCTATGGCAGATATACCCAACAATGGAAGGAAACTTGGTCTTTTCTGCCTTTTTATGCCCACCACCTTTCCATCGTCTTGGTCCGATTGAGTCAATTCATCAGGGTCCCGATCAAATATTGTGCAATAGCCCCCGCAATCGATTGTCAACTCGCGCAAAGTGGATGCATGAACCGCTTCACATAACTCCTAGATCTTCTTCTGTCACACCACTTTTGAAATGCCTTTCATCGTCATCTTCGTCATCAGCATCGGACAATCCTCTCTTGCACTCATTGGCGTTATCATCACGAGGCCATGCTAAGCGGATCTTGAGTTTGATCAGACATTTATACTCGACCAGCATGGCATAAAACATTCGGGCGTCTTCTCTCTTGAAAAATTGTATCTCACAACTCTTCTCGATAGGGACACAATCTCCATGGTGTTGTTGAATAAACTCCTTGAGTCGCTGTGCTGCAAAGATGTTACAAAAGACTGCGTTATGTGATGGACATAGCCACAAGATCCCTTCGCTCATAGCAAAATTACTCATCTGGCAAAGGACTCGTCCACCTAGGATTTTGGAATCTGTACACAATGCTGTACTATTGTTGGCACTGCTGTCACCGCTTGGGCTGCTGCAATAGATCGAGCCATCACATCATGTGGGCCCAAAAATCAGCTGCTTGAAGATTAGGGAAAGCAGATTCATACTCCTCAAAATCTTTCTCGTCCACTGTTGGGTGTTCTTGAAAATCCAGTAATGCTTCACGAGCACGCGTAGTTGTTGTCAAGAACCGGATGGCTGCACGGATCCGTCCTGCAATGTGTGAAGGATCGATTGGTGCATTCATCATGGCATCTTCACTGCTATTTCCAAAATACATTGAGGAATTGGTGATTCCGTTGGGTACAGTAGGGTCATGACTATCCTGAAGAGCACGTAAAAGGCTGAGCATTGGAATCGTATACACAGACAAGAATTGGTCTAGATCAGCTAGTCGGAAGCCGCCCACGCCAATATCATCCATAGGATGATGATGGGGGTATTGGTAACATCGATGATAATAAGGTTCCTCGCTATCATCCCTCATTTCGGAGTCTATAGAATCATTTGCTGGACCCATAGGAGAGTGCTCTTCTGTACACAGATGAAGTCTCAATGGCCATTCATCTTGCCCGCCACCATAGTCACACATGAAATAAAGTCGAAACTCTAGTTCTGATAAGCCTTGCGTTGCAGACATAGACGCCCTGTTATTCATTGTCTCAAATGCATGCACATCATGCGTATCATGTGTATGTACTTGTGCATATGGATGTGCATGCGCATATGTTGACTGCAGCCAACGTTCCCTATAGCGATTGTAGCTCTTGAGGGTTGGTAAGATCACAAATAAACTTGGGGCAGCAGCAGCTGTTGCTGTTGTCACTGTTGTTGCCGAATTACCATCATTCCTACCACTACGTGAACTATCATCATTGTCATTATCGCTGTCGTTATCATGATCATCTGGAATGCCAGCCTTGCGTTGTTTCAGAAGCATCCTACGGGCTATATGCTTCAGTTCGCGATCGACATTTGGATCATGCAACAGCAACATGGAGCTGAGAGGTTGATGCTGCGGAGGGGTTGCAATCCATTGAGAAGAGTTGTTTTGGGAGGAATTTTGGCAAATATGGGCAATATCATGATAAATGTGTCATATGATATTGATATGGCTGGTGATGGTGATATTGTGGGTAGCTATGTCCGAAGAAACCCATGGTTGTAAAAGAGGCAGAATGCGTGTTAAAGAAAGTAAATAATAGTAAGTGTAATAAATGAGGAAGGAAGGTGAGTGGATTGATGAGAAAAAAAAAGAAAAAAAAAAAAAAAAATAAAAAAAAAAGAAAAAAGAAAAATGGTGTTATTGGCTGTTGAGAGTTGGAAAATATGGACGTGGGTAGTAATTGACAAGTGGAGGAGGTGGGCAGTTTATAGTTTATTATTATCGTGATTGTTCTCTGGAGGAGAAAGGAAAAAGGAAGGATAAAGTAAGAAACGTTTATCGAAGGTCAGTGCTGCTCTCACAAATGGTGAACAAATGTACATTGTACACGTCTTTTGGTTTTTTTGGGCAGGACTAACCGAAAATGTCAAAACCACGCTCAACCATCCAACGTGAGCTCTTTTTTTATGTATCATGCAAATGCATCAATGCATTGATACATTGATGCCAATGGAGCCATTCAAAAAAAAAAGGAAATGAGCACAAAAAAAGGATGCCAAGGAAAACGCGATTAGGGACCATATTACGACGTTCATTTTTTTGCATGAAGCTTACAAGATAAATGGCCAAAGTGACTGATTCATAGAGAAAGTATGGAAAAAAAAAAAAAAAAAGAAGTAATGGTAGCTTTTCTGCCTTTATTTTCTCGAGTAGCCAAGTCAGTATGGGATAATTGTTACATCTGAATTCTGTACACTTTATTGGAGGTTTCCCTCTCGTTTGTCGATGGGTACAAAACGTAAAATAAAAAAAAAGGCGTGTGCGCAATCTCCTCGCAAGCATAATGTGAGCCTTATCACCTTTTTTCTTTCTGTTTGGCACATGAGCAACGAGCATTCACTATTCTCGCAGGATGGGTCGGCTCCTGCATGTAGGAGGACCAAAAAAAAAAAAAAAAAAAAAAAAAAAAGATGATGTGTTCAATCCTTCTGTCACAAGAACAACTCAATCATGACCTAACGGTCTTTTTATTTTCATTGCTTTTCACGCAGGATTATGCATGCGCAAGTCGGGTTATTTTTTTATTTTTCGGCAATCTGTGGTGAGGACAAAGGAAAGAGTGACATTTATCAAGCATGTGTATATCCCTATGGAGAAAGGAGCCAGGAAATTCACCGCGTATGGATGAATGCTTTTTTACTGAAATATGATTCAGGGTGTGTCGAATTTAGACTTTTTTTTTATTTTTAATCCTATATTTTTACTGGTCCTCCTCAAACACGCGAGGAGCGATGATGCAGCTTAGCTGGTCGGGCTAATTCAGGCACCACTGGCGCTGGGATCCATCCTTGTACGCCAACAGCCTTTTCTGCAACCCCGGCTTTAGTTTCGGCCTTGTTCTCAGTCTCAACCACAGCTTCAAACTCCTTACTATCTATACTCCTCCTATTTCTGGTCAAAGAGCTCATTCGCCTCTTACTTCCTCGATTAATACTGGCCATCGACACGTCTTCCGACGGTTCGACGCTGTAAGTCTTTGACACTAGCCTTGGCCTAGCAGAGCTTGAAGTACGTTGGTATGTATCAGCACTGCTGTTATTGCTGTTGTCCTTGCCGTCACTACCGATACTCATGTCCATGTCCATGTCCATATCCGTCTCCGTTCTTGGGTATCGATATCCAAATAACTGATTTTCCTCGTCCATCATGGCCATATTCTGATCTGTTTCTTCTTGCTGCTGCCTTCGTCTCCTTCGCTGCTGCTCCTCTTGGTTGTCAGTGCGCTTGCGCTCGTCGTCGTCGTCGTCGTCAGAGGAGGAAGAATGGTCATAACCCCCAAAGAACGAGAACGTGAATGATTTCCGATGATGCTTCTTTTTGGCCCGCTGTCTTGCTGGTACTACTGTTGTCGCGCCAGATGTTGATGACAATGACGATGATACTGCTGCTGCTGCCTCTGTCGCTGTTGTTGCATTCATCATAGTTGATGCTGAAGATTCACTTCGTGAACGGGCTGTAGCAGCAGGGAGCCTGGTTTTGACTTCTACTCCTCCCTTAGTATTTGCAGCTGAGGTTGATGACACAGGAGTGGTCAGTTTGAGATCTAGGACTTCGTCCTCTGAGCCAAGATTCTTTACAGGCTGAAGCATGGTTCTGAGGATGTGGTATGCCACATCCCTAAAAATTTTCATTTATCCAAGACGCGTTCAAAAGAAATGAAAAAGGGGTTGTTAATGACATTGCTCAGAAAAAATATAAAAATAATAAAAAAAAGTATTGGCCATTACCTGTTACCCCAGTATCGGAAATGGCTTCGCATCCCCAAAAGATACTCATTCGTATATTGGTCCGCAGTTGACTCTTGTAAGACATAATCAATTCGATATGGTAGTTTAGTAGCCTTTCCTTCTACATGGACTGTCCTGTCTTTCTTTTGCTCTTGCTGTTTAGCCGCCTCTACGTTCTCAATCTCCTGTGGGAACGTATCAGCATGTGGCTGTTGGTGGTCCTCATCTTCTTTATTCTTTGTCCGGCCTTGTGCAGACGAAATTGATTGAACCATGGGTTCCTGAACAACATTTGACTTTGCGCCAACACCTTGAGCCTTCTCCTGGACTGTTGCACCTCTCTCCGTTCCTAAATAATATTCCATATCCATTAATGATGGTGTGCAATCATCCTCAACGGACTCGTCAATGCTACTGCTGTTGCTGTTGCCGGACAGCACATTCCTCATGTCTTCTTCTGCAGCGTCGGCCATTACCCTTTGCTCATGCTCACGTGAGTGCTGTCCATCAACTCGGCTGCTAACTCGACGAGGACCCAAGGTTGGTCGTTGTTTGGCTGATAATGTTGCTGGCGATGGTGATCCAGTGGTTGTATCAATATCCGCTGGAGAGCTTGTTGATGTTGATGTCTCTCCTGTTTCTCTTGGCGCTAAACACGTTGCCACAGTGGCTGCGGCTATGTATTCAGTGCAAGAGGCATCGCCATCCATAATCATAGGGTCTTCTTTTATATTGTGCTCATTCCCTGAGGGACCTGAAGAGGATGAAAACGAAATAGCCTGTACTTCTTCACCAGTACGCTGCTCAACTTCATCATCATTTCTAGTAGCAGCAGGCCCGTCCTCATCATCTTCTTCATCTTCTACAGCCGTGTTTTCTCCACTGTTGTTATGGTTGTTACTATTGCTGCCATTGCTACTGTTCGTATTCGTGTTCACATTTCCAGCTAGCCAACGCCCTGCTTTTAATGACATGGTCATTTGAGAAAGACTCGATAACGTTGGGATAGATGGTCTTGGCAACGTGGGCACCTTGTTCTCCCAGAATGAAGAAATAGACCCTGGAAGTAGTAACGATGGTAATGAGGGCAATGAAAACAAGGCCCCTTGAGAGCTACTATAAGAATTCATCAAAACTGCTGGGACCTTGGCAAAAATTGGATCGATCAAAGGCTCAATCCTATAACCCAAAGGATCAAATGGGTGGAAAAGATTGTGATGGATAATATCGTCCGGTGGATGGAATGTCTCCCAATCAAGGTTCCGCATCACCAACACAGCACCTAGGGGTGACCCCACTGTGAAGAGGTAATGGGGTCTAAATTTGAGTTTTGGAATCTTCCTGAGGAATTTAGGCTCGTCCTGTTTCCTGATTTTGACATTATCACCCTTATTACTCTTCTTGCATTTTTGGCCGAATTGGGATTTCTGGGTTCCTTTACTCTGTTCAGTTGCACTTGTTGCTACTGGTGCTGGAGATGATGTTCCTTTACCTGGCACTGCCGTATTTTGGGGCGAGGAAGAGGATTCTATGGATGTACTTTCTTCTTGGCCATGCTGCATCTTAGTTCTTGTTATTGTTGTGTCAGCTGATTCACTGCGCACTGTCTTTTGATTAGTGTCATCATCTTTGTTATTATCGCCTGCAAGGTCCTCCTTTTCTGCCTCCTCTTCATTGTCATCATCCTGACACGTCAGGATATCGAACATAGCAATGCCACCGAGGGATAGTGCAAAGACTGAAATCTTGCCATTGAAATCTGGATGTTTTTCTACAAATGTATCGTATGCCTCGTTCAGCTCATCAACGATCATTTGAACCATAATTCCTCCAAAGTGGTTGTTAAAGTCTATTTAGTATTATGGAATAATGGAATGGTGTAAGAAAAAAGAGCAAAGTGTAGTACATGTCATTATGAATTCCCAACGCGATACCGACTATAAACTACAATCTGCTTACAGTAGAGGATGTCCGCCAAGTAGTCATTCATAACCATACGGACCTTAGGCACGGTCTTAAGTGAGGCCAAGGCCATGCGATCGTCCACCAAGGAATGTATTTTAGCATGCCATTCAATAGGAATGATATGAACATTTGTCTCAACCTCATGGAAAACGCTTTGTAGAACTGCTTTTGTGTTTTCCACGAGATGTCCAACTAAAAAAGGAGTCAATAGATCAAATGTAGTATCATTGAGATTAGATCTTGGAAGAGAAAGCATGTGCAACTGAAGAAAAAAAGTCTCCCTTCCACCCGGAAAGACCATTTTCCCGACAGCTTTTTTTCACATACCGTTACGTTCGTAATTTCCATACTCTTCCAGTTGACGTCCCATGCCATGCACAACAAACATGACATGGTGGGCAGCTGAAAAAGATTTTTGCAAGAAGATCAATTATTAGTAAAGAATGGCAAAAAAAAAAAAAAAAAAAAAAAAAAAGCCCAAATCGACTCTTCTCCTTTTTAATTAATTACGTTGTTGTTCTTGTGGAGTCGCAGGAACATCTTTCTTGTTGGTGGATGGAGGGGAGTCTGTGCATGCTGTTGTTGCAGGAGTGGAGGGGGCGGTGTCACCATGCACTTGTTCAGGGCCTACTTTTGTCAGAGCCATTGTTTTTTTTCTTTTGTTGTTATTGTCAGGATAGGTTAATATTAATAAAAGCGTGTGTGATTAAGAATGCAAGGCAGAATGAATGAATGAATGAATGAATGAATGAATAAAAAGAATGAATAAACGAAATGAATGAATGAATGAATGAATGAATGAATGAGTGAAAAGAATGAAGTGAGCAACAAAGAGATGAAGAAAAAGTAAAAAGAAAAAGAAGTGAGAGAAGAGAAAGTCCAAATGCAATTGGGCTGATCTCTCCGAGCATGGGATAATGCTCCGCCTCTTCCCTTCTCTTCTCTTCCCATGTATCACAGACCTTTATCCAGATGTCTCCAATACAAGGAGGTGGACATTACTCCACTCTTCATTTTTACTATCACATCATGCCTGCTAAGCTATGGATCTGTGCAGTATCAAACATTCATGGACAATATTGAAGACTGAACGCAGTGAATGATGATGGACAATCTTGTGTCATTAAATAATTTCGCCAGTGTAAACAGCTCATGATGACAAAGGACTCAATAAAAGTAATTTTCCACAATCATCTTCATTCTTTCCATGTTTGCTCTCTTGAGGACAAAGACTTTTCACGTTTTTTTTTTGCTTCCTTTTCAACTTGTTTATCAATACGCCTTGCTGAGCTTTTTCTTTTTCTTTTTCTTTTTTTTTTTTTTTGCACATGTTAGCCCAACTTTAAAAAAAAAAAAAAAAAAAAAAAAAAAAAAAACAGATCCAGACATTTGTTTTCCATTTCCTTCGCTGCTAATGCGAAAGAGGGTCTACATGTCTTTGAAAGAGAGAAGGGAGGAAGCTATTTCTTCACAGACACAAAAATGTTCGTCCTATATATTTTTTTTTTAATTCAGGTTGATATTGTAGTTGAATATTGATGTTTTAAATATCACGGAGACATACAAAAAGGAAAATATACATATCTGAACCGCGAAACATCCGGATAGATATTGAAGAACCAGAACCCCATGGTTCATGACGTGTGCTGAAGCACATAGCGGATTACAAGCGCAAGAACAGGTAGCGCAAGCACAATCAATGTAGGCAACGAGTACCCCGCATTTGTCTTGAGCGGAATCCTGATACTCTGCCCTTTCTGATCTTCCTTGCTGTTAATGCCAATATCCTCAGCTGTCAATTGAGATGGGAACTTTCCAGTCGTATAGAACTTCTCCATCAAATCATCCTTTTCTTGCCATCTTGCTCGTAACCACTCTACAAACTCTGGCTCGCTCTCTGGAATGTCTTTGACCGCAAATCGACGAAGGTGGATATTAATCTCACGGGGTTGAGCCTTGTCAACATACAATCCTGGCAGTGGATACAATTCTTGAGGAATTTCGCCATAGTGGACTCCTGAATAGCCTACAGCCGCGTCGTAAACGTACTCCACTGATCCACGCAACTTGTTGAGGCACACAAACATTCCGCTCGTACGGGGTAACAAAACATGACGGTGATCTTTCTACAAAAAAAAAAAAAAAAAAAAAAAAGAAAAAGGAAATGAAATCATCATTAGACCATTCCAACCTAAGCTGCCGCCTTTTTTTTTTTTTTTTTTTTTTTTATTACTCGTAAGGATATAATACTTACCAGACCAGCTTTCTGTGCAAATGCGCTTGAGCGCTTACGTGTTCCCCTTGAAACAACGGTTCCTTCAGGGTAGACAAGGAGCCAAAGAGGATCATCCTTACGAAGACGCTCCAAGTTACTTTCAATTGCCTTCTTGTCATGTGCCCAGTCGTTACGTTTCAAGAAAATGAAATCAAAGAAACGCATACCCTATTTTAAAAATTAAGTTATTAGTGTATTTAGTGGATTAGCTGTGTATTCTTAGCATGACAAGATATAGTGTAAACGATCAACAGACAACGATCTCTAAAATGCACTTACCCTTTGAGAAAAAAAAAACATTCCCAGAACGCCAAGAAGTCCGGGAGCCCAGAGTAAGAAACCGGAATACAGAGGAATAGATTCCAAGGATGAATGAACACCGAGGCATGGTAAAGTGAAAATAAAGTAGAATAAAATAAAACGTTTAGTTTCGTGTCACTGTTCTTAATGAATCGTGTCAAATTGCCAGGCATCAATGCATCTGTTTGCTCTTGGCATTCCCCAAAAAAAAAAAAAAAAAAAAAACGTTTGCCAAAGGATGTGATTTTGACACCCCGTAATTTTTTTTTTTTTTTTTTTTTTTCATTGCATGTGAGTCTTTATTAAGGTTGGGTTAGAAGAAAAAAAAAAAAAAAAAAAAAAAACTTACCAGCCAAAGACCGGAATCCAGGTCAAGTCACCACGAAGAATAATCTTGATTCCCCTGTCCTTCTTCGCAAGATGAGCAAAGCACCAGAGGTAGATCCAATCCGAATAAATCTAATCCAAACCCAAACCCCATCGTTTTTCTGTTAGTTCAAAAGAAAAAAAAAAAAAAAAAAAAAAAAAAAAAAGAAAAGGAAGGCTTGATATGCATGTTGAATGTGCTTTTGCGCCTTTCTCTCCTTCGTCCAAGGTCACTTGAGCACTTCAGGAGAGAAGATTTTTGCGCTTTGACAATAACCTTGAATTAATGATTTTAATCAATCAACATTCCCATTCCCCCAATTGAAAAAAAAAAAAAAAAAAAAAAAAAAAAAAAATATCGCTTGTTTGTTGAAGATGCATGTGCATGTGTCCTTTCTTTTTTTTTTTTTTTTTGAAGTACCTGATGGTTCGCGACAAAGATAAGACGATCGGGTAGATCCAAAAGAGTTTCGTCCGGATGATACTTTTCATTGCCGTCGTCTTTGTTTTCATTCCCGTTACAATCGCTGGTGCTCTTTTGATGTTGATGATGATGAATTCGTTTACCCTGGTAGACCTTCACAATTTCTCGGATACTCTCATCTCCTGTCAAGATAATATCTGACGGAGCAAATAACTCATTCATCTTCAGCATCAATGCTCCAAAATACACCGTCGTTCTCTTCATATGACGACGGTACACTCCAGGAGCCAAGATAGACAACGGTATAGCCATCACCTGGGTCATTGAAATCAATGTAGCACCCAGAACGAAATATGTAGCCCATACAAACGCTCGGACCGTTTTATAAACGGGATTCATCTTGGGCCCCAACTTGCGAATAGGTTTCTTGATCGCATCATCTTCTGCCCATTCGCTAAGTGTGCCTTTCTTATCACCCTCAACATTAGAGCTGTCGCTGGTCTTTGACGATGTCGTTCTAGAAGTAGTCGTTGTTGTTGAAGTGGGGGTCTTAATGCTGCTACTAATGCCGTGGCTGGTTGTCATATCATCGAAATCGGATATCTTTTTTTTTGTAAGGTCATTGCCAAATCCTGCTGTTTCTGCCACTGCTGTTGCTGCCGCTTCCCCCGAAGATGGACCTAGTTTTGAAACGGTCATGTCCGCACTGATGGTGATCTTGATATTACAGTCTCACTAGTAATTATCAAGCTATGAAGAATCCAAAGAGTGAAAAAAGAAAAAAGAATGATTTAGCAGAAGAAGAAGAAGAAGAAGAAGAAGGAAAGAAAGAAGAGTTATCGTCGCTTCTGTTGTGGCTGGAACAGTTGGTCTTGGCTGTTGTACCTTCACAGTCTACAGGTAAATTATTGAGGGGTATATGGGCGAATGGTCTGGAAAGCAAAACCGTTGTCCTCTTGACTCTCAGATGTAAATGCATTTGCCCATTTCCATCAATGTATTGTCATTAACATTTTAGGCTCATGTTGATTCTAATAGGAGTTTTTTTTTTTTTTTTTTTTTTTTTTTTCCTTTAGAAAGCAATGTACTATTTTCACGTCTTCACTTCACTTCTCAGGGGTTACAAAGGTCTGACCTTTAATACTCGTTCACTCTCTCACATGCTTATTCCTTAGGATCTGTCTAGCCCTGTTTGACTACTTTGGCACTTGCACTTCCGTTTTGTACTATTTGCAAGTCAATGTAATCTTTGAGAATACAATCGCTAAAACAAAGTCTCTTTTCTGAGTACAATGAATTGAACAGAAAAAAAATATCAACAGTTTATTGTAATGGAAATAAAATATAAAAATAAAAAGATTTGTGAATCAATCTATGTCAAGATAAAGGAAAAAAAAAAAAAAAAAAGAGAGAGAAAACAGGACACATATGCTATAGAGGATATATTATGCATTGACTTTATGACCAGACATCCTCCTCGTAGCGACCACGTGCACGTAACTCCTTGACATAGGTTGTAGCCTTCTCTTCCGTCATCTCACCGCATTCCATAGCAATGTTGATCAACTTTTGGTTCACTTCACGAGCCATGTTCTTGGCATCTCCACAGACATAGAAGTAGCCTCCCTTGTTGTGGATCAAATCCCAGACAAGTTCCTTATGTTCTTCCATCTTCTGTTGGACATAGACCTTGGGCAAGCCTGGTTGACGCGACAAAGCCGTGATTATCTGGGCTCCTTCAATATCCTTCATCAGCTCGGGCCATTCATCCTTGTACATATAATCTTCATCCTCACGACGGCATCCAAAGAACAAAACTGTGGGACCAACTGTTTTACCATTCTTCACATCCTGTGCACGATCCTGAATAAAACCTCGGAAGGGTGCGACTCCTGTACCGGGACCGACCATGACTACAGGCAGCGAAGCATTACGGGGCAACTTGAAGTTGGAGTGACGGACATGGACAAGAACCTTGACACCACTCTCACCAATCAGATGCGATCCTTGAGGTCCAGAGATTTCATACTTTGGTTCAATAGCACCACTCTTGTTGATATGTGCGTGACAATTGTGCAAAAAGTTTGTAGCTAAACCATAGACAGTCTCTTCAGGTGCGACAATAGGCTTATAATCCAAAACAACTGCAGTCAAGTGAATTGTCGTAGGATGAGCCTTGGGTGATGATGAAATCGAATAGTAACGAGCCTGAAGACGTGGGACTGATTCAATCACCAAATCAAAAGGAATTTCAATAGTCTGACCAGGTCCTAGAATTTTCTCCAAAACAGCGCCCAGGCTGCGACGGGCGTCAGCAACGTTGATACGGAAGGCCTCTTTATCAGAACCCCAGAGAGCAAAAGTCTTGCTTGATTCCTCATTTGGGGCAAAAGGCGTCAATTGACCAATGAAGGCACGCGAAGGGGGAGCAGTGATATCGATATAGTTGCGAAGAATAGCACGATAGGTTGTAGGGACAGGGAAGGGCAGCTTGGTAGAGGCAGGATCAACATTAGAAACAGTAATGACGGTATCAAGCTTGTTGGTCAAACCCAGGATCCTTGCCAACTTCTCGACTTCTAGCTCAGCATTAATGGGCCAGACAGCAATGTGATCACCAGTCTGGTAGGTGATGCCAGACCCAGAAATGTCGATCTCCATGTGCAAGCAGTGACGGTCAGCAGTAGCAGAAAACAATTCACGAGAGACGGCGATAGGTGCAGCGTAAGGATTCTTGGCGTCATAGGTAGGACGACTATGCAGTGACATTCCATGTCATAGAGAGAATAAAAAGCAATAATAAAAACAATAATAGACGATCAATATCAATACTAACCAAAAGAACATATCTCTCCCTGAATAAAGATTCATTTTCAGTTGAACTTACGAGCCGAGCATAAGCTTGGGTTCTTGATGTTCACCATAGTAAATCTTTGTTAGGCCAGCAGCCTCTTCATTAGTGTATTCTTGAATCTTGTAAGTAGCCTGACGAGGTCCAGAGTTGCCAGCCAAGAAATCGATGCCCATAAAGTCACAGACGGCCTTCCACATGTCATCCTTCCAGCTCAAGAAGTCCTCCTCTAATGAGCCATCATCATCGCCCTCTCCACGCTCACCAATGCGGGTAGCACCGAGTTTCCGAAGTTTCTCATCAACACGTCTGCCGACAGTGTTGTAGTGTTCATAGGTCTTGTTACCGAGTCCAAAGATAACAAAGTGCAAGTTGGTAAGAGGCTTCTCATCATCATCATAGTTACCAATCGAGAACTCGGGAACATCCTCGCCAGCGACCAAATGCTCCCAAAATTCAACAGCGTTATCAGTAGGTTCACCTTCACCATAAGTAGCAAGAACAAATACAGCAAGATGATCAGAGGGCAGGGTATCCAACAGGTTCATATCATAGTCTTCCAAGTCAGCAGTCATGGTCTTGAGGTTATAGCGTTGAGTTCCTTCCTTAGCCAAGCGAGAAGCATAATCTTCGGCAGTTCCAGTTTGTGATCCATAAAAAAAGATAACGGTCTTGTCCTATAATATGTAAAATTAAGTTGATAAAAGAACAAAAATGCAGGTTAGCCTTTTGCTTGCCACATAAAACATAAAAATGATGTGAGATCAGGCGCATATTGCAGCTGATGAATGGATGGCGATGTGGCTTGGATGTGAACATGCACAATGTTTTCAGGAATGCATGCAGGACAGGCACAAGAAAACACAAGTGATCGGCTTGCCAAATGTACCACCAACAACCTTTAAAAACCTTTTATTTTCCCCTGTCTCAAGAAAAGAGTTCTCTCTTTTTTTTTTTGTCTAATTTTTTTTTCTCGGATCGGCCGGTACGGCTGCATCGGGTGGAGGGAGGATTCTTTTCTCTACTCTCTTTACTGTATTCTATTATTACTTTCTCACCCTATCTCCAAATGTACTTCCTTCCCTCGTTCCTCTTCTATATTTGAAGCTTCTACTGTGAATAGATTTTCAATATTGCAATGAAACGTTGTCGAGAGTGGGGCCATTAAAAATACATAAGTTGTAAATGTATGGAAATAGAAAATAGAAAGAAATCGAATATGAGGCTGATGAGACTGATCTTGTCTTAAAGTCAGACACCATTCGATCCTCCCAATACAGAAAAAAAAAAGAACATCTGTTCTGTTCTACTCTGTTCTGTTCTATTTGATGAATCTCGTGCGAATAAAAAAAAACAGATGTGTGCAATAAAACCCTCGATCACACCACTTTCATCTTTCTCACTTGCAACACCTTTTCATACATTGACACACACACACACACACACACACACACACACACACACACACACACACACACAAAAAAAAAAAAGAGTTCACTTGCCGTTTCTTTCATCTTTTCAACAAAGTCTCGAGTCTTCTTTACGACTTTGTTAATCTTGAGAGCAGGGGCATTGGGCTTTTGTAATGGCACAAGGGGTTGTTTTGACAGAGGCTTTGAGGAACCTGATCCCATCAGCTTATCCTTGAACCAATAGATGCCAGAGCCCACAAGCACTGCACCCAAGATGGCGATGTCGAGAGTGTCGATCACTGCGTCCGACATGGTGATGGCTGGGTTAGAGAGGGAGTGTTTGTTGTGAATAGATGAATGAATGAAAGTGAATGTAAAAAAAAGAAGAAAAGAAGAGATGAATGAATGGGAAATAAAAATGTTTAAAGTGAAAATTTTAGTTTATGCTCTATTAAATAAAACAAGAATTATAAAAAAGGACGGAGTTATAAACTTGAGTGAAGGATAATGAAAGAACAGTCAGTCTATACACGAAAAGAGAAGAAAGGTGTTCATGGCCTGATTGCTTTATACATGTACATGTACCCTGCTCAACGCTGTTTTGGACCCATCCAAGGTGCCCTTCTTTCGGACCATTTGTCTGACAAGCTCATGTAACACAATTGTCAATCTGTTAAGCCACGTCCCTTGGCAGCCCGTGAACTCTAAGCCCAAGTCTTTCAAATACATTTCTATGTGCAGTCTGCATGTCCAATAGTGCTCCTACACGATAATCACTCCAATTAGACGACATGCAGTATTCTTGAACGCCAAGATTCAGAACTCAGCTTGGGAAAAAACTATCAGCCTTGATTTTAGATCTAAAACTCCATGTGAATTACGCTTTTTTTTTTGGGGAGGGGGAGGCAAGAGGGAAGACAGTAAATGAAAGGACTTTCACAATCAATAAAGCTTTGTGATGAAGCAAAGTGACAATTAAAAAATATCAAAACATTTCAATCCATGCCAATTGTTGTCTATTAAAAAAAGAAAAAAAACCTGTAATTTGCTCAAATTAACGTGGATAAACTATTTTGGAATCCACATCGCCCCTATTAGTTTCTTTTCCCCTAACATTTGTATGAACAAATGTATTACATCTTGGTCATCCTTTCTTGGCAAGTATTAAAGTATTAGATGGGATCAATGCAATGATGTATCATCACCAATTTTTTTTGTTGTTACATGTCAGGTTGAATAGGCACGGACCTTCAGTTTTAACAGAAATTCAATCCAGAAGCATAGCCTTTTTTTTTTTTTTCTTTTCGTGAGAAGGCTGTGTAATAATTTGCGATTCATTGCGAAGTAATGCGTAGTGAAAAACGCAGTGTATTTTAAAAAACTGTTGACAGCACAATATTAAATGTCTACTAAAAATGGCTATCCTATCCTGATTCTGCGGGAACCAGAAAAAAAAATATAGCTCTTGAAACGGATCAAATCGGTTGTGTGCATGCATGTGTGTGATACGTAGAAGGAAATATATATATTTTACAATTTACTATTTTCTCAATTCCTTTTTTAGTTCCAATAACTTCTCGTCGAAGCTTATGCATAACATTTCAGAACATCATAACCAATTCACCAGTTTATTAAGCTCAATTGGTGGATTGAACGCAGGCAGTTCCCAAACAGAATTAGCTGACCAATCCTCCTGTATATTAAGATGCTGCTACATAGAACACCATCTACACGTTCTCACCTCCCTCCATTTCTCCTCCCTCTCTTCACCCGTTAAAAAAAAAAAATCTCCAAGACTCTTGCTTTACCAGGCTTGTGCTTTCTTGACATAAACCCCTGACTAACCCGAGACACTGCCTAATACCCTTTTCCTGCAACTCCCTTGTAAACTGCTTTGGTCCATTTTCAATCAATTTTATCAGGTCCATTAGGTCTTACAAGCGCACTGACACTTAAATCTGATCTGGAAACCAAACAATAAACGTTCTACTCAAGTATTCATGTTCAAGCTCTTCAGGTTTTTTTCAGGTAGATTTATACCACAATACCACAAATGTAGAAATAAAACTGTGTCACCAGGAAATGGTTTGAAATAAGTTATTTGTTGAGGTACAGGGTGTCATTACACTTGTGCTGTGAGAGTCAACTATTCAAAATCATACGAGTAGTTGACTTTAGAGAAGCCTTAGTCATCCTTGTAGCAAGTAAACTTTTGTTGAAAATACGTATTCTATCCTTGTCATAACATACACGCCTACACAGTAACAATCTCCTTCAGATTTCACCCGGATAGAATGGACTTGTTATCCCCTTTTGCATTATCATGCCAAATATAGCAGAGGCTGTATTCATCAGAGAACTTCGCAGCCTAAAACCCAAAGCGGTGAGCTCAATCTGAATAACCAATTCTGAAGTGCACCATATGCATCGGAGAAAGAAAAGGGTATATTTGAAGAAAAAGAGTTCACAAAGAATAATTCTTTTGAATCAACAGAAACTATCGCCCAATAAACCTGTATTATTATTGTTTTTCTTTCTTCTCTAGTGTTGATTATTACTTGCTGCTTCAGAGGAAACAACTACTAACTCAGAAGCAAGCTCAGACCCTGAGTCGGGCTTATTCCCATCGGGCTGCGCCATAAGGATCGCCTTTAGTTTCTTGGATGCTACAGACGGACTAGTCGGAAGTTGCGGCGATGTCACTGATGGCGATAGTAATGGAGAAGTCATGGATGCACTCGATGCTGCTCTTGGCGAGAGCGTAGCCGAGATGGGATGGGAGCGAGGCGTTGTACGTCCTGTAGTACTCGTTTCTGCCCCGGGCACAGGGCTAGTGGACAGAGAAGGCAGGGAGGGCTTCTTGGAAATTGTGCCGCTGCTATGACTGGGTGAGGGTGGTGGTCGTGGAACAGTCTTAGGAGTGGTGCTGCCTATGCCTTCGATGGTCGAATTACGGCGGTTACTTCCAGTCTTTTGAACATTTGACAAACCGTTGTTGGATTTACTCTTGACCATAGGGTTTTTGCCACCATTGTCTGTTGTCGTAATGATTTTTGAAGGTGTTGCGACTGCGGCTGATGTTGATGCCTTGTTGGGCTTGGCTGTGCTGGCAGATGCAGTCGACGAAGTCGATCCTGCTTTGGAATTGGAATTGGTTTTGGTCTTAGTGATGACACTTGGCGACAAATCTGTTGAGCTATTATTGGCTGATAACAAACATTTCAGCCCTGACGTTAGATTCTTTTCCACTGTTGCCGCAGCTGTACGGCTTCTGGGTCGATTATTGTTGCTGTTACTGTTGCCACTGCCCGTTGTAATGCCTTTAATACTTCCTTGACGCTTTCCAGAATACCCGGAAATAGCATCCACAGACGAGGACGAGGCGCCATTCTTCCCTCCATTCCTCATTGTTGAGGATGCAGGCGAAGCAGGCGAAGCAGGCGAGCCTTGAGGATACAGGCTGGCCTGACTGACTGACCGTGAGCTGCTCCTGGACGAGCTGTTTGTAGTAGGTGCTATGGGTGTGCTTCGGGATCTGATCCGATGGGACTGGTTCTGAAAGAGATCATCCAGCGCTACACTAGGGTTCCAAGGAGGTCGAGTCGATGTGGAAGATGATGAGGTATAAGGGGTCTGCAAGATGTTTTGCTCTTCTAGTCGCTGCTGAAGTTCTGAAGTGAACTTTCGGGTATCTTTGGGTATCGATTGTTGTTGATGTTGCTGTTGTTGATGTTGCTGTTGTGATGGAGGTTGAGCCATTGGCGTTGGAGTCTGCGTCTCCTTGCTCTCGACTTGTATAGGTGGCCGAGGCGATGGTGCAAGTGTGAGTGGCTTTGGGGCTACATAAGGCTGGTGGAGCTCCGGGGTAGCAGGCGGTGAAGATAAAACATTCTGTTTTGGTTTCTCTGCCTCGGGCTCAACTTGCTCTTCAGCAATCCCAAAACCAAGCTCCATTCCCAGTGACATGCCTTGAGTTGGTGCTTGGTCATGACCCCATGTATGAGGCACCTGCTCTTCCGATGGAAAGTCAGAATCGTTCAACTCTGGATCCTCCATTGCCAATGTAGACAGTTGACCAGTACCCCTCTTCAACTGGTTGTCCCAGTTGGACGATATTGGTGAAGTAGCGCCCCAGCCTCGGCCTTCCATGTCCGATTCTGTGCGCAACGTTTGAATGGTTGTCTGTGCCTCTTCTAGCAACTGTGCATACTCCTTTGTATTGGAGATCATCTCGACAACTTTTCCCTCACATTTTTCTTGACGATTTTCCAATTCTTCTAATGTTGAACGGATCGTACCACTGTCTGAGAGGACCTTGCCAAGCTCTGACTGCATATTTTTGACTACCTGTGCAGTGCTCGATTGAGCCTGTTTCTGGCGCTCCATCGCAATTCGAAGTTGCTCTTGCAGATCGACGTTCAGCTCCTGAGTTGAATTCAGCTCCTGCTCAACCTCATTCAATCTCTTTGAGTAAACAGAGACTTTGTTCTTGGCATCCATAACCTCAGTGCCCATCTCTGCCATTTGGTCCACTAATCCATCCAGCTCCTTCCGGAACATTCGGAGCTCACGACGACATCCATCGAGTTCTTTCTGAAGAGACTCGTTCTCGCTTGTCAAAGCATGGACTTCTTCTTCTGATCCGGACAAATGCGCAGAGAGCGCTTGAGTTTGCTTTACGCGAGACTGAAGGATCATGTTTTCGTCCTGTAAGGCTTGAATCTATTTTTGTCAATATGGGAATGCAAATAGAGATATATAAATGATATCGTTGAGCAAAAGGAGAGGGAAAAAAAAAAAAAAAAAAAAAAAAAAAAAAAGAGCGATGAAGAATCTAGAGTTGATTGGGCAATCTTTGTCCCCAAATAACAATAGCCACGGTAGTAAAGCTTTTACTAGCTCGAGGGAAGAGGAGGGAAAAAAAAAAAAAAAAAAAAAAAAAAAGGCTTCTATTTACCTGAGCATATGATTGCCGCTCTGCACGTTGGGCCTGCTCTAGACTTTGTTGTAGCTCCAATCCAAAACGTCCTGCAAGATTGAGCTGCTCTTTCATCATTTGGTGTTCAGCGTAGAATTTCTGTTTCAAGATCCCCGGATCCTGGATTCTTTCCATTTCAGCCCAAAGATCGTCTTCTTCAGTCGATGCCTGTGCTGCTTTTGTGTATATTTATATTTTGTTTATGCCATGAATGTGTTAATGAGGGGATATTTTCTAAGTGCATCTTGAATGTTGGACAGATTTCGAGATAGGGAAGACCATTATGCAAAGTGCACGGTTCCCCCTTCTGTTTTTTTCACATCTGCGTTCCTGCTCTTGCATCTTCATCTATTACTTACCCAAGACGTCTTCTTGGGACAGATTATACGGCGGACACGGTGTGTTCTATCAGAGGAACAAGCAGCAAAAAAAGAAATAAGGGGGAGGATAGAACCAAAATATGTTAACTGTCAGCTGTTCTGTTCATAGTATTTTCATCCTAAATCGTTGAATGTGGGAAGTGGATGAAACAGTGCTTCGATAAAGACGTTGAAACGCTTTCAAGTTTTAAGCCAAGTAAAGAAAAATCACATTCTCTCTGCTTGCTTGTTTTAATGCAATCTTATGAATAGATTTTTTTTTTCCTCTTAACCTTCTAGTAGACAGACAGGTCAAGGGCCTGATTGGATAACCAATGAAGATAGTAGATTAAAAGGCGTCTGGATCCCCAAGTTCCAGAAAAATTAAAATGACATCTTTTATGATTCAAGAACCAGTGAGACAGTTCCTATTTAAATCTCCTTTTGTGTTTTGAGATGGTTAAAGGCTTGTAAGATTTGTAATCTGTAGGGGAAGCGGGCGCGAACTAAAATCAGATGCAATGCGCAGGACGGCTGGATAAAAACAGACAGACGCAGGGGAAAGAAAGAGAAAATACAAAAAAAAAATATGGGTCCAGCCAAGAGGAGGAAAAAAAAAAAAAAAAAAAAAAGGATACGATTTGCTCGCCCTATGCTCTTTTGTTCCCCTGTGGTGCCCTATCAATTGTCTTTCATGTCCTTGACCTTGACCTTGTCCTATTTTGTACTCTGCAATCATCTCACAGCACAAAATAAAGATGATGTATAATAGTTCATTCTGACCCAACAAAAAAAAAAAGTATTCAGGCTATAGCATCTAGCTCTGTTTGTTGTGCCTCGGAAGAATCCAAAAGAGGAAAAATGAAAAAAAAATGCGCCAGGAAAGATTCCTGAAAGTAACAATATTGAGGGACCAAATACAGATTCAGGACTCAGAGTTCAATGGCGTAGTTAATTTTTTACCTCAAAAGATTGTGTTCGACTAAGGGCAGAGGTTGTCAGCATCTTTTCGCTCAGCATATGACAGGTTGGCTCGATGGGTCGCTCTCTGTCCCAAGTATATCTTTTTTTTTTCCTCTTTTCTTTTTTTCTTCTTTCTTTCTTTTCTTTTTTCTTTCAGAGGAACAGCAAAAGTGTTGTATTTAAAGTGAGAAATACATGAGGCAGAAGGTGTGGTTCATTGACAATCAATTTTGCTTTAGAATGTGGAGATTCAAACAAACAAAAGGGGTTAAAAAAAATTAGCAACAGTGTGCTACAGCTAAAGAGGAAAGTGAATGAATGTGTTTGTATAGAAATATGTCGTACTATGTGAAAACGAATGAAAGTGTCGGGTGCGTGATATGAATGTGAGTTTTCGTATTTTGCTGGGATATGGTATGAATGTGTATTTGTGGAGAATATGAAAGGAGATGTGTGTGGAGATGAAGAAGAGAAAAGTGAAGAGAGAAAGAGAGGAAGAAAGTAAATGGGAATGATAATGATGCTTCGTGTTAATTTGCGTGTGGATATTTTGTTCACCGAATGAATCTTAATTACGGGATAGTTCATCTTGTCAATTTTTGTATTACCAACCTCAATAGTACTTTTTTTGAATGAGTGAATGAATGCTAATCCATTATCCATGCTCACTGCTCAGTCAATAAACCTGGTTGATATTTCTTAAACAGCTTCATTTATCACAACCCATCAGCGCATGTGGTCTCTTGTGCTCTCCAGTAGTCCACTTTTATAATTATTTTCAAACGCTTTTTCTCGTTCAAGGCTCACTTTTCTGCTTCTCTTAGTGGCACATGTAAGCTGACTGTTAAAGCGTTTTGCTATTTTTTCCCGTGCATCATCACAATGTACTTATCACGTGGATCAAACGTACATATCCGTTGTTTTGTACGTAAAGCGTCCCGCAGTGTGTGTGTTTTTTTTTTTTTTTTTTAAAAGGGCACCAGCAACATTTCGAATCAGATCATCCTCTTTTCTTCTCTCATCGACTTCTTTTGTTAATTAATTCATCCAATGAGCCATAATGACAACCTGAACGGCCTTAATCAGCAATTTGGTAAGTGTATACTCAAATAAATAATACTTACGCACTCTTTGAGGCTATCTCTTTGATCGTTGGAAGGAGATAGCAAAAACAAAAGGTCAAAATATATTTGTCATGCAGTCTCAAAGTCAGGCTGCTCACTTGTCATTCACAAGAACAGTAATGTCAGTGCGTCTGTGCTGATCTGATTGGAACTCTCCGGAGTCTCACTCTCATCTTTCTGTTGGAAAAATGCTTGCTGCGTTGGATCTGACTCTAGTTCCATGTTTATGTGGATGATGACAACTACGATTAACAATGCCAAGAGTTAAATCAATTTTCACCCCAACAAGATCTCATTACCACAACAAAAAGAAAAAAAGAGGAGTTAGAGAAAGAAGCAACAAATCACAACGGCAGTAATAGCGGCGTTGACATATTAACAAGGATAGCATTATCGGTAATGATCAAAGTTTTATTAACGATCTGTGTGTTTTTCTTTTGCTCTTTGTTCCTCCATTTTAGCTGGTATGGGCGTTAATGAATCTCGCGGAAACTCTCGCTCTACGGGCACTAGACCTACTTATGTTCCCCCTCACATCAGAAACCAACAGACCCGCTCTGATCGTTCTGATCGTTCTGATCGTTCTGAACGCTCTGATAGGTATGTGGCATTTCTGGTTTCGTCTAAAATAACTCATAGAAGCCCCTTCTTTTCCAACAATCTTCCCTAACCATCACGATATCTCCTTTTTCCCTTATTTATCCTTGTTTTGTTTTCTAATATGGTGAAATCTTTTTTTGGCAATTCAAATAGCTGGGATGCTCCTCCTCGCTCCCACAATACCAATCGCTCTACTGGTGGATGGGGTGGTGCATCTGAAAGTGGCTACAACCGTGGCTGGAACGACTCTCCTGGCCAGCACAGCAACTCGGATCGCTGGAATGACCGTGGCTCCTCAGATCGCTGGAATGACCGTGCCTCCTCCGGTGGCTATGGTCGCCGCGGTGAAGCACCTTCTTCAGGCTATCCCCGCCTTGACCGAGATGTTGGCACTTTCAAGAATGGTGTCCAGACCCCCGCAGCCCGTAATCCTCGCTTGGAACGTGAGTTGTACGGTACAGAGGACAAGGAGCGTCAGAGCACCGGCATCAACTTTGAAAAGTACGATGACATTCCTGTCGAAGCTTCTGGAAATGAAGTTCCCGAGCCTGTCTTGACTTTTACCAGTCCTCCTCTGGATCCCCTTCTTCTTGAGAACATTGAACTTTCCAAGTATACTCAACCTACTCCTGTTCAAAAATACTCTATCCCCATTGTTGGCAATAACCGTGACCTTATGGCCTGTGCCCAAACTGGTTCGGGTAAGACTGGCGGTTTCCTCTTCCCCATTCTCTCTGAGCTTTTCAAGCATGGACCCTCCTCTCCTCCTGAGCATGTCGGCGCAGGTCGTGCTCGCAAGGCACACCCTGTTTGTCTGATCCTCGCCCCTACTCGTGAGTTGGCCTCTCAGATTTGGGAAGAATCTCGCAAGTTCTCCTACCGTTCCTGGGTCCGCTCATGTGTCGTCTACGGAGGTGCGGATATTGGACAGCAGCTTCGCACCATTGACAGAGGGTGTGATATGCTGACTGCCACCCCTGGCCGCCTTGTTGATTTGATTGAGCGCGGTCGTGTTTCCTTGGCTAACGTCAAGTATCTCGTCTTGGATGAGGCTGATCGCATGTTGGATATGGGTTTTGAACCTCAGATCAGACGTTTGGTTGAGAAGGAAGATATGCCTGGTGTTAACGACCGCCACACGCTCATGTTCTCAGCCACCTTCCCTCGTGACATCCAACACCTTGCACGTGACTTTTTGCGTGACTACATCTTCTTGTCAGTTGGTCGTGTTGGATCAACCTCAGAGAACATTACACAAAAGATTGAGTATGTCGAGGACGAGGACAAACGCTCTGTTCTGCTCGACATTCTTCATGCTCAGCCTAAGGGCGATATGGGCCTTACTCTTATCTTTGTTGAAACCAAGCGCATGGCAGACACTCTATCAGACTTTTTACTCAGTCAAAACTTCCCTGCCACCTCGATTCATGGAGATCGCACCCAGCGTGAGCGTGAACGCGCCCTGGACATGTTCCGTTCCGGACGTTGCCCCGTCATGGTCGCCACGGCTGTTGCTGCCCGTGGTTTGGATATCCCCAACGTCACACACGTCATCTCGTACGACTTGCCTACTGACATTGACGACTATGTCCACAGAATCGGTCGTACCGGTCGTGCCGGTAACACTGGAATTGCCACCGCTTTCTTGAATCGTGGCAATAAGGGTGTCGTCCGTGATCTTCTTGAACTTTTGAAGGAGGCTAACCAAGAAATTCCCGGCTGGCTCGAGACTCTTGCTAGAGAGTCATCATACGGTGGAGGATCTGGCCGTGGTGGTGGTGGTGGTGGTCGTGGACGTGGACGTGGTGGTGGCCATCAAGGCAATCGTGACTATCGCAAGTACGGTGGTGGCGGTAGTGGTGGTGGTGGTGGTGGTGGTGGATCTGATCATTGGGGGGGAGGCGGCGGTGGTGGCTACGGTGGTGGTGGTGGATATGGCGGTGGCTACGGTGGTGGCTACGGCGGTAGCAACGGCGGCAACAGCTGGTTCTAAGCTGCTATGCTCTTGACGCTGCAATCTTATTTTTTTTTTTTACTCATGTTCCTTGTCAACTCTGTCTCTCTACTCTCTTTTTTTTCAATCTTTGTTTTTATTATTTTTCTACGTTATGGATGCAGGATGCTTTGGTGGCACTTACATTGTATATACCCCATATTTCACTTTTCTTTTAATCATTTGAAGCCTTCATGGGGTCCATGGATCAATGTTCATAACACACAGCATTTTGAAAGGAAGGATCACCCATTGCCAATCTATCTTTTCCTACTCTGTATTTATAGCGTTATTTCATTCATTTATTCTGTGCTTCTCAGCATCTTCGCAGTACGGCTGTGTGTATATTATTGCATCGCACATCTCATAGACACAATCATACAGCATTCAAAACAAGGAACATTTTTAACATAATAAAAAAGCGAATATTTGTCAAGCAAATCAAGGTGAAAAAAAGCAACAATGTAAAAAAATGTTTTGACATGGATTTCCAAGTAATTAGACAAATCAATAATTATTCGGCATGGAGAAACAGGTTGAGGAAACCTTGCGCTGTCAAAATGGTCTTCTAAGAATGAATCATCTTCTGGGGTCTTTTTTAAGTTTGAGGAAGCCATGTGGATAAATTTCCATTGATCGGGAGCATTTATTTAAACTTTTTGCGCAAGCTGTGGATACAAATCGTCATGGTCCATTTGCGAAAAAAAAAAAAAAAAAAAAAAAAAAAAAACCCCCCCCATCTCTCTTCTCCTCCCTCCCAGCTCTATCTTTCTGTCCTTCATAGAACCATTGATCCCGTTAAAGGATTTCTTAAAAAACAACATGATGATTGATTTTAAGAATAGGTAGAAGACAAAATGTTTTTTATGACACTTCAATGTGCATGTGAATGGAGAGAGCCTTGGACGGGGTGTCAAATTGCTTCGATTACCTCAGCGTCAACCGATCGCGCGAGTCATTGGAGGACAGACCTCTCATTCCCCTAAAGAATCTTTTATTTTTCTTTTCCACCCTATTTCCGAAGGTAAGAAAGGTGAGGTTGTCTGTCGTACTCCTCCCTGTCCATCATAGCTTGGCTTCATCACCTAAAAAATAAAATAAAATCTATTCTCGGAAGACTCGGATGTCAGATGTATCCAACATTTATGCATGGGATCTTACTTTTTGACAATCGTGTTGTTGAGCATGACGTTAAAAAACAAAGGGCTATTGTAAGGTAGAGAGCAGGGTGGAGAAAGAACATTGATGGGGAGGGAACGGAAAAAAATCACGAAATTTGACCACATCCACTCCCTGGATCAGTTCAACAATTGGCCAATCTGCATGAATTTTTGTATCTGTGAAGAAACACTTTTGTTTTTTTTTGGAACTCTTAACAATAAACACACGCCCGCCAAGCTTCAGTAACTGGAAATGATTATTCCCACCAATGCCAACGTATTGCCCGTTGTTCCCTGGCCAGATCTCTTTTTTTCTCATGCAAGGTCCTGAATCCAGCTTTCCAGCTAAGTGGAATAGAGGTGATACTAGCTCGGTTCCTTCGCCTACATATTTGCTTCCAATAGCAAGAGTAGCCATAAGCGGGGTTTAATATTCAAAAAAAAAAATGCGCAACGTGTATGTGTGTAGTGTAGTGTATGCATAAGTTGCGCGTAAAAAAAAAAAAAAAAAAAAAAAAAAAAAAGCTCTCATCCTACGCCTACCGGTTTGCTGGCATGGTCTCACCTACATTACAGATGTATAAATAAAAAATATTTTTCTTTATGAATACTGTAAGCTAGTTTTTGTACATTCGACTTTTGTTTTACTATAATAATACTTGGATTAATTACAGTGGAGGTATATATATGTATATTAAAATAAAAAAAGAATTTGTCCGTTTAATGGAAATGTTGAGAGTCGGTATCACCATAGTGGAGTTGATGGTATTCTTCTACATACGATTCGACAGTGATGGAGATGTGAGAATCAAGAGCCGCAACCTGCTTATCAGACCCCATACCAAACTGCTGTGTATGACGGTCGCCTGATTTCCCCCCACCAAATCTTCCAAAAAAGCCTCTATTCTGACGGTCATTGAAAACAGTTGTGCCTCGATCCATATTCGTGGTGACAGGGCGGCCTCCCTTTCCACGACTAGTCATCCAGTGAACTGTGATGGCATTCAAAGTGACATCGACTGTACAGGATGCTAAACAGATCAGTCCACGTTCGCGTCCATCATAATAGACCAACGTGAAGATATTGGCTGAACTCAGTGCTAAGGCAATCAATGATCCTATCAAGGTTCGACGAGCCACATTACGAAGTTTACCCTTGGAAGGTCCTTGCAAGAACGAGCTTGAGCTCATCAGCGCTCTTAGGAACAAATACGTCAACCAGGTCGACATCACAATGTCGTACAAAATCAGGGGCAGTGCACCCGCTCGTCGCAAGCCAATGTAACAACGCCCTCCCTCTTCCAAGGTCGCATTTCGAAACCAGACCATGCAGAAAATGACACCGACGTAGGGTGTCATCAAGACCAAGTTCACTTTGTAGAGGAAGAAATTTGATCGAGTGACGCCGATGGCAGTGACGACATACACTTTCTCCATCAGGAACAAGTAAATGACGATCTTGGAAAGCGCATAGAGTGCAATACAGGACAGGATCGACAGTTGACATGACAGCAGGTTGTAATTATTGGTTTGGATCAATAAAGCGGCAATTACGGAAAAGGCCCAAGAGATCAAATACAAGGCTACGACTAAACCGCGCGCATAGTTGATCGTACTCAGTTTTGTCCCTGCGGTCTTACGACCGAAGAGCATAGCCATGAGTGAAATGCATGCCAATGAGATAAAAAGCGACCCAGTTTCTTCTGCGTCGGGTTGGTACATTCTTTTCTTTTCTTTTCTCTTCTTTATCTTAAATCCGTTTGTAATAAGAAAAGTATCTCAATGTGAATGTGTATATAAAGTTAAATTGGAATAGTAATGATTAGAGAGAGAGAGAGAGAGGATAAAGAAGTGGTAATGTACAAGTAAGTTACTATGCAAGAATATATAAAAAAAAAAAAAAAAAAAAAACGGCAAGAATGCCTGTCAACAGTTGCGCAAGTTTATGTGCGCGTTGTAGCTGTGTTTGTGTCTATAAGGGTGAGAGCATGAGGCGGAGAGAGGAACGATGATCCGACCCACAGGGACAGAGAAGGGGACTGATATTGAAAGGAGCAAAAGCAATCAGAACAGTGGATCGGATCACCGAAGGAAGGATAAGAGAGTGAGGACAAAGAAGGAAAGAAAGAAGGAAAAAAAAAAAAAAAAAAGATGGAGATGAAGAGCAAGGGAAAAAAAGTGATCCTCAATTGATGCTATTCCTCTCGTCCTGCATCTTAACAATCGTCTTTTGATTAATAGATTAATTGGCGTAATTCATTCTGGGAATGAAGACGATATTCAAGAGCAGCTTATTGTCGTTGTTATGCCTGTGGTTTTATTTTATTTTTTTTATTTTTTAATAAATAAACAGAGGAATGAATATCCGCCTTCTGTTTCTAACCTTCCGTCTCGGCCTCCTATCTCGACCCTAACTTCTTTCTCATTTGTTCATCAAGAACATTGTGTCTGTTACTTCATTCCCATAATTTGTCCGATTGTCAATTTAAAATAAATATTACATACACTTGCTCGAAGAAATGAAAAGTTGGGCACAACAAAAAAAAAAGGGAAAACTTTATGTCTAAACATGTTGAACAAAGTGTAAAAAAAATCCAACTCCTTGCTCAAGAGCCCTTTGGAGTGTTAAGCACAAATATTAATGTTCAATGCAACAATTGTTGGCTAACCATTCTACCAGTCTCCTCACATGTTGTTGACATGAAAAAGAAGGTTTGATCCCAGGAGACTACACCAGAGAACATGAACCAGTCGTCAGCTTGGTATACATGTGTGTCTAGGTGAGTGCACTTTTCTTTTCTTTTCTTTTCTTTATTCAGTACACTTTTTATTATTACTATTGTCATTTTGCGTAATATACATATTAAAGTAATGGTACATGGAGTAAGATAAAAAATAAAAAAAAAGAAAAACGTCCTTTTCTATTCGCGTAGTCGCTTCAATTGTGAGGAGCATGAACAAACTACTTGCGACTACCGTTAGAGGCTAGTATCTCGTAGACCATTCTCAGCGTATGGAACAAAATCGACACAGGGTCTGCTGCTTGCTATGATGTGTCCATAAAAAGAAAGAAAGCCAGAATTAATTTTTTTTAAAAAAAAAAAAAAAAAAAAAGAGCACATAATGCATGCATGAATTTTAAAAATGAATGAACACTAACACTAAATTGTCCAATTGTCCGCGGAGGGTCACTGGCTGTGTTCACCTCTTCATCTGGTTCTAAAGGTGAAGACGGAATATCGGCAATGTCTCTATAGATCGTGGCAGGCACTCGAGCCTCTCTTGCTGCTTGAATATCACTCTCTCGGATCTGTTGCTTTCCACCCAGATTCTCATGTCCATCAGGTATGTTGGGGACTTCAAGAGCCAGTGGGTGAGGAAGTCTCCAATAAACATCATTTCGAAGATCAACCTGATCATACTCTGGTATTATAAATGCTGGTGTCTTAGCTGTGATAGTTGGCGAAAGCGACATCTTATCTCCGAGATCTAGGCTCCTTGACATCTCATCATCGTAGTTGTCATGGTCGCTGTAATGCTCATTATTTCCATCATTCCAGCCCATTTCCTCAGACGCTTCATCTTCGCTCAACACAGGCTCGAAAAGCTTTATAGATACAAGATCTTCATCTCTGAAACGGACAGTCTTTTTCGTTTTGTGTTGTTTCTTATGAGTATCTGTCTCCCTGTTGTGTTGATATGCTGGTTGTTCGAAATCTACCTTTGCTCTATCCTCAACAAGAATCTTGGTTGGCGTGGTTTGAGATGATGTTGAAGAGGATTGAGCACTATTTGCTGGTGGGCTGGATAGTATAGCTTGCTGTAGCTGTTGCTTATTTGTAGGCCTATCAACCACAATATTTTGACTGACAGGGCTAGTGGGCTGACGAGCGCTGTCTCTATTCGTAGCAGCGGCCCGCGGTGATGTTGGGGATGATGAGGAATATTGACGAGACCTAATTTCGCGGAAAAAATCTGGGTTTACAGAGATACGTGGCGGAGGTGCAGGCATTGCTTTATTAAACTTTGGTAGCTGAAAAAGTTCTTGCCGATTGGTATTCTAGATGACCAATAAATGATAGTTTATGTAATCAGTAGCAGAAGGAATACGAGCAGTTAGATATTCTATGCCTTTACCTCCACGGCCATGTAATCACCATTACCTGTTGATTCACCGTTGAGAGTTGGAACCTATCTGATTTAGTTCTCTTCCTTGCGGTCTCATAATGATCCCCGGAGGCAGGTCGCGATAACCTTGCTCCGCCTCTAGAGAAGCCCTCCCACGCCCGCACAAGATCAGACGCGTTTGCAACAATTTCTATAACCATAGACAGATGTAGAAAACCAATAAGGTTGGTCTAAAAGTATCGAGAGCCTATCTCAAAATATAAACTTAGTAGATCTTTGCTTACCTCGAGGCGCACTATCATCACTCGCCAGATCCTCGACCGCTTCCCGTAGTTTGCTCTTTAGAGTACCTCGCTTGAATGGAAGGTTCTTGAGCGCACGAAGAGCTGTGATCAGTAATTCTGCATACTCTGGCTCATTCTTTGCTAATGTAGCGTCCTTTATCCAAAGTCTAATCACTTCAGGCCCTTCCGACTCTACAAATCTATTTTTCGTTCAAGTGGGCCAAGGTGAATGAAAAAAAAAAAAAAAAAAAAAAAAAAAAAAAAAAAAGAGGTCAGTGATGGAGGACATAATATCATAAACAGATATGACCCCATCTACTTGAGACTGCAATAACGTATATGTCAGCCAAATACCTATACCCACCTTTCCAAGATTGCTGGCAGCTTTGTTAACACAAGTGTATTCAGAATAAAACGCTTTCCTTTCGCATCACCAGCCTGAAGCATAATCTCAACTATCGGCTCAACACTTGCTGGACTATAAATCGATCCTCCTCGAACATGCGGAGCGATCTTACCTAAGAGCTGTTTCATTGTGGATTGTATCGTAAAAATATGTAATAATGGGAGCAAAGGGTGTGAATTATTTTGTTTTTTCATCAATAAAGCTCAGCCTTGCAACTTTCACTATACATACTTTAGATCCACTGTCTTCCGAGTCAGCCTTGGAAGCAACTGACAATTTCTTGGCTTGAGTTTGTATGAATGGAGTATGCGTCCGATACGTGACAGACGAACTACCAAGGTCGCCATATCCCGGTGTTTCTTCCCTTTGAAATCTAATGAATTGTTTGTCGTTCCTTATCTAAGTTAAAAGAAGTCATTTAGCTTTATACGCACATTTGGACATAATTTAACTCACTCTTCATCGTCGCTTGACTCTGTTCCACTATCTGACAATAATATGAACACAATAACAATTGGTGTTAGAATGCGGATCAAATTAATTTTCCATTCTTGCGAGAAAAAAAACTTTGGAACTTTTTTTTTTTTTTTTTTTTTTTTTTACCTGATGCTGCTGAAGCAACTGGACTGGAATCAGGGCTGATACCAAGCAAACTCAGCTCACTCATGCGCTCCTTGTGCCGTCGATTAGCAAACCACTGATTTACCTACAAAGACATAGCAGCAGAGAGAGAGATATTTATATAGATGTATAACAGTAGCCTTTAGCTACTTTTAATTTATCATATCGTATGACTGTTTATTATTTACGCAACTCGCAAAAACTAAAATACCAACCCTTTCAACCGGTTCATCGATTTCATTAGCGAGCTTTCTCTTTATTTCAGTGGATGGTAAAGGATTCATACGAAAGGATTTTTCCAATTTCGCTGTCTGACTATCGCTGAAGCGCTTACGAGTTGCATTCAAAGTTCTAATAACAGCATTCGATTGTGATTTATGGATTGTCGGTTGGTGATAGTCTAAGGTAAATAAAAAAATAAAAATAAAAAATAAAAAATAAAAAAAAAAAAAGATGATTAATTCAACTGGAGCGATTTTTCATTTCAGATTTATATCATTATTACCTTTGAAAGACATGAGGAGGGGATCTGATGGCCTTCTATGCACGAGCCAACTTTTACGTGGTAGAACAACAGCACTCAGGAGCATCCGCCGTTTTCGTAAATCCCTAAAAGGATTATTACGCGGGCTTTTGTTTCCACCACTGCCAATGCTATTAGTGATAATGTTTGTATTGGAATATCTGCTGGTGCTGTTGCTGGGGTTGCTGATATAGCTAGGATCGACACGATTGACAGAACCTGTGTTGTTGTTGTGGTTGCCAGTATTAATTGAACTACTAGGATTGTTGGTATGTCCGCTTGCTGTTTTATTGACGGTAGGGTTGGTTTTAATGATAACGATGCTGCTATTGACACTGGTGTTATGCGCAGTATTGTTTGTGGAGCTGCTATTATTGTTATTGGTGGTGTTGGTGCTGCTAGGGTTGTTGTTCGTAGTAGCGGTGGTAGTAATGAAAGCAGTTTCATGTGGTTGCCAGTCCCGACCAGCTGATTGGGGCTGAGCTGGAACCTGAATGGTATGTTTCTTAGTCTCGTGCTCATGCATTAGCTGGAGGTGCGGTCTGTGTCGTACTAGTCGAATGATGTCATCCTCATCATCCTCCATTTCCTGCGTCTCCTCAGAGATAAGATCAGGAATAGATGCGTGAGGATAGTTATTAGGATTCGTCATGGCATGAGTGATGCGTTTCTCGTAAGTGAGGCAGGTAGAGGCCGTTAAAGTTAAAGCAGAACCTTGTGAAGTAATAATTCTACTGCTCTGGTGGCTTCGGAACTGTCCGCCATCTTAACTGCTCTAACACCTTACTACACGTGCACTGACGCGTGTTGTGTGGTGTGGATACAGGAGAGGAAACACCACAGACAATTGTTGACATTACTGTGAATAAGAGTCTGTTCCTGTTTTGGTGGCGCACCGTTGCACTGTCCTCATGATATCATCAAGAAACTGTGCATTTTTTTAACCTTATTTTTGCCGACTTGGGTTGACTTACAAATATTATGGGTCAAGTCATTCTCTTTTGTTAAACGGCTTTTTTTTTTTTTTTTTTTTTTTTTTTGACAAAAGCTTCATACAAACTCTCATTTCTCTTCTTTAATTAGCGCTGAAAAATAAAACTTAAAGGTTCCTTTTTGTCCCTATCATTCCCCATTCTTTCTCATTTCTGCTTTAAAAAAAAAAAAAAGCAAAGACAATCCTAGACTCGATTATAAGCGATTTCTCAAATGCTCACTTCTGATGCATCGAATTTGAAGCAGGCGAAAAGCGATCACAACATGCACGATTCTCAGCCAACCAAAAGCCCTGAAAGGGTGGGTAGACAACGTTCCTCTCGGATTTCCCGGCAAAAATCGTTAAGAAAGGAAAATAATAAACCTGTCGAGTCGTTGCCTCCAAAGAAAATGTTGACCCCATCTTTGACTGGGGTTAGCAATGGTGCTACTCCTCATTCCCATGCAAAACATACAAATCGACGGCTGAAAAGACCCGATACCCTGAAAGATTCGATCATAGCATATCGCATGTACTGGGCAATTGCTTTATTTTTCATCGCCATGGCTTTCACACTCTTTCCGGCACGATCGCCTATCATGAATGACGAAGGTAACTTATTGTATATTTATCCTGGGCTCATGGTAAGCCATTCCATGCTGAAAAGAAAGAATTAAAAAAACACATACTCATCCTGAGACTATCTTTGTTTAATTTCTTTAGACTCGTCCATTGCTTGGCCACCAGAAATCACATCCGCCCAATGTTTAAAGGCGTATCCAGGGAGGCCTCTGATTCAATATGTTCTCATGGTCGACGCTGGATCTATGGGGTCTAGGATCCATGCTTACAAGTTTAATTACTGTAATGCGACACCAGAGCTAGAAAGCGAAACGTTTGATCATGTAGAGCCGGGTCTTTCGTCTTATGCTGATGATGCTGAAGGTGCAGCCATGAGCCTGGATCATTTGCTGGATGCCGCTCTGGAGACCATCCCTCCATTTCTTCATCGACGTACCCCTATTGCAGTCAAGGCAACTGCAGGTCTGAGACTATTGGGCGAAGAAAAGTCGAATAGAATTTTGGCCGCCGTACGTGAAAGACTCGAATCCAAGTATCCATTCCCAATCATCGAAGAGCAAGGGGTTGCCGTTATGGACGGAGCTGATGAAGGTAAGAACTGCGTAGCTAATTTAGTATCACGAGGAGGAACCTTGAAATGTTGCTAATTGAAGCATTATACCTTCATGGTTTTTTAAGGTGTCTTTGCCTGGGTCACGGTTAACTATCTACTAGGTCGATTCAACTCTTTAAAAAAAAAGGCAACGGTTGCCATTCTAGATCTTGGTGGTGCCTCAACTCAAGTAGTGTTTGAACCACATGTGGTTGATGGTCACTCTGTTGCTCAGGGCACCCACCGATATCCTATGAGCTTCAATGGAAACGAGTATATTCTATATCAGCACTCCCATCTTGGTTACGGACTCATGATGGCACGGACCAGGATCAACAACTATTTAGTCGATAGCCCTCTCGCTCACCAACATAGCATGAACTTGAATGAGAATGAATACGCACATCCCTGCCTTCCTGTAGGTCATCGACAGGAGTTTATAACCCAAAAGGGTCAGAGTGTAGTGTTAGTTGGAGTCTCGGATCCAGGTGGGCAGTGTAGGGCAGTTGTGGAAGCCATCTTTAACAAGCAGGGCCTGTGCCAGCAACCACCATGCTCCTTCAACGGAGTCCATCAGCCGTCGTTCCAGTCATTTGTCAAGGACGATATCTATGCGTTTTCATTCTTTTTCGATCTCACGGCGCCTTTTAGACATGGTAGTGCTACATTGGCACAAGAGATGACGATTGAAGAGCTAGAGGAGCTGACGGATCGCTTATGCGTTGGCGATGAAAATGGATTCCAAGAATTTCATAGTTCTGCAGAGGCGATGAAGGAGATTCGTAAATCTAACGACCTGTGCATGGATTTGAGCTATATATATGGTTTACTCGAATATGGATATGGAGTCCCAAAGAACAGGAAGATCGTATTGGCCAAAAAGCTCAAGGGATATGAGACAGGCTGGTTTGTCGGAGCCAGCATTGCGGTACTGGAAGAGCGCGACTGGTTTCATAGTGCAATGGCCTTTTAAATTAAGCCAGAAAAAAATATATACCCATCAAATTACTGCGACTCTGAAGAGGAAGATTATATAGAGGACCCTTCCTCTTCTTTGGGCGTTAATAAAACTGCAACATCCCTACCATTCTCGTGTCCCATGTGCACTCCTGTCCCTTCCCCCTTTTTTTTCCTTACAAGGGGTATGATTGGAGGGTGAGCAAATGAGCTACTTCCGGAATATGTGAAGAGCACAGATATGTTTAGGAAAGACTTTTGTTCATTCTCCTCTTCCATTTCATTCCATCTGACATCTCGCAAATTAAGACACCTAATTCCAGGCCTTTCCTTTTACTTTTACCTTTTTTTTTTTTTTTTTTTTTTTTTTTTTTGGCTGCTTTGTACACGATTTCCCTTCTCCACAGGACTAAAGTAAAATAGAGGGACATCTCTATCAAAAATGGAAAATGGTGTCTGGAATACATTGAATAAGCTAAAGACCATGATGACAGCACCCAAGGCACAGTCTACTAGTGCCATGCAACTATCACAATTCAACGAGTGCTGGCTAAGGGTCCAGGTAACATTAAAACACATATTGTTTGTGTTTCAGAGGATGAGAATCAGAACCCTGGGAATTAAAAGGTTACTGATAAGGCTCATCGTCACTTTCATTTTTGTGGTGGATTTAATAAGGCTGCAATTTCCACACCCGAGAAAAGAAAACTAGACATCCAACAGACCAAAATCCCAGTTCATCTAAAGAATATGATCGACTCACTTGTAGTTGAGCAATCTCGTCTGGATGATGTTACGGAGACAACAGGAGTCTGCATGGAATACCTCCTCAAGAATGACTGTTTAACCAAACTAGTCAATGCTTGCGCGGAGGGCGATAGCCCACGTGGGATCGTGATCGAGACCATTCGTACTATAGCATCTATGATCAACCTGCTCTATGACCGCTTTTTAGTTCACAATGCCGTTCATAGGCCGATCGTCAAATTATTGAGGACATGCTGTGCCTCTGGGACAGAAATGGAAGGCAATGAGGGCTACCATGAGGATTTGGTTGACTTGATGTATGTTCTTTGCTCCAGGATTCATGGGTACCCTGAACTCCTCAACATCTTCTTCCACGACAAACAATGGCAGACAGTATCCACGAGATTTGTAGATGCACAAAGACTTCAGAAGAACAGGGAGACGAATGCGCTCCTGAAAAGTATAAGTCAGCATTCAGATTCGACGTTTACAAACTTGGATAATGACTCGCCTCCGAAACCTGCAGCAGAACCTATAATGTCTGGGGGAAAAGGCGGTCCTATATTCGATGACAAGGTTGACATGGATTTCCCGTCAAATTTTTCCGATTATTCATCAGATGGCACAGAATCAACAAAGACAAAATGTCCACCCAAGAAGGAGTATGAATTTTTGCTCTTCACCTATCTTTCAAAATTTGTGCATCACGAAGGCAAAGTAGGCGATTTTGCGAGAACAGGACTTCTATTTTTGATGGAGCTTGCAACAGGCTCACTAGGCGAGTATATCCAGGATTCTGAATTCGCCACATATCTGATCGCAGGTATAGGTGCTCTTTATTCACAGCTGCCTCGGAAACTCATCGTCAAAGGCGGCTCCAGTAATAATAATGGAAAAGTAGCACCAGCGCCCATGGTTCCCTCTCGACGAGCTAATATTGAATTATCGACCTCTCCTGCGTTTCGATCTCGCCTGGATGCTTTTTTGAAGGCCCTTGAGTTTTGTCAAGATATACTTGTACGATGCCCAAACACAGCGATTGCGAGGACTTTGTTGACATCGTTCAAGGTAGTATTTTTGGAAAGCATTCTATACCCATCCATCATGGAGTGCGCAGACACAGATGGAAGTGCAGTAGCAGTTATCAGTTACATCGACCAAATTCTGCAAACGTTGCAACATGAAGCTTTCGTAGATTTAGTGGTAGGGTTCCTGATGGAATCTGAAGACGATTTGGAGATGCATGGAAAGCTGTCTGAAAATATGGAGATATTTACAGAAGTTCAAAATCTTCAGACCACATCACCTTATTTCACGGCGATTGGACGATTCACATTAAAAGACTTGGTGCTCTCGCGGCTCAAGTCGCAATCGCAGCCAACAGTGATTGCAACACTAAAGCTCCTCAATACACTCATCACCCGGCATTGCAAATATGCGCTCAAATTGCTCAGCATTCAGCCAGAAAATAGGGCCTTTGACATCCGGGGTCTAAATAATGCCAACTCTTCTGTCCCAGGATCTTACCAAGATGTGCCTATGTTTAATCATCACGCCCATGAACTAGACCTATTCTACTCGCTTATCGCCGCTGTCAATCCCTATAATAATATTGAAGGCTTCTGCAGTGGCTACGATGCCTATTTACGAGATGCTGAAGGAGCCTTGTGGACACATGAACGTTTTGGAGAACCAAATAATGGCGATGCTCTGCAGAATGATGGCAAAATAGACTTAGAAGCTGAACGCAAGAAGCAACGGCGACGTAGTATGAAATATGGAGACAGGATGGATCTTTCGGATGGTCATCAGTCCCTAGAGACACCTGTGCAAGGCCATGGTAGGATATCAAGTACGAGTAGGGCGCCATCAAGTTGTAGTTGCAGCGCGACCCCAAGGCATCGACTGCTACCTTCTGAGCCACTACTTCAAATCCTCTTGGGAATACTGTCACATTTTTTTGCCCATACGGCTGAGCTCAATATTGCACTCACGGGGGTGATCACTTCGTTGGCGGTTTGTCCTAGCCGTTCTTTAGAGGGCTGGTTACTGTTCAAAGCGAGTGATATTGAGAAACCCGACATCGATTGTGAGTCTGGAGATGAATCCGAAGGCGGAAACGGAGCCTATCAGAAAGCACTATCCGAGGAAGGATCGTTTGGCCTTATTAGCGCCTTTAATTCGATAGCGCTCGAAGCGTTGACTGGTGATGCCTTCTATGATTCAGATGACGAGGACTCCATGCCTATCTTCATAAAGAATGAAGCGGACGCGCTATCGCATTGCCCACCACACTTTAAGTCCTTTCCTCCATTTTTCACAATGCTTAGGACGCTCACACAGCAGGTGGACTATTATCGAAGCGAAATCGATGGGTTTGATGATTACCTGGCAGAAAAACGGCGAGTTCTTTTGTGTTCTGACGAAGATAGCACGATTAATAGTACTTCAGTTCTATCGCAAACAACTCCTTTGAATAATCATCAGCTACTGCTGCCGAACCATCCATCTAACATGGGAAGCATGTATGGATCAAATGACTCGTTCTTTTCTATTTCAGGAGACCCTGCAGTAAACCCACGCTTGCCGGTCTCAGCCGTTGTAAGGAGACCATCCTTATCCAATTTGCTTGCAAGTGCAGTGGGGTCAACCAATCCGAGCGTCGTTGCGGATGGAAATAAGGCCGGTACGAACTCTATAGCTTCATCCTCAGTGCTACAGCAAGCCAACACTAAGACACCTGCTTCCCCCGGAAGCTCGACCATGTTTCCCACGTCGAGAGCTAGGAAGAGCAGTTCGCCACTAAGCTTAATGGCCACGCCGTCCAACCTGCCTTTCATGGTTCCTCCTGGCATGAACAGCAAGCAACGGAGGTCTATCAGCGCCAGTCCCCTTGCAGGAGGTAGTATTAGCGGTACTGCGGAGGCCCCAGCTATGCCACGCCGTCCATCTACAAACGCTGGTACTGATACTGTTACAGAAGCAGAGAGCCGAGGATTTTCTTCAACATCTTCAACGTCACAGATAAGACCCAGTTCATTATCAAAATCACTGCTAACGATGTCAGTTACGTCTAGTACGGGGTCGCCATCTAAACCCACATCAACCAGTGGTATGTTCGCCTTTGGTGCTTCCTCTCTTCAAGGACGTAGCAACATTAGCAACGGGGGCAACAATGCAACCCACAATCCGACTAGTACAGTATCCATGCTACAGACTCAAACTCGGTCCGAATCACCTGGAACCAAGCCGTTGAGCAATATCATGGAGACGATGATGATCAGGCCGTTATTTACAGATGGTTTTCTGGATGATTCAGATTGTGAGCTTGAAAATCATCTACATATCAGGGCGAAATTGAGGGGCGATCAAGAAGAGAGTGAGGAAGATAATGAGGACGAGGACGTGAGCGACAACGAAAGTAATAGCAGCAGCAATGATAATAGTGACACTAGTAATACCAATAGAGCCCACAAAGCCAGCACCGTAAATGAAGCCGAATTTAAAGCGCAGGAGCCTTTGAATCATCAAATAGCGGGAGCAGAAGTAGGAATAGGAGGAGGAGGAGGAGGAGGAGGAGAAGCAGGAGGAGGAAGAAGTATTCACATGGAAATTAAACGTGACATAGCCGACTCTTCACTCCCTCCTACCATTATATCTAATACAAGAAAGACAAGGAGAGCAAGAAAGTCATCGACTCCTGTCCAAAAGAATACGGTTCAAAAGGAAAAGATGGTGACCCTTAGTCAATTACTGACGAATGTAGTGATTCTGGAAGAAGTGGTCAAAGAAGTTGTTGCGATTGCACAGGTGCGTAGAGCCATAGGTCTAGACAAAGTACGCTTTCTATAGACCAAACAAATATATATAAATATATATAAAATTGCTGAGCAAAAAAAAGGAACGCGAACGCTTTTGCAAGGGCATTTGTATTTGCTCTGATCCTTCTCCTTGCTGTGCTTGCAATGTTTGCTATGTTTGCTCTGTTATTTACTTGCGGTCCAAGGTCTTTGGACCCATGGAGTCCATGCTCTCCAATGCTCCAAACCTCATATTCATGTTGTATTATCGAAAAATATGTCAACTGACATTGTTCTGCCTTTTTTTTTTTTTTTTTTTTTTTTGGTTCCTTTTTTTCCCTCCCCCATTTTTAGAATGTTTTTTTTTTGAAAAGGAGGAGAAAGGAGATCAGATTGTTAAGAGGTCCCAAAAGAAAAACATTTTTAATGTCAATTTCAATCAATCAAAATGAATAATAAAATAAATAAAAAAAAGTAAAAAAAAAAAAATAATGTATATTATAAATGCCGTTTTTTTTTTTTTTTTTTTTTTTTTCTTGCTTGTCTCGTCAGGGATGGAGTTATGCATTTGCAAAAATGGATAAATTCATTTAAACAAAGAGGCAATGCACCAATAAATGTATCTTCACAATGTTTAAGAATATTCAGAATAAACCTTGACGATAATTTAAACAAATAAGATGAAAGGAGAGTGGATGTTACTAAAAAGCTTTTATTTTTTAAAGTTGGGGGGTTATCGAATTGGACGGGACCTGGGCTTATTATGTCTTCATTTGTTTTCTTTTTTCTTTTTATTTCTTAATAAAGTAGGAAAAAAGTAATTTTTTTTTTTTTTTTTAGAATGAATATGATTGTTACTATTTGAAGAAATAATGCTACAGAGGCGGAGGCTGGCGTTGGATTACAAGAATGAATGAATATTAATCATTATAATAATTAACAATAATAAAATGATGTTCATAAAAATAATAAAAATGAGTGTTCACAAATATGCTTTAACAAAAAGGGATAGAAAGACTAATAGGATAGGAGATGGAGAAACGAGAAACGAAAAAGAGGGGGGATCAAGAAAAAGAGCGCATGGGTTACATTTGGCAACATTTATGCACGTCTTTGTTGTTGCTGTTGTTGTTGCTGCTGCTGCTGCTGCTTTTTCCGCAAGTTAAGCATGGCTTGCTGTTTTTGAAATTGCTCTTGTAATTCATGCTGGCGTTGCTGTACGCGTTGCAGCTCTGCCTGTGTTTCTTGTAGTAATGCGTTCATCACAAGAGGGTCTTCTTGATCCGCTTCTACTGTTGTAATGGTCGATCCCGATGATGTGCCATCAGATGTTACTGTGGCCGCTTCAGACATCATCATTGCATTACTTTCGCTGCTGTTGCTGCTGCTCTTGTTGCTACCCATCTCATCCAGAGGCTCTTGCTTAATTCTGCTCTGGTGCATCATCTGCAGATCAAAGTACTGATGCTGCAACTGGAATCCACAAGATTCGAGCTCTACACCTAATGATGATGCAGGTCGTGGTGGTGGGGGACTGTACCTGAGTGGTCCAGAATTAGCTCCAACCATTAGGTTATGCGCCATATCAGAGCTTGTCAACGGCTGTTGGACTAGCTCATGACCCACTGGTGCACCGGCGCCTGTCATTGCGGATGTCCACGATACTTGAACACCCGGATTTGGAGCTGAGAATCCAGAAGATGCCATCGTGTGGTTCGTCGAGTATGGATGATGGTGCCGAGCTGGTAAGGAAGGTCTCCTCATCAGACGGATAGCACGATGCTCAACCGCCGCTGGAGATGTAGGAGAGCTTCGCGTGAGGAGGTATGGGTGATGCTGATGATGCTGAAACTGATGCAGCTGCGACATCGGGACTGGAGACCTTGCTTGATGCGGCATTGACGTGACTCTTGAACGTACATAAGGGTGAGCTTGTTGTAGACGCTGCTGAGATTGTGAAGGTTGCTCGTAGAACTGTTGTTGATAATGAAGCTGTTGCTGCTGTTGCTGTTGTTGCTGTTGTTGCTGTTGTTGCTGTTGCATTTTAGCCAAAAAAATAGCCTCTGCGGCAGCTTTACTGCCACCCTTGGGTCGACCCCTTGGCTTTGGGATCGCATCTCGGCAAGTCAATGCTTTGGATGGATGCTTAAGACAGTTCTGGCAAGGTCGTCCAGCATCACATTTAATGTGGGACCGCTTGCAGCTTGCGCATGCAATAACAGGTGTCACCATCATGGTCATTGTTTCATCAAAGTCTGCGGAAACAGGAGAAGACGCGGTAGAGGAGTTTGTGGAAGGCGAAGGTGCGTTGGAAGATGGAGAAAGCGCAGTCGTTGTTGTCGCGGGCACGAACATTCGGAGATTCGAAAGCTCTTGAGCGCCACTACCTTGCTGCTGTATACGCGTCAAACCATTCGGAAACGTTACTGTGTTCGATGACAGGTTTGTCTCGAACTGGAACAGAGGAGCTGATGAAGGCACCACTGATGGTATTGTGGTCATACTTGTGAATAAATCAAAGTCTGGATGGAAGGGCCGCTGAGCTTGAGATGGGAATTGAAAGTGGTGAAGTTGCTGCTGTTGTTGATGATGGAAATAAAGCGGATTGGGATTTGGGGTACACATTGATGTAATGTTTAATCCTCCAGCGGGTGCAGAGGAAAATGCGATTGAGTATGCGGTAGATTCGTCTGCAGTAGACGAAGTTGTTTGGTAGAGATGGTTGGATGGATGCATGGGCTGTGTCTGCTCGAGATGTGAATGTATGTTATCGAGACTAGGATCTATCGTTGTATTACTTCCCAGACTATAATATGAACTTTCGGAAGAGGTATTTGCCATGAAGAGAGGAAAGTGGCGAAGGTGGCGAAGAGGGAGAGAATATGGAAATAAGTGGCGATATTAGTTATGATTGGTCGGTTTCTTGACGGCAACGTTGATTAAAGCCGTTGTTCTGGTGATGAAAAGAAAAGACAAAGAAAAAAAAAAAAGTCAGAACGAAGCAATTTATAGGTTACGTGCAATAAGAAAAGGTTTTTGGTTGACAAATGCCAAGAGGTTAAGGAGAATATAAATATAAACATAAACAGCTGCATCGATCAAATGTGATGACAAAATAGGATCAACCAATGTATTCCAACATACCAAAATTTTGTTTCTATTAACCTGGGGTATCGAAGCAAATTTACAAGTTTTACTTGGTCTGGAACGATTGAGTGGCAAGAGATGAAAAGACAAGGACAGGACGTGCTCTTTTTGGATTGTTTGGCAATTGGATGTTTGGACAATAAGGAAACAGGGAGGAGAGGGGGAAGTGCTGCAAGCTAAAAGGATTAACACAACACAGGATTCTGTTAGATGAGACTAGAAAAACCTTCTCGGTTCCTAATTAACACCCAGAGAGAAAAAAAAAGGTGATCTACACAGAAAAGGAAAACAAAGGGATTGGAAAAGGAGGAGAGAAAAATCAAGGGTCAAGGGGTCATGAGCAGAACGTTATTATTTTATTTATGCTGGTAAAATCCAATCGTTTGTACTGAGGGGAGAGAGAGGACAATAAGGATCAAAATACACACCTTGAAGGGAATAAAGAAGAAAAAGAGCAATATATAAAAGAAAGAGTCAGCCCAAGAGCTGTGGAGGGGCAGGTCAGAATGTACAGGGGAAGGAATGATGTGTATTGAAGTCCAAGTGGGTGTTACAAATAAGTAAGAAGTTGTATAAGTAAAAAATGTAAGGGATAGATATATAGAGGGAGCAATGTAATAGAGGAAAGGGACTAAACTACTATTAAAAAAAAAATGTATAATTTGAAGATGTAAGACGGGCGATGCTATAAGCAAGAAGAGAAGAAGAGAAGAAGAGAAGAGAAGGAGAGAGAAGAAGGAATCTCTTATTTGTTGGGAAAGTAGGAAAGAGGGGAATGATGAGGTGCTTTTTATATGTGCCGCCATTTTTCCTCGAATGTTTTTTGCCATTGTTGCCATCTAAGCTATTTGGCGGAGCATGCATGCCACTGTTTACTTTCAAATTATTTAAGAATTCAATCGACTTGTTTACTCTATTTAATTGGACTAACTGACTCACTTTGTTTTATTTATTTACTTCTTAAAAAAGGACGAATAGATTACGCCTAGTTCTTAGTTCTATTGAATAGAAACTAAATATCGAAAAGAATGAACATATAAAATAAACAAATAAATATTTTTTTCCCGCGTAATTTGTAAATATAACCAACACATAATCGCTGTATGACGGCAATGGTCGCATCCATCTGGACTACAAGTGAAGTGAATATATTGTAATCAGTCAGTCAAAACAATCACACAAACACATAAACAACAATAACAAGAAACAAGGCATAAGCACCAAACCCTAAAAAAAAAAAAAAAAGCGGCAAAAATAAAACAAAATAAAAGAGACAGACACCATATTTTTGAAAAAACGTGCGATGATCATGAAGAAAGTGTAAAGTGTATAGAATATTGGTCGAAAAAAAAAAATGAGGAAAAGGCACTGAGGTCGCTCGCAGTACAGGGCTTATGTTTGTTTGCGCAGGGTAACTCTTATAAACATCAACTTTACTCCTAATTAAATAGTTATTTGAGTTACTAGACCTTGTTTTCGGTTGGTTGAAGACGGTTCGTACTCCTTATTTTTTTTTTAACAATAACCAGGCCAGTAATGGCCATTGGAGAGATTTATCTAGCCTCTTTCCCGATCGCCAGGCTCTCTCTATACCTCCCAGTCTCTCTGTGTTACAAGCTCACAAGTCTGTTGAGCCTATCGAAACTTGTGAGTGAATAAAGAAAGAATCCACGTAATCGGGGCCTCCCTCTCCTCGACACAGCGCATAATAAATGTGGGCTCTATCAAGCTAAAGACTGTCTAGCAAGATTACAGTGGAGAAGGAAGGGAGGAGAGGTAATGATGAAAATTCAGAAAAAAAGAAAAAATAATGTTCAGCGGGATGGATAGAACATCATTCTTTTTCTTAATTGCATTTACGGTAGAAATATATTGCAACAAAGAAGGGGTCACACATGTTCAAAATTATGGTATTCTGCAGGCGGGAAAAAATGACATTTGCATTATGCTTTGGTCTTGACTTTGAAGGAGCAGGCTTTCTCTAACACAGCAACACACATTCGAAAAAAATGATTGCAAATAAAGGAAATAGAGTGTCTCTATCTTTCTGATGAGACGCTAGTACACCCCGTATACAATAACCATTGTTAAGAGAGCGAAGAGAGAGTGTGTAAAAAGAAGAGGAATGGGGAGAGAGAAAAGTGCGCATTATTTATTACACTATCCATTACTGTCCTAATCTTGTCGATAATGTTTTGTCTAAAAAAGACATCCTATCCCATCCGCCTACCATGGATAACATGGGCGCCAGCTTTTTTCTCCTATCATTGACTTAGAGTTTATCTCGTGGTCCTGAAAAGAAGATTTTTTTTTCTTGGGCGTTAGAGTGTCGCCCATGCTTTGTCCAAACATGATGACTTTTCCCGCGCTTTTTTATGCAATGCTTAGTTTGCTTTATTAATATTAGCACTACCCTATCCTGAGGAGGAGGAAGGGACGAGAGAAACCCACACACAGCAAAAAGCAAGAGAGAAGCGAAGGAGGGAAGATGACGATGACGATAAGCATGAATTTTTTTTTGCATTGTCTCAATTCTCATCCCTGAGCTTTTCCTTCTTTCCTTCGCTCCCTAACCCCCCAACCCCAACTCCTCAGTCATACGATAGTAAAGTATCACAATATTATAGTGACATGATGCTCAGAGTTCCATTGGCCATACCTTTGGTCACTAATGACCCCCTCACATTTCAGCCTCTTACTTTTTATTGAAAACATTTAGTGATAAATGTGAATATGGCGTCGGTCTTTTGCCACTCACGGAATCAGCCCATTGTATTAAGTGGAAAACTCCCAGTTTTTGCTTCGTCGCAAGACTGCTTTTATTGTTATTATAATCATTAGGGAGCCGACATTTTATTTTTTAGGCTTACTCACTGACCACTCGTCTGGATGGATCTTTTGACCAATAACCATTCAGATATGCTGGTTACCCACGAATTTGGTCCTTGGTCTGAGCGTGTTTACGTTTCTGTCTTTTTAAATATTATTGAATGAGTCAAAATAAAATTGAGACATTCAAACAACGTGTTAGTAAGAAGACCTCAAAGAGAATGAAAATAAGGGCGGGAAAAACACGAGGGTTATATTTGTTGTTATTTTTCTTTCGACAGAGAAGGAACAGGGAGGAAAGGGGATTTGAAACAAAAAAAAAAAAAAAAAAAAAAAAAAAAAGAGCAACAAACATTCAAACATCAACACCGCCAGCAAAACAAAAATGGTGAGAAGCAACGACAAAACAGACAAAAAAAAAATCGCTCTCGGCTCTCAACAATATCACTCACAAACAACTGCCTCATTTGGTTCGATTTCGCAAGAGGATTAGGATAGGAATGTTTGTTGATGGTCTTTCTTGGTTACACGCACTCTCAAAAAAAAATGGCGGGAAAAAAAAAAAAAAAAAAGACACATCCAAACAAACAATATAAAAAAGAAAGATAATAGAATAACAAGGTTTATGAATTGAATCCTAGTACCGCAAAAAAGATCAAAAGAAATAGATACACATGTTTATCGACTCACTAGAATAAAGCTTACGTGGATAGAGGTCATTCACCCCATCCTTTAAGAGAGGGTCATACCTTGTCAATAGATCTAGTCATTCAATGTCTCTCTCAGTTTTCCCGCCATTTTTTTTTCCATCTTTGTCTAGAACAAAAAAGTAAAAATCGACTGATACTAATTATTTAAGGAAACAAGGGTATCGGGAAATGCAAGAGTGGGCGTCTTTTTTTACACTGCGGAAAAAGATAAGGGCAATGGTCACCATGTCTACTCTACAGAGTGTGTACCATATTCAATTTTCTCTTATCTCCGGGCTTTCTTCTTTTTTTGTGCCCTTCTCACCTAGTATATCTAACCTCTTCCCTCTCACAGCCATGCAACGACCTTACTTATTTTGTTTTTTAACAGAAGATCCTAATGCGGTGCCTGAAACTGCGAATGAGTGATACTTGGCCTAGTGAATTCTTTGTGTCTTCTCCTTTAGCGATCTTGAGGGTCATCAGCTTCTTTAGCCTCTAAAGCGTAATATGTTGTTGAAAAGGTCACCTGGTCTGATATGTAATGTTATATTTTTAGCAATACCGATGACATTCACCCTCATGGTCTACGGGGTATGGGTTTGTGCCATTTAAGGTCAAGCGAAAGGGCGAAGTAAGCTTATTGGATGACTAATGAGGCTCTACCAAAAACTATCGGTTCATCCTTCCTTCTGATACTTTCATGGATATGAAGCAAAGCTACCAATGTGTACAATTTACAAGTACATTGATTAGAATACATTGATTGGAATGCGCCGCCAGAATAAAAGAATGCGTGGAGCGAAAAGGAAAAAGGGTATCTGAACGCAAAATAGATCATCCCCAGTCCAAACCCTTTCGTCCGAACGAGTAAACGGGCTCTTGACGCGGGAGGAAAAAGAAAAGAGCAACGCGAATACTTTCTAGTCTTAAATGCCGTGCTTCTTCTAGTTTAACCATGGTCTCAGCTTGACCAGTTTTGTTCAGGAACATTTAAAAAAAAACGTAAGAGCGCGAGTCATAAAGAGGCTCTCGGTGTGCTATCTAATTCTTGATGTTTATTGTTGTTGATAATATTGGGTTGGCGCACATATGACATTGTAAGGATAGAAGATAAAATAAAGTGAAATGAGTCGAATAATACATTCGCATTTGAGGCGCAGGCAAACGAGAGGCAAGATCAATGGTGACAAACCCGTTTTGATTTGCCATGTTCTCGTGCAATTTACAAGGCTAGCAACACATTCATGTGGGACCATTGAGGGAAAAACCAGACCACTGAGGACTATGGGATGAAGCTGAGAAGAGAAAGTAGAAGAAAAATGTGTGAACAGTAAATACGCATGCATACACGCAATGCTGGCCAGTCTGTTAAAAATACATGCAATATGTATACAATCATTGCCTCATCCGTTGCATTGCGTTGCGGTCAGCAGGCTGGAAAGCTAAAAAGGCAGCTCATTGGTGTGATCGTTTTGTTATTGAGCTATTCTTATTCTTTTTTTTTCTTTCGTTCTAATTACATGTATACACCATGTATATAATATAACTATTTGTGGTCTTCTTCCCGCTTCCTTTCACTCCCTGACTTATTTCTTCATGGAGATCATATTTACATTGAGTATTCATATTCCGGTCTATTTATTCTATTGATTTTTTTTTTTCTGTGGTGATGTATGGCATGCATGGTGATGCCGTAATGTTTGCATGCAATATGTCTATAAATTTTTATTTATTTGTAATAAGAAATAAATACATCGATAATTCAATTTCAAAAACATGTTTATAGATGTACACTTGTGTCAGGTCCACTTGTCCTACCCTACACCATGCACAATCATTGGTCTGGCCGGTAACAAGGTCAAATGAACAATCCTGTAACCGTCATAGTAAATATTTAACAACAGAACCACAACAATAGCAATGACAATAACAATAACAAAAAAAAGCGCGGGAAATTCATGGAACCATAGAAAACCTGGTTACCCAGGCCATCCTTATCCTGTCAAAAGGTAATACGGGCACGTGCGGTTTTTAGATTGACTCATTGCAACAGGAAAACTATGGGCCAACAGCGGTAAGTCATGAAGAGCATTTGGTTTTGGTTGCTGTTGTTAATTTCCTCTCCTCTTTTTTAACATACTCCTCTGTCCCTTGGAATGAAATAGTGTTGCAGTGTCTTTTATTTTGAGCAATGCTTTCAAACCCGCTTCCTCATCCTTCCTCACCCCTACCTCTAATCTTTTATTCTTTTATCCTTCATCCTCCTTCTCTCTTATTGTTTGTAAGTGAGCCCTACCCTATGGTTTCACCTAGGACCAAGGCAAATAGGAAAAGAAAGTGCATGACCATCAATGTCAGCGAACCTTCTCTTGCATGATAGCATTAATGCATGCTTACTCTTTGCTGTTGATGCTTTCTAAAAGCCTATTTTATTGCATTTACATTTGCATATATTTTTTTACCATGGCTTCCCGCGACTGCTGAGCATTTTTTCAATCAACTATTACCGTCATGAACCATCATTCATGTGCGCATAATAATGCTGGGATCCTCTTTTTGTCCTTTAAAGCCAAAAAATTGACGCCAAGATTGATATCGTTTCATGATAGATAATCTCTTCGTCGTGTACCGCAAGCACTCAAGCACTAAATTACCAACCTTACACTACACCACATTTTGCCCCATTTTATCAGATGACTTGTTTTATCGTCCGTCCTAGAAACATTCATGCGCGAACATTGAGAAACGTTTTATTTTTATTTACGCCCATTTATTTCTTCGTGCGCATTCTAAATAATGCTACTCATTGAACCATCCATAACCATCAATCAACACCTTTTTTTTTAGAAGTAAATAATGTTTACCATGATTGGTCTTTCTTCCCGTAGGCAAGGCCTCAGCATTTATATAAATATACAACCCCAACAGGGGCCTTCAAGGACCCGGCCCTCAGCCTATACCTTTGCATTATGCAGGAAGTGCCTGTAAGCCTAATTACCATCACCCCTGAAATGGATAATTGGTCTATGAATAATGGATATACTGTCAATGCTTTCTTACAGACTCAGTATTTACCTTGGTGACAACTCTACGGAGAGTTGACTAAATGGGCCTTTTAATGGATCGTGCATCTCTCTTATTAACTCTTAACCCGATGCCGCCCACTCCTCTTTATCTCTTCCTCTTCACTCACCACTGCTACTGTTGCTACCATTATCACTGGTGTTCTGAATTGATCTCTTCATATCATCTGTGACTTTACCGAATCTTCGTCCATATGGCTACATGCGGTGATAATTTAATCCTGCTGGCCCATTAAAGCACTGAAATAGTACTTTTTCAACACCATAGTCATCCTAGTAGAGCTCCATTGCATTGCTTGTTAAGAAAAAGAAAAAGAAAAGTCCCCATCCCCGGAATGGCAATTATATTTGATCGTCATTCTTTGAAACGCCACCAATCTGCACGGCCCCTTCAAAAGCGTCTGTGCGTTCGTAAGACTAACACCAAGTAGGTGCCACCAACCTTAATGCGCAGCAGCAATATTTTTTTTTACTGTTGTCGATTAGAACGTTATAAGAAAAATAACTACAATGTTTAATATCCCGGGTAGGCATTAGCAGAGAGTATTTTAGAAGAAGAAAAAGGACTGAGTTGAATTACTCAATTGACATCTATTGGTTGAGGGAAAAGTCGGTGGTGTTCTGTCAGCACAGAATCTCCCATTGCTTGATGAGCTTCCTCAAGGCCCCGCTTGATCAAGAGACCGTTCAACAAAAGCCAGTTATGGGCACAATCTTCAGAAATATGCTATTTCGACGCTATAAGTTTATGCTTTGTCTATAAAAAGCTCCAAGGGTGGGTGTGACATTTCAATGCCTCCAATAAGAATGAGGCGTAGAGGATATATCCTAATAACGTTAAAGATCGAGTTTTTTAATAGGTATGCATTGCGAATCCATGAATAATCCCTCCTACGAAAGATTCAAGCCCAGGGTGTCACCTAGCTTGGGCAGTGTACTGAAACAGACGCTTCCTCCTGCATAGTGTGTGTCAGTAATTAAAAATTGTACAGTATTTATAAAAATGAATTTTCATTAGTTTGCATCAATAATGACAAATGCCAGTCTCAGCCATGGCTCTTATTTTGTCTGACAAGACATTGAAGCTCTCAAGCTTTGCTTATGGAAACATCAGCATACGCGCCCTAGAATTTTTTTAACCCAGCCTCATGTTATGTAATAAGATCCTGGTATGCGATAATGGTCTCGTTCATGGCTATGGAATATGTATTTTCAGGTAAAAATCTACAAGTTATATTTACAAACAATCATGAGCATAACTGCAAGATGAAAAACCCTTCTTGTCTCGATCAATTTTTTGTCTATTGGGCTCTCATGCCCATTTTTTGGTTTCGATCACCTCTTTGGTTTTTTTTTTTGCTTGCTGACGCCATGATGCTGTTGTGTACATATGCTTCACTTGACTCTTATGCGTGTCCAGAAAAATGAACAGTAAATCCGCCACCATGGATCACAACAGCAATATCACAGCCCTTTCCAGAAAATATATGAAGCCATAGTCGCCTCGAGATTTTTTTTGCTCTGGAACAATGTTGCATAAGCTGACCCTGGAATGGAATCCAAATTCCTTACCAAATGAGCCGTCCCCACCCTCAAACCGGCTGGAAATGTAAAAAGCGAGCAGCAGCGACACCCATAAAAGCACGGGATTACTACGAAGAATACAGTCCCTGTCATCTTAGTCGCGTTAAGACAGCTTTAAAGTCATTTTCTAGTCATATAAAACCATGTGTATTGATCATCCTTGCCATTTATAAACAAAAATAGTGTTTAAAAAGTTAGAAACTGAGACATTAGCAAAGAAAGGAGAGATATAAGCAATGTGAAGAGAAGATGATAACCTGCACCAATTGACATAATGGATACACGGCGGCTAGAAGCTTTTTTTTTGTCTGCTATGCCTATGGCTATCAGGAATAGTTAATCGGACAGTTGGTTAGCATGGTTTTCTAAATAGCTTCAAAGAAACCCTTTGTTTTTTTATAACCCATTTCCAGTTCTAATGCTAAAGCTATAACGCAAGAGGCTATATCTTCCTGCCTAACACTGTGATGTTCGATGGGAACTAATTGAAAAGTGGAGACTAGGAAAAGCGAAGCAGCAAATGTAGAGAGGGCGGATGAGAAGGAAATGCGACGCTTAGGCACAATAGCAACATCCCTGGTTATGTTTAAAACTACTATTATCGCCAATTTCATTTGGTCATGATACCTTATATTTTTAATCTAAAAACGATGATTGAATTGTTCTGGTGGCATTTCACTACGTGACGGACTTGCAACAATACTCGTAACAAGCGAGCCAATTGGCTGCCAATACACTCGAAAGTATTCAAAAAATATAAGGTATCATGACCAAATGAAACGGGCTATAATTTCAAACTACAGCTTCGAACTGAAAGGAAAGAATGTTTAGTTGAGATGCCTGTGCGCCCGTAGTAGGATAGTCGACCTTAACCAAGAATCCACCACAACTACTTATTGATTGATCGGAAGTTGGATGCTGTGTAGTCGTTTATTTCTTGCCTCCAAAAAAGGACCAGAATCCCCGAAGCCCTCATATCTATGCATGGTTATCTTATGGACCAGAGCGTTAACATCTTTTGTTCCTTCAAGAGCAAAAAAAAAAGACTAATTCAGTTTCGGTGAATGAATTCATGAGAACACATGTGACTGAACAAACTAACATATAACGTTGCAGAACAACTAGGGGAAAACGCGTAACTCGCGACATATCCTAAAAAAGAACCAATGGACTTTTGACCAGTAAGTAGAAGCCGACGACCGACTGATAGAATGAGTAAAATACCTTAAGGGAATTACTCTTGGCTCAAAAACCAAGCCATCAGGGCCATCAGATTCTTGACCAACATAACAACAACAAGTCATTTGGACCTGACACTCTTTATTCGGAGTAAATTAAACTGGATATCAATTTCCAAACAACACATCAGCGGCGTTTATTAATGCACGGAGCATGAAAATTCAAAGAAGGGCAACTTTTACTAATCTCTGACCCTCCTCGATAACTGTTAAAAAATGGACGGGTTATTGAGGCATGAAGAAAGGGACATCCAACAATACATGGCTGGTACCTATAACTTAGATCCACATAGAAGAAAATGGCTAAGAAAACGAAGATGGGAATGTTTAGTTATACATGCCGTAAACCGGATTTGCATCACATGACTCAGTTTATCTGATACCAGGATGGTCTCGTTGGTACCTTGGATCCCCTTTCAATTGTGTCAGAAGGCAACTAAAAGGTTTCACGAGTGCCTTTACCACGTTGTTGCAGAAGCGATGTCCTCCCCAACCCAACATTACAATGCAACCGATGTTGCTCCATCTCAGACGCTACTGAAGCTGCTTTGGCGAGCTCTGACCATTTAAAAAAACTGATGTCTTTGAGATTCATTGAGCGTGATCATATCCTAAAAAAAGGACTCGGTTTTTTACTCTTTTCACATATCTTTCTACATCCATAAGCCATCCTGTCTATCAGGAAACTAACAACATTAGTTTTAATGGGATTTCGTGCCATAACAGGATGAAAAGTCTGGTGAGGGTACTAGGCATCTGTCATAATGTAAGTCTAGATCGGTCCAGGAGGGGAAACTATACCCTATTTTCTTTTAAGGTCTGTTCCCAGTCTATACATATTATATATTTTTGTGCAGTAATCATGAAGGATATAAGAAAAAAACGAACTCAATTTAAGGTGCTGTCCACAAGGCAAGGACTGTGCAGGTGCTCTGCATAAAAAATAAAAAGTCAAAAGTTATCGCTTTCGCTATTTACAGAAATACAAAAAGAATGTTGCTTCATCGAATCGAATAAGAGCAAGGGACATGCTTGGGCTTCAACTAGGACAAGGCCAAAATAGAACAGGGTAGGGGTAAAAACGACAAGGCAGGCTACGCGCTCAGCTGCATAACTTTTTTTTCCTTCTTTCCCTCTCGATCGTTCTCTGCTTTTCATCTTCACTCTTTCTTCATACTCTTTTCCTTGACCCCACACCTCATTCACTCCTCCATTCACATTCAGTCGTGGAACTCATTTCATTTCCCTTCTTCCTACAGACTTTCTCTTTTATCCCTATTCTTTGTGAAACACGAATTATAATCCGTATGACAACATTATCAAAATCATTCAAGGGGCTTTTCCCCTGGTCCCCACGAATATGTCGTACCCATCATCGAGTTTTAATTCTTCTTGCTACACTCCTTTTCATCTCTTCAGGATCGTTAGTGATCCTGCATTTGACCCATACCCCATCAACTAGTACAAGTCAACTCCAAGATCCCTATTCCTCCTTTTCATCCAGCTCATCCTCTATTACTCGCTGGACCGCTGGAGGGTTCAAGAGTAGAAGTTACAACCATCAACACTGGGATAAGAATAAGGTACTTGATGGCTACGATGATACTGAAGGCCAAGGGAATGACCAGAGGCAAATTTTTGATCAAGACCAGGAAGATGAAAACAAAGACTTTATCAAGTTCATCCACAACAATCCTGAAAAGGATCCATATCGGACAACGTTTGGCCGACCTAGGGCTGCATTACCTCACCGCAACACATTTAATGATGAGCGAAAGCAAATGTTGATGCAACAGCAGCTTGAAGCTCAAGAACAGCAACTAAAGCGCTCACATGAACAGATCCCTGAAGCCCAGCAAGATTCAATACCACCTCATATTGCCTCATCGGAACAAGGTCAAGAAGATCAAGAACGTCAACATCAACACCACTCGTCAACTCCTAAAGAGCAAACTTCCACAGAATCCGGCCAGGAATCAAGCCTGAAAGAATTAATTGACATCCCTAGTAACAACATCAACAGCAACAAGGGTGTTATTAATGATAGAAGAAGTGATAGTGAAGACAATAACAGTAGTGGCAGTGGCGACGATGAATACATTCGCCAAAGTGCTCTGGATCCTCGCCCGTTTGAAGACATCTTGCAGCAACAAGCTGGCGCTAACGCTAACATCAAAGCACCGACTCGATACTTGACGTATCTACCCTACGCAGGCATCACAAATCAGTTTTATGGAATGCTGCGTGGCATGGAAATAGCCAAAGCTTTAGGTCGCACCTTAATCATTCCTCCGATCACTTCCTCCAGCCACGACAAGTCTAAGCAGAACCAACCTTGGTCCAAATTTCTAGATCTGAAAAAGTTTTCTCAGCTGACTGGGGCCAACGTGGTCGAATTCCATGAATTACGAGACCAGGAACGGACTCCTTACAACCAAATACTGTGCCGCATCACCTGTGGATTCGGATCTAAGCGATCGATCGACTTCACTGCGAAAGCCTTTCTAAGGCAATGGCGTCTCAATGCCACACTGACACCCCTCCCGGTGGATGATGGGAAGCTCGAGACGATTCTCTCGACTTTGGAACCCTATGATACAGATAAGCACATCTGTGTCTCGAATACATACAAAGTTGCTGTCAAAGACAAGTCTGAATGGGAGAAATTTGGCCAACACCTACATTTTACGCAGGAACTAGAACAATTTGTCCAGCGGTTCCTAGACAAAACCCTGAGTGTCAACAGAATTTCAGCTTCTGAAGTATCTGTATCAACACCAGCAACAGTATCAGACAATGAAGATAATAGCCAAGGTTCCCCTGCTACTACCCTTGATCGTCATCGATATATTGCGGTCCATGTTCGTCGCGGTGATTTTGCAAAGTATTGTGAAGGGAACTTTGCAGGAGCCAAGATGATTCATTGTCTTCCCACTACAGACCAGATTGCAGAGCGAGTCAATCAAATCCAAGAACAACTGAACCCTACTCTAGATGATCCATCTCAAATGCTTCCAGTCTTTGTGGCTACTAATGAACGAGACCCTCAAGAGCTGAGACGCTTTGCGAATCTGGGCTGGCAATTCTTGGACCATGAGACCATGAGGACCATCGAAACTCTGGGTGTTTTTGGGCCAATGATGGTCGACCAGGTCTTTATGGCCTATGCAGAAGCTCTGGTAGGGATTCAAATGAGCACATTTTCACGAGTTGGGGCACTCAGACAACGAGATTGGCGAGGTCGTCAAGTTGAATACATGTGATAAACCTATGTTTACAAAAGAAATAGAGAAGTGCTTTCACTCATTGCTTTGCTTTGCAACGTCATCTGAACTATCACATGGACTATGAAATACTCCGCAAAATCAAAATATGATATCAAGTACCGGACCCATTTATAAACAAATATACCATCGCGTTTCTTTTGAATGTATATTTTTTATTTCTTTCCTTATTATGTTGTGGCTCTTTCTGCAAAATAATTGAAAAAAGGACTTGATGATAAATTACAGGGCATCATGAGTGGAACAAAGACAGTTGCAGTCGCTGACAGGACATTGTGTGTGTCGGTCGAACCATTCTGCCATATGCATAGCATGACCACCGTGCCGGCAAGTCTGACACCAAGTGAACCATAAATCAAAACTCGTCGGTTCTTTATATATATATATATATATATATAAAATAAAAATAAAAAAATAAAAAAAGTAATTAGACCCAGAGCAATCATCTGATTGATAATCAGTCGAGACGCTTGTTCATTCACTTACTTTCGCCAGTTACTTTATGGCCAAGGCTAGACCATGCACCCAGTGATGCGTTGCCTTCTGCTGGTACACCAAGATGAAGCAAACAAATGGCACATCGAGGAAGCGGTTTGCTACAACTGGGACACACAACGGCCTTTGAGCTGGTAGAGGGTCCTGATCCAGGCGCACCTCCAGGAATTCCCCCTGCACTTTGACCTCCCATCCCTCCGCCCATGGATCCTTGTTTATCATGGCCATGCAGGGCGCTGCCATGTCCGCTTATTCCTGGCCCACCGCTTCCCTGAACCAGTAAGCGACGGCCATCACGGCCGCGTACTCCAGGAATGAGCAGATTCCTTGCAATGCTCTGGTTGCAAAAGTTACAGCGAACGTAAATCTGGGTCGGCGTCACGTCAGCTGCAGACACACCGCTCAAGGTGCTCTGCTGTATACACCGTCCTCGAGCGATATCAAAACGTGCCCGTGTATAGTAAAGCTGCCAGCGATCGAGTAAATCCCGATACCCCTCAACCCACTCTTCAACACGTGGATCTTTGAAATACCGAGGTACCGCGACAGAAGATGCCAGTGCAACTGTCTGAATATCGCCTGTACGGTTAACATAGTTAGTGAACAAGTCCAAACCCGTCTCTGTAAGTCCAGTAAGGATAATACCATCGATTTCCCCTGCATTTATATGCGTCTCTGCCGTAGATTGGATATAGGCCATTAACTATTTTGCAGAAATTAATAATTTTCCGAAATATGTCAGAAATACCATAACTATCTTCTTATTTTTCTCACATGGTAACACTTCCAAAGTAGGGTCTCAAGAACGTATCTGTTTGATTTTACCTCATCATCACTCAAGAACCTTAACGCAACCCCCACACGATCAGCAAGCGACAAGCTCTTTTCTTCTAATACATCTCGCCAGTCACCTGAAGCGATATAGCTAAAAATGGCTCGAATATATGGGTTCGATTGAGATTGGCTGTGAATCCTGCATTGTGCTCTCCATGTGTTATTTGACGCTTTTTCGTTGTTCATCCCGAGTCCAACTGACGGTGTGTTAATGTGGTTTTTATTGAAGCCAGCTACAACAATCGACATCAATTTGAGTTTGTCATCTAAAACATATTGAAGTCGGCGATTCGTTAAAAGCAACTGAAGTCAGCATCACACGCTCTTTATCATCCTTTCATTTCGTTAGTCAGGCTTCCATGTGACTAATGATCGTCACCTACCTCCATGACCAAGGACTTCGATGGCGAGATCCAGCTCGCCATGAAAGAATGCCCATCCCGCAGCAACCTCGTAACTTCCTTCATCCTCCAACCTAATGGCAAAGATTTGGAAGGGAGACAAAAGCAGATAAGAAAGGGAATGGAATTGGCGGGCGGAATGAATTGTGCATGGCCTTCCAATTAGTACCTTTCAACTGTTCTTTTAAGGTCGGAACGGAGTAGCTCTGATCCACAAAGCTTTAAACCGAGCTTACGCTGAGCCAACTTCAAAGTAGGGACGATAGGAATTTCATCCGCCTGCTTCGAGAGTTGCGTAGATAGATCAGAGGAGGCGCGTGGTAGAGGTGACATCGTGCGAGGAGTGCTCGAAGGTGTAGACCTCCTTGATACTAAAGTTAAAACATAAAGAAAATCATTCAAACGTAAAAGTTTAGATTCGCGATGGGTCATCGAGCTAAAAAAAAAAAAAAAAAAAAAAAAAAAAAGGAAACATTGCTTTAAATATATCTACCTCCATTTCCTAGAAGCACTGGCAAGACCCCTTGATAGCTAAAATCAAACTTCCCGATACGTGCACCATCCCTTTGAGCAATCCTTTCTGCACGTAGCATCCAAGCCCAAAAATCTTTAAGCGCTCCCGCCCCAACCAAGCCGAGATTTGCAGCGGCATCCATAGAATATCCTTTGATAGCACCTTCCCGCATTGTGACTGAAACATCCTCTTCTAATCCAACATCCACCTGCGCAGCAGTGGCTGAGGACCACCCGTTATTGACTACGGTAGTCAGTGGAAGCCTTCGCGTTGATTCTGCAACGCCATTAGCAATGCCATTCACTTTAGAAGCTTCCGTACTTAATGGCGCTGGATGGCCACCAGGAAGCATAACGCTGATCGGTGGTGGGGGGTTGCTAGAACTACCATCTGAAGGAGATTCTCCATTCACTTTTCTGTTAGCTGGAAGTTGTAGATTAAGGATTTTGGAATTGCGCTTCCGCATTTCTGAAAACGGCAGCTGTGGAGCTGGTTCTGCAGTGGTTGCATTGAGTGAACGCTGGCTTGGGAAGCAAGAAACTTTGTTTCCGTCCGACACCACTAACGCACCTCTGGGCTCCCAAGCGATGTGAGACGTCTCTTTGAGGACAGTAGTTTCGATGAGCGACTCCTTATTGATTGAGATGAGCCCTGAAGTCGAATTGGATACATAGGATGGGATCCAGGCGAATGATTGAAGCGATTTTGAAGAGGGCTTTGTTCGACGCGATTTCCATAGGATTGGGACCCCAATTTCTAACTCGTCCGACTCTGATTCTCGGACAGTCTGCAGACCTTCTCTGTCATGAGATCTTGATAGTAAGCCGCTCGTGCTTCCTGAGCTTTGTTGTAAATTAGCCTCCAAGTTATGATTACTGTCCATCCTAGAAATACTCCTTGGAGCACGAACTGTTCCTTCTTGAATGTCCCAAACTTTCAAACATAATGCTTCCTTGGCTAATGAAGCAATCAGTCCGGACCGTTGTGGGTTAAACTGTATTCGGACCAAAGGTGATTTTTGTGGACCAGCATCGAATGAAAGAATTGGTTGTGAGGCTTTGCGGACATCCCAGATCTGGATGTTGCCGTCGTCTGTGCATGAAGCCATCCGATCTTCATGGAAAGGATCCATACAGAGCCCATGAACAGCTTTTGTTGAAATTACCAGAGATGATGGAGATGTAGCATCCTCTCTGGTATCGTAAACCCGAATGTACTTCATACCCATTCCAGCCGCTAGCACTCTAGGTGCACGTGTGAACCAAGCACAGGAAGAGATGACTTCGCTGGAACCGTATTGCCGCATTGCCTCTTTACTGCCAGAGTGATCAAAACTGCTAGCATTCAAGGCTCGTGCGGTTCCAGTGTTTTCCGCAAGCGATAGTGGATTCATAGATAGACGAGTGTCAAAGTAGCCCTCAGCAATGTCCGATCCTCTTCCGAATCTCGAAGTTTGAAAGCTCCCTGTAGTTGAGCGGTGGCTAGCTGTGATAGGTCCAGATGGAGCATAGTTCGATTCTGATGGTGCTGGCGTGGACTGCCCAATATCCCATACCATCAGACAATAGTCATTACGTACTTTATCCAAGCCAACCGCTAGAAAATTAGGCAGTTCTTTTGAAAATGCCACAACATTACAGGCTCTTGAGTGACGAGCGCTGAATGAAGGATATGTTCTCTGATTCTGAGCTACAGATACTTGTCTGGGCGTATCTGGACGAAACTCATTCCCTTGATTTTCAAAAACCCATGGCTCTGATCTGTGCATGCGAATAAGAAGCGTCCTTCCAGTAGTCAATCCAACAGCTGTCAGATCCAAGTAGTTCGGGTCTGGCGACCATGTAAAGCACTATCAAAGCATATATATCGTGTCAATCCACGATTACATTCCGTCTTGCGCCCAATACCAGTCACAGCAATCCTGCGCCTGGCTTCTTTTTTTTTACCTTCATTAAGGACACATCAGTGTTGACTGCAATAGGTGTAGCATGAGGTTTGCCTTCTGAATCCTAGGGTATTTTTATAGAGGGCAGTGATTGTCAAAACAAGCACATGTTTCTACATATTTATGCCATACACCTATATGTTCTCAACCCAAAAAAAAAAAAAAAAAAAAAAAAAGAAAATACCTCCGGTGTCCACTGAAAGAGACGTAGCTCAGTTGAGCCAAGCAGAAACTGATTGTGGTTTGGGTGAGGTGACCACAACAAGCGATGAGGTCTGGCAGTGGTCATGTCGGGAAAGCCCGATCGCAGGCACGCTAATTGGGATGTCGAGTGGGAATGGTGCGATCCTGCATATTGGTCAGGAACTAACAGGCTCGCTTCTCTCTACTTTGTGCGTGGCTTGCCCGTGCCATGTGACAAGCAAAAAAAATTGCCTTCAATGGACGACGCGTCAAAGTCAGACAAAATAAATCTACTGCATCATAAATCGGCGCAGATCTTCAAAACCCGCGCACGAAGCTCTTTAAAACAAATAAACATAAAAAACTATAATATTTTGCAAAACGCCGTTGTATATGTATATACATTTATTTCCTGTGTATTTGTCCATTATCTTAGGGATGAGGAAGCATACGCCAATATCGAGTATACCCTGATGAGCACCAATTCACGCTCTTTAGAACCAAATCAACTATATTTACCAGGTATACACCAAGGGATGTTGTGGAAGCGAAGATGAGGATCGCAAGCAAAACCCCGTGGGCCCACACCTTCTTTTTCCGTTTCCTTGCTTTCTATTTTCGAGAACTCAGTTTCCAGGAAATCTTAAACGACGGACTAAAAGGTGGATAACCTTTCTTCGACTTGCATTCCTTTTCCCTCCTTCTTTACATTCCACTTCTTTTTTCTTGATTTTTTACAAAATCCCTTCTCATCCCCTTCCGCGTTTGTCTATACACAATCCACGTATTCATGTTGTCCTCACTCTGCTACACATCTGATGGAACATACCTCTATGCCTTTGCATTCGGATATATGACTAATATAGCAGCCACCTCTTTAAAGCTCGAATTGATACTCTTTCGGTCAAATCCTTATCCGACATCTGTAACCTCTCTGGAATGGGATGTCATCTTGTCGACCTAGGAAGCCCAGCCCAAGCGTTCTTTCCCCGCAATGCTTTCAATTACATTTGTACTTGAAACCTCTCGACTGCAAGTTTCGGTTTATCTACATAACTCAATCCCTACACGAGTTATTCTCCAGGCTTTTTCGGCTCTATATGGGTATTTCCCCCTCCAACCAAAGTACTATCGTGAAACAGCCCATAAACTTCTCAGCCATCCCTGTATAGGCACTAAAAGCCAGCCGCGCATTGTTCTTGCCAGTGAAGCATCATGGCCAGGCAGGCATTACTGGCTGTTGATTTCAAATATACTCAAGCAATCTGGCGTGAGGTTCAATTTATTTGAAGTTACAAGGAGTATCCTGATCTTCCGACTGCTTCATGGAGAACGGTAAAGAAAACAAAAACAGAAAAAAAAAATACCTTAACGCAAGCTTGATGTGAAACTAAAATACCATTGAATGGCTATAATTCTGCTTAGGAACCATTTGTCACTGAGCAGGATTGAGCCTTTGCCCACTCTAATGGCACTCTCTATGAACTAGGGACAACACTCGACACTTTTTAAACATCCATCATCCCACTGAATATTTCGACATCTATCCCTTCACGATACCCTTCTATGGCCAAGCTTGTCCCCACTGCACTTTGGCAGGTGACAAAACTGAAACGTATGGCAACAAGGGCACCGTGTACATTATGCGCTGTCGCGCAAACGTAAGGCTCTGCCAAAGTTATGATAGCCACTTATTGCAGCTGGCATGTTAACAATGGCAACAACGTTAAACGAGGCTTTTTTTTTTTTTTTTTTAAATAAAAAAAGCCCATTAGTGATCTTGGGCAATTTCCATACGGAATCTATTAGTTTAATGGAAATCATGCTCATAAATCGGGATCAATCGCTGTTGAGCGAGAAATAACATATGACGTGAATGACTCGCCCTCCTTTCCCGTCCCAGAGAACGGTACTTGACCTTTCTGTACGACAATCGTAGATGGAGTGCGTCAATATGGCTTAAAAATCGGGAGCAATGTATGAGATTATCAGGAAGAGTCGATATTTTTCACTACTACCGACTACTTTGACGATGCGCCCCGGCTCAACCCAATCCTTCCAAGTCAGGTTCGGATACTGTGCTCATCACCATGGCCATTGTCTATGTATTTGGTCTGGGTACCGCCGCACAGCTTACGTACAAACATTTCATACAGAAAAAACTGCCTGTAGAGCAAGAGCCGCGCCCCTGTTTTGGAACTGCTGTAATCTCACTGGAAACTATCTCATCTGAGCAACGCAAGATCTGCAAGGGCACGAATCGAACACTCTATGGCGAATATGCCTTTGATGCGCCCCCGGTATATGATGCCCACAATACTGACAACCCTATAACCCCTCCGCATGGTCTCCCTGCTGAGCCGCCCAGTTACACTACTGCCGTCTCAGACGAGCTCCCTCAAATAGAGAGCCAACTAAAGCCATTGTAACAAATTCTCCGGATGTCCCAAGCTTACCCAGCGGGATAGGATCCAATGATGCATAAAAACATATGTATCTTGGTCACTTACCTCTAGAGATTTAAAATATAATTACTGTAATATCTATCTCTCGTTCTCTAAACTCTATATTTATTTGCTGCGACAGCCCCTGAAGGATATTGAATCTCTTTTTTAATGTGAGATCAGCGAGCAAAAGTAAAATTGGTAATTGACTGATAGCGGAACAAATTATGGATTTGGTATTTAACAATTGATCAAGACCTTTTAAAAACACAAAGCAATTTTTTTCAAGAACAAAACAAAGGCCGATAAGATTGAAACTTTTTTTTTTTTTTTTTTTTTTTTTTTTTTTTTTCGAACAATGGCCGGCAATTAGCCGCCGCAGTAATGCAAGAAGGCAAAATAATAGATTGGAGTTTTGTGAATCTCCTCTTTAGTTTTGTTTTCAACACAAACATCAATTCGATCAGTAAACAAAGTTGCTATTGTGTACAGGTATTTATATTGCGCTGCGATACTGCAAACAGTATGAATATTCCCATGCTTTGTGATGATGAAGAGGAGAAAGATAGTAACAAATGCGTTATCAGCTTACTGTTTGTCTTTTTTTTCTTTTTTCTCTTAATAAATTGAAAAATGATATCTTGTTGTATGTGGCAATTATTTCAGGATGATGACACTTACCGTGTCTTGAAATGATAAGCTTCTGGTGAGAAGTGACCATACAGCAACCGGCCACTTTCATTACCGTTCAACTATCCCTGCGACACAGTATATTGATACCGACGCCCGCCGCCACACCGATTTAGTATATAGCCCCTTGTATTGAGTGACTCAACATTCTTGGCTAAGAGGCCACCACTACTGCTCGCGGAAGACGGGCTACCTTTACGAACGCCTCCACGGCCTGAGATGGATTTTGGGGCCAGATTTGAGGACCGGAACATGCACGGATAGGATACCGTTATGAGTTGCTGAGTCGGGCGTCGAAGGGGGAGCATGGACGGACTGTAGAAAATCGATGAGGCCATTGCTCGGTCTGTCGACATGGATGTGCCAAAGGACAAGGAGTTACTGGCAACCGCAGTTTGTTTATCCATTCGGGCACACTCCATAGAGCAGTAAACTGCATCAAGCTCATACACGTGTTTTTCACAGAAAAGACACCAGTCAGAGTCCATTGTTGTGGCAGCGAGAGTGAAAGAGAGGTAGAGAAAGGAAATAGAATTGGTTTTGGAAGGTGGTTTTGATATTGTAACACTGTTGAGTCGTAAGACGAATGAAGAAAGGAATGAGAAATGAGAAATGAGAAATAGAAATGAGAAGGAAGAGAATTATATATTTATAGTAAAGACGTTTTTATACCTGTCGCAGTGACGATACTTAACCGTTACTATGCCATATTTTTTACTTGGTACTATATGCCTATATGCTGCGGACTGAAATGGGTAGGGGCCTTGTCATTTGAATATGTCGAAAAGGGACATCACCCTTTGAGTTTGCTGTTTATCTCTTTCTCTTATACGTGGTACCTCACATTGTACAGCAGTCAATTAGAATGTCCATTGATGCTAACAAATCCGATCTTCTTGTTAAAACTGCAGGATATGCTTGCATTAATAAAGGTATTAAAACAAACAGCTTTGCAAAAAACAACTTTATACGACGCCACCAAAAAGTAATATTTTCCAACCAATCAAATATGCCACTGTCAGGCTAAAAAAAAGGGGGGAAACAGACTGGAACATATTAGACTTCACTTACTTCTCTTGTCTTGCCACCTTTGCATCCACCACACAGCATTTACTTACCCAATCCAGTATTCATTCGTGGCTGGTCGTCCTTACTTGTATACTTTCAACTCCTCATTCTTCATCCTTTCATTACTTTCAAGAATGTCAGAAGAAGAACCTAAAGAACGACGGCACCCCATCCTTTATCAGGGGCGAGCCTGGGGTTCCTTCCAATACACCCGCAGCGGCCAGCCTTATACAATTCGCTTTACTAAAGATGTTGGCCAGGGCTACTCAGGCACCCTTGGCTACATCTTTGGTTGCCGTTCAGATTGTGATGTTGTGTATGTTAAGCTATTTTTATTATTATTTACCTTTATTTCTATAGTTTCCTGGCCCCACATGATCGCTTTCGTGCTTGAAAACAAATTTTCTACGGTATGAGTTACCTTATTTTTTTCTCGCATTAATCCAATCTTTAGTCTTCCTACAAGTGCTACAAGTGACTTGATCAGCGTACAACAGTTTCTTGTATACAAAGAGATTGATTGTGGTGTTGAATGTGTCTATTTGCGTGACTTAAGGTAACCGAAAGAGTTTTTTTGAGTGAAAGTTCTTGCAAAGTTAATTTTGATTCTCAGCTAAATAACAATTCTCCATAGTGACAATGGCACGTTTGTGAATGGCACAATTATTGGGCAAGGAAAAATAATTCGGCTGCAACATGGTGATACCATCAGCTACTTGCATTCACGCAAAGATGATAAAGATGGCAAGTATTCAACTTTTTTCTTCATCTCTTTACTTACTTTATTCACGGACTACTCAGCTTGCTCGATATCAAATCCCAACGGTTTTTTAATCTTTCATTAATTTACTTTTTACTGGATCTATGGTTTATAGTCCTTGGACGTGTTTATAAATTTCAAAATGGTGATCAAGACGATGACTTGGTAAATTTGTTAGTCCGTCTGCTTTTTCTACTACTCTTTGTTCATGAATTAGAGGTTTGTTCATAATGTCCAATGAAATGTAACTAAATAATCCACAATTCGCAACAACATTGAAATGAGAACTAGACATTCGATAGCCAATTTGTCCTTGGAGATCCACTGGGTCGTGGAGGCTTCGCCATTGTTTACAAAACAACAGAAAAGAAAACTGATACAATATATGCGGTCAAGGTCTACAAGAAGAGTACAAACTTTAACCGCAAAATGATCCTAAGTCTCCAACGCGAAATTGGAGCCTTGATGAGCATTGATCACGTATGTCCTGGGCTATTTTTTTTTTTTGTCGTCACCATCGTCGTTATGTTCTGCTTTACACCAAAGCTAACCTTTCCCCAACCTCCATTCCTTATTATAATGGATCTTTAAAGCCAAATCTCTTAAAAATATATAAGGTTTTCAGTGAAGAGACCAATCACTACGTGGTGATCGAATAGTAAGCATATGCCGGATGCTGATATATCACGACCTAAAATAAAACCCATTAGTCTACTAATTCTAATTTTTCTTCGTTTGTTTTTGTATCGCCTAGTGCTAAAGGTGGAGAACTTTTTGACATCGTCAAGAAGAAAGGTCAATTCACAGAGCCAGAGGCGAGGTTAGTCTTTCAACAGATACTTCAAGGCGTTAAATATCTCCATGACCGAGGGATTGTCCACAGAGACTTGAAACTAGAAAATATTTTGCTCATGGATAAGGAAACTCTTACAGTCAAGATCTCGGATTTTGGGCTATCTACTGTCACTGGGGAACAGAGCTTTTTGAGAACCGTGTGCGGGACGCCTAGTTATGGTACTTAGAAATACCAATGCTTTTCAGGACCATATTATAGGGCAGCTTCTCATGAAATTTAGATTCGCTCTTTTGATCTATCATTAGTTGCCCCAGAAGTGCTTCGGAACGAGGCATATGGGAAACCGGTCGATATGTGGAGTCTTGGTGTTGTCCTCTACATCCTCTTGTGCGGATTTCCGCCGTTCAGTGGTAAGATGGGTTAAAATTTACGCATCTTTCTCATCTTCTACTTTAACGACCAAATTTCCCCGTCATATTCTAAAATTGATATGTCCTAGACGATCTCGCTCCACCAGCATTAAGAGTTCAAGTCCTGGAGAACCTATACACTTTCCCCATGCCTTATTGGGATGAGATAACAGACGAAGCAATGGAATTGGTCGAGGCGCTTCTACACGAAGACACGGGAAAGCGACTCACTGTGGATGCTGCGCTCGCGCATATCTGGATGCAGCTTAAGGTAACGATCATGAAGCAAGCGAAACTATAACTCTGTATAAAACAAATATACGCTCAAAGTAAATGTTTTCAACCCTGGTTTCTAAGCTTTTTCTTTTCTCTTTTTCCCCGCTCTTTACTTTTCTTTCTTTTTTCTTTCTTTTTTCAATACATTGACGATATAGGACAATGAAGGGACAATATCACAAAAGACTAGCGCCGATGGCCAACCCAAAGTTCACAAGATGATCAGCAGAATCAGGAGTCATAATACGTCGCAGAAGTCACTACAGTCCCAGCCCTCTTCACAATCAATGAAAACCGTATCTATGGGGTCATTTGCAGACAGCGTTAAAGGTTCGTGTAGTGCTAGTACACAAGCTTTTGCCAAGTCTGCTTCTCCAGAGATCCTCTCTCAGCATGATGTCATGGCATCACCTCCTACTTCGACACCTTCACCTGTATTGACGCAAGGTGCTGATAATGGTCAGTCGGTGACTACTGCGCTAGACAGTAGTAAGAACATAGGGGGAAACATGGAGAACAAGAGCGATGACCACGATGCAACGAACCATCCTGAGCTGCCACCCAAACCCGCTTCTACCGCGCGCGAGGTGATAACCGCCATTGACTCCGTCCTGGCCGTCTGTGACTCGTTTCTGAACCCTGATGTAGCTGATGCGCGCTTCAAAAAGCGACGCTTCACTTGACCCTAAAAAATACCACCATGAATGTTGTTCTCTACTCCTCCCACATATTAGATCAGAATGACCTATCACATATTAATATTGGATCTGCGCTGCTTGGGTAAAAAAAAAAAAAATGAAGATTCGGCTGGCCATATCTTCTTTTTTTGTTACTATTTATCCACTCACACACTTCTTCTATAAACTGCCAGAGCCTTGTAAATAAATAAATAAAAGTATCTTTTGCTGTCCTCAATGTGCTATGTACAGAAAAATATGCCTTGCGTGATTTGTTTTTGTTTTAGCACAAAAGACACAAAAGATTACATTGATAGTTATCAGCCTGTCTGAGTCAGATTGTGAGGATGTGTGCTACATAGAATAGCCTTACAAATTGCCTTCAAAAGGGTTACAACTGTCAGGATCGATTAAATCGGGTCTTTGAAGCTTCAGCAACTTTTTGAGACTATTTGGCGGCCTTAAGACAAAAGAGGGCAGCAGTCGCCCAGGGGAAAGCCCGAAATCCTAGAAAAATGCCACAATCCTACGCTATCTTACCAAAGCTTTAGGACAAAAGATTTTATGAGGTTATGAGGCATTGTTTAATGGAAAAATGACATTCATCCATATGAAAAGATTGCTACATGCTGAAAAAGGCGCTTTCTGGGTGCTCTGAACCTGTTTAAGTCGGTATAGGTTGGTCTGATAACAAGCATCCCGATTTCCCTATTGCTATATCTCACTAATACCAACCACACTGTTTGATCTGTTCTACCGTATCATGACCGAAAATCAAGCTCTCTAAATTCGAGGAAGAATTAATCTAATTGGCAGCCCATTCTAAACATAGTAATTTTTGCCTATTTTCTGAGGCTGTCACCTAATTTCACACACTTGGATAGCAACTGGGTTGCCAAATAATGAAGCTATTTGCACGAGGGTTATTATTTCTGTTGGATGTCAACAAGTTCAACAGGAGCTCTTGTGCTTCCCATCAATACAGGACTCTCCTTAGTAAACGAGATACAAGAGTTTTTACAGATATAACAAAAAAAAAAATAGAGGCCAAATAACACTAGGTAGGTTGCCAAGCAAATCATGAGGGTGCTCCTTGATAGCTGGGGTGCCGAAGAGAGTCTTCAAAGTTGATTGGCAATGGATTGCCAAATAATATATGGTACCTGAGCTACCAATTAGACTAATTCTTTGAGGAATGTCTGATCCATTAATACGCATGGTCAGTTGTATTTATACCAGGATTAATCTATTTGGCAGCCCATTACCAAATATGATCAGTTTTGAAAAATCTCTTTGGCAGCCCAGCTGCCAAATAGCACCCTTATAAAAAAAAGTATTTGCACGGTCCCGTACACACCTTACTTACACTGTTCCACCCTTGGAAATAAAAAAAAAATTAAGCGGAGTGTTTATTTATGGACATATTGATACCTTGGTGCTGTAAGCAAAGTCACTCATTTCAAGTCCAATTGTCGTCGCTCCATCCGAGCCGCTAACAGGCATCGAAGCGCAACTTATTCATATGGGTTTTACTCTTTCTGACAAACACTAATATTCGTAATTACATGGTGAGTGCAACAAGGCGTAGTGTGTGGCCAATCAACCTTTTCAAATTAGTTTTGCAAAACATTATTTGGCAGCCCCAAAAAATAAGCTGTCAAATAATAGCAAAAATTACTGTATTTGATATGGGCTGCCAAATAGATTAATCCAAAAAATTATGGATGAAGTTATTTGTAAGGCCCCCGTGCAAATAAATTTTCACATACAAAAAAAATTATTTGCACTGAAACGTACACACTCTATTTACACTGCTCCCCCCGTACAAATAAAAAAAAGTTATTTGCACGGGGGGTCTTTTTTTTATTTGCACGGGGTCTCTTTTTTATCTACAAGCAGCAACGTGTATCCTACAGACTACATGATTCTGGCTTTATATAAATAAGTGGAGGTGAGTCTAGAGTAGAGAGGGGTCTGGAATTATTACTGGTGGAAGTTGCAGCGCCGTGGGAGCTGCCAAACAGCTCATTTGTGACATACAAAAATACTACCATTAGACCCATATAGCGTATACGATGATTTAAATTACCACTCACGTGGGGCAGACAAGAACCCTCTCTTTGTCCTCCTTAGTTGGTGCAATGTTTTAACCTAATTGATATAACTTACTATGTATGTAATATGGAGCTAAAGTTCACCTTTTATTAATGAGGCAATGTGGATAATCACTGAAGTTTTTGGGCAGTACAGGCTGAGGGAAAACGGCAAGAAATAAGATTGAAGACAGTGCTTCTCTTCATTACCATTTCAAGTGATTGTACAATATGAAGCTGGTCCTTTAGACGCAGTGAGCATCTACATGTGCTGCTGAGTATGCAATACTGCGTGCTAAAGACGAACCAAGGTAAGTTGGCTATGATAATAAACTTGGAATGTAATGAGACAAAACTAAGGATTATTGCGATTAGCAGTCATTTATATGGGTTTTTACTATCGCTAAGGTTTTTACCCTTTTTATTTAACGAAGATCCCTGGATCATAATAAAGACATCTTTCTTTCGTTCTCGCTACTTATTATGACCCTGGCATATTTCAATAACAGAAAAGAATATTTATGTCTCTTTTCTATCACTATTAGTCACGGTTATGCTATTAAAGTATTTTAGCCACTAAGATATAGAGATATAGGTGATTGTGCACGTTCGGCTTTGAGTGCGAACTGTCACCAACTATCAAAAGACAAGTAATATCGGGTAAGAGGATAGATATTCCACAAAATAAGCTGAGGTCTACCCATTGTATTTTGATGAAGTTGATAAACAGAAAGGGAAAAGAAAGAGAGTAGGTAGTAACACGGCACGCTATACATCGTAGAAATGAGTATGATTGTATGATTGTTTGTACATCTACCGACACAAACTACACGTTAGAGATTCCTAATAACTGAATTCATCGTTGTGTGCTTAATAGTGTACGGAAATACCTAAGATGTATGCACGCGTTAAATGAAAGAAAGCATCGGGGAACCATAACAATGCAACCAACAAAAGTGCAAAGTAAAGCTGCATAGTATATTTCAACTATAGATAAATCATTTGTAATTCTGTATTTAGTCCCAGTCGCATAAAGAATGCCAACATCTACTCTGAGCTACATACGAACTTGATAAGATATTCTGGTCAGTATTTGATGCTTAGGCAGCGGCTCTAGATCTAAGCCTGTGTCATGGAAGGCTTCCTGGTTATGGTGTTTAGGGCTAAAATAAAGACCCCGTACAAATAAAAAAAAAGACCCCCCGTGCAAATAACTTTTTTTTATTTGCACGGGGGGAGCGGTGTAAATAAGGTGTGTACGGGGCAGTGCAAATAGATTTTTTAAATATTTGTACGGCCCCCGTGCAAATAAGAGGTGTACGGGCCCGTGCAAATATCTTTTTTCTAAAATTATTTGCACAGTCCCGTACCATCTTAATAAAAAGTCGCGTCAGCAGCAGGGTTTGAACCTGCGCGGGAGATCCCATATGATTTCAAGTCATACGCCTTAACCACTCGGCCATACTGACAGGTGAAGGTTTAAAGCCAATCAATGTTTTGGATTCATGGATTTGGTATGTCTATAACTTTATTAACTCATAATCAAACATTTCACGTGATTTCCAAATGGTTGTTGTAAATGAGTATTTTGTTTAAGGGGCAAAGCTGGACATAAAATCAGGATAGCCCAATGGCTGAGTAGTATACTCGTCAGGGCACCCTCCTGTCTAGCCCAGGGGCCGGGTTCGAGTCCTGGTTAAGGCACATAAAGTGAAGCAAACATGTGCCAGGTCAGGGATCTGCTTGAGTTTTTATACTTTCTCTCCGAGACAGCCTAGTGTTCTCCGCTAAGGCTAAGATCGTGGGTGCACTACCCTAAGTCGCCTGGCTGGCCACACGTCTTAGTTATATATTCCACCCCCCAGCCGAACCAGCGGTACATCTGGCAGCACATCCCCCCATCCACCCACTTGACTAGGACAGCGATGATCACAAAGTTTGACGGAGTCCAAAGTAGAAATTTCAGACCAATCCCGCAAGATTTGGGTCCACATGCCAGTGGATTTGATCGAATAGAAAAAATTAAAAAGTCGTCCTTAGCTAGAGTCGGCACGCCAGCCTCCGCGGCTTTTCACGGGCGCAACAGGCCACATCGGAAGGATGGACTTCGAGTACCGATCACGGTGTACATTGGTAGAGAAAAACATGGATACGAATTGGCTCTTCACAGCCATCCCGTGCGAACTTTGAGAGTTTCGCTTGTTTCATAGTTGAGGGCGATATCATTACTTTAGAGCGAGATTATGAAATAAAATTCCTCACCTCTGTGGGTTCTTGTTAACAGGAAAAGAAAAAAAAAAAAATGGACATAAAATCAGGATAGGACAAAGAGTGTCAGCAAGAATAACAAGAGAAAATAGAGGCAAATATTGACCTCATGGGTCCTTGTTATCAAAAAAAAAGCAAATAACCTTGACGACAAACAGCGCCATAGGATGTCAAAAGAGAGGATGTGGCTTTATAGATGAGCTCACAAACTGAGTCACAGGGAGACAAATGCTTGTTGTGAAAAGGGAAAAAGATAAGTGGCAAGACAAACTGCAGGTCAAGAACAAGACATATGGGGGAAACTGAAGACTTTATTGAGAAGGAAGTTTCTCTGGCTTTTATAATCTAGCCTACAGGCCTGACTGTGGCGCTTTCTAGGTAAGGTGGACTCGCCTATAGCTTATAAGGCTTTGCGCAAAGATTCCTTTAGCTGTGGGTCGACAGGATGTCCCGATTAGTCGATACAAAGTAACCTGAAAATAGCTATAGGCTCGCCAAAAAGTTGTCGACTAATATATTTTTCGCATGCTGGGTTCGAGTCCTGGTTAAGGCAGATGGGGGACCTCGTGAGTCCTCGTTATCATAAAAAAAAAAAAAAAAAAAAAGCCAATATCTCGAGAGAGAAGTCGAGCGATAGGGCCTGCTTTATGCTCTAGAAGATGAACCTCCTTGGATGCCACACAGAACGACCCGGAAAGAACGACCAAACGCTGGATAAAACAGACATTGATCCCTATCATCTACGTTAATATTGTAGTTCGCACACAATGTTATCTCTGATCAGGATGCGCGATAGAGAAAGACCCTTAACGGCTAAAATTATCAGAGGCATTTCTAGAATAAAAAAAAGAAGCGTGAACAGATTTACAGCAGTAGTAGTGAGAGGTGACGGCGATGCCCTATCCATAGAGGCTAAAGTAGTAGTCTTAAAGATGTGCCAAGCAGTCCATATTAACATTGCTCTAGTAATACAATTCAAGACTCTAATAAGCGGGAGAAAAGTGTATGCAATGGCAACAGCTCCGCTCAACTTACGCTATTCATGGAGGTAGTAGAGTGGGATTCTTGGATCTATCCTGGCTCAGCTATGTATTTACTTCTTATCCCCGTGGATTGGCACCATTGATCACAGTGGTATCAAATGGTAAGAGTATGGTAAATTCATTATATAATATTTTAAGTCATTCTATTTAAGACAAATCTAGCCAATGATATTCTTTTTCATAAATTAGTTGTAGCCCGTGCCGGTTCTTCCAAGTGTTGTTTCCTTCCGCCCTCTACAGCAGGTGCCGATGAGGACGACGAAGTAGCAAAGAAAGACGAACCCAGCATATGGTCGCTAGTAGATGTTGCTGCTACTGCCACGGAATCTTCCGCTTGATGGCGATGTGCCGCTCGTCTGACTTCACGCTGAATACGCACACGCTCCCAATTTTCTTCAAGCGCCTGGATCGTGGCTTCATCCGCTGATTTCGTAGCCTTTCGACGCTTCATGCAAGCAAGCGTCCTCCGAAACATGGAGTCACTGGGCTCAATTCCATAGACATCCTGCATAACCTGGATCCATTTCCAAGCGCGTCCCCACCTGTTCCTTGCGTCAATGAGCTCATTATTGATTAATACACGAAATGTGTAAAAATCTGGCCCTGAAACCTGTATCTTTGCCGATGGAGGATGAATTGGCGCTGCTGTAGTTGTTGTGGAGTCAATTTGTGTAACAGAGGTTGACATTGATGCTGCTAACGAGGCTATCGTCTGTGATAAGTTATCCTCATCCCTGTCCTCGTTAAGACCATCTGTGACGCTATGGCTATTGTCATCAGCGCTCTCTCTCGTACTCTGTTGCCCCAGCTGAGCACGCTCCAAGTTTTTGCCAATCTGGACCAATTCACGGAAGAGATCCATGGCATCTTCTTCACGTTTTGCTAGGAATGCAAATTTGATCATCTCGTTGTAGGTTTTTGTGATTGGGACAAGACCAAAAAGCCGAACATGACTATCAAACATATGCTGTAGATCCTCAAGATCCTGGGTATAAGCATAGTAGGAAAAAAGTGTATGGACATTGTCAAGAGTAGGGATGAGTTTGTCCTTATCCTTGTTCATGTTGCCTTTGTTGGACAGCACAGCACCCCCATTCAACGTCCTTGCGCGTTGACCAAGCGGGAGTGTCAGAAATGTGTTTTGGGCTTCAAGCTGCTGCTGCAAAAGTTGACTTCCAGTATTGCCACCTGGCGGTGCTGCCACAAATGCTGCCCTATAGGTTGACTCGACTGCTTTCCAATTCTTCATCGCAGTGTGGATCTGTAGAATAAAATCCCAGCTCATGTTATCAGGTTTGATCCCTGAACGTTTCATCAAGTTGAGAGTTTCCATAGCCAGCCCAATATTTTTTCGAGGTACACATGATTGGAGGATTAGGTTGTATGTGTACAATGTGGGCTGAATCAGAGATCCTCCTCCTCCTCCAACTCCTCCAGAACCTTTCATTCCTCCAAACATATTATTGTTATAATCTCCTGTTAGCCCGGCTTTTCTCCGCATTTCAGCCCACGTCGAATCCACCATTGGGTACTGCCTCGTCGCAACTGATAGCTCGAGGCGAGCAGTGTAATCGTTCATGTCGAGCTGAATATGGCACTGAATCATCCCTTCCCAGACCTGGTTGAACCGATCAACTAATATAGAGACTTCTTCCTTTGTGAAGCGATTGGGATCTACAGGACGAATACTTCTGAGAAGTAGCGAATGATGGATAGGCAGCAAACTTGATAATTGGCCTGAGCGACCGAGTGCGGAATAAGCCATCCATGCAGTCTCCTGATCCTTGTTCTGAATAGCATTCAAAAGAAGAGCGGCATTCTCAAATGCAGGGGAGATCTTGAGAGCATTGGGAAAAGTACACAAAACGATGGGTGATGACTTATGTTTTAATGAATTTTTATCAAGAGCATGATTTGTCGGAGGCACAGGGTCTAAACTACGGGAGAAAAAGCTGAACGTGGACTGATGTCTCTTGAGAAATAGAGACCTTGCTCGATTTCGAATTAAAAGCCGAGAGCAGAATGCCTGCGTTAATGCTGACATCGTCTATTGGATCAATCGTCAGCTACAGCTTGAGATTAGCTGGAAGTTTTTTTTGATAACAAGTACTTTTTTAAAGGAGGGTGCAGTCTTGACCCGCTTACGTCACACAAATTGCGATATGATCACGTGAATAGTCACATTTACTATAGTGAATTAATATATATTCTTTTTTGGAGAAACTTTAGCTTGCCCGGCTAGCTCAATCGGTAGAGCATCAGACTTCTAATCTGAAGGTTGCGGGTTCGATCCCCGCGTTGGGCTATAATTAATGCCTTTTGAGCGAATGCTATTTTTTTTAGGGTTGCCCAATAGAAAGCGACGTAAACAAAAGAATTATGCCGTCGAATGCTCCTAAGGCCTTTTCAAGACCGAATTGTATTGAGCGAATGCTAATTTCTATTGGTTGGGGAGTTGAGAGCGAATGCTATTTTTTTTTTAGGTTGCCCAATAGAAAAAGATGTAAACAAAAGAAAATGCAATACGGTATTCGATGGCACAATACGCAAAAGATGAGAATTGTGCCATCGAATGCTAGTTTTTTTTGGATCGAATGCTATTTTTTTTGGTTCTCACGCCAGCCCTTAAGCCAGCTTCCATAGCCTTTTTTTTTACTCTTTGTTCTTTGTTTCATTCTTCAATAATTGTTATAATTCTTATTCCAATTGAAAGCTCCATAATGGCAAGTCCCAACCATACATCGTTGCCTTTCACTCCTATCGCTCCCTCTATTCAACAGAGACATACAAAAGCAGATACTCTTCTTGCTTCTGCGTTTCAGCCTTTTCAGTTTGAATCTCCTCAACATAACTCATATCAATTTCACTCGGCCATCCCGTACAATACTAGGTCTGGAATAGCTTCTCCGAGTCTTTCACCAGTCATTGGTCCACGTCAATACCTTCCTCAAACTCGTTACACTCCTCTTGCGCCGAGTCAGCAGCAGCAAGCACAATACTCTCAAGACCAACAGCTTCTTCACTATCAAAAGACCGCTCAAAACCTTCAGCATCCTCAGCAATATTATCAACCTCAGCAATACCATCAACCTCAATATTTTCCTCACCAGTACCAAGGTACTCCTCAAAGGCAATCTCCACGGCAATTAGAATCACGCCAACCATCTGGGGAAGATAATCATGGAGATCAATCGTATCAAATCTCGCCGCTTCCTCAGACTTCTCTACCGCAACCGTCGTCATCTGAGAGTAGCTCCAGCAAACGCAAACACTCTGAATTAAAAGAAGAGGAGGATTTGGAAAACTCAAAAGACTTGAGGAAAAGATTCTGGACAAACGCACCATCGTTGACATTAGTAGACTGGATATCAGACTACGACAATTACAAGAGACTTAATGCAGTACGTCCGACACAGGGTCATAGACCTATCGATGTTCGTAAACAGATCGCCGCCCATATTAACTCACTACATCCTGAGGCGAATTGGACTGAGGAGACTGTCAAGTCAAAACTTCAGCATCTAAAAAAACAATATCAGAAGGCAAAATCCCTTGTTTCTAAGGCTGGTGAAGGCAATATGCACGATAATCCTACTCTCAAAGCTAGAGTCCTCAACATCTGTCCAGCATTTGAAAAACTTGACAGTGTATATTCCGCCAGTCTTTCTGTGAATCCTCCGCGTCCGATTCAATCGACAAATTTTGCCAATCCGGGGATCTCTGATAGCGATGGTAACGATGGTAATGAAACAGAGACAAGTATCATCGATATCGAGGATGACGAGAATGAGTCAACAACAGGTAATGTTAGCATCGTAATTGCTTTATTTTCATGGCTGTGGTCTGTAAAATTAATATTAACAGGATGTTATCAATAGATGTTGTCAAGACGCTCAATACTGGAAAGATAGTAAAGAGGAGTAGAAAAGCTTCGGAACACATAAATGCAGAAATAATGCTGCAGCTATTGCAGGAAACCAGAAAAAAACAAGAGAATGATGTAAAATGGACGAGTGATCGTCGACATCTTGTTACGAACAGAGAGAATGCGGTCTGCCACCGGGAGCATGTGATGTTCAGTAGAGAGAGTGAGCTCCAGGAACTATATAGAGACAAGATGACTAAGATCGAAATTACAGAAGAATCCCTTAGACGCAGGTTGGATGAAAGAGATGCACAGATAGAGCTATTGAAGCAAAAAAGGGATGAGGAGGTAGATCAATTGAAACAAGCTAAGGATGAGGAGCTGAAGCAACTGAGGCAAGAAAAGGATGCCGAGTTGAATCGACTGAAGCAAGAAAATGATGCCGAGATGAAGCGACTGAGGCAAGAAAAGGATGAGGAGTTGAAGCGACTGAGGCAAGAAAAGGATGAGGAGCTGGAGAAATTGAAGCAAGAAATCAAATCAGTTAAAGAAGACCACGAAAGAGAAAAACAAAAACTAAGAGACGAACGTGATGAAGAAAGGAAGGATAGAGTAGTGTTAGAAAAACAGCTCATCCCTGTTATGTGCGAGAAAGCGGCTTTGCAAAAGGAATTAGAGACATTGAAGACTGTAAGACTGCAAAAATAAATAAATATGGTATATCATTTATTCTTCGCATTCAACACCCACATCTTCAATTGATCTCTTTTCCGTACTCCTTCCCGCCTGTCCTCATCCGATATATCAAAAACAGAATCGATGGCAGCATCATTCACAACAGCACCATTGACAACAGCATCATTGACGGCAGCTATGGAAGGCTCAATAGCATATTCTTCAACATATTCTTCAAGATCTTCATCGTCATCCAAGTCCTGATATATCCTTGTAAAATTGTGAAGGACTACGCAAGCCATGATCCAAAACGAAGCATCCTTAATATCCTTCTCCGAGTTGATCGAGATTGGCAAGCACTTCAAGGATTCGCACTTGTTCTTTAACATTCCAAATGCATGCTCAATGATTGCACGGGCCGAGCTGTGAAGCCGATTGAATATGACCTGATCTTCTTTTGCATTTTTGTAATTTGGGATGATTGTGGGGTTGATTGGGTACGCACTGTCACAAATCAAGTAATCTTGGTCTTGGAAAAACTCTCCTCTCTTTGTGAAAAGATCAGAGTTGCGATATGCTTGAGCATCATGCATGGAACCAACATATCCAGTGGTGAAGAAGATAAAGATGCCTCGATGATCACATACTGCAGTAGCGCCCATGGCAAAGTTACACTTCCGTGTTATCCAAGAGTTAGTATCATAGGATGGCGCGCGAAACAAAGGAAAAGGAACACCATCCAGAGCACCTATCAACTTTGGAAATCCTTTATTCTCTTTGAACCAACGACTTATCTCACTCTTCTGGTTGGTGTCAGGCCAGATGATGAACCTAGGAGCTACCTCCGCTATGGCATATACACCCTTCCAAGTGTAATCATGGACCGTGCCGTTGCCAATGCCGAACATGAGTGCCACTTTTGGAATTGACACACCGGAAGAACCTAGGCGGAACAAGGTCACTTTGAGAATCAGATCGACGGAACTGCTGCAGCCTCTGAAGAACTTGCTTCCTCTCACCAAGCCCAACATACGATCGAACTGAGAGCGAGAAACCCGCATAATCCGTTTGAAGTGTTTAGACTGATAACTGTTCAGTACTCTATCCCGGATGTCCGACGACGTTGGTATAGGGACACGCGGCCTCAAGTACCGATTTTGTTGTATGTACACATAAAGATTGTAGAGCGTCTCCAAACGCTCTTCTTTGACTCTCCAGGGGATGTTGGAGCGAAAGACATCAATATATTCGTCTTCACACTTTTTCAAAAGACGTTGTCTTTCTGTCAATCGTTTAGAACGCATTTTGTAAAAAAGGAAGGGAAGGAGGAACAGGTACACTAAAGAAGACCATCCAATAGAAGACATCTTAAGGGTTGGCGTGAGAACCAAAAAAAATAGCATTCGATCCAAAAAAAATAGCATTCGATGGCACAATTCTCATCTTATGCGTATTGTGCCATCGAATACCGTATTGCATTTTCTTTTGTTTACATCTTTTTCTATTGGGCAACCTAAAAAAAAAAATAGCATTCGCTCTCAACTCCCCAACCAATAGAAATTAGCATTCGCTCAATACAATTCGGTCTTGAAAAGGCCTCAGTGTATGCCATGGTTTCACGTACAGACACAAGAACACAGGTCTTTTCACTGGAAAAACTCATTCGTTAAAGGTCATATGAATGCATTTGTATAGAACCATAAATATATCTATGCACACCCTACAAAGCATAATTAATGATAAATAAGTGTATTTTATTCAAGAGGTAGGAGGACTCCGGAATTCTTTCCTGACACGCATGGGTGTAGTGGGTATTGTGGGTGTAGTGGGTGTAGAAGGGGATAGAGGCCTTGCTTGATTATAATCAGTTATTGTGGTCTGTTGTTGTTGTCTTTGTCCTTCCTGCCATTGAGTTTGCGTGGCGAGTTTAGTGCGTTGACGTGAACTTCTAGGTGCTTCTTCAAGAATGAACGCATGTTGCCCTACATGTGTGATTTCAGGGGCAGTAACAGCAGAAGCAGGTTGACGAGGTACTGCAGAGCCGAATGATGGACTTCCTGGACTTGTCATAGTACCTCTACCAGCAATCCGCTGATGGTATGGAAGGTCAAATGGTGTTGGTGAGGTTGCGCCATTGCGACGTGGTGAAGACAGAGTTGGTGAAACTGGTGAGCGAGGGGATTGTGGTACGCTAGAGATGACTTGCTGTTGATATCGGGGAGAGACTGAAGATAGGGAGCCAGCAACCGAGTTCCGGCTCAAAGACCGCTCATCGTGCATTATTTTAAACGTGTTGAGTTGCATAGCATCGCCACTATCATCTTGTCCCACAGCTTTTGTGAGGGGATAGGTATCGTTGTCATTATAACCGCCATGATTGTGACGGGTGGAGCCGGATCTCTCAATATCAATGTAATCGGATTTAGAAATGTTTGACTCATCTGGCGCTCTGTAAGGAACAAGACTAGATCGTGCATTGTTGGTGCCATTACCATTACTGTACTTTGTGTCGCTATTGTCAACTTGGCTTTTTTGAGGACGAGTACTTGTGGGTACAGTGCGTGTGACACTTCCTGCTCCTCCACTGGATACTCCAAACGCAGTACCAACGATAGATCGACGTGGATAGAAGATCAAGACCAAGGTTACCCAGATAATAAACTCGAAAAAGTTGACATTTGTAACCAAAAAATCGGATGCAAACTTATTATGAGCAATTACTGGATTTGGAGTCAGGCCATCTGCAGAGGACACGCCCAGTGCTATTCCTGACCCAAGCATAGCACCCGTGAGAATTGTATTCTACATAATGCGAACCAAGTAAAGTGACAAGAATGGATAATCAGTTTGGAAACATACAAAAAGAGAGCATATTCAAAGACAGCCCTTGCATATGAAAGCATGCGATAATGGTGGCCATACTCGAAAAAAAAAAAAAATAATCGAGTAGCACACATACCATATCCTTGAAATACTCAAGTTTCTCAGCCACACCTTGTGTATTCTCGTTGATTGTAAGCAAAGCGTTCTTGAGCAAAGACTTGAATCGGAAATGAGTCCTGAATCCTAAGAAGGCAATGGCCAACAACACGATACTGAAAGCCATCTGCGGTGCAGCCTCTCTGTACGCATGATTATTCCTGAAAACGAATTGAATGGTTGGAAATACTACGAGGACTATCAGCGAGCAAATAATGTTGAGTCGAAATTCAAAACTTGACATGAAGGACGACTTTGTGACGGATTTGGAGATATAGTGATAGAATGCTTGGAGCAAGAAGAATATGCTCGTCAACAGTGCAATGGCGCATGCAAGTGCATAATCCAAAACTGAGGCTTGGTCCTGATTTGATGGAGCCCAAAGGAAGGATGGTCGAGAGATGATCTGTCCTGAGTTAGGATTAGACCAAAAGCCCTCTTGATATTTAATAACAGCACATCCTATGTCATATCTTTTGTTATTATTGTAGAAAGGAAAAAAGCAGAAGGCGTAACTGCAGTTTAGTTTAATTTGCCAACAAGCTCAAAGTTTTTTTTTTGTGTATTTTGTTTGTTAGATACACATGTTGCATACACATGTGCTCCCTTAATCCATGCATCGAATAACACGAGGCAATCAGAAAAAGGGGCCAGACTGCCCGATGTTCCCACTGGCTACTTACGATAAATGTAATGGGATGGCTATCAGTAATAGCAATGTGACGATGCTACGAAGTTCGAAACGCAGAATGCGTCTGGGATTTAGTGCACCGAAGCGGTCATATCGAAATACGTATGCTACAAACCAAACGTAAAACCAGCCATTTGCAATGGCTCGTTGTGTAAAAGAGTAATCTGATAGATGGGTCATGGTATCGCTATAGTGTATAAAGATGGCCAATGTTATATGAAATGCTGTAGGCAACGATGAAATAACAAGGTAAAGGAAGCGTAAAGGTAGAATAGGGGAATCCACCAAATGATGGATGATGGTATTGGAGGTTAGGAAAGGTTTAAAAAAAAAGTTGTAGAAAGATAGGGTAATGGGGGATTAGACTAGATTTATAGAAATAGTCGAAGCGACTCTCAGGCTTGCTATCATTGTCTCTTTTTTCATCTTCATTAATAGTTAATGCACTGGATTGCATACATATACATGTGCTATTGTACATGTGGAAGCTCCGCAGGCACCAAGTGGAGGAGGTGATTCAGAAAAGTATGAAATGCAACAAAGTTCATGGCTCTCTGAAGCACGAACCAATGATACATACGCCTTTGTGGAGTGGGCTGGACTCAATCGCTCGCTTCAAAGTATGTTAATTGCATTTATGCCTGGTCGGAGAAAGCTGCACAGTTTTAAGTTATTGAGCTCAACCTCGATCAAAACCGATGTGAAAATGTTGAGTGATCATATTAATTGCTTGTGCTGATCATAAGAAAGTAACTTTGCACTCAGCCGACTCATTCAGAAGTGATTTCAAGATATATATACATATGGCTTTCGGAAAAAGAAAGACTGAACTCTCCACAATGTGGAGAAGCTCTTTAACTGATATTGATATGACATTATTCAATCATAGTGAATAGAAAAAATGCCTTTTTTTATTTTTATTTTTTTATTATTATTATTAAAGATAAGCTCTAATATTTTATATTCGGCCAGTCGAAATGGCTATGGTAAAGCAAAAGCATTGACGGTATGAATGACAAGGTTCAATGAGACGACAGTTATTCTAGCCTTTCTCGAAGCAAGATATCGTACGCCTAGTTCAGTACCATGGAAGCCATTAAGCACATGAACTTCTATAGCTTAACAACTGTAAAGTGCATTTTGCACCATGTTTTATATGTGCAAATGTAGTATTATATGCAAATTTATTTGTCATTAGGAGGGCATTTGGCGTTAACAATTAAAAAAATGAAGAATCAAGTGTTAGTCTATCATAAAGAGTGCGCTATCATATAGGGCTTGTATTTGACGTTGAAGTCTCACATTACTTCAATTACACCGTCATAAAAGCTGTTGCCACCACGCGATGTAAAGGTGGGTGACTTCGGCGAGATAGGTGACTTTGGCGTAGCAGGGAAATTAAAAGATTTAGGAGATATAAGAGAGACAGGCGAAAGTGGAGTATGTTGATAGGCTTGTGCTTCATGGATTTCCATTGGGCGGATGTAACCAATCTGTATCAGGCTGCGATCACTCTCCTCACTCGGGTTTCTTTGAGCTAACGCAGATGCTGCACGAGTATTGTTAGTCATTCCCGCTTTGTCATCATTATACATCGAGGTTTGATGAGCGTAGTGTGGATGGTATTGCTGCTGCTGATGGCGATAATTGCCAGACGAGAGTGTGGCATGATTGTTGTCGGAATGGTTAGGGGAAGTTTCATGAGTCAGAGAGGGGTATTCGCGCGAAGGTCTATAGTCTGTATAGTCGGCAGAGTTGTTTGGCGTGTGTCTCGTATAGTTCTTGTTAGATTTGGGGACCAACGGACGCTGACTGCTTGAACGTTGAGGAATGTTGTCGGAGACTCGTTGGCTGCTCTTGACGCTGTGTTGACTATTCTGGCTAAAAGAGCGATTGGGTGTTTCATGGCCGCTATCCTGTTGTTGCTGTTGCTGCTGAAACTGCTGCTGCGCTTTTGCGAGACCATCCTGGTAATAGATCGTATTTGAAACGACCTCAGCTCTATCATTACTGACACTAAGGTTGTTGCTCATATTTCCATTTGCTGCCTTCTTGTTGGAAAGCTTCAAGGACGTGGAACAAGTCTTTGCAACAGCTGCTGCAGTAGGAGGAGTAGTGATGATTGGAACCATTGGTACCAAGGTTGCTTGGCGGCTGTCATTGCTGAGAGTACGGTTGTGCTGATTCTTGCGTTGACTGTTGCCTACACTAATAACTTCGTTGTTCCAAACGGGATCATTGTCCAGGTCATAATGCATAGGATGTAGTGGTTTGCGGTGGTAATCGTCATCCTGTGGCTTAACTGTGTTGAATCGAGGGAGATGTGTCTCCCCAGATTGACGAGCGTTTCGACCTTGTGAATCCATGTTGGTGGAACCAAAGTGTGAGCCCGTGACAGTTTTCCGAGGATAAAAAATGAGAGTCAGTGTCACCCTAATTGACGTCAAAAGCTTCAGCCATGTTAGCTTCGCCACATTTTTTTTTTTTTTATTTTTTTATGCGGTAGTAATCTATTTTCAGCATTGGGCGGTGCATGCATAGAAAGTTGTCCTCGGGACTTACCAAATGATGAATTCGAAAAAGTTGAGATTCGTAATCAAAAAATCTGACCCAAATTTATGTTCTGCGATCAATGGTTTATTAAGCAAACCATCAACAGACATGATGCTGAGGGGGAATGCACATCCAAAAAAGCTGAACGTCAGCACCACATTCTATAATAATTAGACAATAGGTAATGGTAATAGGTTCAGTAAATTAGTGCACAGGAAGGCGCGGGGAGGCAATATTTGATAATGACTGCAATAAAGAATAAAGCGGTAGAAAACACCTCTTCTCCATGAGTGTTTTTTGAGCGTTTATGCGTATTTTCATGTGTATGCATAGTGTCTTACCATGTCCTTGAAATATTCCAATTTCTGTAAGACATTCAGTGTAGTTTCGCTCGAGATAGTGCCTGCGTTCTTAATCAGAGCTACTAGTCTGAAATGAGTTCGGATACCCAGGATTCCAGTGATGAACATCAAGATGCTGAAAATCATCTGAGGGATCACCTCGCGATAAACAAAGTCATTTCGGAAGAGGTACTGAACTGTAGGGAAGATTGCTACTACAATGCAGGAGGCAGCGATGTTGACCTTGAATTCAAAACTAGTCATAAAGCATGATTTCGTGACCGACTTGGAAATGTAAGACCAGAACGCCTGAAGCAAGAAAAATACACAAGTCTCCAGAGCGAGGGCGCAAGCTAATGTATAGTAGAGAGGCTCAACATGTTCAATGTCCTGTCCACTCCAGGCTTGGGCGGGTTTGGATTGGATCTCCTGTGTGTGAGGATTAATCCAAAAACCTTCAATGTATTTGAGACGTGCGCTTCCAAGGTCATATCTAATGAAATATTGGAGGCCGGAAATGTAGGTGCAGACGGAGGTGTTAGGGTTACGAAAGATATGACAGGTAAAGCTGGAGTGCTTGCTTTAGGTTTTTTTTTTTTTTTTTTTTTTTTTTTTTTTTTTGGCGGTAAATGTAAAGTGTATGGGTGATAGGGTAATCCAAAAACTCAGGAACAAAATTTGCATATGACACATATAAGGACAGGAACAGAAGCTTAAGTGAACCAATAAGAAAATGAAGGTCAAAGCATTTTAGCCCAAGATATTCACTATTGAATATTGGGAGCTATAGTGCATAAGCACCTATGATTTTAGCCTAGGACGCAAAGGTTCTTTTCGGTGGTTTTTGAATCATAATAAATTATTTGTACCATAAAAGAACATTAATGAGCGAGAAAAAAATATAAAACAATTGGGTCTTCGTGCTCTTCTTCCTTTGACTATCCTGCATTTGCCTTAATCAGACGTTACACACAACACGGAGGAAAAAGAGCAATCCACTCGTAAGCCTTGCTGCATGCTGTTGTCAGCATGTAGAATTCAAATAGGGGAGAAGAAGAAAGATATTCATGAAGAGCAGGAGGAGGTGGATTGGCGGGTTGTGGAAAATGGAAATCGATTTATATTGAAATGTGAAGGTGTCTAGACTTTGCTGTTGCCACCAGTAAGATATTTGTTGGATATGCTTTTTCGTGTGATGTGCTGCGGTTGATATTCAAAAAGACAGTTGTAAGACAATAACAGGGAAGGTGCACTTACGCAAGTTGAAGTCCTAACGAGATCAAAACAAGTATTGTGACGATGCTGCGTAGTTCGAACCGTCCTAAGCGTCGTAAACTGAGGGCGCCAAAGCGGTCCCATCGAAAGACGTAAATGATGAACCAAATGTAGGTCCAGCCTGTGCTGACGCCACGCTGGAGGTACGAGAGATCAGACATGTGCGTCATCTTGAATTTTTTTTTTTGTACTTTCAGATGGGTATATTGGACAAAAGAAAAAGTAAAAAAGGGGTGAGATAAGAAAAAAGAAAAAAAAATGTACAAAGTGGGTGTGGTCCTGAGAGGATAAGATCGTGATGGGTGGAAAGACAATATTGATGAAGGAAAGTTTAGATGTTCGAATAATTACAGAACAATGAAGTTCACAACCACGGTGAGGATTAAAGAGGGGGTATAGAGGAAGTTAAAAGGAACTTAAAGATGTGAAGATGCAGAGAAGAATAATAAAGACATTGAGGGTAAAAAAAAAAAAAAAAAAAAAAGAAGGGTGTCAATGCTTTTTAAATTCAAATCTGGTGGCTGTAGTTGGTTCATTAGCTGGATGGACCAGATGAAGGGAAAATGCCTAGCCATTATTTTGTTCTTCCCGAAATCTTCTTGATCCAATCGATTTGTTTACTCTGGTGGTAAATAGCCAAAGCAAGGGGGGAGAATTTTCACTGCAATTTTTTATTTTCTCCGCCTGCAGCAATGATGTCTTCTGTCTGCATTGGCCCGTTGCTTATGGAGTTTAGGTTTTGCATATTATCATATAAATTTTGGTTCGATCATGTTTGTAAACAATATTTCTCAATTACCTATTCATGTGAACACAAAGTGATCGTGGAGAAGGAAAAAATAGAGTCTCACATAATGTCATGCTCATTCACCTCTTCTCAGACCAATATATTTATTATAAGATGCAAATAGGTCCGTTAGCTGTCAAGACATGTGAAGCACATACTCATAATCTATTTACCGTAGCTCTTGGACCTAGACTCTAGTAGGAACCGAGCAGGGAGTGTAAAGACTCGTAAAAGTCGGATTGTGCGATCTAATAAGGAAAACGATGCAGACCAGCAATTTAGCAAATAATAAATAATAAAAGGGGTACAGCAAAACTCATTTTCGATGCAGTTGCATTAGGCATGCACCAAGTAACTTTGTAAAAAGATGCAAAGAAGGAAAGAAACACGAATAAACAACAACAAAGCAATTATGAACGGTTGATTGAACGAAATCACGCTTTTTTGTGTCAAGTATCACCTCATTATATTATTATAATAAATAATCCTGATGACTACGAGAGTAGAGATGACAATTATTTTTGTACTCCAGGCCTGAGACGCCAACATCCTAACGAGTTGGTGGTGACAATGTGGTCATGTTTACAGGTATTTATTGGCAAATTATAAAATATCAAAAAATTCAGCAATTGACTTTCTAATTAATGCTTTGATTGACGCCATGAAGTACAACCTTAATGAACTAGAGATCACAGCAATAACATAATAACAGCAATAACAACAGTAATAGCAGTAATAACAAAACACAATTTTCTTTCACATCTAGTAGACATGACCATTCTTTCTAAACATTATCTCCTTTTTTTTCTTTTGGTTACGATATACAAAGTAGACTATCAAAAGTTCATATGGCCAAAGATGTAGAAATCTCGGTTTTGTACCGCACGGATTATCACCATTCCATTGTTGTTAATCCACTGCGACATGATTTTTTTTTTTTTTTTTTTTTTTTTTACAGTCTATTCTTTACTGTCATGCAAAAGTCCTGGAATTAGCCTAGATAATTACGTTTCAACTCCTTCTGCTTCTTATTTGTGGACGCCTGGAGGCCATTGCATTTAATCTTTCTTCGCTGGTCGTTCCAAAAGCACTTTTAGTGTCAAAATCGCGCTATTCGCTGGCGTCAAAAATAAACAAGCTTAGTATTTCCCTCAAAGCAGAATATTTGCGGTATAGAATAATGATGCTCTTTTTTTTCTTGCCAAAGTCCTTGACAGACGCTCAGACCCTGAAGGCCGAGAACTAAGGAGACTCAATCCGGTTATGTTATTCCCCTTCTTCGATCGCTTTTCTCACCCATGATCGGATAAAGAGTATCATAAGAATAACCGTGAATTTGCGTTGTTTTCCTTTAATTACGGGCCTTTGAGATTATCATACAAAAGTGTTTAATATTCGATAATAGAATTTAATGCTTCACGTACAAATGACAGTGCTAAACTATGAGTTTTTGCGATGATGGTGGCCACACCACTACAATGGTGAAATGGGTTGATTGAACTAATAAATGCAATACATGAACAAAAAGGCATATCGCCCTTTTCTTTTTTTGTTTTTACAGATCGTCCTCGCTATCCGAGACTTCCTCTCCACGAGCCTTGGCAGCAGCACGACGCTTTTGCTTATCTTTGAGTTCCTTGCGCGACAGCTTGCGTGTTGACTTGACCTTCTCAACGTTTCCGAAAGCATCAATCTTGGTCTCTGCCTCCTTTTGGACAATCTTGCTCTCAACACGCTGAGTATAGTTGTTACCAGTCACTGTGAGCTCTCCAGCATTGATACTCCATGTCTCGGTACAGATGGCTTCAGTGAAATCACGATGATGTGAAATGATAACAACTCCACCGCCAAACTCCCTTAATGCCTCTGTCAAAGCACCAAGCGAATCACGATCCAAGTAATTGGTAGGCTCATCCAGAACCAAAATGTGAGGGTTCAACCACATGGCAGCAGCAAGGACGACCTTGACTTTCTGTCCTCCCGAGAGGCCCTTGATGTGATTGTGGGTTGCAAATTCGGCGGGCAAACCTAAGTCTCCTAAATGCTTTTCAACCTCAACCGCTGTCAGTGAACGAGTCCATGCTCCAGCGCGGGCGGCTTCTTTGTCATCAAATGATTGCAGAAGCTTCTCAAATCCCCACTCTTCAAGCTTTTCACGAGAAATCCAGGCGTTGTCATCATAAGTGCGACCAACCCACTGAACTTCGTACTCGAATGAGCGCTTGGCCTTGCGACGTCCATAGAGATCATCGATCTGAAGTTTCTCCATCTTGCCATTGATTTCCCACTGGATAACCTTTTTCATTTGAGCCTCTTCCTCGGGTGAAATCTGGCGGGAAGCCTTGGCGGCCAATTCTCTGTCCTCACCAAACTGGTAACGCCAGCGAATATACTCATTAGGAGTTTTTGTCAAATGCTGCTCAACATGGTGGAAAGCATGCTGAGCAACGTAGGCGACGCGTAAGTTAGGATGCTTGGTAACCTCACCTACTTGTGGGATTGTTTCTCCAGTCAACACTTTAATCAAGGTCGATTTACCAGCACCGTTAGGGCCGACAACTGCAACACGAGAGTTGAGAGAGACCTGAGCAGACATATTCCTGATAGTTGGAGTTGTGTTTCCAGGGTACGTAAACGAAATGTTGATAAACTTGAGCAGAGCCTTATCCTTGGACTTGACACCATCCAGGAAGCCGGGCTCAGGGAGCTTGAATGTAATCAAGGATGACTTGAGCTCGTAGTACGACTTGGCATCAGGGTATTGCTCAACAAATTTGGACAAGTTACCACGGTACTTCTTGAGCTTGCGGCTCTCATAATGAATGATGCCAGTGCAAACATTATCCAAGAAGCTTGAGTCGTGTGAAACAATCATTGACGTGACATTGGTCAGAGAAGTCAAGTAGCTCTCGAGCCAAGCAACGTTGTGTACGTCCAAGTGGTTGGTGGGCTCATCCAACAAGAGGATATCAGCATTCATCAACATGGCGCGCGCCAACTCAAGCTTCATCTTCCAGCCACCTGACAGAGATCCAACAGCCTGCTGCTGCATGGCGGGGGTGAAGCCGACACTAGATAGCCTGGAGACGACCTCCTCATGAGGAATGTCACTAAGCTTTGGATCAGCGAACATGAATTCGACTACGGGTAAATCAGCCTCTTCAGCTTGCAGGTTGTGTTCTACAAATACGGTGCGCAACTCGTCAGCAGGAGGGAAGCCCTCAAGCTGGCCATCAGCGATGGCGCGCATAAGTGTGGATTTGCCGACACCATTGGGGCCGCAGAGGCCGTAACGCTGTCCACGGCGAAGATTAAGACGAGTCTTGTTGAGTAGAATCATACCACCATAAGCGAGGGAGAACTCACAGTCACAAAGGAGTTCTCCCTCCTCAACATCAGCGACAGCGGCATTGCTAAGTGCGTTTTTAGCATCATAATCGACATAAAACTTGTGGACCGAAGTTGCGATACGCTTAGCCTCATCCTTAGAGATAAAAGTCAAGAGATATGGGGTGATCGAGGCGTCCCAGGCATCAGATTCAAAGTCGCGACTGGTAATTAGTTCGGAGCAGAGGGTGGCGCTGTAGCTCAAACTAGTTTGAACAAAATCGTCAACTTTGATACTTGATCCAATTGTTTTCTTTAATGTCTCAAGCACTTCATTAGGCTTGATTTCGTAGGCGATGTTTAGTATACTCTCCTCCTGGGCTTTTTCACCTCCTCCAACACGGATCAAAGTTGCACGTGCGCGCTCAGCGACTGAACGAAGCTCAGGTGAGGCGCCAATTTCAATTAATCGATCTAAGCCGGGTAACAGCTTGGGCAGGAACTGGTGAGCGTGAGCAGGGTTTTCGACAAGTTTACACATATTGTCAATAATGACAGCAGTCTGGCGCTGGATAGAGGGCGTACGCTCAGCCAAACCGCGAATTAGAAGAGGGGTCATGATGGCCAGTGTTGGTGCCTCGACTGTGGTGACAAAAGTGGTAGAAGCGAGCTGGTGGATACATTCTGGGACTTCCTCTGGGCGGTTGATGCATCCAACAAGATAAGGAATCGAGGATATCAAATCAGGGTTCCCAACAACTTCAAAGCATGCAGTTGTTGTCTTGGTGGCTTCAGCACGGACCTAGAGAAGAGAGAGACATGTTTCAATGAATAAGTATAATTATCTTTGTCTCTCATCTCTTGCACTCTTGCAGAGAAGAAACAAGGGGCAAAAAGCACGGACTTACCTCAGGGCGTGTTGACCACATGCTTGCACTCAACACAGGCACGATCTCAGAGAGACACTTGCTGATTTGCTGCGGGCATAGAAAAAAAAAAAAAAGAGATACGATTAGTGATGAACCTCATCATCCAGGGGAAGAATTGTATTTATTGTACGTAATGTTGATTTCATGTGAAATGTGCCGATCAAATGTGCGCTCTTTTTTGCTGACAAAACATGAGGCATACCTTGGGAGAGGATTTGGAAAGCCCAGCAAGCAACTGAAGGCTTCCGACTTGCGATTGCCACCGTCCATTTTCAATCGAAGCGAACAGGACAGGGAGAAGAAGCTTGACGGCATAGCGAGAAGGTAAGGCCATAATTGCCTTGCTGGCCTCGTCTGCTGCATCACGCACAGAGGTGACTTTATCAGCATATCCATCCAATACCTTTGGGACTAGGGGAATCAGGTAGGGTTCACCAGCTTGACCGACTGTTTTGCTTACACTAGCAAGGATGTAATATGCTGCTTCCCGGAAAGGAGCCTGTTTCTTATTCTCGAGGAGTGTGGTGACAGTCTTAATAAGATTGCCATCATGGAAGGCCTTAATGATGCCTAGGTTCTTAACCTCTTCAGCAACTTTCTCGGCCTGTTCCTTTCTGGCCTCGGACGTGGTTTGGTCCTGGGTAGCCTTGATAAGGTCGTTGAGAGTCTTGGTATCAGCGGACATAGTGCGTAGTTCTTTGCAGGTGTATGTGAAGAAAGTTGAGGGATAAACTGATGATCACTTCGTGACTTGATTTAATTTCTGTCTTGAACGGTGGAATGGGTGTGGTGCGTGCGTTACGTATGTGCAGGAAAGAGGAAGGTGAAGTGAGTATATAGAATGCAGTGGAGCGTAAGAAGTGAATGAATGTGAAGGATGATTCTAGGTGGGAATATATCAATACAAAAAGAGAATCGAAATAGAGTGAAGGGGGAAGTGGGCGTGAAGAGAAAGAAAGAAAGAGAAATGGGATGCTTTGCTTTTTATAACTTTGCCACCTATGACATGTAATAAAAGGAGCATGTATATATTTCTAATCGTTGTACAATGGAACCAGTGATGCCCAATGGAATGGTAGAGTTGTCTCCCGCCGAATGTCTCTCCATTATTTATTCAATCAAAAAATAGTTTTCTTTGTTTCATTGAACATGTACGTCTGTGTCCATCTGTCTGTATCATCATCGTCATACTAGTGGTAGACTAAATAAAAGCCTTTTGATTAAACACAGTCCTCCCCTTCCCCTGCTGCTTTTTTTGTGTCTCCTGATAATTTTTTATTGTTTTTAGAATGGACCAATTCTTTGTGTGCAACATCGGGTCCAGTGGTCCGTTGCCACTACGGCAGTTCATTCCCTTATTCCAGCTATCGGAAACTATTAACCGCAAATGAAATGCAACATGTTATTCCAGTTATATTCTAACTCTCCCGTTATCGCTATCTACCAGCATGTTTAACATGTTGTAAAAGGAGGAGGATTGACCAGGTGATAATGACAACATCTTGAGCCAGATTTATCTACAATCCATGTACGTAGGTCAATAAGCTGAGCTAATAGAGCTGTGTTATTTCTTTGTCCTATAGCAATAAGGCCGTTTGTTTTTCTGGACCATGTGTGCAAAAAAAAGACCATGGAACATACACTATTGCAGTATGGCCTCGATCTAACTCACAATGACATCGATAACGAACCGGATCCTTCTTGGTGTCACTTCATTTCCTCTCTTTTGTTTAGAATCCGAAATGTACTTTCTCGGTTTGTCTGTCTTAGTTCTGGTCTAGATTCAGAGCCAATTGAATGTGACTAATGATATCGGTGATGCACAAACCATACATACCATTGGGCCAAAGAAAGTTGGGCGGAACCAGTGAGCCAATGTGCTTTCCCAATTGAAGTATTATTTTGGAGAATTAAAAATCTTTTGAGTCCTAAAAATCATGGTGAAACAATATAAATTAGTCTTTACAGGTCCTATAAGCCCATTGAGGTCACTAGAAATTCGGTTGGGCTGGATGGACGTGTCCATCAAAATGCGGTAAATTGTTCATCTTCCTCTCCTTAAATAAATACAGGTAGCCTCCTTTTCGCGGTATTGATTATTTACACAACTAGCACATGTTCTAGTAGGTGGTTTTATTCGCGTAATCGCTGTATAATTAAATAAAGTACAGCAGCTCCTTTGAGTACACGCTGCGTTTTTGCCGGAAAGATAAAAGAAAAAGGAGAATGAATTCACAACACAGTGAGTAACAGCAATGGTAGTTCACTCTTAAACGAGTATTTTGCTCATGTGCACCTTCCATCACAGCATGGCATGACATGGCCCATGCTTCCCTCTTCATATCGGAGTTCTTTCAATCATGTCATCATGATGGTCGGACTTTCAATGGTGCACAGGACAGAAGTATAGAAGAATAATAAAAAGCATTTCTAGGACTGTAGAGAATATGGCTTCAAGAAATCTCTCTACTGATACAAAGCTCAAAGACATATGCTTTAAATGAAGCAAGGGGCTCGGATGAGCGAGCCAGTGAAAGAGAGAAAGATGAGAAGGATCATGAAAGGTTCGAATTAGAGGAGTAGAATGAATGTTCAGATAATGTTCAGATTTCATTACCGTCGATCATCCCCTGTGCATGCATGTGTTCCTGTCCTCTCTTTTCAGTGCTCGTTCTGATCTCCGCCATCACCCTGATTTTCTTTCTGGAGCTGAAAATAGAACGTTTCGACCTAGACACAGTCTGGAAGATGTGTTTCTGACAGACCCTGGCAGCGGTAACATAATTGTCTTATTATTTGCTTTATCCAATATATTCGAAATTTAAATAGATAAAGTAAAAATCTTTTATTGAGTACAAATTCATATATTGATTACAAAAGCCTAGAGCCGAATTGATATCAATGGTTTCAAGCTGTGAGGGTCGCTACATTTCGTGCCTCCTCTTGTTCAATAACTTTCTCCTCACCAATCATGAGCATGAACCGCTCAAGTTCCTCCTTGGGCATTGGGTAGCAGTGTTCCTCAGAAGGGAAGGAGCCAGATTTAACATCTGCACTGAACTCACGAAGTGCTCCCACAATCTCGTCTGCAAGGTTACGATAGGTCTTGCAGAATCGAGGGACACGACCATAGAGCCCTAGCATGTCTTGTTGGACGAGAACCTGACCAGAGCATCCAGCTCCAGCTCCAATACCAATAGTAGGAACATTCAAAATATTGGTAATATGTGTAGCCACAGGTGCAGGGACAGCCTCGAGAAGGACGGCATAGCAGCCAGCTTTTTGGAGAGCGAGGGCATCCTCAATCAAGGCTTTGGCTTTGGCAACAGTTTTTCCTTGGACCTTGTATCCTCCCAAGCTGGCCTGACGCTGAGGAGTGAGGCCAATATGGCCAAGAACAGGGATGCCTACCTGAGTGAGACGTGCAATAGTAGGGGCCATTTCTTTACCACCCTCTAGCTTTACAGCCTCAACCTTGCCTTCTTTGACTATTCTGACAGCATTTGTAACGGCCAAATCAGGGTTGACCTCATAGGTACCAAAGGGCATATCGGCAACCAAAAAGCTGGAGCGTGTTCCTCGTGCGACAGCACGGCAATGGTGAAGCATCTCGTCCAACGTGATATCGGAGGTGGAGGTATAGCCAAGTGCAACCATGGCCAGGGAGTCGCCGACAAGGGTCATGTCAATGCCAGCTTTGTCAACCAGAGTTCCTGTGGGAAAGTCATGGGCGGTCATGACAGTAATTGGTTCACGGCGCTTGTACAACTTGCGTAAAGTTGCAAGAGTAACTTTTGGACGGACTATTGATAAAGCATGGGACGGATAGTAGCATTATTAGGGAAGGTGTAAATACAAAAGAAATGAAAGGGGTTTCATATAAGTCTTTGTACTACTACTACATGTGGAACTGGGTGCTCCGTGGGTATGGAATTGGTTGAAAGTGATTAGGCGTGGCTGGAACTTTAATTTATCCACAACACAAGAAAGGAACGAATTACAACAATTAAAAACCCGATCTCACACTGCTAAATCACATCGTTTGTTGTTGACAAAGTGTGTGCTTTTTGCAGTAATTAAACTTGGTTCACCATCAATCAATGAGTGAATGAGGTACAAGGTAACACATGGAGTGACAATGCATCAACTAGTTGCAAAGATAAATTCTGACCTGCCACATGGGTAGAATGCTTGTGCACTTAAATGTTGTGCCTCAATTTTTTTTTTTAATCTCGCCCTGATTTTTGTTGGGCGAAAGGTGTCTGTATTTGGCATACCGTGAAGAACATCAGCCTCGGCTGGCCTTGTGCTGTAGCCGCGCATGTGAACACTTGTTCCTGCAGAAGACATCTGCTGCTGGCGGAGCAATCGAATGTTCTGGACCGCTCGAAGGGAAGTGCAGGCAAGAAGGCTTACAGAGGCAGATCGTTGGAGACCACACATCGCCTTGTTTCGGACTTGAGCAGCAAATCTTGTAGACAACGACATTCTGTATAGGATGTTTCTTTGTCTCGAAGCGAATAAATAGACTGAGCTGTAGGAGTGGAGAGAAGGTGGGAAGTGTCGATGAGGTTTGCCTGAAGCTGAGTGATCGAATGAAAAAGAGAAGAGGGCAAGTGTCAGACGTTGGACGCTATTTTATAGTGCCTCACTTTCGTTTGATGAGAGTGACAGGCATTACCTCAGGCCATGAGATGGTCCCTTCTCTTCAAGGCCGATGTCGCAGCACATTAGTGATGAGCCAGCGAAAACACAAACCGAGGGTGTTATTCATGATTCAGTGACACTCCACCTCTCTTGGCGATTCGAACCGTTGATTCGAACATCGGCTGATATTTTTTACTTTGGACCATATTCGGCGTTTTGTCCAAAACAAGACAATGTCCGGATCACGTGGCTTAAAGATAATTCTGCTGCGGAGCAATCATTTATTATATACAAATCTATATTACCACGAAATTTGTTTCATGAAGATGTTACAGAGATCATTGCGAGAAGGCGTCAGAGTGTGAATGCAAAACCACATGGATTGTCGGTATTTGATAATTCTGTCATCATGCTTCTCAATGCAAAAGATCTCCGACACAAATATTCTGTTTGACTCTTCTCCATATTAATAAATCAAGGTACATGTCGGTGTTCAGATGGTCCAAGCACTGAAAGGGGAATAAATAAAGATTTGAGAATCTTTATTGAGGCCTTTGAATAAGCCAAAAAGACAAAAATAATGGCTAGCGAATCGGAGAACCAGTAATTACGTAGATCTGTCAACTTAAGCGACAAGAGCGGAGGCAGTGGCGGACTCACTATTGGAGGAAGAAAAAAAAAAAAAACATGGTGTGCAAAATCGTGGTTGATCAAGTTAAGGCAGACGAATACCGAGCAGGATTCAATGAGGATGAAGTGCGACACTGTAAATTTTGGGTGCGAAGACGCTACCCAAAATCTACATGTCTCGCCCAGCGAATAGCTGATCATCTCACATTTCTTCCCTTTGACACTCTGACGTACTGTCGAATATAGATTTCTGGTTTGTGCAGCTGAGGGCGAACAGCAAAAGTAGAAAACAAACATAAAGCAAGCAAAACAAATAAAGCAAACAAAACAAGACAGCAAAACAAGATCAACATAGAAGACAGGTGATTGATACTATTTCCAGGTTGGAGGGAGCTGGCCAGCGGTTTTGTAGTAGCGGGCAAGACGGTGGATACGGGACTCGATCAAGATGAGACGGAACTTGCCGTCGCAATCCTTGCGGTTGCGTTCCAAGTGTTTGCGAACGGAAACAGCCTTTTTGATCAGATGGTAAAGGTCCTCAGGAATCTCAGGAGCAAGACCGTTGGACTTCAAGATACGAAGAATCTTGTTGCCGGTAACGTTCTTGACCTGAGCAATACCCTGGGAGTCACGAAGAATAACACCAATCTGTGAGGGAGTCATGCCCTTCTTGGCGAGCTTAAAAATTGACTCGCAGACATCTTCAGGAGTAGCCTTCAACCAAGAAGGAGGAGAGCGCTTGTAAGGGAGAGCAGAGCTCGAGATACCCTTGCCACGGCTGTGCATGCGACCCATTTTGAATATATGTTCTAGCAGTTATAGAAATAATTGTAAGTTGGGGCAGTTTTTACCGTATAGTTTATCATACACCAAGTGCAGGAAGTTGATCAACACAAGGTTTAAATCAGATGGTCATTTGATCTGTTTGATCTAACAATTAAGGCGTTGAGTCATTATTCCAGCTCCTATAATGTCATGGGGTCATCCGAAAAAATGTTGATTTTTGACTTGTGCCATAAAAAGAACACAATCCGGTGGAAATGTTGCGAGTAGTCTAAGCGATTTTGAGGGTCGAAATCCTGAGAAATGACAAAATGATGAACCATGGTACCTTTTACTGGATGGTGCGAAAGAAAGAGAGGAAGAAAAAAAGAATGAGGACAAAAGTTTTTTTTGCTTCAGAATTAGGTGCAAAAGCCACTACAGGGGCATATAGCCCATGCGATGGCTGTGTCTACCTTCAGTCTAGCACAGAGAAACTTCAACTTTCATCTGTTCACCTCCATTCATCATCTCGCTTTGACCATTATCGACTTCCTCTTTCTTTACGGAACATACCAAACTCTACTTCACACTACAACAATAACAGCAGCAGTTTCCCACCTACTGACCTACTTTCCATATTCTCTATAACGTGATGGATGAAGTTCCCAAGAGACGGCCACCAAGTATGGCAGAGCCTCGATTTTTGAACTTGTATCACAGTCTCAGTTAGAGCAATCCTCTAACGATGCGAATACAAACTCTCATCTGCTTATAGATACCTCATTCAAGCAACAGCGCTTGAAGGCATGGCAACCAATCCTGACTGCAAAGACTGTCCTTCCCACCTATTTCATTATCGGCATCTTGTTCGCACCGTTAGGTGGTTTACTTGTGTGGAGGAATAACCAGGTATGAGCTTAGAATACTAAAACCTCCTAGACTTTATTAAAGCACAAAGGCCAAATGGCGGCCGACGTAGTAGAGTCAACAAGCAACAGCATGGTGAACATGAATAGCATACTTAAGCTATACTTTTATTTTATTTTTATTTTAGGTATCAGAGCTGTCATTTGAGTATACAGCCTGCAAAGATGCAATGACAAAGACAGTAGTTCCCGAATCAACTTTTGTGCACTCTTCAGCAGTTGGACAGTTCGACAAGCCTACATATATGATTCTGCGAGACCAGAACCAATCTGTTAGTTCACCTATTGACAATTCCGCTGAACCCTACGTCTACACGGTTCAGCGATGCTCAGTCCAGGTTACCATTCCAGTAGATTTGCAACCGCCTGTGATGCTTTATTACAAACTCACTAACTTTTATCAGAATCATCGCAAATATACCAAGAGCCTCGATCACAAGCAACTTAGTGGTGAGGCCAGTTCATTGGAGGAGATAAGATCGAGGAAAGGCTGTCCTCCCAGCGATGAACTGATCTATCCATGCGGCTTTATCGCCAATTCAATGTTCAATGGTAAAAAGGGGAGAGGGTGTAGTCATGCCTATCCTGTGTTTTTTTTGCCTTTTTTTCCTTGCTCCAGTGACAATCACATGACAGAGCTATTATTAAACAACAGCAATTCACCTATTCACATTTGTTCGTATAGATACTATCAGTGATCTATTTCAGGTGGCAAGTGAGGGTCATGGGGTTATTTACGCTTTTGAGCACACAGGAATCGCTTTAGCTGCAGACAAAGGGAAATATGGTAAAACCAAGTATACAGACTTTACCACCGTCCGTCCACCTCCTTATTGGGCTGGACGTTGGCCAGGCGGAGAATATTCCACAATTTTCCCCCCTCCTGATCTTTCTACTGACGAGCATTTTCAAGTCTGGATGAGGACTTCAGGATGGCCCACCTTCTTGAAGCCATATGGCCGTAACGACAAGGATATCCTAAGAGCTGGAGACTATCAAATGTCGATTGATATGAGTATGCATGGCTCATAAGTTTTTGATTTTTGTATTCAACGAGGTTCTTTTTGCCGACGAAATTAATTTGCTAATAACCGTTGTCTTTGTCTTGTTTGTTTTATTCTGACAGACTTTCCTATTGAGACTTATGGTGGAAAGAAGTATATTGTTATTTCGACCATCGGTGCCATTGGAGGGCGTAACAACTTTTTGGGTATTATATTCATTGTGACCGCCATTCTTTGTGCAGGTTTGGGAGTCATCTTCACTGCATTCCACATCATTAAACCACGGTAAGAATGAGAGTACTTGGTGCATTGTCTAGTTCTTGATATTTACTGGTTGGGTATCTAACATTGAGGAAAACCCACTTTTTCTTTTATAGTATCATTGGCGATCACTCCAAGATCTCATTTGGAGCTGAAGCAACAGTGCATACACGTTCCGCAAACAGAGCAGATGATGTGGGCGGCAACCGCATACGGTCTCGTTATGAAGACGATTAAAGATCCCTGAAAACAGATAGAAGGAGTTGAAGATCCAATATCATAGTACTTTGACATTTATCTTATTAAATATTAGTTCAGATAATCTTTTATCGAAGAAGCGGTTGACAAAAAGCCACTCATCATCCTCGCGGGTTTTTCCTCAAGAATAGGAACCAATTTTTTAAAAAAAGAATTCACTTTTTTCTTCTCATTTCACCATGTTCCGCATTCACACTGCGACCAAGGTCCTTCGGGTCGGATGTGGGCGTGGTTTCCACAACACCGTTTCACAGTTTTTTGATTCTGCCATTATTGGCTTGCATGCGGATGGTCAGCTCTTGATCCCTCGTTCCATTGCTTCTGATGGCAAGGAGGCCCTTGCAGCACTAGTCAAGTCTGCAGGTGTGAAAGGCAAAGCAGGCGAGAGTCGTGTTCTGTATGGCAATTTCGGGTTGGGTTCTGATATTCAGAAAGTGGCCGTCGTAGGCTTGGGCAAACAAGGAACAAGTGCTGCTGCGAAGGACAGAGTTCGCATGGCTGTATGTTTTTTTTTTTTTTTTTTTTTTTCTCTAATCAAATGATGGCGCTTGGTATCAACAATAATTACCAATCCTTATAAAATGAATTTATTTTATTTCTTAATAGGCTGCCACAGGAGTCAAGGCATTAAAAGCACAGGAAGCAAAGGACATTGGACTTGCTGGAATGGGTCACGATCAAGCAGCAGCAGAGGGCGCATCATTAGGATTGTACAATTTTAACTATTTCAAATCCGGTAAGAAGAGTGCTCCCAGCAACATCAAGATCTCAGCGCTTGATCTCAATAGTCAAAGTCCTGATGAAATCCGGGCATTTCAAAATGGATTGATTCAGGCTAAGGCTCAAAACTTGGCCAGGATCTTGATGGAAACCCCTAGTAACCATATGACGCCAACTCTCTTCGTCGAGAGATTTCAAAAGGAGATCGAGACCTTGGGTGCCGATAGCGGTATTGATATCACGAAACTTAAGATTACAGTAAGGGATCAAGCGTGGGCAGAGCAGAATAAAATGGGTGCTTTCTTGAGTGTGGCAAAAGGAAGTGATGAGCCATTGAGGTTTTTGGAGATTGAGTATCAAGGAGGCAAGAAGGATGATCGACCTTTAGCCCTTGTTGGAAAGGGTGTTACATTTGATTCGTAAGTATTTTAAGGCCCTATTCTCCTGTGGTTATTTCCAGCCAACTTTTTATCGTCAATTCGTGTTTTTATACTCTGCTGACAGGAGCTTTTTATCGTGTCTGGATTCTTTCTTAGTGGTGGAATTTCAATCAAGCCTTCAGCTAACATGGGGATGATGAAGGGCGACATGGGCGGCGCTGCTACAGTAGCAGGAGCTATCTGGGGTATTGCTGCGTTAAACCTCCCCATCAATGTTGTCGCTGGAATCCCTCTCTGTGAAAACATGCCCTCAGGTAGGGCTAACAAGCCTGGTGATGTAGTGACCTCTATGTCTGGCAAAACTATTGAGGTTGACAATACGGATGCAGAAGGTCGTCTCATCCTGGCCGATGCACTCACCTACATCTCCAAGACCTACAAGCCTCATACACTAATCGATCTAGCCACATTGACCGGAGCCATGGATGTAGCTCTTGGTAGCGCCTATGCTGGAGTCTTCTCCACCAGTAATTCGCTCTGGACAGAGCTAGATGCTGCTGGCGAAGAGGCTCACGAAGCGTTCTGGAGGATGCCTCTTCATAGTATCTACTTACCGCAGATCACAACTAACACTATTGCAGATTTGATAAACACCGGAGGCAGAAGTGCTGGCAGCTGCACTGCAGCCGTCTTCTTGAGAGAGTTTGTCCATGGTATTGAGAGGGACGATGGCTTCGCAAAAGTTGAGGGTGAGCCTTCCACTGAGGTTGGAAAGCCTCTTGATGGAGACGAAGAAGGATCCACTCTTCCCGAGAGTTTAAAGCCCGGTAGTGTGCGATATGCACATATCGATATTGCTGGCGTCATGGATACACAGAGCAACAGTGGATACTATGCTAAGGGTATGACGGGCCGTCCTGCGAGAGCTTTGATTGAATTCGCAAAGATTACATCCTCATCCTCATCCTCATCAAAGTAAAGGGAAGCAGCTAAATAAATAAATAAATAAAAGTGACTTTCAAGAATGGGATCATCGAATAATTTTGATTTGTATTGTTATTCATACATATTTCGCGTGTTTTCATCTATCTGGAATCGAGCTGTGCACGCTGAGAAGCCATCGCAGATTTACGAGTTGGCCCACCACCGCTTTCTACCACCTGGTTGATCATATCTTGGAGTTCCTTGGTTCTACAAATACTATTGTCAAGATCATGATCTTGGCTCTTACTCTTGTTCTCGTTCTTGCTCTTACTTTTGCTCTTGCTCTTGCTCTTGCTCTTGCTTTCGCTTATGACCTCTATTGCTGAGGTGGATGTCAGTTTAGAGAGACCGGTTTTGGATTTATTTTGATGATTTGAGGATGACAATGGTGACGGCATATCAGCATCCTGGTTATCCATCCTTCTGCCAGAAGCTCGCTCAATTTTGCTGATGATGCCTTGCAGCGCCATGCTTTGAGCCTTCCCTTCTGTTAACGTGAATCGCTGCATAGCATATGCTTTGGAAGTAGCAGAAGCTGATTGTTGGTACAGCGTGTTTGTGAGACGGGTCATATCCTTAAGCAGCACATTTTCAGGCGATTGCCAGTCCTATAAATATTGAATCAGATATAATATGTTCAAAAAGGTGCCAATGCTAAAAATAAGAGAAAATATATACATAGAGGTTCAGAGATATGGAGATAAAGGGCAATGCTTACTTGATCTGACATGCGCAGCCTTTCACCGCGCTCAATTGTATCGACCATTCGTGCGCCGTCCAATTTCCATTGGAGGCGCGGACTGAACTCTGCACGCTGTGCCGAATAGCTTGTCGCTTTGGCCGCAGACTCCACAATTTGGCTTACTAGCTTATCCAAGTCCCTGTTGCGCTCGGCGTTCAGTCGTTGCTGCTGTTTAGCAGATGATGATGATGATGACATTCGCGTAGGTGATATTCTGTCCGTATGTCCTTTCGATAACCGATCAAGCGTGTGAGCAATATTAGCTCGCGTCATTCTTTCTTTTAGAGTAGGAGAGAACTGCACTCGTTGGTTATCCAATCGCGGTGCCACCTTCGAGAGCCTTTCGATGGCTGACATGACATTGTTTAGATCGAATCGTGTCTTTTCATCATCAAGAGTGCCACTTACACTCATGTGACCATTCAAAGTGTTTTGGTTGGTGGTCGCCTTTCGAATCGCACTATTCCCATTGGACACCATAGAAGCTTCCTCGTCCAACTTTTCAGGGACGTATTGTGGAGCGAGGTCTTCGTCATACTCTGGAAGATCATCATTTAATGCGGCCATGTCTAGTGTCTGTTGATCAAAATTATGCAACAGCTTTAATGAGTGTGTGACGGAGGCTGTTGAGGAAAGTGCAGGTACTTGATTGCGGTCATGGAAGGGGTTCACAGCCCCATTTGCGTCCACAGCCCCCTCTGTATTCCCGTTATGCGCTTCATCATCGTGGCTAATGTCTTCTAGGCTCTCGCAAAACCTCCACAAATGCGTCAACTCATCCATGAGCTTATCGAGCTCTGCCCAGTCATGTTCAAGCTCTTTTATGCTGCTAGCTTGCAATGTATTCTCAGAATAGAGATCTTCTCCTTTGTTTGAGGACTCTAGCCTAAGACCTGATAGGACTCTACCCTGTAAGGATTTGTAAGCCGTTGTTACCTCTATCTGGGACGTTGACTGTGTTCTGCGGCTTTTGAGCGTTCGAACTTGCTTATTAAAAGACTGCATAAAGCTATTCGTTACCCCAGCTCCCCCAGCCGCTGTTGTCGCTGATGACGGTGTTGTTGCTGCTGCTCCTATAGAATCCTTGAGTAGAGTACCTTTCAGTGGCGATAAAGGGCTAGGCGGGACCATTGATTTCTTACTCTTTTGAGATACTAAATCTGAAGCCGAAGTTAAAGTGGAAGGTAAAGCTGATAGCGGGGACAGAGGTTGACGAAGAGTACTCTTAGTACTAAATGAATTAGACGAGAGTCTTTTCCAGAGTCGTGCTGCTTGATCTAAGCCAGAATCCGCAGACTCGGTGCGTTGTGGCGTACGTGGTTGTTGTTGCTGCTGTATATTATTGAGAATACGGTATATGCAGGCTAGCATCGCAGCCAAAGCACAGGCTAATTGGTATTCCTGGCTATCAAACAATTTTGTGCAGGTCAGACTTTTCTGCTCGAGCTGCTGCTGCTCATCCTGTGGCACCAACTCTTGTGAGCGGCTTGTGGGTATATCAAAGGATTCATGTAGTAGTGCTTCGTGGGCTTGGTTATCGGGCAATTTTGATGGACAAAGCTGCTCATCGCCCAACGCAGATAGTTGATCGATTTTTCGTTCCAGTTCATCCAGTCGCTCAAACGAAGAGGTTGCTATTCCCGCGATTGGTGTAATTGAGATGAATTTTTGTTTCCTAGGCGGTGACGATCCCAACATTGAATGTGAAACTTCTAGGTTTTGAGTCTGTTGTAGTTGTTGTTGTTGCGGCTGTTGAAGCAGTTCAGATTGATGCTCATGCTTGAGTAGATCAAGTAGTGGAGCGGAGCTGCGTCGGATAAAAGCACGCGCTTGAATGGTTGTTTCGTCTGGATTATGAACGGGATCACAGGCGGTAACATCAGAAACAACCTGTTGCAGCAATCCATCCAGAGCTAGCATAGTTATGTTCTTGAGCGATTGTAGCGATTCAATGACCTCCTAATGTCATTGTATGGCCATTGTCATCATCCGAGATACGGTTGAAAGTGAAGTAATAAAGATGATCAAATGTCTTCATTGCGTTAGTCACTCAACCACATTGTGATGATGATAAAGAAGAAGGGGAAAAAAAAAATTTCACTTGGGCCATTGCCTGGAACTGATATAATCATCACAACGTTACCTCTTGTTCAGTCATAGTCTTGTTCTCTGAGACTGATTCACCTGTAACCGGACAAGGCTCGTAGGTTGATATTGGACAAGGACGTATGACTAGCCTTGGCGGTAGTCCTCTCTCATCTAGACTCGGAAGCGAATGATCATAGAGCGTACCGTGGTATATCTTTGGCCGTGAGGATTGCTCTGCTTCCTGCTGTTGTTTTTTAGTGCTAGTGTATAGATGTGATGGTGGTTGATATTGCAGGCTCAATTGCATCTGCATCTCCTGTTGTCGTTGCTGTTCCTGATGTGCCTTAGAAAGGTACTCCTCGATCTTGGTTGAGTGGGCCTTGGCTGTGGACCCAACAAGGGGCTCTGTATCTGCAGCGGTTGTCATGACTAGGGGAGTTGGGGATTTAGTGATGATAGGAACCATATCTCCAAAATCACTGGGAATATCTACAGTGTCATTGATAGAGAAATTATTTCGAATAGTGCCAGCATCCTCTACGTCAGTAGCAGGTGAAGTAAATGTGCCCTGTCGATCAAAAAAACTGAGATCAAGAGTGGTTGTGGTAATATGCTGCGTGGTATTGTTGATGGTGTTTAATGATCTGTCCATCTGGCGCTCAAGTAAGAGATCAGGTTGCCAGGGTTCATTCTCCAGACGATTAATGATCATCATATCTTCTTCTTCTTCCCCATATGCTGTTGCGCCTGCTGAACGGCGCCTGGAACGGCTCTGGATCAATGAGTTGAGTTGGAGGAAAAGAGTGGAAAGTCGGATAATTATGTTTAAAATTTCATGTAGAAAAGGCCAATTGCTTGTTATCATTCCTTATTAGGATCAGAATGCTTGCCCTAGTTTTTTTACCTTTGACTTCTTTTTGGAGAGCATAGCAACTGCCATTGTTAGAGTAGGATATTATGAGGTATTAGAAGAATGTCAGAAAAGGAAATGGGGTCCAAATGGACGAGAGATGATGACAAGATGAGGGCGACTTGGGACTGTGGAGATGAGAGAAAAAAGAGGTTCTGTTTCAATAGCAAAGGCGGGAAAGTGGGATATTATTAACGCTTATGAGCGCGGGACAAATTGGTCAGTGTGTTTTGTTTTGAGTGTGGAGGAAATAGGATAGATAAAAGGACAGTGGGGTAAAGTGTAAATGAGAGAAAGAAGAGGTGGAAGACAAAAACATCAATGAACTTTATGTGGATATGGATTCAAGGATGCATGCAACGCATGCGTCCTTCTTGAAGACCAATGCAATGGTTATTAACAAGTTTGGTTCATCACTCTATCTTTAATGAAAAGCAAGATTGAAAGTTAAGCAAACAATTACTTTTTTTATTTTATTTTTTGTCTTTTGCTCTTGCGCATGCTTTTGCTTTTTGCTCTTATTTATTTATTTATTTATTTTTTATTTTTTATTTATTTTTTGGTCCATCGCGTGCTTGCCCTGTTCCTCTTTCTGTGTGTACCTTTCTTTCCCCCCTCCTTTTGAACAAACAGCTCCTTCATTTCCTTATGTCTCCTTTAATCGTTAATATACATGTACGGGGCAAGAAATAAGGAGCAACCGAGTAATAAAACACACCAATTTGCATAAAAAAAAGAAACAACAATGGAACCATACAAAAAGCGGGGTTCGATTAGGAGAATTAGGGGACTATGAATCAGAAGAAAAGTTGTAGCCAGTGCGTTGCATCTTCCCGCCCAGCGTTGCACTTTGGTACTGAATGTTGTCAAACATGAACGTAGAAACACAAAAAAAGGGTCAGGGCAAAGGGCCATGACGAAGGAAATGCATGATCGTGACGATATATACCAATGGAGACGCGTATCCTAAGAATCCAATAAGGTCATGTTTTTTGTCCAATCGCATGGCACTGTGTTAATTCCTATGCACAGGTATGCACGTCGTTAAGAACGTGATCTATCAATTATTGAAAAAAAGAATAGATCGGAAACCTTGCAAGATAGCATTTCTCTTTTTTTTTTTTTTTTTTTTTTTCTTCCAATGTTCACTTCTCGTATCTCCTCCTTTTATCCTCTTTACACCCACAGATCCATCCTATTTGCACGTCGATTCATGTCTACTGCTATCGCTTTGAATCCCTCAGAATTTGTTGATTTCAAACTCAAGAACATTGAGTCTTTGACTCACAATACTTCGAGGTTCACGTTTGAACTTCCCGAGCACCAGTCTTTGGGTCTTCATGTAGCTTCTTGCATCCTTACTAAATTCATTGGCCCTGATGGCAAGCCGGTCATTCGTCCTTACACCCCCACTTCGGAAACCTATGTCAAGGGATCGTGGGACTTGATCATCAAGCGCTATGATAGTAAATGAAAAAAAAAAAAAAAAAAAAAAAAAAAAAAAATTATAATAATTGCGGCACTCATAACCTGGAGAGGAAAAAGAAAACAAAACAACTAGAGTGGATGAACTAACTCCAATGGCTTTTTTTGACCTTGTATTTCTCTGTATGTAAAAAGCTGGCATAATGTCCTCACATATCCACAATCTTAAGGTTGGTGACACCCTTTCAGTGAAAGGTACGAAGATAGCAGAGACATTGGAGGAGGCGCAATCTAGGAAACTAAAAAAAGAAAAAAGAAGGCATCCTATCCAATCAATGGCTGGATATGACAACGAAAAGCGAATTATATATCTACATCAGAAAGATACACAATACAGATGCAGCACATGATGAAGGAAGGAAAGTAGAGAGAGAAAGAATCGACTATCCCTCTCCTGATCCGCCGTGAATTGAAGCTTTTTGGGATGTCAAATTAGCCGTTGGTATAAATACTAATCACCAATCTCAATCTACGCCCTCGTTTTCACACTAGGCCCAATCTCAAAGTATCCTTTGAAGGTGAATCAGCACAAGTCAATAGCTTTGATCGCTGGTGGTTCTGGTTTGACACCCATCCTTCAATTGATCTACAGTATCCTTCATGACAAAGAGGATGTGACCAAGATCAACTTTATTTTTGCAAATGTTACTCCAGACGATATTATCCTCAAAGATGTTCTCGACGAGTTGGTGAAGACGCATCCAGATCAGCTCAAGGTGACCTATGTGGTTAGCAGACCCCCTGCTGAAGGTTGGATCGGGGAGACTGGACGTGTGAATGCTGAAATGATTAGAAGACACGTTCCAGAAATTGGAACAGAAGGCAATAAAGTCTTTGTCTGCGGTCCTCCAGGTAGGCTTTTTTTTTTTTTTTTTTTTTTTTTTTTTTCTCAAGAAAAGAGCTTTCTTCCATTTGTTGTCACATCTAATTTTTTTTATTTTATTTTTTTTTATTTGGTGATGTCCAGGTATGATGAACGCAATTAGTGGACCCAAGAATCCCGATCTCACGCAGGGCGAGCTCATTGGGGCACTAAAGGACCTTGGTCTTACTTCTGAGCAAGTTTTCAAGTTTTAGACATGGTAACAATAAAGATCGATAGAGGTATACAAAGAAAATATTTCTCACAAGATGAAGGATAGCTGCTGGAGTGAGGTGTTGTTGACGAAGGTTAGACCAAATGTTGACTGTATACTTTGTTCCTGGAGGGAACCAATGTAGCTAAGAAGAAGACGCCGTAGTGTTTCTGGAATGTATGTTTTGAGATCCATGTTTACTGAGGAGGATTAAGGGCTGATATAATGTTGATTTGAGATTCAATCGAGACGGTTATCTGGATGATGCCATGGTGAATGTCGGTTCTCAATCGATTTCCTTGCGACTTTTGTATAGAGATACGCCTTTGATACAAAGAGAATTTGCATCTGGGTGTGTGCGTGTGAGATGTGCGCTTGGGATTGGACAGCAAGACTGCATGCAATTTGTGTACACGTAGATCACATCCCTGTTAGGCAACCAACTTACTTTGTTCCAAAAAGAATTGCATCTCTAGAATGCTGAAAAGAACCCTGGATCGACATTCAGTGATCCGATATGCTCAGCGGCTGGAAAGAAAGAAAAAATAATTTGAAAAATACTGCCAAGACCAAGGGAAAAATGTCTCTTTGAACAATTTGTTTGAGGCAACGGGCTATTAAAAAAAAAAAAGCTTCCATTGCAATTGACGATCGGTGGTACCAATTTTCTCTTCCTGTGTTCAGAGGAGGAGAAAAAGGGAGTGTGCAAATGTGTTCTATTTCTTTGACACAACTCTCATCATCTCTGCTTTTTTAAATGTATTTATTCATTCATCTTTTTTTCCTCTCATCACTATACTTTTAACTTCTTTCTCTCTCTCTTTCTCTTTTCTCTTTTCTCTTTCACTTTTTTGTTTTCTTTTTCTCCTTCCTATACTGCTATTTCTTGATGCAGAGGACCGACTGTCGCCAACCACTGCTTATACACCATTTATATCTTCACCTCTTCCACCTACGCCATTCATACACCAAGGACCATTATGACACACCCACTACCAAGCGAAAACGACGATGGAGCTACAGCAGCAGCAGCAGTAGTAGAAACTGAAATTGTACCTGGACCTGCAACTGGAACTGGAACTGGAAGTGGAATTGCTCTTTCAGGGGCACGAGCACGGCAGGCAAACTTGCGCGATCCGTTCGATGACGAGTCCTCTTTCCTTACTGTCGATCATAGTAACCATAACAATTTAGAGGATGAGCAAGAGTCTTTTATCGATCCTACCGCCGATAGCTATCATGCTCCTAAGAATCCTTTTGCTGATCCTGAGGGCTACATAATGACGACAACGACAACAACAGCGGTGGCCCGTAAGCATAAGGAATTAGCCACTTATGACGATGATGATTCATTCGACTCCCAAACCGATGATAATAATGATAGTGATGGCTCTGGTAGTTATGATAGCGACAGTGAAGACGATAGCGATAATGATAATGGCCATGATCGGATTACAGGAGGATACCACGGGTCAGCAGATGTAGATGATGGACTGGATGATACTCAACATCTATTATTGAATTCAAACAATACACGTCTCGGAGGCATGGGTATGGGCATGCGTGTAGGCGAGACCGGAACGGGTACCATGATTGGGCTTGATCTTGAACCACATGGTGACTGTAATCCTTATGGCAGACGTCATAGTGGCTCTAAGCTCGATTATGAGGATGAGAATAATGACTACGACACCCTGCCACTTTCCACTATGGATGTCGATAGTTATCGCATGAAGGGTGGCAACAAGAAGAAAAGTAGCAAAAATAGCTCAAAAAGAAAGCAAAGGGTTAAAAGAGAAAAACAACGCGGAGATCAGAAGGCGAATGTTAATGAAGGGCCCGTTCTTGGACTCGGTGCCATTCGCACAGAACAGATGGCAGCCATTGCTAAGAAGCAGTTTCGAGTTCAACTTGCCTGGAACGCTTTCTATGTCTTTGCATGGTAAAAAGAAAAGGTTCCCTCTCATTTCCAATAGGCGACAGTTATTTCTAAATTCAGGATTATTTACCCAATCCGATCTTTTATTTGTATTTAAATAGGTACTCGTGCTCAACAGCCTTATCATTCTATAATAAGTGGTTGTTCTCGCCCAATTACCACAACTTTCGATTTCCACTGTTCACGACAAGCTTGCATATGGTGGCCCAATTCTCTCTTTCGTCTATTACCCTGACATTACTGCCTGCTCTACGACCAAGAGCAGCTCCTTCTGCTAAGGATTTTGGGTAAAAAAAAAAAAAAAAAAAAAGAAGAAAAAAAACTAAACGTGTATCTCAGCTTTAATCTAATCAATATCAAAACCTCAAACTCCTCATTAATGTTAATATTTTAAATTGTAGAACAAAAATCGTACCATGTGCTGTTGCATCTGGATTGGATATTGGGCTTAGCAATAGTAGCTTGAAGACCATCACACTCGCTTTCTATAGTAAGTTGATTGATCGCCTTACCCTTGATAGACGATTTTGAGGTACTTGTTCTGATATATGGTTTTTTTTATTGCTTCTTTTTCCTCCTTTCTCTTTCTAATATTAGCCATGTGCAAGTCCTCATCATTGGCTTTCGTGTTGTTGTTTGCATTTCTGTTCAAGCTGGAGCGACCAACTTGGACGCTTGCGGGTGTTATTACAGTTATTTGTGTTGGGCTGTTCCTGATGGTCATGTCTGAAGTAGATTTTGTGCTTATTGGGTCAGTATCTAATTTTGATTTTTGTAAAGCGTAGCGTTCATCATTGACTTCATGTATGTTGCTACTATAGCTCTCTAACAATATTCCTTCCTTCTCCTCTAGGTTTATTCAAGTAATGCTGGCATCTGTTCTAGGTGGGCTTCGCTGGTCGTTAACGCAGATGCTGCTTGAGAGGAGTGACACTAAATCAGGATCGCTTGCCAATCCAATTTCGACAATCTTTTTCTTATCCCCAATTATGGGCGTCTGCCTTTTCATTGTGGCAGGGATTTTTGAAGGATATGGGGTCATTTTTGGATCAGTGTTCTTCTCAGCTCCTTTAATTGCGCTCGAGACTATGGGTTTACTCTTGTTGGGAGGGCTGTTCGCATTCATGATGGTTTTGGCGGAGTTTAACTTGATTGCTCGGACCAGTGTCGTTACATTATCTGTGCTGGGTATCGTCAAGGTGAGTAAAAAATAGTCTTTTTTTTTTTTTTTTTTTTTTTTTGACCAGTTCAATGATGACATGTGTTGAAAAAAAATGTTTGACGTTTTTTTTTTTTTTTTTTTTTTTTTTTTGGCTTTTCCAGGAAGTGATGACAATTTTAATTTCAGCGCTCGTATTCCGTGATCAATTGACGCTCGTCAATATCCTCGGCTTGTTCATCACACTAACTGGCATTGGATTTTATCATTTCATGAAGATGCGGGAGATGAAGGCCAAAGCTCGGCGGCAGGCTAAAGAAATCTCGGACACAGAGCTTGCAAACGCTGCAAAGAAGAGAGAACGCAAAATAGCAAAGAAATTGCTCCGTGAGCAGAAAAAACGTGGTGTTGTAAATATTGGCGTTGGCGCTGGCCTACTTAATAAGGACATTATGGATTTGGGAAAGGATGATGAAGATGATCTTATTATTCAGAGTCGTCCCTCCAAAGAGTTGCCCTGGAATCATGGCCTAATATCTACTCAGAATCCCAATAGATCGAGCCAAGATAGGTTGATGCATGATGAGGATGCGTTTATTTTGGATGATGGCGAGAATGATGCTAGGAATGGTGGACATGGTATTGGTAATGGTAAATAGTGGATAACAATATTATTATAGTAGTAATAATGAAAGGATATTTTCCCTTCTCCTTTTTATGATGAGTATCCGTAAATGTTTAAAGATGGATGGTCTGGAGCTCATAGAACAGAATATAGCCATTCTGAGCCCAGTCAGCCTCCATTTCCATGTTTTCATCCGAGTCCCTGAGAATCAGCTTCACGCGATTTCCTGATGGATCTAGATCATCATGTCGAAGCCAATTCGGCTCCTGAAACGATAGTGGGTGGGCAGCGCTACCATATCCAGACCCACCAGTAGCATCTGAGGCGACTGTACTGTCTTTACCAACCTGATCTGCCACATAGCTACGATAGTGTCCCGAATCCAGACGTGATCCGATATGACACACCACAGACTTGAGTTCCAACATGTACTTGACTTTGGGCTGCCTGCAGTCCATATAGTCTCCTCCAAATGGCTCTTCTGGTGGCGGGCGGGGTGACCATCCTTTCTTCTCATCTCCCAATGTGGTGCTATTGAAAGATGAATAAGCCTTTGATGATGAAGCAGGGGAGTATTGAGGTGGTGGCGTGATAGGTGTGTTTGGGGAATCTACAGCCTGAAGAAGTGATATAGAGTATTTACGAACAGGCGGGAGATGAGTATTGATGCTTATGGAGGCGATATCATGACCTGAGGAAGTTGTCCCTACAGATGGCGATTTTGGAATTTGATCGCAGTAAGCAGGCTCGACTCGGAGTGTTGGCGATGATGGCGGCGACGATGACGATGACAAGGATGAGACATGAGGCGCTGTCGGTTCTTCCAGTACTATTGAGTTACTTCCGGTTGCATTTTTAGGTTCGTTATCGTTAACAATATTGTTGCCTCTTGCGTCTGTGTTTGAGCCTGCATCACGCTCGTTATCCGCACAGGTATCTTGTGGAGGAGGCGAACTAGACGTTGCAGATGGTCCGAATGTCTGACGATTCACAAACCTTGAAAAATCAATTCGTCTGGGGATATCGATGGGTGTACCAATCCTACGTGCCCGCATATCATGTCCAAACGAATATCGCTTCAGAATTAGCGGTAGAATCACTACGTCTGCAGGGTATTGCGATTGACTGGCGTGAATGATACCTCCTTGCTCGTTAGATGATGAGTAAAATGGTAATAGCTTCAGAACCTGCCAAGCTGATACAGGGACCTCTACCTCTGGCGAAAGCGGTACTCCTGTCCCTGAGGAGACAAGTCGTCGGATTCCCGTAAGCGTATTATCGTAAAAGTGCTGTGCCAATAGGCTCTCAAGGGATAAAATCTCATATACTGATGAAGCTGCACTACTGATCTCATCCTCATTATTATCGTTGGATGATTTAGATGACAATAGCTTTGACATTGCTGATTCTAGTCTGCGTGTGATAGGTTGTGACGTATGTGAATTCAACTCTGGTACTGGTATTGATATCTGCAGCATTCGTTCCGTAATCACTTTGTCATCATCAGCAGAAGTCTTGGCGCCATGTAGCAGTCTCTGTTCCAAGGGTAAATAAGGAAGGTGAAGTTTTTCTGTCAAGAACATGAACAGCTCGCTGGCATCTTCTTGTCGACTACTCCCAGGTGGGTCGTACGGCCCTGGACAATTCCATCCACAACTGTAGAGATGTTGACGCAACTCCTTGACTACATGGGCCTGGACCAGTCTTCCAGAGCGTAGCTGATTGACAAACATACGAAGCCAGGTCTGTAATAGATGCGAGTGAAGTAAAGTCTCTTGTTTATCTCCCTCACGTCGGGGTTCTGGAATAGTATCGGCACTCTCAGTGCCACTACCACTTGTTTCACTATCACTATCGGTGTCGGAATCAAGGCTAACATTCAAAAGACCTTCAAAGGCGGAGAGACGAGCGAACATAGCAAATAGTAGGGAGTCTATAGATCATAGAATACGAGATTGTTAAATATCTGTCAACATCGCTAAACCACTAACACAGGGTCAGACGCTCGCTTTTTTTTAGTTAATTTTCGATCATCAATGTGGTCATTTAATGATCACATAGTAAAGAAACTCTATTTCTCCTTATGCGAATGTTAATTGTGTTTGCACGATCCTTACCGATATAACAGCTGGTCATTTGATCATTTACAGCTCCACTGAGTGTTTTCTCCTGTTGTACAGGGACAAGGGTTCCCTGAACAGCCTGGACAAGGTCCTGGCAGTATTGCAGTGTCTGATCAATGTCCCATTGGTACGAACTTAGCAAATATGCAGCTGTGTCCTCATCTGCACGATGGCCCGCATGTTCAAAATATGATACAACCTGAAGTAGCAGCACTTGCTTTTCAGGGCTGAGGGATTCAGGTGTTTGACGATCTCTTGGCATCCGTGATAACGAAATATCATCAGCAGCACTGTTGTTTTGTGTGAAGTGTGTAGAGGCTGATAGGATAGAAGACGATGGGAGTGAAGCCGAACGATACTGGTAACCTACACCAGAATAGCCATCGAGCGAAGACCGAGGAGGCGCAAGGTTATTGTTATTAACACTGTTGTTGGAGAAACTAGAGTTGTGGATGTTATGGGCGCCTTGCTGTAGGTGTTGAAAAGAGCCGCCGCTTCCGTTGCTGCTTCCTTGCATGGTCGAATGTTTATGTTTGTGAATATGAAGGTAGGATTTGATGTTTTTGAGCATCTTGATGGGCGACCTGGACCGTTTTAGGGACAGCTTGGGAACATCTGGCTCACCTAGTGAAGTGATAGCCTTGACTTTATTCTTATCCTTGTCCTTACTCTTGCTCTTACTCTTGCTCTTGTCCTTGCTACGCCTGATACGGATCGAGGGGTTCCTATGAAAAAGATTGCTCACGGGTATATTATTTCCAGGGCCGTCTCCTGCCGCAACGGTTATTGTTACTGATGATAATGAAGTCGTAGGAGTTTTGACGGCGAAATCAAGTGCTGCAGTTGAAGAAATGGTACTAGAAGGTGGAGTAGTAGCAGTGGCGGTGACATGAGTCGTTGCAGTAGTAGCAGTAGGATGAGAAGCGGCCGTTGGAGTCAGCATTCCTGCAGGAACTGTAATTATGCGTGCATCATTGACGTTGTCGTCGCTGTTGATACTGCTTGGTTTTTGTTTAGATGGTCTGGCTAGCAGTGCAGGGACCGGTGGTGAGTTGTCGCTCATGGTAAGAAAACTACGGCAACTGAGGTAAGAAAAATGAGAGGGGGAAAGAGAGGAGAAGAGTAGGTGAGTGCGTATACGTAAAGAAATGGAAGAGCACGGAAGAGAGAGAGAGAGAGAGAGAGAGAGAGAGAGAGAGAGAGAGAGAGAGAGAGAGAGAGAGAGAGAGAGAGAGAGAGAGAGAGAGAGAGAGAGAGAGAGAGTAATGGGGATCGAATGAGAAAGAGTGAAGTGAAATGAATGTCAGGAACGACACAAAGGAGTTTGAAAAGGTTAGAAGGAGGCTGTTGGGAAAAAAGAAAAAGTTTTGTCCCCATCACTGTGTTGGTTGTCGATTGTGTTTGTTGCACATTAAATCATTGGACGATGTTGCGTCTCGGCTGATGATTGACATTCAACAGTGCAACTTGGGGTCGTAATGCAGTACATGAACATGTACATGTACATTCAGAAGTAATCATTGTGTTGAAACCTTAAATTATGCTTGGTCCACAGCTTCAGAGACCTCATTTTCTCATTTCCTCATTTCCTGTTGTTAGCTCTTTCGAGCAACTGTGACAGGCAACAACGATATTTTGCTTCGACCTAGTTGGCATCCTTTTTTTTTGCTTCATCGGTCGGAACTATTTATAAAAGGAGTTCATTCTTGGGAGAAAATATGTGGACGGCGTACGGTCGGCGATAATGGGTCCACATTAACTTGTACTGCAGGCATGTCTTTTTTCTTTTGTTTTTTGGTGCATGTGATAAAGATCTGTTGTTATGGTTTCCGTATAGGTTTTTTTTTTTTTTTTTTTTTTTTTTTTGGATAATGAACAGAAGGCGCCAGATTTTATTAGAAAAGCCAGTGTTATTCTTTCATATAGTGCAGTGGACCCAGTGCATAAAATGGGCGAAGCTAAAAAAATAAACCAAGCGAGAATACAAATACAGTTGTTTTATTGGATCTATTTTTTTTTTTTTTTTTTATGACGACATTTTACGTGTAAGATGGATAGAAGTTTCTTGAGCAAGAGAGGTAGGTGAGGCTGGTCTGTTTGAGGGGATCATCATACTGGCCTCTCTAGCCTTCGGGAAAGCATTATCGAGAATACCAAGTAAGTGCTGCGAAAGCGCTGCTGGTTTAATCAAAACTTCCTCGCATAGTCGATTAGAAGCCGGCTTCATCTCGATACCGTCCTGCCCTTCAAGTTGACGCCACAATTGGAAAACAGTTCCTGCGATATAAAGCTAATAGGCATTGAACGACATTGAGCATCGATGTAGAGAATAACAAAAAAAAATACAGTTAGCTATCACATAAGATGAATATTCTACAACAACAATAACAACAACAACAGCAACAAAAAAATGCCTAAAAAGTTCGTTTTTTCCTCACCTTAGGGTGTTGAACGGGTGAAATCTTGATCTGCTTTCTAACTTCTGCAACCGCTTTCAGCGTGGGTCTCCAATCTTCTTCCGTACCCGTCAAAAAGACTTTGGATAATCCCATATGCGCTGCTGCCTCCACCGCGCCCAGCATCATGGTTTTGACATCCATCATACTGCCATAGCTGAGACGACTCACAATGTCGTCCTCATAGACATAACATCGAATGTGGTCACGATACCGATCTGCCAGATCTTTAGAAACGCTACAAGCGGGAGCAAATGAATGACACTGAATCCGAAAATGCCCATTCATTAGCGACTGGAACTCGTGCTGATGATCAAGAAGCATCATGGTTAAAATCGAAGCTGTTCCTCCACCGAGACTGTGACCCACAATGTTGAGCGCTGAGACCTTGTGCTTCGAGATATATGCTACAAGTTGCGGAACCAAATTTTTCATAAACCAATCTGCTGACGTTTTCATGCCGCCGTGTATCAGTCCTCCTTTCCATTGCTGATATTCACAAGCAAGGTCCGTCAAGGTATCAAACGCGCTCTAGATAAGGAAAAAAAATTGGTTTTGTGTTTTTAAGCAGATTTAAAAGCTCATAAATCACCATTTACAACTTGCCACGTCCCAATCATTGTCTTAAAACCATACCATCGTGCCACGGATAGCAAGGACAATCGAGTTGGTGGCTCGATCGAGCGCTACGTAGTAGCTCGGATGAAATACTTTGGATGCACGGAATTCGAACGCTAATAAGTCCTCTTTGGGTATGCGAAGAAAATCGATCGCACACTCATGGTCGGATCGCCATCGGACAAAGTCCTTAATAATGCCATTTCCCTTGCCCACAAAATTAATACCTGCCCATCCCTGGAGATTTCAGGCAAAAAGATAAAATCAGTTGATATGACCTGGTGCACTTGAAGGAAAAAAAAAAAAAGTGAAGTTGGAGATAGATCTGAGATATTAACATACGTAACAGGCCATAGAGAAGCGCCAAAAATATCCAGCATGCTCCACTTGCTCAAGTGTGGCCAGCCCTGTGTCCATTCTCTCACTCGTAATATCACGATAAAACCTCTCCAGAACTACAACTGCTGTCAAAATCTGTGCATTCGTCAGCTCAAGCCCTTGACCCTAGCGAAACAACAGTTAGCAGAGTAAAGGTTAGCTGATATAAGCCCTCAAGTAGATGACGTCCATACGGGCGCATGGTTGCTTTTTTTTTTTTTTTTTTTTTTTTTTTTTAGCTATAACTTACATAGGCAGATGCCAGACGCATAACTGCTTTGACAACTTTCTTTGTCTCCGCTGCAATTGTCCATGCCCCAACCATATCTAAAAGAGGGTATTGCACCACACTGTCATCATCGTCCTCGGTGACTGTCGCAAACCGAAGTTCTGATTGTTGTTTTGCGCTGCTCTCTTTGGTCATTGGATCCTCATACTTTTCAAACCGAGTATCTGATGCCTCATCCATCATGGCCTCTGATAGCTGGGCCAAGAAATCAGAATCATCTTCTAGTTGCCTGGAGATGCTAGGAGCTGGTACTATAGGGTCTGCATGCGCCATATCATCTGCTGATTGGGGTAACCGTTGGTATCGGTAGTTTATCCGAAGTTGAATCGCGCCGATATTGGACGAAAGGGTTTTCTTTCCTGCAAGATTGGACATTGTGCTGACAGATTTTGTCCTATCCCAAATCTCGTAAAAACTTTACAGGGACACCAAATTTTTATTGGCTTTGACATCATTGTAAAGTTGTACAAAAAAATTGATCCGCGTCTGTGCAACCTTTACCTTGTGAATGATTCTGGGAGACCTTCCAGGTGTGAAAGCTTGATCTCGGCTCGACCCACATGTCTATCACGCAAAAGGATGTTTCTATCATACAGATCAAGCTTAAAGAAATAAGCAAGTAGTCATAAGATTACGCGTGAGTAAGATAAATCACATCTCTACTAAAAAGAGGCCATGATTTCACATGCTACAACTCCTTACTTACTTGAAGACTGTCAAAAAGCTGTGTATGAAATGTTACACGGAACTCAAAGCCTTCATTCCAATCGCCGCGTTCGCGTTCAGACGTTGACGTTTGATATGTTTGATCTGAGTTGAGAAAAAGAAAAGTGAGCATCGGGTAGATTTTTTTACATTCCAAGGTTCAAACATGGGTTCGTCTCTTACCACCAAGAGATAAAATGACGTATGGTCGTTGCAAGACTTGATTCAGTTCAATATGTTTGACAATGATCTTCTCAAAATAAAATAAAAACCATTTGTGTCAAACATCAAGTCTCAGGTTGAGAGTATCATGTGCCCATTGGAACCAAAAAATAACATGATCCTAACCTGAAGTCGTCTATCGGGTAATGGTCTCCAGAGTCGTTGTTTGATCTCTTGTGATACTCTAGACAGCAATTGGGCCGCTGCACTGTTGTTTGTACTTGTCGAATCGGAGTTTTCTATAGCGATTGTGCTTTCGGAAGGAGTTGATATCGATGTTGAGATTGAAGTCGTTGTGAGTAGACTGGAACTAGAAGCCGAGTTGGATAAAGTGGGGCCAATTGAGCTTTCTGCATGCGTTGCCATAGTTATGGCGGTAGAGGGCGTTGTCATACTCTGTCTCCGGAGAGGCTGCTGAGTGATAAGTTCTGGCAAAGAAGCTGAGCTGTTGATGGAGGTGTTGCTTTTATTGGTGAAGGGATGTGGACGTGTGAAGGGTAAAGTAAACCCATTAGACATAGTGATGAAATGAGGACAAATGTGTAGACACAGAGATGAAAGGATGTGAACGATGAGTTTTTTTTTTCCAGAAGAGCTTAATTGTAGGAAAAGAAAAGACAAGCGGTTGGAGAGAGGTGTTCACTCTTTTCTATTTTTTTACCCCCATCATGAGGTCATGGAAAACCCCATTCATTAAACAATTGCACTCATACACACTTTGCCCAAAGTGTTATTCACAAGCACGTGCATTAGGATTAACACCGATTTATTTAAGAATTAAGTAATTTTGGGATTTATGCATTTTGAGCCAAAGCCTGCAGGCCCTGCAGGACTGTCGATACTCCAGGCACAAACCACCGGGCTTCAGAACTCTTGGATCCGACCGTACAGGTCACCACTCGCTGCTCGCCATCCAATGCTTGACTATTGCAGTACTCAAACATGTCCTCGTCCGAGCGATCGTCACCCACACAGAATATGAAGTCAATAGCATCCGTACCGTATTGTTGGCGAAGACCTTCCACAATAGTCTTGGTTGCCTGTGCTTTACTGACGTCGCGTGGCATCACTTCTAAGCATTTACGGCCCACGACTGCATGAATGGGATAAATTGATCCAATAGCCTCTTCTATATGATTCTGGCATTCACGCGCTTGCCATAATCCATAGCTGGGGTTGTCTGCTTGGCGATAGTGCTATTGAGAGATATTCAGAAAACTTTTTAAAAAGCTGTTTTTTTAGCGATCAAAATTGCAAAAGCAAATTTGTATAACATACCCAAACAATTGGGATTGTCTTTTCTTCAATTTCAGATCCTGGAGTTCGTTCCCTGTAATATTCAAACATCTGAAAACAGAAGCCAAACAAATCCAATTAATATATACTCTTCATCAATACGATTCCACCAAATATCTCATAATTGACTCTGATTTACCTCCATGACCTTTTTGCGCCATTGTGTGTCGCCCTCTTGAACTTGAGTCTCCCATGTCTTCTTGCCTGCTGGCTTTAAGAAACAGCCGCCTTCAGCGCTATAGACAAAGGGCAGATCAGTATCAAGTGGATTTTAGAAACTTTGACAATTTTTTAAGCTGATTTTTTTACGTCTTTTAAAAGTGTATCTTACCAGAGGCCAATATTGTCAATAGCCCCAAAAGCTTCATCCAAGCTTTCTTGGACTCTGCCACTCATAATATAAACAATATTCTTAGGATCGTTGGTGAGCTGTTGGATGATTTTGAACATATCTTCGTGTGACGTCTTCCCCTTGGCCCTCACAGACGAGGCGCGTTCATATGGTAGGAGCGTTCCATCGTAATCAAGTAGTAACCTAGAAATATATTTAAAAACGCAATCTTCAGTCAGATCCCAAGATCGAGCTGACCAAGGAAAATAAGCAAAAAGGCAAAAGCCTGTAATATAAAAAAGGAAAATATAACCTACAGCCGTCGTTTAGCTGCTCGGAACTCTGGAAGAACGACATCCATACTCAATAATGGAATATGGATTGAGTACCGCCGTTGCACGTCTCCATGCACCTTGACCAGCTCGGATACAAAGTCGCTAGCCCAGAACTGGGCAGTGTTAGTGCAAACGTGTTTACTCAGCTCATTCCAGCGGATAACTTTCTCCTCTTCCTTCATGGTCAAGCCCTCATAAATTGCCTCTGCGACTTCAGTATAGTTCCATGGGTTTACTCTTAAGCAAGCACCTAAACTTCCATAAGTTCCTGCAAACTAGGATAGTAAAGCACAAATATGTATACACATTAGTATATCGGCAAGTCAGCGCGGGTCATGGCTTTTTATACATATATGCTACACACATTACCTCACTAAGTACAAGAGGATTCTTTTGTTCCTCCTGGCAGACAACATACTCATGCGAAGTCAGATTCATTCCATCTCGAAGTGAAGTAATCAAGCACAGATCTGCAGCCGTCAATAGCCCAAGATACTGACTAAACGTAATGTCTTGACGCAAGAAGACAATAGGTTGATATGATAGGCTGCTGAACTTGGAGTTAATTCTAGTCACGACATCTGAGACTTGACCTTGAACCTCGTTTTGTTCAGATGTAGAAAGTGCGACTTGAATCAAGACAATCTAATAGGTCCCAAATGTACATTAGATAAAACTATCATCACCTGTAAGACGAGCAATAGGAGGACGGCGCCTGACATTACCTTTCCTAGCCATTCCGGATGGAGGTTCAGGAACCGTTCAAATGCAAGCATCTTCTGGCGAACGCCCTTAATGTAATCGAGTTTATCACGAGCCACAATGAGCTTCATACCCTGGTACTTCTCCTTGAGCTCCTTGACCCACTGTGCGACTTCCGGGTCTTGACGCTTAATTCTGAGGCTCTTAGTGTCAATACCAATGGGGAAAATACCGACATTAACTGCTGTGCTTTCCAGTTGGATCCCTTTTGGAGTTGACTCTACAGATAAGAGACGAGAGCATGTCTGAACAAAGTGACGAGCAAATGAATAGGTCTGGAATCCGACCAGATCGGCGCCTAGTAAACCTTGCAAGACCTCCTTGCGTACTGCATACAATAATATAAAGTGTAAACATGGGTTTGTAAGTTTGTAGTCGATATCTCTAAGACATTTTGTAGATAAAGACATTACGATAGCTTGCTTTTACATACCATGCAAACATCTGAAGATTTCTGAGCTTGGAAAAGGAACATGTAAAAAGAAACCGATGGATGCATCTGGCAAACGCTCGCGGATCATGTTGGGGACAAGCATCAGATGGTAATCATTGACCCAGACTGAAAAAGAAGGCAGATCATCATGGTTAGATAAATAAAGGTAAAAGGTTTATCCCATAAATAATGACAGAAAACAACAAGCAAACGTACTCGTGTCACCCTGTCGGTAATTTTCGACTATTGTGTCAGCAAATGCCCTATTGACAGCGACGTAGTGCTTCCAGGAGCCATCTTCATAGCTCTTGCTTCGAAGGTTATCAGGCAAAACATAGTGGAAGATTGGCCACAGAATCTATTATTCAATGGATAGCAAGATTGAAGAATCAGTACAGACATGCATCTCCAGGATTGCATTTGGCGGAGAAGAAATTTACAGTGACGCGACAGTGTCATCATGGGGAATGTGAAACATCTAGAAAATTGAGACAAGGATCTCTCGCGCATTCGCCCGTCACCTTTGAAAGGGGTGCAGACAAATTCATCTCCTCTACTGTCTCTATTCCATATTCCGTTACCGCACATCATCAAGGCCATGTCATACCTGTTTGCAGAATTGATGGTAATGGCCGTCAAAATCTGAGTCATGAACAAAAACAGGGACCGAGCTATGGTTAAGCGCCAGCTCCGCCTTGATATCCTCTCGGGTGCGATCATTCAGCGTATCAGTAGCCATGCCGAGCGTGCCAATCCAGATCCTCTTTGAGAGCTGTCCTTGAATCGAATTCACCGCGTTATGGAGGCCAATATTACCGCTATAAGCCTTCTCAACAGTCCATGCAGCTTCTGCAAAGACCTTAGCCGAGTCAATAGATGGGCGCCGGTGAGGTTGACTCTTGTGAATACTAATCGAAGGATGGTCTCCAGCCTTGCTTCGAGGCTGATTCAAGGTCGGGCGAGGAGCAGCAGCAGGGAAGACGCTGACTAGCTTCTCTTTCTCTTTGGTTTCTGCAGGCGGCGCCAAGATGGATGGCGGGGGTACAGACAATTGACCGTGATAAGAGCTTCTTTGAGGAAGCCCTGGTCTCTCATGGTCCTTCAGTCGTTCAGCCTTGTTGGCGATTGGCCTAGGTATAGTGGTAACAGCCTCGCCTGTCGATGACGTTGTCCTAAAGTATCTGGGCGGATTGGATGGAGTGGAAGGCGGCAAAATGCCCTTTGGAGCCATGCTCATGTCGTTAGGTGCGCCTCTACTTGTTGGAGCAGATCGCTGAGTCTCATCAGACATGGCTCCGTTCGAAGTGTCAACAGCCGCCAACGGGGGAATTAAGGTTGCAGGCCTTTGTGTAGTCGAGGAAACACCAGGGCCATCATTAGAAGATTTGCTGTTGGTCCGAAAGCGTCCATCCTTGTCACGAGTGGGGACTTGAAAGGATATAGTTTCAGGGAGGAAAAAGGTGGCCACCAGCAACCTCCCGGTTGTCAAAACAGTGCTATCTGCAACCATGGTTCGCAAGATCAGAGGTAATTTTATGGGCTAGGTAGGCAAGAGCGCACGAGGGTCCCCAAGGAAAGTAATGAAAGGAGAAGAGTAGGTATGGGTGAAGGTGAATTCGTTGATGAAGAGATGAGAAAGAGGAAGAACATGGAATGAGAAAGAAGACGCTTTGGCCAGCCTAGGTTACCAAAAATGAGGTCATGCGTGACTGTGAGAAAGTTGCCAGGCACACCCAATTTACTTTTTTTATTTTTCGCACCAGGCCAAGTTGAAACGTGGTCAGCCATGTGGAGGAAAATCGATCTGGTGTTGCCGCGTTGACCGATTTGACAGTAAGCGTCATGTACCCATGTGGGGCCTCTCTACGTGCAGTGCATTCACTTGTATACTACAATATCATGACCGTCAATCATTAACTTGATAGGGATTGTAATTAGAAGCGATATTAATAGTGTCATCAAAATATAAAGTACTGGCCAACAGCTAACCACAGAATGATACTCATAAATGAATGCACTTTTGAGTGAATGGAGATCAAGACCTTTCTCTGATTGGGTGTGAATGCTCGCCAAAAACGGAAAGCATATCTCCTAATAGCTCTATCAAACAGACACGACATTTTTGCCACGGATTCTCTGCTCACGGCGTCTTTCTCTAATTCACTTTCATTCCACATCTATTCATCTCGCAATCATCTTCGACCACCATTCCTTTTGCTTATTGCATCATCTTACAGCCACTCTTTCTCTAAACCATGCTAGCTCGAACTGGCTTAAAGTACCCTTCCAAACTACATAGCGAGAAGGTTGCCTCGTATCTCTCGGACAAAGCCCGCAAGGACGCCATTATTCTTGCCAAAGGCACTGAGGTCCAGTGTAGAGACAATACTGACACAGAGCTTGAGTTTCGGCAAGAGAGCAACTTCTTTTATCTCACAGGCGTCCAGGAAGCCGACTATTACTTTATTTATGACCTTTCTCGTAAACAATCCTATTTGATTGCCCCAGATCTCGACCCCATCAAGGCTGTTTGGAAAGGTCCAGATCCTACAGATGAGGAGTTGCTGCGGAAATACGATGTGGATTATGTGGTTCGATACTCTGGATTGCTGAGTCTACTCAAGAATAAGCTGCGGCCCAAGAAAATCCATGGATGGGGTCGGCCAGAGAAGGGACGCCCTCTTGGTGACAAGAAAATAGAACATGAACTCGAACATTACATCTCTCATCGCTTAGTGCGATCCAAACATGAATCCCATAAAGGTGAAGGGCACTTCCCTAATCATCGTCCCCATCGTCCACACCATCATGGACCCTATGGTGATCACAACGGCCACCGGTGTGGTTACGAGCGTGTTGATCTTCGCTCTGACCATGACGACTGCAAAAAGCCAGAAGACCCAAAGGAAGTCACTCTATTTGAGGCACTAATCCTCGCCCGTATTAATAAGACACCTATTGAGATTGCCCTTTCACGCGAATCGGCTCGCATCACCTCAGATGCCCACCGTCTTGTCATGGAATCTGCTCGTGTTGGAATGTTTGAGTATCAACTGGAGGCTCTCTTCCAGTATGAATGTGCACGTCAAGGAGCCAAGGCCCAGGCGTATCTTCCGATTGTGGGTACAGGGGTTAATGGTGCTTATTTGCACTATACCAGAAACGACACTCAGATTAAGGAGGGTCAATTAATTTTGATTGATGCCGCTTGTGAGGTTGATTGTTATGGATCCGATGTCACGAGAACCTTCCCAGTCGATGGGAGCTTCAGTAGTAGACAAGCTGCTATCTACATTCTGGTCTGGGAAATGCAAACTGTAAGAGTGAAAAAAAAAAAAAAAAAAAAAAAAAAAAAAAACTATTATTGTTGTCATTATTCTTAACGCCGAATGTCATGCAATAAACAAATTATAGACTGTTATTCGTTCAATGTCGAAGGGCGTTAAATGGAGCGACATGGCTATATTGGCTCAAAAGATCGGCATCCGCGGCTTGAAGCACCTTGGTATTCTCAAGGGTGATGACCAAGAGCTTTTTGAAAGCAATATCATCAAGGTATTCTATCCCCATGGCCTGGGCCATCTTTTAGGTCTAAATGTACATGATGACGGGCTCGGTCTTGAGGTCCAGCGTCCACCAAAGGAAGCTGTACAGGCACTGCAGGAAAGCCGGAAGGATTTGCAGGTCGAATTTCATGATGTCTCTGGCGAGAGACAAGGTCATCTTTATTCAAAAGAGTTGCCTCCACCTTCCAGCCGCAGAAACAAGGCTGTGGGCTCCTTGTTCTATGCTACTCCGTCGACTACTTTGGAGCCTGGAATGCTGCTGACAGTTGAGCCTGGGATTTATTTCAACCCCGCACAGATCGAATACGCGCTCCAGAACCCGTTGTTCAAAGATTTCTTGGATGAGCAGGAATTACGTCATTACATGTCTGTGGGAGGGGTACGGATCGAGGACGTTGTCTTGGTATTACCCGATGGCTCTATTGATAATCTCACAACGGTACCCAAGGAACTTGTTGCAATTGAGAAGATTGTCCAGGAAGGTCAGAGCAAGTATAAAAAGCGTCAGAATTTGGAACAGAATCATCCTCTCTCAGAGAAAATGAAGCCTCAAAAAGCGAAAAAAGGCTCTGAGAGTGCGAGTGAGTCCTCGTCTGGAAGAGACGCCAAGAAGCGCATCGGTGTATTCAGTAGATTACTGCGCGCTATTCGCAATATTTTTTTAAAAAAAAAAAAAAAAAAAAAAAAAAAGCAGGCAAGTGGCAAGAGCGCGTTTCCCACGATAGATATAGGAGCATGTAAAGGATAAAAAAAGGGGTGATATCAATATAAGCAACAGTAATAATTTAATCATGGTATGTGAATCGAAGGTTCGTTTTAGATCCTTCCCAGAATCTATTAGGCCTCAAATGAGCGTTTGAGCGAACTGGATATGGTTAATTGAAAGACTCTTGAAAGAGGAACTTGTCAAAAGAGCTAAAAGATAAAAGCCTGTGATTGGGAAGATGCATGAACATCTAAAGTACACATCCATTTAATGCGAACTGTATATAGTCTCCTTGTCGATGTTTGTATGTTTTTTTTTTGTCATCACAAGCCATGCACGCTTTGACCGAGGTCAAAAGATATAAGGGTGATAGTTAAACAATGTTGACATGCGCATTGCACGAATAAGAAATAAGAAAATTCAGGAGGAATAAAAAGGCACAGGGCAGAGGAAGATGCAGATGCGCGCAAAAAGAGAGTGATGAAATGAAGATTGTTCTTGTCCGTTTGGCCAACTTCTTGGGATTGATGACATGCATGAGCATGGATAGGAAAGTAAAGAAAAAAAAAAAAAAAGATGGCCAATGATTAGATTGCTACATCGTGTGTTTAACAGTGGGTACCAGATGCGCATGTTTACAATGAGGACATGTGCGCGATTAAAAAAAATGCCTCACTTGACTGTCCAAAAAAAAAAAAAAAAAAAGTCCAATGATGGTTTTAAGACACACGACATGTTGGAGTGTGGAGTGTGGAGTGTGGAGTGTGAGTGGGCGAGTGTGTTGAATTGCTTTTTCTCTCTTTTTCTTTCTTTCTTTCTTTCTTGTCCCCTCCACTGCAAAAAAAAAAAAATACATATATATATATTTTATCTTTTCTTTTTCTTTCTTTCTACTTTCTAGCAACATCTTACGACCTTGTCATTGTTCATCCTTTGTGGACCTAATTACTACACAACTCTTTTTGCAGCTCATTTGTCATCATCCTTCTTGTAGCTTCATAAATATATTTTACAAGCTCTCTCTCTCCTCTCCAATCTTCTCCCTTTCTCTTTCTCTCAAACATACAAACACCCAACTTGCTCTTACCCCTGTACACATTTTCTTTTAATCCTAACCGCCTCACTTTCCCTCCATCTTTTTGCTTTCACACACTCTCTCTAGAACTTTGCCTGTTCGCTTGTAAATATTTGTATCATATCTTTCTTTTTTGTGCACCACATTCCATTCTTTTTTTTTTTTTTTTCTTTTTTTTCTTTTTTTTTTTTTTTTAAACGCTCCATATAATCAACCATGGTCACCTTCTCAACTGATTACTGGGCTCCTGCTATGGAGGTGAATGTCCGCCGACGGACCGAGAAACCATCCTATCATATCAGCAATAACCCTCTTTCAACTCAGAACCTCTTCACTCATGAAAACAACTGGAACACCCTTCGACAGGTCCCCACGATTGACTCCTCCAACTCCTCAACCAGTATCGGAGTCGTTGATCAGGTCGCTTTGAAAAAGACATTCCACCCCAGTAGCAACACCAACACCAACAGTAAACCTACACCATTACCAGTCCCTACAAAGAAGCACACATTTATTCACAAGATCTTTCATCATGAGCCTAAATCAAACTCAACCAGTCCACCTGCTTCGCCCGACCAACGAACCAACCCACTTGAGGAGGATCCTTATTTGTTATCCAGCTCTGCTCCTTGGGAAAAGAAGAACGTCTTCAATCTGGCTAACGTTCTCCATCGGGGTGCTTCTTCCAATTTCGGAAGTGATCGAGCCGCCTTGGCAGGGACTGGCACACCAGACCCTCATGCGCTCAAGAAAGCAGTTGATTGTACATTACTCAAGAAGTATGGACTCTGTGACAAGGGAAACATCGGCCAGGGCGCCACGGCAGTAGTGCGCTTGGCCCACAAGCTCTCATCTCAGGACGATTCCGAAAAGTTGTATGCAGTCAAAGAGTTTCGAAAGCGCAGAAAGAACGAGTCTGAGAAAGAATATGTCAAAAAGTTGACTAGCGAGTTCTGTATCTCGTCAACGCTACATCATGAGAATGTTGTGGAAACTGTTGATCTTGTTCAGGATGAACAACAACATTGGTGTGAAGTGATGGTAGGTCTCTCATTTATTTTATTGTACTTGTTTTATTTAGTCCATTTGAGAAGGATGCTCTCAGCAAGTATTATTAGATACTTCCACGTGTCTGATCCGAGATGATGACATGATTTTCAGAAAATAAGACTATGACGATCAGCACGTCAACATTCCTGACTTCCCACACCTGAGAGTGTTTGGGCCATCCTATTTCTATTTCAACCTCTGAGCTAGTTTTACGTTGGACGAAAAAAAAAAAAAAAAAAAAAAAAAAATCTAATTATGATCTGTTGTTTCTCATAGGAATATTGCTGTGGCGGTGATTTGTATAATGCCATTAAGCACGGTCAGATGTCCAGGGTCGAAATCGATTGCTGTTTCAAGCAGCTCATGAATGGTGTCGCATATCTTCATTCCATGGGCGTAGCACATAGAGATATCAAGCCCGAGAACTTGCTACTAGATGGCAAAGGCAAACTCAAAATTACGGACTTTGGTGTCTCTGACGTTTTCCGGATGTGTTGGGAAAAGACACCACATCTTTCGAAGGGTCTTTGTGGATCAGAGCCCTACATTGCTCCAGAAGAGTTCAAGAATAAAGAGTACGATGCTCGTCGAGTCGACATTTGGGCTTGTGGTATTGTCTATTATTGTATGGTTTACCAAGGCATTCCCTTCCGTTCTGCCACGGCTCAAGACCCTAATTACCAACATTTCCTTGAAATGCGTGGCGTCAACAACTATGAACCTTTTGAGAAGCTACCTGTGGGCTGTCGAAAGTTGATGAAGAGAATTCTAGACCCCAATCCTGAAACCCGAATCACAATAGAAGAAATCATGGAGGATGAATGGTTCAAGAGTATTGAGACATGTATCCATGGTGAAAATCAAAACCCTCATCGTCACTCATCTTCGCCAAGTTCGTAAGAAATAGAAGAACAAGAGTGGAAATGCATAACTCTTCAAAAGCGTTTCTCTCACCGAATAAAGAAGGTTCTGTGATGTTTATTTCCTCATTTAAGTACAATATTTATACAGCTGGTAGCCCCTACATGCACACTTTTTTTTTTTTTTTTTTTTTTTTTACAATAAGAAAGCAGCAGCAAAGGAAGGGACAGGATTTCCAGTGACTTCTGGCAAGCTGAAGCCAACGCCTGAAAGCTGCTCAGCTGAAGCAGCAATGTCGACATGAGTGTAGGCGATTTGATCCCTCTTCTCCTTGTCTAAACCAAACTCACAAAGCCCTGAGGCAACGGACATAAATGCCATGGGGTACTGATGGCCGCGGGGGGTATCACTTGATGACTTGTCGTTGGCTTGGACAACATCCTCAGCTGAAGACCCGGGCATGACATACGCATAGTCCTCTCGCCGAAGGGTTGAGATTTCAAAAGGATCACCCAAAATGTGACCACCGGCTTGAATGCGAGGACTGATGTTGGCCTTGCGAGCGGGTCCGTTGTCGAGGCAAATACCATAGGGACCATAAGCTCGAATGGCGTGGCCTATTTGCGATAACAAGATGAACGCAATTGTCATGTGAATAACAATGGTTCTTCTCCGAGCTACCACTTTCTAAATGTTCCTGAAGATAAACAAACTACATAAAACTTACCTGTCAAAGTGGCGACAGTGAAAAGACGTGAGGGAATATTGATACCGTCCTTGCGATTAGCCAAGACAAGTTCTTTGCATTCACAAAGTGGATCAGTCATTACCATGCGTCCCTCAGCATCGGTGTTGCCGACAAGAACGCGAAGCCCAGCACGAGAGTAAAGGACCTCATCACTAACATAAGCGTTCGAACCTACAGAGTTGCGTACCAAACCCAGAATGGCAGTGACATTAACATGCTTAGGCTTTAGTTCGGCAACAGTGGCCATGAATCCTGCAACAGCAGCAGCACCACATTTGTCGCGAGACATTCCTCTCATGATACCACCAGCCTTAATATCAGCTCCACCAGTATCATAGGTGACTCCTTTTCCAACAAAGTAGAGGCTTCAAACACAAAATATAAAGGATAAACATTAGATGAAGGTTCAATTTGTAAAAAAATAAAGTGCCATTGTTTGTGTTAATTGCTTACTTTTCCTTAACCATGGATGGCTCTGCTGACTTGTACTCGAGTTTGACAACACGAGGAAAGTGTCTGGGAACTATACAAGATTGAATCATCAAAGAGTACACCATCGTTGTTAATAAAAAAATAGTTGACTACATTGTCAGAAGATTAGGCTTCATTATCTTTCTTTTTTTTTTTATCAAATACCAGACAAGGAGCAGCGGGACACTGCGTGAAGGAGAGGATATTCCTTCTGGATAACATTAATGTCTTCTACAACAGTCAGTTTGATATCCGATTTGGGTTTGAAGTAGCACTCCACATACTCTGTGAACTTGATAGGAGTCATGCGCTCGCAGTTGGGACTTCCAAGATCTAGAATGCCATTTTTTTTTTTTCATTTTGATTAAGGTACAGCTCTTTTTTTTTTTTTTTTTTTTTTTTTTTTTCGCACGCTTTGAACATTCAGAATTGAGGGTTTGATTACTGGCTCATTCATACCTTTGGCAACACGGCGACCTAATTCAATAGCACTGACAAATTGAATGCGTTCGTCCGTGAGTTCAGAACTGGTGGAACTAAGGACACCGATCTTTTGAATTGTATATTGGCTCTTGCCAATCTTCTCATAATGTTCACGGACATCAATAGGATCAAAAACAGCGCTCAGCGCGCCCAATAGGGAAACCTCGATATACTTTACATAATCGCCCTCAGCATCATCACCATCGATCTTATAAGGGAAATAGATGAGAGGGGCCACAGCACCAGCAGCCTGAGCACGTTTCATAGCAGCCTTGGTTGTCTCCTGAAACTTGCGCACGTCATCCGAGTCGCCATTGAGGGACCCAGTGGGGGCCAAAATCAGGCGGCCACCAGCAACGTTCGGGTCAGGAACTACTGTTAGGCTCGAGCCAAAGTCTTTGTCAATCGCACTGTAAGCATTAAGGGAGAGGTCTGAAAGAAGGTCTTGAGAAACCTTTGGATAGACTGCAATAACAGCGTCAAACTGACTACCGCTGCCTGAGGAAGTGAGGTCAGCGGAGGAAGCAGAGACAATGGCTGGGAGAGCAAGAGTCATGGTGAGGGAAATGATGAATGAATGATGAAAAAAGAAAAAAAATGAAAGACACCCCCTTTTTGTGTTTTCTTTTGGACCAAGGATTGTGCAGCCACAGTTTATATTCCCAAGGATTGCTTCAACTGCAGTAATTGCATTTGTACATCAATGGGCGGAGTTGAGCATTCATGAAATATGAAAATTTTTGTTTCTCTTGTTGGTGGGAAATCTCGCCAAAAATGGATTGTGGATGGGGTCATTGGGACTATGATCCTTTTACACTGTGCATGTTCATGTACCATTTTTTTTCTAAAAAAAATCAAAAGAAAGTAAGATAGTGTTTCTTATGTCCGTTGTTCCATTATATCCAATAGCTGCTGGCTGCTGGCTGCTGGCTGCTGAACAGAGCCTCTGTTCATTTGCTGTATACAAACGGGACTTACATTTGTACTGGTTTTTAGCAGTCTTAAAGACTTCATCTAGACATTGGAAGATACCGCACGCACCAAAGCCCTTGCTTGGTTGATAAAATAAAATCTATGCTCAGGATGTTGGTATAAAATTGATGCAGAAGCACGCGCGAACATGTGACGTGTTCTTTGGGGAGAACGTGACCCTTTGTGAGCACCACATTGGCATGAATGACACGGTCAAGAGCGTTTTTACTCCCTTTTTTCTCTTCTCAGCTTTCCAGTCAGCGTACTATCACCATCACAAAAAAAAAAAAAAGAAAAACGAACATCGCTTATTGACCATGAACCTCAGCTCCAGGGGAAGCGACTTGCTCTTCATTAACTTCAACCAAGACTTCAGGCATGTTGCTTGGTGAAGCGATGCTATACTGAATGAAGCTTTCTGTCTTTTTGACCGCGTTCTTTATGCTAACTATTTACACATTTTTTTTATATTTATTGGACTGCGATCCTCTTTTTATCCTCTTCTTGAACAAAAAAAAAAAAAAAAAAAAAAAAAGCTGTATTTCAGTGGGAACAATACATGGATTCAAGATCTACAATTGTGACCCGTTCGGGAAGTGCTATTCGAGATGTATGTATTCATGGATTGGAAGCCTCATACCTGTGGTTGATTTCACGCTTCTTAGGTGGGATGATATTAAAAATTAAGCAACATCTCTTATTTATTTTTTATATTTTTTTCGCCACTGGTAAATGTTCATGGTTTCAAATAGCGGACAGCTCCATAGGCATTGTCGAGATGCTCTTTTGCACTTCGCTTGTTGCTATTGTGGGTGCTGGAGACCAACCAGTGTCATCACCAAGAAGACTGCAAATAATCAATACAAAGGTAAATGAAAACAGATTGTAGCCTTAGGATTGTAGCTCTAGGATTGTAACTCCTTTTTGTTCTAGGGCCTTCTTTCTATATCCTCACTTCATCATGCGACATCTTTTTTTACAAGAACTGACAAATTACCTTTTTCTTTTTTTAATTTTTCCATTTTTTTCGTTACTCACGTACTATTGAAATCTGCAGCGCCAATCAACTATCTGCGAACTTACGTTTCCGACCTCCATTCTTTCAGTTAAACTCAACAGGAAGCGCCTCATCGTTGTTTTGGAAGATCAGATCTATGTTTACGACATCAGCAACATGAAACTACTGCACACAATTGAGACAAGTCCCAATCCCAATGGTAAATTACTCTGTTCAACATAACATTCGACGCCAAAACATGTTGACTATGTTTATTTTCTGGCAGAAAAATTAGGATGCATTACTCTATCTCACATATATCGGTGTTATATCAATAGCCATTTGCGCGTTGTCACCATCTAGTGACAACTGCTACCTCGCTTACCCATCCCCGACCCCCTCACCAACCTCGCCCTTCCATAACAATGGACGAGACGACTCGCATGGACCATCAGGGGACGTTTTGATTTTCAACGCGCTGACACTTCAGGTTGTTAACATTGTACAGGCACACAAGACATCAGTCTCCAACATTTCGATCAACTTTGATGGCACTATGTTGGCAACAGCAAGTGACAAGGGGACAGTCATTCGAATCTGGTCCATACCAAATGCTCAGCGACTGTACCAGTTTCGAAGGGGTTCACAATCAGCACGGATTTATTCACTTTCATTCAATATGGCCAGCACGTTGCTTTGTGTTTCTAGTGATACAGATACGGTACATATCTTCAAGCTGGGAGGATCAAGCTCCAGCAATAACCAACGGAATGGAGGCTTGCTGACAGGATCCTTGGACATGTCAAAAGGCGGAGGAGTGGCGTAAGTACACGTTTCTTTTCTTTATTCTATTTGATTCTCGATTTAACGGGCTTGGAGGAATATTGTGTCTGATTTAGTTCAAAGCAAAGGGTAGAAGGAGATAATCTGGAATCTGACTTTTTTTTTTTTTTTTTTTTTTTCAATATAATTATAAATACACACCTTGAATAGCTCGGTGATTCGTCGACAATCAATGCATTTTGGAAGAAACCTTGCAGGAAGTGTTGGTTCATATCTGCCAGGAGCAATTACGGAAATATTTGAGCCTTCCCGTGATTTTGCATATCTGAAATTGCCGAGCGCAGGAGTGCAGAGCGTTATTGCATTGAGCAAGTAAGTTTTGTGACCAGTTCACTTTTTTTTTTTTTTTTTTTTTTTTTTTTTTAGAGATTACTGATCGCCTCTTGTACTTTTTTCTTTTTCTTTAAAACCCTCGCAGTACGACGCCACAGGTCATGGTCGCAACATCAGATGGATATCTTTACCAGTATAACATCGATCTTGAGAATGGTGGACAGTGTGTACTTTTGAAACAATATAGGTATGGAACTGGAGTCGCTGAACACCATTGCCTACATGTAAAATGCTTAAAGTATGAATAGATCAATGAGTGCTTACTATAGTTTATTTCCTATCGACTTAGTTTACTGGAGTCATCAGAGGAATCAAATGACCTCCATGACCAAAAACCCCGATGAAAAGAGTAACAGCACTGATGTATATATTACAAGTGCAATCCAATGTGCGTAAACAGAAAAAAAAAAAAAAAAAGCTTTGCAAGTAAAAGCTTGAACAGATTGAAATATAATACTCATTTAATAACTTCCCGAAAAAAAAAATAAAAATAAAAAAGATAAATAAAACATTTAATTCTAATATTTTGCATGAGTAGTTAAAATAGTTGCCTTTTATTAAAAAATCTTTTTGCTTTTTAAGGGAAGAGATTAATGAGATCAGCAAAGTCAGAGCCGACAGCGATTTCGGAGGCGCCGAGAGCAAGACTTGCGGTGGACCAGTCAGCAAAGTGCTGATCACTAGAAGGACCGATGGTGACGATAGGGAACCAGTTGAGTTCGATTGGGAGCTTCTTGTTGGCCCTTGCGTAGTTAGTAATTTCGGTCCAGAGTGCCTTCTTATCGGCGGTGAAGGGGCCTTCGAGTTGGACTGTGAAGGTGGCCTTGGTGGAGCTGCTGCCAGTGGTAGAGAACTTGGCTGTGTTGATGAAGCGGAAGAAGACAGATCCAGAGGCAGTGTCTGAGACACCGGGAGCAATGGCAACATAGTTAGGGCTGAGGCCATCGTTGTCCGTGACCATGGAGATGCCGTATCCATAGTAAGGCGATTGGAAGTTGGCGCTGATCTCGACAATGTAATCATCCTTGGTGGAAGGGAGGACCTTGAGGGACCAGTCCTTGTAAGGTGCCTGAGAGGGAACAAGGCCTTGGAATGCTACAGGAATGGTCAATGTAGACTTGACAGCAGCCAAGCCAGCGTTAAGAGCAGGGTTCTTGGATGATTCGGCATAACCAGACAAGGTGAGGACACCATCATGAGTGTAAAGTCCACCCAGGAAGTTACGGCCAGCTTCGAGGGATTGATCGAGGTAGGTATCTGAAAGGAGGTAGTTGTCGCCGGGGACGAGGACCAGATCTTTGACGGCAGAATAACCGAGAGTACCCTCTGGGGAGGCTGTACTGAACTGAACATCGCCAAGCTTGAGGCTCAACGAGCTGGGGTTGAAAATGTTGATGACGGAGCTCATGCCGAGGTAACCAGGCTTGTTGGCGTTGGTGTCAATGAAGTAAACGTACTTGGTCTGGCGGAGATTGTCCAAGCCTTTCAGAGGTGTCGTGGCCTTGAAACCAACGCCAGGAATAGTCATGGTGCCAAAGATACCAAGGTTCAACTTGATATCAACAGCACCCTTCAATGTAATAGAGCGGGAAGCTGAGGTCGAAAGAGCACTCACAAAGTTGGTGAAAGCAGTGCGAGAGTTTGTGAAGACGTTCAAAGGTGAGGGCCCGAATGATGTGCTCAAGGTGCTGCCCTTGACACTGGCTGCACCCCAAGGGGTTTCAATGCTACCGATCTCGACGCCATTGTCCTATTCATCAATAATAATAATACGGAGTTAGTGTTTTTCAATAATAGCAAAAAATCAAAAAAAAATAAAAAAATAAAAAATTCAATCTGAAAAAAGGCCTTACAATAAGAATGATATGCTGGCGAACGGAGGTGATGGGAAGAGAGATTCCAGGGATGCCAAGCATGGTGGCGACAATGCTGTTGGAGGAAGTAGTAGGAACCCATGGGTTGGGACCAGTGAAATCCATAGACATCTGGTTGATGGTAATGCTACGGATCAAACCAAGGTCGACCTGTGTAAAAAAAAAAAAAAAAAAAAAAAAGAAAAAAAAAAAAAGAGTACATGAAGTATTTAGTCTTCTTTACTTCCTGTGCGGTTCGCTCAGCTCATACATCCCATTGTAGTAATTGATGTCAAGGTGTTAAGCAATTTAAAAGAAAAAAAAAACAAAAAAAAAAAAAAAAAAAAAAAAAAAAAAACGTACGGCAACTGCAGCCTTGCATTGACTTGGCCATGCTCCTGTAAAGATAAGACTATGATAAGAGACATTGTTCAATTGTGGGTAATTAGAAAACCGTTAATGCGACATACAACGTGTTAACTGTGGGAAACCTTCGGAAAGGCTCTAAGAAAAGGACCGCTTAGACCGTAAAATGAACGAATGGAAGGGAAACCTACCCGACGAAGCAGGCGATGATGCGGTCAGAGGCCGCGTCACGCTTCTCAACATTAACTGGAGCAGCCACAGCAACCGAGGCAGCAATGGCACCAAGAGCAATAACCTTCAATGAGAATCTCATGATGATGATAGATAGGGGGAAGAAGAGGGAAGTAAGGGGAAAGAATGGAGACGTTAATCTGAAGAGACATTTCAAAAAGGCGGATGAACTTCCTTTTTATACTGACGCTTCTCTTGAAGTGGGGTTGGAACTTTCTTAACTTTATTAGCCCTTGCCCAGCTCAATGCTTGTGGAGTAGAGGAAATGAGTTTTAAGCACACATGTGGAGGGGGCTCAAAAGAGAGAAAGAAGTATCTTTCCAAACATCAGGCAAAGAGAAATATGATGACAGAAGGAAAAAACAATAAGGAGAGCCAGTGCAGGCGCCTCGTTCCGGGTTGGGTGCAGTGAAATAACAAAAAAACAAATGATTGAGCACTTCACCATGCCATGGTGACAATTATTGCACAAATATATACAAACAAACGCAAGCCGGATGTTGGTACCACAAACATTCCATTGCTCTCTTTTTTTTTTTCTTTCTCCCAACTTGTCTTAGAGTTTATGTTGTTGCGCAAGGTACGCATTGTACTCTGGGCCAGCTTGAGATGCGCGCCGGCCATTGGTTTTCTTTTGATTGTCTTTTTAAGTGACTATGGATAGGGGAGCAAATAATTGGCCGCACGCTTTCCCTTCATTCTTCTCTTTAATTTACTACCTGCCATGAGCCTGTCTACTTTGCGTTCTCAAACCTTATGAGTCTTTGGTAAGCATGAATTGTTCTATAACTGGTTCTATTGTGCGCGTTCAAAACTATTATCATGGCCACTCTACCAAGATGATTATGTTTTATAGTTGCATGTTTTTTATTATCAAGCAATTTATAATCCTCTAGGAGGGTTGTTTGTCTCTTTATTCCAAGGATAGGTGGACATGGGTAACAGACGGTCATTTGTTATTATTTTAATGCAACTTCGTTTTTGAAGGGGACACAAACCCAGATTATTGTGTACATATACATACTGCATGTACATCTTTTCCTTTTTGTTTGCATGGGAGTCGCCATACTGGAATGATCCACTTCTTGTGCCTTTGAATTTTGTTGTTGTTGTTAATGTCTCATTTTCTTTCTGAGTAAAAATTATTTCTAAGCATGTATTCTTGGTGTTACCACATTATGCTGTTTTACTTGCTCTCTATTCAATCTTGCACAATCGTATAAATGCTATGAATGAGGGGCAAAAAATAATAAATATATAATAAGCGAGTATGCTCTGAGGAAGAAGTAGAGATCCAGAACTGCGGACACCACTTTTTTCTATGAACCTACAGGTCTTTTCATAGGGGTGTCTACATACGGTTGAGCACTTTAAAGGGTTTTTGTGGAGTTAGAGCTCAAAGGGAGGAGGCTCTTGAGAGACTTGTGGAGAAAAAAGTTCTTCATAATGCGACCCTACTCCACAATCGTCCAATCCGAGAATCTGTTTTTTGCTTTCGCATGCGTAATAGCACTTTACATGTACTTTGAGATGTTCATCCTTCCTTCCAAAAAACCGGAAAGGAAGAAGAGTTGGCGTCTTATAATCATACTGTACTTTTCTATTTTCTTTTTCTCCACATAATTCAGGATTACAAGTCTGTGGACAGTGTACAAACAAAAGCCCAAACACATGACATCTCTTCGCGATGTTCGCGCCACGACTGTTTACATTCCTTTCTCATTACCATGTGTTGGAGCAACACAGAACATTAACGGTCCCTCCCAATGTATTACCTTGTTTTCCCCTAATAACAAGCCTCGAGGCCATTTAACCCCTTGATCTGGTATGTGCTTTATCTCGTGAAAAATCATATTGCGTCTGAATCATCATTTATCATTCACAAACCTGATCGGATAATGTTATTCATGTCCAACATGCATTAATGCAGTGTGTGGATTATTTGTTTCACGAACTTGAGAGACATCAATGCTTTTTTGTCTTTCCAGCTGACAAAAAAAAAAAGAAATGGAAATTATTGAAAAATAGCCAATATTGATCTTATGTATATCATCTAGATATGGTACATGTATACAGGTAACATGGCTTCTGCATTTGCTCTTTATTAAAATCAATGATGTTCCCATTCGGACAAAGGAGGATTTAAATTCTAGAGAAACATGGCGTGGCTTAGCTTGTCGAATTGTTTAGTTTTTACCAAAAAAAAAAAAAAAAAAAAAAAAAGCAGGCTTTAAACAAGTTGCAATTGCATTCCTCATTAGAACATATTCATTAGGTACTCATTCACAATGGCAAGGAACGCAGGAAAACCAAAGACTACAAAGCTCCAGAAATTAGAGAAGAAAGCACTTGAATACTCAGATCCTGAGCTAGAGCAACTCTCACAGGACGAGAACGAATCTGATGAAAATGATAATGAAAGTTTCGAAGAGTTGGAAGACGACGAGGAAGAGACTGGAGACCAGACGGTGAGCAGTGATAGTGACAACGAGTCCGGAGAGGGTGAAGCAAAGGCTGTAGATGGAAAAGCTGAGGACGAGGATGAGGATGAGCAATTCGTATCCAACCTGTCATTTTCGCAACTTGGACTGGCTTCTTGGCTTGTAAATGCCTTAAAAGCCATGTCTATTACCTCTCCATCTGAGATCCAGACAAAGTGTATTCCTGAGATCCTCAAAGGTAGGGATGTCATTGGTGGTGCAAAAACTGGATCCGGTAAAACGGCTGCCTTTGCCTTACCCATTTTACAAAAGCTTTCTGAGGATCCATATGGTGTTTTTGCTGTTATTCTAACTCCTACGAGGTAAAGTAAAGGAGACAACTTTGAGCGGGTTTTACTTGAAGCTGCATAACAATCCTATTTAACCTTCTCTTTTTTAATTGTCCACAGAGAGTTAGCGTTTCAGATCGCAGAGCAGTTCAAAGTTCTTGGAAAGTCAATCAACCTCAAGGATGTGGTGATTGTAGGAGGACTTGACATGATGACACAGGCGATCGCTCTTTCTAAGCGCCCACATATTATTATCGCTACACCAGGTCGTCTCCGTGATCACATTAATTCTTCCAAGGACGCTATGCATTTATCTAAAGTCAAATTTTTGGTCCTGGACGAGGCAGATCGATTGTTGACAGACACATTCGCAGATGATCTAGGAGGCATTCTCGAAGTATTACCCAAGAAGCGTCAAACATTACTTTTTACGGCTACCATGACAGATGCTGTTCTAGAACTTTCAAAACCCAACCCTGAAGATTCACCATCACCATCAACACCAGCTAAACCCTTACCTTTTGTTTATCAATGCAAGAACACAGTCTCGACAGTATCAACGTTAACTCAATCCTACATCTTTATACCATCACACCTTCGTGAGACCTATCTTACATATTTGCTCCGCTCAGAGGATTTTGTAAAGAAATCGACAATTATCTTTTGCGGGCGCTGTAGGACAGCAGAAACACTTAGAGTCATGTTGAGGGAACTAGGAATAGCGTGCACTGCATTGCATTCTGAGATGTCACAGCAAGAGCGCCTCAACTCATTGGCAAAATTCAGGGGCGCCATCACCACAGTCCTCATTGCTACAGATGTCGGTTCTCGGTACGCTGTTTTGGAAGAAAATCAGTTGATCTTTTCCTTATAAGGGTCAATTTATATATATTGTATTCTGTTTGATCATGTTGCTTACAAGGCTTTATATGATTTACCTGAATAGTGGTCTTGATATCCCTAGCGTACAGTTGGTTTTGAACTATGATATTCCGCGCGATCCTACAGATTACATTCATAGAGTGGGCCGTACTGCTCGTGCTGGAAGAGGAGGACAGGCGATTTCGATTGTGTCAGAGCGGGATATTGAATTGATTCAAGATATTGAGTCTAGGATAAGTATGTCATCATTATTGCTTCGCCTCTGTCAATTTAATGATGTGCCTCTCTTTCCAATATCTATTAAAATATATCTCTAATGTTGTTTTTCTGGCTAAACTGTTTCTTATACCCCCAATAGACAAGACCATGGGCGAATATCCAATTCCCGAGAACAAAGCGCTAGAGGTTTTGAACGAAGTCACATCAGCAAAAAGAGCAGCCAACATGGTAAAAACGAGATATTCGCTCTTTTAGATCTAAGGTTTAATTTCCCTTTGCAACGTATTTCCTCGCTAACGGTATAATTTTTTTTTTTTTTTTTTTTTTTTTTTTCCCTTTCACTCTTAGACACTTCATGATAGTCAGTTTGGGGAAAAGAAGAGAATCCAAAAGCAAAAGAGACAAATCTTGGAGAATGCTCGAAATGGATCCAAGAAGCGAAAACTGAGCTCAAAATAATACTTAATAAACTAATATAAACACATTTGCATACATATCATTGACACTTTTTTTTTTTTTTTTTTTTTTTTTTTTAATGGTACAAAAGAACGACAAATGGAAAAGGAACTGAACAAAAAAATGAAGTGTCTATATAACAAGTTCGGAATTGAGTAAAGAAGTTGAAGACAATAACAAGAAAAAGCAAAAACAAAACGTCTATTTTGTCTAATCCAATATGATGGTGCATAATCGAATCATATTTGTTACCCGATCCAGATTTTCCGATCTTTTATCCAATATAACGATAACCTTCCCAGATATTACGTTGCTAGACCAAATACTGAATACTAAATGTCGAATTATCCTTGTCTTTACTTTCCCTCTTGCCAATCTCCTCCAATGCTCCGTTTACATACTAATTTTTTTAAAATCCAGGTGGAACAATACCGCCAGCCTGCTTCTTCTGTTGACTGGAGGGTTGAGAGAGCATCTACGGAGTTGTATCAATAGAATATTACTTAGCGCAATTTGAATTACGTCCTCTCGTTCTCAGGAGAGTGGGAAAAAAAATCCTTCTCAATGAATATAATTGGAATGCATGTTGTATCTACCTGGTTTGACTGTTGCTGCATCTTCTCAATTTCGATCAGACCCTGCTCATGCTCAAGTTCGATCATGAGAGGGAGAACCAGAAGAAGAGCACTTGTGGTGAGAACCCAAGCCGAGTTTCCAAGAAACTTTGCACCGTACTTGCCCCAGTCGTAGACGGACGAGCATTTGTCAGCGATAGATTTTCGAGTCTTGGGAGGAATGACGTCCTGAAGGGCCCAGACACGATCAAGGATCGACTCAATGTTGTCGACATCGCCTTCATCGTCGTCAGACGAATAGACAGAAGAGGAATCAGAATCAGTATACTCCTCCTCAACGTGATCGAGCGAGACTTCTTCTAGTTTGACCATGGTGATTTTATAAGGAAGAAGAATAGAAGGTGTGTGAGAAATGAATGACTCTCCGGCAACTAATGAATTACCCATGTCTTTACAAACAATTCCAAGCCACTTACCATAACTTTGAGTAGATGCCTGACTGCTTTATCTAGCGCGTTTTTTTTTTTTCTTTCTAGTTTATGTGGTTACTTTGATAACTGACCTTCCTTCCTCTAATTTTCCTTTCCTTATTCTCCTCCCATTCCTCTTACCTCCGCCTGTCTTGTCAGCGTATCCGCCCGCTGCCTTGCTTGTGCGCTACATCAAACACATTGTCGCATTTCTTTATTTTGTTTTATTTTTAATTTTTAAAGGACACCTACGCTCATTACTCTTCAAGACTGAACACCTTAATTCTAAAACAGCATCCATGAGCAACGACGCGCCAAAGACAGGCCCTACAATAGAGGCAGTTATTTCTGGACCAGAGTTAGCCAAAATCGCTGATCCGAATCCGAATGCTGTCAGTGCATCTCCAAACCAAGGAATAGAGGCTACTACAACTACGACTACTACAACTATTCAGGACGCAAACGTTCCATATGCTAATAGTGATAATTTTTTGACGAGCCCTAACAATACCACTTCAATACCAATTGGGACTGCAATCCCAAACGGAGAAACCCCTGCAACACAATCTTCAACAATAATAGCCCAGGATGCAAATATAATTGATCATCAGCCTACAGCCTCATCTATTCAAACTTCAATATCTCAGCCTACTTCAATATCGAACCCTCCCAATGTCATTACTCAAGATACACTAGTTCAAGCTGTCGGATCAACAGCAAGGGATAATGGAGGTAATCTCATCCTCATGGAGAATAGGACTGTATGGCGCGGCATCATATAGAGGGAATTCCACCATCATATTTTCGGCATGGAATTTTAACCGAACAATCTACGACCCCTTTTATTTTATTTATACTTAATTTCATTTGCCAGGAACTGAACCCAGATCAACAGATGCTATTTCACATACCAATGCCTCAGGACAGGAAGGACCCACAGCAGAGCCTGTGCCGATCTTAGTTAAAGATCACTTAGTTGATCCTTCGAGCGCTGAACAGACCCGATCACATCAAAAGCCAATTGGTCCATGGCAAGACGTAATGATCAGTATGCTTAATGAGGTAGGATCGAGGGAGCCTTTTGAATGCGATGTGGATAGATTTGAATTGGACCATTCATTCATGTGTCATGTCATATTTTCTTTTCATAGCTTGGTCTTATCCAAACAAGTCGAATGATGGCTGCGGAAGAGTTGGTATTATCGAGGACGCAAAGCGAGAACGCAATTGGGATCATTCAAAAATTCACAAAGCTTTTGCAGGTGCGGGTTGCTTTTTTTTTTTTTTTTTTTTTTTTTTTTTTTTTTTTTCAAGTTCGGAAACTTCTTGATTGAAGCTTTCTTTAATAATTGATGACACATCGGGGATCATATGGTCTTTTTATTCTATATAGGATTCAATTGCAGGGACTGATAAATCAACAGATATGGAGCGGGACAATGGACCTGAATCGAGCAAGCGACAAACTTTTGAATCTATGGATGTTGACCTTGAATCCCTTGAATCTATTAAGCGGAGGCGAGTTGATGATATTAATAGCAACATTCAAGAGAATGCAACACGAGACGGGATAGAAGAGCGGATGGCACAATTTATTGCCACTAAGCGTGAACAGATCAACATGAGCAATCGTCAAGAATTCATTAAGGGACGGACACATGACGAAAGATCTGAATCGCAAGATTCATATGATGATGGCTGTGCCAGAGTAGATGCCCGGAAGCTCAATAGGACCATTCAAATGAGACTGGAAACCGTCAAAAACGAAGCCTTGACAAAAACGAACCCTAAATCACACACGCAGCTTAGCGATGTGAATACGACTACTAATGGACTAGATGAGCGCCTCCGCAACATTCAACTTCACCTCAACCTTCGAATTGGTAAGATTTGCAATAGAAGAGATTCAAGTTTTGCTCCAAGAACTATTTTAGGATTTGTCTTTATTAACGTCAATCTATGATCATTCTATTTCTCTCTTTTTTATTTTTATTTTTTTATTTTTATTTTTATTTTTATTTCTTTTAAGCTGCTGTACCTGCATGTACTATCGCGGAGCGCATTCGGATTGTTGAGGATGTCATTATCCAGTTGGAGAGGGATTATCCATTATGGGCTGCTTTACATTTTAATCAGCCTAACAGAGTTGTAAGCCTGAAAGCTCTCAAATGTCCTTTTTTATATTTATATATCCCTGGCGGCTGCATGGCTTCATCTCATAGTATTAATGTAATGAATGGATGAACCCTTTCAAATCCCATCTAGTTCCCACCACCTCCATCTGTGACAACAGTTAGTAGGAATGCAAAGAATCAGATTGTCATTACAGGAGATCACCTTCACACCACTATAGTCGATCAAGGTGATCCGATTATGAACCAAGCAGGAATAGGCCAATACTCATCGGGAAGCATACCATCACCAGTGATGGGCGCTCACGTAGGATCGTCTCAGCTTTATGGAGCTACAGATATTAATTCTCGAGTGGGACAGGGTACAATGCAAACAGTGGGTCATGGTAGAGGTGGTGCTCTGGCTGGACCAGGCAAAACTGCTACGCCCACTGCGCCCGGCACAGGCGGATCAGCAACAGTCATCAAACTCAAGCGTCATGGAGGTGCTGGCTCCTCCTCATTAGCTAGAGCTGTCCAGCAACAATTGGCGCAGCGGAAAGCCAATGCAGCAGCAGGCGGTTATACGATTGATGAAACAAAGAATCAAGGATCAATGTCAACGTTCAAGGTTACACCTGTATCAGATAGTGCATCAAATCTTTCGAAGACAGGACCCAATAACTCGCTTTCTTCAGCAATGGACTTTTCGGATCCATTGAAACCAGGGGTAACGGGAAGAGGACCTATTAAATCACGAAGGAAATCTATTGCTAAAGGCTTAGATTCGATATCTGCATCGCATAACCAACCAGGAAGCATCCTTGGCACTGATCCTAACACAGCAGTCGCAGGCAGCTCCACAGATGCTCAAGTATCTGACATATCATCTGCATCACTGGGTTCTTTTGTTATACCAAAACCGAAGCCAATCGCGCCCAAAAAGCCTCGGAAAAAGAAGGTTGAGGATAACGGCGATGAATCTTTAGCAGGGGCTGGGAGCCGCACCGCAGGAGTGGGTCGCGGCAAAGGAGGCTTCGGATTGGGTAAGGGCAAAGGAGGAGGGCGATCTAGTATGGGTCTAGGACTAGGTAAGGGTAAGGGTGGCGCTTATCGTCAAGAATTACTCCGACGTGCTGAAGTGGAGGATTTTGATAATGAGAGTGAGGAGGGCGCCGATGACGATGACGACACTAATGTTAACGCTACCACAAGAAGTGCACCCTATAATTCGGGTAACGGAGCACTTGGGTCAAGCAACACGATGTATATGAACGACAACTCTGCACTTGCTCAATTGGTCAGCAGTGCTTTGCAGGATCAAGCTAATATGGTAGCACAGGCGCAGTTACAAAAACAGCAACAGCAACAGCAACAGCAGCAGCAGCAACAGCAGCAGCAACAACAGCAACAACAGCAGCAGCAGCAGCAACAGCAGCAGAGCCCACAACAGGAGAAGCAGCAACAAACAAACCAGACAACCAAAGCCAAGAAGCAGCCAAAGAAAGCATCCGCTCCAGCTAAACCGCCGCCAGTACGTAAATTTGGTGGCAAAAGCTTTGGGATTGCAGGTGGTGAAAGTTCTGGCAGTAGTAGTAATGAAAGTAGTGATGGCGAAGGTAGTAGTGGCTCACAGAGTGATTCGTCATCATCGGGCGGTAGCGTTAGTGGGTCTGACCCTGGTGACTCTGACTAACTATCAGCCAGAATACCAGAATAGACGACAAAAATTATAAAAATACCAATTAATTTAACGATGTGAAAGAACGCAACTTTGAAAATTTGTAACGGATGCGATAAGTCCATCGACCAACACGCTCCGTCATCTTTTTTTTTTTTTTTTTTTTTTTACTTTTTAAGCTCATTAGAACCAACCTTCTCCTCTTTTGCACCGGTGGTGAGGATTTCTGGTGCGCCTCATCAAAAAAAAAAAAAAAAAAAAAAAAAAAAAAAACCTTGCACCGCGGTGCAAGATTAACTGGTGAAGATCACTGCACGGTAACGATGCATTCTCTGATGTCTGGAATGACATGCTATTGTTTTTTATGTTTTTCACTTATTTGTTTATTTTGCACACGCCATGTGGAGAAAGAAACTCGCCCAGTTTCACAAGGTAAAAGCTTAAACTGCTCTCTTGTATACAGTTTTGTGCTAGCTTGTCAACAGCAACCTATTTGCAAAGTCAATAGTTTCTTCGTCTTTCATTTTGTAGCCATTTTGCGCTGGTAGTCAAGGACCTTGCTGTAGAATATGGTATCGACTTGTTTGTGAAGCCTCTATTGGACATATCTTTTTGCAAGGGCGCCATCAGGGTTATCTCAGTCACGGCTGTTACTGGGGTATTTGTATCATTTACCTCAGCTTCCGAAGACGTTGACAATGAGCAGGAAGGAGCGACGTCTTGAGGTTAAAATTTTCCCATTGATATGACGAACAGTAATCTAGTCTTGAGACTATTGCGGCCATTGGTGAATCAATGGAGGGAGGGATTGTAAAGGATTCAGAAGTCAACGAGGCTATGATGGTTGGGCTGAAGGAGGAGGTTAGGAAAAATGAGGACAAGCAAGTTTGACGCAGAAAAAGAAGTCGCCGGCGAAAAGGCTATTGGCTTCGAACACCGAGTTGAGGGCCCTGAACCCGAAGATGAGACACCAAGGGTTCGAAAGAGATATAGAAGTCTCGTTGCTACCACAGCAGTAGGTCTTGTTGCTGCTGTCATCATTCCTCGGATCATGCATTATTTTCCGTAAACCAGAAAAGCGATGGTAAAAAAAAAAACTTTACATGTACAGTCACATGAAAAAATTATACGGCAAAATAAATTTAGAAAATAATTGACGCGAAGATAATCATCCTCTCTCTTTCTTTTTCTCATTTTTCACAACAATAACAACTTGAAAAAACCACCATGCCTTTAAATTTGGATATCGAGGATAAAGCTATCATGGTTGGAATGCATCTTGCGGGAATGAAGGATGCGGAGATCGCGCTGAAACGTAATGTACCAAGATCAACGGTCTACACTATTATTCAAAGATATTACAAAAGAGGTACCACCGCTCGCGCCCCCGCCCCAGGACGACCAAGAGCACTGAGTGAAAGAGATATCAGGAGCATAGTGCGCTGCACAAAGAGAGAAAGGAGAGCCACTCTTAAGGACATCACCAATCAATTGCCGAAGAAAGTGTGCACAAGGACCGTTGCAGAGATATTGCATTCACTGGGTATCTTCAGCCGGATCGCGGTTCCAAAACCATACTTAAATGAAGATCATATGAAGAAGCGACTGGCTTTTGCCAAAAAGTACGAGAGTTGGTCCAATGAAGATTGGAGTCGGGTAGTTTGGACTGATGAATCGTCATTTGAAGTTGGCGAGAATTTCCGTAAGATAAGAGTTTGGCGTACGGCGGAGGAAAAGTACGACCACGATTGCCTTATACCCACTTTCAAGAGTGGTAGAACATCCTTGATGGTCTGGGGGGCATTCACATCAACCAAAAAGTCTCGGTTGGTTATATTTAAACGAGGTCGTAGAGATGGGCAGTGTTTTGTGGAAGATGTATATAAAGTTGAACTAATCAGGTTTATGGCTGAAGTAGAGGGCGGCATTCTCATGGAGGATAATGCTCCAGTCCATACTTGTAAGATAGCAAAAGAATGGCGTGAAAATAACAACATCTCTAGGATTCCAGACTGGCCAGCATGTTCTCCGGATATAAACCCCATCGAGCGTGTATGGTCATTTCTCGCTAATGCACTCGATAAGCGCTCCAGAGGACCAAGAGATCTCCCCAGCCTCGCAGTAGCTCTTACTGAGGAGTGGAATAATTTGCCACAAGAGAAACTGGCAAGCCTTGTTGATTCCATGCCCAACAGGCTGAAAGAAGTGAGGAAGGCTAAAGGTGGGCACACTCATTATTAAACCCACATAGTACTTTTACCTTTCATACAGTATATCCTCAAAACCTCCATAAAGAAACAAAATCGACCTCTTTAACGAATTCTAAAGTTTCATGTTGATTGATAAAGTCTTTGTGTATGTTGTCTATGATCTGTTTGTCAAGGGTGCTCAAAAAAAATAGAATTTGCCGTAAAATTTCTTCATGTGACTGTACATAATGAAAGATGAAATATCTTGGCACTGGAGTCCGGAGTGCTGTCAAAATAGCTTTAGTATTTTTTATTTTGTTGCATTAGTTTTTCCTCTCTGTCCTGGTTTGCATAATTTCTTTTTGCTTCCTTTAATTTGCTATGCCTTTTTTTTTATTATTTTTATTTATTGGGCGCTCAAGAAGAAAAAAGAAGATATGGGCCTACATGTGGGTGGAGTAACTTCATAGTCCGTCTTACGCCAAAACTTTTGGATGGAACAATAGTATAGCCCGTTTCATTTGGTCGCGATACCTTATATTTTTTGAATACTTTCGAGTGTATTGGCAGCCAATTAGCTCGCTTGTTACGAGTATTGTTGCAAGTCCGTCACGTAGTGAGATGCCACCAGAACAATTCAATCATCGTTTTTAGATTAAAAATATAAGGTATCGTGACCAAATAAAATTGGCGATAATATCAGACCACAATGTATATGTACAGTACAAAATGCAGCACAACTGTTCTGGACTTGAATTATTTACCCCAAAGAAAGTTTGTGTTACAGGTTGGCAGAACTACGTCGGAGTCAACTGTCCATTAAAATTTTATTTTTTGCGATAGCGTTTTCGGTTGTCAATAAGACGCTCCTCCTCAGACTCGCTATCCTCTATCACAAACATGCTTCCAGTATCTGGTGTAAGATCTACTATGTCAGAACTCAGGATAACAGCCTCTGCCCGTTCTTGATTTACTATTCTATCGAGCTCTGTATCCCACTCACCGCTGGCGACATTGATAAAGTCACTAAGGTCCTCAACAGTCTCCTCTTCATCAAAGACCTCTTGATAAACCTCATTGTCTAACATTTCTTCTTGCACTCGGCTCCTCTCGTTGTAGTACCTCATACCAATTTTCACGGACTTCTTCCATACTCTACACGGAATCTGGGCAAACAAGCTGAGTAGTCTTTTCTTCAGCAAAAGTGATGTCACTGTCATTCTTGCTCTCGAAGCAATTATATTTTTTACGACGGCCCAGATCTTCTCAATAGGTTGAAGCTCGCAATGGTAGGGTGGAGTTTTGAGAATTTCGTGACCGCCGTTCTCCTGGGCTATCCTGCTGATACGACTCATCAGGAACGGCGTAAACCAACTCCATAAGCTCGTCTTTCCTCAGCGCTTTTCCATTTTCTCTTGTTGGAATTACAATGTCCTTATCCGCGAGCCACTCTCTAATAGTTTTTACAGTGTCGCTCTTGGTTGGCTTCTTGTTTTTCTTATGAAAATGGTACGAAGCGCCGTCAAGGTGGATTTGGCAAGGTCCAAGCCCCATCTCGTTGAGATTCTTACAAAGTCGCTCAAAGATACTGTCAAATAGAGTGGCGTTGAAGTTCCCGTGATAGTCATGATCTGTTGCTATAACGCCTGCTTGCTTGATTTCTTCCGGCACATCAACCCATAGCTCAGCCTCCTGTTCTTGAGCTTTCTTTGATTGAGTTTTTGCTCCTTTAGATGGCCAGACATACACGCTGTCCTTGACGAATTTGCCCTCAACTTTTTTCTTGGCCTCACGTAGTAAACAACGAACGCCACAAATGTTACCATTATTGGTTTCCTTCCTGATTCATTAACGGCGCCGCTACCACTTTGAACCCAACGTCTTGCTGCAGCATGATCAATGTGGCAGTAAGACCCGTCTAAGAAGACCTCTGGCATTATTGGCACCCAGTTGCCGTCTACAAACCTCAGATTCTTGAGGCGGCGCTTGAGATAGGTTATTCGGAACGCGACATTTTCCTTGGAATCGTGCAAGAAGTTCTGTCGGATCCCTTTTCCCCAATAAAATCCCATTTTGCGCGAAGGTCACGAGTGATTGACCTTGCTGATCTGTCGATCCCATAATCGTCCCTCAGTTGGTTTGCAATTAAAGCTGCCGAGTTAGAATCACCGCTCTTGTTTGATTCAACTATGACATTCATCAGTTTCGAGCTTAGATCTTGATCAGCTTCTTTTTTGGGGCGTCCTGTTCTCCCAGATCCTGAGGTCTCGAGGTTGCCTGTGGTTGCAAATTTGATTGCTGTCACGCAAGTATTCTTCCCCACGCCCAAAAGGTTCGATAGGTCCTTCGCTTTATCACCTGTCTTCATAAACCACTCTTGAACTGCAGGTGGCGCCTTGCATATAGCATTATATGTACGGGCAATCATAATGTATTCGTTGCGGGTAATAGTCGCTTTATTGCGTCTAAATGCATCAACACACTTTCTTTCCTCATCAGTCCGTTCGTTTAAGAATGGATTTAAATCCAGGGTATTAGAAGGTTTCTCGAATTGCTGATTTGAGGAAGAAGCCTTTGGCCCATTCCTAGGAGGGATGATCCATTGATACTCTGCGGGGGAGCTAGTGGGGGTGAGATCGGTTTCAGTGGGTGACTGTGGTGATCTTCGAGATGGAGTGGAGGGTGTGCCTGAAAACATCTGATCGATAGGTCCTTCGCTATACCAACCACTCGGGCCATTATATGAGGGCAAGCGGCTGTTAATATCGAAATTGAAGAAAGACATTTTGCTATATACTTGGAGGAGGAAAATGAAGCTGCGAATGTGAATGAGGCTAATAAATGATCAAGAATGCAGAATGATCTGAATGATCTGAATGTCGTTTGCTTAAATTTCCTATTGAAAACCATAATTAAATTGATTTGGTGGCTACTGCATCTAATTCATTCTATCTATTCAAAAATATATGAAATTCTGATCTCGCACGTGAAATTTTCGCTTTCCGACCTTTAATTCAATTGAGTATTTTAAAAATATATTTGTTTATGACTTTTTGGCAAGGACTCTAGCATGCTGGATAAACGTAGAGTCCTCGCCAAAAAGTCATAAACTGGATATATTTTACAATACTCAATTTGAATTAAAAATTTGAAAAATAAAAATTTACGTACGAAGACAAAAATGCATATATTTTTTGAATAGAAGGAATGAATTAGATGCATGGCCACCAAACCAATTCAATCTTCGTTTTTAATTAGAAATATTAGAATTTGCGAGAAATGGGCAACATCATTCTCAATCTCATTCTCGATCTCATCCTCATTGTCAACCTACTTTATTCGCAATCTTCAGATAGTAAAATGTCTTTCCCTTTTGATATCAATAACCTACTCTCATACAACGATCTTGGTGGTTGGTATAGCGAAGGAAATATCGACCAAATGATTTCAGGCACACCCTTCACTCCGCCTCGAAGATCGCCACAACTGCCCACTGAAGCCGATCTCTCCCCTATTAGGTCTCCTACCGAATATCAATGGATTACTCCTCCCAGAAACGAGCCAAGGAGTTCTACCTCATTAGAGCAATTCGGTGAGCGTCCCAATACCCTCGATTTAAATCCATTCTTGTCAGACAAACAAACTGGAGAGAGAAAAAAGGCATTTACACGCAGTAAAGCGTCCGTTACTAAAGACGAATACGCGATAATAGCTCATACATATAATGCTATAATGAATGCGCCACCAGCAGTCCAAGACTGGTTTAAGAAGACAGACAACAGAGCAATGGACCTTTCGATTCTGATGGGTGTAGGGAGAAACACTTGTGTGGCAGCAATTAAATATGCACAAACAGGCATCGTCGAAATGACAGGGCGAGGAAGAACTGGACGCCCTAAAAAAGAAGCGGACAAGGATTTAAACTCGAAGGTGCTGAATATCATAGTTGAATCAAACAAGAGCGGGACTCCTAATTCTGCGGGTTTAATTGCAAACCAACTGAAAGAAGACTTTGAAATCGACAGATCAGCAAGATCAATCACTCGCGACCTCCGTAAAATGGGACTGTATTGGGGTAAAGGGATCCGACAGAACTTTTTGCACGACTCCAAGGAGAATATTGCCTTCCGAGCTACTTACCTGAAGCGCCGTCTTAAGAATTTAAAACTAGTAGACGGCAGTTGGGTGCCTAGGACTCCAGAGGTCTTCTTGGACGAGTCTTACTGCCACATTGACCATGCTGCAGCAAGACGTTGGGTGCAAAGTGGCGGTGGTGTCATTAACGATGCAGGAAGGAAACCAATCATGGTTATATTTGCAGCCTTCATTGTATATTATGATGAAGCTGCTAAAAAGGTTGAAGGCAAATTCGTTAATGATAGCGTGTATGTTTGGCCATCAAAGGGACCAAAGCCTCAATCAAAAAAAGGCCAAGAGCAGGAGGCTGAACTGTGGGATGACGTACCTGAGGAGATCAGGAATGCAGGGGTCGTGGCAACAGATCACGATTATCATGGAAACTTCAACGCTAGTTTGTTCGATAGTATCTTTAAGCGACTTTGTGAGAATCTCAATAAGATGGGACTTGGCCCTTGTAAAATCCATCTTGATGGCGCTTCATATCACTTTCACAAGAAAAACAGGAAACCAACCAAGAGCGACACTGTGAAAACTATCAAAGAGTGGCTCACGGGCAAGGAGATTGTTATTCCAACAAGGGAAAATGGAAAAGCACTGAACAAAAACGAGCTTATGGAATTGGTTAACGCTCTTCCTGATGAGTCGTATTTCTCTATCAGTAAAATAGCCCAGGAGAATGGTGGACATGAAATCCTCAAGACTCCACCCTACCATTGCGAGCTACAACCTATTGAGAAGATCTGGGCAGTTGTGAAAAACATAATTGCCTCGAGAGCAATGGTGACAATGACATCCATCTTGCTGAAAAAAAGGCTACTAAGCTTGTTTTCCCAGATTCCGTGTAAAGTCTTTTACTCTGTATGGAAGAAGTCTGTGAAAATTGGCATGAGATACTATAACGAGAGGAGTCATGCACAGGAAGAAATAGTCGAAGAGGTTTATCAAGAGGTTTTTGATGAAAACGAGCCTATTGTGGACCTTAGTGACACTTTCAAAGTCGACAATAGTGAGTGGGATGCAGAACTCATTAGAGTACTAAATCAAGAGCGAGCTGAAGCTGTTACCCTAGGCCCTGAGATAGTGGATCTTACGCTAGATGCTGGAAGCATGTTTAATGTGATAGAGGATAGCGAGTCTGAGGACGAGCCTCTTATCAATCGAAAACGCTCTCGTAAAAATTAAAATATTGAGTTTGTACGTATTTTTCCTGCGTCTAAAAGTGGAAGTATTCTATTCAATTTAAAAGCCTGAAAAATATATCCAGTTTATGACTTTTTGGCGAGGACTCTACTAATACCTCAGGAGGATACTGTGCCCCAGGAAGAAAGGCGAGAAAGCAAACCACTTTGTGTTCTGTGTATAACTGAATGTGGTATGAATACTCTATTTGACATCAAGCAAACTTTTTAATACTCAATGTTCTTTTCAATTCTATTCAGTGCTACTTCACCCTGGTTTATTCAACATCCTCTTTGAATATACATTATTAAAAAATAACAATAAATAAATTAAAAGCGCATATAAAAAGGATCAACGTCCCTGTTTATTTCTCACTCTATCCTCACTCATTCTTCATTTCTCTTCAAGAAGTTTCAGCAGTGCCCAACGCCAGTAGTAATCCAAAAGCCTCTATCTAGTTCAATCATGAAGTTCTTTAGTGTTGCTGCCACCCTCTTCATTGCTGCTGTAGCCAATGCCCAGGTCCCTACCTTTAAGAATTGTGCCACGGGCGCCACCGACTTGACGATTAATAGCTTCAGTCTCTCTCCTTATCCTCTCTGCGTCGGCAAGGACGTTTGCGCCACCCTGTGACCCAAGGCGCCAAGCTCAACGTCGTTGGCAAGTTCTTGAACCGTATTGTTTACACGGACGCCCACGATCTCTGTACGCTCTTGGCCGCCCAGGGACATCCTTGTCCTGTCCCTGTCACCCTGACCTCCATCACTGCCTGCATTAAGGTCAAGGACTCTGCCCCTGCTGGCGTAAGTCCCTTTTTATTATTATTATTAATATTATTATTAATATTATTATTATCTCCATTTTGGAAAGTTGTGCAGGTCACAAAACCTTATATTGGATATTAAATATTGTTATGAATAGATCACTGTTGCTCTTCAAGTCTCCGCCACCAATGGCAATGGTCACGTCCTCTTTTGCCAGGCTGCCAACGCTATTGCGCAGAAATGCTAAGTCAGACGTCATAGGTTGTGCCATATTTTCGCCCCTATCGCACCAGTTGTAAATAAATTAAAATAAACAAAAAGAAAGACCGACATACTGTTAGACGTAAGTGGAGGCATTACTTTGTTAGTTTGCAGTGAATTGCAAAGCATACCAGCCTAATTGGTAGATAACCAACCTAAACTGCCAATAGGCTCGTCGATGCCAATATATGCTGTGTATAATAGTGCAAAAAAAATACCTCTGATTTGAACAGGATTATATAGTCTCTGACCTAACCATGATATTTATACTAATGGCTGCCTTAATTAAATGCACTCTACCATGCATATGCTGTGTATTGTTGTTATTAATATTGTTTGAAGCATAGTATCGCATTATATTACCCCTCCACAGGGTCCACAGGCATTTCATGGAGTGGCGGAGGCTTATGTAATACTACCAGCTATTCCAGCATAAATCCCAAGTATTGCTGAGTATATATTGGCTTGCAGCGCAGTGGTGTTCTTGCCCATGGGGATAATAAATACCTTCTTGACAATAGAGCGGCCAGTTCTCAAAACCATGGGCTCAGTAGTACTAGCACATTTAACAGTGCGCGTAATAGTAACTAGTAACTAGAACCTAAAGCCTTGAGACGACCAGTACTTGCAAGGCGGCATCATCAGCCTATGCAGCTAACAATATCCTAAAATGGTCATTTGAACGCGTCAATTGTGACTGCGCCAATTTAACTTATTCTGGTAAAAGCAAACATCGATATGTAGCGTCCCTTTTTTTTAAAATTCATACTAGACACCATTCCTCTTACCACACACAACTCATTCATGGTCAATTCTACATTCAATTCTTCCTTACATCCTTGGAGAACAATCGGACAGCATGAGGAATACCAATACCTCAACATGATCCGCCATGTGATGGAGCATGGTGAATTCAGAGCAGACCGAACCGGCACTGGCACACGTTCCATTTTTGCGCCTCCTTCTATGCGGTTTTCGCTTGAGAATGATATCTTTCCATTGTTGACGACCAAGCGAGTTTTCTTTCGCGCAGTTGTCGAGGAGTTGTTGTGGTTTGTGAAAGGTGATACCAACGGTCTTCATTTGTCAGAAAAGGGGATCAAGATCTGGGATGGCAATGGATCCAGAGAGTTTTTAGACAAAATTGGGCTGACAGAGCGTAAGGTCGGTGACCTGGGTCCTGTCTATGGGTTCCAGTGGAGACATTTCGGAGCCGAATACAGAGATTGTGATACGGATTATACAGGTCAAGGAGTTGACCAATTAGCAGAGGTCATTTGGAAGATCAAGAACACGCCTACGGATCGTCGCATTATCATGAGTGCATGGAATCCTGCCGGTAAGAAAGAAAAAGAAAAAAAGAAGAGAAAAATTCGTCAATCATTACATTAGGAATCAAACTCTGATAATTCCATCGTTCAATCTATCTGAAATAGATCTCAAGAAAATGGCGCTGCCCCCTTGTCACATGTTCTGCCAATTTTATATCTCCACACCCACTGAAATACAGCCTCGGCCCAAACTCTCCTGCCAGCTTTACCAGCGCTCTTGTGATATGGGATTGGGCGTACCCTTCAACATCGCTTCATATGCACTCTTGACGAAAATGATCGCCTATGTTTGTGATCTCGACTGTGGCGAATTCATTCATACCATGGGCGATACACATATTTACTTGGATCATACAGAAGCTCTCAAAGTTCAGCTCAAGCGTGAACCTAGGCCATTCCCAAAGCTTTTCATTCGTCCTTTCCAAGATCAGGATCAGAATCAGAGCGATAAAGAGACTAAAAAAGAACCAAGAGTGATCACGACCATTGACGACTTTAGGCTAGAAGACTTTGTCTTGGAAGGCTATGATCCTCACAAGAAGATTGACATGGTTATGTCTGTATGACAAAAATAAATGCATGCACGTGACACGAGGCATAGAATTTGTTGGAGCTAAATTTCTTGCTTTCTGTTCTTTGACATCTCATTCATTCTTTATGTGAGCAACATTCATGGTAAAGAAGAATCCTCTGGACTGTTGAAAGCTCTTTGTTGCGCCAAAATGGCCCAAAAGCCTTGAGGAACATGAAGTATCCGTTACTGTAAGACGATTTTTAGGGATTGCATAGTTACTCTGTTACTCTGTATTGTACCTTGTTCCGTTAGGCGCGTATAAATCCGATTGTATTCATTCCACCAGTGGTGCTTTTGCTGGCCATTACTGGAATCCTCATCTACCGTTATCTCGACAACATTCAAGATACATATCATAGGGCTCTCTATCGATTGCGAGGCGATCAATATCTTGACGGTGCCGAAGGAGAGGAATTTCTACACGAGGAAGACTATGAGGTTGATGATGATAGCAACGCGGAAGAAGATAATCAATCTCAGGCGGAACCTCAGGGATCAACAACATCAGCTAGATTAAGGATGCACCATGAAATGGTGCAGCAGATGCGGGCTCGTGCAGGGTTCGCTCCTGAGCCATTTCCTGGAGATGAGCAACAAGGAGGGACAGGGAGAGCTGAGGAAGAAGATGCCGACGATGATGGAGAAGAAGGAGTTGAGGATGAGGGCGGTGCTGGGCCCTCGACTGGCGCTGTGGCAGGGGGACGAATGAAGAAGATTGGAAAGAAAAAGGCCGAGAAATTGCAGCGCAAGGAGCAAATGCGTGCCTATCGCGAGGTAGTACATCCAACGGGGAATTTTTCTTATGATTTGCTTTTTCAAAAACTGAACAATTTTTATTATTATTTACGGGATTTTTTATGCGATTAGTTTATGGACATGCAACGTGAGGAACGTCGTCAACAGGAAGAGATGTTTAAAATACAAGAAGAAATGATGCAAGAAGAACGACGACGAAAGCGCCGTGAGCAGGTCGAGAAAGATAGGAGGCGGAAAGAACAGCTCAAGGAAAAAGAAGCCAAGGAAAGAGACTTGAGAATGAAACGCTTAAAATCAGAAAAGATTAAGGATGAGAAAGTTCGGCGGGAACTTCGAGCATATATACAGGTGATGAGGATTTATGAATATAACGGATTTTTTTATCATTGAAATCTACCAACTCATTTGTTTTATTGTTATCTATCTGCTTTCCTTGTAGCGAGTCAAATCGTTTCGGCTGTCGACGCTCGCAAAGCGGCTAGGCAGGACCGAGGCTCAGTTGCTCAAGGATTTAGCGGTAGTAGCTCAGGAAGATGAGCTGAGGGCTGTTAGTTATAATAGTAGTAGCAGCAGCAGTAGCGCAGCAGACGGGACCTCAGGGCCTCAAATCATCCTGGCACCTAATTTAACAACATCAATTTCGCTGGCGAATACTGGCATAAGCATAAGTCCAAGCACATCGCCAATGCTAGCACAGGCTTCTACAAGCACATTTCTTCCAAAACTAAAGCGGCTATTAATTGTGTATGATGGCGAATCAGAGCAATATGTCGTTCTTAATGAGAGTCAGCTGAATGCCTTTGCAGAAGTAGTACGGCAAAAGGGTCGTGTTGATCAACAAGAGCTGCACAAAATGAGCGAGGATATTCTTGCCGTTGCCACCAATAAATCAATGTGAATAGTGCGTCAAATCAAATTGCGCCACTTCATACAACGAGGCTGTCACAGATTAATTGTTTTATTTCTTCTTATTGTGTTATTTTTGCTTCCTGTGCATCTTACTACCACAAGCTTCTGTTGACTGTTTTTTAACCTCTTTCAACTCCTCCTGCCTTAATTGCCATCCTCCTTAACACTCTATTGAATTGAAGAGTCTACATAAGCATCAGGAATTTAGAAATGCCCATCCCAATAGAAACTTGGTACTATGATGTACCATTGGTGACCCGACTCTACGCCACTGGCGCGGCACTTGTTGCCCTTGCTGTGGTAAATGTTGTAACATTTCATCTCTTCAGCAATCAACTTAAAAATAAAAATGCTCGCCGACCGTTGGGAATCTTGTTTTCTAATGTTTATTTTCTAAATATACAAAATAACAGCAAACAGGATTCACTAATGCTTTTCAACTTTACTTTGACTATGAGTTGGTTTTTTACAAGCACCAGGTAACAAACTATTTAAGAGTCTATCAAAGTTACTGAATAGTCTTTGGATCTCATTCACTCTGTTGTTATTCCTAGCCAATCCAATGAACACCATCTCTAATTTATCTATTTCTCTTCTTTGTCATTATTCATTAGTTCTGGAGACCGATCACAACATTCTTGTACTTTGGGCCTCTGGGCCTTGATTTCGTATTTCATATGTTCTTTTTGTGAGTGAATTTATTCATAATAATGGCTTTCCGACTTTCTTTTGTGGAAGGATATGAGGTCATAAGAAAAAGATATCGTCCAGTACAAACATAACATTAATTAGTTTTTTATTCATTCAATTGCCTTTTATTAACTTTTAGAGTTCGATACAGCAGGATGCTGGAAGAAGGATCATTCTATGGACGTACAATGGATTATGCTTGGATGTTATTCCTCTCGGCATTTTCGCTTTTGGTATGATAGGCGCACGCATTCTTTTCTTTCTGACATATGTAGCATTGCATGCATCAAGCCTTACGTGACACAATAGTACAGGATTGACATAAGGACATTTACTAATAGTCTACCTTCGGTGTTTTACTGTCCTTTGGCTTTTCTTTCTTTCTTTCCTTCATGTGCAACTATCTTATCATGGCGCATTCGGAATTCTTTTGTTTTATACGCACGACATTATGGAAAATCGGATCAAATGTAACACATATTACATATAGTGCCTTTCACCATTTGTAGCCATGCCGTTTTTAGGATCGCCTCTGGCATTCACACTCGTTTACATCTGGTCTCGTCGCAATCCTTCAATCCCACTCAATTTTTTGGGCTTGTTTGTTTTTACAGCGCCATATCTACCGTGGGTTCTACTCGGATTCACCCTATTGTTGAACAGCCACTTCCCAACAGGTGATCTGATGGGCATCGCAGTCGGCCATATATACTATTTCTTTGAGGATGTCTGGCCAAAGGAGCTGGCATCAGGCGGCAGACGTTATCTTCAGACGCCATCATTTCTGTAGGTTTAATTAAATTTGATTATTTGTGATTGATACTTACTACTATTAAGAAACGGAGTATTATGTCCAGTAAGTAAGCTCTTATCACTAATTGAATCATTTGATTTCTATTATTTTCCATTGGATAGCACTCGTCCACGTGGTCGCGCGAATATTTCTGCAGAGATTCCAGGCGAGCAGCTTGCAGAAGGTGCTGGATCAGGTACTGTAGGAAGGGATACACGTGGCCAGTATAATGAAGAGCATCGATATGCGAGCGAGGAGCCCTCACCACGGCCTGCAATGTCATCTTCACCTTCAGGAAGCACAACTGCTCTGAATGATAATGACACGGGAGTAGAAGCACGGAGCAGGAGAGTAGGATCGAATCATGGGACGGATTGATCCATTTCTTATATTTAGAGCGAATGAAAAAAAAAAAAAAAAAAAAAAAAAAAATGCTACAAGTAATAAAATACATAATACATTTAAAGGTATTGAAGTGCTTAGCTATGATTCATTATACTTGTAAAAAAAATGTATGTCTATGTGGAATAAATATTTTTCTGTTTATACTTTCTCGCCTTCAACAACCTCAATCTTCTTTGACTGCATAACATTGTCCTTGGACTTTGAAGCATCAGCTGCAGATAAGGATGCCTCCATGATCCTGTTGAGACGCTTGAGCATAGAGCGAGGATCATCCAGAACACCAGCGGCAATCAGCGCATTATCGTAGATCTAAATCAGACGAAGTTTTACGCGGATCAAATATTAATGCCTCTTGCCAAAAGATAAATGTAATAAAAATTGTCAAAATAAAGATGGCCCATGGTCACTTTTTTTCCCCCCTACCTGTTCAGCAACCTGCTTGGCAAATTCAGGGTCCTGACTTTTAACAGACCAGACTTTCTTGATAATAGGGTGGTTCACATTGATCTCTAGACTAGTGGGCGTGGGGGGCATGCTTGCCTCGCCTGCCTTGGCAGCACCAGACATCATGGCCATCATTTTACGAACAGCAGGCGAGTCATGTTCAGTGACGACGGCAGGATGGCTCATATGGCGCTTTGAGACCTCGACCTTGCGTACTTGCATACCCAATGTCTGTCGGAACCAATCTGCAATGTTTTCGGCTTCAAGCTTGGCTTCTTCCTTTGACAAGAGATTATCTTCGGATTTGCTGCTATCAGCATCATCCTTAATCGGTTTCTGAAGAGCAGCATCTTGAATATCAGCAGCGTCAATGGAAACCAACTTGTGTTGACCGACCTGGCGCAGGTTATTGACCACGAACTCATCAACGGTGTCATACAGGAACAAGACTTCGATACCCTTCTCCTTGAATTCTTCAAAGTAAGGGCTCTCTTCTGCAAACTTACGCTTGGGAACACAGGTGTAATAAATGTTTTCCTGTCCTTCCTTCATACGGTCCACATATTCTTTCAAGCTAAAGACTTCGCCTGAAGAGCCTGCGCTGCTTTCATACCGAAGGAGTTTGGCAACATTGGGACGATTATTCTCGTTCTCAGTACAGACACCCTCTTTGATAAAGTTACCAAATTCCTCAAAAAAGTGGTTGTAAGCCTTTGGGTCTGCCTTAGATTCATTCTCAAGCCATTTGATGACACGTCCTGTTAGAACCTGACGCAATTTGGAGAGTGATTGATCCTGCAAAAGTTCGCGCGAAACATTCAGGGGTAAATCCTCGCAATCGACCACACCCTTGACAAAGCGAAGCCACTCTGGTAAGAGTGCCTTGGACTTGGCTTGGATCATGACTTTACGAGAGTACAGACTGACACCGGGCTCCTCTCGTTGCATACCTAAGATTTCCATATGGCGCTGAGGAATGTAGAGTAAACTGCTGATAGCCAACGGGGAATCAGTTTTGTAGACAAGTTTAAATTGAGGATTGTCCCAAGCGCCAGCGACATAGCGATAGAACTCAATGTGCTCTTGTTCTGAAATCTCGTTCTTATCCTTTGTCCAGAGAGGTTGAACAGCGTTGATCTTCTTGTTATTGAGATGAACAGGGTAATCCACAAAGTTAGAGTACTTCTTGATGATCTTTTCGATGCGGTCCTCTTTAGCGTATTCTTTGCAGTCTTCTCTAAGAGTGATGACAATCTTTGTTCCAACGGCCACATTCTCGGCTTCTGCAATCTCGTACGACCCTGAACCATCAGAAGTCCAGCAATAGCCCTTGGAGCCTGGTTTAGCAGATCGAGTGTAGACCTTGATTTCGGATCCAACCATGAAAGCAGAATAGAATCCAACACCAAATTGACCAATGATCTTTTCTTTAGTCGATCCTACAACACCAGATCCAGTGGTTTCTTCGGCTTTCAGGTTTTCAAGGAAGGCTTTGGACCCAGATCGAGCGATAGTTCCCAAATTGGAGATGGCTTCTTCTTCTGTCATTCCAATGCCAAAATCCTGGATCGTAAAAGTACCCTTGGCCTCATCCACAGAGATATGGATCTCGAGAGGTTTTCCAGTGTCGAGACTTGCATCTGTTAATTGAGTGTGACGAAGCTTCTCCAAAGCATCTGAAGCGTTTGAAACCAATTCACTAGACGGACATAATACATACAATAAAAAAATAAAAAGATATAAGAATAATAATAAAAAAAAAACAAATAAGATATTATGACTTGTTTGTAGATTCTTTTCTTTTCTTTTCTTTTCTTTTTTTTTTTTATAACCAACAATATTATTTATTGACTACAAATACGTATTTACTCACCGGACAAAGACTTCTTTTTCAGAGTACAATGAATGGGTGACAATGTCTAGCAATTTGCGAGTCTCAGCTTGAAAAGTCTTCTTTTTGGATTCCCCAATGACTTTTTCTTCCTGCTCCTGATCAGCTGAAGAGCCAGTTTCAGTGACGAAGGAACGAATTGAATTGTGAACAAGATGTGTAGTTTTACGGCCTACAGGGATGACTGTGGATCGGAGGGCAGTCGAATAGTAGGCCTAAATCAAGGGAAACGAAATGGGACAATACAAAAAGATTTAACATCCAATTGAGCCAGTCAAACATTTTGAGAATTATAAGATCGAAAAAAAAAAAAAAAAAAAAAAAAAAAAAAAAAAAAAGGCCTGAAAGAGACTATGCCTTACTTTAGCAACAGGGGTAGCAGAAGCAGAGTTGATCGAGCGAGACCGTGCGGCCAAGGCAGTTCTGGCAAGAGAGCGCAGCATTTTGTCGCAATATGAACGAGTGACAGAAGCAGAGGATGTGATTGTTGTTGCTACTTGAGACGAAAAAGAAAAGAAGAGAAAAGAAAGAAAAGGACGGCCTGTGAGATGGGCGGAATAAATAATCTGACCAGGGGTGTGGGAGAAGAGGGACCGTCTTTTTCGTTCTTGAACTTTCCTTACAAATGAGTTTTCCATCCGAAGCATGACTGCTGTTGGTAATTTAAAGTTATAGTGGCTTAGACACATAAGTAAACACAACTTTTTTTTCTTTTCTTTTTTTTCCTTTATTATTCGCACACCTTTCAGTGCAAATCTTCTCTCTTCTTTCTTGCTTCTTTTCTACCTCTTTTTTCTTCTTCCTCTTCTTCATTCAAAGAAAAAAGGGAGAGAAGCAGGCGAGAATTGGTCATCCTCATACATATCCCCTTCTTACAATACTACCTTTTTTCATTGCCCATTGCATTTTTCATATCAATACATCACATCACACTACCACTCTCATACATTGCATTTATTTACTCTTATTCATATCTATATTCATCTCTTTTCTTTGTTATATTATATTACTCCTTTCGCCTTGCTTTAATCCATCATTTATATGCCGAGCAATATGTCTTCGTTAGCGCAGCAACTGAAGAGGATCGGCACCACAGATGCCAATAAGGGTTCTGAAAAGTCTGCGAAACATCGTGCCTCGTTCCTTTTTGATTCAAAACAGGCAGCTGACTATGACATTGACACGATATTCTCGATTGGTGCCAATGGTATCGCAGAGTTGAAGCAACTGGACCCTAAATTTGCACCTTTCGAACAGACTCTCTTTGGGGAATCAATGAAGAGTGTTGATAGAGTTCTCCAGGTATAAAAACAGTGTCTTTGCCTTATCGGAGTGAATGATCAGATCACTCGGACAATTGATTACTTATCGCTTAGTATTTGGAAGTGTATCATAACTGAGCTTTTTGTTTTTCTTCATTCTTCATGCATTCATAGACCAAAGAAGACAATGCAAAGTTGGATGAGAGTATTTCCTTGTTTCTTCGTCAACTATCACCGTACTTTCTTTTGAAGCCCGCAGGGAAAGCATTGGAATGGCTTATTCGACGCTTCCGTATTAACGAATTCAATGTGGATGCTATCATGCGCACCATCTTGCCTTATCATGAAACGGCCCTCTTTGTCACCATGGTGTCCATTCTCCATATCGAGTATGCTTTGCTTTTCTTCGTTTCATCATCAATGTAAATGCTTACATCCACATAAAATTAAACCTTTTTTTATGCTTTGCGTTGGCTTTTTCTAGGGAATCGAGCCGTTGGGTATTCTTGAGACCTATTCGTAAGAGCAAGCAGCCTTTGGGGAGGACGCTGTTAATTCAGTATATGCTCAAGGATCGTTCTCTTGTGGAATTTGTATGCGAGACTGTCCTACAAGCTGTCACACGTCGGACTTCATTTAAGACTCTTATCTCTTTCTATGCTGCTGTAATGCTACAGTATATTGCATCAGTACCAATTATCACGGACGAGGTCTTAACAGCTGTCTTTCCATACATTCTCGACGGGTTGAAATCGAAAGCATCTGGAGAATATCAGGTAAGACTATTCATCTACTGGATTCAATTTATCCATACATCCATACAGCAATAGTATAGAGCTCTTTTTTATATATCAGTTCTGGTAGCATCTCCTAATCAAATCCTTTTTCAAATATTTCTAGATTGCTTCATATATGATCATCTCTCAAATTTCGGAACGCGCCACTTTAACATATGAAGTCCTGTCCTCCCTTTTCAACAGCATGACATCCACACACACCAACAGCTACCAGATGGTTCTCTGTCTGGTTCACATCTGTCAGACACAGGAGACGTTTGATATGTTCCCTGAAGTTGCTTTTAAGCACTTGTCCAAGATCGAAGGAATTGATACAATTATCCTCTCAGTAATCCAAAAGTACAATGCCCAACGTTTCCTTTACTCGTTTTTGGCCGCACTTGCAAGGCACTCTTTAAAGGATCCCAACAACGCTCGCATCCTTACTACCATTTTGAAAGAAACTCAGCAACCATCAATTATTGTCTCGAAAGTTTGCTCTGCTGTCTTGGATCTGTTTCTTTCAGAGCATGGGCAACAACAAAAGCAATTGGAGCAGAGTGAACAGCGGAAAGCACAAGAAGCAGCTACTCATTCGATATTGCAGGTCCTGCATCAAAATTATGCTGCAGACCTTGATACTGCGCTTCACACAAGACTTGAGGAGTCAAAGGAAGATGAACGTAGTGCCAAGACTCATAGTCAACTTTACACATTCATCTCCAAGGCCTTCAGTGGCACTCGCCATCAGCCATTAAAGGAGTCCAACACCACGTTGTTCCTCAGTGTCAACCACGCAGAAGCATCAATCCGCTTTCTTGCAGTCAAAAAGTTGGACGAGATTTTAAAAGAAAAATCATCAGAGTTGGCCAATGTTAATAACGAGGACACATTCGTCAAAGACACGCTTCTGGCTCGCCTTCAGGATGATGATGAAAGGATTGTTCAACAGGTTTTGAGCATGGAAGGATTGAAGACTTTCGTTGCACCGCAGGATTTGCTTCAGGGTTTGATCAATGTTATTGCAGCCCCTAGTACTACCCGTGGGACCCGTCGCCACTGTCTTGTCTACCTTCTCACAGTCTTCCTCGCTAACAATACGGATCTTCAGGATCAGGTTTTGCTCATTATCCTTGGCCACATGATGTTTACCAAGGATTTCCATAAGGCTAGCGTTGCTGTCATTTCCAACATTTCAATTTCTGCATTGAAAAATGAACCTCTCTTGAAGAACGTATCCTCGGCCATCAAAGATTTCGCAAACAAGGAAGATGGCAAGGTCACTCCCGAGTCTATGGTTACAGCGAACCTGGCATTGATTGGGACCCTTGCCACCAACTTGACTTCGCACCGCAACCTGTCTGAGGGACTCAACATCTATCTACAAGGTCTTCAGAGCAGTAATATTGCGTTTAGATTATTCTCCATTTTTATCATCACCAAAGCCATCCACAAGCTTAATTCAGCAGAGCAACAGATCAAAGTCGTTAGCTTGTATTTGCCAATTCTTCTCGTTGCCCTTAAAGCAATTTCACCCGGTACAAAGGCTCTCAAGGCTGAAGTCCATGATGGCCTGCCTTCCACTACATTACTCAATCTGATTGTCACAAAGTCTTTGCTTCCTTCGACGGAACTTTCTGTGATCCGTTTTTCTCTGTTAAGCATTGTTTCTGATCTCAAGAAGCCTACCAAGACTAACGTCTCATGGCTGTCTACTCAAGAGCCTCTCTCAGATTATGCCAGGGTCGTGCTGTCATTGTATTCGACTTTTATTAGTCCTGTCAGGATGTCGCCCTATGAAAAGATGATCGAGAAGTTGTTTGAACTTCATTTAACATCAGATTCGATTGAGTTTTTGTGCCGTCTCTGGACGGACTCTTCTGTACCATCGTTGGTTCAACTTCGCTCTTTGCAGATCGCCTCTGCCAATTTGCAGGCGTTTGTTAAGCAAGCTACTACAACAGATGGTATTGATTTCCAGGTGACGATTCCTACGATTTTGATTGCTTTGGCTAATCCTATGAAAGCCATGCGTGAGGTCGCTGTGACCTGCCTTAATTCAATTACATCGCTCTATGCCAAAGTCAAGATAACTGGCAAGAAGAGCAAAGGCATGGCCGCCGACATTTACAAGTTTGACTCCTTCTACGGCAAGACTTCAAATCAGCTCGAGTTCTTAATGCCAGACCAAGTTGTTGCATTCACTTCCGAGTTGTTGAAGTCTCGCGAAGAGTTCATTACCGACGGTGGTTATCTCTCCAAATTTCTGGGCGAAGCTCTTAACCATGAATCCAGTGAGGCCAAGGCCGCTTCTTCACTCAAGAATTCTGTTCTTTCATTCTTGCTTTCTCATGTCCTTGCTTTCACACGAACTAGCAGTCGAGTGGAATTATTGCATCTCTTAGATCCGGTCCGTTCGTCCAATAAACTCAAGATGCTGTTGCCTTTGATTGAATCACTTGTTCACTCAACTTTTGTTGGGCAGAACAAGACAAGCAGTCCAAGCAGCGATAATACCAGTAGCAATAGCAACGACAGCGCAGACGACATCGACACAGAACTGGCTCGCTGTCTCATCCGTTGCTTCTCATCTGAGACTTCATCTCTTTTAGAGGGCAAGTCTGCCAAGTACAGGAACGTGTTCTTGCAGTTGCTCAAGTTGGATAACACCGCAGCCACCAACACTGATACAGAAGAGTCCAGCTCATCTATTCGTCGTCTGACTTTGAACCAACTAAACAGTGAATTCTTTGCAGGATTCAACCTGGCTCTTCAACGCGATATCTTTGTGGTCCTCATTGATTTAGCGACCAATGCTCCTCAGGATACAGTCCGTATTGTGAAGCAGGTCCTTCGAGAGATTCCTATTCACAGTGAACTTATCATTTATGAGTTGGCCTTGATTCAGACGACTCTTATGCAGGAAACTATGGTGAATGAGGAAGGTAGCTCGAAGCGTCAGCGCAAGGCTGGTCCAGAAGACCCCATGACTCCTAGCGCTACTGTAGAAAGTCTTTACCGTCTCGTGACCGTATTGGAGCTGCTTGAATACAAAGAAGTAGCTGAGTCTAACAAACTGGTGACGCCTCTATTCGAACTCTTATCGACTATCATGAACTCGGATCTGAACAACAATACCACTCCTGTCTCAATTGAGTACATTGACCAACTGATGCTCTCTAGTTTGACTTCATTTATCCGTCAAGCCACTGAGCCTTCAGGTGACAAGACCATCAAGTTGGATGAAAGCATACTTCGTGTGGATCTTGTGGTCAACTGTATTCGTGCAACTGGCAACCCTCAGACCCACCACCAAGCACTGCTGTTGATGGCTGCAATTGCATCGTTGTATCCTGAAAAAGTCCTTCATAATATCATGCCAGTTTTCACTTTCATGGGTGCTAATGTCTTGCGTCAGGACGATAATTACAGCTTCCATGTTATTCAACAAACCCTAGAAAAGATCATTCCTCCTCTTGTTGCAGCTCACCGTCATCAGAGCAGCAGCACTACTGGTTCGGAAAGCCAGAATTTAATCATGCAGGTCCGCCCTATTATCAAGGTCTTCGTCGATGCTATGTTTCATATTCCCAAGCATCGCCGTCTCCGCTTGTTCTCAGTTTTGATCTCAACTTTGGGTGAGGACGAGTTCTTGTATGCGGTGATCTGTATGATCATTGGAAAACACACCGAGAGAGCAAGCAAGGGCCACCAAACTGAAGCCGATTCATTAAGCGATTTTGCGTTGGCACTTTCAAATCAATTCTCAGCTGTCGTGCAGATGAAGTCAGTGAGTACGCTCTTGGACATGTTGCAGGCCTTGCCAAATGAAAAGGATGTTTCACCAGAGGAAAGCAATGGTGATGTGGACATGGACAAGGAGGAGTATCTCTTCGATGTGAACTCACACAGTAACAAACAAATCCGTCAATTCAAGCTGTCGGTTTTGTTGTTCGCCTCCAATGTGATGACGTCCAAATCTTTCTTGTCCAAGATCTTGGCTCAAACTAATACGGATTCCTCAGCTGAGACAGTTCTTGAAAAGCATTATCTCCAACTTGCAGAACGTCTGTTGACGCTTGTTGGAACATTCAGTCATTTTGTTAATGTGCTGGTGGCACGGAAGGAACCTTCTGCTGTATCGATCAAATTCTGGCGTGGGATTGTCAAAGTGACGTACGATGTGCTGGACAAGGTACATATCCTGCTGTCGTTACCTTCGTTCATCAATATCATGGTCGCGCTCTTTGAACATAGGGATGTCACCATTCGTCGCAAAGCTATGGGACTCTTTAATCAAAAGATTTCAAATGCTTCTGGAAGCACCACTTCAGCAGTACCTGCAATGTATCAGGATATGGTGGTATCAGTAAGTGAGAATTTGAGGAAGGCTGTAGAGGAAGATAGAATCGAGGGTGCATCTGCGGAGGAAGTAGCGATCAACAAACAGACGGCTTTGCTCTGTCTTTCGACCATTGTTCGCCAGTTTGGTGCCTCCCATCCAGTTGAGATCTCCAAGATTATACCTACGATCATTGGACCCAGTGGTTTACAGCATCCAAATGAACAGGTCAAGGCTTCATGTTTGGTCTGCCTGACATTCATGTGCCAGGAGCTTGGTATCCGTGTGGTCCCATTCTTGCCCAAGTTTATGCCTGTTGTCCTCTCAATCTTGAGCGGCACCTTGATTAGTACCAACGCAACAGCCGCGGCCGCGGCTGCCGCAGAGTCCGATTCCAAGAAGTCAAGCCGGTACACCAATTCTGTTCTTCTTCAATTAGCGGTTGTATCCCATCTGGAGGCTTTGATCAAAACATTGCCACAGTTTGTGAGTCCTTATGTGACAAAGATTCTCGAAAGTACGCTACATCCAGTGTTGACAGGATACGTAGGCAATGATGCTTCCAAACTTCAAATCCTCGACAAGAACAAACAGCTACTTGGAGAGATGGCAGTTCATATTCAACCTCGAATCCTGCTTCCACCTGTCCTTGGATATTATGAGACCGCAATCAAGGATGGCAAGGATTCTCTCTTGGCGTTGTTTGAGCTCGTTGGCTTGACGATCCAAGCCATGCCTCGAGATGTGATTGCAGTTCATTACAAACAAATATTCAAGTTCTTCTTGGGAGCATTTGATTTCCGTCGTTCAACCATATCCACAAAGGAGAAGACGGCTAATGACACCACTACTAATAGAACTATAACTGTAGTTGAAGATGCAGTATTGGAGGCTTTCATGAAACTAGTCATGAAGCTGAATGAGACTTTATTCAAACCCTTATTCCTCAAGACATTGGATTGGGCCACCACAGAGCTACAGATCGCCAAAGCATCCTTCCAAGACGTACAAGCTCGTCAGATCCTCTTTTACAAACTGCTCAATGCCTTGTTGGAGCAACTCAAGTCAATCGTTACACCCTATTATGGCTATGTGGTTGATAATGTGATTGAAGCCTTGGCGGGCTATGTCAAGAAGGCCAAGGAGATCGCATCATTATCTCTATCTTATGAGGAAACAACGACTCTTGATGCAGGAAAGGATGAGATCAAGAGCAGAGATATGGATGAGTTGTGGCCATGGATGATTTCATCATTACAGAAATGTTTCCTGTATGATAATGATGGGCTCTGGAATGCAGATCGGTTCGAGAAGCTGTTACATCCTTTGGTGGATCAATTGTTAGTGACCACACAAGCCAGAGCTGAGGATTCGGAAGAACAAGATGGTATGGATGTATGGAGATCGTATGTGAACAGGATGGACACTTGGTTGGTCCCATGTTTGGGTCAATTGGCGGTCACTTTGTCAAACGATGCACTGTGGAAGCCTCTGAATTATCAAGTTTTGCTCAAGACACGTGAAGAGAACAAACTTATTCGTCTATCGGCCCTTAAGGTCTTACAAGAGTTTTATAAGCGTCTGGGTGAAGAGTTCTTGATCTTATTGCCCGAAACTATACCTTTCTTGGCCGAGTTAATGGAGGACGATGACCATGAGGTTGAAGCTTTGACTCAGCAAGTGATTGCAGATATTGAAGTTTATCTCGGAGGAAGTTTGCAGAAGTACTTCCACTAAGGCAGAAATAAGAAACATTTACGAATCACTGATTTTTTGATTGTTCTCATATTCACAATAATATTAAAAATACACTTTCTTTTTAAGTGAATGTGATGTGCATGTACACTGACATTTTGTAATAAATTATGTAGCTATAATAAGATAATCTTGCTATTCGAATACAGAGTGTTGAATTAGGTAGTTTACAGTTCCTCATACTTGACTGAGGTATCTCTATTCTTGGGATTATATTCTATGTCCTTTGAGTTCCACCTTTTTTTTTTTTTTATAAAAATAATAACAATAGTAGTAATAAACAAATGTTAGGGTTGATGTTCATTAATCATCATCATCATCATCAAAACATATCCTTGATGCGAACAGGAAGACATTTCTTACCATCCCCAGCCATACGGTTTTACCCACCACCAACGACCCTTTTCGATCCTATCCTGCTCTACTCGTTTGATCTGTTCCTGATGTAACTGTATCGCCACCTTCTTTAGTTCATCTAACGCTTCAAACACCCGCTCCGTGATTTTAATACGAGCTTCTACCTCTTGAACCTTGCCTTCTTTATATTCCTGCATCAATGATCTGAAATCAATGGGCTTTCCAAATACAATCGTCAGGGGTGCACCCAATTTAGGGAACACTGGTGAAGAATTGTCTGGATATAATCTCAAAATGTCTTCCATCCCTAAGTGATAGATTGGAATAACAATAGGCATCTCTACTTGATCCATGGGCTTGCCTCCTTCTTCTAATGTAGGTCCACCATATTCCATTAGAATCCGACCTACGCCCCATTTGAGACGAATCGATTGATCCGTCTGATTAATCTTGCCTTCGGGGAAAATATGAACCCATCGACCATTTCTAAGTAAGTTGATAGACTTGTCTATTGCTGGTTGATAAATCCCAACTCCACGAATAATAGGCACAGTCTGTCCAAGTCTGAAGAATGTTCCCACTGGCCTACATGGAAATGAATCGAAAAAAAAAAAAAAAAAAAAAAAAGAGAGAGAGAGATAAAAAGAGACATAATAAATGATACAAAAGTTAGGTAAAGGCTTTCAGTAAAAAGCCTCAGAAGATCCCAAAAAGGCTTACTTGTTGGGATAACACAGCTCTTGAGCACCCAATGCAAAACGAATAGTTTTTGTAGGATTGAAATAACATTTCCATGGCAATGCACCCCAGAGAAGCGGATCGTCAGCGCTATGAAAAAAAAAAAAAAAAAAAAAATATGATGAATAAAAAAAAAAGTGGTGTAAGATTTTTCCCAATTCCATACAAGGATATGGTGTGGAAATGGTGATTCCTAGGGATACTGCTTGTTATCATCTACTTACGTTGAAGCATGATTCGTGACTATGTGTTTTCATAAAAAAATTAAAGCAAGTTAATCCCATTAAACTTTCCCCCTCTACAGCATCATGGTGATCGCATTAATTAAATTTTTTTTACCGGTTAAAATTGGCCGTGTCCGATGAGGATCATAAAGAGTCTTCAGGAACGGGTTGAGGTTGTAAATGGAAGTATAGGAGCCAAATGTCATGTACGTCTTGCTTATAGCGCCTACACCACACATTACCATCATGCTGATAAAAATATAGACTGTTATCAACATTGAAACATGACAAGAATTTGTAGATCTAAATATTTATTTTCTTTTTTTACCTTGCAAGATTCCAAAGTCCCTTTTCTGGGGGGTTATAGATCTCGTAAAAGTCCTGGATACGGTCAATGTTTGTCCGAGGATAGGACAATAGGATACTTGACGGATCGGGTTTGAATGTTGAAAAAGTCTTCAGATCTGGGTTTTGATCTGGTGAAAGCACAAAAGGCAAAGGTGGAAGGGGATGGAATTCTTGTCTAGGTGATGGTGAGGTTTCTGTTGGTCCTGTTTGTGATGACAAGGGAGCTGGAGAAGGTATCGGCACATTAGCCTTGGGGCCATCTACTATTGCTCCTGCCCTTGCTCCTGCTTGGGGTCCAGGAACGCTGTGGGACCATTGTGTTGGAAGGGGTACAGTGAGAGCAGCAACAGGGACAGGAGCTGGTTGTACAGAAACCGCATTGTCGTCAGCGCCCTCGGAAGCAGACGCAGAGTTGTTGACAGTTGGTGAGAGCGGGGGCGAGGATAAGGAACTTCGTTTCCAGAATCCTCCCATCCTTTCTATGAGATGTCAAAAGATGTCAATGAGATTCGGTTGAGAAATGATGTCATAAAAAAGTTGAATCGAAGCAAACAAAAGAGCAATGTTCTATTTTCTAAAACGCCACCAAAACGGAGAATGTGACTGTTCGGGCATGGGATATGAATCGAGGAATAAAAATAAAATAGGCGGTTTGAGACAGAATAAATGTACTTTAATCATTATGTTACTAATCACAATGTTTTTTTTTTTTTTTTTTTTTTTTTGTAGCTCGACTTCTCACGCTCTTTCCTCACAGACTCATACTTCTCAGTCGCACAGAATCTGTGACACCCATCCCCCATGCATTCTGATGGATCTTGAGCCCTTGTAGTACACTCGCGTCCTTGTTCTTCTTGCCTCCTGGTGCATGGAACCCTCGGAAGGTGTAGCCTGCAAATGCGAGCTTCTTACGCATATCCAACAACCGTCTCCCTTCATTCTTATTGCCCAAAAGCGGATCCCGTATCACCCGTTCCTCTCCTTCTGGTGCCGCCATTGGGTTATCATCCACCATCTCATCAAAATATCTAGTATCTGCTGGGTCCTTCAGCGCAGGCCTAAATGGTGGAGTCTGTGATCGGAGATTTGCCCAGTCAATGTCTTTGAACCAAGGATGAGCCTTAATCTCGGATGCATCTCCGAGACCTTGGCTGTTGAGACTCTGATGCAAGAGTTGCTGTTGTTGCATCAAGTGAGGTGATACAGTTGACCAGCGTTTGGTGGCGTTATTATTGACTGGAGGTGATCGGCCTAATCGGAATTCCTTCTCACAGATTAATTTTTCAATCAGATCCTGCACCTCACGTGAAACCTTGGGCTTGGCTGGAAAGCGTAGAGTTTGACGCCAATTAATGATCTTAAGGCGCGTCGTGTGCCGTGATTTGGATATGAATGGAGGATATCCGTACAACATTTCGAACATGATAACCTTTTGAAGGAAAAAAAAATAAATAAATAAAAAGATAATAGGCAGCTTGTCAGATCGAAGTTTCTTAGAGTTAAATGTAGATAAAACTAACATTTACATGGTTTCATGATATACAAATAAATAAATAAAATAAAATAAAATAAAAAAGCCAAGATGAACTTACTCCTAAACTCCACCAGTCACATCCACGGTCATAACCTGTGCCTCGAAGTACTTCAGGAGCCATATAATTATTTGTGCCTACAACTGAGAAAGCCATCTTCTTCCTGTTGCGATCACGCCAAGTTAAGATGCTTTGGTTAGGTGGTGGGCGACCTATTGACTGTGCATACTGATCGTCATCCAGATTCCATGCAACGGCGGCTTTGGTATTATTGTTTGGTTTCTTGCGTGATCTAAGAGTGTCAGTGTTCTCAATATCGATACCAGTCTTTCGGAGCAGAGCCCGTCTCTGAGACTCATAATAGGCTGTGTCATGTGCCCAGTGGAAATCTGTCGCGAGTCCAAAGTCGGATAGCTTGATGTGTCCCTCTTTATTGAATAAAAAGTTGTCGGGCTAATTGAGAAAAAAAAGGGGGTGTAAAAAGAGGGGGTCAGCACGTGTGTAGGAAAATGACGTATAATTTTTCTCTTTTTTTTTTACCTTGATATCTCGATGAATGTATCCCAATTTGTGAGCCTCTTCAATGCAAAGAACCATTTCTGCAACATAAAACTTTGCAAAGTCTTCTTCAAAGATATCTTTCTCGATCAATAAATTTAGCAAGTCACCTCCAGACATGTATTCCATCACCAAGTAAAGATGGTCTGCGTCTTGGAACGAATAAATCAGCTTGACAATCCAAACTGCAGACTCTGAGGCCGCTGTCATGAGATCTCGCTCTGCTCGGACATGTCCCTCTTGACCCTTCTTGAGCATATCAGCCTTGCGCATGACCTTCATTGCAAAGTACAGGCCTGTGTCCTTCTCCTGAACTAACTTGACGACTCCAAAAGCACCATGACCAATTGTCTTTAATATCAAGAACGAATTGACAGAAATCTTCTCACGCATCAGCCGCATGTACTCGGTCTCATTTGCCAGCCACTCCTGTCGCTTCAACGCCTTTTCTGCCTCTGAGATCCCCATCGACTCGAGTTGTCGTTCTAGTTGCAGACGACGCCGTGAACGACTCGAGGGGTTAGTCAATAAACGATGGTAATAACTCTCAAAAAAGATTTTGGTCGAAGATGATTGTTCCACAGTGGCCAAAGAGGGTACAGTGGATCGTTCGATTTCATCAAAATTGCCTGGATGCTTTACATAGGCTTCGGATTCATCATTTTCAGCAATAATGAAGGTTGCATATGAGGCATCGCGCTGATGATGACCGCCACTACCACTGCCATTAATATCTGCTTCTGCGTTGATAAGTTTCGTATAAAAGGCAGGACCCTTGAGGGTTTCCGGAGGGGTAGTAAATGTGGCAGAATCTTCTTGTTTCACAAGGTCAAACTTGAGCTGCGAGACTTTTGGAGGAACTCGAAGAGGAAGAAACAAAACAAGAGAAGTGCCCAACGAGCACTTTCACGTTAGATAGGTGAATAGATAAAACCTTTCTTCTTTGGTTTATTCATTCATGACAAAAAATTTTTTATTTCTATTTTTTGGTCAGAGCCAATATTTATACACTTATTCACTTGCTTACCAGGTAATTTTCCAGCACTGGGATTTCGGATCCACTCCTTGAAGATCAACTCTGCTTCAGCTTCGGTTTCTGTGTGGATCAAATGCTCAAAGTTCTTGGGTTCTGAAATCATATTCTTGGAGATACGCTTTTTTGTAGTCGGTGTAAACGTGAAAGTTTTACCTATTTTTTTTTTTTATTTTTTTTATTTTTATGTTAGCCACAAGGGGGAAACGAACTATAAAAAAGAAAAAAGCGACTTTCACGCAACTCGACACTCACGCACATGCTCCCTTTCCCCCCCTCTTTTCACTTCTTTGTCTTGCTCTCTTCTCTATTCTTCCAGGTACTTTCATAAAAATGATATCATATAATACATTACAATAAGGACTCACCATTTTCTAAGAGGGCCAGAACATGGCTTGCAAACGTGCCGAAATTGATTTGTGACGGTTGCTGTTGCTGTTGACGCGGTGGGCTTCGCGCTGGTGGCGATTGAGGGTATCCAGCCGCCATTGCCATTTTTTATTGTCTTCTTATTCGTCTTCGTGTTCAAGGATAAGGAGATAAAGGAATAAAGGGCTTATATTGATATTGCTGGTGCAATGACGATACGTTAATTAATAATATTTATAAAAAAAATAAATAAAAAAAAAAAAAAATGACGAGGGAGAACGCTCACGCAGGTGTAAATATGGGTGTAATGTGTATATCAAAGTAAAAGCGAAGCGTGAATGAAGGACTTGGATAGGTCTGTCAATAAATGGAGATAAAAGTGGTGGCTACGGTGATGCGGGTGTAAAGGAAAGGAGGGATTTGGAGGAAGCATGCAAAATGCTTTCAAATAGAAACGTTGAAGGCTGCGGCTGAAGGAGTAATATGACGAGCAAATAAAAAAATAAGGAAAGGAAGAAAGAGAAAAAAGGTGAGGAAAAGAAGGAAGGGATGAAAAATGAGAGGGGAGGCGATGAACTTTCAAAAAAATGTCTTTGCTTGACATCCCAGTCTGCAGTGTAATGCATTGCGCTGCGTGGTATTGTAGTACCTGAATGTTTTACAACACACACCCTCCGAATACAATAGACGCTCGAATGACAGCAGCATCGCCCTCCGCCAACATGGGCGCTTTGACTTATCTCACTCGTCAACGCACATAAAAAAGGGGCAAGGGATCCCCCGGACTTTTCACTCCTATTGAAGATGCATGGGCAGGAGCATGGTATGATCATCAATAGTGTTATTTAATAATCGAATATTGATACTTTACCAGCAGTCAACAGTTGTTTACATAAATTTTTTACAATATGCACTATAGGCAATTGAATGGCTCAGGAATAGGGGTAAAAAAAGGAGTAAAGGGAACTCTCTTTTTTTTTTTGCGTTTGTCCCTGAAAACAACGAATACAGCACATTGCATACCTCATGGTTTACATCTGCTTCGCCGTGTGGGTTACAGTCGAACGACCTCTCATCATACGTAGAACACTTGTCCAAGTGCATCACTTACTGCAACTCGAACTTTGGGATAGGGCCTCAATCCAATCTTATTACCTGTCGCTGGTAGCCATCGCGCTGATAGGACATGACGCTTTGATCCAAGTCGAATCTATTGTCGAAAGCTGGATGGCAACTTTTTTTTTTTTTTTTTTTTTGGCTATATTCTTGATAGAAACTACAACCAACATGCCTGCTCTTTATTAGGGCTATTATTCTATCACTAACCTATGTTTCCACTTAAAAAAAAGACATGAATTCGCTAGTAAGAGATAGAGCATGCTCATTTGTTGTTACTATCGGCCATTATCATTGTCTGTATGTGATATACACACTTGTCCTGGTGACCTCCATGGCCCCCCTTTTCCTACTGCTCTTCTTTCAGAGGTGGCTCTCGACTGTCTCTATTTGTCAGCATTACTTTGAATCCTAAACGCAGCGAAAAAAAAATAATTTCCCGCCTTTTTTATCCACTGCTTTCATTTCAAGAAAACAGTAAATCCAACAGTAATGCTTTAACCCTGGTTAGACCTGATCTCTCTCTCTTTTTTTGTATGTGTGTTGAATGGTGATAAAAAACAAAAGGAAGTGATAGGTCTGCTGATCCCTCTCCATCAACCGATTAATTCGTTTACCCATCTATCCATTTATCCTTCCTTTCATTCACATATTCATATATAATTGTCCTTATTTCATAACTCAGTCATTATACTATTACTGTTTCTATTTATTATATATATATTATGATTTATTACTAATAGAGCCATAATTGTCACATTTTCATTCAATATCAAATGAAACAATTAATCCATCGTCCTGTATCCTATCCTCACCAGCCATATCAGACAACTTGACCCCGGACTGTTCTGCTATCGAGCGCAATTGTGTTTCTGAAATGAATTTAATATCGACTCGACGGGAATGAATTTTGTCTTCCTTGGGTAAACGAATAGGCCCTCGAATTGAGCGTGCTGGGACGGTTGCATGGATAACATCCATGAGTCGCTGAAATACTGCATTCAATGTGGCCGTGCTTTGTGACCGAATTGTAATGGAGAAGTCTGCTTTTGCTACGCTTAATGATGTCTCGTGGTTGCTGTTCACTTCTTTTGGTGTTGCGTCTGTTGTTACTCCTGTTGTTGTTACTGTTGGACTAGCAGTAATGGATTTCGTTCCTTCTGTCATGATATTTTCTTTTTCAGATGACAAATTCCTTTTACTTTTTTTTTTAATTTCTTCTTTGATGTTTATTACTTTTGAAGTTAATGAGTAAGGCATGCAAGAATGTTCCTGTAGCCATTTATCACCTGATCTTGGCACAGCACTTTATAAGACAACAAATTTGGTGGCAAGATTATCGTGGCTTTTTACTACAATAAACAACCTTTTTCTTTTTTTTTTTGCCCTGAACATAGCGGGAGATATACAACTCACCTCGATAGCGGAAGGCAACATCGTTAACTTTGACGAACAGTAGGCAATGGCAACAGTAGGAAGCTCATCAGGGAACTTTGTCTTTATGTTGACTCACTCGATCAGATCATCTTATGCAATCAAGACACCATGTCGCAGCCTGATCTCCTCACAACCACTCTCTCATACCGCCTATAATACAACTACCCAATGTAGCCAAAATCATGGTTTCCACACAAAAGCTTTTCTCAAGGGCAAAAAACATTTTGGACTAAATCTCTCTCTCCCACTATCATCCAAATACTCATCCTCATCCTCACCCTCACCAACTTCGTTACCTTTATCCACTACAACATGTTCATATCCCAGATCTACTTTCTGTCCAACATTTCCGGCGACGGTAGTAATACCTAGAAATTGTCAACACCAATACAGGGTCTTCAGCAGTAGTAGTGGAGCAAATGGTATCAATAGTAATAGGAAAAAGGGTCAAGATTCTGATCCCAGTAAAATTTATGCATCGTTTTCTGCAGGAGGCTCAGGATTTGATGCACCTAAAATTCTGACATCAACGCCACCATCAAAAACATCAACATTAGCATCAGCATCACCAGCAGCAGCACCATTACCATCACCGCCAGCATCATCATCAGAGGCAGGTTCTGATACCACCAAATCCTCATCGGTTACAATCTCAGCAAGAGTATGGGATGTTATCAAGGATGATTCCTCAAATGTGGAGAACAGTCAGTCTAACATTCAATCGAACCTAAAAAAACTGGAAGCCATCACAAGAGGTGAGTTGGAGGCAGCTTGCTTTTCTTGTCTAGTTTCTCTCCCTCATTATTTCAGTAGAATAAAAAGAAAAAAAAAAAAAAAAAAAAAAAAGAGGAAGAACGCGAAATTTCATAGATTGATGACTGATCAACTTCTTATTGATATCTTGTCTTTCTCTCTCTCTTTTTTTTCTTTTTCTATTCTCTTGCTTTCTTTTTTTCTTGGGAATAAAAACAGTAACAAAAAAGAAACAAGCCTATTCCCCTTATCTACTTATTACACACCTTCCCTCTACAGTCATGCCAGATGATATTAAACGCATGGCAGTTGCAGAAAACACGATTGCAGATATTATTTACCATCGTAATATGTTTATGGAGTTTCAGAACCGAGTGACTGTCGTATTCCGCTCTGCTACAGACGCTGTTGAATTCATTACACAAAAATATGGCAAGTTTCTCTGTGGGCATAAACTTAATATGACGATGGTAAGCCCCTTTTCTTATTAGAATATGACATTACCATTGCAAAGATACTAAAATGGAAACCTTTTTGTTATTTTGTGTAAAAACTATGTGGCCATGTACTCGTGACGATGATACAATTAATAGCTTGACCCATATAACCCAAAGGATAAACACTATATTCCTCCACAACTTCCAACACAACCACTTTCAGGCCAGTTAGTCCTCGTATCAGGTCTGCCGGCTGCAACGCGACCTGACAACCTACGAACAGAGTTCCGCCGGTTTCATCTGATGGATACTACAGAGGCAGCACTCATCCCTGTACCCTCTAAACGGATGGCATCCACATGCCAGTATCTGGTCCGACTCTCTAGCCGGTCAGAAGCTTACCGATTTGTGAGGACATACCATAATACACATTTTCAGTTCAAGGAATTTAGAAGACGATGCCTCCTCCGTGCCACTGTCATTTATTGATATTTCTGTGTATATTATGTGTTATCTAGATCACAAAGACAAGTGAAATTAAAAATAAAATTAAAAGTAAAATTAAAAATAAAATTAAAAAATAGAAAACCAAAAAAAAAAAAAAAAAAAAAAAATAGATAGGCACGATGAGGAATAGGAGGTTAGAGATGAATGGTATATGGGCTCTTAAACAACATGGGACATGCGAAAAGATATAAAGAAACATAGAAAGAATAATTGATTCCATTAATGTGATAATGTGTATAAACAATAAGATATGGAGGGGCTAGGGAATCAAGAATTTATTTTTCTCCATGACTTGAAAGAAAAATAAAATAAAATAAAAAATAAATATAATACGTATAAAAAAAGGGTGAAATAAAAAATGAAGGGGGTGTCATGCTACAACACTATATCGCGTCATTTCAAGTTTTGATTCGAACAAGAGACAGAGAGAGAAAAAAGGAATGTAATCGAATCTGAACAGGAGAACCAAGAAGGAGAGCTTTAAAATAAGTAACTCGACCTAATAATAACAGTTGCTCATGGGCTAAGCGTATAGATAATAATAAAGGGGGGGGACTTTTTTTTTTTTTTTTTTTTTTTTTTCGAGGTTGAGACGGATATTACTTTTTGTTATTTTTTATGAGCCTATGTTCTACGATTGGGAACGCGTATTAGGAAAGGGAAACAATGTTTACGTTGCTGCATGGAAGCTGATCTTTAAACAATATTCCATCATTCGTTCAATTCTGTCACACATGGTGTATGGGGTGTACGGAAAAAAAAAAAGAAAAAAAAAGAGAGAGAGAGAGATATAAAAACATAACCTCATTGCTTGTTGTTTGGCCTCTTTTTCTTTTATTTTCTTTTTCTCAACTTGGATCAAATCCTTAGCATCAAACTTGACTTTGGACCTTCCTTCTTCCCTCAGTCTAACAAGAAAAAAAGAAGACCCCACTATCTTTATCACCTCACACTCCTGCTTTATTTCATTCCCACACGAGTATTACTCCCTAATCATGAAGATTACTACCACTTCTCTCGTTGTTGCCGCCGGATTGGCAACATTTGTGAACGCAGACCTGCTTCAGGTAAAAAAAAAAAAAAAAAAAAAAAAAAGTAGACAGTATCTTTTTTCTTATTAGCATCATGATATTAACCTTATAATTTCAATATTCAATCATCTTTGCTGTGCGTTCTTGATCTCTACTTCCTCTTCCAGATCAACAACCCGACTGCAGGAACGGTCTGGACAGCAGGTGTGCCCAATTTCGTGAGCTGGAGCGGTAACTGTGCTTCGATGGGTGGAGCTGCTAAGAACGTGACCGTGATCTTAAACACTGGCCCTTCGGAAGCGGTTCGATATGTGGCCACGCTTGGTAGCTTGGACTGTTCAGGAACGATTACTCGTACGGATTTAACGGTACCCTTGGATATTCCTTCAGGTTCTTACTCCATCGTGGTCCGGACTGATCCCCAGTTGAGCTACACGAACATATTCAAAATTAATAACCCTTCCAGTCCTGAAGAGGCAGATCCTGGGGTTAATGTCGCTAGTGCCGATGCTACTGCTGCAGGTGACAGCACTCCTTCGCATCCCGAAAATTCGACAAAGAATATTGCTACAGGAGGCAAGACAAACGCTGGTGCTTTCATGTTAATGAGCTTGAGCGCACTTGCTACTGCAACTTGTCATTTTTTGATGTAGAGAGTGAAGAGAGTAAAAAAAAAATGGACAGGAGATGCAAGATAAAGATATAAGATATAAGTTTTGACTTTAACCCTAATATAATAAATAATATCCCTTAACTAAAATGATTTATTATTTCATGCTGAATTTGCTCAGCTCTTGAAGCTGACATTCCTCCGTTGGAAAGCTCTGCATTCTAGCCATTGTGCAAAATTGGAGAAAATTGAGCATTGGTCCCTGCATCGCCACACACATGGCACATTGTCCAACGTCCCTGTCTTCTAAGGCCAATGGCTTCTTTTGTTTCCTTTCATTAGCATCCTCATTCCATTCACCACACCAACTCATCACACAGCAGCAGCAACGTATGCGACACTGCACACATACTATTACCGCCGTTTCTACTTTTCACTTTTTCTTACAACTAAAAAAAATAAATACATGGTATCTTTAGCGAAAACAAAGACTAAACGACCAGTCACTGACGATGATATGCAACGCGTCCTTCAAAAACCATTGCCCATTCTTCCTCTTGAAATCATCGAATATATCTTACTGCTTACAGGACAGGCATCTCTTCGTTTGGTAATTCCTTTAGTATGTCATGAATGGCGTATTATTGCCCATTCACTTCTCCAACGAACAGTTCGTCTCTCAGTCATCCATCTTTATCTTGAACTGATAACACGAAGTAAATCACAAGGCAAGAAATCAAAAACTCAACAACGACAACAACAACAACAGCAGGAGCGAAACCAGCTACTACAACGCCAAGAGATTAATTCTTCAACAGAACTTGCACTGAAGCAGCAGTTGACCCATAACCTGCGACTGGCCCATATTGTCGAATACAAAACAGGACTGATCCCCAATTTCTATATTAAGCGACTAGCAAAGCATCATGAAGAGATAGTTTGGTCCATCCTTGAGTATGCTTTGACCTCACTTTTCAACAATCACCCCAATGACATTAAGGTCCGTCAATTGATCCTTGGTATCGACCGGGATCCGTATATCTGGAGCCGTTTACAACCGCTGCTCAAGCTTGTAGGCTATAGACTCTTTAGCCTGTGGCTGTACAAAATCCCAGAGGACACTACTTTGTCGATCGTCTCGATCATAGAACTTTGTCCAAATCTTAAAATACTTTACGTTGCATCCCGGCCAAATGAGTCTGCTGATAGGGTATCCAAACTAGAAGAGACTAGCAAGTCTTCTTCTTTCAACTCGCAACGTTCTTGTCTTCTTCAATCAATCACATTCGACAGCATGGCTTTAACACAGACAGCTATAGAAGCACTAGTAGAGAAATGCCCAGACTTGACAGAACTTCGAATTGTGCGTTGTCGACCCTTAATCCCTAGAAGACCAGTAGTTTACAACACCCGTCCTCCCTTCGTCCCTCCAGTCCTTGAGAACTGTCCAGGCAACTTTTTATTCCATAAAGAGAAAAGGGAGCAGTTCTTTTGCCATCTGGCTCTGCATTGTCCAAAACTCACGAGCCTTCATATCTCTGAGGATCCAGGTGGGAGCCAGTATGAAGAATTGGCGCCAATAGGTCAATTCCCCTTAGTGGAGTCTTGGGGCTTTTCAACATTAATGTTAAAAATGCCATCCCTATCCTCCAGGGTGCTTCTGGACCTGCATCGGATAGAGAACCGACTGACGAGTGTTGAGATTATATTAGCCCGCCGTGGAAGTCAACAGCTGTGCGGGCATGATACCGGTCATTGGATTCATCAATTGCTCCACCAATGCCCCTTACTTGAGCATTTTAAGGCACCAGATGTAAACTTGCCTTTACATCCTTTCTATGTGACCAATGAGTTATCAATGAAGCCTCATCAGTGCAGTATTCCTGGTTCTGACAATGTTTCGCTTCCTATTGCTCGAAAGGTATGGGCATGTCGGAGACTCAAGACACTGCACATCATGGCACGAGATTCCTACAACTCAGGGATGACAGATCAGGTTGAACAAACCCTAGTCCTTTATGGCTATATCAGTCGGGTCTGTCCAAACCTTGAGGATCTATCCATCAAAAGGAACCATATGATGTCGCGCTTTCGGTTCCCTGTCAGTTTGTGTTTGTTATCTCGTCTGAAACGGTTGCGGAGGCTACAGTTTGTATGCCCTTGCGATCTACGTATACAAGACTTTGACTGGATTAAACAACATTATTACTATGACACGATGGAGCAAGAAAGATATAAACTAGCCCTAAAATTACAGGAACTTCGACAGCAATCTCGCTTCATCAGGTTTGTGAAGAGACAATGGGGTTTATCGCAGATTAAGAAGACCCCATTCGATATTAACAAAAGTACTAGTTTGGCAGAACAGAGTGTTGGAGTCTTTTCAGCAGAGGAAGAGGCCATTGCAGATAGAGAAGAGAATGGATATAGACAGGAAGGAGAAGAGGAGAGGGAGGAAGAGGGTAGGAGAGTGTTAATTGATGACGTGGACGTAACATATCTTGGTCTACGGCAGGATGTAATCAATTATTTCAAGTATCGACGTAACCATCGAGACGAACCTCTATGGCCAGACATGGAGACTGTCACTATTCGGTTTGCTGTTGAGCGTCGCGACCTATACGCTAATTTCAAAGCTTCTATGCAGCATTTCCGGCAAACAATCCATAAGCTTCGACCTGAAATCGAGGTCATCGTCGTTGCGACGAAATGGAACGATCTTACTCTATGAGAAGGAAAGGGAGAAGCAAGCCATACTCGTTTACTTTTAGCTGTAATACAAGATTGTAAAAAAATAACATAAAATAAAAATGCAATGTCTAGGATAATGTTATGAGAGAGAATTTTTTTTTTTTTTTTACGACTCTTCTGAAGGGTTTGCGCCTGGAGAACTTAGATGGTATCTGTTGAGGACCAAAATTTCATTCATGGCTTTTATGGTGGTTGTCTCTCGTACTGTGGTATCTACAAGATGCTTTTGATCGACCGTAATATGTTTAAAAAAATGCTGGAGTGATGTTTGAACACTGACACTGACATTGCTTACGAAGGCGACCAAGCTGTGTCCTCTAACAGCCGCATCTAGGAAAGTAACCTTTCCAATAATTTCATTTATTCCAGATTCTGTCACTATAGGTTTGTTCTACGATTGTTAGTGCCGTAAAGCCAGTATATCGTAGCCAAGACACTCAAGAGAGCCATGGAAATAGAATTACTATTGGTCGAGGCTATTGTGTCCATTGTAGCCCTCCCAGTTACCAACTTCATGAATGAATATCTCAGCATATTTAACTTAATAATAGATTGTGGCAAAGAAAGTAGTAAAGGACAATAGTCTTTAATTTATCATAATGTCATCTTTCATAGAAAGCATTGAGGACTCTAGCGATCGTAATGTCATAGCTGTTTTTGTTTTATGTTATATTATCTATTCAATGTATCATGATAATGGTTTAGTTTTTTTTTTTTTTTTTTTTTTTTTTTTTTTGTTTACGGAAAATAAACTGGAATAACAGATGTATTAATTAATTTTGTGTATCTGCTAAGGCAACAACAGCCTTTGGTTTCAATGGAATTGTCCACCGGTCTTGCCATTTTTGATCCAGTTTAAATCATACTGGTAGTTGCGTGAGTGGTGGTAGGAGTGGCTGCGGCTGTGGTGGTGATACCATTGGCGGGACTAAGACCTGGAGATCCTACACGAGAAGATCCCGGTGACGCAGATCGAATGCTATTGACATTGTTGTTGCTATCCTTTCGAACAAACATGCTCTGCAGTCTCGTAAAACTAGACTTTTGGCGCAGTGGAGTATTGCCCTTTTCACTCTGACGAAGGCTCAATACTGTATCGTTCACGGGTGTTCCATTTGTGTTGTTACTCGAGTTGATGGCTGATAAACTACGGCTGCGACTGTGGGTGCCGTTGCTATGACCGTTGGTGATTCTCAGGTTGTTGTTGTTATTATTTGCCTGAATTTCGGACCAAGTTTGATGGTCAGTCGGAGCATTGACGCCAGGAGTTGTGGGGCGAGAGAGGAGATATGAGATGGACTAAAAAAGAAAAGTATAAACGTATTTCTTAAGTATACCAGTCCAAGATTGAGATTCTAAACAATATGTGCATAATATATTGTGAAATTATGTCATACTTGGAACCAAAGCTCATGCTTCTCGCGAGTGGGGGCCTTCATTTTGAGATTGCGGCTGGTAGTCTCGATCAGCAGGCTGACATTTGGCAGATCAGAGTTACTGCTATTGGTAGTCTCATCTGTCACCTGGAAGATGGCCACAATAAATGCTTAAGATGCCAAAAAAAAAAAAAAAAAAAAAAAAATTAATCAAGCAAGCCTATTCTTTTTTAATCAAGAAAAATATCTTAAGCTTGGTACATCTCGACTTACCACTCTTGGATTTTTGTTCGCGTGAGCCCTCAGCTCCTGGATTATTGTTACTCCAGTACAGGGTCTTGGTATAAGGATGAACCCACACATATCGACGATGGCTCTTTTCGCTCATCATGTTGGCCATTCGCCGACGGGTGAATTTCCAGAGGTAGTCTCCAATCATGGTCTGAGTAATCAGCTGGATCATAGTTGGATCTGTCGGCGTCACTTCGTTAGAGCCCGTCGATAACCGACGGCCATTGCGTGATAGATCCCCATGGTTATAATCGGTCGACAAGCTAGAAATCGACCCATTAGGAGATGACCCATTGCCACGATAACGACCCGATACTGTAGCGCCCGTTGAATCTATGATGGCATGGTGATGATGGTGATGATGGTAGTGGGTACTGCTATTGAGGTGTTGCAACATGACCTGGCTAGAGTTTTTGTCATACGTAGAGCTAGTTTGTGAAGAGACCGAGACCAAAGTTGTGGGTGGAGGTCGGGTAGCTGAGGGTTCCTGGTGAGAACCAGGAAGGATAACCACACTGTCCCGCTTCTCATTCTTGTCATTCTTCTCATTAGTTGACGACTGCTGTTGATCTTTGCCTCTGGTATCTGGAGATGAAGTCAACTCTTTATCCCCCTGCTTCTTCGAGGATCCGTTGACTGCAATGGCTGCAGCATTTGACTTTTTCTTGTCTTTTCCTTCTGCTGCTGCGTCGCCAGCTTCCTCAATATCACCATTCTCCATGTGAATCGACTGAATTCGGCCAGTATCTGTTGCATTTGGATCGCCGCCAAAGGCTGAACCAAACGAGACACGGAACTCGCGATCCTCGTCATCATTAAATGATGGACGTTCCGTCGAGGTATCAGTGGGTGCCTCTAGTGCAGGTGATGGTGCGGCAGACGACTGGTTGATAGTTTGACTCAAGTCACAAGTATGGCGACGCTCCTCATCCGTCATTAATGTTGGCTTGCTACGTACCACAGGCTCTTTAACAAGCTCTTCTTCCTCATCAATATGGTCATCTACATCCTTCTCGCCTTCTTTCTTCCCTGATACAACGGCAGCGATGGCTCCAGCAGCGCCAGCAACAGCCGTAGCAGCAGCAACACCCAAAGCTTTAGCATCCAATAGAGATGTAATTTGCTTTGTCTCTGTTCCTGGTTTGCCTGTGATCGTTGTTCCTGTCTCTGTAGCCTTCTTAGTGCCCAACTCATCAACCGACTCGACAGGCTTTGTCACCTCGATTGTAGGAGTGCCAGCCTCAGCCGCAACCGCAGCCTCAGCCCTCTTCTTCTCTTCAGCCTCCTTCTTCTCGGTTTCAATCCTCTCGGTTTCTTTCCTTTCGGCTTCCTTCTTCTCAGTCTCGGCTTCGACAGCCTTGTCTAAGAGATCCTTAAATTCAGGTGCATCATGGATCCAGTCCTTGATCGACTCCGTCATGATCTCCTGATCCTTATACTCTTTCGAGTTGGCTTTGATCCTCTCGGCTTCCTTCTTCTCAGCTTCAATTCTTTCAGCTTCCTTCTTTTCGGCCTCCTTCTTTGCGACTTCAATTCTTTCAGCTTCTTTCTTCTCCGCTTCGATTCTCTCAGTCTCTTTCTTTTCAGCTTCAATCCTTTCAGCCTCCTTCTTTTCAGCTTCAATCCTTTCAGCCTCCTTCTTTTCAGCTTCAATCCTTTCAGCTTCCTTCTTTTCAGCTTCAATTCTTTCAGCTTCTATTCTCTGGGCTTCTCTCTTCTCGGCTTCAATTCTCTCAAGTTCTTTCCACTCGGCTTTCTTCTTCTCAGTCTCGACCTCGATAGCCTTTTCCAGGAGATCCTTGAACTCAGGTACATCATGAGCCCAATTCTTGATTGGCTCCGTCATAATCTCTTGATCCTTATACTCTTTCAAATTGGCTTTAATCCTCTCAGCCTCAATCCTCTCCGCTTCAATTCTTTCGGCCTCCTTCTTCTCAGCTTCAATTCTCTCGACTTCCCTCCTTTCAGCCTCTTTCTTCTCGGCCTCAATCCTTTCGGCCTCAATCCTTTCGACCTCTTTCCTTTCAGCTACCTTCTTCTCAGTCTCAACTTCGACTGCTTTGTCCAAGAGATCCTTGAATTCAGGCACATCATGGATCCAGTCCTTGAGCGACTCTGTCATCATCTCCTGGTCCTTGTACTCTGCACTTGACTTCAAGTCAGATTGAGAAGTGGCCTGAGCCAGCTCTGCAAAGAGTCCTCCACTTGGGAAAGGTGAGCTACGTCCATTGGCATTGACAAAATCATCTGAGAGTGTCATGCTCAGGTCACGAGGGTCAGTCTCAGATCCGTCCAGCAGACCCAACTCTGAAGGAATTCCAGCTCCAGCTCCAACACCGGTACCGAAAGCCATGCTCGAACGCTGAGACAAGACGTCAGGTTCAAAAGTAGCTGCGCCTTCCAAGCGCATAGTCTCAATAGTCTCCTCACGGTCTGCCAACAACTTTATAAGCTCTTCCTTTTCAACCATCAGCTCCTCCTTGGCTGATATCAACTGCTCCTTCTCGGCGATTTCCTGGGTGAGTTTGGATTGGAGATCGCTGATGATACCTTGCTGATGCGCAAAGGAAGACTCTCTAGCCAAGGACGCAGATTTAGGGGATTCCAAGGAGCCGGTTCCAGCAGCTCCAGCAGCAGCGGTAGCGCCAGCAACACCAGTGGCGGCGGCAGAAGCTGCAGCGGCTGCAGCAGCCTCATCAGGACTCAAAGCTTTGTTAGCAGATGAAGTGACCAAGAGAGGTGCATTTGTCTTTTCCTTTTCCAGCTCCTTCTGTTCCAATTCTTGAGCGAGTGCAAGGGCCTCTGCGGCTGCTTTCTTGGCTAATTTCTCCTTTAATGCCATGGCTGCATTTAGCTCATCATTCTTGGCCTGCAAGTCGGCCTTTTCACGTTGAAGACTTGCCATATGTTTCCGCATTGATGAAATATCCTGCTCAGACCGAGATTTGACTAACTCTAATTGGCTAGCCATCTTTTCTTCTTTATCCTTAAGTTGCTCCACTTGTTCTGTGGCAGCATTGAATGCCCTTTGGACCTTGGCATTTTCATGGTTGGCTTTGGTCAACTGAGATTGAAGTTCTGCATTCTGGCTACGGAGTTCTTGGTTCTGTAGCTCCAGATTCCACTGGTCCTCTTTTTGTCTCTCTATAATACATTTCATAAATTAAAATTAAAATTGTTGGATTTAATTTCTCTCATTGTAGTACAAAAAAAATAAATAAACAATTTTTTTTTTTTTTTTTTACCATCACTCTCTTCACGAAGTCGACGTTGTCGGTTCAGCGCATCGATGATCCGTTCTTGCTCATTAATTTTTAGGTCATACTCCTGGTTCAGTTTCTCTTTTAATTCCGCTTGTGAGGTCCAGTAACGGACCTGATTCAACAACTCTTCCTGAATCTGCAATGGGAAAGCAGCGTCGTTGGTGGGAGGAGCCGAGGTCATGTTGACCTTATGTCGTCGAGGTTTGGAAATGATGGGTGTGGTTGGTAGTGGAGCGCTTGGCCCCATGACCGTGCTTGAGCGTGATGTCGGTAGTTCATTTGAAGCGGGTGCTGTTGATCCAGCAGGCTAAACAGCAAAAACAATTTAATTTTTGTTAGATTAGTAGGCCTGACCGTTTTCCTTTCCTTTCACTTGGTAAATCAGCTCATCATGCATAATCAAGAACAAAAACAGAAGAAGGAAAGGAAATGTGTATGAATGTAGAATGTCATTCTCATTAATAGAGCAATGATGACATGTTTGGCTCACTCATTTTCTATCCCTCCCTTACTTCAATAAAAAAAAGTCAAATCGAACCCAATTGAAGAACGTGGATGAGGAAAATAATGATAATCAGAGTATATAAATTGTGCATTTGAAGCTTGAGAGCCACCATTGTCAAAAAAGAAAAAAATTGCATGGGTCCTTCTTTCTAACTTATTAGTTCACTGGCAAAAAGAAAAAAGAAAGAAAAAAAAATTCTTTGTAAAAGAAATGCAATTACATCCTCTCATTCCGCTTCATATGGGCTCCAAGACCGAACCTAGGTCCATGGGAGGATAACAAAAAGAGACTGTAAAAAAAAAAAAAAAAAAAAAAAAGTTCAAATAAAAACCCTGGGTTCCCGCTCTTTTTTTTTTTTTTTGCTCCAAAAGACAATATTGAAATCCATGCGGAAAGAAACAGAGAGCCGTAACAATCAAATAAAATATGACAACAATAATAAAAAGAAATCAATAAGCAATGGTTTATAGCGATGTCCAACAAAGATTGCGGAGAAAAATAAGAGATGAGATCGTACGTAGGGCTTTCACATTCCATCACTTTCATCACTCACGCGGTCCACACGCATAAACCTAAAGTAAGAGGAATTTGTCCGCCTTTGTTGTGTAGAAAAAGGCGCATATGCATGCGGCAAGGCGGAAAGAAAACCTAATGCATCTTCCTCCTCTTTGTTCCAAGCCCCGTATGCAGGAAAAAAAAAAAAAAAAAAAAAAAAAAAAAGGTGGTGTGGATGTGCGAGTGGGAGTAGGAAGGGGTGAGGGGAAACAACAATAACAAACAACCCAACACAGCAAATTGTAAAAGAAAAATAACAAAAAAGACGAGTATTCTGGTTTTTTTTTTCTGTGCTTCGTTCAAAATCAAATATTACCAGCTGTGCATCAATCAAACGCTTTAGTCCCGCAATACCGCTCTCGCCCTCCTGAAATTCTTTCTCGAGAGTCGTCAACTGTTCACGAAAGGTTTCTGGTAAAGGTTGGGCCCCAACATCGTCTGATCCTTCACCTTCTTGTTGTTTTTGTAGTTGTTCCTGTTCATTTAAATGTTGTAATTGTTCATAACAATTCTTGAGATCTTCTTCTCGCTTTACAAATAATAATCCGATCGACTGTGTTAACTGTAAGTCATTATGGATGTTGGCCAATCGAGCCTCAAGTTCTGCTCTAGCTTGGGCAATCGTCTGTACATCGGAAAGAGGAACAGACGTTGAAGAACCTCGAAGCTGTGACTGCGGGGATTGCTGCTGTGGCACGAGGTTGGATGTTGCTGCCACAGGAGACTCCATGGTCTCTTAAAACAAAAAACGAAGAAAAAAAAAACGACTCTATCGTTATTGTTTTTGGTGCTGTGGTTACTTTTTTTTTTTTTTTTCCTAGTCCTATGTTCTCTTCTTAATTGTTGATAAAACTTGTCAAAATGAATAGGAAGCGAAAGAAAGAGGAAGTAGAATTGATTAAAAGCTGAGTTGTGCTATCAGTCTGTTACAAGAAAGAAAAAAGAAGAGGAAGTAGGAAGGAAAAAAAAAAAAAAAAAGGACAAGAGTGTATGTATTTGTGTATGTCAGCAAGCTTGGTATGAACAATAAAGTGTATGCTTTTTTATGAGCATGTGCAAGTTTAAAGAGTAGAGTCCAACGGGCAGAATTCAGTCTTCCCTGGAATCACTTATGCTTCCAAGGTTGTAGACAAAGAGCATTGTGGAAGTTGACAGGGATAGGGGGAGACTTTGGGGCGTGCTTTTTATCTTTATCAAGGTCAGTTGAGTTTTTTGTATTGTAGCTGGGAAAAGTGGGATGCTTGGGTAATATTCAGATAATTCGTCGTTGTAGATAACAAGCGGCAATGATCGTGTTATCGGTTCACAGATGAAAAGGGTGTAAAAGTTGAATACATACGTTACTCCTTTATGAATCCTCTCAAAGGAGACAAGTGAGAAGAAAGAGAAGAGAGGGAAGAAGTGAAAAGTGGTTTTGTAAAAATAATAAAAATAAAAAGATCGAGTGAATGAGTGTAATGTGAATAATAATAGTTAGATGGGGGAGAAGAAAAGTGTGGATGAGAGAGGAAGAAATGGAGAAGTAGATGAGGAAAAAAAAAAAAAAAAAAAATGTTTATTTTTCTTGGAGAGGAACAATGCCACTATTCTGTTCCTCAAGAGTTTGGAGCGGTGCGTGCGCCCAAGGAAGTGCGCAAGAATGAAAATGAGGTGTGCAAAAACTTTGTTTGCCTCCGCCAATTCTGGCCAATAAGAAATCGTGCCTGACTTTGTCAATAGACATAACAGACGCGCTTCTTGATTCAGACACACGATTAAGAAAACAAGATATGAGAATCATTACGTCTTTTTTGTTTATTTATTTACTTTTATTATTTTTTTAGCACCCTCCTCAAACCAGCACAACTTTCTGTCCTGTAGATGGAGATGGTCTCGGTGGATGAATAGCCCCAACACGATGATAAACAGTTCGGGCACGCATGTATGGTTCAGCTGCCCACCACATCTCCGCCATGCGAGCCCCCACTTCCTGCCGCTCTTGAATTACAGCAATGCTAGAAGAGAGCTGTTTCTGTCCTTGCCAAATCTCAGTCAGCCGCTCAAACGTCAGCTCCATTTCTCTACGTCTTGTGAGGGCTTGCTGCTTGGCCTCTGAATCTTCCAACATCAATTTATTTTCACCAGGGATCGGTTCAACATATTGGTAGGGTACTGGGTCCTCTCCTTCAAATGCCTTGTTCTGCATTAATTGGTCTGGCGCCACAAATTCCTCCAGCTCCTTTCGATCGCTGGTAAATTTAATCTTTGCCCGAATAACAGGATCAAGCATAGGTGAGATGGCTTTCCAAAGTGCTCCAAATAACCATGGAGCTTTATGGACCACACAAACACCTAAAAGTTCGGGGTAGCAGGCTTCGGCTGCATGGATGAAGAACTTGACAGTCGGCCAATCCTATTGGAAAGAGAAGTAAGACACGAATAATGACTTTTGCGTTAGGTAATCAGAGAGAAAATTTGATGACTAGATCTCTAAAGGATGCTCATGTAAGGTATAAAACGTAATGCATGTCCATTCACAATGTACCATGTTCGACATAGAAAACGAACTCATATCAAATAAGACCGAAATCGTCTCTGCAGGCGGCTGTAGCATCAGTCTGGCTGTCTCGATGACATAGATGGACAGCTTCTGGACAGCTTGCGGACTCTGTGCATGTTGATAATGCAGACTTGGGTTCAGCAGACTGAAATGTTTCATTCAAACAAGGGAAAAAAAAAAAAAAAAAAAAGAAGAATAACTTTGGTAAGATTACTCTCATGGACGCCTCACGAAATAAAACCATAATACTGCACTTTACCACAAAGGTCGCCCTTGGCGATCATGGCCTCGAAAAATGACTTTGCCATTCTTTAGCTGGTCCAAAAATCCAGGGTACTTTGCTTCGAGGGCCTCTTCTCCTTCCCGGACCACCTCATCCACACCCATCGTGATGCGCCATTCTAGAGCCAAAATTAGCATCTCCATAGCTTTCTCCACATTCCATTTTCTCGCTCTAAGGAACCTCAAAATGGTGGTATCAGGATGTTCAGACTGGACAAATTCCCAAAAGGCCGTATGATACTCTGCAGACGAATACTTAAATGTAAACTTCTTGGAGGGCAGCCATGGTTTCAGTTTAGTTGCAGACCTTTTGAGCGCTGCCGCTGCTGCTGCGGCGCCTCCTGGCAAGAAAATATTATTATGGCCGTTTATATTCCCTTGAAGCGGTGGATTTGAGGTAGGAGGTGAGGATGCAATTGAAGGCTGATGAAATGGTTGGTTGAGACGAGTTGGTGATGCGGGGTGTGGACCATTTGGTCTTGTTTCATGGCAGTGACTGCCATAGTGATGGCGGCTTCCTGTGCCAGTGGCTCCTGGGCTTGTTGGTGACAATGGTGAGTCATCTTGAGATGCTTGATCAGAGTGATGTATGCTGATTCGACGAAGGTTCATACTACTTCTGGTGGGCGAAGAAGGCTCCGAATACCAGAGATGCAACAAAAAGGACCAAATCTCACCGCTATGACAAGCCAAAAGCAAAACAGATAAATTTTAAATACTGGGCATAAGTAAACGAATCATCCACCTTTGCTTTTGACTTCGCCCAGCATCTCACTCTTTGTATTGTTGCACCAGTCATCTGTGTGGCACCTTGTTTGTCACATTTAAGCTCAGGCACAATCAACAACCACTTACAGTGCATCCCATTGTTCTGGTGTCAAGTTACCAAGATGGCCTGCGGATTCTGACTGCTGACGATGATGATGCTTCATGATATACTCCTTTGTATTTCGTCAGGGTTCTTGACTAGCTATTTTTTTTTTTTTTTTTTTTCTGTAATTAAAAATTAAAAATAAAAGCGAATAAAATAGTGGAATGAATGTGAATCAGAAATGTTTTTTTTTTTTGCTCATGCAATGTGGATGGAGAGGACAAAGCCAAAAAGAAAAGAGAGACAAAGCCAAAAGAAAAGAGAGGAAGGGTGGTAAGCGACTGGTAGGAGGTATATACTTAATGCAATGATTGGATAATGCCTTTCGAACATTTCAACATGTTTCATGTCACTGTGTCGTGACAGATGCCGCCACCAGTGCTGTTTTACCTTGCTGCAAAAGTGTGGACACATGACCCATCATCCGCAATGGTAGACCTGGTAGGCTGGTCCAGAAGGGACCACCGGGGTATAGTGCTGCATATATACTCATGCAACCCATGCTCTCTAACCGACAAGTCTGATTGAGCAGACAAAAAAAAAGCTACAAATGAATCCAGCCCTTTCGATCTTGCATGCTCACTTACATCCATTCTACACCATACAGCCCATTGCTTTTTATTCATAATTTTCGTGATGTAAATATTTCTTTTACAAAAGAAAAAAAAGGCTACTTAATCATAGTATGGACGAGAAATGCTTCGAAATCAGCCAGTGCCTTTTCATTAACCCTTTGCAACACAGAGCCTTGAGTTCTAGAATGATTATTGCCTGTCGCTCTGTTACTATTACTACAGGGCCTTTTACTGTTCTCAACCATGTCGCTGCCGTCTGTTCGACGTTTCTGAGACTGAGACAGCAGTTGTGACGGTTGTGTGGAATAATCCAAACATTCCAAGGGGAAGTCGCCGTCCCCAAACTCACTATTACACTGTGTATTCGGTGCATATTCCTGACTAATTGATCGTTTTATCGGTAGCGATGAGGATAGTGATATGGTTGTTGACTGTGATGCTACTTTGACCAATTTTATGTACATATCAAAGTAAATAGGGGACTCCAAGGAAGACTTTGTTCTACCGCCAAACGCACCTCCATCCATAACACCAATCCGCGCGAGTTTTTGTTTAAGTTCAGCAAGTCGTTCACTTTTCTTAATGTAGTTAGCAGCGTCAGCGCCAACAAGCGTTATCTTGTAGAAATAAAAACTGATTGGGTGAGATTCCCAATATTTGGTACATCAAAAACGTTCATTAGCAGAGTTGGGTAAAAGAAAAATAAGCACTACTTACAGCAGATTCGTTATCAACATAAACATTAAATGTCTGTTGGAATTCATCCATAAGTTTGAGCATGAATGAGTATTTGAAAATGACTCCGCCACTGCCAGAGCGGCAGGACGGACATTTGTTGGGCGGCTTGTCATCCGAGAGAGGCCTGGATGAGTAGCAGAAAAACAAAGTAAATATGAAAATAAGTAAATAGAACTATAGGAAAAAAAAAAAAAAAAAAAAGAAAAAAAAAAAGTATACCTCAAGTGATTAGATTTGAAAAATGAAAGGTCCTTTGCTTACCCATATCTATACCCGCAGTTACTGCAGCTTGCAAATGAGAAATCCATAATATGCTCCGGTTCGAATCCCACCACGCAAGCATGTAATCTAAGATATTGAATGTCCTGTAAAGTGCACGCAATGTTCAAAGAGAGGATATTTGGCTTTCTGGTTCAGTATTCGGAAACAGTCTTTAATTTGTTAAGTCTAATAAAGTTTTCATACATACATCACTAGCATCGTTCCTGCATTCTAGCTCCATGCGTGAAGTCAATAGTCCTATCATATTACCATCAAAAGTATTAGTTTTTTTTTTTTTTTTTTTTTTTTTTAAAAAAAAAAAAAGGACAAGAGCATGGAAAGTATAAAAATAGTAGGGTTTCTCTGACTGACCCGTAAGCAACAACGCTCTTGAAGATGAAGGATTATGACGGGTAGATGGACGAGAAGGGGAGGTTGAAGGTCGTAAAACTGGAGTAACTTTTACAAGCGACTCGGTCTCTTTTTTTAAAATATGGGTGAGATCTTGAGGTTCTTGAACTGTTTTGGAGGTAGATACAGTCGTTGTTTCTGGCAATGGTCCTGGGGATATATCCCTGGTCCTGCTTGAGGACGACGATACAATTGGTGCGGGGGTAGCGGTAGCGACGATAGAGGATGCTCGCATTGAACGGGCTGCGATTTGAGCATAGATGGTTCCCGGTGTGTCTGTTCCTAGACCATGCAAGTAACGAGACTTCCGTCTGTACCAGAGAGAGGTTCAGTGGCCCTTGTCGCTCATCATATAACTTATTTCAAAGTTATATACAAAGCAAGAAAGAAAGAGAAAAGAAGTTCTATTTTTTGACTTACAAGCGTAGATCTCTGACAAGAGCGTCCTTTGGATCCAAAATCTGAACGGGCTGAGAACGCTGGTAGCCTTTTCCGCGGAAACCGTTCATGTTAAGCTCAATATACTGACTCTTATTGAGCTTACAGCAAAGATTTTTAAGAAGCAAAAACATGCCCGCTCCAACATTTAGTCGCTGAGCTTCTTCGCAATGCTCGTCCCATAGCGTGACAAGTATAGTTGCTTTACCACCCACTCGTCCCTCGCCCTCTACAATAGGTAAGCTATCATGTTCCGTATAATCCGTCATCACCAACGTAGCCCTGTTTCCAGAGTCTAATTTGTAATAACAGACCTGTGATGTATATAAAGTCGTAGCATATAACGACACAGATATTTAACGCGTTGAGTTGTCTCGATTCTTGGCTTTTACTTTACAAGATAAATATTCGCCGATATATTTTTACATGCCTCGCCAATAAAGTCACAGAACTTATTGACCTCCAACTGACTGACAGTACGTAGTCTGTCTAGATTCTCGATCCTGTCCATGATCTGCTACTTGATTCTCGCTCTTTTCTGATTCATGGTCACTGAAATGCGTGCCAACAGATTACTGGCGGTTTTTTTTAATCAAATAGAACCACAGTCACGAGATTTAGAAAATTGGAATCTTTATTAATAATCAATTATAAGGCAATGTTCGTTCTTCACCAACGTAAGAAATGCGATGGACATTCATATCCTTCTGGATTCTTGTTCAAATAGTTTTGATGATACTCTTCTGCATCATACCATTCACTTGCAGGAACGATCTCTGTAACAATATGCTGTCCCTTGTAGTGCTTCTCTTGAACCTCGGATGTAACCTTTCTAGCTATCTGTTCCTGCTCGGGTGAATGGTAAAAGATAGCAGACCGATATTGTGTTCCGACATCAGGGCCCTGGGAGTTAATGGTAGTAGGATCATGCATCCTATAGAAGAATTCGACTAAATTAGGATAGTTGATCTTGTCGTTGGGAGTGTATTTGATCTGGAGAGCCTCTGCATGCTCAGTCGTTCCAGTGCAGACTTTCTTATAATTAGGGTTGGAGTCATCGCCACCTGTGTATCCAACCTTGGTTTCAATATCCTCATCCTTGTAGAACTTCTGGAATGCCTTCTCGACACCCCTACAGATACAAAACAAAAGCAGAAATAGAGCAGAATGGGATTTGTAAGCAGCCAGTTAAAGTCGTGTGATAAAAAAAGTTTGATATGAATTATCTATGATAAGCTTACCAGAAGCAGCCTGCAGCAAAAGTAGCAGTTTCAGTCATACTGAAGTTAGTGAATGTGAACAAACAAATGAAAGGGGTGAATGAGAAATGAGGAAGGAATTCGAAAAAAACCTCCTTCCGTTTTTTATAGATGTTGCGACCGTTGCACTAAACGCTCAATCCAGCCAATCACAGATCAATTGAGGTGCGAAATATACGTCCGTCCATGTCGCCATTTGCGCAGTGGCGACTATCGCCTATTGATACACTAGACTTGCACAGACAAGCCAAGAGTAAGTGTTTCATCATCACAGATGGATCTTACCAAATGCGGCCTTCTCTTAAGTAACTTTTCATGTCACTCGTCTACATTCACATAGACGTTCAAAGAGCAGAGTTTATTGTAATAGCTCTTTTAAAATGGTCTACCAGTTCTATCTGGCCTTCTTGAAAAGTACGCTTCAAGGACTAGAAATAAAAAGTAAGAATAGAGCATTCCTCCATGATGATTGTCGATCTGTAGTGGCTTTGTGCCCTGTAGAGTACAGGGTGGAATGCATATCACATCTGCATGGCTCTACTGCAACACAACACTCACCTTGTCTCATCCCACTCAACGGCCACTTTTTATGCATACCTTTTTCATTCATTGACATCACGCATCGTCTTTTTTTTTTTTTTTTTTTTTTTTTGTTTTTACAGGGACTACAGGGACAAAACACGAAATAACTATTATAATCTCTTCAAATATTGCCATCATCAACCCTTTAATTACTAATTGTGTACCGGAGAGAACGACAGTTGGACAAAACGTCAAACAGCAAGTAGTCAATCATGCAGCCCCAACCAAGACGACAACCGCCTCTGCCACAACAACGCATGCCCCCTGGCAGTGGACCACCTCCACCTCAAGGACAATACATGCGACAACAACAAGGCCTACCACCACGACCCATGGGCGGACCAGGACCAGGTGGAATGTACCCCCAACACCAAGGAATGGGTGGGCCGATGGGTCCACCGATGGGTCCACCAATGGGTCAAGGAGGCAATTACCCACCGCCTAGTATGCGACCTCGTCCAGCGCCGATGATGCCCATGGGTAACCAGATGCCTATGAATGGACCTCCACGACCTATGGGTGGACCTATGAGCGGGCCAATGGGTGGACCTATGGGTGGACCTCCTATGCCGATGGGCGGCCAGCGGCCTATGGGTGGTCCGAATATACCTCCAATGGGACGACCCGGCCCTCCTCCTAGTATGGGACCTCCTAGACCCAATCCTGGATATAGAGGGCCACCACAAGGACCAGGACCAAGTATGGGACCAGGACCAGGAGGAATGGGGCCAGGGCCAGGAGGAATGGGTCCAGGGCCAGGAATGGGTCCCGGAAAGGGGCCAGGGATAGGTATGGGGCCAGGGCCAGGGCCAGGGCCAGGGTCTATCAGCTCAAGCAGTTCAATTCAATCCGCACCAATATCTCTCTACGGTGGCATTAGTGGAGCTTCCAGTTCACCCAGTAATAATAGTAGTATAACTTCTCCAGCTTACTCTTCAACTCAATCTCCTATGGCACCAATCAACTATCAACCTAAAACGTCGCATGCACCAACGGCAACCTCGCGACCCATCCACTCACCCAGTCCTAGCCCCATTCCAGCTTCATCTTCTGCTTCATCGAGTCCTGCCCCTATTGCTGTGCAGCCATCGCCTAACAACATCAATGCGGTACCCTTACGTCACGAAACTTCTTCTCCAAAAATTCGAAAAGATCCACCGCCGCCACCTATCGCCCGCAATAATGATGTCTCGTCCTCGCCTCAGATCCGCAGTGAAGCTCCTTTACCTTCGCCTAACTCCAGGATAGAGGCTAATTCAAACTCACCATTACCACCAAAGCCCCCAGTTAGGAGAGATACGTCGTCGTCATCAAAGTCGCAAAAAGAAGCTGCTGCATCATCCTCGCCTTTGATGAAAAAGGATGCACCTATTCCGCCACGCAAGGAGATTTCACAGCCCAAGCCTCTACAGCCCATACGCAAAAATCTAATCTCAATATCGTCGCCAACACCATCGCCATCTACGGCAAGTCGTATGAACGAGAAGTCTGATCGAAAGCCCGTCGTGGAAATTGCGCAATTTTCAAAGGAGGGTTTCAACCATGAAGAATGTGAGTTTGTAATGAAATACTTCAGAACGGGAAGGACTACAAAATGACTGAAAAGCTACAGAAGGCCAAGAGTGGAAGACTTTTTTTTAAAGATTAATTCGATACTCAACCGCCTTTATACATTTTATTTCATTTAGATCTCACTCAGAACCTAGCTAATGCTAGCGAGGATACAATTCGAAGTTTTCTGCAATCGCTCAAGGACTCTAAATCATTGGCAGCAGAGGATCTTCAAGAAAACGTGTTTAAGAACTACAACGAATTTGTCACTATTTCGAAAGAAATTTCAAAGCTGGAAAGCGATATGCAAACCTTACGTGGGTTACTGGATGATCTAAAGGCAGCAAGCGACAATCTGGTGGATGATGACGATGAATTTTTGCTCACAGCTGGTAAAAGAAAATGATCTTTAACCTTGTTCTCATACTCGCTACATTTCACATACTGGCATTTTTACATGGAGATTATTATCCCTCAGGATTGGCTTTTTTTTTTTTTTTTTTTTTTTTAACTTGTGATCAATTTGCCTGATTTTAGGTATCGAGGATTCTGCTCCTGTTGTACCAAAGAGAATGACAGTCATGGTCTCAAGCATGTCAGATTTAACGTCTGTCTGGAAAGCCCAAATGATGGCACTATGGGAGGGCATTGAGGGAGCACAGGTAACGTTTCTCTGATAGTTCAGTTATTGTTGACAATGATACGCATCTACACTTGGATTTCTTTCTCTCTCTTTTTTTTTTTTTTTTTTTTTTTTTTTAAAAAAAAAAAAAAAAAAAAAAAAAAACTGAAAAGTCTTTATTTTATTCAACTTATCATGTCTATCTGACTTAGAAAATGCTTCCATATCATCCAAAACGACATTTGATCCGCGAGTCCCCAAGCTTTGTAGAGATCAACACAGCAACCAACAAGATCAAACATCCTGTCCACATTGTACTCATGAATGACACCCTCCTAATTGCAACGCGCAAAAAGAAAACAGCTGCCATCTCAAAATATAAATTATTGGGCGATCGCTGCTGGCCATTAACAGACATTACCATTGAAGACATGAAGGATACAGCAGGTAAAAAAGCGTATTGATATTCCTTGATATATCTTTCTTCTTTCATTCTAAAAGAAGTTTTTTTTTCTTGGATTAAATGGCATCTAATAAATATAGATATTAGGAATGCAATTAAGATTACGCATGGAAACGAGGTTTTTGTGTACAAGACGGAAAAAGGACAGGAGAAGCAAACCATGTTGGTCAATGCAAAGCGTTCTACAGATGAAATGCTTGCAAGGTCAAATGAGTCTCGCAAACGAGGTTTGTTGCAATTTGCGCATTTTTTTTTTTTTTTTTTTTTTTTTTTTTTTTTTTTCATGTACCATTGGTCTACTAGCTTGGTTGTTCATGATATGTTCAAACCATTTTTTTTTCCTTTTTGTTTTTATAACGGCTCATAGGAATGTTTGGTTTTACAGCTGTAAGTGCTCATTAGTTCTCTACTTGGAGGTCAAGATTTATTTTGTTAGACTTGCTGCAAGGCTTATCTATACTAAAACTAGAATAATTCTTTATGCTTAGGCCATGTCGAATCGCGGAGGAATGAAATTTAAGACGTCCATTACCTCAAACCAACCGGATGCGCGCTGGCTACAGGAATTCACGGATGATCTGGATGTATTGATTGCCCAACGAGACTTGGAGGGAGCTGTCGCTGGCGTTGAGAATGGTAAACACTCTATTAGCCTTACTTTTACATACTTGGAAATAGTTAAAAAAGAGACCAAGTCGTTTGACATACACTTCTAACTTTGCTTGAATACTTTTTTTTTTTTTAAAGCTAATGTGATGCTTTCGCAGATGAACTTACCTGCAGCCAAACTGGAAGAAACTAAAAAGCGGCTGGACGAGCGAGTTTCTCGACTGATCCGTGTCATCATTACGGATCTCGGGCAACCTCATATCGTCAAGGTAGCAGTGCAGCGAGACGTGGGATGGTTAGAGCGTTTAGGCTGCTTGGACCAAGCAAGAGACGTTTTCTTAAACAACAGGACTAAGGTTGTCCGACAAAGAATAAGGTAAGATGATGTGGAAACAAACTTGTTGAGGTGAAAGCACCATAGAATCTTGTTAGCTATGGCCGAAGGAAACCCCTGAAGGATTTATTATCGAGATAGTTTGTCTAACAAACATTGTTACTCAATTTATTTTTCTCAGTCAAGCGAAGGCAAAGAAAGACCCAGTTTTATATGTTGAAGAACTGGCGATGATTGTCTTCACGTCGATCAAGAATACGTCTCAATGGTTTGAGCTCGCATTCAAGGATCCAAAGATGACTTCAGCACTCGTAAAATGGGCCAAGCAGGAGATTGAATACTTTGGAGAGTTTTACAAGAATATTGTTTTTGGCGTCGAACAAAGCAACTTTCAAGTCATAGCAGATTGTGCAAAGATCGCTTCTGAACAATGCATCAAAGTAAGAGAGGACAGAATAACTCAAGTAATTTAACTACTGTGGTCATATACTCAAAAGCCTATTATATTATATTTTTTGTTTAGCTCAAAGAAATAGGACTAGATATGGCGTTTGTACTTGAAGCTGTCATAATGCCCTATTTGATTGAGACAATCGCAGAGCACGAGCGACGTTGTCTAGAACGAATGGATGCTATTATTGAGCATGACGATTTTGCAGCTCTTTCTGGAGAAGAGCTTGGTACGTTGATTGTATCTGTAACGATTATTTACTAAGATAAATGTGATTCTCACATTCTTTCTTTGATAATGAACAACTTTTTTATGTCTTTTCCGAACCTTGTAGGATCTACATCACCTCTTTCTGCCAGCATGCTTGCTTTTTATACGATCATGTTACAATTTGTAAACAACATCTGCTTGATTGGCAGCTTGACAGTAAGTGAAAGCCTCATCATAGTATACGTGAAAGTGTTGGGTTGGGATTTTGTTTATTTTATATTGTTCTGATATGTCTTTTTTTAATATATTTATATTAGCTCTACAGCAGGATCGTAGACAGTGTAGCAATATTATTCAAAGCATACGTGAATAGGACGATCCAGGTCTATGAAGAAAAGGGCATGACAGATGATCAGGTTTGTAAAAAGAAAAAAAATCAAGAAGCGATCTGTTCAACGTCTGTGTTTCCAAATGTCGTTAACTAACCTTTTAAGTACATTTTCTACTCTCCATCTGTGACAGCGCGCTGTTGTAAATTCAAACTTCCAGTTCATTTCTGAAAGTTTTATATCCAGAGTGATAGTGCAGCTGAGGGTGAGAGGATGGCTGTTTGTTGATGCAACTGTCCAATTGTTTCAGGAGGCTGATGGTTACTAACTACCCTTTTCCTCTTCATTCTACAGCATCGCTTTGATAGACAAATCCCTGAGCTTGAAGGAGTCCGCGAGGAGCTTGGAGGTATATATTTGTAAAAAAAAAAAAAAAAAAAAAAAAAAAAAAGCCGCGCATTTGTTACATATGGACCAATTTAAGGAGTTGACTAAAGCTTATTTTTTGTTTTTTTTTTTTGTTTTTCCAATAACTCATTAGGTGTTGAGTTATGAGTGTTCCCCTACGACAAAGAATAAATCGCGTTTAAGACTGACTAGACATGTTCTACTTTGACGTTAGAGAAAGACACATGTACATGGGTGTGTAATAATAAAAGAAGTAAAAATACAAGCTAAGAGGAGAATATTATGCAAAAATAGAGGGGCGATTCCAGTTTTGAGGTTCAAATGCCATGCAGAATTGCCCCTTCAACTGTAATCTTGCGCTTTGGTCCATTTTTGGAAAACATTGTTGTGTCAAGTTCACAGGAGAATCCCTTTTGATTGGACCACCGTTCGGCTTTTTTTTAAACTTCAAAGCCTCTCTCCAACAGGGACAGCCAGAGCAATTGATCACGTTGAAATGGTCTCCCTTGTCCTTTTTATTTTTTTTATATTAACCCTCCTATTTCTCTCTCTCTCTCTCTTCTCTCTCTCTCTCTTCTCCCTTTCTTCCTCTATTCCAGGCCCTTTTAATTCTATTCCTTCTCCCAGTTTTTTTTAACAATATTTATTCCACTCACAAATCTTTTTTTTTTTTTTTTTTTTTTTCACGTCATTTTAATACCTACGATATTCCACCAAAGATCTTAAAAAATATGCCTCGAAAAGGGGAAGATGCACCACTCTTGGATAAAGTGGAAAAAGACGGTTCTTTTGATGAGAATGAGCGTGAACTGCTCAAGCAAGCACTGCACAACCAAGTCCGAAGGGTATACAGTGACTTTGCACCAATTTTTTTTTTTTTTTATTTATTTATTTTACTTGAAATGACAGAATTGTCTGATTTTTTATTTATTCTGTTCGATGTTTCTTTGGCTTGCAGGACCGCCGATACACATTTCTTTGCCTTGGGATAGTTGCTATGTTGATTTCGACAGCAGCGCTCATCATGACTTATTTCCTCACGATGCCCACTCCAAGATGTAAGTGTTGAGAGATGTGTCTGCGTGTTTTTTTTTTTTACATTTCTTATATATATATATATATTATGCATGCCTATGATTTGGACGAAATATATGTGAGCATTTAAAAATAAAATCCTAACATTTATATATACAAATATACTCTAGCATCAAGTCCGCTAAATCGCGGGCGCAACGTGATTATGATGGTGTCGGATGGGTTCGGTCCTGCTTCTCAGACCTATGGGCGATCATTCTGGCAATATCAGAACAATTACACGTCAGATCACATAACCTCTCTTGATGAGATCCTCGTTGGATCATCTCGCACTCGCAGTAGCAACAGCCTAGTAACAGACTCTGCAGCTGGCGCTACAGCCTTTTCTTGTGCTTTGAAATCCTATAATGCTGCTATTGGAGGTATAAAAAATTCATTCGAGTTTATTGATGCGAAAAAAAAAAAAAAAAAAAAAAAAATCGATTAGGTTTTAACGTTACACAAATGTATTTTTGTAATTAGTGGATCCAAATGGTGTTCCTTGTGGCACAGTTCTTGAAGCTGCCAAGAAGGCCGATATGTTAACAGGATTAGTTGTAACCAGCAGGGTCACACATGCAACCCCAGCAGCATTCTCAGCTCATGTAGCCCATCGTGATATGGAGGAAATTATTGCAACGCAACAGATTGGCGATTATGAACTGGGACGACAAGTGGATCTCATGTTGGGTGGTGGTCGATGCTTTTTCTTACCCAACACTACGGAAGGAAGCTGCCGTACAGACAGCAGGGATCTCATCAGAGAGGCTCAAACCCACCATGGTTGGAAACATGTCTTGTTTAGTGGAACCGAATTTGAATCTCTGGTAAAGGCTCGTGACGGAGCAGTACCTCTTCCGCTCATGGGCTTATTTAATTCCGATCATATGAACTTTGAGATCGATAGGAGAAACACTCAATCAGATGAGCCTTCATTGAACAGGATGGCAAAAGTAGCCCTAGAATCCCTGAAAGCAAATTCTAGGGAAAAAGGGCGAGGATTCTTCTTAATGATTGAAGGGTCTAGGATTGACATGGGCGCGCACAATAACGATCCCGTGGCTCATATTCACGAAATCTTGGAATACCACAGAACCATCCAGGTGGTTAAGGACTTTGTAGCTCAGAACGAAGACACAATCATGATCTCGACCAGTGACCATGAGACTGGAGGCTTTACGCTAGGATTGCAAGTTGACCCAAAGATCTACCCAGAGTATCTGTGGCGGCCTGAGGTCATTGAGCGTGCGAAATTATCGACCGAGATCTTGACGATGAAGCTCATGGCATTCCACGCAAATGAACCAAAAGTTAAAAGCGCTCATAGCCAGGAACGTCGTCGCCGCGTTGAACATTATGTATCGACCGAGATTTTAGAGAGAGGATTAGGAATCAAGGATCCTTCCATGGATGAGATCGAGTCCTTGGCGGACCCTACAGTACGATCTGCTGATGTCATGCGATTCCTGAGTCGTGCCATCTCTCGTCGAGCTAGTCTTGGATGGACCACCATGGGTCATACAGGTGTAGATGTTAATCTTTATGCTAAGGGCTCACCCGATATTGGGAAGTACACCATGGACAAATTGAGAGGCAATCATGAGAACACGGACATTGGAAACTTCATGTCATGGTTCTTGGATTTGAACCTAAAAGATGTTACAGACCGTCTTGCCAAGTAAGTTCTTTATATATATAATTATTACTACTATTGTTATTAAATAAAAGTATTATGAAGGTTTGGCTTCGTTCATTCAGGTAAGAGTACATTTTAACACTAATTTCCATTTGGATTGACTGATTCATCCGTTAGGTCTAAGAATAAATGGTTCAAGTCCAAGGATGATCTCTCTGCTGCGGAACATCTCTCTGCTATACATGAGAAAACAGGGCGCTAAAACAGCAACAATAACAACAACAACAACAAAAAAGCATACCAGTACTCTCGGACATTTAAGCAAGGGGATATTTAATTCATTTAAATTAGCTACTATATCCATATAAATTTGATGATAGCATTGACATCTGTTTCAATTTCTTAAGGAATTTTTTGGTGAAGAATAAGACGTGGTTAGAGTAGGAGAGGTGTAATACCTTTGGCTGGTGCGAAAAACAGGTTTATCCACAAGAGTATCAAGAAGCCTGACAGTGCCTTCCATCCTTTTCCTCATCTGCAAGATCTCGATCAAAATACGTCGGATCTTCAAAAATGTTTTGTCCGTAAGACAATTGGAAGGAGCTTCCTTTGCTTCTCGGTTAAGATAGAAGTATCTTCCTCCAAGATATATCAAAGGCAAAAACCCAATACTCAATTCAGACATTAAAAATCATAAGCTTCTGTCTTCATTATTCCCTTGTATATATCATTTTCGTTTGTGGAAGCTCCAACGCAAACAAAGTTGAATACATCCTTCATAACTTTGGATATTTTCACAGGGTTATCCGATTCCTCTGTGGCATATCTAGAATCCTTCCTCCTCTCTGCTTCAACCGTACTACGAACTTTGGTCCTTCGTCAGAATAAAACATGGTATCAATTTTTTGGCCATTAACTTGCCTGTAATCGAGATTCCGTTACGAGTCCCTTCTTTGAGGAAAGGCAGCCGAAGGGATTTCTCCTACTTTTAGTTTGATTGATCCATCATCTTTCTCTACTAACATATTGAAAATATCGCTATAAAGGCTCGTGTCCAGCTGCTTTGACAGTGCCTCATGGAACTTTTTGTGGATATCGATTTCGGGATGTTACTTGCTTACGTCGGCAAAGAAAAAGAAATCCTTGTTGAATTCCTTATAAGCGGCGGCAGACCCAACGTCATCAATAAACAACGCTATCGATTCTTTCAAATATGGCTTTTTCACTTACTGAAGCCGAATCAAAGGCTTCAATTGCTTTCAACCGTCAACCTCCCAATTCAAAAGGTTTCTGATCCTCAAGCTCCTTCAATTTATCCTATATAACACTATCGAGACCGTCGGGGGAAAGGCGGCACAAAAGTTTCAACCTATGACAAAAGAATGGAGCAATGGCTCCTTCTTTAATGAAATGGGTGTATTACAGTGAACATCATCAAAGTATCTATCATTAGACAAGTGACTTTGTAAATTACCTACACATTGGAGGCATATCGCATGGAATGCCCATTTATGGAAGGGTGATCGATATAATGAAAAAGACATGTAGGTGTCCTTTTCTTGACTAGTTGATCCTTGCACTTCAGATATTGTTGCTGTCATACTGAGTTTCTATATCCGAGCATTTTTGTTTAGGGAGTGGTGCAAGGATAGCATTAAGAAACTCTTCCCATTGACTGTAAGTCGTGCTTCTCTCGACCAAGGCGCTGTTGGCGAATGTAGGTACTCCTGGTTCTGCTTCGAACCAACATTCCAATGATTTGACTGTTTTCATCTCTTCAAGGAGTCGATCTCGAAACATAGGCCGTAATGGGGTCCACACAGCTACGCGATGGATATAGTCTGCGCTGGCTCGGTTCCAGCTCTTACAAACCAGACTTACAGAACGGCAGAGTAGTCTATCCTTGCTATACCTATCTATGACTCTCGTACTGCCCCTTTATATGAAATATGATATGGCTAATGAGCTCCTTCGTGTCTATGCAGAGGAGAGATTTATGTCGTCGTTGACATTAAAAGGCGGAGATTTATTATATTCAGATTCAGATTCAACTATCACCCGAGCATTATACCGCTTGTTTAGGTCTGCTTTTATACTTTTGTAGGCTTGGAAGGTGATGCTTTTCGTTTGCACAGTAATCATTACAAAAAAAAGCAGTTTTCGTTTATTTTTTTATAAAATTAACAGATCATCCACCACAGGCACCAGCTCCAGTAATACATATACAAATGAGGCTGAGTCGTCTTGTGTCTTGAGTGCAAGCGTGAGCGGCTAGGGGTAGTGAATAGTTTATCTAATAATCAGCATTTTGCATGTGCTTTCATAATAAACACGGTAAAAGCAGGCATCGCTATTTAGAACAAAATCAAGCACATGGGGTTACCTGATCGTTAAGATACTTGAACAAATCTAGACTTAGTCCTGGCACCTTCAACGCAAACCTTGAGCAATCTAGGAATGAATTGAAGAGCTCAAATCCATAGACATGGTCTTGTACAAACCGATGCTTCTGCAAGTACTTTGCCTTGCCGAAATGGCTTCGCCTTGCGGCATTATCGCTTGAGAGCTTGTTCTTCTTTTTCAGATCGTCTTCTAAAATAATGACAGAGGTGTCCTCGAATAAGTTTTCGCCATTCGGAGATGGCCATGATGGAAGCAGTGGGTTGCCAGTCAAAGACGATGCATCTCGTTCGGTTGGTGTTGATTTGGAAGATACTGGGTCATGAAGGACATTGATGGTATTCATGGTCCCAAGAGCAGGACTGATACAATATGGCTTCGGTCCTTGGATATCTAGTTGACATGCAGGATCAATTACTTTGAAGAACTTGACCACAAGGTTCGCGAGAGGCGGTAGCTTAAATGGCTTACTGAACTGGCACTGTAAGTTAAGGGTTGGTCAAGCACCTGTTAATAAATGTATGCGTATGTATATAAAGAACGTCCGATGCTTAGCCAAATACAAATAGCCCCCATATCTTATAAACGTACTGCAAACACGACTTGCTCTCCTGTCCATTCCCGCTTAAATCGGCCGACGACCTGTAAGGACATTAATAAGTTGCCTCGACCTGCTGCTGCCGCTTTGTCAAACCATTCGCTATCGGGCATGACCTTTAATCCGTCCTGTCTTTGGCCTTCTTCATAACCATGTATTTGATTCTGACCTCTAACCCTGAGCATCACATGGCCAATGAATTCGTCTGTGTCTATGAGCATAGGATTGGCATCATCATTGGTATTTAGAGGGCGTAGAGAATGAAGATTTGGACCAGCGGAGACCCGAATTCGATGAGGGACATTGTTGTGCTCGACCACAAGTTTTTCAGCTTTCATCTTTTAAGCAGAAAATAAGAAAATGAAGTTTTGTCTAATACGAACAGATTATAGTTCTTCTCAAAACAAACTGGCAAGTGCAGGTGGATTGGAGTGAAGTGAAGTGGAGTGCAAAAGAAGAAAAAAACTTGACCACTTTTTTTATTTTATTTTACTTATTATTATTCCTCGGCTGACTATTTGATAGAAACTATTTGTTTTCTCTCTTCTCCTTCCCTCTCTTCCCCCCTCTTTTTAATTTAGTGATTATATTTTTGTTGTGCCTCTAGCTCCTTGATATGAAGTGTGAAGTATTTCGTAGAGGTTCAAAAGCAGACATAAATATATAGGAGTCGCAAGACTAAAAAAGAATAGGCTCCGTGTCAAGAGAGATCCTTCCTTTAATTTGCGTCGATCGTCTCCTTTTTCGTATTTTTATGAATGAGTAAGCCGTCGACAACACGAAAAGAGATAAATTTCTTATATGATTTGTGGATATAGTAACTACATCCTTTTGCAGAATCTTTTTTCTTTTTTGTGTGGCTATTGCTTTCCTCTTAACGCATCGTTCTTTTTCTGCTAGCAGCAGTACAACTATCTCTTAAAAACAATAACCGGCTTTATATTCTATCCTAGTCAATTTCCCTACTCCTAGGCCGATTGCGCTCTAACTTGCGCGCTATATCTTTGCAGCGTTCTGTTATAGCGTCCTATCTTTCCTTAAGTGGAGTCATTTTATACTCGTATTGACTCGACCTTCCTACACGTGTCCATCATTTCGTTATTACTATGTTTAGACAACCCAGTAATTGCTTCCTATTGATCTTCCTTTTTACTTTCTTTTTCTTTTTCAACATTCACTGGCCCGTCTATCATACTAATCTTACCTCGGAAATGCAGACCTGGGTTTATGGCTCTTACCTCAAGCCAAGAGATACGAGACAGACTTCTGCCCTCAGTTTTCCAATGACACCAATGCTTTCAAGCTTATTACAAACTAATTTATATCCAAGATATCATGTTGACGTCCTTGTTTTCAAGTCGTTCGTGGAGCCTTAAAGACCAAATGTATCCGTCAGAGAGCTATTGCCCAGAATTTCGAGCACAGTGACGGGGATAGGACGCTGTCCAACATTATCTGTCCGAAATCTTTAGCTGCAATGGGAGCTCCGAGGAAGATGGCAGGGAGACTGATGGGTAGCTGAAAGCGATGCATCGAAAAGCGCTCAGCACAGCTGCTTGGCATCGCCTGCCCTATACATTTACGATCATGGGCCTATTAGTAATATAGACAAAGCATCCTGAACTATATAGAGAGCCCAACCATTACAAGCCGCGATGAAAACTAATAAAACAGGCACACCCTGGATCAATAACCCTGCGAACTATATCGATAGAGGCTGATAGTGGAAGTTTTCCGATGAGTTTAGATCCTACGTTACAATGTCAATTTTCATTTTCTTAGATTCAACGTCTATTTTGATCTTGCTAAAAAAAAAAAAAAAAAAAAAAAAAAAACCCTGTGTAATAGGCATAGAATTTTTTCATCCACAACGCTCTTTTGTTCCCTTGAATATGTATGATGTTGCCCAAGTTCAAAAGGACTGACCACCACTTTTTAGAGGTTGGAGCTGATCCTACGTTCCTTAGTTGCGACTTGTCAGCTCATTTATCCATTGTATTAATGTAAATACCAATTTCACTAGATACATCAATACTAAAGTTAGTTGCTGTTCGTTTTGTAATGTATTCATAACTAACTGGCGCTGATGTTGGGAGGGGAGGGGATCGATATGTTACAGTAGTTCAATGTATAATAATAGACCGAGCGATTTAGGGACACTGGGTTGTAGGATGAGCATTGGTACCAATGAGCGAAATACTGTCTTTGTTTATTTCTAATACTTTTGCAACCGAGGAGAGAGCGAGAGATTCAAGCAGCAAATCGTTGCTTAATGATAAACTCGATCTCAGGCCGCATGGCCGATGCACCCTCAAGAACACTTTCATAGTTTCCCACTAGATCTGAATCTCTATATAATATATGGAACGCCTCTAAGCATGGCCACAATGTCCCTAGCTCATCCAATGTATACTTGTACTTTTTATCCCAATACCACCAGCGATTGTTTCGACTGTTCTTATTGATGCCTGTTACTGCTCTTGATGTCCTATTATTTTGTCGTCGTTGATCCGGTTGTTGCTGTTGTTGTTGCTGTTGTGGCTACCGCGCTAGGAAATCAAAGTTGGATGGTTGAATCATCCCCGGTATTGTCTCAGCTTCGAGTTTTAAGGTCTCCAGAAGGTGCAAATCCCGCAGCAGCAGCAATTCGTTTCTGAAACGTTGTTCAACTTGCTTTCGAACTACCTCGTATCCACTCTGGTTTTGTCGCTGTTTTGTTATCGTATCCGACCGATCTCGTTTCAATTTAACAGCCTCCAATCTCTCTTCAGTGAGTCGATCATAAACATGGGGGAAATCCATGAGCTGGCCAATATAGAGAGCTCCAAAGTGGAGATGAAGGACTCTCAAATTCTGGAAGGGACCGTTATAATCAATGTACTCTCCCAGCATGTAGGCGCCTTCACGAGAGAGTAATAACCCTAGCTCACAGGTTCAAAGGTTACGACATGCCCAGATCTTACTGGAAGACTCTTCGGCACCGGCTTCAGTGGCTAATAACGTTACTGCTGTCGCTGTTGTTGATACGTTATTACTGTTGTTACCACTGTTATTATCGCTATGCTGGAAACGGGGAAGAGCCTGCTGTCGTCGTTCTCGTTTGTGTGCACGCTCATGATTCTTTCACTCATGGTTGTTAGTGATGAATGTCTCTGGGAAAGTGCGAGTAAAATATTCGGCACAGTCAAGCTGTGTAAGATAAAAAAATGATTCACGTTGAGTTCAGCGTCAGGTGCAGTTAGATGTAACAGTTTTGGAGTCTTACATAGGATCATCTCTATAAGGCTTGATGTAGGGGTGCTTGAACACGCCTGAACGATCTCCAGGACAGTGATGTTGTCGAAACATTGTTGCTGCTGGGAGTGCCACAAACGAGCTTAAGTCTTCGAATTCATGGCGGCAACAAGGCAAGGACAGGAAACGAGTACCTGTGAAATAACAGTGAATTCGCTCGACGTGCTGTCGGTCTGTCGCCGCATAGGTTGCGTTGGTCACATTATACCATTCAAGGCCAGAGCACATCCTTTTAGTGTGTTTGAGAAGCCGTTCATGGTCCATTCTGAATGTTACGTACCCTTGCCCTGGAATTCGGACGCTATCATTGATATCCCTGACTTTGAAGACTCGAAGCTTCGGGCACGTGCTTACAATACGCTCCAATACATGTTGGTTGATTGCACACTTCTCTACATTGAATACACGAAAACCATATCTTTCATGGTAAACCTTGGGCTCTTCTGGCGACCAATGAGCATTCATTGTATTTGAATTATCTTTCATCAAGTCATCCTCTGCATCTCCATGATGAATCAACCCAGAGCGACGATCCATAACAATCTTGATCTCGAATTCTATTAGATTGGGTGCATGGTTCAAAATATCAAAGAAGCCTATCCTGAGGCCACCACCATGGACCTGGAGCAAGAGCGTCTTAAGGTACTGGAGTTGGCTCTGCAAACGTGTCATCAGGATGCAACACTGTATATCGTAGCCGCAAAATGACAGATGTCAGATATTGTGAATGAGACATTTAGGAGTTGGCGGTTGTTGCTTCCCTTGACGGCTTGGCATCGACACGGAAATAGACAGTGGTGCAAGGATTGCATCGCAGAATATCCTCCAATTAGCAGCAGTTTGGGTTCTCGATGTGGGCCTAGAATTGGCGGGTACGCTTGGGTCCACACAAGACCAGCAATCCAATGTGTCGAGGCCCATCTTCATTTGTTGCAACAGATCAGTATCGTGGTCTCCTGAGAGGAGAGACCTTGTTCCAGTCCTTGCATACTAGGCTCGTACAATGGTGAAGAGTCGGCTGGCTAAGGTATGAACAAACTAATCCAAGGATCTCGAGCGGCAAGTGTTGGGCCTGAGGCTTGTTCTCGGCATCAAGTTGCTTACTGACCATAATAGGAAGCGGTGTGTTTTTAAGGAGAATCTTTTGGTGACTAGCTGTTCTGTTTTTGCTTGCTTCACATGTGTAGAGGGAGAAGCTACATGGAAATCATCATAGTGACCAGGGCTACCTTGAAGCCCATCTCCCTCGAGATCAGCAGTTTGGAGAGCTAGGAGCAAGTCTTCATCGTCCGAAAAAGCAGCTGGGGTAGGCAGCGACATGGCCAAGGTGAATTCGGCTCAAAGTACGGCAACAAATGTGAAATAGTATACACTTAAGGAGAGTGATGGCTAAATTGGGAGAAAAATGAGAGGCAAATAAAATATTTGGTCTATCTTCTTATGAAGTAAGTGTAGCACTTGACCTGGAAGAAGCCCGCCACAATGAAGCTAGTTTTCCTCAGGGACACAGATATTGATAAAATAGGGCCTTGGGTACCACATTCTTGAGTTTTAACGGATTATCCAAAACCTAGGTCATCTCCATTCTAGGACCGCCACTGCTCCAGCGCCTGGACGTACTATAACCAGCCCAAACAACGATACACTTTTTTCTTCTATATTTTATTGGCTGCGCTCCAGATATCTGCTTTTTAGAGAACGTAGTAGACAAGGGTGCAAAATCAACTTGCTTTTCTTATTCACTAACGTTATGAAGATAGGCATCTAGAAGATTTCATCTTCTACGGAATTAATACACACTCAGCACCAGCCGGTAGCGATGCTCCTGTACTCTTCCAGGTGAGAGGTAGGCCATACAAAAAAAGAATATAATTGATCGAGAGGCATCGCTATTAGTCCATACTAGTGCCCAACACCTATCGTTCTGGGACATCATATCTGAAGGAACCCAGGGATAACAACTCTCTCGGGCAGATAGGTTCCAGTTGCTACATACACACTTGATTTCTTATTAAATCCTTTCTTATTTCCCTTAACCTCTATCGCTTGCCTAGACAAGAATTGTCCGAGTTATTAATGTTCAACTATCTTATTTCCCGTAGATTTTGAAGAAAGTCTTCTCTTTAATATATCAAAAAAAAAAAAAAAAAAACTAATTGTGTATTTTAAGTTACGTTATGGCTATTATCAGATTCGAATACCATAATGCCCCTTTTTCAACTCCAAGGAACTGCAGTTGGATAAATTAAGCTGTCATGCAAAAGGAATGCTTCAAGACTAAAACGACTGAATGCTACTACCATACGACTTGAGATATTTGTATGATCACGAATTCGACTTCAGGCCGAATCGCTTGTGCTCCCAAGACTACACTATGATAATTATTAAACAAAGGAGAGGAGATATATTGGAGGTGGAATGCTTGTAATTGAGGCCAGAATGTCTCGCTGTTACCAATCTGTTGTCGTCTCAAGAACTCAAAATCTGAGTAGTTAAGCATCCCTGGAATGGTCAGGGTCTTCATCTTCAATATTTCCAGCGAAAATAAACACCGTAGTGACAAGAGTAGGTTCTCGAACCGCCGACACTCCAAGGCCGTCTTTGCAGCAAAGTAGTGTCGGTCTCTGTAATCTTGGCCTTTACTATTGGCATCCGCTTCTTTAACTTTCTTTTCAAGCTCTTTGTATGTATGCGGAAACTCCATGAGCTGACCCATGTACAAGTTATCGAAGCTGAGCCGGAGATTTGTCAAGTTCAGGAAGAGGTCATTCCGATTGATGTAGTCCACGAACGGCTTAAGCCCATGGTTAGTGGCTATCCCAAGCTCACAAGAACGAAGTTTACGGCACGCCCAAATTTTGTTTGAATCCCCTTGGTCACTTGATGACGGAAGAACCGGATACCTTTGCCCAGGAACTGGAGGATCAGGCGCAGAAGGGACATAGAGATAAGACGGTTGGAACTTGCTGTTGGGCGCAATTAAGTGTAAGAGACGAGGTGTGAAACACAAGATTTGGTTTATGAGGCACGAGGAATGATAACCATTAGACCGAATGAAATTGAGGACCGTGATATTGCAGAGTAAGGGCGCATAGGTCGGTATAGTATAGTTGTTGCTATAGCCGGCCGACAGTGACAGGAACTTGGTGTCTGGAAAGTGTGTATAAATTCGCTGAAGGTGCTCCCGGGCTTCGACATTAGCTGATCCTTTAATGGCGCCGTACCACTCCAGCTGTGGACACATTTCCTTGATGTGATTGATAAGGCGAACATGGTCATAATCGAAGGGCCTTGTTTGATCCGACTGATAAATCGGATTATCCTCTGCAGCCTTGAGGATTTTGAGCTCCGGACATGTGCTGACAATGCGCTCCAAAACACGCTGTCCAACCACGCATCTTTCAACATCAAACACACGAAGGGCATATCTCTTCGAGTATCTCTTTGGGGGGGGAACAATCTTGGGTTCGCGAGGAAAGTGAGCTGTCTCTGAGTTGAAAGGAGGTGGGGATGGAATATCTGGGAGAAGGTCTTCTTTGTCGCCAGCGCTGATCAAGCCGTAGCGGAGCGGACTATTGACGATGAACTCCAATAGCCTTGGTGCATTGTCCAAAATCTGAAACAGTCTGATATTGTATGGTCCAGTTTGGATTTGGAAAGAAATCGTCCTCAAGAACTGGAAGTGACTTTGTAGACGACCCACAATGGAATCATATCGGATGTAATGGCCATTTATGGAAAGGTGATCGATATAATGAAAAAGACATGTGGGTGTCTTTTTCTTGACTAGTTGATCCTTGCACTTCGATAAGATATTGTTGCTGTCATACTGAGTTTCTATATCCGAGCATTTTTGTTTAGGGAGTGGTGCAAGGATAGCATTAAGAAACTCTTCCCATTGACTGTAAGTCGTGCTTCTCTCGACCAAGGCGCTGTTGGCGAATGTAGGTACTCCTGGTTCTGCTTCGAACCAACATTCCAATGATTTGACTGTTTTCATCTCTTCAAGGAGTCGATCTCGAAACATAGGCCGTAATGGGGTCCACACAGCTACGCGATGGATATAGTCTGCGCTGGCTCGGTTCCAGCTCTTACAAACCAGACTTACAGAATGACGGAGTGTTGGCTGACTGAGGTGTGAGCAGATAAGCCTAAGAATCTCGTGAGAGAAGATCAGTGGCCGAGGATTATCGATAAGAGGTAAGGTAACCTTGCTAAGAGGTGGCCCTTTTATAGAAGGCTTAGAACGGTTCTTTTTGGAGGAGCGTCTTGGTCGCGCCTTGCGGGTAGGAGCAGGAGAAAGACTGAAATCGTCGTAGTTATCATATTTATCGTGATCATAGTCGTCACAACTACTGTTGCCGTAATAGCTGTTACTAGAGTCGAAAGGCTCTTGGAGGTCGATGTTCTCCAGTTCCGCAAGGTGGAATGCCGCGGCCAGATCCTCGTCAAAAGCAGCAGTAGCGGATGTAGATGCAGATGCAGACATTATTATTTGACGAAATGAAAGGCGGTGGGTACTATGTGAAGAGGAGCTGTGAAGGGGAATACAGTGATGTCTTGTAATAAGACAGGGTTGAGAGGATGAGAGAGGATTTCTACCCGTTTAAATAGTAAGGAAAAAGTAATTCTGGTGCTCAATTAAGATTCATACACTCAAGCCGCAGCAATAAACAGTAAATGGGCCGCAGCAACATCTCTAAGCAAAACGCTCAGGGCTTAGAATCGAGAAGCGGTTAAAAGCCAAATTTTTTGACACAAGCCAAGGCCTTTGAATAAGGTGGCGTCTTAGCTTTATCGGCATTGCTTCCCATCATGATGCCTTTGGGTCCTCACAGTTTGTTTACATCAAGTGGAGAGAAGCTCTCAAATATATCGATCGGAAAGATTTTATTCGAGCTATTTCCAAATATGTGGTATCGATGCGAGTCTTCTCGCTAATTGCGTTGCATAGGGAGAAACCCATTTTGTAATATAAAAGTGTTCGTAGCGCCAGCTACTAACTTAAGGGAACGTGTGAGAGTTAATGTAAACCAGGTTATAGCAGCTATCAGGCTTAAATACTATAGTGTCCCCTTTTTCAGTTCCAAGAGGCTTCAACTCAATAAATTAAGCAATGCTTCTGAAGATCAAAGCGATTGAACACTATCCTTTTGCTTATTTAATAATTGTAAATCATACGATGCGAGGCGTCTGCTTGATCATGAATTCGACTCAGGCCGGACCTGCTTGTGCTTCCAAGGCTACACTATGATAATTACTAAACAGAGACGAGGAGTAATATTGGGAGTGGAATGCTTGTAACTTCTATATAAGACTGAGTCTCAGGACTTTGATCACTGCTTCCCTGACTCTGTTTTTTGTTGCTTTCTTTATACTCATTCTGACCGCTGTTGACTCTACTATTACCAGTCTGCCGCCTTCTCAAGAGATCAAAGTATGAGCAGTTAGGCAACCCTGGAATGACCAAGACTTACATCTTGTAAACACACTTCTTACCCCTTTTAAGACCCTTATTCAAAAATAAGGTTTTAATGTTATATTTTTTCATTATTTTTTGTTCTCCTCTCTTCTCTTCCTTCCAGCAATCACACTTTTGCTTGAGGCTGTAACTCCTTGATATGAAGCGTGAAGGATTCCATGGAGGCTTAAAGCATAGTTGCCGGATGTGAGTAGAATGCAAAATTTAGAAAAAAAATTGGTAATGTTGGAGAGTTTGTTGTTGAGGTTGAGCATACTGGTTCAATGTCGCACAAAAGGATGCACATGCCAGACTTCAAGAAGTTTGCATAAAAAATGACGCATTGTGTCGATCCTCTCCTTTTTATTTTTCCATATCTGTAGTGGCCAATTGAACCACAATCCATTTATGCCCGATATTCATCGATATGAATAAATGAAGAGATGAAGACAGGAATTGGTGAATAGATGAACAGAGCAAGGAAAGGCATACATTTTTAAAGGTAAATCTTTTTTTTTATGTCAGAAATAAATATTCTTTTTTTTTGTGTGACCATCGCTCCCTTACGCGTCATTCTTTTTTTTTGAAATCTTGTTTGTTTTATTCTTTTTGATTCCATTCTTTCGTTCAGTCTCAAAAAAAAAAAAAAAAAAAAAGAAACCCCGAATGAACAATGTCGAACGGAGACAAAAACTCGAACACAGTCAGCAATAACAGGAATGTCAATGGACATGTGCAGGATGTATCCACTCCAATGCATGGACATGAGCCAACGAGCCCAAATGCAACCTCGATCACTCACATGTCAGTACCACTATTATTGTCACTACCACCAGACTTTGCTTCTCCAATCACCACTACCTCCACCACCGCCTCTATTACGACTTCGACTGCAACAACTGTTTCAAATATGACTTCGATATCAACCAGTACCGCTGCTACAACAACACCCATAGCCTCTAGTTGTGTCGTAAGTCAAAAAACGATCGAAGTTCTGGGTGACTGGCTACTCGAGTCCGTCTCTGTACAACCATTACTCGGTAGCCAAGAGCAACGGCGCAAACAAAGCTTCAAGTCGAATTCACTCATCAATAAAACGATGAAACAATCGCAGGAAGAGCGACGTAAGCAAGCGCTTGCTGAGCAAGCCAAGGTAAAACAAAAGAAATTAACAAACATAGCGGTACATGTGTTATATATGAGCATATCGATGGACGCATTAGTGTGTATGTGCTTATGTGGGCTTTTTTTTGTTTTTTATTTTTATTCAGAATATTGGCGGGAACCATTGTAGTCTTCATTTATTAGATTACGCAAGACAGTTAGACTCTGAACTTACGTGTACCAAAATACTGCGGAGAAAATTAATCTGTTGAAAATGTTTTTCTATAAAATTAGAAACGATACCAATTTACCAATCATGCACGGAAACTCGCACTCTTTGCCAGTGGACAACCGTCAGATGGCTCATCAAGTTCAGAGGATGATGACAGTCGGGATGATAATGATGATGAAGATGACGAAGACGAAGATCAGGAAGATGATGATGTAGATGATGATGAAAGACATGAGAAGAGGAAAAAAAACCGCTTAAGCAAACATCTCTCTGTCAACAAGGAAAATAATGAACAGGAAGAATCGCGGATACTTCCTCAACTTAAGGCAACAACAGCTCATAAGCGACGATTAAGCTTTGGATCGGAATCAGAAACTGCTGCAGGCCGTAAGACGGACAATGTTGATGTTCTTTCTCCAAAAAAGCCTAGATTGCAAAAGAAGAGTGGCTCAAAAGCCCACAGGAAGAAGAAGAGAGAGAGAAACCCATTCAAGTAACGATTCTGTGTTTGTCTTTTCTTACGTTTATATCTCTACAAACGTATATGCTAATCATCAATGGCGCAGATAATAACAAGACCTATTTTTGTCCCACTTTCATTTGGACAATTAGAGATCAGCTCATGATTCCAGAGACGATGTCGGATATTCCTGTTGATCTTGATACCAACTATTATATTGTTCCATTACCAGTTGGCCACCGATGCTTTGTCATTTCAGCTGACGGCAAGACTACAGCTAGATTACCATCAGGACAGCTTTTAGCATCACCATTCGAATCGTGTCTACCCGCGGGATCAAATCAGTACCGAGGCAACAGACGATCTGATTATTGTATCTTGGATTGTGTCTATTCTCCTATCACAAGGACATTCTGGACATTTGACATTATGTGCTGGAGAGGACATCCTGTGTATGATTGTGAGACAGAGTTCAGGTTCTGGTGGCTCAGAGGCAAATTGGCTGAAATTGAGGAGTTGCAGGGAAAATGGATCGCAAATCAAATCAAAGAGAGGGATACGGAGGCAATAAAGAGGAAGGAGAAACAAGCTCGAAGGACAAAGAAGCGTCAAGAAAATGCTGGACACCCAAAGCCTTCGAATGTTGCTCTTGAGGAAGTGGGTGAGGAAGGCGGCGAAGACGCTGGCTCAGAAGATATGGATATCGAAGCTGGATCGCGGATAAATGGATCAACAAATTTGTCAGGCTCAGGGAAGTTTTGGCCGATCGTTTTCACTCCATTGCCGTACTTTAATGCTTCAATTAATCTAATCAGATTACTGGCAGAGTCGATGTATCAACCCTCACCATCACCACCATCAATAGGGTCTCCATGTACTGCAGCATCAGCCTTACTTTCGGTACCCCATAACTTGTCATTGTCATCGAGAAACACATCTGCATCAGCAGCTCCATTTGATCTTACGTCTACTAGCCCTATCAGCACACAAAGTCATGGAAGTAATGGTAATCAAAACGAAAGCCATCAAAATGGGGCTATAGTTCCCGTTAGTCCCTTAGGCACTATGGCTCTTTCGGGTGAGATTGCGACAGCGGCTTCCTTGTTCCCAGCACATGATATCACGCAAAAGACACGTCAGGGAAATACGCTTGCCTATGAACGTGCTGCGGGGCTTGTCTTTTTTAATAAGAAGACTATGTATGTTCTGGGAACAACACCGCTTTGTGGATGGGTGGCAATGGAGCAGATTGGGGATGTGTTCTTTGATGAGGAAGGCGGTGTCGGTCCAGTCCCTGGAACCAGCGCGGTCGAGGGTAGGGAGATTGAAATGGAGGATGCCCTTCAACGAATCCGTATTTAAGTAAGCAAAAAAAAAAAAAAAAAAAAAAAAAAAAGCAGAAGCCTTAAACTATAAAAAAGCAAGATAGCTAGCTATCTATATACATATTCATATATCCCTTCTAATCGTATACTATCAAAAGAGTGCGGCAGAAATATAACCGCAGTAATTACGTCTTAAGAAATGAAGCTTCTTTATTTTGTAATGATTATGGTTATAGTATACACAGAAATCTTGCTTTAGCTCAGATATTCTTTTGCTTTTTCACAAGTCATCAACTGTCAAAACGCTAGAACTGCTCAACACGATAGTTGCAGGCCTTCCTTTCGTTATTGGTATCGTCGAAGCAGCCGTAGAGTTATTGGTCATGGTGGATGTAATCACTGGCAAAGGCCCAAATGCCATCCGTCTCTGCTGCAATTCTGCTGTCGAAAATTTAAAGGGTACAGGCTTTGTAACAGGTCGACGCAATTTTGGTTTAGGGATAAATGATCTTGGCCTGTCCTTTGTTGTCACCACCGCTTCCCTTGATGCAGTAGATGTCCCTATGGGCTTTGTTATCGCTGTAGCTGCAATAGCTGCAACCTTGGTGGAGGTAGCATCCTCTGTACGTAGAGGCGGTCCTTTGATCGTCCCTAGTTTCATTCCAGCACGAGTTTGGCCTACAGTTGGTACCGTTAAAGGGCCAAACTTTATAGCCGCAGTTGAAATGGTAGACTGCCCATCTCGGTGAATCCCTACTTCGATGCATTCGTATCCAGTTTGAGATTGGGATTGGTGTGGGGGTTGATGGTGGGAGGCAGCATTCGAGCTGGCGGTAGTTGTGGTCGACATTTTCCCAGTTCCTGTGTATGGATTAGTCAACTTTTTCAGTTTCGTTGCAGCCGCACTGTTCATGACCGATGCCTTAGTTATTTTATTTTCTGTTACCACGTTTCGGACTCTTCGTTTGCTGAATTTTGGTGATCTGGAAACTGTTAGGGGTTTTTTAGGGATACGAGGCACACCTAAATCCCCCGCACTTGTAAACACCTTAGGGTTCAGGGGCCTTGCTTTGAAGGAAGGTAAGCGGCGTGATCGGAGAACATCACGCTCATGAGAAGAAGGCACTTTATAGGGCGAGAGGCGATGTTTTGGGCTGGTAGGTGGCGAGAGTGATGCAATAAGGTTTGGCATCTGATACTTAGTCCGTCCAGAGTCCTACGAATGAGCCGAAGTCCACAAAATAAAAGTTAATAATGTTGGTGCTACTGCCAGTTTAAAAGAGAAGAAGAAGAAAATAATAATAAAAGTAATAATAAAAGCCATGCAGAGGACGTATTTACCATCCACAATGCTGACCGAAGATCAAATGGAGCGGTCTTTTTACTATCGGATAAAGTGGTCGCTCTAGTCTCTTCGAGTTCCATATCCATTGTCAATGGCTTTAGTAGGTCAGATTCATTTGGGTCTGCCCTGGGTTGCACGCAGGTGGATCCGGCGTTCAAGGTGATAGGATGGGGTTGTGCAATAATATCACTGAGAGTAGACGTGGATGACGTTGCATTAATGGATTTATCACTTGTTCTAGCCTTTGATGGTATCCTGGGTTCCGACGACCCTGAAAAATCAAGAACGCTATTATGAGAGTATGTCCCTGTCGGTGATGAAAAATGAGTTGCTTCTGCCGCCGTAGCCTCCACTAATCCTGGCATTGATACTGACGTTAGCGTTGCTGACACAGAGGACTGAACCGATGAAGAAGCGTTGATGCATCTGGACGTTGATGGCTTCAACATTGGTTTGAAAATAAATGTCCTTGTTGAAGTAATTGCAGCATCTTTTGGCTGACCTTTGCGTTTCATCAATCTCGCATTCTCTCCTATTGAGTGGGAGGTAACTGAGCTTGGAGTGTTGCTAATGTTAGAGGCTGTTGTCACGGCTTTATAGTTACTAAGCTTGTAAAAGATGGATTTTGGTGAGGATGATGCGTGTTGCATGATAGATTTTCGTGCAAAAGCCAGGATAGTTGGACTGACGGGAAACACCTCTTCAGCATCCCCCACTTTTATTTCCGTCCGCTCCACCTCTTCGCCCTCGGTCTCCAGATTCTGATCATGTTCTTGTTCTTGTTCTTGTTTCTGTCCAAGTTCCAGGCTTTGTTCCTGTTCCAGTTCCAGTCTCTGTTCCTGTTCTTGTCTCTGTCTCTGTTCCTGTTCCTGTTCCTGTTCCTGCCCCTGTTCCTGTCCCTGCTCATAAATTTCGTGTTGTCCTCCTTCCTCGAATTCATTTCGGATCTCTGCTTCCAATAATTGGCCAAGCCCCATACTTGTACTCATCCCTTGCATGATAAAGTCGTAGTACTCACGACCAGGTGGTACTTTTGGTGTTGTTCTAGTATTTGGCTCTTGTTCCCTATGAATAATAGCTCCTATATTGCTTTCTTTTTCGGCAGTCGAAAACAATGGTAAAAGTTGTGCCTGGTGCACTTCATTTGGAGCAGGTGCTGATTGTGTTGCATCTTGAGTGAAAGATTGTCCCGGAATTGACAGTAATGACTCCGTGGTAGACGCGGTATGGGTAGGAATATAATTGACGCTATTGATATTATTAGAAGGCAAAACCCTCGTCAAAACCAAGCGCCGAGGCTTGGTTGAAGCGGTTGTGCCACCGCGCGTCGGGAACAGGGTACTGCCGCGATTCATGGATGCAGATGAGAATGAACATTCGTTGTCCTTGTCATGGTTGTGTTTGAATAACTTGCGCGCTGGTCGCTCTAGAAATGGATTGTCATCATGAATGTTTCCCATCCTTAGTGGGACTGGCTGAAGAGGCCGGTTGAAGAGACAGTAAGTAGCTACAATGACTTAAGCAATGGAACCGGTGCTGTTAAATTATAGACGCTAACTGATTTCTGATGTAGTTGTTGAAAGTGAGCCACTATTCTCCTGATCCCTTAATTGGTACATGTTATGCCACGTGCAGAAAACTCTGCACAAGAACTCGTTGCCTGGTGTGGATGCATATTTCAAACGTCCATTCCTCAGTGCATTTAGCATGCTTCCTGGAGCCTAATAGAATTTGAGTGTTTCCTAAAAAATGAAGAGCTCATCGCCATGGAAGACGGAGCTGCTATGCTTCCAATAGCTCCTTTGGTTTGTTTGATAGAGATATGAAGGCAGATGTGGACAATCTCAATGGCTACTTTCTATCTCGTGAGCAGCGTATAACAGCGCTCGCACTCTAGAACTGTTTTTTCGTGCTACAACTTACAGCTTTCTGGCGATAGACTGTATGTAATTTATATCTATTGTCGAAATGAGATAGTAAAAATGAAGCGGTATTGTAATTTATTTATTTCTTCTTGGCTGTAGGTTCTTTAAATATACGCTTTAGCCAAAGGGGATCAACATGCTTCCAGGCTTGGATCATCGCCAAATCTTTCTCTGCATCATGGATCAATTGTTGGATCTTTTCAAGATCACGGTCTTTCTGGTAGATAGAGATCCCTTCCCGGATGTTATATTGAATTTTGTTCCGGAGGTGGGAAAGTGGATCTCTTTGTATCTCCACCATAGACGTCTTCTTTTTTTCCACTGATCGTTGTGTGGCAAGACGAGTGACACGCAAAGCTTTGCGATAGAAGTGAAGTGTAGGCAGGTGTGGTATGACCGAGATACGTGTCATATCTCACGCTCGCCGCCGTCTTTTTCTAGTTCGTTGTGTGTGTGCCCTGGTTTAATAAAAGTGCATTTGTGAAGTGAACATTTGTAAATTGGGTTAATGGATTTAGCGAAGCAAACTGCGCCACATATATGACGTACTCAAGCCCGTGATCTTGTGCGCGACAGCCATCGACCTATAAAAACGTGGAACATCCCATTCTTGCATGCACTCCTCTGACATCTGCGGACATTATGGGAACCTACGGCGGAGGTATTAATATATAATAACAGGATCGGCATCACCTCCCTATTTCTTTTACGATTCAGTTCCTTTTTTTTTTATTTTTTTTATCCCTCTTAAAATAAGGATCGAGTCCCAACCGCTAATCCATAAACAACCCATTTTTTCGATCGTCCAAACTTAATAAAAATAATAATATAGACGAAGTCGCAGCTCTTGTGCTGTCAGTTGGCCACACATGGACACAGGCTGGATATGCAGGAGAGGATACACCAAAGTCTATTTTCCCAACCTCGGTTGGCTGGGTCGATTTACCACCTGAGGCTGATAAGGGTGATGATGCTGACAACTCGGAAGATACAACTATGCAGGATGTTTCATCACAACATGTAGGAGACGGAGAAAATGGCGGCTCCAACAGTAATAATATCCATAATAAGGATGCTGATGGTGGAGATGTAGCCCCACAACCTGTAGGTGTAGGTGCTGCATCGACAAAAAAGAAAAAAACTCTACGTGGTAAATACTATGTTGGCGATGGAGAGATCAGTTGCTGGAGGCCTAATATGGAAATCAAGTCACCCATCAAGGACGGACTCGGTATGAGGGATACTCCTTTTTTCTTTTTTTTTTTTTCGTCGGATCTATGGTTAAAAAAAAAGGGGGGCAATCGTCTGATCTTCGACTTTTTTCTCTTGCTTTGTCATATTAAATTCACCTATCATCATCTAGTTGAGGACTGGGACGCATTAGAGCAGATCTGGGACCATGCATTCTTGAAAAGGCTTCGTTGTGACCCTACAGAGCATCCATTGATCATAACGGAGTCAGCATGGAACACGCGTGAGATCCGTGAAAAGTTTACAGAGTTAGCCTTTGAAAAGTACAACTTTCCAGCGTTTTTTGTTGCAAAGGATGCTGTCATGACTGCGTAAGTAAAACAGAGGACAGAATGAGAGAAGTAATAGATGGGACATCAACCGATGCATGGGTGACTAACTCAATGGGTATATCCATGTTACTATTGTGCATGCTTTATATACTTGTATATCTAGGTTCGCTGCTGGACGTCCACATGCGCTTGTTGTAGACTCTGGTGGAGATATGACGAGCGTTGTGCCAGTGTATGATGGATATGTCCTTCGTAAGGGAATTATGCGTCAGGCTTTGGGAGGCGATGTTCTTTCAGAGCAGGTCCTGATGCAGTTTGCTGCTAATAATGTGGACGTTGTTCCTCAGTATCTTGTTGCCAAAAAGACACCAGTGGAACCAGGGCAAAAACCCATTGCTACCTTGAGAGATCGCCCCGCAACTGCCAGTTTCCACAAAATGATGCAGTACCGTGTTGCTCACGACTTTAAGGAGTCCGTTTGCCAAGCGTCTGAGATGACTTATAATGAACAGTAATGTCGATGTTGTTTCTTAATAACGAAGTTCAGGAAAAAAAAAAAAAAAAAAAAAAAAAAAATATTATGACCAAGTGTATTATTGAATATTTACTGAATCATCCATTTACTTCTTAATATTTTAATTCTTCTTGATCTGTACAGAAACATCAATGGAAGGCCCCAAAAGCCATATGAACTTCCTGACGGATATAATCTCAACTTTGGAGCCGACAGATTCAAGATTCCAGAGATTATGTTCAACCCCAAGGATTTCTTGAAGAACCCAACACCTGAGCAGGAGAACTTTATTGGTCTACCCAAGCTCATCTATAACAGTGCACAGTCATGCGACATTGATTTCAGGCCTACGCTTTTTGGCAATGTGGTTCTCACTGGCGGCAATACCCTCTTCCCTGGATTTGCGGATCGTCTGCATTGGGAGCTCAATAGCATACCTCATTCGGTAAGTGTTTTTTTTTTTTTTTTTTTTTTTTTTAATTTTTGATAAACTCTCTTTGAGTGTTGTAAATCCTGTTAAGAACCGCTTTTAATATTTTATATCTCAATGCAATTGATTTGAAAAACAGTACAAAGTCAAGTTGCATGCACCCGGAAATACTGTGGAACGCAAATGCGGAAGCTGGCTTGGTGGTTCTATTATGGCTTCCTTGGGTACGTTCCACCAGCTTTGGATTTCTCGCAAGGAATATGACGAGACTGGAGCAAGTATTGTCAACAAGAAATGTGTGTAGAAAATGAGATGTTACTATTCAAGCTGAGTTTGCAATAATTAGGAGTAATAAACAAAATCGTTACAAGACGGTTCTTTTTTCTTTTTCTTCTCTTTTTTTATGGTGTACAAGTGCTCTTTTTAGTTTAATTTTATCTTTTCATTATGTAAAACAATGCGAATAATACAGATAGGAATTGGATCTACTCCAGATCATCATCAGTAAAGCCTTCCATTTGATCGTGGTCGTCTCCAGAGTAATCACCTTCATCATCATCCGAGAATTGAGGAGCCATGTCGCCCATATCAGAGTAATTATCTGAATCATCATGATACCGTTCCTCCTCATTGCCGTCATCGTCGTCGCTATAATCCTCGCTTCCACGTCTCCTCTTGGTTGTCGATGCAATATCGTCATCTTTATCGTCATCATCCCTGTCTTCAGATTTGCGCGGAGCTCCGCCGGTAGCAATACGATGTGCCTCCTTTGCTGCTTCCTTTTCCGCCTTCTTCTTGGCCACATTCTCTTCTTGGGCCTTGCGGCGGGCAGCTTTCTCCTGCATCTTCTTTTCGCGTGCAACCTTCTGAGCCTTGAGCTCTTCAGAAGATCTTTTGACTGCAAGGGGGGGGGTTTTAAAAAAAAAGATATAGTTTGTTAGTAAAGTTTTGAAGGAAACTTTTTTTTTTTTTTAAAAAAAAAAAAAAAAAAAAAAAAAAAAAAAAAAGCTTACTGTAATCATGGTAAAGAACTTCGCCATCGCATAACCCTGCTTGGATCTTGACAAGTCTCAGCTCCATCCTGGGACCCAATTCTACCAATTTGATCGCACGCTGATCCTGTTTCCTATTATTGCGCCCAACGTAATCTTGGCCCAATGTAACAGTAGATTCGGGACCGTCTTCTACATCGGATTCTGAAGCGAAAGCGCCACGAAGTACATAGTCTGAGATATCATCGAATCCTTGAAGATCGGGAACGTCAGTCGTGATGACTCGTTTAATTGATTTAGAGATGCCGACGGGTTTGACAGAGATATTGTAGTGTCGAAAGTCAATATGTTTAGTCTCACTGTTGTAGTTGAGGAGGACGACACGACGAGCGTCAGTCAATTGCATGGACTGGATATTGATGGGAGGGAACATATTTTGAAAGACTGTACTCATGAGCTTCATCTCCTTTGAATCTCCAAAGTTGTTGAGGACGAGTAGAGGGGCTACATGAAACTCTAAACCGGGCGATTTGGGGGACTTTTGCATTGCAGCAATATCTTTGGCTAAAGAATAAGTCTTGACTTGAAATGAGAGTGTAGGTCCACGGGGTAAACGTGCGATCCTGAGGTTGGTACCGTGATCTGTCCTGGATAAGATTACAAAATGTGTTACACCTAAGGGACCAGCCACAGCCACAAAATCACGAAGACGATTATTTTTACGCTCCTAATAGATCAATAAAAAAAAAAAATCAGATCAATCTTTTGAAAAGTATCTACAATCTATTGACAAACGCAATATATATATATTTTTTTGTTGCATACTCGAAGTTTGGTGGCCGTGTTAGGTTCCATGAGTCGTCTGATATCGCTCACAAGTCCCATGACCGAGTGACCAACTTCTCCTGATCGCATTACAAACGTCTTTGGGATTTTGGGCCCATTGGGGTTCTCTCCCTCTTCGGCCTTCTTGTGTGTCCTAGTTTTTTTACGCTAATGGTAAATAATGATACAAGGTAAGATAAGAGTCGCGGCCTAACGGACAAGAGAGTTTTAAAAACAAACAGACAATGAGTGCTTACACCCTTTCCCATGTTGAATGAGTATTATATTGTTTCAGTGAGGTGAATGAAATAAAATGGATAATATACAATGGAGCTGTCAAAGTCGAGTAAACTCATGAAAAAAAAAAAAAAAAAAAAAGCCTTGTTGATAGATGTGGCTTGTATTTGATTTACCATATTTGTGTTGTGCAATTAAAGATCATCTGATTATGAATGTGCAATTACAAAAAAGAGTTTCTAAAAAAAAAGGAGCTTCACTGAGCCGCTGTCAACTGGGCCTCTCAATGTGGATCGTGCTCAATCCTTTGGTTAAGAACGCGTCCAAAGAGATTGGGAATAAAATAAATAAAATATATGTATAAAATCAAGAAAAAAAAAAAAAGCTCTTTAAAAAGCATATCCTGAAAGAGGCAATGATCATCAGTTGATTGGCTTGGATCTTTTTTGTCTTTAAGTTGAGGGTTTTTTATACCTTTTTTCCTTTTTCTTTTGTTCCGACGTCGTCATGGACAACCTTCAGAGGGTTTTGCCGGTTACATTGATAGTACTTTATCGCAACAAGGTTAGTGCTAGGTGCCCCCTACTGAAAGCATGTAACGGAATAGCTTTTTTTATTTCTCCTCTTACTTGAAGTCAATATAGTTTTCAAAAGGTTTGTTTTTTCTGTTCCTGAATGATTACCTCGTATGGTAGCCTGTTCCTGTTGAGTTCTAAGTGAATACTGTAACAGATTAGGAGTAATATTTATATTGTAGCTATTGAACATGGATATATAGGAGCTTAAAGATGAAAGGCACTTTTTTTCTTTTTTTTAATCTGCGTGCGAAGAATCCAATTTCCAAATAATATCATGAAGAAAATAAAAGAAGCTTTTACTTTTTTAGAATTATTCTTTCCTCCTTTGTCTGCTGTTTATATTTATTCATTCTCTCTGTCTATACCTTAAATACTTTGATTTCATATTAAAAAGAAGGTACATCGGCAAGTCGATCTGTCTATGACGCAGTTGTGCAGAGCAACGGCTTACAAAATTGCCCGACTTCGTCCCAAGGGAGAAGGAATACTATATCTGTACTCAATCTTGAATGCATGGTAACGTTATTTAACACCTTATACTTTTTTTTTTTTTTTTTTTTTTTTTTTGATGTGGCAGCAGCTGTGGTTGTTGTTGTCATTATTACTATTCATGCAGCGTGCTCACCATGTTAGCCATGTGGATTTATGTTTAGACATGCTTGGTATTTTGTCCGCATGGAGTAGATGTCCTAAAACAAGCATGTATAACGCGTTGATTGTTGTTCAATATCATCTCGATGCGGGCATTCAATTAAAAAATAAAATAAAATAAAATAAAATAGATCCTCCACATGCAATTGATGGGTCGACAGGAAGACAAAGGGAGGAAGAGGGGATTTTACGCCTTGGTGTCTTTCTCTCCTGCCCTTACTTGTGGATATATGCGAGTGCGAGTGATTTGTATTTTGGTTATTCATTCAATCTTTTCGTTGGTCCCTGACCACATTTAAACATTGCATCGAAAAATGTATGCTATAAAAAAATATGAGGTGGCCAAAGAGCACAAAAAAGGTTTCAATTGCCCTGGAGATTATTTTTTTTTGCTTCTTCTTCTTCCTACTGCTTTCTATCTCTCAATCTCTCTTTCTTCCTTTCTCTCTTATTTTATTTTACTTTATTTTATCTTCCCTCTCTTCTACTCTCTTTCTTTCTCCTCCTTTTCAACGTTTCATCACGAGCAGCAAAGGACTGTTCCGCTGTCTCTCATCTCGTCTCTGATTCTCTCTTTTTTTTTTTTTTTTTACGTAGTGCTCCATTGAAAAATTTACATTCAGATCTTCTTGCGAAACGAAACGAAACCCTTTTATCCTTTTGTATTTTATAAATTACTACTTTACTACTTTACTACTTTACTACTTCGCCACACTTGATCAGATTCCACTCCTGATGGACAAGTACCAGGTACAATGAACACTTCAAACAACAATGAACCCTATGATAACAGATACCAGGTTGCAGATTGCAGCAACTAGCTGTTACTAACATGCTTGTCTTTCTTTTTTTTTATTAATATGTTGCCACCAGAAAATTGAAAAACTCGGGGAAGGTAAACATAATTGAATTTGAGTTCTGGAGAAAGAAGAGTACAAGACACATTCCATTCCACCTCCAGGAATATTAAAAAAGAAAGATGGGATGAGTCGTACACAAAAACTATTAAGCACCATCCTTTTACTTTTTTTTTTTTTCTTCCTTCACACTCCAAAATCCCTTTACTTTAATTCACGCGTCGAGCTTCCTTTCTTTTCATTGTTCTCATTCGACCCATCACTCTTTTCTTTTTTCTTTTCCTTTGTACCGTTATAACGTTTTGGACAATCGGTCACACTTCAGTTGTGCAGTGAAGCACTGAAATGGCACAGCCTCCCTTCCAAAAAAGAAATTACCACTTAATACCTAATTCAGCACCGGCAGGAGTTAAAAAAAAAAAAAAAAAAAAAAAAAAAAAAGAGAAAAAGACAAAACGACTCAGTGTATCAGAACATCCCATGGAGCAGATACGGACGGCAGACGTATATTGTATTCTTTTTTTTTTTTTTTGTTCCTCCTTATTTCAATGTAATAGTTCTGCCCTGACATCAAAAGCAAACAATGGGTCTGGAATGAAAAATATATATATATCCATCCTATAGGAACATATGGCATTGTCTACAAAGCTCAGAATCGCGAAACTAACGATGTGGTTGCCCTCAAGCGCATTCGATTGGATAACGAAGAAGAAGGTGTAAGATACTTTTTTTTTCTATCCATTGATTACAGGGTTCAAAAGAAAAGGCGTGCCCGATAACCTGTTGTTTGAGATGCCGTATAGAGAGATGTGGAATAATATTAATGCATGTTATTTTATTTTATTTTATTTTCCCTCCTCATTCTATTCTATCTAGGTGCCATGTACAGCGATCCGGGAGATCTCGTTGCTGAAGGAACTTAAACATCACAACATTGTCAGGTAATGATTTGATTATTTATTATCTATCTTGCGTAAAATACCCGACTCCATCTATCAGGCAACAATCGACTGGTGCATTGTTATTTCCTTTGGCGCGCGCACACGCGCACGCGCATCACGCCTTTTCCCATCCATCTGCGGTCGCGTCCTTTGTGAATCAATACAACCTCTTACATGTACCTTTTTCTTCATCTTCTCTTATTACCTAAATGTAAATTGCAACGCTAACTAATCATCCTATTCTATTCTATCTCCTTTGCATGGAAATAGATTGTATGATGTGCTGCATACTGAGAAAAAGCTGACACTTGTGTTTGAATATCTGGATTCTGACTTGAAAAAGTTCTTGGATACCTACAGTGGAGATATCGATGTTCTAACAATAAAGGTTAGTCTTACATTTTGCTTTTACACCCATCATCTACCATGGTCCACAATATTCCTGGTTCTTTCCTTTTTCTTTTCTCTTTGTTTGTTTATTTGTTTGTGTAGGGTTTTTGTATGCGCATGAAAAACCAGAGCGAAGAAGAAAAAAAAAAAAAAAAAAAAAAAAAAAAAGAGCCACTAACCAATAAACCCATTGGCCCGGTCTATTTTGCTGTGTGAACGAATCGTTTTAGCAATTGATGTACCAACTGATGAAAGGTGTTGCATACTGCCACGAACATCGCGTCTTACATCGAGTACGTAACTTTGTTCGTTCAATTCAGTTTATATTGTCTTATTATACGGACCAAGCATTGCATGGCTCTACGAAGGCTCAAAAAAAAAAAAAAAAAAAAAAAAAAATCGAATGATACAAGATAACTAATTGGCAGGGTGTATATATCCCTCATGTCTTAACGCTTTTGGCTTCTTAGGACTTGAAACCACAAAATCTACTTATTAATAAGAAAGGCGATTTGAAACTGGGAGATTTTGGATTGGCACGAGCGTTTGGCATTCCCGTCAGGAGTTATTCACATGAGGTTAGGATCAACAAGATGATGAGAAAGGAAAGAAAAAACCATCATTTTAAATGAAGTTAAAGCTGGCATTAATGTGAGAGGTTTACTGTGTTTGTTGATAGGTGGTAACGCTGTGGTATAGAGCGCCCGATGTCTTGATGGGATCGAAGCAATATTCAACATCAATTGACATTTGGTCCGCAGGATGCATCTTTGCAGGTATGGAACCGCTCATTGGCTCTTTGGTTTTATATGTTATATTTGTATTGCATTGCTCTTTTTCTATTTAAAATAGCCCACGATAAATGCTGCAGTCGATCTACATTGCTCCTTCCCCCCTTTTTTTATTATTATTATTTTGCGTGAGAGCTTTGGACACGTTTTCTTCATATTGTTTATCTTGACATATTTTGGATTCTAATATCCGTTTAACTCTTTAAATTAATTACAGAAATGGCATCAGGGCGACCGCTATTCCCAGGAAGCTCCGTCAGAGATCAACTATTGAAAATTTTTAAGATCTTGGGAACACCAACAGAGGAAACATGGTCTGGAGTATCACGGTTACCGGACTGGCGACCTGATTTCCCTGTTTATAACCCGATTCCATTGGCAAACTTGGTTCCGAAACTAGATACCACAGGCATTGATTTACTTTCTGTAAGTGTGTATGCGTGTTTTTTTTGTTTTTTTTTTTTTTTTTTTTTTTTAGCGGAAATTGGACTTGTTTCATTTGAACTCTTTGCGCACGTTCCTGAATCTGCGTACGTTCGTGGACACAACAGCACCGATTTTCCATGCTGGTTTTTGTATTCATATCTTTTTTGCATCAATTTAATTTGCTTGGTCCAACAATGAAAAGGCTCTGTTCAGTCTCGTTCCTGCAGTTTTTTATTCGTTCGATTTCTTTAAAAAAAAAATGCTCAAGGAGGCTCTTTCATTGAATCTAGCCTAAATTCACGTTATGCATGTATGTTTTCTTGCATTCTCTCTTAGCGTTTAATTACTTATAATCCAGACAACAGGATATCAGCAGCAGCAGCGCTTCTTCGTAAGTTATGGCTTTTTTTTTTTTAACAAACATAAATGGTAATCTAATTGGCTACTTGTTCATAAAAACTAACGTGGTTGGCTGTATGCTTTTCTCACTTTCTTTCTCTCTGCTCTGCTATAGATCCTTACTTTGATGAGATCCGGAAACGGGAAGGCGCAGGCAGCGTCTAATAGATTGTCAATAGTTTTTTCTCAGTTTTTCACTCTTTCTCTCTCTTTCTGTAGCTGCCGCCATGTAATCCTAATGATCCTTTAGTCTCGAAAAGTAATCAATAAAATAATTTTTTTTTTAAAAAAAAAAAAAAAAAAAAAAAGAATGCATATCGATGCAACTACACATCCTTCCCTTTAATTTGCAAGCATAAGAGAGGACACCCTATTCCTCGGGTAATGCCAGGAATATATCCACGTTACGGTATTCGGCATGACCTTTCACTTTTAAGGCATGAGTTTTCATGAACAACGAAGTTCTTGGCAGGGCAACGTGCCATTTGTAGCAATCATCCTTTTGTTAGCACATAGCATACTTGTCAAGGTCAGCTAGAACAGCACGGTTCAATGGCCTTGCCTTGCCATTTGTGATGTTGCTAGCGGAGTTGAGCGCAGCAATTCAGTCTCAAACAAACATGCTGCTAACCTTGCTCTCTACAGCTAAGTCAACGCTGCTTGTTTAGCTTAGAGCCATTTCAGTACAGTTGATGTGTGATTTAAAAAAAAAAAAAAAGGTGATAAAGGGCTGCGGTTTAATGAATTGACTGATCTCTGATTTGACCTGGCAAGTTTGCCTGGATAACGCACTTTACAAAAAAAGGGCATTGATTACTCAACATTAAGATAAGGGACGCGACGCGTTCCTCGGCACGAGCCTTTTTATTGGTATTCTTTCCATTGGGAGGAACTTGTTAGAATTGCTAGAGTTCACTGCATTGTTTAAAACAATAAAACTCGACTGATATTCGGCCAACTCTCAAAATGTGTATCTACTGTTGACTGGCGTAACTTCAAACGGCTTAGCTCAGGGAATAAGCTCTGCATCTCCTAGTACAAGAGACGAGAATATCTATTCTGCCTCAGTAGCTGTCATAATTCTATTGAAGTGTCTTAAGGCGTTTTTTGCATCACATATTGTCCTGCTTTTTACATATTCCCAGCACTCTCTCGATCCAAGGGCTGTGACATAACCATCAAAGGATACATATTTGTCAAAGCACCGATACATCCCTTGAGGAAGTGCAGGAATATGTTGAAAGTATTGTTCAAGGAGCACAGGGGTAGGCAATAGCGTGTGGGTAACGTTTAGATGTTTTTACGGTTACATATTGAGCTCGGACAGTCGCCTATGTATTCCCTCAACAATTGCGTCCCTTCTTTTCTCCCTCTCTTTTCTCTTTTTCTCATCTTTTTCTATTTTATCAATTTAAGTAAAAAAAAAAAAAAAAAAAAAAAAAAAATGCTTTTCTTTTGGATGGCAGTGATCCTGCCGCCGACACTCGTATTTGCCTATGTGGCCCTGTCGGGTTTGTTCCTACTGCTACGTTCCAGTCTCCAGAGCTCTCAATCGCGTCTGGGATCGTTCCTAGTGGTATTGATTATCATCTCCTGTTATTTACTCGCATTCCATGAGATGTCGCGTCCTATCTGGCGAGATCTTGTCGGGCCATTCGTCACTCAAATCCTGAGACAACTCTCCTCACTTGCTATGATGGGCCCCTCCTCTTCAAAGTCCATGGTTGTATTCTCAACTGAAGGCAGCGTAGGAGAGGATATAGACACCAATGCTCCAACCCCTGCTCATCCTCTCGAGGTCTCGAACAATTGGTTAGGTGAAGGAACACAGGCACTTTTGCCGATTATTGAGCGCGAAGCACATGTTTCTCACTTAGTCGCTTTGTCCTTGGGGTTGTTCATGTCGTCGCATGTTACTGCCATGACCAATTCACTCAAGAAGCGAAAGATTCCAGAGTACATGTGAGTCTTGGAAGGAAAATTTTAATTCATGCAATTGTAACAAAAAAAAATTTTGTCATGAACTTACTGACATGTGTCATATTTTAGGTACTCGTTTGCAGACATGTCCTTTCGTATTGTGCTCAGCCTCGAATTCTATTTGGGAACCGTCCTCTGGTTCCGGTTCTGTCTCGCACCTGTACTTGCGTATTTAGGCTTGACAGAGACTCGAGCTGCCAATGTTGAATGGATGGGAACACTGGTCCTTGGGTTCTCTCATACGACCGCGTTTGCCTTTGGCAATTTCTTATACCAAGATTACTATCGACGTGGATTCGACAAGAAACCAGAGTATGCGTTCATCAAATATTATTCTATCTATGGGTCCATCTTTGTCATTGGAAGAATGACCAGTCAGGTCCTGTGCTCTATGAAGAGTAAGCCCCTTTACCTCTCTCTCTCACTTCTTCTTCTCTCTCTTCTGTTTTATATGTATTTATATTGGGAAATTGACTTTTTTTTTTCACCTCTTGGTTTGGCAAATTGTGTTTAGCTTGCAGTCGCGATGGTGAGGCTCTTCTTATGCTTGCCATCTATTTCCTGGCATTCCTCCATGTCACAATCGAAAATGAGACCTTTCATGTAAGACAGACCTCCGCTACGACACAACCGGTTTGCACGAGCTAGAACTGAATGTCATTGATTCTGTTATTTATTTCCCCCTCCTTTTTTTTTAATTGAAAATAGAATATTGTTTGGCCGTTGATAACTATTGGTAGCTTTGCAGTCTTTTTCCTGGATATGTACATCCTACCGTTGGCGTACCAGACAATTAATGCATTGATGACACCTGTCGAAGCAACTCCACCTTTGATTACTATTCTGCTGACAAGCGCCGTTGCCATAACTATGGTTCGTTACCTACAAACCCGTCCTGCGCAGCCCGAGGACGCTCCAGTCTTTGAACAGATCCATGATCAGAAACGACGTGCTGCTCAGTTCCCTCCTCCATTCCCCAATGGTTGGTACAAGCTTGCACGATCAGGAGATGTCAAACCGGGACAGGTGATCAGTGTCAATGGGCTCGGACGTGCGTTCGCAGTGTTTAGGGGTCAAGTAGATGAGGAAGTCCATGTCCTGGATGCGCTTTGTCCCCATCTGGGGGCGAATATTGCCATTGGAGGTGTGGTGGAGGGAGATGCCGTCAAGTGTCCCTTCCATGGTTGGAAATTCGATGGCAAAAGTGGGCAGTGTATTGATATCCCCTACGCAAAATCAGTCCCGAACTTGGCCAGGACCAAACGATGGACTCATAGAGAGTTTGCGGGGGTGATTGCCGTCTGGTATGATGCTGAGGAACGAGAACCGATGTATGAGCCTGTGCCGTTCCCTTTGAAGGAAGGAACATTCCGTAGGGTTGGCTACCGTCGTGGAACACTTCCGATGCATATTCAAGACTTTGCAGAGAATGCCTCTGACTGGTAAAAAAAAAAAAAAAAAAAAAGAGCTTGGACGAATAATGGTATATCCTTGCACATTGTCTTTCTCCAATCGTTTTGGTTAAACATGTTTCTCTCTCTCTTTATCACACTAGGATGCATTTCAGTTTGCTTCATGACCGCCTATCAATTCCAATCCTGGACCGCTTCTTTTATATCAAACACAGAACTGAATGTAACTACAATCCCGAGACCAACCCTTATAATTTTGTCTTCAATGATTACCCTACAATTCATTCTATCTTCAGTGATGCACCAATCCAAGCGGCAGAGGCTCAAGCTCAGGTCGAGTTCACAGGACCTGGAGGGCTTGTTTATTTCCGCTTCTTCACTCCTAGAGGGGAGGTGGCTGTTGTGAAATCATTCTTGCCTGTGGGAGAGAAGGGTTTACAGTTGACGATGGAGGATGAAGCCTATGCAGAGAAAACAGTGCCATGGTTTGTAGCCAAGCACGTGGTCCGTGAGGCCAATAAGGCCTTTGATGATGACATTTTTGTGTGGCGCCACAAGACCTATATGCACAAGCCCCTCTTTGTGAAAGAGGATACGTCTATGAAGCAGTTTCGGGATTACTACAAGAAATTTTACTCGCCTAACAGTCGAACTTACGCCCACGACCGACTAGATTGGTGAGGAAAAAAAAAAAGAAGAAGGGTGCCTAGTGTTTAGCAACAGCAAATACTATATATGATACCAGTCTTTTTTTATTTCTCGTAGCAAGAATTCATGCTTGCTTTTTGACTTAAATACACAAATTTTTTTTTTTTTTTTTTGCAACTACGATTCCATCGTGCTGAGAAGACAACCATGCATTCATTGATTGATTTGAAACTGACCTAAACACCGCATCGTCCTATGTAATGAGGTCCTTGTAAAAGCATTGGCCAGGTCGTAAATTATAGGGTTGGTTGATCCACCAATAATACAACGCGTGTTTGGTTTATTTTTTCAGGCACAAGATACCGCAAGGTCAATGCTATCAACTTTTTCGCATTGATCTTTTGTTTGCTACAAATGGCCTAACAATCCAGATCTGTTGTGGGAATCCATGATGATCTTCCTCTTATTGTTTTTTTTCTTTCTTTTTTTTTTTCCTTTCCTCCATTGCTACTATTATACATGTGGTACAAAGCCTCTTCTCTTATCATCCATCACAGCTCCATGTTGAGCGAGTCCAGGCAATTTGTTTACCCGTTCCATCTTTTTGATTATCTCCGTCGATATATTCTTTACTGCTCTACCCTTGTCACCATCCCTATTTCATCTCATCCTCTTCTTGCTCTTGTTTCCTCTTCTTCTTCTTCTTCTTCTTCTTCTTCATCATCATCATCAACCAAATCGTGCCCTAGTTTGAGTGCCTCCCTCATATTATAATGCTCTGCACGCAACTTGGTAAACTTGCCATGTTCTATAAAGCCAAATAAAAAAAAAAAAAAAAAAGAGAGAGAGAGAGGATTTAATGGGATAAATATTCTTCCTGATCCGACTTTGACATTGATACAACCATTTTGACTATTACCGGCTTTGCTTCCTTCTTCTTCCGAATCCTGCCATTCATCAGGATCTCGTCCATCCCTGTCCTCGTCCTCATCACCATCATCGTCATCATCGTCATCATCGTCATCATCTAGTCCAGGGAGATATGAAGGCACAGGGGGCGTGTGAGCCAATGCAGCTTGATGTTTCTTTTGTCCATCAAGCGAAAATGCCTCTAATAACAGCGTATAAAAGAAAGGGAGGAAAAAAAAAAAAAAAAAAAAAAAAAAAGCGTTAGTAAAAAAACACTTGTAATTTGAAAATGTGTCTTGAGACTGCTTCATATATATTCATATATGTCTCTTCACCATCAGTGTCTAGGTCCTTGTCAAGCTCTTGATTATAGTATACATAAGGCGTCTTGGGTTCATCAATCTTCATGGTTGAATCCTTTTGCGCCTCAGTGAGAGCAAGACTTTCTTCATCCCACTTTAACCTTAGCGATATAATAAAAGCAACGTATGAATATTTCAGAGAAACCCCAAGAGAGGAAGCCGATGCATTACTCATTTCGTTCATTCAATTCAATAGCCATTTTAACTCTTGAACTTTTCTTTCTTTACCTCGGAGCGTTTTCGTCAATCGGTTGCTGTTGAGCATTTGTGTTCTTTTTGAGGATGCCTTTAACTTGATGCTGGTCTTCTAAAGAGCCCAAGGTATTTGTCTGTTTCTGTGTCTGTATTGATTCCATGTCTTTTTCTTTTTTTGTCTGAGAAGAATGTGTAGAAATGAATTCGAACTTTGCTGATGAACAAAAAAAGAGAGTTTATTGTCCCTTTTCCGTTACATAAATGTTTACATGTCCATGTCCAACAACATTCGCACGTCTGAGCCCTTACACGTGCGAGAAAGAAAATCATGCTCTTCTTCAAAGGATTTTTATTTTATTTATTTTTTAGGAACTACAGTCTTGAGGATTAATGTTGGCTATTTTGAGTATCTCTGGTGTATCAAGTGTCTCAAGGTCCTAAGTGTCTTGGATGCCTTGGGGTATCTTTGGTGCCTTGAGTGCCTTGTGTCCTGGGTACTTTGGGTGTTTTGGGCGGGTATATTGGGTACCATGGGTATATAGGGCCTTCTGGACGCCTTGGGTATCTTGTGTCTAGGGTGTCTTGGGTACCTTGGCGCCTTGAGCATCTTGAGTATCTTGAGCACCCTGGGGACCTTGGGTATCTGGGTTTTTTTTTTATTATTAATATTGTTGTTGTTGCAAGGTATTGTTGTTGTAGTTACATATTATAATGTACATATTATAATATTACACATTATATTACTATTATATTATTATTATTATTATTATTATTATTATTTTTTTTCTTATTTTTTATGTTTTTTTATGCTTTTTTTAGTTTTTATATTTTTTTTTTGCTTTTTGTTTTTATATATTTTTTTTTTTGCTTTTTGTTCTTTTTATGCATTTTTTTTTTGCTTTTTTAGTTTTTTTTTATATTTTTTTTTTTGTTTTTGTTTTTTATGATGTTTTTGGTCTTTTTTTTTTTATGATTTTTTTTTGGTTTTTATGTGTTTTATGGATTTTTTTTTTGTTTTTCGCGTTTTTTGATTTTTTTGGGTTTTTTTTTTCGCGTTTTTCTGATTTTTTGGGCTTTTTTGGTTTTTATGTGCTCGGCATCGACCGTCGCCTTTTGTCAGGCTTGGGGAAGGCCGGGCCTAGGCTCGGCCAGAAGAGGGGCCAAGAACCTGGATGCCTGTCGAGGGACGTGGTAGCTCTTACTGGGATGGTAGTGACTGAAGGAGAAAGAGAAAAAAAAGAAAAGAAAAACAGTTAGTATCATAGACATTAAGATGGAGTGTGAGAGCTGTGGTCTTTATCTTTTTTTTTTTTTTTTCAAGTAAGAGTGGATGTTTTTTTTTTTTTTTTTTTTTTTCTTTTTCTTTTGGAAGTGGTGCTCCTTACCTTTCATTTTCGTCAAAGTGATTGAGGAATAAAGAAAAGAAGAAAAGAGAAAAAGTGGGCAGATGACACCTTTTTATATGTTCGTTTTCAAAAGCCAAGAGGCAAGTGACATCATCTAACGTTGTCCATCGTTCTATCGATTTAATATCGATTTAATTCTGAGATTGCACAGTGAAAGAAACGAAGCAAGGATGAAGCAAAAACGACCGAGTGAGAGATTCATGTGATGTGCGCGCGTTCATTGTCCTTACATTTCACATCTATTGGTCCGTCCTGCTGGTGGCAAAAAGTCTAAAATTGAGAGAGCGAATAGCAGCAGATGCATGGAATCTACGCCGCTCATTATCCGCCTCTGATGTCATTCAGTGATCCTCGGACCCCTCTCACACCCCTTGGCACCAAAGCAAGCAAAAACTCCTCTCGCCCCCCTTGGCACCAAAGCAAGCAAAGACCTCTCATACTCCAAGCACTGGAGATAAGAGCATATGACAATGACAAAGTGAAGAAATTTATTTGGACAATGAGCAACGAGCAACGAGCAACATGCAGTGTGATGCGATTAAAGTAAACAGGACAAAGGCCCATAACATAAGCACACTGATAGTCGCATTTACACACCCATGCTCACAGGCAGCAAGCCTTGATCTGGAATAGAGGCAGCTCATCTTGACAACCCCCAGCCAAGTTTGTCTTTGGTCCTCCCTTTCCCTCGAAGAGGCCGACTGCGCAAATCGAAAGTGTCAAAAAGGGTTGAAAAGGATTAAAAAGGATTAAAAAGAATTGAAAAGAATTGAAAAGGATTAAAAAGAATTGAAAAGGATTGAAAAGGATTAAATGAAATAAGAGTACATTATCAAAGTACTATTCAAGATAATTCAGTGGAATATGAAAAGATAAACAGTACTGTGCTTGCTATCGCCATTTGCATGCTGCTTTTATTCATTTGTCTCGCTCCACAAGCGATAAGTGTCATCAACAAGTCACATTGTTCTCTAAACGCCTACCTCCTTTCTCTTCGCATATGGAAGCATAAGCATGAATAAGTAGATATGAAATAAAATTAAATCATTAAACAAAATAAATATAAAATTAAATAAAATAATAATAATAATAATAATAATAATAATAATAATAATAATAATAATAATAATAATAATAATAATAATAATAATAATAATAATAATAATAATAATAATAATAATAATAATAATAATAATAATAATAATAATAATAATAATAATAAAAACAGAAAAAACAGAAAATAAAAAAAAAAAAATGAAATGAAATAAAAATAAAAGTAAAAAAATAAATAAAAAAGAAAAGAAAAGTAGGCTATTGAATTATTGAGTGTGCCTTTTGAAATAAAATCATAGTTAAATAAAGTGTAACCACCTTTTCTTCTTTTCTTTTTACTTTGCTTGACCAGCTTGTCGGCATCCACACACTGGAACTGGCTCAGTACGCTCTAGCGGCAATTGCTGTCTCCGTATGAACAGTATGCGTACGCATTTTAAATGAACAATGAAGAACAAGTAACAGAAATCTCTGTTGAAAAGCAGCTCTTTGGTTTCAATCATAACAAAGTTATAAGCTTTCTGATGAATGCAGCTTAACGGCTCAAGAAGAACCAACTTTATCTGAGCACGAGCCACGCATAGTCGCGCTCATCGCGTGTGGAACGTGGCAATCATAATATGCACAAACAGCAACAACAACAACAACAACAACAACCCCCCAAAAAAAAAAAAAAAAAAAAAAGGTAACCAGATCAGTAATCAAGATGAATGCAGGGTCTTCGCATTTTGATTAGCCTTTATGTTATCGGGGGTATTACGGATATCGAGGACATTGAGGATATCGAGGCTATTGAGAGATGTAATGTAACATATTTACCTCTATCCCTCATCTATCTAATCTTTTTTTTTATTTTTTTTATTTGGGAGCAGCTACTTAGGCCGGCATCCTTCTCCTCTCTTACCTTCTGCTCTCCTAACTTCACTTACTAGTGCCTCCGGCAGTGCAACTCCTTTCTTCATAAAAGCTATATTACAAGTTTAAGTTAGTCATAGATGTGCTGGTCTAGAGCGCCTCTGGTAATGTTAGAGCCCCTTCCCTCCTAATCAAGCTGCCCTGCGAGCTTACTTTGGCCAAAGTTGTGCCGGTTTTGGGTACCTCTGGCAATGCAAGAGCTCCTTCACCCCCAGTCGAGCTGTCCCCAAGTCAATAGCGATCAAACTCGTGTTGGTCTTGAGTGGATTTACAAGCACTAGAAAGCCACTAGCTCCAACTCTTCGAGCCCTCATCTCAACGTATAGCTTATGAAGATGTGATGATCTTTTAGTTTGTAAATCGGGAACATTCACGAGAGGCGGGGATAGAACAATATGAATCGTTCTCATATTGCTAAGTTCTATGATGCGAACAGGTTCTTCGTATCGTGTGGATGCTGGAAATAATTACCCGATAATACTTCAAAAACAACCGAGTCCAAGTCGAAAGGTTGATACACTTGGCACTTTTAGGGCATTCGCAAATGCTTCAATTCAGTCTTGGACCAATTCCAGTTGCATATGATGTCCAACTCTTAAGTACGTCTTGTATTGGCTAAGGAGCTGAATGATTTTTCAGTTCTGGCCTTGGATCGCAATCTGATAATTGCTTTACCAAGCTTCCGACCATATTTGGCATCATTCACCTTCACTGTATCTGCAAAGGTCTCCTGTTATTTTTCGTTGTGCGCTGAATGATAGTGCTCGAAACAAACCCATTTAGCGTGGTCTGTCTCGGTCGTGGGCCCTGTACAGATAGCCGAGTTGTCCGTCTTCACCGTTGAGCTCGGCCGTTGGGGGGTTAGCTCCTTCAAGTTCCTCATAACTATCAACTGTGCAGATGCCGTTCAAGGCTGAGTACTCAACAGAGAGCACTTTCATAAAGTCAATTGAATAACTGATACCGGCATCGCTCAAATTTGAGGCAGATGTCAGGAAAACGAGCGAGGGCTTCCCCATTCTCAAGTTGTGTTACTATAAAGGAATAAATATATAGTCCCTATACTTGCGAAAGGACTCCGTGCTGTTTCGGACTTCATATCCATCATGGTTGGCAATATGAGTTTAGTTCTAGCTTCTCTTGCTTGCCTTTGCGATATGATCTCCGCATTCACATAGGAAACGAAGACGGAACTTGTTCCTTTAGATATTTATTGAGTCCCATTTGTAGGTAATGTTATAAATAGCCAAGGGGCTGGATGTATTGAAGTGAGAGTGAGGTAAAGTATGTATGGATACAATACACCTTGTTCCTTTCTCTCCCCAGTATGGCCTCTACAGGATATTTCAGCACGCCTGGATGCTTCTCCTAAGCTACGTTCCATTTTTTTTACGCGTACAATTGGATAGTCGCTCAAGAAAGGCCAATGTTTCGTATCTACTCCTTGGTTTTAAGCTGTTACTGTGTGCCATGTGTATGTGTGTGTCGTCCAGACGTCTATTGTGTAGTAAAGCATGGCCTATTAGATCACGCGCAGAGCTTCGAGCAGTTATTTCTGACGTTTCCGGAATATTAAATAACGTATACGGCACTAGTAAGTGAAGTTAGGAGAGCAGAAGGTAAGAGAGGAGAAGGATGCCGGCCTAAGTAGCTGCTCCCAAATAAAAAAAATAAAAAAAAAGATTAGATAGATGAGGGATAGAGGTAAATATGTTACATTACATCTCTCAATAGCCTCGATATCCTCAATGTCCTCGATATCCGTAATACCCCCGATAACATAAAGGCTAATCAAAATGCGAAGACCCTGCATTCATCTTGATTACTGATCTGGTTACCTTTTTTTTTTTTTTTTTTTTTTGGGGGGTTGTTGTTGTTGTTGTTGTTGTTGCTGTTTGTGCATATTATGATTGCCACGTTCCACACGCGATGAGCGCGACTATGCGTGGCTCGTGCTCAGATAAAGTTGGTTCTTCTTGAGCCGTTAAGCTGCATTCATCAGAAAGCTTATAACTTTGTTATGATTGAAACCAAAGAGCTGCTTTTCAACAGAGATTTCTGTTACTTGTTCTTCATTGTTCATTTAAAATGCGTACGCATACTGTTCATACGGAGACAGCAATTGCCGCTAGAGCGTACTGAGCCAGTTCCAGTGTGTGGATGCCGACAAGCTGGTCAAGCAAAGTAAAAAGAAAAGAAGAAAAGGTGGTTACACTTTATTTAACTATGATTTTATTTCAAAAGGCACACTCAATAATTCAATAGCCTACTTTTCTTTTCTTTTTTATTTATTTTTTTACTTTTATTTTTATTTCATTTCATTTTTTTTTTTTTATTTTCTGTTTTTTCTGTTTTTATTATTATTATTATTATTATTATTATTATTATTATTATTATTATTATTATTATTATTATTATTATTATTATTATTATTATTATTATTATTATTATTATTATTATTATTATTATTATTATTATTATTATTATTATTATTATTATTATTATTATTTTATTTAATTTTATATTTATTTTGTTTAATGATTTAATTTTATTTCATATCTACTTATTCATGCTTATGCTTCCATATGCGAAGAGAAAGGAGGTAGGCGTTTAGAGAACAATGTGACTTGTTGATGACACTTATCGCTTGTGGAGCGAGACAAATGAATAAAAGCAGCATGCAAATGGCGATAGCAAGCACAGTACTGTTTATCTTTTCATATTCCACTGAATTATCTTGAATAGTACTTTGATAATGTACTCTTATTTCATTTAATCCTTTTCAATCCTTTTCAATTCTTTTTAATCCTTTTCAATTCTTTTCAATTCTTTTTAATCCTTTTTAATCCTTTTCAACCCTTTTTGACACTTTCGATTTGCGCAGTCGGCCTCTTCGAGGGAAAGGGAGGACCAAAGACAAACTTGGCTGGGGGTTGTCAAGATGAGCTGCCTCTATTCCAGATCAAGGCTTGCTGCCTGTGAGCATGGGTGTGTAAATGCGACTATCAGTGTGCTTATGTTATGGGCCTTTGTCCTGTTTACTTTAATCGCATCACACTGCATGTTGCTCGTTGCTCGTTGCTCATTGTCCAAATAAATTTCTTCACTTTGTCATTGTCATATGCTCTTATCTCCAGTGCTTGGAGTATGAGAGGTCTTTGCTTGCTTTGGTGCCAAGGGGGGCGAGAGGAGTTTTTGCTTGCTTTGGTGCCAAGGGGTGTGAGAGGGGTCCGAGGATCACTGAATGACATCAGAGGCGGATAATGAGCGGCGTAGATTCCATGCATCTGCTGCTATTCGCTCTCTCAATTTTAGACTTTTTGCCACCAGCAGGACGGACCAATAGATGTGAAATGTAAGGACAATGAACGCGCGCACATCACATGAATCTCTCACTCGGTCGTTTTTGCTTCATCCTTGCTTCGTTTCTTTCACTGTGCAATCTCAGAATTAAATCGATATTAAATCGATAGAACGATGGACAACGTTAGATGATGTCACTTGCCTCTTGGCTTTTGAAAACGAACATATAAAAAGGTGTCATCTGCCCACTTTTTCTCTTTTCTTCTTTTCTTTATTCCTCAATCACTTTGACGAAAATGAAAGGTAAGGAGCACCACTTCCAAAAGAAAAAGAAAAAAAAAAAAAAAAAAAAAACATCCACTCTTACTTGAAAAAAAAAAAAAAAAGATAAAGACCACAGCTCTCACACTCCATCTTAATGTCTATGATACTAACTGTTTTTCTTTTCTTTTTTTTCTCTTTCTCCTTCAGTCACTACCATCCCAGTAAGAGCTACCACGTCCCTCGACAGGCATCCAGGTTCTTGGCCCCTCTTCTGGCCGAGCCTAGGCCCGGCCTTCCCCAAGCCTGACAAAAGGCGACGGTCGATGCCGAGCACATAAAAACCAAAAAAGCCCAAAAAATCAGAAAAACGCGAAAAAAAAACCCAAAAAAATCAAAAAACGCGAAAAACAAAAAAAAAATCCATAAAACACATAAAAACCAAAAAAAAATCATAAAAAAAAAAAGACCAAAAACATCATAAAAAACAAAAACAAAAAAAAAAATATAAAAAAAAACTAAAAAAGCAAAAAAAAAATGCATAAAAAGAACAAAAAGCAAAAAAAAAAATATATAAAAACAAAAAGCAAAAAAAAAATATAAAAACTAAAAAAAGCATAAAAAAACATAAAAAATAAGAAAAAAAATAATAATAATAATAATAATAATAATAATATAATAGTAATATAATGTGTAATATTATAATATGTACATTATAATATGTAACTACAACAACAATACCTTGCAACAACAACAATATTAATAATAAAAAAAAAACCCAGATACCCAAGGTCCCCAGGGTGCTCAAGATACTCAAGATGCTCAAGGCGCCAAGGTACCCAAGACACCCTAGACACAAGATACCCAAGGCGTCCAGAAGGCCCTATATACCCATGGTACCCAATATACCCGCCCAAAACACCCAAAGTACCCAGGACACAAGGCACTCAAGGCACCAAAGATACCCCAAGGCATCCAAGACACTTAGGACCTTGAGACACTTGATACACCAGAGATACTCAAAATAGCCAACATTAATCCTCAAGACCCTTGTCTCCTTGTTGTAGTTCCTAAAAAAATAAATAAATAAATTAGAAAAAATACAAATGCATCCTATTTGAATATCTCCCTTGTTAAGTGTGCATATAGAATGTGAAAATGGGGTGTTAACTAGTAGAGCTAGGTTCAAAAGTCCAATAGGAAATTTGCGCGTGCGGAGAAATACTAACGGCTGCACGATTTAATTATTTCTTGCAGGTGCATTAGATCACTCGTCACACCCAATTGTTTTGGTGACATTTTTTTTTTTTTAATTTATTTAATACAATGATCTGGATGAAAATGTCTACATTATTTCATTGTTTTTTTATTTTTTAAGCAGAAGTTGTTGTCTCTGATCCCTCAACAGCTGCAGATGAAGAATTGCTCGCCTCAGCAGTTGAAGATGTTGCTGGTACAGTAGATTTTTGAGCTGCCAATTGCCATGCTGGGATGGAAGCTTTTGAGTTCAAGAAATTCATGGCTCCACTAGCCTCCTCTGGGCCCTTGGTACTGGGTGTGCTAGGCTGAGAAGTTGAAGAAGGATTGCCGTATGTAGTGCTCCAAGGAGCACCAGGGGCTCCGGCAGAAGCAACAGGTGATCCAGGCACTGCAGGGCTTGCTCCAGGGGCTCGCCGGTTCAACAACAAGCTCTTGAGAGACTTGATCTCTGTCTGAAGTTCGTTTAATACGTTTGCTTGAGATTCTTTATTCTTATCCATGAGCTGGAAATAATAAAAGTAGAGAGAATTAGGATTAGTCAGTAGACTAGCTACCACTCAGAAACTTTATTACTTTTTTTTTTTTTCCCCTCTTCTTGTCTTTACCTTGGGGATCATGCTCTTGATATTCTCAATGTCAGATTTTAGTCCTGAAAGCTCCTGCTCACGCTTCTCATCGTTTGTCTTCATGCCATCCAAGACACCAGACATGTTCTCAAGAGATTCCTTCACGTGCGCAGTCTGATCTTCCACATTCTTGGCTACAACAGTCGTACTCTCTTTAACCTCGGTCAAATTTTTCTCGATTTCTTCAAATTGTTCATCCAACTTTTTCTTGTCCAGTTCAAGGTCTTCTTGGGAAGGCCATTGCAACTTGGGACCAACGACTTTCTAAATATTTATGATTTATATTAATAAAAAAATAAAGAAAATAAAAAAAAAAAAAAAGGTGATTAATAAATGCTTTTTTTTTTCCTCAGATACAAGCAAATAAGGTTTCCAGCCGATCCGTTTAATCCGTAATTCTATTACTTCTTTAACTGGATCAAAGAACTATTCGGAGACAATTTCCCCGTTCTTTTGATCCCACTACCCGTGCTACCTTTTTTTTTTCCCTTTCTTTTGTCATCTTGCCCCATCAAAATAGTGTTATTGCTGAAAAAAAAAAATGCCTTAAGTGCTTTTTTTTTTGTCGTCCTCTTCTCATTCATTCTCTCATAGGTTGTTATAATAGAGCTTTCCTTTTCTTTTCATTTTCCTTTCTTTCTTTGAATGTGAAGGAATAATGTGCAATATGGTGCGTACGTTTTTTTTTTTTTTTGTTGGGCTGTAAAAGTATTCATTTCATTTTATTACCTTTGCAACTTGCCATAGACCATAGCTGAATCCTCCTGCAACAACAGCAGCAATAAACATATCTTTCCAATCATATTTTGGTGGTAAAGGTGGTGGCGCCATCATAACCTGACCTCCTGGTCCATACTGCACATTTTGGTGTTGACCATTGCCAGCTGGGACAAGAGCTGTGGTTGCTACAGGAGCTGCAGTAGTGGTTGTTGCAGCTGTTCCATTAGCCCGTTGCATAGCCTCCTCGATCTCCTCTGAAGTCATACCCTTGGACTCCAAAAAGGCCACCTTCTTCCCTAAAGGAGAAGATTGAACCTTGGGATCTTGTAGAAACTTGACTGCTGATGCCAAGATATCTTCACGCTTTCCGGACATTGTTGTTTTTGTTGACTCGTTTATGATGAAAAGAAAAGGAAAAGTAGAGTTGATGAATCAAAAGGATGAGAAGGAATGAAAAGAGAACAAAAGAAAAAAGAGGGAATTAACAGAAAGAACGTTTATGTTGCTGCAAAGTGAATGAAATTTTTCGATGCTGACTCTGACTGACACCAGACGGTCTCTGCAATGTGTGGAGAGAATATTTAAGCCGAAAATGGACTCTTGATAAAGTGTTTAAATGTCACTATCATGTGACGCCGATTTATTAAGCAAAAAGATTTTTTCTTTTTTTGTGAGGATTTCTTTATGCAGATTTGGCTCGCTCAACAAACGCCTTGATCTTGTGTTCGTCCTTCTCACCATTGGTTTCCACTCCGCTGGACACATCCACGGCCCAAGGACGGACCTGGCGCACGGCCTCAGCTACATTCTCTGGATTCAACCCTCCTGCCAGAAGGATCGGAAATCCACCTTCCTGTGAATCAACTACAGTCTTAGCGATCGACCAATCAAATACCTGACCTTCACCTCCTCCATATCCGCCAGCTTTACCTGCTGAATCCAACAGGCAATATGCATTCAAGCCACGGGTACCAGCAACTTTTTGAATCACTTCTTTAGCAGGCTCATCTCCACGGATATGAAATGCCTTGATAACTGGTACAGGCAAGAACTTGGCCATCTCTGGATTTTCGCCTCCATGGAATTGAACCAAGTCGATCTTGAGTGTATCCACAATCCTCGTGATCTCTTCTAGGGATTGATCTCTAAATACACCAACGATCATGGGCTTCCGAGGGTTACGCTCCGCTCTCTTGGCATGCATAGAAAACCAGTCCTCATTTGCCACATTGCCTCCCTTGTTAGCTCCACGAAGCGTATCCTCAGAGTCTCCATCTGCTTCTGCTATAGCATTGGCATATTCCCTAACGGCCTCCACAATCTCTGCAGCTACATTGAGCTTAACCTGACGCTTCGATCCCTCTGCAAAGATCATGCCAATAAAATCTGCTCCGGAGTCTGCAGCTTGGAGTGCAGCATCCACTGTTTGAACACCACAGATCTTGACCAGAACCTTTGACTGTTCCTTCTCAGCGGTCAAACCCAACAGTCCACGAATGAATGCCCTTTTGTCTGACGAGAGCATCAAAGCCTCGCCCACAAGGACACCCTTAACACCCTGCTCAACGTAGCGCTCCACATCTTCGCGACCCTTGATCCCGCTCAAGGCCACTAATATAGTATCTTTTGGAACCATGTTGACGAGTTTAGTGGTAGTGTTCATGTCAACTTCAAAGTTATGCAGGTTCCTGTTATTGACGCCGATGACCTTGGCGCCCAACTCGATTGCGACCTCCATCTCCTGTGCATTATTAACTTCGACCAAAGGCTCGATTCCCAAGTTGACTGCAAACTTGTAGAGTGTATGCAATTGCTCAATTGAAAGCATGGCGACGATCAACAAGATTGTGTCAGCACCATAGACGCGAGCCTCCAAGATCTGGTAGGTGTCAACGATAAAATCCTTGCGAAGGACAGCTGGGCGGTTGGGCAGACTATCGATCATGGCTCGAACTACACGCATGTCATTCAAGGATCCTTTGAACCATTTGGGCTCAGTCAAGACACTGATAACGCTCGCACCCGCACGGGCATAGGCTAACGACTGTTCTGCAGCATTGGCATCCAAGTCAATGTTACCCTTACTAGGGCTAGCACGCTTAATCTCGCCCATAATCGCAGGTAAGGGCTGGCTCTTCTTGATACGTGCTACAAAATCAATCTGTTTTGGCGCCAATCCAAGGTCAATAAGCTTCTGCAAGTCAGCAGCAGATTGCCCCGGCAGAGCTTTGGCATCTGCAACATCCTGAAGACGCTGTCCCAAGATCTTGGTGAGAATACTGGGAACGGCTGTCTTAGCAGCCTCCGCTGTCCCTGCAGGCTTGATATCCGAATCAACCCCATACTCTGGATTCTCTTTCCAGGTACCGCCACGGAGCTTCAAGAAGTTGCTAAATAAGGTCTGTCCATGCTCAGAAAGTACACTCTCTGGGTGATATTGCACACCTTCAACACAGAGAGTCTTGTGACGCACTCCCATGATGACGCCTGATTCAGTTCTGGATGTGACTTCCAGTACTTCAGGCACAGTTGAAATAACACCTGAAAGCGAATGATAACGTGTGCAGAGAATATCCTGCGGAATGTTGAGGTAAAGGCCTTTGCCGTCGTGCTTAATAGGTGAAACCTTACCGTGTACGATCTCTCCTGCATAGCCAACACTGCCTCCATAAATCTCAAACATGCACTGCTCACCCAAACAGACACCAAGAACAGGGATCTTTCCAGCAAAGTGCTTGATCGCAGCCTTGGAAACACCGGCAGAGTCAGATGGATGTCCTGGGCCAGGGGAAACAACCAGATGAGTTGGATCCAAAGCTATGATCTCCTCAACTGTAATAGCATCGTTGCGATAAACTTTAACATCTGCGCCAAGGATGCACAGTGACTGATAGATGTTCCAGGTAAAACTGTCATAGTTGTCGATCATAATAATCGCCATGATGAATAGCTTTTGTTTCTTGTCCGTAGATATGAGGGAACTGGTGACTAATATACTAAAAAGATCGGGCATTTTGAAGTTTTACATTTATTAGTAAAGATAACCAAGAAACTGAGTTCACTTTTTTTTTACTGTCAGGAAAGTTTGGGTCATTTACCGACGGAATGTAAAGAAATGAAAGTAAGTGAGAACACTGAATGAATGGAGGATGAGAGATTTCAGGAAAAAAAAAAAAAAAAAAAAAAAAAAAAAAAAAAAGAAAGAAGAAAGAAAGAGAGATTGATGTGCCTGTAGAACAAGAGGATTTTGTGTACAGAATACAGGAAGGGAGCGGGCTGAGTCACAATCGATCGTTGGATGGGGCGTTGAACCATTCAAAACGACAGAATTAACTCCGATACCAGAGTACATTGGTACAGACAGAGGGCTGTTTTAATTTTAATGAATAGATAGATAGATGATGATTACACTATGAATATGAGTACAAGCACAGTCGTCGTTGCCATGCTGGAACTTGCCGCTGGCTAATCTGCGCGACATACGGCGCGTAGAAGTACAGAAATATGAAATAAAAAAAAGAGGAAAAAAAAAAGTAAAAAAGACAGCGCAGTAATAGTAGAAAGACACAACAAAATGTGATGGTACAAAACAAACAAATTAAAGCAAAAAAAAAGAAATACAAAAAAAACGAAAAAAAAAAAAAAAAAAAAAAAAAAAAAAATGAATGAATAAATTAGTTGTGGCTCTCAATGCCTCCTCAATTAGCATTGGCTGTAGCCGCTGCCAGAAAAGCTGCATTTGCAAGAACTTCATGTGGAGGAGCAGGCATCGTAAGAGTACGTCCCCTCAGCTTTCTAAACTTGACATTCTCACGCCTCTCGATCTCAACATCATCGCGTGCCTGCAGCTCCTCTACTGTCTTCTCACCAACCGTGTAGCGAATCACCTCTTTAGGCTTTGGTGGAGGAGGCACAGGGACAGCAGGCAAGGCTCCACGATGTACAGTTGCTTTTTCCTTTGTCCCTTTGGCTACCTTTGTTGACGAAGAGGATGGTGAGGTTGTAGAAGTTGGTTCTACTGTAGCGTTCTGTTTTTTGGCTGCGATTACAGCAGTTTTGCTCTTTATGCCCTTTGGAGAAGCGACCGTAGTCTCCGTCTTCTTTGATTTGACAATATGGATCTTGTCTACCGACTTTACTTTGGCCACTTTGAGCATATCTGTTGACACTCCATGCTTCTTGGACGTTATTGCCTTGGTCATTGTCGTTTTTTTGGACATTGTCTTCGGCGATTTTTCCGTGATAGCTACCTCCTTAGTATCGGCGACAGCGGCGACCTCGTTAAGCAAAACGTTACTGGCTTTGGGAGTGATGTGAGGGCCAGGAGGGTAAATACGAAGATTGCCTCGAATGATGGGTGCTACAGCTGGCTTTGACACCATTTGGCTGGCGGTGAACTGCATTTGGGTCATGGAAGATTGAATAGGATAGGATGCGACAGAAGACATGGCTTTTACTTTGGTCGCTTTTTTGGTTTTAGATTTTGCATCCATATCAAGCACAGTAGCCTTTATCTTGGGCTTCGATGCTTTGTTCTTCTCCGATGCCTCTGTTTTCATTTTTTTGACTTTGCTCTCTTTACCCTTCACAGCTACGTCTTCACTGGTAAGACTCTCGGATCCATGAACTCCATGAGGGCGCTTAGGCACACGGGACTGTGCTGCTGACTGGTAATCTGCGGGATTGGCTGACATGGTCATTGCCGTATCAGCAAGAACCATAAGTGCCTCATCCAGATCCGAGGAAAGGTTATGCTGATGTTGATGATCGGAAGGTGATGGAGAGCTTTCATCGCTTGACTCTTGACTTTCCTCTGAAGAGTCGCACTCTTCACAGTTCCAACTGTACCCACTACAAAATCAAGTACAGCTATCAGTTACAATATACTTATGCAATGAAAGGAAAAAGTGAAGAAAAAAAAAAATACACCATTTATAATAAAGCTGTGGACTTACCGAGGAGGCACCCTTGCCATTGGAGGGTCGAGACACTTGGGATGAAACTGTCGCTGGCAGGAATCGCAAGAGACCATACGATTCAGTACCTTGATCGACATTGGGGACAGATAGCCATTTGAATCTCGCTCCAAATCCAGCTTTTCTTCTGGGAGTGTCAACTGATGACACACTGCACATGGTTCTACAGATCGTGGGAGTTTAACTCCAGCCATGCCATTAGATTGACCAACCTGGTAATCCGCGCCCTTGACAGAAGCATAAGAGTCGTCGAGATCTGAAAAATCACGTTTGATCATCCGTCCTCTGCTTGAAGTGAATACGACTGGAAGCTGACCCCTATTGGTTGGCGTAGGTTTGGGGTATACCTTCTTGGACTTGGCATTCTTGCCGGCAGTATAAAATTGGTTAGACCTCATGGAAAGCTTGCCGTAGCTGCCTTTAGATGATCGTCCATGGCGTTGTCCGCCCTCACTGTCGTCTATTCCAGAGTCTATATTACTCTGCGAACCAGGCTGTGTATAAGGATTGTCACATGGCAATGACTCAATATCGATTGTCTCAATAATATCCTGAATATTGCTCTTCCAGCGAGATGTGTCTGGTAATGAGTTGTACCAGGCCAGGGTAGTGTCGATGGAAAGCGGTGCCTCAAGTTGCTCCGCAGACAAGTTCTCAAGATAATTAGCGCACTCCAAGAGACTTGACAAGAGATTGCGGGTATGCATTTCAATCCTACGCTGTTCCAATTGAGCTTGTTGGGCTTTGGATGAAATAGCCTCCAATCGGGATTTGGACTTGTCAATCTTACTGTTGAGGTAATATCCAATGGAGTGTTGACGGGAAAGCTCGCTCCTTTCCCTTGCAATCCGCCTTTCTCGTGCTTGCTTGAATCGAGAGTATGAATGTTCAAAAAGCTCGATAATACCTTCATCTTCGTCCTCGCCATCATTACTGGCCCGCTGCATTTCAAGCAATTTGAGTGTACGCTTACGACCTTGTTCGTCCTGCCACTTTTTCAGAAACGCATCCTTTTGTTTGACCCATTTCAGCCACCCATTAAGCTTGGGATGACCATCAGTGGCGCCATGTTGCTTGCAGTACATAAAGTATGGATCAGCCATATCTGTCTCCTCAACGGTCTCTAGTAGCGAGTAACCTTGAGCGCAGGTGATATGAAACGATTTGCGACACTGTCCCGCATCACACTGCACACAGGCTCCCATTGCTGCATCCTGAGGGTCATTGCACATATAACAAGTCTAAGTTTACAGATTGAAAAGTCAAGGAAAGGATTTCAATGTCAGACAATATGAAAGAGGAAAAAAAAAAAAAGAGAAGAGAACCTTATATGATATGAAAATTTTAGAAGCGAGCTATACCATATTCCAATTCTTCTCGGGTATGTCTCTGACAGAGATTTTGTCCACATTCTCGGGGTCCCCTAAGGTTGTCTCTGGTAACCAGAGTGCGCAGACAACGTGCACCCAGCCACCGCTAGGATCTTCTGGGATGAGTCTTCGGAATGCACCATCTTTGGATGGGCAACAAACGCACGACTAAGAATAGATCAAGTGAAGTCATGATTTTTTTTTTTTTTCCCGTTAATGAAAAAATCGTAACTCTGTTTTGAATTTTTTTCCCTCACAGCCTCATAGCATCAGAAACCAATGGAAAGAGAGTAGATTGGGAAAAACCTTACCACAACTTCCTCTGGTGGTGCTTTGCAACGATCGCATAACCATGGTTCGCTTTCGGATGGAAGTGTTTTGACACCATAACAAGCCTGATGTACGCACAAGGCGCAATCGAGTGTGTCGCAATAAACAAATACATTGTCTGCCTCTGTCGATCGACCCAGGCACACACAACACACCTCAGGATCATTGTCTTTCTATTACATGGTAAGATACGTCATTAGTGAGGATAGAGAACCATCAGACGGATCTTCTGTTTTGTATAATGAATAAAGTGAAACGTAACAAAATTTAAAACTCACCCATTGCCAAAGTGCGGTCAAGAGATCTTGTTCATCATTGAAAGCCTCCTCTTGTTCAGGCCTTATCTCATCTTCACTCGCTGCATCATCAGGAATAATCATGTCTTCATCCTCATCGTTACTACCATCTTTGGTATCTTCAAAATCAGAATCATCCTCGTCCGCCGCAAGCTCCATGGGGATCTCATGAACGGATTTAGTTTTGATTTTACGCTTGCCTGGATCACGATCAGCGACTGGTTACAAAAAAAGAAAAAATAAAAATAAAAAAGCGTTGATAACAGATTAAAATCAATACAACTATCTGGTGAAAATAAAATGATAAATAAATAAGAAAAGTAAAAAGCTTACAGATCTTCTGGAAAAGACTTGCAGTATCGTTTTCGGACTTTTTGGACACTTCGGTCTTTATCTTTTTTTTGGCAGGCATCAAAGAAGAGTCCTTGGTAGTCTTTCCTGTTGAGGAAACAGATGTATTGGTAGAATTCATTTGACGGCACCCTCGTTTGACCCCAGCACCTACAGTATGTTCGGGTTGTGATTCGATGTCTTCTTGTGCATTGCCAGTAGGAAGCTGTGTGATTGATTTATGATTTGGCTCCAAACCCTCCGACCCGCTCGCCAATTGTTCCTCTTGACTATCATCTCTTGATCCTTTTTGCTCCTGCTCCTGCTCCTTCGAGTCTTGTTGTTGTGGCAATGGTGAATTTGGAGGCTTGTCCTCATTTTCTTTTGTGATCGATTCTGATTCTGTGTTGATAATGGACTCTGAGGATTCTACCTGGTCGCTTTTGATCAGATCGGTTGAATTGAGCAAGTTTGAAAGAGGTACTACTCCGCCATCGACACCCCCCTGACACTGCACTTTTTGTTCAGAATGCTCAGTGTCGTCATTAACAGAATGAGTAGAGGGTTGATGTGTAGGTAAAGCGAATGTTTGTGGTGGTGTTGACTCGGGCTGTAACTTTGACTCTATGGCAGAACAGTGATTTGTGGATTGATTGGCAATAGCAGGAATGGGTGACAAAGCTCTAACCATTGCATTCCCACCAGTGCTATTAGCAGCGGCTCTCCGCTGCCTCTGTGGACGGGTTGTCTGTGAGACTGCCTGGCCTTGTAAACTTTGACTTTGCCGTGTTCGATAGGTGAGATGAACATGGGTGCGCTCTTGAACAAGATTAAGGTTTTCAACCATAGAAATTGGGTGGTCATCTGAGGAAACAATGATATCAGGACCTGGTATTGCTAGTAGGGGCTCTGGATCTTCCCTGTCTATGCTTTGGGACTGATGTTCCTGTGGAGGGGGTGGTAAAGACAACATCATTGGTTGCTCCTGTTGCTCACTATGTTGGAGATCGTCATGGTTATTATGATTACGTTGGTTTCGTAGGTGTTGAAGGGCGCTGGCATCCTTCACAAACCGGACGGGGCGAGTATGGTTATGTGAATCCTGTTGCTGTTCGACCATCATCATCAGTGACATGCTACGGTACTCTGGTGTAAAAGGTGGGGAATAGTGTTGAGGAGGCATCATGCTTTATGATTTTATGATTCGAATAAAAAGAACAAAATGAATAAAAAAAATAAAAAAAAAAAAAAAAAATAAAAAATAAAAAAAAAAAAGATTGGGCAAAGAACAAACAAGACTATGCAGCCGAACAATTAATAAAAAGCAAACAAAAAGACATGATAGAAAACACCCAAGCAAAGTAATGAAAAAGAAAAAAGAAAAAAGAAAACGAGTTAGTGCCAATGGTTTTTATTGTTATCATCTTTTTTTTTTTTTTTTTTTTTACTTTGCATTCAAAAATAACAGATCTTTCATGAAACATGACAAGCACTTACCTACGACCCAGTTGTCACTGTACAAACACACCCCACAACTGCCGAAGAGAGTGTCGTAGGGTGAATCAAACCACTTTTTATCCTGTATTTGTCTTTCCTTTTTTATTTTTGAATTTTTTTCCCTTCTTTCCTTCAAAACAAAAAAAAAAAAGCCTTCGTCTTCTTTTTTTTTTTTTTTTTTTTTTTTTTTCTTTGTTGTTTGGTATTTGATTACTTGTTTTTGAATGCAGAGTGACTGTGGGAATACAAAAGAGTACGCTGCATTGGATGAATAAAAAAAAAAAAAAATTGCCAAAACGGATATGGGTCGACGTTATTCTGCTGTCGATGAAGCAATTATGAGAGGTGAAAGGACAGAAGGAAAGGAAGAAGAAAGAGAAGGAAAGAAAGTGAAGAAAGAAGGAAAAAAAGGAAAAGAATAAAAAAAAAATTTTCCAAAATAAAATTCCGCCTATGATTTCTATTCCATGTGTGTTGATTTGTACCTGGATAATGATGAAAAATCTTTTCGGTCTTTTCCCATCCAACACGCTTGAAGCTCTCTTTTTTTCTTTTTTCCACTCTCCTCTTTCGCCCTTTCTCTATCTTTCTGTCTTTCAACTGGCTGCGGCCAACATGCATTCTTTTTTATTGTTTGCATTTTCTTTTTTTCTCTTGTGAGTATGCACGGCGTGAGTGCGAATGAATGAGAAGTGAAGGAGCCACAGAGTGTTGCATTCAGAGCTTTCTTCTTTACAACAAAAACCACTCTTCAGTTTGGTTACAATGACCCAAACCTTTTTTTTGTGCGATTGCGATTGTAACTTGTAATAAAGATGTGATTCTTGTTACACTTGCATCCCATCCTTATCCCAAGCCCATCTTGACGGGAAGAATAATAATAATAAAAAAAAGGGATGAAGAAAACCCATTTTTTATTTATTTTCTTTTCTCTTCAACATTATTTAGGCTGTGTTCTTGCTCCAAATCAATTCACTCTTTTTCTCTTTCTCTTCCTTCCTTTTCTCTCTTTCTCTTTCTCTTCCTTCTCATATTTCCTCCCGGCTCAAATTTCTTGCATTTCTTGCCATCATCATACATCTGATAATCCTGATAATTTTGCACCACATGCTTTACAACCCAATTGATACATTGTCAATAAAAAAAACATCGTCAACACACCTTTCATTTCTCCCGCAAAAGACAAAACAAGACTGAGTATCTACATATATTTCTACATGGACTGAGTTGTTATTGAAGAGAAAAAAAAAAAGTGCTGTTACACATAAACTTATGGGACCGTCTTTTTTTTTTTTTTCCAAGTCTCCCACGGTCAAAAGCTCATGCTCTTTTCATAAAACCAACTCTCGTTGGAACCCTATTGATACTCTGTCGACACATCTACTTGACTCTACTCCATTTCAAATCTTCATGTCAACTTTTTTTTTTCTTTACTCTTGTTTTTCTTCAGCCCAAATATTTTATTCCTTTTAAGACTGCGTTGCATCGTGTGACAAAGGTTGCACAGGACTACAATTAAGATTTTGGTGACGCGCACCATCTCCTTTCTATCTCTTCCTCTAAAAAAAAAAAAAAAAAAAAAAAAAAGAGGACGATGTTGGGTCTCGACAATTCATTTGGTATGGTAAGGGTGAGTCTTTTACCTGATTGAGAAGGAAAAGGGAGTAAGGGACACTATTCGGGATTCTTAAGGAGAATGGAGAGAATGGGGAGTCTGAGGAGTATAAAAAAATGAAAAAAAGGCCTTCAGGGGTAAAAACATACGCACCGACCATCGGATCAAGTGAAGTCGAACACAAAGCATGCGCCCAAACAAAAAAAAAAAAGACTCCATGTTGAGGTGAAGCAAGCTAACTTGGACGAGCTTAGTTGTACTTTATTTTGTGGCCTATTTCTTTCTATCAATTCGTCAAGCAGAAGTGTCATGTCGTAATGGACTAGGATATGATCGAAATCTACATGCGACTTTTGCAAAAACATTCGAACTGTTCAAAGCTGAATGAGAGAAGCTTTTAGTGGCAATAGAAGCATCTACATTTAGCTTCCAAACATCATGGGCATAAAAGCTATCCAAGCAGGACGATCATCAACCGGCCAACTGGCCTATTAACGGGCATTGAGGCAAGCTAATAATGATTTAGGTCATTGTGATAAAAAAAGGAGAAACAGGGTCCAGTCGATGATGGATAGGGAGTTCAATTTTATAAGATCATTGGTCTCTCTTGACAGATCATTTCTCAGCAAATCAATAGGTGGCACATGGTGGAGACGCTCTGAATAAACTATCCTGTTAACCTACTGTTGGTGGTGAACTATAGCAAAAAATGAAATAAAATCGATGGGAAAGTTCATGAAGGCCGGCCATGAATGCACATATGGCAAGGGAATAGCAGTGTTCAGGTGAGGATGAACAAGGTGACAGCAAATGTCTCATGGCCAAGTGTCTATATTAAACCTAAAAAAAAAAAAATGGTTCGAAATGAGACAAGTCAAAAGAAATGATCGTTTTCAACAACAATGAAACAACAACGGACGAAGAAAGTTGGACGGAGAAAGGACTCGTCTCTGAAGCTCCTGCTACTACACAGCATGGGTAAGCGCGGTAACGACGCAGACGTTCATTCACAAGCAATACCATGCCGACCTTGTGTTTATTACTGTCTTAGGATTACAACCTTATTTACAACCATATAAACGCAAAAAGTCGCGTGGCAAAATGTTGTCGACTTACTCAAAGAGGAAGGCAAAACAAAGATAATATCAAGAGAAACACCAACGATTTTCGAGCACGCAGTCAGTTTCCACCAAACGACTCTGTAATGTCCTTTGCAATGGGAAGGGCATCTATCCTATCTCCAGAAAGGATCCGGTATTTCTCCCTTGCCTCAGAGACTGCTTAATAAAGTGGGTAAGCTCTATGAGAAAGAGATGGCTATAAAGGAATCAGTCTGGACGGAAAAAAATCACGAAGAATGCCTAGCAGGGGAATCAACCCAACCAAGGACAAGACAGCTAAGCGATGGACGTACAGAAACCAATGGGAATCAGATGGATATGTGAAGTAATTCCTTGAGTTGATATAGCTGATCTCGTGTGAACCGAAGCTATTTGTAACTTTTGGCGTTGGGTCATGTATTGATATTGAACGGCTCTTCGGCTTGTCGTAGACGATAACTTGGCGATGCCTTTGGTTTCGTAGCTCTTCAACATTTGCAGACTGAATCCATATGTCACAGAGCGCGTGAATACGGCGCTCCAGATCATGGTTTCATTTTGAATAAATATATGCAGCTCATACGATTTTTGATCTACGATCATTTATTAGTTGTTTCAAAGTCAACTGTCTATTGTCAACATTGAATCAACACCAACAATCATCAAGGAAAGTAATCCATTGTTTCTTTGCGCTTCCTATGTACCTTTCTTCACTTCTGATCTATCGGTCAGAGGAATTGGTCATGAGTCTTCGCGAATAATCTGCTATTGATGTAGATTTGCGATGATACCCGCAAGGGTTTAGAGTCATGAATGAGAAGTCAGCGTGCAGCAGGCGAGTGATTTCTTCCAATGAGGTATAAATGACACTCAATCGGTGGTACGGCACTCTTCTTCTATGACGAAGACTATCCAACAAGAACAGTATCCGGCCTTGTTCGCTCGCAGGGTTCTAAGGCACTCGAAAGGGTTTAGAGCGGATACTGTGGAGTGTACATTTATCGCTCATTAATATTATCTACTGTTATTTTCCTGTTCCTTTGCGCTTCCTATGTACCTTTCTTCACTTCTGATCTATCGGTCAGAGGAATTGGTCATGAGTCTTCGCGAATAATCTGCTATTGATGTAGATTTGCGATGATACCCGCAAGGGTTTAGAGTCATGAATGAGAAGTCAGCGTGCAGCAGGCGAGTGATTTCTTCCAATGAGGTATAAATGACACTCAATCGGTGGTACGGCACTCTTCTTCTATGACGAAGACTATCCAACAAGAACAGTATCCGGCCTTGTTCGCTCGCAGGGTTCTAAGGCACTCGAAAGGGTTTAGAGCGGATACTGTGGAGTGTACATTTATCGCTCATTAATATTATCTACTGTTATTTTCCTGTTCCTTTGCGCTTCCTATGTACCTTTCTTCACTTCTGATCTATCGGTCAGAGGAATTGGTCATGAGTCTTCGCGAATAATCTGCTATTGATGTAGATTTGCGATGATACCCGCAAGGGTTTAGAGTCATGAATGAGAAGTCAGCGTGCAGCAGGCGAGTGATTTCTTCCAATGAGGTATAAATGACACTCAATCGGTGGTACGGCACTCTTCTTCTATGACGAAGACTATCCAACAAGAACAGTATCCGGCCTTGTTCGCTCGCAGGGTTCTAAGGCACTCGAAAGGGTTTAGAGCGGATACTGTGGAGTGTACATTTATCGCTCATTAATAATATTTATCTTAACTCTGTTTTTTTCCATGCAGCTTTATCTTTTTGTAAACCCTGAGTTGACCTGTAAGGCTATCTAACTGTTTAGTACCTGTAGATCTATGTCTGTGGTCCCGGCCCGAAGGGAGAATACTTGACTGGTTTGAATAAAACAGAGGACTTGGTCTTATTTTCCTAGATGTATAATTACGACTGTCCCGCCTTGGTACCCACCCTTTTGTCGTTTTTATACCTCGTCCCTTTGGCTCTTTCAGAAGCGAGCGGACCATCATTGTGCCTAGGGATTAATTTATTCTTTTCCTACAGATTTATCTTGCAATAAAAAAGAATATCTCGCTGATTTAAGCTTATTCTCTCTATTAAGATGGCATATTCGCTTGGTATTACATTTTAATTTCATTTGTTTAAAGACTATTTCTGCATTCACACGATAAATGAAGAGGGTAGTGGAAACAGAATTGCTACGACTGGGTACTCTTTAAGAAGAGTAGATATCTGATGATGTAGGGTCGGTAGGAGAGCTACCAAGAGTCTCGTCGTAAATATGCTTTTCTAATGAAGAGTAAAGCCACTCGTCATCACCCTTCTCGCTCTCCTCCGTTTCATACATCTCCACCGTCCTCTTGACACAACTCTACAATAAAGTCAAAACGAGACCCGTTAACCATTGTGTAACAAAACACATGGTGATGGAAACCATCCATTAATCCATCTTACCCTGACTTGCAACAGGTGAGCGAGCCCTTGGGACTGAAGCTTCCACACTGTGGCAGTGGGGGGCAGTTGGTACGAACTGTACAAATGTACCAACATGATGTAGGCGCTGAAGGGGGATGCCCTCATCTCCATGGTCTTGAAACCTCGTCCTAAAAAAACAAGCAAGTTAACAGACCGAACTGCTACAACTTTCTAAAATAACTCAATGATCCTGAATAATTTACCTCCAGAGTATATGGCGAAGAATCTCGCTTGGCTACGGAAGTGCGAGCTCGGTTGCTCCTGAAACCGGTGGGATGAAATGAGGTGAAGATCTTTGAACAATGTCACATCAAGTTCGTGCAGGAACTTGGTCGACACCTCATCCCACTCCTTGTGACTCTCTACCACAAACCAGTCGCGCTTGTTGGTTGTGTCTCTGGCCACCAGATCTAGCTTTCGTCCGCTCTGTTTGCGCGGTGGGGAGGTCTCCATATCGACCTTGCGCCCCATATTCTTCCTCTTCCCCGATTCCAGGCCCGCCTTTTCTCCATCAATCATTGTCACTCCGTCTACATCTGACAACAAGCCCTTCATTATCGGCCATGCCTCTCTGGTCCAGAATGATTCTGACAGATCTTTGTTGTCAAATGGGCACGGCTTTGTGACATATAGCTGTGTCCTGAAACCGTAGGATACTCTGTTAACATAGGCTGTCTGGTCTTATACAGCACAACAGGGGAAACCATCAACTTACCATGAGAGAAAAGATCTCAGTATCAGCTCACATGAATATCGGTCTTCCTTTGGGACTGGTACTGACGCGACATGCTCGCCTCTGAGAAGAGCCAATCTGACATCGTATAGGTACCTCTCAATTGTCTCTGATAATCTGGGGAGTTGGAAGTCACCCACTTTCTTCATTTCCTCCCACTCATCTACAGTAAAGAGAACTCTTGTTCTCTCACAGCCAAAGTCGATTGTGTATGAGCGCATCCTATAACACATACAAGGCCATGAATACGGCGTTACGCTGTTAATTGGACCTCATAAAGTACAAACAAGATGAAGAAAAAAAAGAAAGTTTTTAGAGCATAAGACATACTTGAAGTTGGCCTCTTGCTTCATGCTTGCATGGTAAAGAACCTCTTCAACTGCTCTGCCGCTTCTAAGCTTCCAGAACTGTGATCGATCCATAGCAGCAAAGCGCTACCGTAGGATCAAGCACCGATTGTCTGTTAATCTCAAGAAAGACATTTTGTTCCATACTAATGTAGTCTCCCCGCACTCTGGAGTATTGACTCGATGTGCATACCGCTTTCCGGCTACTCAGATCGGGCTTCGCGCTGGTCATGGCCGTGATAGTTTTCATCGACGTCGAATTTATATTCGTGATCGATCGCTTTCGCTTCTTGAAGCTTAGCGATGACAATGATGATGAGGACACTGAAGATGCTCTATTGACCACTTGACTAGATGTTCCGCCATCTATATACGAAATCACAGCATTAGCATGAAATTTTACCATCAATGGACCATTCATTAATGCATACTTTTGTTGCAAGGAGTGTTACCATCTTTCAACATGCTTCCGGCTCCCTTGGCGAGTGAGGCATAGCCTTCTGCAAGACTTTGTTTAGCCTCGTCCTTTTTCATCTCGACCTGCCACACCGCGTGTTTTTGGCGGAATAACTCGACGCTCGTGGTCGACAAAAGGCCCTCAGCCCTCTCTCTAACTTCCTTCGGTGCCTTCGCGTGCCCTGCAATAGTTGCCAGTCCATTTCTGTATCTCTCAAAATACGCCTCAATCGTCTCCTGCTTCGATGAGACCTTAAGGAATGACAGCACGTCATTCCAGCTAGAACATGGAGTAGTCTTGAAAAAGACTCCTACTCTCATGTTCGTCAAGGCTTTCCATGAGAGTCGAGACTTTGACATTGTATATGATAATTATTGAAGATTGATGTTGAACTATAAGTACCCAATTTAATTGCAAATATATAAAAGTTATGAATAGACTGAAGAGTTATGGAGAAATAAAGAAGAGGGAAAGAGGGCAACGGCGCTTTTAAATACTCGTTTTCACACCATACAACTAAAAAAACAACATTTTCTAAAAATGGTGGCAAAGGTGAACAAAAAAACTTGACGCACAGTTCAAAATTCACACACCTTGCGAGCGTACTAAAAGACATATTCATGCAACTATTGAAGGTGGGTGGAAAGCCATCTGTCTGTAATATCGCTCTAGTGCTTTGTCTGTAGTACAACCCCCGGGTTCATAAGCACATGAAGCTGGACCGAAAAACCAATATTAAGACTACTGCTAGGACATAAGCTGTACAAACCACACAGACGTGGAGTGGAGTAGATTAATTGTTGAATAAGAAAAAAGAAAAGACAAGACTGGTTTCATGAGGATCTTTCACCGCGTTCTGAGAACACATCACACTTCTAAATATGGGCTGATGAACAGTATGATAGTGCCTACTTTGCGCCTACCTGCATGAGTGGTAGCTTAACTCTAATATCTGAGCATGTTTACAGCAACCAGAAAACCTCATTTAGTTTTGTCTGAACGATGTAATAGAGGAGGGCAGCGTTTTATGGATGATGTATATGAGTGAATTGGCTGGATTTACGACTGAAATGGAGAACAGTGTACTCGTTGAAGGACTTGGGCAATGCTTATTGGTACTGTAACCAAAAGACTGAAAGCAGTGGAGGCTATATGGATCTAGTATTCGCTATTTTGATATGGCTCCTTTCTCTTCTGCCGAAATCTCAATAGATAACTTAATCTCTTAAACGAAGTTACAAATCTACTTACTATGCTAATTGATAAAAGTATTAAAATTCAGTGCAAATGTTTTTTTATTTTTATTTTTATTTTTATTTTTATTTTTTTAATTAGAAGGTGCGCAAAAGACATGAATGTGTGATGATAATATAAAAATGCTATTTGTATTGTACATGGGGTGTTCTTGCTTCAATCATCTACCCTTACTCTAATGTGTTTGATTGTCACCAAAAATGTTTTCACTTCTTCATCATCTTCTGCTTCTTGATATGTGCATGAAGTTGAATCTGCTTATCCCTCAAGCTCATCTTCTTCTTCTCGCGGACTTCACGTTTGTGAGCAATCATCATAAAGTTCTTGCCCTTAGCCTTTTCCTTGTTCGTAGTTGATCCACGGTCATTCGATCCTTTGCGTGAACCAAACTTTTCTCGTCCCTCACGTCCGTTCTTGATCGACTCCATACGCTCTGCATAATCCTGCTTGGCCTTCTTACGTGGTCCGATAATCGACCCAATCGAGACCTCACCTTCTTGTTGAGTTTCATCCGAAGGCGCAGGACGCTTGCCTGAATTAGCACGGGTTGGATTCATTTTTTGATCCGCTTGCTTAGCCATTTTTAAAGCCTCGATCTTTGCAAAATCTGCAGGTGTGAGAATCTTGGTCGTTGCCAGCAGCTGAGCAGCAGCCAATTTTTCTTTACGCTCTGCCTCCATCTGTAGACGCTTAGCCTTGGTCTGTTCATCTTCTTCCTTAACGTTCATATCCGCATCGTCATCATCATTAGGCAACAGACCTTTCTTTTTCAAACGACGTTCCTTATTAGCAGACAGACGCTTTGTCTTCGGTTTCTTATTTCCATTCTCATCCTCTGATTCTTCACCATCTGACAGCTTAATGTTCAAATCGTTATCATCATCTGAAACATTAATCCAACCACCTTCTTCATCATCATTCTCCTCCTCAGAAGCCTCTTCCCATTCGTCCCAGTCATTATCATCTCCCTCTCCGTTGTTGCTGTCCCCATCTGCATTCTCGGCCAAGAGTTGAAGATCCGCAAAGTCAGCATCATTATGGGTTTCACCATAAGCAGAAGGTTTGAGGCTGCGCATGTTCATCGTAGCGCCACGGCCACGATCCTTCTTCTTCAAAAGCTCCGGATTGATCTCTCGGAAGAGACCAATTAATGAACGAGAGGCCATCATTACTCCTTTATCTCTGTGATTCTTGTACTCAGTCAAATCCTGAAGCAATGTTGCATTCATGGCTAGAGGGCATCGAGAGACGATCTCTCGAATACCGTTCAGACCTGCCGCCATGACCTCTGCAGCACAATGTTCTGTCACAAAGTTGTTGGCTAATGTTCTGATCACAGGCTCAACCACATCTGGTGGCACGAGATCATGTGAGGCTTGAGCAGAAATGGCGATGATTTGAGTTACATCCTTCTGGGTCGGTTGAAGACGCTTCTGGAGATATGGATAAAATCCGAGAACCGTTAGCTTGTGTACACCAATGATACGAGAAATCAAGTTCATCAACATCAGCTGAACTTCGTGACGCTCACGAGATGAAGCCAGATGAGAGTAGAGCTTTTCACTGAAACCTGAAAGCATAAAAAAAATCATTTGGTTATTCTCTTAGAAAAAGAAAAAGAAAAAGAAAAAAAAAAAAAAAAAAAAAAAGAACTATTCGTCCATGTAAAAATAAAAAATAAGGGATTAAGTACCTTGAGGATCGTTCAACAAATGAAGTGCTGAAAAATTAAAAGTTTCGGCCTTCTTCTTAGCCTTTTGCTTCTTCTTCAAGGTCGCGAGCATTTTATCCATCTGTTTTGCTTTGGATTTTGTCTTCTTGCTGACGTTCTGTTTATGCTGCATGGATTTGATATCTGGTAATTCGTCTTCATCATCTGAATCATCGTCTGCTTCATTATTACCCAGGAAGAACTGAAGTGCAGTAACCATGATCTTGGTTACAGGCGAGAAACAAGCATGCGCAATAACATTAACAGTCTTGGCATCATTCCTAGTTTGTCCGTAAAGAATATAGACAATATATATCAGCAGTTAGTACTCATTACACCATAAAACAGCTCCGTAGTTGCAGAATTTTTTTTTTTCCTTCGTACCAAATATTTTTGCGATACAGTTCGATACAGACATCAAGACTGCGCTTAGCTGCGATGGCATTTTCGCTTCCTGTCCCCGCAGCGCCCTCAGCAGAAGTCAACATTGTATACATGAATCCTTGAAGTGTCTTATTCATCTTGTTGTTCTTGGCCTTCTGATTGCTGACTTTGATGTCATTTACAATGTGATTATAGAGAATGTCACGGAGCATCTTGTCTCTGCAGCGGAATAAAGTGAAAAAGAGCGAAAGTAGACTGGTAGAGGAAATCATCTCTCTGTTGCGAAGAAGAACCAACGCCTGCACCATGGTACGGCGGAGCTCTGGATTGAGGATCTGGTAGTGCTTAGATAGAAGTGCAATGATTTGATCTGGGAATTCTTTTGTCTCTTCAGGGTAACAAGGAGACACCTATTGAGACCAAAGAAATAAAAATAAGGTAGTGATAATAATAGTAATAGGTAATTAGTACTAAATTACACCTATTCCTTGCTTCGAAAGTATCTTCATGCATTAGATGAAAGAAGGACAATGAGAAAGAGAATATATGTGTGTAGAGAGTTAAAGAGTTGGTTGGAATTCGTACCTGGGCGATAAAGTTGATCAGATCCTGAAAGTCAGTTGAAAGTTCTTCAGGCTTGAGCTCAAAGATAGTTCTAGAGGATTCAAAGTGACGAAGCTGTTGCAAAAACTCCTCTTTGTATGAAAGGGGATCTCGTTTAATGAGATTTTGCAGCTGTGGGATGTTTGTGGGCAACAATGCCGCCCTATTGCGCTTTCCCATGGTATACCGATGTGAAAAATGAGAAAAGGGAAAGGTGATGAGAGAAAGGTCTGCAGTTACTAGCGAACCATAAAAAAAAAAAAAAAAAAAAAAAGCTGCAAATCAAAACAATAAACAGCAGTCCTCTGTCGTGCATTTACAGAGGGTTTTGTTGTAGCACAAGTTTCTGCAGGTTATTCATGATTTGTCATTAGGGCTGTGCCTAATTTTTGGAACGTTGGTCAAACGCGACAGATAGGAGGCATTTATTCTTTTTCCCGTCGCTATTTTTGTTGATGCATTTTCTGGAATCACAAGACGTTCTTTAGAAGATGTCAACATTCATGAACACAATATTGCAATATGTGACATATAGTCGCAAACATCAATGAGTGGCAGAATACAAATCGAAATTTGCTACAGCCCACAGTATATAAACACATTTATATACATGTATACCTCATTTTTTTATTTTTTATTTTTTTGTTTATATATTTGTCAGGACATGGATGCGCAGACTCACTCATTCATGTTATGTGGTTGTTTTATCGTCAATGATTTTGAGGGGTTGAGAAAAGGATGATATTGCAATGCTCTGTCTAGAAAAGTGTCTCAAAAAGCTGAGACTAAAAAGAAATGTGACAAAAAGAAAAGAAAAGACAAGAAGAGAGATGCCAAGCTATCGTCATGGATTCCCTTTCTACGAGAGGTGTAAAAATAAAAAAATAAAAATAAAAATAAGAATAGATCCGTGCGTATGTGATGTGTAAGAGAAGATCTTATGCACGTTTTTGTCGTTTTGTCTGGTTTTTCTGGAGCATATTTGTCCAAGTGATTGAACAGCAGGGTTGTGGAATAGGGGGTGCTCAGGGATGTTCAAATGGAGTAAAGAATGCTCAAGCAGGCGGTGCCAATGCAACATCAGGAACAATCATGTAATGGATTCCCTCATTTTAATCTCCAACAAGGGTACATATAATTAATGATATACATTCTCATCCATCCGCTCTGCCCCCTTTCTTCTTTTAAGCCCAACTTCATCCTCAATTTCATTTTTTTGGTACTGATACAACGGCAAGAATTCTGATTATTGTTCCACATTTGGTCCCCCGCTCGCCACTATTTGGTTCCTGGTTTCTGGTCCCTGGTCTCAGCATCCTGTTTTTCTCTTTCTCTTCTCTTTCTCTTTTTCTTTTCTCTCATTCTCTCTTCATCCTCTCCCATTCTCTTTCTCCTGTTCTCATTGCATTCCACTTCGTTAGTAAGTGCAATCACACTTCACACTTCACACTTCACACTTCACACTTCACACTTCACGCTCTCCTCCATTTGCTCATATTGCTGTAAGCAACGGCTCACTCTTCTTTTCTTACTCTCTTAATTCCTTCTCCTCTTCCTCTCTTCCTCTCTCTCCTTCTCTTTCGTCTTAGCTTCTCCCTTTCACACATACACAAGCATTCTTGGCAGTAGCCATGATCACATCATTAAGGCATAGCCTTTTGGCACTGTTGTCGATCCTCGCACTGTCTTCGACCTTTACAAATCCAGTTCAAGGTAAATACTAAGCAATTTTGTACACACAGACACAGGGATGGACAACCATCCCTTCTCTATTCACGATATCGCGTGTGTACCAACTCATCATCCACATCTATTTCTCACTATCATTCTTTATCCCTTTCTCCGCATAATATAACAGCACATTCCACAGCATTGCCTATAATCACCCGCTCAGAACATGTCCGCAGTCTACGCCACGACATTCTGCCAAGGATAGCATCCTATACTCTTCACAGAGACCAGCCACTTGCAAAACGGACGATCGACCAGCGCCTCACCGCCTCTCCCGAAATCATTACCAAAGATGACACAATCCGACTTCAATTTAATGCTTTCAACACTACTTTTCATCTCTATCTTGAGCCCAATACGGATCTGATTCATCCCGATGCCGACCTGGGACCTGATAACATATTCGATGATATCAAGCCTTTTAAGGGCGTCGTCATTGAGGATCAGCAATATTCTGATCAAAAGTGGAAACGAGCTGCAACAACATCACGAATAACCAAGAGAACAATCGAACACATGCAATATGAGGAAGGTATTGTTGGTTGGGCACGAATGACAGTCGAGCATGATGCTAACAGGTAACCATTACCGCTAATAACATTAAATATATTTTAAGATTAAAATGACGATGTGAGGACACCAAAATAACAAGACCCTTGCTATCTTCGTTTCATAGTGCGGATAATCTTATACTCCGAGGAGCATTCATGGTCAAAGGCGATACCTATCATGTCACAACAAAGAAAACCTATCATGTTCAAAAGCGATCTGAGGACGCATTACCTACAGCCGCTACATCCTTCGATTCTAGTCTCATCATCTTCCGCGACTCGGATCTCTACAGACCTGCTCTGCTCGCAAAGAATAAGAGGGGACTGAACGCTGAGAATGTCGTCTGTGGATCGGACCATATGCTCAACAAAACAGCTTCCTATATAGAAGCCACTTCATCTCATGGCTATTATTACCCACCTGATGTGTTAACGACGGTCCCTATGGCTAGAGGCTCAGACATGTCATCCTCGTGGATGGACGTGCTGACCTCGCCTCTCACTAAGCGTCAAGTTACCGTTCAAGCTGCAGGACCAAATCCTGTTCCCGAGGGCTGTCCTACTAACCGTCTCGTTACTTATATGGTAAGACTCACTGCGCCTCGTCGCTCTACGCCACTACAGCCTTTTTCTCTTCTGCGACTTTATTTTATTAATAATTCTACTCACTCTAATATATCATCCAGGGTGTTGCCGCCGATTGCGCCTACGTTCGCGAGCATGGAGGACAATCAGAAGCAAGAAAACAGATATTTGCCAACTTCAATACTGCCTCTGAGATTTATGAAAGTACATTTAATGTTGCATTGGGGATCATTTCACTAAATATCAAAAGCGAAAACTGTCCGACCACCCCAGTTGCGGGTGAAGAATGGAACCAGGACTGCTCACCTTCATACTCTATTGACAAGCGTCTGAGTGACTTTAGTCGCTGGAGAGGCGCGGATGATCGTCCAAGCGATGGGGCAGGATTATGGCATTTGATGACAAAGTGCAATACAGGAGCTGTGGTTGGGATCGCATGGACAAAAGCTCTTTGCCAGGCATCATCACAGCGTCAGGGTTCCGGACAAAACGTTCAATACACTGCAGGCACAGGAGTCTCGTCATCTACACCCACAGAATGGATGGTGGTTGCACATGAAATCGGTCATGGATTTGGAGCTATTCATGACTGTACGGCTCAATCATGCCCTGCTGACATTGGACAATGCTGCCCACTTTCCGCCACGACCTGTAACGCCGGTGGACAGTACATTATGAATCCTTCTGAACAATCAGCTACGCGTGTTTTCTCACCCTGCAGTATCAGAGCCATTTGTGGTACTATTCAAAGTTCTTCTGGGCGATGCCTTCAACCTCCAGGCACTCGTCAGACTCAGAATGGTGAAGCCAATATTTGTGGCAATGGAATCAAAGAGACTGGGGAGGATTGTGACTGCGGCTCACCCGAGGAGTGTGCCAAAGATCCTTGCTGTGATGGTACGACTTGCAAGTTCAAGGCTGGCGCTGTTTGCGATGATTTGAATGACGACTGTTGTCTGAATTGTCAATTGCGACCAACAGGATATGTTTGCCGTCAGGCTATCTCAGAATGTGATATCCAGGAGGTCTGTTCTGGAACAAGTGGGTCTTGCCCTGCCGATGTGAAACTGCCCGATCTGACACCATGCAAAGGCTCTAATAATGCAACAGGACTTCAATGTGCTAATGGGGTCTGTACTTCGCGTGATCTACAATGTCGCCAGCAGGATCGACAAGGCATCACCAAGCAATGTGAAGCCTCCAACTCCTGCGACTTGATGTGCAACGACCCAAGCGGAAGCGCCTTGAGATGCATGCAAATCCCTGGAACTTATTTTATCGATGGCACTCCCTGTGGGTTTGGAGGTACCTGTTCTGGAGGTAAATGCGCTTACAGTAATGGTATCAATGGTGTCCTAAACTGGGCCAAAAACCATCTATCGATTGTGATCCCAGTAGCTTGCGTTATTGGTCTAATCTTGCTTTGTTGTATTTGGGGCTGCTGCTGCTCTGGAACATCGAGGCGTCGGCGACAGAAGAAGATGACGCGAAGACCATCATCTGTGCTCAGACCCAGCGGATCATTCCGTTCTCGAACGGCTCCTCTTGGAGCACAGCATACAGGTCAGCACTATCCAATGGGAGCTCTTTCTCCGCCCCCACCTACATACCACGATCCATCAATACTTTTGCGAAATAGAGAAGAACAGCAACTTCAGCGGGCTCTTGAGGAAAGTCGCCGCGAATACGAAACGCACTCACACACCCTAAATGACAGAGAATCTAATAACTTTCCCTCAATGCCAGAACCACAATCGCAATCGCAATCGCAAAATGGTGCAACTGTCGTCTCGACACCCGTTGTGAGGACTTCGCCACTGCCAGCATTTGACCATACCAATGGTGCCGTTGTTCCTGCTACTGTCTATAATAATAACATTATTAGCAATAACAGCAGCAACAATCCTTATCTCAACAGTAATAGCCATAGCCAAAGTACCAATCCTTTTGTAGATCAGCCTTCACAGATACCTTCAGGTGGACATATCTAGCTTTGTAATTTATCCATTTGTGTAAATATTCGATTATGTGTACTATTTCCTTGACATGTAAATAAAAATGCCGAAGATTGGTCATATTTCATCCCAAAAAAAAAAGCAGCAAAAATGAACATATAAATGAAGCAAAAGTCCAACTCATCACAGAGAGCATCCTATCTGTATTCCTGAACTCCATGCCTCTACAAGTCATCCGGGCGGTCGACAACCTTGAGCGCTATAGCATTGCTAGGTCAAATGTCAACATTTACCACAATGTTGCCGTCGGCAACAGAATTCAATTAGTCCATTCATCCTTTGTGCATGATGTCATCACTGCAAGTCTTCATGAATGGGTGCAGCTACTTTTGACTCCTGTCACACAACTTATTGAGTCGCATCCTTCACTTTCAGCTGTCTTGAGTGATTATTTAACAGCCAAGCCCGTATTCATGCGTCTCGAGACAATCAATCTCCTACAATTGGTCCGGATTGTCCCTGTGTCTCTCAAGGAGGCTGTGCAGATTGCACAGATCCTAGAAGAGGAACACAATATCCCCTTTGATCTTTCAGATCAAACTTCCCCATTATGGCGACTGGTGATCGCTCCTATCGAGAAATCATCATCGTCGTCTTCATTTTATCTGCTCTTTGTGTTCCATCATGTCATAGCCGATGGACGGTCTGCGATGACTGTGACAGAGCAATTAATACAACATCTTAATACACAAGCCCAAGGTCGGCAGGCATATCCACGTGCCAGTGCTGATGGATCGAACCTCAATCGCTTCAACATCCCAATCAGGCACACTAATCCTATTCCACTTTCGATCGAATCTCGCGTTAACTGCTATCCTTCTCTCTGGACCTTGATCACGGAAGCCTCGAGAGCACTACTGCTTCCAGGGTCGGTGAAGAAGATATTGGAAACTAAATACTGGGCTGGAGAGATTGATAGCACACTGGAGGAGCCAAATGTGACAGAAATGGTATTATTACAATTCACACAATCAGAAACAAGTCGAGTGATCCAAGCAGCCAAACGAAGCAAGACCACGGTCCAGTCGATTCTGTTCTCGGGAGCTGTGTTTGCAACAAAAAACGTATTCATGACCGGTCAGCAAAAGCATTATAATGAAAATTACGACCGAAGTGGAAAGAGCGAGGAGGCAATTGTGTTTGCGACGCCTGTGTCTCTCCGTGACTTGATTCCAATCCCAATTCCTTCAGAAGACTTGGGGAATTATACGTCCGAGATCTTGCACAATAACATCCGGATCCATGAAGAATCTGAGTTTTGGGAGACGAGCCGGGTATATCGTGAACAAGTAATTCGAGGAACAAGGACTAAAAAGGGGTTACAGGATTTATTGGAACACTTTGGGATGTTGAGTCTGCTACCTAAGAGTGATGGTGCATGGGAGGCGTTCATGGCGAGTAAAGTATATAAGGACCAACATGGACGGAAGGCCTCCGTCAAGTTGTCGAACCTAGGGCGCGGTTGGACTCGGTCTATTCCAAGTGATGAAGATGGGAGAGGAGACCAAGCGGATGGAAATGGTGGCACTCTTAATAGCGGTAAGAACGGAGTAAGATCCGATACTCAAATGTTCAGTATCAAAGACGCGATCTTCTCGCAGTCGTCGGGTGTCACAGCTTCAGCACTGACCATGAATGTGGCAACGGCCAATAATATCATGACTGTAACTACAACATGGCAGAAAGCAGGTTTCAAGGGTAGAGCCCGTGGCGAGTTGTTTGTTAGCGAGTTTAAACGTATTTTATTTGAAGCAATTGAGACTATGGAGAAAGGAAAAGAACACTACTTTTTCATGGATGCAGTAAGAAATGATAAGTGAGAGGGAGAAGAAGCGGCATAAATATCTCCGCGATAGCCTAGTCAGAGAATAGTTGATATTCCTTTGCAATCTATTGATGCTTTATTACTCTGCAAGACCAATGTTTTTCGCTGTGCTCTAGGAATGCACATCTCGGAAGGCGAATGCCTGTCAAAATGCGCATATTCAGAGGAAAAAAGGAGGGAGAAGGAGGTGATGCGCGTCGAAAATACCCCTGCCGATGTCTGCTTTGCTTGTATGCAGGTGGTGGTTGTGGTATCGAAGATATTTTTGTATGATCAACAAGGATCAATTGAATGCATGTATAAGTTGTACTCTTTTTTTTTTTAGCCTTTTCACATTCAGACATTTCATCATAGAGTGGGTGACTTTTGGTTTACCATTTATAATAAAAAAGATATCGAGGACTCATCAAAGATGAATAGCCACTCCTTCCCCTTTATCCGCGCATTCATTGTTTAATTTTCATCATTCCTATGCAATGATTTACTGCATCCCTTGTGATTAGGAATGAGTAAATGAATCGTAGGGTGCAGAAATGCAGATTCTAAAGACATGTTTGTTACTCTTGCTGGCAAGAAGCATCGTGTCTGCTGCACGTTGTTCTGTGTTTGATTTAATGCACATTGTGAACAAAAGAAGGAGACACAGGGACACAAAGAGAAAGAGAAAAAGGCAAGGAAAAAGGGAAAAGAGGGGTCTGTGTTGTAATATCAAGCTCAAGAAGCTTTTTTTTTTTTTTTTTTTTTTTTTTTTTTTTTTTTCGAATCAAGTTCAAAAGGTACAGAAATAACTAACGGGAGAGACAGGGAACAAAAGGGGATCACAAACAACTCTTCCGCAAACAAGGATACATGTGTACATGTGTCAAGGCTAAAAAAAAAAAAAAAAAAAAAAAAAAAAGAAACTATGAATCATTCTACATTAAACATGCACGAGGTGGCTGGTTAGTTGTAGGCAATGCTCGGACGAGGTTTTTTTTATGAAGTTATTTATGCTTCCCACGAAAGGATGTACGGAATGTCCTTTTTCTGTCCACAGTCCTCTTAGACCAAGCTGGCACTATTATTGCTTTGGTCTCCTCAATGTGTTTCTTGTTCTTGATCTTTCTAATCTTTGTGTTGGTCTGTTTCTACTCGTATCGTAGCCTTTGTGTTGTCAATGATTCAACTGTTAAATCTATTCATGTCTTTTCGTATTCCCTCATCTTGTTTCTCCACTGTGTGTGAAGTGTTTGAAACACTTATTCGGAAGAGGAAGCGCTTGATCTTTTCTTTGAAAAGACCACACAAGCATCAGTCATGAAGATGGTCTGGCATTGACTGCCTTGCCTAACAGGCTTCTCCCACGAGAAAAAATAGAGCCCTGTGTGGCTCTTTTTTTTTTTTATGCTGTTGTTTGTGGGGTGTACCATGGTGGTCAGAGAACAAGAACCTTTTTTTTTTCCTGGCCCTGAAAAAATAATCCAACAATAATCTTCAACAATCAATTGGATAACACCATGTTGGAGTGAACGAAGGTGGGGCTAGTTGGTGTTTCTGTTTTTATTTTCAGCGCGTCTGTTGTTTACTTCTTTTCTTTCTTTCTTTTTTTTTTTTATTTTTTTTTTTTAAAAAAACTTCATTCTTCTCATTCCGAACTCAACTTCTCTCTTTTCTTTCATCACATTACACAATCCTTCCTGTCTCCTTGCTATTGCATTGCCATCACGTTACAATCACCCCTCTCACTATCTCAATTTCATTCTCCCTTTGTATCTCACTGTCTTTTGTGTAATCTGCCCTACTTGTCTCCAAATCCCTTACTCTCCTTTTTGCCCTATCTTGGTCAATGTCAACCTCACTTTTGCTCGAAATGCTCAGGCGGTCTGGCCTGGAGCACTATTACCCTAGGTACAACATAACAGAGCAAAAAACCCTCCTTGGGTTGGAGCATTAAACGTGTGTATCTTTAAAAAAGCGAGTGGGCGCGTCTGTACTGTCTGACAGACAGGGATAATGACATTGATAGAGTATTCAGATATTGCAGTTTCTATCGTTGTCTTTATTGCCATTACCATATTTCTCCGTTATGTACCACAGAGACAGACTCTGAACGGGGAAGAGGGAAAGAAAGAACAGCGCTTCGCAGAGACGCGAGTGAGATGACATTGATTCTTGGGTGGCAATGGGTGTGAAGGCTATTTGTCCAGCTGTAAAGAAAACGAACGTCCCTTAAACATGTTTCAGTATATCTGACGTTCTCTCTTTCATTCGATGCTGCATATAGCTTCTCCACGCGTGGAATCACGCAGCTTGATAACCTTGCCCAGGTATAGTATCTAAACATCTAAACATCACGATTAAAATAATAACGCAGACTCCAGTTTTTCATGCATATTCTCGTCGTCTATGAACGTAGCCACGATATTGGATAACAAAGTCTTCCCATCATGTCAATGTCATTACCTTTGTTTGCAGTCATTGACCTCTTCCTCCTATTCTATTTGTTTTTTCACCACATGTCACGGACCTGTGGTTGTTTTTTTTTTTTTTTTTTTTTTTTTTTCCCGCTGCATGCAATGATATGCAAATTATATTTGACTTCGGTCATTCCCAAATAGCTTTCCATGCAGGATTACAGTACTCTAGGGGTCACGAGTATGGACGACAGAAGAAGGCTTTTCCAGCTGATTCAGACTATCAAGGCCCAATATCTTGATTCACCAGAACCTTCCCCCACACTCACTACACCTTCAGCGAACACAATCGCAGCCACAACAGCCATTTCCACTTCATCGCCAATGATGTCTCATCTAGCACTCTCAGGGTTAGGGTCCCCAGTAGAAGAATCAGTCCAAAATATAAATGGGTTTTCACGTGGCTATAACAGTACGCAGAGCCTAGAAGAGATCTCAAGAAGAGTTTCAGACGCTCGTCTCTCCATAGGTCGCCGGTCTGGCGCTAACATGACTGCCAACTTGACCCATTCCAAGAGCCTGTCTGGATCCATGGTTATGGCATATCAGCAGCAGCAACGGCAAAGCCATGATTATGATTTTGAGCTGCAGCAACAACACCAAATGCAACAGCAACAGCAAATGCAGCAGCAAATGCAGCAGCAGCAATATCAACAATATCAGCAGCAGCAACAATTATTGCAACAGCAACATTATCGCCAACAGCAACGCGAATTGATACAACAACATCAACATCAACAACAATATCAACCTCAAGTGTATCCTGATGGTCGGAATTTTAAAGAGGCCTCTGACGACGAAGAAGATCCTATACCCGTTCAAGAGGCTAAGCAACGAGGTTTAGATGCCTATTGTGTACCAACAAGAGGGACCCTAGCCCGTGGTAATTCGCACACGTCAAATGATATGACGGCCAAAATCCGTGTCTGTGTCCGTAAGAGACCGCTCAGCGCTAAAGAAATTAATCGCGGTGAGAAAGATATGGCTTCTTGCACTGGTCGGCAGCTGGCCGTAGATGAGCCCAAGTATGTTTTCTTTTAAATCCGTCAAATTTATTGAATGCTCTCTATGAATGTACCTCGTAACCATAATAATTTAATCAATATTTCATGAAACTTTAATGTATTATAATAGAGTACGGCTGGATATGACCAAATTTATCGAGAGACATAAGTTTGTATTTGATGAAGTTTTCGATTCTGACGCCACGAACGAGGATGTATACCGTCGTACAGCATACCCATTAGTTCAATACCTTTTTGAAGGTGGAAAGGCCACCTGCTTTGCCTAGTAAGTTTTAAATTTGGCAAAGATATTCGTCAGCTTTTTTTTTTTTTTTTTTTTTTTTTTTGCCATCATGCTAACTTATTTCATTCAATCGATACCTTAGTGGACAAACCGGAAGTGGAAAGACGTATACAATGCTAGATGAAAAACAAGGGTTGTATGTCTTGGCTGCCCGCGATATTTTTGTGAAGATGCGGAACCCTGAAAACTCCCATCTGGGGGTGTATATTGGCTTTTACGAAATTTATCAAGGCCAGCTCCATGACCTCCTCAACAACCGTAAGAAATTACATGCACGTGAGGATGGCAAGAGTAGTGTTGTTGTTGCGGGCCTAAAAGAATATGAAATCGTCAACGTTGAGGGCCTAATGCAAGTATTCGAGTATGGTAACAATGCTCGCAGTACAGGTAAGAGCTACTGGGATGCAACTGAGCTTTTTTTCTCTGATTGTCTTTTCCATATTTTTGATTAACTCATATTATTATCATTTACTTTATAGGAAGTACAAGAGCTAACGCGGATTCTTCTCGATCACATGCCATCATGCAGCTTGTGCTCAAAGATCGCTCTACAAAGTCTGTAGTAGGCAAACTGAGCTTCATCGATCTTGCTGGTAGCGAGAGAGGTGCTGATCGTGGTGAAACTGATGTCAAGACAAGGTACTATTCTTTTTTTTTTTTTTTTTTTTTTTCTTCGTTTTATTTATTTTATTTTGAATACGTTTTTAACTCCTATGGTTTTGCCGACACTATCATCGTAGGATGGAAGGGGCTGAGATCAATAAGAGTTTATTGGCGTTGAAAGAGTGCATTCGAGCTCTGGATCAAGGTGGAAAACACACACCTTTTCGTCAAAGCAAACTGACGCAAGTCCTAAAGGATTCATTTGTTGGTAATTCACGAACTTGTATGGTCGCCACCATTTCTCCAAATAACTCGAACAGTGAACATACCCTCAATACTCTTCGCTATGCTGATCGGTATGTCTTATATATCTTCATGGGTTTCATGGGACAAATGTTGTTGTATGTTTGTGTGTAGACTATATATTAATCTCGATCCCTGTTTTTTTTTTTTTTTTTTTTTTTTTTTGTTTTTCCAGTGTCAAGGAACTCAAAGCAGATGGTGGAGCACGAGAAGCGGTCCCAGATCAAGACGATGCACTACCACGAGAAGACTACATGGAGGACACTGAGGGCGAACTCGGAACGACAAGTGCATATGATGATGATGATTTTATTTCGTCTTCAAGTGATAATCTTGTAGATGAAACAATCGACCTGCTTGATGATGAAGAATTTCCTCATGTGTTGGATCATGAAGAAATGGTGCATCATCCTCTAGTGACCAGTACATACGAACACGAGCTAGAGGAGCCTAGTCCAAGGGAACTGCGAGGCACGTTTGACGATGGTGAAGAAATTAATTTGCATCACAGAATGACGTTCCAACAGCAGAAACAGCAGCAACAGCAATCTCATCTGTCCCAACAACACCAGCATCAACGGCAGTTGCTGCAGCAGCAACAGCAACAACAACAACAGCAACAACAGCTAGAAGCGGAGAGATTGCGTGAACCAATTCCCTCTTCAAATGGATCACCGGTCTTGAAGCATTCGAGCTCTATCAAGAGAGGCAGTGGAAGTAGCGGCAGTGGCCGCAAGGCCGAAGCACTGAGTCGACTACCCATGCCTAGAAGTAATTCTGGAGTAGTCCAAGTTCCTCCTCCAAGGAGTATGTCGCCTACAGGTATAAGCAGTAGCCCAACGACCATAGCAAGTCCCTCTTCGATCGCAGCGCCGTCGGCAAACCGCATGTCGCTGATCGGAGCGGGAGCTGGTAGTCGAAGGAGTTCTGCAAATGTTTCTCCTCCCTTGGGAACGCGACGCGCTAGCCCGGACTCCACTTCGCCTAACAGGGGAACCACTTCCAGCGATACGAACAATGGCAGTGCCAATAGCGGCCAAAAGCCAAACAGCGTCAATTCTCCTTCACATTTGAAGCGGCCATCAGTCGCAACGATGCGCCAAGCAAGCGGAAGCACAACATCATCTATATCAGCAGCTTCAGGGGGCGCAACAACTGCGGCAGCTGCGACGGTTCGTTCCGGAAATGTGCCAGCGGCATCGGCGCAAAATAGCAGCGAATCTCATTTCGGCCCGAACTCACCCACGTCGCCGCGTGTGACGACCGCAGCTGTGGTTCCACAGTCACAGACGGCCACGACATCAACAACAACTTCCTCCAATGGTGAATCGTCTTGGACCTTCTCTGTAACAGAGATGCAAGAGTTTGTTCGAGAGCACCGGATTGAACTGCAAGAATGCGGCGAGCTAACGAAGCGAGAGACCAAGTTACTGAAGAATGTCATGTTAGGCATGTCATCCCCAGCGATGGCGGAGACCACTGGATATAGTGGTGATCGCGAGTCGTTTGAGCGGTATCTTGCAGAGTTGGATGAAATTGTAGACGAAAAATTGATTACAATTGTAGCCATGTCTCAGAAACTGAAAGCATTGAGGTCGCAGATGTAAAAACCATTTAGTTTTTGTTTATTGTTATCTTGTAATATATACACCTTTTTCTTATAAAGCTGATAATTGAAAAAAACAAAAACAAAAAAAAATCTTGCCCTCATTCTCATTCATCATCTCTGGATCATACGGTGCATGCGAAAACATAAAATGATACCTTGCTTCTATGTGACTCTTCCGTCGAATACAAGTTTTTGATAGTAATTTCGGGATATGATTTATTATTCTTCAGAATTCTTTCTCCACTCTCCATGGAAGGCTCACTAACAGTGAAAAGGGACTATATACATATACATTATAAAAGCAGCAGAGGAACAAAGGAATGTTTCAGGGTTTGGGCGAAGTACTTAAACGACATAACATTGTTAGTAAATCCGGCTGTAAAAGACTTCCACATGGACTAATTTATGCATGCTTTTGAGAGACAAAGAAAGCATGCATTGATTCAGCTGAAGAAACATAGAGCAACCATGATAGATCGTAAATAAAATGGATAGGAGACAGATGTGGTATAGCGAATAATAATTGGACCTGGGCATGACTGGAGAAGCGGCAAGAGCTGCTCGTGAGTGTGGATCCTATTGATCAAAAGCAAGTTGAAAGATCTCATAAATATCTATGCCGGCTACACACTGCGGGGAGGGGCTTTTGAATTATACACATTGAGAAGGATTACCTTGTGTTGGCGCTGCTGTCTCTGACAGATCAATTTGCAAGGCCAGATTAAGATGGATGTATCCAATGTATAATAATATCAAGACAGTTGGAGTTGCCTTGAAACCAACTTTCCAACTCTGAGTGATGGACTTAGGCGAAAGTCCATGGTAAATGCCCTGTATAGGCCAATCTGATGTGCGCTCTATCTCGTCCTCATCCTTATCCTCATCGTCGTCACTCCTATCATGGCATCGTACTTCCCGCACGCCACTGATGTGCATCTCTAGAGATCCCCAAATGTACTCCTCCTCTGCTGTAGTAAAAGTTAGGTCTTTGTCCTTTGGGGTCTACACCTCTTCTTGTCCTTTGTGCTTGCTCCTACATCGCTTTTAGTTCTTTCCTCCATGTCCTTTTTTTTTTTTTTTTTTTTTTTTTTTTTGGTAACAAGGACTCAAGAGGTCATCTAGAATTTATTAAGATGTTAGCTCTATAAATGGGTTGCCCCATTACTGGAGTCACAAATAAAGCGGTATCCAATAATCGACCGAAGTCGCAAGTTTTTTTTTTTGATAACAAGGACCCTCAGGGTCATGGGATTTATTTTCTACACTCTATGAACAAAATGCTCCAGAAACTATAGTCAATAAACAGCTATTACTGCACAAACGACAAGAGCCGCTGTATCCATGATTTCATAAACCCTGACCGCCGTGGTTGGTACTCAAAGTCCACCTTTCCGACGTGGCCTGTTGCGCAACGCGACAAATTATCCGCTATCCATAGTCATCAAAAACTTCATTCCACCTAGCCGCTCCATCACGTCCAGGTTGGTTTTCCCAAGGTAACTGTCCCGGACTCGGTCATCCGCGATCTTGTAGATCTCTTTTACATTCAGCTTCTGTCTTTGTCTGAGGGAAGGGACAAGGAAATCATTGCTACTACGTCTGTGCTCCCCAACACAGTTGCCTCCTCTAGCGCGTTTGCTCATAGCAGTGATTCCACGAGCCTTTTCCCATTCAACGGTGACTTTACACCGTTTGTTCCAGATTTCTGTACGACCGAATTCCTCTATGGCCTTGACGAAGCGCCCTGCCATATATGTAGCTATCCTTGTTGTTGTCTTGAAGCCAACTTTCCAACTCTGAGCAATGGACTTGGGCGTAAGTCCATGGTAAATGTCCTGCACAGACCAATCTGGTGTGTGCTCTCTCTCTTCCTCATCATCGCCGTTCCTATCACCATGGCGTCGTACTTCTCGCACACCATCGATATGCATCTCCAGAGTTTTCCAAATGTAGTCCTCCTCTGCCGCAGTAAAAGTTGGCTCTTTTGTCCTTGGTGGGTCTACACCTCTCTCTCTGGCCCTTTGTGCTTGCTCCTGCACTGCTTTCAACTCTTTCCTCCATGTCCTCTCCCCTATCACATTCACATTTTGGATTATCTCCTTCCACTTCTCGGCCTGAGTCTCCATCGTCCTTGGACATCTCCAGATGTGCGATGTGTCTTCATCCTCTGTCCCACACACTCTGCAGTTGCCGTCTTCATAAAGGTCCGGCCTCCAGTGTCTCATATATGACTGTGTAGGCAACATTCCATGGAGTTTCTTGATCCTGTGCGCTCGCTTTTGGCAGTCCGCTGGGCTGGTGAAGAGTCCTTTCGGTAGGTTGCTATCATGAACAATGTTCATAGTAGCTCGCCAATCAATTTTTGTCCAATCCTTAACATGCTCCTGCATCCTGTTGTGAGCGATCCACGTGTGATGTGTACGAGTTGTTGACTGTAACTTAAGGATCTGCCTTAAGTCATCTTCCGCTGGTACACCGTTGAACTTTGCATGGCAGTACATGTCATTATGCTTCGTTATGTTGATATCCCATAGCTCGCCATAATGTCCATGTTTTGCTGCTTCGTCCGCTTCTTCGTTCCCTCGGTTGCCGGCATGTCCTTTGACCCACTCGACCGTGACTTCCGATCCTTGTTGAATAAATGCGTTGTGTATAGTTGCCCACCATACTGCATACGGTGATCTAATACGTTGTCGCAACGTGCGCCCTGCCATATATGTAGCCACCTTCAGTTGTTAACGTTAACACGCTACCATATCACGTGATAACTATGTTCGTACCATCCATGACCTTGAGCTTTACTTTATAGAACTCTGGCGCACAAGACCCTGAAAAAATCACTGTCTTAAGAACCGGGGGGTTATACTGAGATGCCCTTAAAAACCGCAACGAGACGCAAATACATAGAACACACTGAAGTTTTTTTTTTTTTTTTTTTTTTTTGATAACAAGGACCCACGAGGTCATGTAGGATTTATTTTGATGTTAGACATAGAACACACTGAAGTGTTGTACCAAGATAAAGGTCTTTATTAGTTTATGATACATATAATACTATACAAGTAACTAGTGCTGAGATGAATGAGGTTGCATACCTGAAGTGTTGTACCAAGATAAAGGTAAGGAACACTTCAGGGACGGAGAGTCCACTATTTATTATAGCGGGGAGGATCGGGTGGCTGAGCTCACGTCCAGGCAGGACGGGGTGGGTTTGAGGGTACCACTATAGGTATACCTCTGGTCCTACCTACCATGACGTCACTTGTTATAGGACGTGAGCTTAAGTTGTCTCGATTTAGGACAACCCTGTCGTAAATGACGCCTATTCATTTACCTAAATATGTATTTCCTTTCAATTTATTTATTTCCTATCATCCTATTTTCTACCATTTTTAAATAGTATTTTAGTAGCTTTTTCCTTCACTGCAAAAACGGCATCTCTCTTCTTATTATCGATGCCCTTTTGCAGGTGAGTTTATCTTCATTATTCTCATTATGAATTCTCAGAAAATTAGCAGTTATTAAAGATCTCTCTTTTTATTATCGATGCCCTTTTGCAGCATCCTCAAAATCATTCAAAGCATTACTTAGGATCACTATCGTATCCCAAAACCACGAGGCTCTTGCCCAATTCTTCATTTTTCATCATTACCTACTAGTTTCCAGAGATCACTAGTAGATGCTCTACGACAACCCATCAAACTGGATCAATTCCGATTGGGTCGGCCCTAATGGCTTAGTGGTTATAGCGTCCCACTCGTAATGGGAAGGTCCTCGGTTCAACTCCGAGTTGGGGCAAAACTTTTATCTTTACTGCTTTTTTTAATGATCTTTCTACAACGGATTAATCTATTTGGCAGCCCAGTTGCCAAATAACATTCATTATTTACTTGGCAGCCTACCCAGCGTTATTTGGCCTCTAACTATTTTTTTTTTTTTTTTTTTTTTCATTCCTAGGAACCGTATATGTTTATAACGCTCATACTTCAAATTAATAAAGCTCCCGTCTTCTACGTCATAGTTATGTGTAGTGACATTGTCTTGTCTCATTTAGAAAACTAATGACTTTTTTTTTTCAAGTAGGTCGCTCATACAGTTTTGGAGGTGCCATTTGGAGATCAATGCCTATGAGAGGTTTTCGCTCGGAGCAAACGCGTCTCACCTGCTACCTAGACGTCTTCAATAAATCATTCCCTAACCGTGTACATTGAAGGCTGTTTTGTGAAGATGTCATCGCCGCTGCCCTTAGTACCTCCGGCGGCATTAGCTGTGCAAGGCAATGTATCCACAGAACGCTGCCTGTTTTACCACTGATGTTATGACCCTGTTATCAAAAAAAAAAAAAAAAAAAAAAAGTAATGTATTTGGCAGCCCAGCTGCCACCCAAGAGTGCGAAGTTAAGTGGCAGCCCCCAGAAGTAGGCTGCCAAATAGAGGCAAAAATTACTATAATTGGTATGGGCTGCCAAATAGATTAATCCTTCTACAACTGTTTTCTTCGACATGTGGAGACTGTGGGTAAATTACGATCGATCATTTTGCATGCCGTCGGAGGCGGCTTGAACAGGACGCGATCTTGGCCGTACGACTTTTTCTTTAGAAAAACGAGCAAATCAAATATAAGATCGTTCAAAAGAGTAAAATAAAAAAGCTTTGACCCCACACGGTTCATGTCTGCGTTGTATTCGGCACAACTATGAGCCGACTACGTATGCGTCTCGCAGTAACTCTCTCATTACTCATTACTCCATTCATGAATTATACCTTTTTTTCTTTTTTTTTCTCCCACCCACATTTCTTTCTTTCTCACTTTAACTGTAAATTCACCACCAACACTAATAATAACGACAGCCATCAATGTCTCAAGGCTCTTCAACAGCACCTCAGGTAGATCTCTCCAAGGCTGTCGGTTTCCAGCCTCCGCCTCAGCGTGTGATCTACACAGCACGAGACCTGATGCTCTATGCTCTCTCCATCGGCGTCCAACCCTCAGAGCTTCATTTCTTATACGAAAACGACCGCAACTTTTCGGCCTTCCCAACATATCCTCTTGTCTTGGGACTTAAGAAAGACAACCATGGTGTATCCGTTTATGGTGCAGGCGGAAAAGAGGATATTCCAGGAATCCCTTCCTATGACCCCAACAAGCTTGTACATGGTGACCAGTCGCTCGAGATCTTGAGATATCCTTTACCGCTCGAAGGCACATTCGAATTGCATACCAAAGTCACTGGTGTCTATGATAAGGGTAAAGGCATGGTCATTGAACGCACCACCACCATGGTTGATCCTAAGGAACCCAATAAACCCTATGCTTCCATGAAGGGCTCTGCCTTTGTGAGAGGTGCCGGTGGCTGGGGTGGTCCCAAGGGTCCTAAGCCTGAGGCCTTGGATCCTCCTAAGGATAAGCAACCTGATGCTTCATATGAGGACAGAACCACGGATGATACTGCTATCTTGTACCGTCTTTCTGGGTAAGTTAGACTGTTATTTTTTTTTTATGTTCAGCGGTCTTTTTGTCATTCTTCAGCTTTTTTAACTGATACAGTATCTTTTTTTAAAAAAAAACATTTATAGTGACTATAATCCTCTTCATATTGATCCTACAATTGCTCCTCGCGTTGGATTCAAAAAACCAATCTTGCATGGCCTCTGCACTTATGGACACGCTGCACATGCTGTCCTTAAGACCTTTGCATCTTCTGACCCCAGTGCACTCAAGTCCATCACCGGTCGTTTCACAGCTCCCGTTTACCCTGGAGACACACTCGTCACCAACATGTGGAAGGTCCCGAGTGATCACAAAGACCAAGAGAAAATCATCTTTCAAGTCGTTGCCAAAGAGTCCAACCAGATTGTCATCAACGGAGGATGTGTCGTCCTCTGGAGTAAGGGCAAGAGGCCTGAGAGCAAATTGTAAAATAAGAATGTTCCATGATGAGAACAAAACAGAGTACGCTCAATTCAGAGTTCAAAAAAATGCAAGACGTTCGTGCTTGATAAAAAAAAAAAGATATCGTTTATTTCGAGAATAAAAATAATAATAAAAAACTGTGACGCTATGGATTAATGGCAATGCCACTTGCATGAAATGTAGTCATCGGTGAATAATAGCCGATTTAAAAAGCGAAAAAAGACAAGGGTATGGTGATGGTACAAGGAGGATAAGAGTACAGGTCGTCTACCCTGGATCATAATTGTCCAGGGATAAGAAAAGCGCGAAAAACAAAAAACTACAGATCAGACATTTAAAATTGTATAAAAAAAAGTCATGAAATACATCTAATCAAAGGAGAGGAAAGCATAAATGTACAGGACAGAGAGAGTTGAGAGGCAAATAATGATGCCCCTGACACATCGGAACAAACAATAATTAGATGTTCCTTTGAGCTCAAAGTGAGAGATTAGATGCAAATCATCAACCATAAAAAAAAAAAGGAGAGGATACTGACAGCCAAATTGAAGAGTAAATGAGTATGATACAGCCGCAAGAATAAAAATCAAGTACTCAAAGACCAAGCGCTAGAAAAATAATGAAGCCCAATCACGTTGGCAGGACAAGCCTAAAGGCCTTTATAGATGCCTGAAAATGAAAACAAAACATGGAATTATGTCAGTTGTGATTTGGCTCTTCTTTATGCTATTCGTATCCAATGAATGGTACAACAAATGGGCCTGAAGTTTAAACATACCATGTCGTTGAGTATCAGTTTTTTTTGGCCACACTTTGTTCTTGTATTTCATCAACTCTTGCCCCATCAAGTATCCATAGCGATCAAAGAATGCACGTGGTAATTCCCAGTTATGAGGATCCAATGGGTGTCCATGGCAAATGGCACCACCAAGTAACAACTGACAGAGCTCTTCAATATCGTATTCGTGCTGATGCAAGATCATCTTCGCACGGAGTTTGGGGCATGGGATCAAGTCAATGCGAGCGTCATGAGGCATGGCATAGATCTTGGGGTCGATTGATGGGTCTGTTGCAGGAGCGGCGGAAGCGAGGATACGGAGTTCCATCTGTAAGCGATAGGACGGAAGGACCACATCAGGTTGTTGCTGTGCATGCTGTGATTTCAATCCGTCATCAAATGACAGGCTAGGTCCAGACATACTGAATTCGTTACTGTCAACATCATCAGAGTCTAGGAATGAGGATGTTCGGTTGGGGAATGCTGTGTCCATTGAGCTTGCCGAGAACGTAAAGATGTTTTGGTTAGGTGAGAAGGCTGCCTGATCCTGCAGCTGACCAAACAGGTTTGCATCAGATGACATGGCTTGAGGTGAGGATGTTGGCATTTTGTGGTTGTTGGTAGAGCTATTGCCACCATTCGATTGCACGTTAGTCTGCGAGAAGAGTGTAGCCTGAAGGTCATCGTAGGTCTGGTTAGGGAGCCAATTAGCTGGTGCTGCCAGATTGGAGCGGGCGGCAGTAAGTGGATCCATGGGAGCTGAAGTAGCTGTCTTTCCGTCATCAGAGCCAGAAGACGAGAACAAAGAAGGCGTCGATTTGTAAAGGACATCGTTGTTCATCGAAAAGATATTATCATCCTGAGGGTCAGCAAGACCAAGTTGGGCCCATGCATTGGCCGTACTGGACGGGGGCACCGCTGTTGATGATGGTGTGGATGGGGCCATGTTGTTCAGTGGAGCTTGGGATGTACCGCCGAATGAAGGCTTGAGAACATTGGTCATGGCTGCAGCATGAGCAGTCATAGCTGCAGTCAAAGCTTGGTTCAACATTTGGACTTGTGTGGCATGAGGAATATTATCATCAACAGGGACAGGGCCAGGCATGGGTATGGACATAGGAGCAGGCGTTGGGACAGAAGCGGCTACTGAAACAGGGCTTTCAGGTGCAAGGGAGGATGGAACAGGCGAGGGATGCTGTTGTGGTGTCGAGAACGAGAGCTTACGGGCGGCATGTGTTTCATAATGACGCCTGTAGAGCTCGGCCTTGACATCTTGTAACAAAGCTGCATTTCCGGTCTTGCCCAGGGCCGATTCAAAGGAGAAAACAACTTCACGAAGATAATAATTTTCGCTCTGCAGTTGCTCAATGATGTTCTTGAGCTGATGGGACTCGCGCTGGAAACGGATGTTTGAGTGGTGATGCGACTCCTTAAGCTCTTTAATCATGTTTTCGAGCTGCTGCAGGTGACGCTCCTTTCTATCGCGAAATGCGCGCTGAGCTGCCCTGTTCTGCTCTTTACGGACAGCAGGCGAAGCGGGATTAGGCTTACGGCCAGGTTTCTTGCGGGTCTTCGCTGGTGGCGGCGCAGCAGGATCCCTACTAGCAGCATCAGTTGCATTGGTTCTGGTTGTGGTGGCTGTATTGGCTCTGTCAGAATCCTTGAACGACTGTTCGTCGTGGTCCTCCTCATCGTCATCGTCTTCCGAGTAGTCTTGACCTTGAGAAAAAATTTTGAGAGACCAAAATTAGTGGGTGTGTCACGATGATTCCAAAGTGTTGTGGGGGAGAGGAAGCGGCGAGGGCAGAGAATGTGGAAGGAGAGGGGAGGAGGGCAAGGGTCCTTGCTTACCATTCTCAGATGGGGATGCTTCTGGGAAGGGTCTCTTGTCGGGACGATCCATTTCCACAGGGTTCTTGCGATGAGAAAGAGGTGAAGCTGTTGCTGCAGCTATGGCAGCATCAGCTGTTTTGGCAGTCATTGTCAAAGAGGAAAGATAAGCTCACAAAATAGTGGGGGTGTAAATGGAATGACGAGCAGGAAGGAAAAAAAGAAATAGAATAATAAGAGTAAGAGAAGGATAGCGCGTGAAAGTTTTTTTTTTTTTTTTTTTTTTTTTTTTTTGCTCTGGGGAACAACTGTGCAAATAAAGGAAGCAAAAAAGGCGCTGGGAATGGATTCAGCTGTGGTTGACAATCGTAGCGCAGTGAATGTGTTGAATAAATGAGTGGGGGTTGAAGGAGTTTGAGAGGAAAATAGGTCGGAAGGGCGGAGAATAAGAGGCAGAAGAAGGGTGCAAGGAAGAGAAGAGGAAAAGAGGAAGGAAAATGAATTCGGAAAATATAGAGAGGATCGAACTGGTTACTTTCTCCACATGTGTGGGGGAGGTCACTGATGTCAAGGGAAAAAAAAAAAAAAAAAAAAAAAAAAAAGACAATGGAGCAAAGAGCAAAGAGAGCAAAGAGAAAGAGAAGAAAAGAAAAAGGGGAAGGATAAAGATGTCGGACGGGATAGAGTGAGGAAAATGATAGAATAGCATAACAAATATAAAACAATAACAATAAACAATAATGCAATTATGGGCGGTGATATATGCATGTAGAACAAACAAAACAAGGGCCAACAGAGGAGCTTCTTTGCACTTAGGGGGTTTATAACCGTTGCCATGTATGCAGTCTTTATTGCTTCTAGTAGACTACATGGCTCTATGACTAGTATACAACATTAAGCAAGCACCGAATATATAATACATAAATTAGCACTCGTTCAATTGTCGCAACTTCATTTACTTACATTCTAACGGCTCTGTTCCGGGTTCAGTATCCTCTATCTGCATACATAATACAGTTATACATCTTATATATAATATAATATATTTATATTAGTATTTGTATTTGAACGCCTGAGCGGAACAATGTTTTATATATAAATGTGCATACTTTTATAACCATGTAAACATTCATGGTGCATGCTGTTCAATAGCCATGGGATATGCGAATGTGGGAGAGGACACAGAATAGAGTTATTCATGTGTTTCCAAGGAGATTTGTTGAGAGTGTATAGAAAAATAAAGGAAAGTATTTGTTGAGAGCCATGGCCTGACCTCGATTCTCATTCTTCAGTCTAATATTGTTTAACGTGTATGTCTTGCCATGGCGTTCACGTAGAAGTTGAATAACAAATCAGCATCAACAACGGCGCACTGCCCCCCTATTCCTTTCTCTTCAAAATATATTTTGCTCTCATCATTAACACGCCTCAAACCATCTTTTTTTTTTTTTCCTTTTGTGTGTTCTTTACTCCACAAAATCCCGTCAAAACATAAAAAAAAGATAGAGTCTAAAATATCGGTTTTGTGGGCGCAAAATTCGTTGAAAAATGATGCCGAATTAAGTTCAGTATTTCGAACTGCGGGGCCTTGGCATCATTAACAAAAAGTTACCAAGCAAAGAGTCCTGCATCTATCTTGCAGAAAACCTTTTTTTTTTTTTTTTTTTTTTAGACGACAGTGTTCTGTTGTGTGTCATAAAGCAAAAGGTTGCCATTCAATATTCAATACAAACAGGTGGGTGATACACGCTCGAGTCTGGACAGGTGGTTATTGCAATCCTGTTTGTTTTCTTGCTTCCTTCATTTGTCCATGTGTGCATCTCACTCACACTCATATCTCCCTTGCACTAGGCATTTGTACACAAAGAAGAGCATTGATACCATTAGCTCTGAATGTATGAATGATTTATACTCAACAACAAGAAGAAATAAAAGGATGAGTGTTTGTATACTTTTATACATCATTTTAAATAAACTAATATTACATGCAGCGGAATGGGGGCAATTAATAACATCAAATATAATATGAAAAACAGGAAATGAAAAAGCACATGGCAACAGATGACAGGCGATGAAGGAAAAAGGAGAGCAACATTGAATGTTTTATAAAATAGAACCTTACTCAAACGCAAGGGCCAAGGCAGCACTAGCCCATGCAATCTCCGCTGATTAAAATCAGACTGCAAACACACTAACACACTAAATGAACAGCAAAAGCAACGGTTGTATATATATAATTGCAACAACACTAGTATGATAGTAAAGTTAGTGATTGAAGCATTTATCAACAGTAAGATATGATCCTTGCCATAATATCCAACACATTGCGCTCATCATGAGCTTTTTATCTACGTCGGCATCATCTATCTGAATAGCTCTTTTTTTTTTATGTAGCCAATGGTATGTTGCATGGAGAAGGCTCAATTAATTCTTCACCTTCGCACGAAGCACCAAGCAAAGCAGCCTAATCGCAAAAAATTATACCCCGCCCATTTCAGCCCTGGGTAGTTGTATGAATGTGCAGCTGCGCTCAGTCTTTGAATGGGCCGCAAACGAATATCGACACCGGTATACAATTTGTTCATGATGTTGTAGACCCAATCCAACCGATAGAAAGAGAGAAGGATAGGAGGGAAAGAAAAAAAGTATGTTCCCCAACGCTGAAGCACTTTCTTATCTGCCTGGCACATGTCCTTGTTTCCTTTTTTTTTTTTTTTTTTTTTCAGTTGTAGCTCTTTTCTTGTTCGTCACCATATCAGCCATATTGTACACGATATCAACGTTCCTTGTTCAGAAGGAAAGAATAAAAAAGGTCACCAGGCACATCAGTGTGTCTTTGCACACACAGACGACACATCAACGCACCAACGCATCATTCCCCTGGAAGACGCGTGCATCCAAGTCAGGAGCAGGAGTAAATTAGAGAGCCTATTTCTTCCTCTCTCTCTTCCGAAACAGAAACACAACTTTTCTTCTTTTACACATCACACTCTGTGATTGCATACACACACCATCTAATCCAAGTATATACAATTCCCTTTTTCTCTCTATTTACATTGCTCGATACACGTACACCTACTTTTTACTTGAAGCATTACAGCACAATACGACTCGACATTCTTGGGCCATTTGATTCTTAGTTTGGCCGTTATATACCATTTTATTTTACATTTACTCTCTGCTCTCAACCTCATACCCCCATCATTGTTTTTATAATGGACAACATGTTTAATACCGATTCAGGGTTTCGACCTCCTTCACCACTTTTTCCTGGAAATAACCAGGGCCTCTTTGGTGAGACATTAGGATATGAAGGTAAAATGATGTTAATTCTCATCTCCTTTAATTATCGTAAAAAAAAAAGAAGTGGTGGTTCACATACTTAATAATCCTCTCCTTTGTTGCGGTTTTTTGTGATGAAACAAAAAAAAAAAAGATTTTTTCAACATGCCAACCTCTGAGGGACTGAATTCACAGCCGAATTTAACCGGACAAGCAGTTCCAGTATCTAGTACACCAACCGGGTCTTCATCGTCATCATCAGCACCACCTATGATGAATATGATGATGATGCCACCGTTAACTGGGCCCCCTGAGACTATTATACCTCTGTTCCATCCATCGGAACAAAAGTACTTTTCAGAGTTCTTGGACACACTCGTTGTCGATCAGGACTTCACGTTTGACCCAAGTGCAATACCCAACTTGCCCAATCTACCGCTTTTTCCACAGGATCCTGCTCCAGGTATAGGACAGGAGCCAGGTGTTGGAGCAGGAAATGGATCTGGACCTGGAGCAAACTGTGGAATGGGCGGATTCGGTGGTTTAGACGGCAATTCCTACGGTATTGCCACATCATCATCAATACCAGGTGCACCACAGCCCCCAGAATTACGACATTCTGTTGGAACATCAATGGATTTTGATGTTTCTTATAGTATGAACGGAGGACAAGACCCTATCTCAGTGCCTGCCAAGAGAACCAAGACCAACAAGCTTGACACATCTACATCTCCAACCCGAAAGGGAACTCCTGCAAATGATACTGCCTCTCTTAGCAAGATTTCCACACCCATGTCCAAGCTCTCGCTTGAAAACACTAACGGTCATAGAAATGGATCTTCAAGGACCAAAAAGAATAAGCGCGAGCAACAAGTTGATTACGATGAAGAGGAGAAGAATACCATGATGGGAGACCATGTACAATCTGGACCGAATCGGCAGGGTCGGCAGCATTTATCGGTTTCTTCTACAACCTTAGGCGCTACACAGTCTCAGGCAAGATCACAGGATAGTGCTTATGAACGAAAGGGTTCTGTATCTGATGATGGTGCTTCTGATTCAGCTAATGGTAATACAGAGGCTAGCAATAAAAGTAACTCAAAAATGACCACAGATTCCACTAAAGCATCTCCAACGACAGCCACTACTTCAGCAGCACCAACTACAAAGCGCAAGCCTTATAAGGAGCTCTTGACAGAAGAAGAAAAGAGAGCCAATCATATTGCTTCAGAACAAAAGCGTCGCAACACAATCCGGAACGGATTCAAAGATATGACCGAGATCATTCCAGATTTGAAGGATGTAAACAGCTCAAAATCCACCATTCTATTCAAGGCTGTGGATTTCATCAAACATCTAGAGCGGAGAAACAGGAACTTGCAAGAAAAGGCGAACTTACTTGAGGCAAGATTGCATTCACAGAAAAGTGCAGGCATGGGCAGTCTAAGTCTGCAGCAGCAACAATTACAGCCGCAACAGCAGCAGCCGCCATTATCACAGACACATCACCATCATCACCAGCAGCAACAATTTTCTCATCTTACTCACCCTCATTCACAGCATCATCTTCAACAGCAGAGCTACCAACAGCAGATGGATCATCATGCTCATCAACAGCAATCACAGCATGGGCATCAACATCAATCATACCTTGGTTCTGAGCGGCTACAAGAAATCCCGAATATTTATCCTGTCGCTATCAGCCGGTAGAAAACCTAGAAAATCTTTCATCTTGTAATCCAGAATACCCCCCCATCAATAATGATAGTATAAAGAAGAAAATTAAAGACTGAGCAAATAAAAGAAAAAAAAGAAAAAAAAGAAAAAGAAAAAGAAAAAGAAAAAGAATCATGATAGGTTCATTAGATAGTTTGTCCTGAATGTGAAATTAGATAATATGACTTAAGTGTATGAAATGGGGAAGATAGTATTTACAAAGGGAATGGGTAGTGCTGTCATTAAATAAAAGATAAAATAAAAGAAGAAAGAAGGAACTGCTATCAAGAAATTATTCCTGTACTCTTTGATATTCAAACATGTTAGACACGGCTCCTCCGACGAGACCAATCCCCGGACCTTCCCGATGACATAGGCCTATCCGATGGTCCTCCATTTCTGATGTCACCACCCCCACCACCATGGTTGAATCCCGCAGTCCGACCTCCTGGGATCATGCCTCTAGGATGTGGCATTGACATCATACTTCTGTTGAAAGGTGTCGAGCGGCCAGAAGGTGGGGCAAGCTTAGAGAATGGCATCCCATCGCCACTGCCTCCATGATAACTACTGCGACCACCATTACTACTGCCAGGACCGTTGTTGCCACCGCTGCCACCACTACTGAATCCAATTCTTGTAGGAGGAGGCTGATAACCGAGAGGCCCATTGTGCCGATAGGGACCGCCTCCGCTACTGGCCATAGACGAAAATAGACTCCCACCACTACCTTTTCCTCTATAATATCCATCATCACCATGATATCCATCTCCCCCAATTCCTCGTGGGCCTGATGAAGATGACGAAGGCAGGTGATGATGGTGTCTGGTGTGAGGTTTCTCTGGTAGATTACTATACCCATTGCTACCGCCACTGTTGCCATTGCTAAAATTCCGACTGTGCGATCCTATGTAATCCGCCCGCGGATATTTATTGGATGAAGATACGGAGTCTTGATAAAACCCAGAGAGTCCGTAAGAACCTGCACCTAATCTGCCTCCTCCTCCACGACTTGCTGTCGACACCTCAGAAATAGAAGGAGAATTACTACGATGTCTCTTCCCTTTGTGTACAAAAGACGAACTGGAAGATGTTGATGAGGCTGATGGTGGCTGCTGGTGGGAATGATGAAGTGAGAAGGCAGCATTGGTCAGTGTTGGCGTTGAGACCGTTGAATTTGACGATGTAGACGAGAGACTAGGTTTTCTTGGGATTTCGAGGTTGAGTTTTGAACGATCAATCACACGCTCATGCTCTCGTCTTTACAAAGATAAAGGGAAAAAAGAGTTAGAAATGGGATAAGCTTGATATTTATGGCCCATCTAGCACTGGTATCCTCTCGTACCTTTTGTAATTAGGCCGCGGTGACTCCACCTTCTTGTCATGATGCTCTTGATCCGAGGATTTTCGGGAGTCTCCGTGTCTCTTCGTCTCATGTTCAGTCTTAGTATCTACAGTAGAAGCAGTGCCACCATTCGCTTCTTTGGACCGCTTTACTCCCGTGACTGATCTTGCACCCTCTATTACTGTTGGAAGTGGCGCGGATACAGATATTGCTGTTGTTATTGTTGCCTCTTCTGGAACAAGTGGAGCTAAAGATATCGGAGGTGATGATAGTCCTAAGTTCTTATCGTCCTTTTTTTGCAAAGCGATTCTAAACATCGAAAATAGGCGACTCTTTTCCTTCTTCAAATCTTCGAGCTTTGACAAAATGTCCTGTTCTACACTGTCCAGCTCATTATCTTTACTATCCTTATTTGCTGGCAAGACTGAAGAACAAGAAATGGCATCATCTTTGGCCTCTAATAATGATGTGGTTTCTATTAGGGTTGTCAACGTATTTGCTTCCGCATTATCAATACACATAGCCTCTGGTGGGCTTGTGTCTGCAGCATCAGTGCCTGGACTGGTGCTTGTCATCGTATCGGATAGAGTGTTATCTGTAGACAGCTTGCTTGTCCTTTGTTTATCTCCATTTTTCAGCATTGTGTTCGGTAATATTTCGGGCAAGAGTTCGGGCAAGATCTCGGAGATAGTACTGATGAATGAGCCCGAAGGCGATGAACTTGTAGCCTGTAAATAATCGCTCTTCCATCGACCTTTAACATTCATACGTCCTCCAATTAGTCCTGGACTACCAGTTTCTGCAGATGTAGCACGCTGGTGTTCATGGTCTTTATGTTGAATATGGTAGTGGTGATGATGGTGATGATGTTGGTGTTGTTGATCCTTTTTCGTGGGCTTTCCTTCTCCTATCAGAGGGGATAATATTTGAAGTTTTTGATAGGAATAAAATAACAGATTTATCAGCAAACAAGTCAAGATGGTGGGCGTACACAAAGGGTTGTGTAAACAAAGACGCAGAATGCATAAATGCTTCAGAATTGCTATCCAATCATTCCCTCTCTACCATTCTTCGTCTTCATCTCCTATCTTTTTAACATGGTGTTGAGTCTGCTTTCATTTTATGTTCCATTCCGATAAAACTTTGCTAAGGTCGAAGAGTAGGTGTTCAAGGACTCATCTTTTGTTTGTTGGACATATTATATCAATAATTGATATGAAAATTCATCAATCTCATTACCAACCACACAACAGCTGATTGTAAACAATCATTTCTTTGTCAAAGATGAGACGAGAGCCAATAGCACAGAGACAGACGCTATTTTGAATGCGCGGCAACTCCATGAAAAACAAACTTTCATTTTTGTCTTGTTGAGCAACTCCCCTAACGCCAACGACCCGCTTAGAAGAAACAGACACTTTTACTTTTTTTTTTTTTACCTTTCCTTGCTATCATAATTGAGTTGCTCAAGAATGATTCATCTTCTTCTGTCGAGGCTTCTTCTTCCTCCAACTCACGTTGGTGGACAATTCTCTTCGCTAAAGCACGACGAATAACAGCATTCCGTTCTGGATCCACCTGTATTTCAAAAACTGTCATTCAGCTGATTGAATGAGTAAATCGGCAAATTAAAAACTTTTAGGTCGACAATCGAGAGGGTATAGAGGGAAAAAAGATGTTGTTGATAAAGGGAATAATGCGCTTTTATCGTCCTCAAAGATCGCAGCCCACAAACGCTTTTTTGTTGGTTTTTTTTTTTTTTGAGTTCTAATGAAGGATTACAAGAAATAAATTGCCGAGAACAATTATTAAATAATCTGGTGACAATTACAAGTTGAGGAGGTAGGGCGTTAGAGAGATGCAAGTAAAAAAAAAAAAAAGAAAGAAAGAAAGAAAGGAAGAAAGAAAGAAAGAGAGAATGGGAAACATTGAGTGAGTGTTCGAATCAAATGGCGACGACCCACCCAACGGTGCCAGTTCGATGCGTCCAGTTAAAAGATATTGGCTCATAGATTTGCCCGAGTCAAAAAAAAAAAAAAAAAAAAAAAAAAAAAACGTGACCATCCGATGATCAGATAATGAATTAACAAGCACCTTTTACTTTTTACTTTTTAAAATGAAGTTCAAACTATGTGCGCATGGGTTTCCTGTAGATACCGAAATGTTCATTATTATGGTGTAAGGTTGGTGTATAATCTGTCGATGCGTTCCATCTTTGAGCAGCAGTTGCCTGCGCAGCATGCCCACCATAATCCACGGCGGTAATGGGGGCACCAGTATTCGGCCTTGGTGAGGACATGGAGCTCTGTGATGATCGATTAGGATACTGTTGATCCTGTTGGTGCTGATGATGAGGATGCTGATACTGGGGTGCATAATCCGATGTGCTGGGCTGTTCTAAAGATGGTCGCGGGAGCTTTAAAAAAGTAATCAATCGAAATTAGTTCTACAAAGTTCATTATAAAAAGAATCAAATAGAAACAAAGCTGTAAAGACACTTACACCCATGGAATCAAAATCCTCGTCTAACTCTGTACTAGAAATTGCTCGAAGTTTGGTACTACAAGGGAATCCAATATGCTCATTTATAGCCCATAGTTCATACACCTCGGCTCGTCGTTGTTTCCGCGAGCGAAGTAAGGAAACTTTATCTGCATAGACTAAGGAGGACAATGTGCCAAAAAAAAGCGGACATGATGGTGTTAAAAAGTCAATACACACATCAAGATTGTAAAAAAAGTGGATCAATTAAATGTAGATCTTACGTTTTCGTCTACGGCTTTCGGAAGAGAAATCGAGATCTAACTGCACTTTCCGCATTTTCCTGCCTGTCTCTGTAGCTATATCGTTGCGCAACTCTCGCTTTTTGGACTAAACATGTGTATTGAGATCCGATGACGGGGCAGATAGACTTTGTGAGTATAAGGAGTTATCGTTAATCGCTTTATATGCTGTGAAGGATGAGTCATACTCTCTACCTGGTACGTGCAGTGTGCTTGGTATTCTTTGATCTCAAACTCGCATTGTGCAATTTCACCCATGTGGGTTCTCCATGCTTTGGCTATCCGAAGCCTCTGCTCTCGTTTTTCTTCAATTTCCTTCATTTTTCTCGACAATTCCGGATGTGTCCCTAAGGAAGAAATCCATTTAGTCGCAAGTAGGCATTTGGACATCGGTCTGTAATGCACGAAACCCTTTCATGCGTCTTACCATCATTGATCATCTCTGTTTCTTTCTCGAGCTCCAGCATCCTTTCATCGTACATTCTATTACCCCATTCAAGCAGCATGAGATGATGTATAGGTATATTGCAATCACCGACTTTTCTTTAGTTTAAAAAAAAGGTGTTATAGCTTACTTGTCACGTAAAGTCGCAAACTCAACTTCTATTGTCGTTAGCGCTTCTAATGCATCCATGTGTCGCTGCCTCTTTTCAAGGTCTATAGATGGGACATAGGCGCGATATTCATTAGTAATGGTTCTCATAACAACTGATAAACGGAGCCTTGGATACCCTTTTTTTTTTTTTTTTTTTTTTTATAAAAAAAAAAAAAAAAAAAGCGCTTCATACCTTCCTCCTCTGCATCGTCGTCTCCTTCAACTTTCTCTTCTTCAGCCTCCTCCTCTTCAAGTGCTTCAGATCCTGACTCCTTGTCCGAGTGTTGGTTGTTTGTTTCAACATCAGTAGCTTCTTTCAATTTCCCTTCTTGCTCTTTTAATTCCATGCTCTGCTCACGGAAAGATCTCTTGCGCCCCACGAGGGATGGTCGACTGTTGGTTACAGTATTAGTAGTTGTCGCTGAAGATGAATTTGCGCCGCTTGTCTTTGACTTATTTCCACTGCTTGTGCTGTGTTTATCAGTTTCATCTTCATCTGAGTCATCCGTATCGTCAAATTCGGACAGATCTGAAAGCTCATCCCCACTATCCTTCAGTTCTTCCTCCATCAGCTGTGCTGGGCGGTTTAATGTAGGTTTTTGAGTGTAAGAAGCCGGCTCTTTACTTTCTGGCTTGGACGGCTGCCTTGGCTCCTCATGATCATCCTTATTTTCAGCTTCATCATCTCCCTCTTCCTCTTCTTCTACATCTCCTTCTTCCTCATCGTCCATATGGGATTCTTCTTCATCTTCCGTATGAGCCAGGGGTGTCACGCTTTCTTCGCCCCTTTCCTGTTCTCCCTCTTCTGCTCCTTCGTCTGCTTCTTCTACTTCCTCCTCTACTCCCTCCTCTACTTCTTCCTCTCCCTCTCCTTCTTCTTCTTCGGCCATGACAACATCACCATCATCATCATGATCCTCTGACTGCTGAGTTGAGGCATCATCTATTGTATCAACTTGTTCTTCTTGGGCATCAGCGGCATCTTCTTTTTCATCGACAATTTCACCTTCCTCTTCCTCTTCCCCTTCCCTTCCATTTTCATTATCCTCCTCTTCATCGATCGCGCCCTCTTCTGCATCTTCTAGGGCTTCAGTTGCCTTAGATTCTTTATTCAGATCCTCATCCTCGTTTTTGTCATCTAATGCCTTTTGTCGACTTCTTTTTAATTCTTTTCCGTTTAGTGTCTCTTGAGAAGCATTAGGCCTTATTGCTGAAATTTGGCGTTGATTATTATTTTTCTTTATATTGCTCGCTGTATTTGCATTTTGTTTCTCATAACTCGAAGGTTCTCTCATTTCCATGTCACTTTCTCCCTCTTCCAACTCTCCTTCCTCCCCTTCCTCCTCCGTTCTTGAAGCAATAGTTGAGCCCTCGTCTGATGCATTTTTCGGATTCTCTAAAGAGCTCGATAGAGATGTTCCTGAATCATTTGGAATTAAAATAGACGATTTCTCTTTCATGACGATGGCGTTGTTAATGCCGTTACTGCTTTTGGTATCTGTAAGTGAAGATGGCTGTTTCCGTGATCGCTGCGATGGCGCTTCCAACATACTTTTGTTATTGTCACCTTGTCCCAATTTTATCTGCACCAATATTAAGTTGCTGTGCAGTAAATTTTTAATTGTTGGCTAATAGTATTATGAAAAATGAACTGAATTGTATGACGATGTTAGAATCATCAAAAGGATTCTGCGGGGATATCCTATTATTCAGTAGTACTTTTGAGACAACAGTGAAACTAAAGACGCGTTCACATTACATTGTTTCTGTTTATGGACAAACTTGGAAGCGTTGTCCTGTTCTATGATGTCTTCTTTGTTCTGCCAAAGCTTATTCTACTCTATTCTACCTGTTATCCCTTTCCTTGTGTCTTCGAGGGGTGGTAATGGCGTATGGTGGTGTATGGTAGCGTAATGAAGAGCTGAACTTTATTTGAGAGGCCCGAATTGAAGAACAAAAGGCAAAGAGCTCCCGAGAGTGTCAACTGCGAGTGAATTGCCAGGGTTGATGGTGAAGTTGCCTTGTAAACAGTTTGTTATGTCTTCCACTTGTGTTTCAATTATAAGGGGGTCAGGTCAATTTTTCATGCTGCGTTCAGTATGTGCTCAGGTTAAGATGTACGATGATTGAATGTTGATAAAATGGATGATAAAATGTCCAGACCGAAAGGTGCTTGAGAAAAAAAAAAAAAAAAAAAAAAAAGGAATGGATGGAAGAATTTTAAAGGAGTTTTTCTGTATTGGAGCTTTAACTAAATTGACCCTATGAGCCCCATGCCGGTCTGATGAGCACGTGATACCTATCAATGCAGGTTTTTTTTTATTGCTTCTTACTATCTTCTCTACAGAAAACAAACCACAAACGAACCAGACTACGTAAAAGCCGGTCGACCCGGTGACTATTGCTAATACCAATAACTACGATAGAAAAATAGGAGTTTGGAGAGACGGAGACATGTACAATGTGAAGGAGCACGCTGTGCAGGGAAGAGACTGATGGATAAGATGGGAGAATAGGGGGAATAGGGGGATACAGCAGAATGTAACTTATCCTTGCTAAATAGTCTAATAAACGCATTGAAGTTATAGCCTATTTTTATAAAATAAAATAAAGAGTAGAATAATATATTTAGGACGCGTGTCCACAAATCAGCTAAAAGTTGTTTGTCGGTGATCATTTTGACTTACTCGCTATGAAGTGAAATAGATCGATAGTTGATCGATGGAAAAAATGTAGAAAGATAAAATTGAGGTTAGTATCGTGCTGGTGGATAATGTGACGCAAAGTTGTCAGTGCTGATAGAATCATTATTGCTCATACGTAAAGATAAACAAGTTGTTTGTCGCAGCCACAGCGATCGAGTTCTCGTTCGGATGCCAAGAAGCATGCAAGATCTTCTTAGTGAAATCAATCGTCTCAACATTGATGTCTTCCTTCTTGCCGTTCCTGTTGTTGACTCGGGGCATCATCTTATTCTTGGCGGAGCCCACACGCTTGGCTTTAAAGGCACTCTTGTCAGCTTGGAGCGTCACATCGCTTTTGCCGTTGCGATCATAAATATAAAAGTTATTATTGTATGATCCTGTCAAGACGTGGCTACAAGGCAAGATAGAAGTACAAATGGAAGCTAATTAGTCTCGACAATGCTGTCGCATGTTTTGCATGTTACTTCTCCAGTGATAGAGCAGACCTAGAAGCACGACACAACATACTTTCCATCTCCACTAAAGTTGCATTCAAACTTGTCAAAGATGCAATCGTTTTCATATAGATCGCACAATTTGTTGCGGAGATGGTCATGGATATTGATGGTTTGTACAGGTCGATTCTCCATGTTGATATCCCAGACCTTCAATGTTAAATAGTCGCGCGAGAGGATATATCGTCCGTCTTTGCTGAATTTAACATCTGAAATCGATGAGATGATCTCTGAAAAAAATGACTTGTTCGAAGGATCCTCTTCTTCCTCGAACACTTTTGTAATTGGCAATAAGAGGGAAAACATTAGCAATAGACACTTTTAACATTACTATTCCGGATCTGAGATATTACGGGTATCGGCCTTTCATAATTAACTCACACTTGGCATGCTGATCACATAGAGCAGATTCTCTCATGTCACTAAGTTTGATGGTGCCTTTGCTACTACTATACATGAAGAGGTTGCAATGAACAGGATGGAATTCTGCTGCTGTAATGACCTCTGTCAGTTCCTCCATATTTACAGGCTTGATGTCCACAATGTCTATGCCAATGAGCGAGATTGCTGATTAGGTATTTCAATGCTTAAAAAGCAGATTTGTTTTCTTTCAACTTGTATTGTAGCCATTTCGGCACCTACTGAAGCTTTGATCACTAATACTGAGATTCCAAAGGTTAATGCGCAAGTCGTCTGCAGAGATATAGGTTTCACCGTCCGAGTTGATGGAAATCGAGTTAATGTGATAGGCATGGGCATTGGCGTATACTTTTCGTGGTACGGCTGCCACAATGGTATCGTGGTGAGTCAACTTGGGAAGCCTAAGGGGAGTGCCTGGAACAGGTACATGCTGACCATTACCGTGATTATTCTCGGCTACGATTTTGATGGATTTTTCAAAAACTTTCCAGAGCTTGACCGTTTTGTCTATTCTCAGTTAAACAGTATCGTGACTGATGCTTAGTTGCTGCATAAACTAAATAGACATTGAGCTATTGGTGGATCAACAAGTCCATACCGTTGGTTGAAAGCAAAAAGTGGGCAGAGTTCTGACGCTTGCACCATTTGATCTTGTTGATCTTCTCTTCGATTTCCAAGCTTTTGAGGTAATCAAACTCTGGTTCATGGGACTGAAACTCGGTATGAAACTTATATTCGCATCCTTTTTTCTACAGTAAGATTTCAAAAATACGGAATCCATATCAGTCTCGTGCTGTGTCCAGTTCTGTGAAAGCACCTCACATGTTGACATGATACATACACTTTCATTTCGTTCAAACAAAACTACACGTCCACCCTTGTCACCGGTGGCAAGATAGTCTCCAGTATGGTCAAACTCGACGGTTGAAATGATATCAGCTAAATGAATGAGACATAAGGCAGGAAGTTAGTATTGACATGACTAAAACCATGATCATAGGCCTTCTGAGGTACACTAAGCGCATCCAATAATATTATCGTCTATATTATTATTATTATTATTATTATTATTGATGCAGGTTTTCAGCCAGTTCAATTCTTCGATGTATAGCTGACGTGCTCTCTGCTGTACTCTTCATTGCTTATCATCATTATTGGATCATAGACGAACGGGAATGCTTGGCTGCAAGCCATGCTCAAAAAGTGATCATGCCGAGACTCCAAGCGTCTGGTTCCAAATAGTACATTACATATTAGTTATTACTTTATGCACCCTAGACCCCTTTCAAACGTGGGTGAGAAGAGGAATGACTGTGCAGTTGAGTTTACAACACAGAAAGCGAGTTCGAGGCCACGCACACAGCGCACTGATACCAACAATGGTACAGTTTTCCCACAATCGCAAATACAGTCGATGCGAAAGGATGGAAACTGTAAAGAAGTTGTCCAGATGATTTTGTAAAGAAAGCTATGCTCTTCTGATCAAAGACGTGATTCAATGGAGTGACCCTGTGCTCATTCACGTTGTCCAGCTGAGCAAACACTTGTTTCAGTATCACTTTTTTTTTTTTTTTTGCAAGTTTGTCAGCTGTGGTGTTTGACAGGATCTGATGAGCAGAATCTTCCTCATAATTATTATTCCGTAATGGAGAAAAAGGCTATTGAGCCTTTTTGTTCTCAAGATGGTTACCATCTGCAAGTGTGTGTTTGCGCTTTTTTTTTTTTTTTTCTATGGCAAGAAAAAAGCAAATCAAATGATCCATCTCATCCGTCTACTTCCATAAAAACATACTGCTCTCGTTTCATGACTAAATAGGGCGTTGGAGCAGTTTACGCAGTGGCCGCAATAGAGGAAGAAGGAGTAAGATGGTATGGTCACCATACCTTCGGTAATATCTTCGACCTCGCCTTTGTCCCCGAAGCACTGTGCAAACTTCCACGAGTTTTCGCCCTCTGTAGTCATGCTGAATATGTATCCAGATCAATGTGAGTTTGTATAGGTTTTTTTATGTGCTTGTTTAGGGACAGTGTTTAGATATGGCCACGGGAATAACAGTTTTTTTTAGAGTAAAGAAATGATGGAGAGGATGATGAGCAAAGGTTAGAATTGAGTGACCCACAAAAAGTGTTGGTGACAGGTTTTCGTATTTTTTTTTTTTTTTTTTTTTTTTTGCAGGAATTAAAACCATTTGGCTCTTTCCCGTCTGAACTCTTTGTTGTGTGATGCACTGTTCTGGTCTGGTTGGAAACCATGAGTAAACAGCATAAAAATAACGCCCTCCAACCTTTTTGATGTTTTATGCGGCCATGGGAAGAAGCTGAACGCGTCATGACAATAACCTTACGCGTTGAATCAATCTTAGCAAGGTCTTCACTTGTAAGTAAAAGCTCAACAGGCATTCAAAACGCGTCGAAATTGTGTTTGTTATAAAATTGACGCGTCATCCAACAACTACACTACTCAGGTTATACCTTGCAATAGTAGCGTTTTGTGATATGAGTGAGTTTTTATTTATTTTTTTATTCAGTATAATTTACGTGCAATCGAATGCGAAGTTTATGGCCTTTGACGGAACTTTTCCACAAACGAGCCAGCCTGTGAGAATACTAAAAAGGTCACTGCGCTCGCAGGAGCCGCTTTGACAAGCCCTGGAAGCAACCCTTTATATAAGGCTAAATAGCCCTCCGTCCTTGCGATATGTACCATACATTTCCATACACTTGAAGGGAGTCCATTGCTCGATAATTTTGTTCCTGTGGGTGGTGAGTAATCTTTAGTTATGGACTTTAGTTGTTCAGACCCTTGGATCTGCAATCGCTTCCTAACCATGTCCAACGGATATACACCCGTCTTAGAGATCACTCCTGAAAGTCCACCACACAATAGATCTTCTAGACCCAAAAGAAATTGCCCAGCTGGCTTGGAAGGGCCTTTTTGATCAGTCTTAGAGGTACTCTGCTTGGCCCAGACAGCAATGCGTTTGAGTGTATCATAAGATCCAAACATAATGCCCATGTACGGAATCACTTGAATCAATGCTGGAGACATGCCCCTGTAAAACCCGGGAATACCATCTGCGCGGTAGATGTGTTTACAAGCTTGGATGATCCCTGTATATACCTATTTTTTGTCAACAAATTAAGGAAAATAAGAAATGAATTTCAAATGTAATAGCTGAAAGAATTAACACAAGGCTACTCGATGGCATTACCTTGACATCCCGTTGTACAGCAAACCTCGTCCTGAGTAAATCGAAGGGATATGTACATGCTGTAGCTATGATACCTGCATTTGCTCCTGCAATGGATGATTGTACAGCTGCGGAGCTTGTCAGCTTAGAGACCACACCAAAGGGGGCAGCGATCAATGACCCTGTTGTGGAGCTAGGGGTTGCACTGGCTGCTTGTTGAGTTGACAACTCTGCTGTTTTATTAAGAATAACTTTGGTTTGCTGGTATACAAGGAACTGGATTCCGCTATATGTGAGATATAAGTACTCAGCGGCCATGTTGCCCTTCCAGAGTCCCTGTCATGCATATACATCATTGAAATCAAACTGTTAGAACAGATAGTTACACAAAAGACTAGGATGCGGTCCCAGAATCATGATTGGATAGATTTACTTACTCGAATACCCTCTTCTCGAACGATGAGAGCCATTCCTGTAAACATGCCCCTGTACTTTGGCTGTTGCTGTTTTCCAATGTTTGATATTAAAGCGTCCTCAATCTTTGTGCTCGAAGTCCGCCTTAAAATCGTGGACAGGTCCTTTCTCTGTGTTTGCATCTAATAATTGTCCGTATAAAAGATGATAGTAAAAAAAAAGAGAAAAAAATGTTAAAAATTGAAAAGGATACCATCAAGACAATCATCGGTTTTATCAAGAATAGTTTTTTACTTGTAAGCGGATTTTGACGACATCTAATGGAGCAATGACAAAGCGCGAGACTACGCCTGCGGTAGCCCCACATAGCACAGTCTCGGTTTTTGAAAGGGTCGGTGCACCAGCAGCAATGCTTGAACGCCTTGTACTAACATCGGATCCACTTTTATTTTGTTGGGGGTTCTTTATCGTCGTTTTGAGATCTCCTAAGTCGTTGCCAGATTCGGCTGCTTTAATGTGCACAATTGATGTTCGATCAGTCATTGTGCAACCTTAACATGGACAACAATGTAGACTGGGGTGAGATTCTGGATGAGTCAAAACGCGAGAACGGAATGAGTTGGGGGAAGTTGTGAGAAAGTCATGTACCAGTTTTTCATTTCTTGAGAAGGAAAGAAAAAAAAAAAAAAGTTTTGGGTGACGGCATTTTATACAGGCAAGAACCATCAAGAAGTTTCCCCGCCGCAGGATATTGTCAAAGCTATCCTCATCAATTCGGAGAAGTAATTTTACATAATAATTAACTGCCCTAATATGATAAATGTCTTTATTCAGAGTTGCCATCATGGGAAGGTCACTCGTTCGGCTTAATTGGTTAGCTCCTTTTTAGAAAAAGGGACCAAACCATGATCAATGAAAATTGCGTGTAACTTTTTGTTTCTTCAGACTCGAGTGAGAGTGGGGGGCTGTGTTTTAATTGAATTCACTCCACAATGCTTCCACATTAAGTGTTTCTAAAAATCAGCTCTTTCTTTGAGCCACACTGGCTTACTACGAGGGAAAGATGCTGCTCTGGCCACGATCTAGCGCTATGATCTGACCCAGACGTAATCCTGTGTCTGTGCTTGTCGCGAGTGGCACTCTTTGTTCCATACATAGATACTGTCTCTTCGCGTATATAAAGCGGTTGTGTTGTGCGCTATGGCGTGAATTAGTCAAGCCTTAAGTTAATAATGATCGTATTTCTGCTGTATGTTGCCAGAGGATACTTTGGAAGGCGGTTAGAGTGTATGTGAGAGACATGGAGTGGTTTTATTCTGTAGAGCATTTAATTTGTACCTCGGCTCCTTCCAAGGTATCTTCGGTCTCACTGATCACAGAATGATGGTTACACTATCCTACAACCATACCTGCAACGCTAGGCAATTGGGATGTTTAACTCTAACTGAAAGGAATTACAGTGTCTTCTTGATCCTGAACTAGACTTACCGCAGAGAAAGACCGAGATGGGTATACTATGCTTGAAAGGGAATGATCTTGCTTTTAATAAAACCATAAATATGTCTGTCGATTTGGGCTAAGCACTGAACTGTCATTTTATTTTACTGCACAGGATTATCAAACTAATTGGTCTTCTTTCTCCAGAGGGTCTCTCAACTGTGCCTATTTGTCATCATTGCTTTAAACTCTTGACATAGCGCAAAAGTGGTTTCCACAGTTTTTTATCGCTTTCAAACAATAAGGCCTCAAACACTAGTTTGTTCTGACACCTTTTTTATGTTGAATCCTGACGGAAGTGATCGATCTGCCGTTCCTTGCCCATCAGTCCATTATAATATTTAGCCATCCACTCTCACTTTATTTCATAATCTACCAGTCATACTATTTATTTTATACTGTTATTTGATAACTTAGGTCATTATTGTTACAGCTTCGTCAAAAATGAAATGAAATGGTCTTGTACTCTATTCTCGCCAACCATATCAGACATTTTAGCCTCCGGACTGCTCTACTACCGAGTACAATTGTGTTCCTGATATAAACTTGATATCGATTCGACGGAAATGAATTTTGACAGATGAAGAGGCCCTCGAATCAAGCGTCTTAGGATGAATAGCACCCATGAGTTATCGGAATGCTGTATTAGGTGTAGTTATTCTTTTTGACCGGATTGTGATATTTGGCTTGCAGTAACGAACTTTGTTATGTCACATCCCAGCGCAAAGTCATCCTGTGCCTTTTCGTTTCGCACGGGAAGAATCCGTCTTGTTGGGTCAGTAATTTATGAATAGTCTCGAGTGTATTGGAGGCCAATTATTTTGCCCGTCAAAGCGGTGAATTGTCAAAATCAGCCACCAAATCAGCGCCTTGATTAAAATATTTATATGAATTACTGACCAAATGAAGTGAGAAACCCATGGTGACTCAAGATATGACTAGGTTTTGTGGACGCTAGGCGCCTTTATCAGCTTCAATTCTCTTTCGCTCCTTTTCTTTCTTCCCTTTCCAGCTCCCTCACCCGATCCAGTGGCAACCTTTTCGACCTTAGTTTCAGACTCATTCACTTCTTTGAATCAACATTCATTTCATTCCTGTAATTGAGCCATGGTTAATCAAAAGAAGTTCAAGATCTCAGTGCCAGCAACGTCAGCTAACATTGGCCCTGGCTTCGATGTCCTTGGCATGGCCTTCTCTTTGTACCTCACCCTTGACTGTGAACGTCTGCCCGATGGATCTGCCTTGCAGATGTCATATGAGGGTGAGGGTGCCAAGGATGTTCCTTTGGTTGCCGAAAAAAACTTGATTACAAAGACGGCTCTCTATGTCCTTTCAACTTATGGTATCACATCACTACCCCCTCTCAAGATCCATGTTACCAATCCGATCCCTTTGGGCCGTGGATTAGGTTCCTCTGGATCGGCCGTCGTTGCTGGTGTAGTGCTAGCCAATGCTGCAGGAAACTTGAATATGACCAAGGATCGTATGCTGGACTATTGTTTGATGGTAGAACGTCATCCTGACAATGTGGCACCAGCATTGTTTGGTGGTTTCGTTGCGAGCTTCCTGCGAGAGCTGGGGCCTGAAGAACTGGAGCCTGCCAGCATCCCTAGATCGGAGCCCACTAGGAATGGAGCAGCACAACCACCGACACCCGTTACAGATATCGGACACTATATTCAACTTGGATGGTCCCAGGAAATTAAAGCCATTGCAGTCATCCCCGACTTTGAGGTTGCGACCGAGGACGCTAGAGCTGTCCTACCAGACGTGTATGAGCGTGCAGATGTTGTAAGTTTTCCTATCGATAGTACCTTCCCAAGATCAAGATTTTATTTTAACTGGCTTGAGTATGTGGTGTTAATTTAAACACAATCTCGATATCCCTACTACTCGATGCTTCTGAAATTTAGATCTATAACTTGCAGCGCATTGCTGTTTTGACCGCAGCATTATCTCGTACGCCTGTCAACGCTGACTTGATTCATAAGGCAATGGCTGATAAGGTCCACCAGCCATACAGGAAGCATTTGGTACTGTATTAATGGAAGCGAAAGGCTATTTATAGCATTGTTGACTACTTTCGGAGCGTGTTATGAGTAGATGGAAACAAGGAACTTACTTTTTTCAAAATGGTGGCCATAAAAAAAAAACGTATTAGATTCCTGGAATGTCAGAAATGCTTGAGGAAATCACTCCTAAGACCTATCCTGGAGTTGCTGGTATTTGCTTGAGCGGTGCAGGCCCGACCATTCTGGTATTAGCTACTGATAACTTTGACAATATTGCTACAGCAGTGCAAGATATCTTCAAACGCCAGCCTAACGGAGGAATTAAGAGCATTTACAAGGTTCTGGATGTTGTTCATGGTGGCGCCCAAACAGACTATTACGATTAGAGTTTAAACATTATGCACGTGACTAGTGACGCCTTTAGAGAAAAAAAAAAAAAAAGAAACTCTTTTGCTTGATCTTGTTCTTTCATCTATACCACTCAACCGTTGTCACTCTTGTCCCTATAATGGTTCTTGATTTCTTGCTTCCTTCGCCACCAAAGTCTTGGTCGGCTGATAAGACCTCAGTCTTTCACGCCAAGATCACTGCTCCCACAAAGGCCAGCATTCAGCCTGTGGGTCGCCACTTCCTTGCTCATGCACGCCGCCACATTCACTCACGTACCTTCTCCGAGGATGAAAAGGTCATTTCTGAAGCCGAGGCGGCTGCAAAGACTGCTGCTGAGAATGAGCAGGACGATGCTGATTTGGGCGATGAGCCTGAGGATCCTGCCATGCTCCGTCGTGATCCTAAAGACTGGAAGGATCAAGACCAGTATGCTGTCTTGGGTCTCTCACACTTGCGCTACAAAGCCACTGAGGACCAGATCCGTCGTGCTCACCGCAGGAAGGTTCTTCGCCACCATCCCGATAAAAAAGCTGCTCATGGCGGTCTTCATGACGATGGTTTCTTCAAATGTATCCAGAAAGCTTTTGAGACACTCATGGACCCTGTGAAGCGTCGTCAGTGGGACTCTGTTGATCCTAATGTCCCCGATTCTGTACCAAACCCCAAGAGCAAGCTCGATTTCTATAAAGCCTGGGGACCGGTCTTTGAGCGTGAAGCTCGTTTCTCTAATATCCATCCTGTTCCTATGTTAGGCAATGAGGAATCGACTAAGGAGGAAGTGGAGTCCTTTTATAATTTCTGGTACAAGTTTGATTCGTGGAGATCCTTTGAGTGGATGGACAAAGAGGATGGCGAGGGTCACGACTCACGTGATGATAAACGCTATTTTGAAAAGAAGAACAAGGCTGAGCGTGCAAAGTTGAAGAAAGAAGATAATGCTCGTCTGCGTGAGATTGTTGACCAGGCCTTTGCACTTGACCCTCGTATCAAGACCTTTAAGGAGCAGGCAAGCAAGCAGCGTAATGCTAAGCGTCGCGAGAAGGAGGAGGCAGAGAAGAAGGCTGCTGAGGAGGCTGCTGCTGCTGCTGCTGCTGCTGAGGCTGCCCGTGTTGCTGCTGAGGAGGCAGAGAAGGCTTCCCGTGAGGATGCCAAGAAAAACAAAGAATTGCTGAAGCGTGCTGTCCGCAAAGAGAAGAAGAACTTGAAGGCATTGATCAAGGATAACAACTACTTCCTACCAGCAAGTGAACCAGCCACTCCTGAACAGGTTGAACAGCAATTAGAGAGGTTGGATGCTCTTTTAGACGGAGCCAAGGGCTTGGATCAGCTTGAGGCAGTTCGCAAGACTTTGGAGGACGGTGTTAAAAATGGTAACATTGTCGAAGTCTTCAAGAATGAGGTTGCCAAGCGTTCGGCTTAGAAAAACAAAATAAAATAAATAATTAGCCGTCAATTCATCCTTCACGATCCTCAACTGGAAATAAGCACTCAGTTTGCTCGTAAACTATTTTTCCGACATCTCTCATTTTGATGCTATTTGTTTGATGATGAAGAGCGGAACGTGCAGCATGATTATCTCGGGCAGAAAATGCAGAAGGAGACACGGGATGGCTATTTTGTGTTTACGCCGCCCAGATGTGGGCATGTGCAGTGTTTTGTGTACATCACACTCGTTCTCGGGGTATTTTGCCCCGAGTTGAAAAACCCTTTCGGTTTCATTCTTTCCAACAGCTCTTCATCTCATCTTCCCTTCTGAATTCTTAACTTTTCCTCTTTTTCACAACTTGATACCTCTATGACAATCTAGAATCAGAAGAGGAGCAATTCACACTTACACCTTTATACCAAAACTTAACAATTCATCTTTAATTGTCTATCTTTCACAATTACTCTCGTATACCATCATATACCATCAAATACCATCATATACCATCATATAATCTCGTTAGGAGTGTTTATTACTGCTATTACTATTAGTTCGCACTCATGTACAGTCTCGACGTAGCAGGAGGGCCTGCGGTTGCATTCTCCTCAGTTGCTATACTACAGCAACAACAACAGCATCGACCATCTGTTTGGGAGCGACATTCGAATCTGCAGCTTGCCTGTATGGTTCTATCCATCTTTCTCTGGTTCTTTTCCTTTACTGCTGCATTCTGTGCAATTATGATCAGGTAAATGAGTTGAATTAGCCTTTCTCCTTCCTTCCTTTTCATCGGTTCATCGGATGAAAAGAACACCCAAGCTTCATTTACTTTCCATCTTTCTCTCTCTCTCTCTCTCTCTCTCTCTCTCTCTCTCTCTCTCTCTCTCTCTCTCTCTCTCTCTCTCTCTCTCTCTCTCTCTCTCTCTCTCTCTCTCTCTCTCTTTTTTTTTTTTTTTTTTTTTTTTTCCCTCTCTGGAACTTTTTTCTTGTGTCTGTTTTAATGGCGGAAGAATACCTTAATAATCCATTTAAAAACCACTTAAAAATAAGAGCCACGCATGAGGTTAATCACAAAAAAAGAAAGCTTTATGGTGATATTTGGATGTAGCAAGGTGTAAGCAGAATGCGGAACGGCTGGTTGTAAATGCACACCATTTTGCAGTAAATATCGCATTGCAAAGAGGTGACACCATAACACCAGGAGTCAATGACGCGCGTGCTGTCCTTTTTTTTTTTTTTTTTTTTTTTTTGTTTATTGTTGTTGCTGTTGAATATTGCGCAGTTTGGAGGTCGGAGTTGTCTTCGTCCTCAATGCGAAGCAACATGAAGAACTGATTACCCGTATAGTTGCATCATCGGCTTTTTCTGTTGATATTCGTGAGCCTTGATATGAGTTTAAACAAGGGGTCTAACAATGTATTTATTATTAATTGAATGTATTCTTAGTCGATGGAGGTACTCTGGTCAACATAAACGATCAATATCTTCCGGGTTGCCTAAAGAACAAGCTCCAGGAGTCACCATCATCCGGCCACTGCGTGGTATCGACTGTAATATGTATGAGAACTTGGCTTCTAGTTTTAGACAGAACTATCCACGTTTCGAAATAATCTTTTCAGTTGCGAAGGCCAATGATCCGGCCATTGCGGTTGTCAAGGATCTTATGGAGGAATATCCAAGGGTAGATGCCCGTCTCATCATTGGTAAGACATACCCCTCTCTGTGCAGCTTTTGTTTCTCTCAATTTTGATGATTCATTATTCTCCTTCCCTGCTCGCACACTGTGAGAGAGAGGATTCCATCTACGCCAAAAAGAGCAACTAAGTGACACATTAGATTACAGAGCAAAAACAAGTACAAGGAGCAGGAACAGGAGCCTTTTTAAATAAGGGAGAAAAAAGAAAGAAATGAGTGATACAATCATTTCAATTGAGCCATGGATGTTTTTTTTCTTTTTTTTTTTTTTTATGTGTATATTGTGTTTATGAGCAGCTCTTGCGAGATTGAAAAGACGTTATTCTTCCACAAAGGCATGTGGATAGATGAGTGGCAGCAGCTTCTAGAGAAAGATGGGGTTTTATTGAGCTCTTTCTACATGGATTGGGTTCTTCAGGGCGAGAGCGGTGACGAGAGAGGATGAATGTCAAGCATTTTTAATCATCTTTATACTCATGCTATTGAGGAAGACATGCTTCATTTTTTTGAGTGACCTAGGCATTAAGGTTATTAAAAGGATAGTTGACGGGTTCTTGGCAGCGCACTGCATGGGCTTATGTCAAAAGAAAAAAAAATCCCTGTTTTCATACTCAAACTTTTTTTTTTTTTTTTTTTTTTATTTTCTTCTGACAATACAGGGGAGAGAAACATAGGCATCAATCCCAAAGTCAATAATATGATCCGGGCCTACGAGAGTGCCAAATATGACATTGTATGGGTTCAGGATTCGAACGTCTACGTAGATCCAGGATGCATGGGACGCTCTGTTGACAAAATGATGAAACCAGGCGTCGGACTCGTCCACCATCTGCCATTTGGTGTCGGACCAAAAACTCTCGGTTCTGAACTTGAACTCATGTTCTTGGGCACTGTACACGCTAAAATGTACCTCTTTATCAACTGGACTGGATTGGCATCTTGTGTTGTAGGCAAATCCAGCCTCTATCGTCGATCGGACCTGGACAGGGTGGGCGGATTAGCAAAGTTTGGGAAATATATGGCAGAAGATAATTTGATTGCAACTGAGATCTTCAACATGGGATACAAGCATGAGATGACTAGTGATCTGGCCTACCAGTCTTTAGGTTCCATGACACCTTCAGATTACTTTTTGAGGCGTGCACGGTGGACAAGAATTCGCAAGTACACCGTCACAGCAGCGACGATTGTGGAGCCATTCATTGAAATGATCGGATGTGGATTGGTGGCATCATATGGATTTAACTTGCTATGGCAGACTCATTTCCTCAACTTTTTGGCATTTCATATTGTTATTTGGTTCCTGGTTGATTTGTCAATGTTTCAGGCTCTATCTGGAGTGAAAGTTGATAATTTAAGAGGGTTTTTGATGGCATGGAGTTTACGTGAGCTTGCGGCTTTGCCTTTGTATATTTATGCGGTTGCAGGATCCACAGTAGACTGGCGTGATCAACCATTCTTGTTAAAGAGAGACGGAACAGTAATACCGCTCGCTCTCGCAACGCCCGCTACATCTGTAACAAGCGCAGGAACTTCTGTAGATCGTACGAACTCGTCGGTCTCAGCTTCTTATTCTGTGCCATCATCACCTACTTCAGCAGCATTTGCCCAACTTGCCAATACGGTCGTTCCGCCTTCAGCCCAGACATCGCTCCGTAATTTCTTCCGCCGACCAGCTGTTATTTCGGTTGTCAGCAGTATCCTGGCTGTGATTCATTTCGTGGTCGACATTCTGATCAAGAGTCAGCGTAATGGAAATGAAGAAGAGGATGAGCAAAGATCTGAAGATGAACTCATTGAGGAGACGCTTTATACTAGAGAAGAGAACTCGGAGGCAGGCATCAGAAATGGTACTCGAGATGGCCCTGTGTTGAAACTTCAAAAAGTGCCATTGAATAAGAAGAGTTCCTATCGATCCAGTAGTGGTAGTTCAGATGCTGGCATTGATGGCTCGAGAGCCGAATACAGGATGGCAAAGGATGACCTTTACGACGCTGATGATAGCAGCGCGGCCGAAAATGGGACCTTACCAAGACGAAGCGCACGTATAAAAAAACGACTGCAGCTGAAGGTGGTTGAGCAAGACCATTCGCATGATGTTGGTAGTTCACCATTGCATCCGAGAGAGAATGGGCGTCGTTCAACAGATGAAGATGCACTGTCCAAGGCTGTGGAGCCATACCTGTCGGATTCATTGAGCCGCCGCGGAAGAATTCGGCGCGAACTCTCTTCCTCTTCCCAATACTTAAGCTAATAGATCGTCGAAGCAAAACTCGATGCTTCATTTTTTTTTTTTTTTTTTTTTTTTTTTTTTCATCCTATTCTTTTTTTTCATCCTATTCTTTTTTATCACTCTAATAATAATAATGATAACCATGTGTATGCGAAAATATATATATTTTATTTTTTAATTATGACAAATGGCGAATGTGATCTACGTGAATGAGGAAAAAATTACTACAAAATTGAGATAAGAGTTTACAGAGCCTTCTTGGCCTGCTGTGCCTTAAGCTCGACAGCCTTCTGGGCCTTCTGTCTCTCCTTGTAGGCGAGATACTTCTTGTTAGTACCAAAGATGTGATCCCACCACCTGAAACTGGTAGAGAAGTTGTTGGTGAAGGCCATGTGATGATAGTCATGGTGCTCAGCGCCTGACCAACCAGGTAACCAGTTATGAGTAGACCAAGGAAAGTCATATCCAGAATGAGCCTCCACAGCCTGGAAAAGGCGAAGAGTCATCCAAGTCAAAGTTGTAATCAAGTGCAAATCTCCAGAGAACCAGCACCACAAGAGAGGACCACCAATGGTGCCTGTGCCCAAGATCAAGACTTCGATAGGATGAGCGTACTCTGCGGCGAGACCGAAGGGAGCAGACCACTCATGGTGTAGCTTGTGAATATGCTTATAGAAGGGACCATAGTGAAGGCCGCGGTGCGCCCAGTAATGGAAGAAATCCTCAAAGAGAAAGAAGAGGAAAACCTGAGCAGCCATCTTTGTGCTATCAGAAAATAAAAATATAAAATAAAAATAAATGATGAGAAGTGTATTCAACTTTTACAATAAGTGCTTGTATAAATAAGGCGAGCATTGGTACTTACAGAGGTGGGAAAGGAATAGTAGAAATGGCCATGCCAAAGTAGACAGCAACAGGATGAAATCCAACAATCATTGGCAACTCAAAGATGAAATGGGAAAGGAGAACATAGCGGAAGACCTTCCATTGGTTCTCAGCCGTGTTCTGGATAGTCTTTTGCTGGATCTTGTACTTTTGTAAAGCAGGGATCTGATCGGCGATCAAGTAGGGGAGACAGCGAGTGAAGTAGATGATCTCATGTGAAATAAAGAGGATGGCAAGGGTGACTAGAGCCTCATTGCGGCCCTCGAAGAGGGATTGCCATTTGGCTTCCAGATATGTCGGTGTTGTGTACGGAATCGTGGTATTGCTCCTACGTGGTTGTGAGAGAAAGAGAACTACTATTAAAATCAACACTATAATACATGAATGATGAAGTTTTGGTCAATAGCAAATGTATTTCCTCAACGGTTCAACGGTTGATTTGATTTCTCATTTGGTATTTTGCTGTGTATCCACTTTGCTATGCGAATAGCTGATTTGTTCATTGTTGTACAGTAAAAAAAATGGCCAGAGCCATGCTGGAATCATCATATTCTACGTTGTTGCACAAAGACCACGGCAAAGAAGGCTGCTAGCCTTTTGAAGTTGTCGTTATTCGAAGAGATTATCGTTGAAATACTCTTGATTTCCTTCACTAGTCACCAGCGTCCTGCTTACAAGTTAAGGAGCGGATCGAAGGGAAAGCATATGAAAATAAAGCATTTGTAACTGACATGTATAACTCAAGATTGTTTAAAACTGGTCCTGATAAGCAATAATCTGTGAGATCTGAAGATGCCAAAATGGAAAGTACAGACGAAGTATTCAAATCACATATTTTCCTGTTGGTCCTTTTTTTTAATACTTACATGCTGCCTTGCAAAATTAGGAGGAAGGATGAGAAAGAAGAATGGAAATGAATGAGATGAAGAAAGAGAAAAAAAAAAAAAAAGGAAGAATGCCTATCGTCCCATCTCTTTTCAAAGAGCGCTCTCCTTCAAAGTTAAAGCGAGACCCGCACCCGTTCCATCGCTTTGCCTCATTCTGTTCCTCTATCCTTATTAGTATCGCCTTAGAGCATCCCATAGATAGACTTGGTATAATACCGACATGAGGTGAGGTGCGCTGGTGCTGTTTTCTCGTACAAACAGATATCAGCTCAGGTCGTGCCCGCCAATCAGATCCCAGGGATCGCTAGGCACAAAAAAAAAAAGACTGTGGCTTGATGCTCCGGATCCATTTTTGGATAAAACAGGAGCAGACGAATTGATCCACTTAACACAGCTCGCCTAAGGAAAATTTCGCCAAATACAAATATTTACATATTTTGTTACCATTCTCTAATCAAAGAGCATGGCAGATGGACTGCCATAGTTAATCCCTCACAGTTTCCGCCATTATCGGCTGATCTTTATCATACAGACAAAATTTCAGTTCCTTATCCTATTGATATCCCGTGATCATAATTTTACTATTGTTGAAATCCGCAAACCCATATCAATTTTTATGAGAGCGAGTCTACACCGTAACACATTCGGCTTGCAATTTTTAGAAGCATTGAGTAAAATCAGACACCCATAATCCCTTCTGAAACTCAACTGACGCGTTTAATAAGCATGAGTTTGCAGATCAAGAAAGGTATCTTGTAGTGGTAAAGATTCCAATTTTTTATGAAGAATCCGATGAGCTATAGTTATTGGGATTTAGGTGATCACTTTGACATAGTACAGCATCATCTTAGTCCCATCTAACCCTGATATATTCTCTGAGTGAGCGATTAACCTGACCGGATACCCCTTGATGCTAAAACTTGTATATTCTGGTTTTATCCACCTTTCTTACAAAGGAAGGTACATCGGAATGACGTATTTTCTATTCATTCCATGTAAGAAGCTTCCTCGTGTACCGCCAATGTTTCGTTCGTGGATATCTGACCTATTGAGAGGACATTGTCGGAATAACTGTAACATACAATATTTTGCGTCTCCACTTCCATTTCATGCCCGCTTTCTATGAGAGGTTACTGCCATTGCCAAATGCGCTCGCGCCGGCTTTGTGAATCTCCAGTCTCTCTACGGTAAGGTATAAAAATGGTAAGTGAAAGAAGAATAGTAACCTTATCCATATTGGCCACATGTTGCGGTATCAAAGTCTCGATGCTTGATCCTCTTAAGATAAAACTTCATGTCTTCTAGAGAGATGATGCTCATGGACGGTTGATACCCCTTTGGGATTGATCTCCACCTCAAGCCTTCCGTGTCTCACGGCTGTAAGGAGGCTGGCGATCAAGGTCCCCGGTCCCTGAGTCATCAACCACCCGTTAATGCCTTTCGAGGCTCAGTGTTGGTGCCTTGTAAGGCTTTTGCTATGCGCATGTAACTTCTCGTCTGTCTAAAGCAGAGGTAATACCTCCCTTTCTAGATAATTGATGAATCCTTGCTGCATGGTTAAGATAGGTGTAAGCTTGTAGCCATCTCCACATAACTTGTTCAAACGGATAAAGTTAACAATGGCTGGCTTTGTATAGCCGATCTCGTCTGCATGTTGGAGCAGCTCTCTCTTCTCGGCTTTTGTCGCAAGCTAGCGTAATAAAGTATATTATTGTTTCTTCTTGATACATCATCGAGGGATCAAGGATTTCAACGATCGCCATATAGGGCAACAATAACTGTACATTGTCAAGGATGTCAGCGCAACCTTTTATAATAGGCCCTAATATTGGATATCAATTGAGGTGTTGTGGATCCCAACAAGGCTATTCCTGAAGATGTCTTTGGGTTTTTTGGTATTGTGGAAGGACATTTGCGCAGAAGCTCGTGAACGAGGCGTCCATTTTCTGCATTTTCCTGTATGGATATCTCGCATGAGAAAGGGCGAGAATAAGGCTTGATCCGCCTCCTCCTTGGGATACTCATAGTGCTCTTCCTCTTCAGACTGGGTGCCTATCTTTTTGATGGGTGAGCAGATCATGTCAGCATCTGGTGCTCGGTCCTAGACAGCTTTCATGTTTCAACTGTTTCTTCATGTGCTGAATAGCTGCGCCCAGAACAAGCCACGACCTCTATTATCTTTCGGCTAATAATGAAGCCTCCTTCAATTTCCTGGTAACTCCTTGGCAATCGCGACGTTGCCTTTAGCAGCTCTCATTGCGTTTACTCTTATAGTACCAGCCGCAAGCGTCACTGTTGGGTATTGTTTGTCTATGACATTGGTAAGCTGTGTCGACACGTCATCAGGACGGCTCTCTTTGTTTGCTTATTCCGGCTTTTGTCTCTTTGACGGTAGCTGGACAGCCTGTTCGCTGGGAGCCTGGGTCTTTGCGTGGGCGCTTTCCATTAGCGCATCTTCACTGCTTTAGGTAAGGGATGCTGCGTCCGTTGTGATCGGACCTTACACTTGCATCTTGGCTTTGGCGTGGCCATCATCTGATTGCTATGTTGACCGGGCAGCCCAAACACGGTCTGGTAAGAGCTATACTTCTTGGAGCTGTGTAGCAACGCAGGCTTCCTGTCTGCTAACTTGTTACCGTACTTGGAATGAATGGCCATTAGCTAACAGTATGCAATGACTACCCACAATACTTAAAATGCCGATATTTACCTTGCTGCCTGTTGAAGTTCCTGTCGCGACTGGATTATTTTACACTGCCGCTCACACAGTCATTGATATTAGGAGTTGTGCGATGTGTAAATCAAGATGGGTTCCTGGATCGAGTGACAATCCTCTAGAAGAGATTGAGCTCGGCAGGCACGTGCTCTGAACCCTCAAAAACCCTTTGTGCTTGGTTCCATCGTCTGACCTTTGTTTTTGGAGCTGTTCCCGAAATGCTGCTTATAACGTATTAGGATGGCCTAAAGGATTTTTTCAAATGGTCGAACATGCATCACGTGCAACATAAACCGTTTTGCATTTTGCGCTCTTAAAAAAAGAAAGGCTCCGTTTTCTGTTCCTGTTTCCTTGCACCCTTCTTTCCAATTCTCAACTAGGTCGAGCTAAAAGACAAAGTAGCCCGTCTCTTTGGAACTCTCATCCTCACTCTGACCTTCACCTTCATTTCAATTCATTCATTTCTCTTTCTTTTCCTCATTCCATTATTTTCCTCATATTTTCTATTACCCTGTCCTGTCCATCTTTCGTATCATCGCACCAGTATAACCATGAAGATCATCGATCGTATCAAAAAGGGCCAGGAGGAAGGCCGCATGCCTTTCTCATTCGAGTACTTCTCTCCCAAGACTGCTCAGGTAACGATCACTCCATGATTTTCTCTAGTTTTCTTAGCATCGAAAAAGTCCCTGTCAGATCGTTAGATCGAGACAAATCTAGATTTTTGGTGACTCAGCCCGTGAAAATATAAGCTTCACTCTCATGCTTGGTTCATTCCTGACCAAGAAGGCTTTCTGCGAAGGATTCTTCATAAAAACAGTCATTCGAACTTAAACAGTATGACAGCAATCTATATGACTAATTGGAATAAACAGAAGGATAGTAGCTGAAGATCGCAGCAAATAGCTTCCATGTTTATGAAAGCAGAAATAGATGATCGTTACTGCGCATTCTTTTTTTGCCACTGCCATTCTTTGCAAGGATCATTGGTTTAGGAATAAAATGACACGGGGATTCCATCCCCATTGATTGGACTGACTCAATATGATAACAAGATCAATCTTCTGCAACTCTATTTGACATGATTCTCTCCATGCCCCTTTTCACACTGTCTTTACAATTGACGAGGGATAGGCGCCAATACGATAAAGCAGACTCATACAATAAAAATTAAAAAAAGGTTATTAATTATTTTGCCTCTTTTTTTTTTTTTTTTTTTTTTTTTTCTTACGATAGGGCATGGTCAATTTGCACGATCGCATCGAGAGAATGTGCCACCTTGGTCCTGAGTTCATTGATATCACTTGGGGTGCAGGTGGCTCCCGCCCTGCAGCCACACTTGAGGTCGTATCGAATGCTCAGAAAGTGTATGGTGTTGAGACATGCATGCACTTGATCTGCACCAATAACCCAACCGACAAGATTGACAAAGCCTTAAAAGTAAGTACACATATAATATATATAATAGTGATATCGGAAAACTTTGATTTCAATTGTTGATAGTATATATATTATATATACATGGATTCAATCTTCATCTCCGCTCTCAACCCCACTAATGTTCAATGAGTGCACAGAAGCATAAACTGGGCATATTCTCGTTGGCTAAGAGCGAGCTAAGGTGGACTGTCCCTGATGGGAAGCAATCACAACATCATAGATGAAAGGAATCTCTGGTATTTCATTTGCTGAGGAGTGTGATTCCATGTGAGATGAAATGATGTGATATGGTGGTACTGTGCATACACTTTTTTATTGCCGAAATGTTTGGAAGAAAGCATGGACAGTAGGAAACAAAAGTCCATTTATTCTCATGACAGTTAACGAGAGTAGCGGGGCTCTTTTTTTTTTAAAAAAAAAAACAACAACTTTGTAACCCCACCGCTTTTTACCTATTTCATATGATAATTAAAAGGATACTCTATTGTGGGTGGAGGAAAAAGGATTGGCATAAGTTCTTGGTAGTGTACGTGAAATAACAAAGAGGGGTGCAAGCGGACAATTCTTTTCTGAGATATGAAATGTTATCAATGATCGACTTCAGGGTTGATCTGCCCTTTTCTCTACATCCACATAGCCTGCCACCTCCCATCTTCTGCACCGCGTCACCTATTCGGTTGTTGTTTTTTGCAAAATAACAAACGAAATTAATTGTAAACAGAGATTGTGTCAACTAATCATATTTTTTTTCTTGAAATTATAGGAAGCTCGCGCTTGTGGCAACCAGAACATTCTTGCACTACGTGGAGACCCACCCCATGGTCAGTCTGAGTGGTCAGCTTGCGAGGGTGGTTTGGCATACGCAGCTGATCTTGTCCGTTACATCCGAAAGACCCATGGTGACTATTTTGGTATTGGTGTGGCAGGCTATCCTGAGAAACATGCCGAATCTCCTTCTATGGAGGCTGATCTGTTGCATCTTAAGGAGAAGGTTGACGCTGGTGCTGACTTCATTGTCACTCAACTCTTCTTTGATGTTCCTATGTTTTTTGAATGGGTCAAGAAATGTCGTGCTATTGGCATTACCTGCCCTATTATTCCTGGCATTATGCCTATCCAAGCCTATGCTAGTTTCAAGAAGAATATTGTCGGCGTGCACGTCCCTCAATGGATCTTAGATGGAGTTGAGCCCATTAAGGTATGCAGAAACAATACATTCAATAGTATCAAAAATCAAAGAGCGCCACTAACTCAGCTTTCTAAATCATTTCATCGCCTCTAGAATGATGACCAAGCCATTCGTGCATTTGGTGTAGAGGTTGGTATTAAGATGACCCGTGAGCTTATTGATGGCGGTGCTTGTGGTATCCACTACTACACCTTCAACTTGGAGCGTAGCACACGTTTGATCCTTGAAGGAGCAGGTCTTGTCAATAAGACTGTCTACATCAAAAAGAACATGCCTTGGCGCTCAAGCTTTGATGAGAAGCGCAAGGAGGAGTCTGTGCGTCCCATTTTCTGGTCCAATCGTACGAAATCATATATCAGCCGCACAGACAATTGGGATGAATTTCCTAACGGTCGCTGGGGTGACTCGCGCTCACCAGCTTATGGTGATCTTGACCGATATGGTGTTTATTTAAAGTACACAGCAGAAGAAGCGCACCAACATTGGGGCTCGCCTGAAAAGCTCGAGGACATCTACAAGCTCTTTGTTAAGTTTTGCTGTGGTGAGATTCTGACACTGCCCTGGAGTGATCAGGCTCTAGCATTGGAGTCTGGAACCATCAAGGATCGTCTTGTTGAGCTCAATTCGTGTGGATATTTGACAATCAACTCACAGCCCGCAGTCAATGGTGCTAAGAGTGATGACAAGATTGTTGGATGGGGACCAAAGGGTGGCTATGTCTATCAGAAAGCCTACCTCGAGTTCTTTGTTTCGCCCGAAATTCTAGAAAAGCTCAAGATGCGCCTGTCCAAGTCCCCTCAGTTCACGTATATGGCTATCAATAAGACTGGAGACCTGCACACCAATACGAACGGTAGCAAGCCTAATGCTGTCACCTGGGGTGTCTTCCCGGGCCGCGAGGTTGTTCAGCCTACAATTGTTGAGCTCTCCAGCTTTGATGCATGGAAGGATGAAGCCTTTGCATTGTGGGAACAGTGGTCGAGATGCTATCCACAAAACTCCAAGTCTCATGAACTTTTGAACAACATTAATCAAACCTGGTATCTGGTCAACATTGTAAATAATGATTACCACGAGAAGGACGGTATCTTTGAGCTCTTCAAGGAAGATATATTGAAGCTTCAGGCTCAGCAGACTATTGTCGCTGACGGCGATGTTAATGGTATAGATGTACGCACAGGGGCAAGTGGAGCCAATATGGACCAAATTACTGCTAAGTTCAAGGAGACTACTGTGGTCAGCCCTGAGGTTGAGCCCCTGATCGTTGAGCAACCTCTGCGTGTTTAGACAGCAGTTTCTTTGATCTTAGAGTTGGATGAGAAAAAAAAAGGAAAAAAAATGCTATGAGGAGCATTTTGAATGGACAAGAGAGTGTATAGAGTGGTTTTATTCTGCTTACCGTGTTGCCCCTGACCTTTGCCCTTTCCTGTTCATGTTCATGATTGCCACACTCCTTTCAGAGTTTTTTTTTTTTTTTTTTTTTTTTTTCTTTCCTAGCCATGACGCGGCCTTTTTATTTTATTTTATTTTATTTTACGTTTCACTCATCAACATCTCTTCCGACATTTGTAATTGCCTGTTCAACACAGGACTCTTCTTTCCTTTTTTTTTTTTTTTTTTTTTTTTTTTGCTTTTTAACATTATTGTACATTCCTTTCATTGTATACCTACGCTTGTTCAACACACCCTGTATATAAGTATGATTCCCATCCCTCCTTTTTTTATTTGATTTTATTTTATATGCGGTACTAAGATCTTAACCCACAAGGTACTATTCAAATAAAAATAAGAAAACAAGAAAGAATTGCTTGTGATTTTTCAAATAGTATCATTGTCGCTCTTCTCGTTTATAAAGGTATAAAAGTCATGAACAATCCTGTCTATTTCTCTTCTCTTTGTACATACTTTTCGTACTTCAGAAAGCATTCTTCCACAACGAATCTTACGCTCTCTATGATATGTTATTATTACTGCTTATCGTTATAAGTAAAGTAGTGGCTTCTTTCTCAGCTCGTGCTAATACATTATCGTATCGATCATCTACTCTAGCGCTAGGTTGTGAGTTCCAAGTGTCGGTCATTTACTACCAGCGCGAAATGGAGGGCTATTTGGTAGCCAAGCCATTTATGTCCAGGGAATAGATCATAGCAACGAGCCGTGATAAAGAGATATAATTTGAATAGGCGTTAAAACTACAGTATACAGGATATAGTGTTGAGATATTATAAATTGCTTCTATGTCTGTCTTGAACTATTTTAGCGGGTTGGTTTTCAGTGTTCGCGAGAGACTCACACCCTACTTTGGTTGAATGATACTGAGCTCCTTTTGCACAGAACAAACACTTTTTTCTGTGCATTGTAGAATGTCCGATTATAAATCTATGAAATAGATCAAGTTCTGTTCGTTGATTGGAGTGGGACCAAATACTTAAGGAGAGATAGTAACTATGCATTGACTTGTCTGTCATAACGCATGGACCCTTCATAGTTCCAAATTCCATTTACAAAAAAAAATAAATAAAATAACTATTTATACAGATATATAATATGTATTGACCGACCATTTGGTGTGTATGAGCGAATATATTGTTTTGTCGATCACTTTATCCTCTTTGATACAAATATTCTCCTTTCTTCCTGTTCTCTTCTCATGATCATTTCACATTCTCATTTGCTCCCCTCATTTGTTCATTTTGCAAAAGCATTCCTTTTTAAAGTTCCACGTGGTGTTGTGTTGCACAGGATTCTCAGACACACGCGCAGCTCTTTTTTTTTTTTTTTTTTTTTTTTTTTTTTTTTTCAGACAACAAGCATGAAGGGTTTAAACAGCTTCCCTTTTACAACCACTTCACTGAATATTGTCGCAGGAAAGAAACACCCCTCTACCCCGCCACCGCGTCTTCCTATCCTTCGACGTTCACAGTGGCGATCGTCAACGTCAAAAGCCCCCGCAATTGGCACAGAAGCCACAGCATCAGCACAAGATGCCAAGTGCTTGAAACACATATCTACTCAAGTTTTGCCTTCACAGCGTCAACAGAAACAGTCGGGATTGTACACACGACGTTCACATCCAGTGCTCGATCATTTTGATCGTGAGGCGTTCAACGTCTGTGAATTTATTAAAGGTAAAAAAAGAAGGAATGCAAATCTTACCGATAATGTTCGCCCGAAATAATGGTAGAACCCTGATTTGCACTCCGGGTGGTAGAAATAACACTCCTATCATTTGGTTTCGCTTATGGAATGTTCATTTGATATATTAATATTTATACCTTTTTTTTACTCTCTCCTTCCTTTATATATGCACATACTCACTTCCTTTATATATGCACATACTCACTTCATTATTGGGGGACAGATCGTCTCTACTTCATGTGGACACCAACTCGTCAAGTTAACACATGCAAGACAACTTTCTTGACTATCGACGATTATTTGCAGTACACACCCTTCTTTTCAGACTTTGGTCCATTCAATATTGCGGACATATTCCGATTTTGTTGTCTTTTAAAAGAGCGGTTGGAGGTAATTCAACGATCTTGACTATCGCAGATCTATGTCATACATAAGCATTTATTTAATGAGGTTATGACAATGATGTCCCTTCTATCGAGCTAAACTGACCTCCACATAATTTTATATCGTAGCTAAACCGTAAAAATGGAAAGTTATTGTGCCTGTATACAAAGCCTGAGGATGAAAAGCGCGCGAATGCGGCTTTCGCTATCTGTTGTTACATGGTAAGAAAAGCAGTAACAAATGTCAAATGAATGAAACCATTTTCCTAATGATCTAAAAAAAAAAAAAAAAAAAAAAAAATTATAGATGTTACTACACAACATGAGTCCGGAGGAGACATACGCACCCTTAGAGTCTGTGTATCCTCCGATTACATCTTACTGTGATGCCAGTTATGGACCCAGTACTTTTACCCTCACAATCCTCGACTGTCTTCATGGTCTTCGAAAGGCACTCGACCTTGGATTATTACAGTTGGATCGATTCGATCTAAAGGAATATGAACATTACGAACAAGTGCGTAATGGCGACTTTAACTGGATCACGCCGTTCTTCATTGCGTTTGCAGGGCCAAAGGACAGGACAACATATGAAGCATTGACTAAGAATAGTGGGCCAGGGGAAGCGGCAGTGCATCTAACAAAATCGTTTCAAAACATTCTTGATTACTTCGAAGCTCATAATGTCCAATGTATCGTTCGCTTGAACAACAAGACGTATGACGAGACTCATTTCCGGAAACGAGGAATGGATCACATTGACTTGATCTACCCCGATGGAACGTGTCCATCCTGGTATATCGTAGAAGAGTTTTTAAATATTTGCGAGAGCGTCATTATGGATCAATCTCAAGCAAAGACAAGACTACAGGAACAAAGGCAACATCTATGCTCATCGACCGGTAAAGTGAAGCAAGCTCATGAATCAGATGGAACTGCCTCGCTGTCACATGATGAGAGTAGGAATAGAGGGATAGGAGTCATTGCAGTCCATTGTATGGCAGGATTAGGTCGGACAGGTACGCTGATAGCAGTCTTCCTGATGCGTCATTTTGACATGAGTGCGCGTGAGGCAATTGCATTCTTGCGACTGATGCGTCCAGGAAGTGTAGTAGGACTGCAGCAAAACTGGCTTGCGCAGAACGAGCACCAGATTCGGAATGGAAGCTGGGACATGGAACAGGCTCGCCTACAAATGGATCAAGGTTTTTCTAGAAGTTTACCTTCTGATCCTTCTAAATGTACTTTTACACCGCCGTTGCGATTAGTCTCGATAATGCCTAAGCCAAATACATATACAGATTATGAACAAGTATTTTCAAGAGTAAATTCCGAGGGAAAATGGTTGACACTTGCTGAGACTAAAACAAAAGGGAGAGAGACAGGTTCTAAGATTGAGGACGAGATAGAGACGGTAGCAACACCGGATAAGGATGATGTCAGCTCAAAGATAACTGAGAATAAGAACATGAGCACAGGCACAGGTGCAAGCAAGAGCATGGACCATGAAGACACTGTAACAAGCCAAAAGGCAATCAATATGAATTTTTCAACCACAAGCCAAGATGCAGGTGAAAACGGTACGGAATTTTTTATCATTTCCCAACATTGTGGGAAAAAAAGAAAAAAAAAAAAAAAAGCATGAAATTAAGCATAGAGCACTCAAACGTGCAAAGGCGAAGGGCGTTGCGCCCAGATCTAGATTCACACTCATGCTCTAACACTGCCTTTTTTTTTTTTTTTATTTATTTTTTTTTCTCTTTTTATCTCTGCGCCTCGTCTATGCCTTCGGAATAATTATCTCTTCAAGCTATACAGGAAGCTGAATATTCACAACCGTGTGTAAGGCAACAAGCCCCGATTAAAGCCCGAGGAAAGGTATCAGCACCTTCAGATATGGCACGTTTGGCTCTAGAGCGAACAAAAGAAGACCAAGAAGATGAAAAAGGGGGAGTCATGGGGTTGAGCGACATGGCCTCCTCTTTGGTAGAAAAAGAACATGTTGGGGACAGAGATTATGTCATTCCAGCGCAACCTCGTAAACGCATTGGTGATCATGGGGAAACTATTCATACCGTGGCTCATGCCCAAACTCAAGGCAATCATGCAGAAGTGTTGAGTTTAATGTCAATTGGTAAATCTACAGACAGCATTAGAGGCAACTCTATTCAAGTCAAGGGAACAGAAGGGCAACAGAGGCAGCCATCGCCATCCATGTCATCTCATTCTGACCGTGCGCAAGTCCCACTTTTGCCAAAAATTTGTCTTCCAGCATCATTACCGCCGTCGGCCAGTGAGCAAACAAAAGGCTATCGTGATAAGTATAGTGTCTTTAGTTCGTGTTGTGGCCCGGGCCATGGTAATGAACACAAACCAAAGCGACATTCAATAAATGCAACAAGAACAAGGGCAAGGAAAAGAACAACAAAACAACATAGTTGCCATGACGTTAATATTTGCAAATACTGAATGCTCTGACGACTTTAATGGCGGACATTTTATGAGACGCTAAAAAGAAAATAGCGATGGTTAGAGATAAGACATTACCATTCATTATTCAACAGCGGCGAGATTCATTTCCTCCTTTAATTTCATTATCTTTGACTGAGAAAAATGAAAGAAATAAAAACAATCAAAACTACGTCATAGGAAGTGTTAAAACAGGCACAGGCACAGGTACAGGTCAGGTACAGTCACAGGGACAGGTGCAAGCTCAGATGCAAGGCATACATGAATGTATTCGTGCGGGCAAAAGCACTCTGTATTGGTTCAATGACCGTTATGTGCAGTACGACATTGCTCTTTCTTTTTGGTACTAGAAATATGGATTGACAGGGACGGGAAAAAAAAAAAAAAAAAAAAAAAAAAAGGTTGTGCATGCACTCTAATACTACTCTCAATCGATATCATCAACATCGATATCGATCAAAAAACAAATAAATGTTTTATGAAGAATGTTATTGATGAGAGCTGTTTAGTAATCAAAGAAAAGAGTTGAATTGAGTATCTACGGAGGTACAGAGAATGTCAATTGGATGCTGACATGCTCAAAGCGAACACAAAGAAAAAGCGCGTCAATTAAACAAATATTTATAACGGTGTAAAATGATGTTATAATGTTATACAATATGGTTTTATTACAAGTTGAGGGAGGAGTATGTTTGTAGTGTTTGTCTAATTAAAAATATTACGAGATTTGGATCGACGGTGAGGGGTATCAGTTTTCGAAATGGCGATAGTTGCTGTTTGGGGATTTTTTTTTTCTTTTAACCGCAGGCGACAACTTGAGTGTGAAGAGTTTCTCTCCAGTTCTTGGTTTGCATCTGTACTTTTTGCTTGATCTTCATCATATGAGCTTCTTCTTCGGCTTCTTGCTGTCGCTCTTGAAGGGTTCGGACAGGTGGAACAGGAGGCCATACCTGGAGAAGATCACGCTGCATCAAAACCTTGCGCATCATGAGCTGACACCGACATTCACTGCGTTTTGAATGGATGGGAACTGGTGAAGCCAATGTGGGACGGTCCTCATCCAAATGGACAATGAAGGACTCACGTGTAGGCAGGAACTGGTGAGGCAATAGGTGGTGGATGTTGGGGATGTACTGGAGCTCATAGAGTCCATACTCAAATTGATCCTGACCATCCGTAGATGGATCTAAGAGGGGCGAATAAGGTTCCAACGATTCGAATGGGTGAAGAAGCTGATGGTGATGTCGATGATGTGTGTCATCATCATATGGAGACGAGGGATTGGAATTAGTGCTGTTGGCATTTGTGCTTGTGCTTGTGCTAGTGCTTGTGCTAGAGCCAGTTGTGTTGTTTGCGTTGTCCAAAGCGTTGTTGGTAGTGGAGCTAGCAACAGCAGAAGCAGTAGTGGTAGGGTTACTGTCGCCTCTGATATCATCTGTCTCCTCCTTCTCAATACGTTCTATGTTATCACAAGGAAGCACCCCTTTGTCGGCTAGTCTGGACTGTGCACGGTCTTCCGTCTCGTCATCCATTTTCCCATTGTCTGTTTCCTTATCTCCCCCTTCCTCCTGCTGCCTCTCCTCTGTAGACGAAGAGGACAAATTTTCGTCGTGCACGTCTTGGACATCGTCATTTTTATGCTGTTGCTGCTGTTGTTGTTGCTCGTCCTCATATTGCTCCCGTTCCTGCTCAAGAGCTGCATCGTTTCCCTGAGTATTGATGCTTGCATTGTATTCAGACCGAGCTCCTCTTTCATACAGAGACTGATCATCTACACTAGCGGCATCATGTGCATCGTCGACTGGGCCCTCTGTGGCAATGTCTGTCCACTTTGGGTACAAGTAAGACGTTGCAGGACCAAGGACAGGTTCCACAAATATGTAACGTCGTCCACGTTTTAAATGTGCAACCCCCTCGCGGATGAACGTCTTTTTGGCCATGAAATAATCACCTTCGGGCCATACAAGATCGTGAGCAGTGGCGTAACCCTGCCCTGCAACGGCGAGCGATGTAGACTGTTGCTGAGCCTGATTGTCTCCCAATGTTTGATCGATAGCCGTGTCGACATCAGTATCTTTAGCGCCCTCTGGTCCTTGCTCTTTTTTCATTGGCAATTTTACTAGATCTTTTGATAATGCCCATTTAAGGAGACGGTGAGCAAGGGCTGGCTGCAATTGAGTAAGTGGGATACTGGATGCTGGTGGCTGCCACCGTGAGAGAATTGTAGATAGACTTGAAGGGGTAGATTCCTGTGAGTCGAGAAGGGAGGAATCATCGCTGATATGGTAAGCGGATGATGCAGAGAGAATGGTTGATGCGTTGGTAGAGCCATCATTCAACAATAGGCTCAATTGTGTTGCAACCGAGCGAGAGTGACGACTGGAAGGGATGGCAGAAGAAGAAGAGTGGGAAGTACTGCTGTTGTCGCAGTTATGTCGATGGAAGGATGACGAACTGAAACAGGAGCAATAGGGTCTTGTCGATGATTTTTTTTGGACGATTGACACCTTTGGAAGAAACTCTTGAAGGCAGCACGTTCGTAACCGGTAGACGAGTGGATTTGAAAGCGATGCTGGAGAAGGTGAAAGATCCAGGGTCGAGTGTGGCGGTGGTGGTGGAGGAGGAGCTGCACGGCAAGGCATTTTTTTTTTGAAAGAAAGTGAGGGAAGAAGGAGAAGGGGAAATTGGCCAAAAAAGGACACAGACGAGGAGAAAGGAGAAAGTGGGAGGAAATTGTGCGGGAAAAAAAATAAATATAAAAAAGAGATGCAGGTTGAACTGATGTGTGCTTTAGTTATGGACTCAAAGACAAAAGAGACTCTATATATGAGCACTCCTGCTCCACATATGAAGATATATAGGTTGTCTTTATTTTATTTTTTTCCTCTTTTTTTAAAGAGAAAGTTGTTCAGGGAGTTTATGAATGGGGAAAGATAGAAATGATGTATGAAAGAAAAGAAAAGAAGTTGGGAGGGGAAGTGATGATATATGGATGATGGATTAAAAAGAGTTTAAAAAGAGTTCGGAAGTAAAAAAAAAAAAAAATAGTATTTCCAATGAAAAGAGGTGAATGGTGAGTTCGAGAATGTAGGTTTACGGTGTGTAAGAAGAGGATGAGAATCAGAATCAGAATCGGAATCGGAGAGGAAGGAAGACGAAGGATTGAAGAGCATGTGCTCCAAACAGGCCAATAACGATAGAAAGAGTAGAAAAGGAGTCAAGAAGAGAGAAACAGTGTAGAGAGTGTTTAAAGAAAGAAAGACCAGTTACGCGTGCAGATGACTCCCTTTTTATATTTTATTTTATATTTTATTTTTCTTATTCTTTTATTCTTTTTCTGTGAATGAGCACACACATCTCGGATATATACAAACGACAATTGTTTATTCACATCCAACCCAACCACGAGATCTCTAAAGACATCATAGGAAGAGAGGAATACCAATTGATGTGTAGGCCTCTGTCATGTGAAGAGTCATTCACTCATTCGCAAATCACCAAACCTCTTTTGCCTCTTTGGCCCTTTTTTCCCGTACACATGCATTCCTTCCCTCTCCCCCTCCTACTAAAGTACCCTCAATTAGATAGATGGTGGGTGCACTGCTGCACTGTTATATGCATGTATCGCCATTCTTCGCACATCCTATTTTTGTCATTACAAAAAAAAAAAAAAAAAAGGCTGGGTATCAGTCGGTCTTTATTTCAAAAAAAAAAAAAAAAAAAAAAAAAAGAGAGAGAGAGAAATAAAAGAGCAACTGGTCAAACGACAATGTTTAGCTTAAGTAAAGAGCACTCGGACCGGAACCAAGTCCAGTACAAGTCGGGACGAGAACCCGCATTTAAGAAAAATAGTAAATAAAAAAAAGACTTAACTATAATGCGCAATAAACCACAACCAAGTATCCTGAGAAAGTGATTGCTAGTCTTCAAAGTACATTGTGTTATTTTGTTTGCCTTCCCGTCATGTTTAGTCTCGTCTATCCCATCTCATCCGTACTTTTCCATATCATGTGTCTGCCATGGAGGCATCTAAACCATCAAGAACACGTTGCATTAGATGACAGACAAACAAGCCTATGCATAGAAAGCTAAAGGAGATACGGGTCCCAACGCCTAGTCCAAATGTCGTAAACGCACACGACAATACATCAGCATGGTCATAAACAAATAAATGGATGTCCCTCACATCTTTATTTCTTTATTTGTGGGTTGCATGGTTAAATTTTTTAAATATCCACGTTGTGCATACACGTACATATTATACATATTACATTGTACATTGTATTATTAGCACTTTTGCTCGGGTGCGCGTTTCCACAAACCATAATAAATTGAAAGGCGAAGCTCAAAACCAAAGCATCGAAATGTTGATGCGAGTTGTTTAGGACCGAGCAGTCGTCATAGTTTTTTTTTTTTTTTTTTTTTTTTTTGCATGAAGTGTGGTATTACTTGATTCATAAAAAAAAAAACAACGGGGTCGGATCTCTCCTTTATTCTTCGTATGCCTCTTTTCATTGCTCAAGCGTACTTCGATACGCGACCCAATCAATAGCATTCCAATCCAGATACGGATCTAACCGGATGTTATGCCGATATTGGTAGTCCTTGACCATCTCCAATGTGACAACAGCTACATCCTTTAAACCAGATGTGCCTAGGGATGATTCCACCGTCGACTGTTCAGTAAAGGGATCTCCCTGGCTTTCCTCATCATCACTCTCTGGTATCTCGAGGATCGACACAGGATCAACCTCGTGTGTCAGACGCTGCCGCATCAACCCACTCTGATGTTGCTGCATGCCAGCTGATTCACGCACCACTGCAGAATTGATCGATCCACTGGCGTTAGCACCAGATAATTGACGAACATGCAGCTTGGTGTAGTTAGGGAACTGACCCGGGCCACTGTCATAATCACGGTGACCATCTTGTTGACCCGCGGTCCCTGGCTCTTGTACTACCCCATACTTCTCCAACAATTGCTGTTGCTCATTAAATTTTATTAGTTTTCGATAACGCCGCTTGGCATTCTTCACTGTCGCAGATGCTGCTTGGTCTGCAAGAGAGAGCCAATGAGTCATCCAACCCATCGTCACAAGGGTCTCGAGTAAATCCTCTTCCATAATACCAGTTCTCGCCGCCAATTCACGCAATGAAAGTGCAATTTCTTCATTGGTGTTTTCTTGGGTTTCATCATTCATTGGCTTATCTAGCCCATCTACGGGGGATACTATATCAACATCCATGGGTCCAGGGCCTTGATCTTCAATAGCCTGTTTAGCAGGTAACAGTTTCCCTTGAGCCTTTGTGGACGCAACCGCTGACTGCTCACTTTGCACTGAATGAGATGAACTACCCAGCTGTATCGTCTTTGCGGTAGATTTGCCCTTACGCCGAGCTGTAGTAGGGAGCATGACGCGTTTTGCGGGCCATGGCTTTGGGTATAATTCACGGAGGATGGCTGTTATCCAGTAGGACATGTAGCCAAGCTTGCCTAAATCCGAAAGTGGCTTTTCTGGAGATCCAACTTTGCCCTCGATTTTAGTCAGTTCATAACCTATAGACACAGATGTGGAAATCACTCACTTAGCTTTTTTTTTTATGCAATGATGATAAAAGAAAAAGTTCATGCACCCAAATCAGAAACTTTTCTTCGTAACAACACAAAAAAAAAAATGCTATTAGACCGCACAATATCTCAAGAAGACTTTGGAGATAGCCACCAGCAAATACACTTACTGAATTCTATTAAGAGCTTTCCATATGACTTTCGTTGAAATGGAGGAAGAATCAAAATGCAGGCCAAGTTGTAGCCATCATAGGAAACGATCTCCTAGAACACCACATAGAAAATAATAATATATAAAATGCCGCATTGAAGGGGTTTTTAGGTTAGTAGACGATTTACGATATGCTGTGGTATTAACTGCGTCATAGCGCATTAGCTTAAGCTCCAAAAAAATTAAATTTTTCTCCCAAGAATAAAATTCATTTTTTCGATTCCATATCCATCCTTTGGCGGGGAAAGAGACACTGCTAAATATTACCTTTGAAAAGAAGCCGACAGGTACGTCAGTACGGTCTGATCGAGTCTCAGTCAGGACAAAGAAATGGAATCCATGAATGTCAAAGTATAGTGTCTTGTTATCCAGGAATAACTTGGCCAATAACGACAAGTTTTGACAATAAAGCTATCCAATCCAAAAATGAGTTCGTCTTTAGTCTTTTTATTGGGCTCTTGTTCATGAACATCAGCGTGGTCATGCGATCATTAGCTATACGCTGGATTTACCTTGTTTGTTTTCCCATCCACTTTATAAATCTTGTTGATGCCTTTAGAATAGACAACGGTGCCTGGAGGTCTTTTACGTTTGCAATTTTTTGTATGGTTGATGAAGCTGTCCACTTGTCGAATATATTTAAGGCAGTATTCGCAGATGAATAGCCTTTGACAGTCCTGATACTCCTCAGGAAATGGAGAGTAATACCAGGTTGCGATATCATATCCAGCATAAAGGATCCACTCAACATTCCGGACTCTCGGCAGCTCTTCATCATCATGGTCATGTCCATGGTGGCTGTAACCGCCCGTATTGCGTTCCTGACCAGCATCGCCAGATGTCTGGTTCGATTATTCCCAATCCATAGCGTTGCGTAAGGACAGAGAATGGCAAGAAAGAAAAAAAAAAAAATGGCTGTTCAAGGTTAACTACGCCTGCTGAGACTGTATCATTTCTAAACATAAAATCAGTTCTATTTTTCAAGCCAAGGCCCATACCTTGCGTGCAGCTGATTTTAATGACTCCAGAAGTAATGCTACTTCGTCCTTGACAATTTTACGCTTCGGTCTGTGACTTTCTGATGATGTATCTGACGGAGAGATCGATGTTTCTTGTCTGCCTTCCTGGCTTGATACTGGTTTAGTTTTATCCTGCAACATCTCATCATTTGAAGGTTGTGTGCTTAATGGCAAAAGTCTCGTTATATCGACCCATTCATCAAGCCGCTTGTCCGCTAGAAATTAAGGGTAGATCGCGCATTATGAGCCAAAAAGAAAAAAAAAAAAAAAAAAAAAAAAAAAAAAAAAACCTCCATGCTAATAAACCGGACATACTGCCTTCATAATGGAGATAGACGTCCGTTTCTGTATCTGTTATACGTTTCCCTAAAACTTCAACTTTGTCTGCGCTCATAGTAAAAAAGGAGCAATTGTCAGCCTGAGAATACATTCTTTCTTCTCCCCTGAATCCCTTTGAACTGACCCAAACATGATGGACATTTAAAGAACCTACATTCACGCCCATCCTTGCCTATGATAGCGTAATAGTTCCCAATCTCCACTACCACGTCCTTTTCTCGTTTGGCGCCCATTTCTGATTTCGTCGTGAAGTCGTCTGGCGAATGAAACCTCATTATTGTTAGTCTTTGAACCTCTTTGCTTTCTTATACAAGCCACATAACGGCTTTCCACTTTCGAAAAGCAGTAAATAGCCTATACTTATTGTTTGTCTGTTTGGACCATCAGGGGGAAAAGCTGCTCAGACCACCAACAGACAAACAGACAAAGCAGACAAAACAGACAAAACAGACAAACACAGATTTACAGTAATACATCCTTTGGTGTGTGCAGTGTGACAAAAGGTTGCGCTTGGTGCCACACAGCACATCTGATGGCATTGTCTAATTTGTAGCTACGCTATAAGCTTACGAGAGGACACATCCTTTCAACCTTTTGACCATTGTGTTTATGAGTAGCGCCACTAAATTTCAGGTACCTATACTAAATGTTCCGACTAAAACAAATTGTCCAAGTACAATTCGGCCTTTTGTCTGTTTTATCCTCGCCGTTAGCAGATCAAAAGGATGAAAGAAAAAAAGAAAGAAAGAAAGAAAGAAAAGCTATAGCAATGGGTCCCGACAAAGAAAGTACTAACGGCATTGGGGAAAAGGGAAGCAAATAAGAAGGTTGCGGGAAAAGAGGAATGTGGTTCCGCAAGGAAGAATTCCCGGACACTTTACAAGAGAGTGAGTGGCGTGGATCAGTACTTTTGTTCACTTGAGTGGACTTTTAAAAAAAAAAAAAAAAAAACATAAAAAACTTTCTATTTAGTTGTGCTTTCTCATCATCTTTTGTTCATTCCTCCTTCTTCACCCCTCCATCCTACAATGACCTTCTCGAACGCCTCTATCGCAGCTGCCTCAGGTGTGCTCATTGTCGGCGCCTATTTAGTCGACCCTTCCACCATCCCCTTTGTAGCTGCCGGTGTTGCCGCCACTTGGGCTCGTCTTTTGTTTAAGAAGCGTGGTCCTAGAAGTAAGCATAAACAAATAGAGTCGTGCCAACGGAACATCGCATGGAAGACTTTTACTTTGTGCATTTACATCGTAGAGATGATTCTCCGATCGTTAACTAATTTCGCGATTCCATGTTTACACCTTTCGGATGAATTAACTTAATAGTCCCACCGCTTGATCCTAAGGAGTACCGCAAGTTCACCTTGGTTGACAAAGTGGCTGTCAGTCCCAACACTGCCATGTATGAGTCACATTGGTTTTATTCTTTTGCGTAGTTATACCAGACAGTAAAAGGGATCATGATCGGATGTTACTACTTCATGGCATAAAATCCAGCGTTACTGACAATTCTATATTTTTCCTGCCATCGTCAAAACAAATAGGTACAAGTTTGCTTTGCCTAACGATGATGATATGCTGAACTTGCCCATCGGACAGCACATCTCAATTATGGCTAACATTAATGGCAAGGAGATCTCTCGCAGCTACACGCCCACTAGCGGCAGTGATGATGTTGGACACTTTGTTCTCTGCATCAAGGTAAGAAACGACTTTTAACGTTTTATTTATTTCTTCCTCCCCAACGGTTTAAAACTGTACACTTTACAACTCAGCACTAATCATTGGACAAACAATTTCTATTTATTGTAGTCTTATCCTCAAGGAAACATCTCCAAGATGTTCAGTGAACTCTCGATCGGTGATACCATTAATGCACGTGGCCCTAAAGGACAGTTCAGCTATACACCAAACATGTGCCGTGCCATTGGCATGATTGCTGGCGGTACTGGTCTCACCCCCATGCTCCAGGTATGATCACTGGTTCCTTGCTGAGTGCTTACCTTTATCCCGAAGAGCCATAGTGCATTGTAAATAAGCGACACACTCAACTAACTTTATTCTATGAATCATTCTTATGTCAACGCGTTGGGATGATAGATTATTCGCGCCGTTGTCAAGAATCCCGAGGACAAGACTAAGATCAACTTGATTTTTGCCAATGTCACTCAAGAAGACATCTTGTTGAAGGCTGAGCTTGATCTTTTGTCCAAAAAGCACCCTCAGTTCCAGGTCTACTATGTTTTGAACATGCCTCCTGAGGGTTGGACCGGTGGTGTTGGCTTTGTGAACCAAGAGATGATCAAGGAACACATGCCCGCACCTGCCGATGACATCAAAATCTTGCTCTGCGGTCCCCCACCTATGGTCTCGGCCATGGCCAAGATTACTCAGGATCTTGGATATGCCAAGGTCAATGCTGTCTCCAAGCTCCCTGACCAAGTGTTCAAGTTTTAAGAGTGATTTTTCCTTTTTATTTCATTTAATAGGCCATGAAGGAGCTCGAAAAAAAAAAAAAAAAAAAAAAAAAAAAAAAGATAGAATAGAATTAATAAAATATATTTGTATATATATATCATTATACTTCACGTGACGGCTCACAGCTCTTTTATTGCATTCGCCTCTTGAGCAAAGTAAAAACGGGCCTACCTTTCAGCTTTTTGCTTTATCTGTTTCTTTTTTCTTTTCTTTCCTTTTTTCTTTCATCTTAGTTCTTCAATACGATACTAAAACTCCTTCACCTTTCAAAAATCGAAACAAGGAAAAAAAAAAAAAAAAAAAAAAAAAAAAAAGGAAGAAAGAAAGAGAGCACGTATGAAGTCTACAGTGCTGGAAGCAGAAGGAAGTGGTTCAGACTCTGATGTGTGGCAATGTGACTCTGATCTCGACCGGAATGAAAGTTTCTACGTCCCTAATACATCATTCACCCAAAAGTTGACCGCTCTTGACCCGTCATTATACCATGGCACAGGGTAAAGTTTGGGTGATCGATTTCACGCAATGAATTCGGTTGTCATTCATGAATACTCATCTTTTTGGAAGTGTTCATTTTAATTTTTTTTCCTCTCTTACTTCTTATTTTTTCTGTCCTTGACTCTAAAAGTACTGGAGGGTGAGAGCTTTTGAGGACCGACAACACTTATCCTTGGAGTCGAAAGAGTTGTTTGAATAATACAGCAAGGAGGGATTTTTTCTTTCTTTTTTTAACACCAACTTTTTTTTTTTTTTCGTTGGTCTTATTAGTGATGATTTCAGTACAGAGGACAATTTTGATCAGACGAGCGCATATATCAACCACCAGCTTAGTATCTATGGGTTTTCATCCAATCTTCAGTTCCTGAAAGCGGATAAGCAAAATGCATCCAGGATCGTCACTGCCCTTTACAAGATCTTGCAGCAACATCTGGTACATTGGGCTCAAAGAAGAAGAAAAAAAAAAATTCATATTCATATTCTACCGTTCAGGAAATTTCATGCAAATGAGATAATGCTGCACGATAGCAATTGATCTCAACCACCCCACCCCTTTTTTTTTTCGCTAATACCCCCACACGTTGTATTTTTTTCATGGACCGTTAGAAAGATACCTCTCATAAAGAGGAGATGGATTTGAATTGGAGACGACTTTCAAGTGATCATGATGCTGCAATTCAGAGATTGGTATGAACTAGTTTTTTTTTGTCGTGGAATAGGTCTTATTCAACTTACAAAATATTGACAAACATGATATCTTTTCACCAGAATACCACAAAGTCACAATTGGAAAAAGCTGAGCGTGAGACAGACATCCTAGGAGGCAGGGTATCGTAAGTATTTTGTTCCATCATATTAATTCATAAAAAAAAAAAAAAAGGGTAAATCAATAAAAGAATAAAAGGATTTCTCAAGTACTCGAAACTCTAAGCTTTTTATTTTTTTCCTCTTTTAACCATGACGAAATATCATTAATTATTATTGTTTGTAAATCGTAGAGCACTAGAAGATGAATTAAGAGCAGAGACAGAGAAACATCGCTACACACGAGAAGAGCTAAAGTCTGCGAAAGCAAATCTTCAATACATCAAAACACAATATGCTGTAAGTGCTTGACCAAATGGAACTTTTTTTTTTTTTTTTTTTTTTTTTTTTAAAAAAAAAAAAAAACTGAGGATTACTGTCACCTTCATGCATCCATCCTAAAAGCTAATCAATCTTGATCTTTTCTCTAATGCTAAAAAAAAAAAAAAAAAAAAATCTCTCTGATTCGGGAAACCCTTTATCTTAGCATGAAGCAAGGAAAAAGGAACAAGAGATCCATGTACTCAAGGAGAAGCTACAGAAATCAATCAATAGGAGTCAGCTGTCCTCTTCCACAATACCAGGAGGGATCAAGATTCTCAATCCTGTACCACGGTCAATATATGGGAAACAGCCTACGGGCGATACGGAACATCTGCTCAGAGAAACCATTGGACAACAACAAGCGAAGGAAGCAGAGATTGTGGAAGAGAATGAACAGCTTCGTAGAACACTCTATACAGTTCATGTGCAACTGGAGGGTCTGATCCAAAAACATTCATTAAAGGATTCTGTTGCTGTAAGTCTTGTTTATTTAACAGGAGTTTGATATATTATAAAACGACAAACAGTACGTCTAAAAAAAAGCTTTTTTTTTTTTTTTTTTTTTTGAATCAGACGCCATACGGACTTCCATTCGATATGATTAAGGACAAGATCGAGACAGAGATTCGAGACACATTAACTTTATTGAGTGATCAATGGGATCACCGTCCATCTCTGGAGCCTGCTATATCATCAAGCGAGATTGTAGTACGAGATCAAAGGATTCAAGATCTTCAAAAGGAGGTCGAGAAGATGCAATTGGAATTGGAGGAGTCAACTCTGCTGGTTCAGGGTGCTCAGAAAATGATTGATAATTTAACAAGTGGTAACTTTTTGGCAGGAATGCAAGATCTCAATTTGAACGCGGGAAGGTATGTATACATTAGGAGAGAATGAAACAAAAAAGAAAAAAAAAAGCTTGATAATAATTTTTTTTTATTTTTTATTTTTTTTTTATAAACATATATTGTCCAATATATCCGCTCCCGAAAACATGCATATGATGTACGTATAGCTCTGATATGACTGCTCAAGAGATAGAAGAAGCTGAGGCCAAAGTCCAGAAACAGCGCGAAGAATTGGCTAAGGAAAGGAAAAAATTCACCGAGGCCTGCATAGATCTCGGTAAGAAGCGCGACGAGTTGGAGCGAGACAAGATGGCATTTGAGGAGAGCAAGAGGACGTTTAGGTTGGACAAGGTCATGTCCTTTTTGTCATTTTCCCCTAAATCAGAAAACCGAATAAGAACCACTCCCCCATCTTCACCCACACCAGCACCAGCACTATTGACACCATCAGAAGCAGTATCAACAATAACACACCTCAATGGAGTTAAATCCAGGAAACGAGTAGCAAGCTCACCGCTACCGCCGGACTTTTCATTACCGGGGCGATCAGTTAGACCAAAGAAAGCGACAACTGTTATGGAGCTTGAGGATGAAGAATTTAGTGCACATGGTGTTAAACAAGGAACATTTCATCAAAATATGGATAGAATGAGTGCTACTGAAGGCAAGGAAGAAATGGAAAGGGATCAAGAGCAAGAAGAGGAAGAGGAAGAAGAGTTACTTCAGACATCACGGCGTAAATTGTTTAATACTATGTCCGATACTATAGGGCGTAAAATGACAGCACATAGATCTGGGATCACAGACTCTGATACATCATTTTCAACAACAAATGGCTTGATAGCATCCAAATCAAAGTCAAAGCCGGGAGAAGGGGCGAGGACCGGCTTCAGTAATGATTGCTCAGAGCCTGGTCTTTTATCAGTCGGACGCCAAAACGATATCGCTGTATCATTAGCTGTTGCACCACAACAACACAGTTCTGAAACCTCAGCTGAACCTCGATCTGCCCCGTCAACAATATCAACAACAGTGAAGCCCCATCCATTTACGTTTAAAGCGACCCCCTCTCCGTCTTCATCCACACCTACACCTATACCCACACCCACCCATACTGCTGGAGCCAGTGACCTCACGAGAAATGGGCGACATCCTGCCGCAACGACCCGCGTGACTGCAACATCACCGGTCTCTACCACTACAGCTACTACAACTACTCCAAAGTCATCAACATCAACGCGGCTTTTGGCTAATATGAGGCCCCCACGGTCACCTACGCCCGTGTCAAAGGCCCCAGTATTGGCAACTGCAGCGCGCGCGAGCGCTACTCGTGGATCATCACCTGGTTTGACATCTCAACTTGCCAAGGAAGACACCAGCAACAATAATAATAACAATGCTGTTACCAAGGCTTCAAGCAGTAACAGCTTTGGAATAACGACGACGATGGCGTCTGAATCAGAACCACGTGTGGCTTTAATAAATGCCGCCAAAATCCCCTCGGGATTCTCGAAAGTAGCGGCTCATCTGGCGGCTAAAAAGTCAACAGCGCGATACCCAATAACAACAACGACTTCATCAACATCACCAACAATAACAAGGACCGGTACAAGTCGAACCACGACCCTGAATTCGCGCACGACATTGTCAAGATGAAAGAAAGAAAGAAAAATCCTTTAATCCATTTCGACGATTTATCTCTCCAACGTTGTCAACTATATATACATTTATATACTCACTTTCCCCTTCCCCTCTACCTCCATCGTTTCTACCCAGATCATAGTTTTGGAAAAATATCTGTAATATTATCAAGCATAACAATAACATATCCATATGTCCTGAAAGCACAATTGTTTTTGGTTATTTTTTTTTTTTTTTGGCATTTGTATTGATTTTCAAAGAAAGAATGAAAAAGAAAAAAAAAAGAATGATATCCGGCAATGATATTCGTTTTTTTTTTTTTTTTTTTTTGTTGATTCCCGTTGCTATTTATATATACTTTTTTCCCGTCCGTTTGTTTGTGAGTCGTAAGTCATTTGTATTTAAGCAGTGGCCTCCTCCTTGGGCTCCTCCTTGGATTCCTCCTTGGACTCCTCCTTGGCCTCTTCCTTCTTGGCCTCCTCAATGGAGGCATCTTCGAAAGAGTCGACCAAGGCAGGGACCTCATCATCATCGTCCTCAGCGTTCAAGGCAGCCTGGCCAGCAGCAGACTTCTGGTAAGACTCGGCAAGTTTGCGGAGGCTGTTGAGAGAGTCAGGTCCGAGCTGGTTCAAGATACCAGGGACCAACTCGGTCAATTCTTTCTCCTCACCACGGCCGTAGATGGCGTAGGTGTTGGAAGCAGACGAGGCGTGAACTATATACATAACAGATCATAAACGTGTGTTAATCAATCTATGATCAAAGAGTCGCGTAATTTTTTTTTTTTTTTTTCTGTTAAACCGAGATTTTAGATTTAACATACCCTTGGGCTGACGGAAGTGAATGACAGTGCCCTCATCCATGAACATGTTAACCTCCTCGACATAAGGCTGGGGAACAAGGGACAGCTTCTCGAGAGCACCCTGGAGCTTGCGGTCATCCTGAGCGACAGGGCGGTGGACCTTCTTGATCACACGGCGAGGGGCGCCCTTGGAGCGGTTCTGGTTAGCCTGGAGCTTGGCGAGTTTCTCGGGGTTCATGTTTGATATTCTACTCATGTGAAAAATGAAAAATAAAAACAAATTAAATGCATGAAATAGAAAAAAAAAAAAAAAAAAAAAAGTTGCCGTTGTAGGATTTGCGCCTTCTTCCTCCTGCCATTACCACCACTACCACAGCCACTACTCCAGTGTAAATATTGACATAAACCAATTTAGGGATGATAAAGACAAAATAAAATAGTAAAAAAAAAAAAAAAAAATGATGGTTGGTGTTTTTTTTTTTTCTATTCTCCCTATTCCTTAGACAAAAAAAAAAAAAAAAAAAAAAAAAAAGTGGAGCTCGTCACCTACGACGATGTTTCAACGTCTTTTTTTCAGTGTCATGAGTCATGATGCAAAAGAGGGAGGAAAGGGAAATTGGGGACTGAAGAGGGAAAGGATCCTGATCTTGTCCATCACTGTAAGTGAATTGTTATATATTCCTGAACAAAAAAATATATATATAAATCGAGATCCGTTTTTTTTTTTTTTTTTTTTTTTTTTGCCGTTATTAGTTCTAATTCCTGTGATGACCAGATTTTTTTTTTGTTTGTTTTGTTTTTTTCCCTTGTCCCAAGAGAAGAATTGTGTAATTTGCCATGGTTATAATGATTACCTGGAAAGGATGATGGGAGTAAAGAAGCAAAAAAAAAAAAATCCTTTAAGCCGCCTTTCTTGATCTTTTTTAAAAAAAAAAAAAAATCCCAAGTTGCACAGGGGACAGAAAACTCTTGGACATCAAAATCAAAACAGAACAGCAGTCTGCCATTTTTTTTTGTCTAAATATACGTCACCGTATTAAGACGATGTGCGTTTTAAATGGATTTACCCTTAATCAAAAGCCTAACGCTATGGACAATATCCCACTCAAGACATTGTTTCCCTAATATGAAGAAGACTGAAAAGATGCAGGACATAAGGCCGTCTTCTGTAGCTTTCCCTACCGCTTTCTTCGTTATCAACCCAATGGTTTCTTGCTCTGTCGTTTCCATGCACCTCTTGAGGCAAACATTGCTGACTGTGGCGCTGTTGCTGGTTGGCGACAGAGAGGAAATTTGTATTCATTCTAAATAACCTTGCGAAACCCACCCTTTGTCTGTTCTTAAGCCTCATATGTTGCCTAGTAGAGTTTTCCTTTGGCCTGACTCCTTCTTCCCGAGCAGTGGTTATTATTTTATGGCGGAAGCCTCCGAAGTGACCCGATCTGCATCGATTGTTCCTGCTCATTGTTGGAACTGTTGTGTTTCTTGATATCTTGTGAAAGTCCAGTATGTTCAAGCAAGTCAGTAGGATTGATACGGTTCTTCTTTTTGCTGAACGCTTCGGCACGGGTTGTTGCTAACCTGTTCATATACAGATCAGAGGTTTGAACTCGGATTGTATCCAAGACGTGAAGGATATTTTATATTTGTAGGTCGTCCGTGTTATTTTAAGTGAGGACGGTACGAACTGTTGCGTCGAGTGGCCCTGTGGTGTGTGTAGCTTTCGTTGCCAGTATTTTCCTGTGTTTTTTTTTTTTTTTTTTTTTTTTTCCTATCCGCATCCTTGAGATTTATCAGAAATAGCCCAATTGGATTGCTAGAGCTGTGCACTTCATACTCTCTTTTGAGATGGATCTCGAGAAAAAGAAAGATAAAAGACTAGATCAGCCAGCTGTTGACCTTGCTTATTTTTTAGAACAGGATAGATCGAGCATTATTAAAAGGGAAGGTTACAAAGAGAAGCCCCCGCCAAGGATAGAAAAATAACACTCCCTCATTTCCTAATTATGGTTGACTAAAGGTTGTTTTTTTTTTTTTTTTATGTGTCAATACTATAGCTCATAATTCTTCTCGCTTGTCACCACCAACTTGTCTTTATCCTCTAGAGTCAGCAATGTCGGCGTCATTGCTGTTGCTACTATTATGTGGAGTGGTTTGATATATCCGTAATGCCGGTTTCTTGCCAAGGGTACTGCTAATTCTTACTCCTGGACGAATTCACTATTCTAAATTAACAGCGAGGTAGTAAAACAATGCGAGTGTTACAGGTTAGCAGCAGAAAAAGATCATTTATATCAAGAGCCATATACATTCATAGCTAACTAATTTTATTTATACTGATCGCAAAGAACGTCATAGGCGACGGAAGTTAGTGTCAATCCAGACACGCAAAGACTTTCAAATGAGGTTTCTAGGTCCTTATTCTCATGAGTAACAGGCAAAAGAGATGATGTGCAATCTTTGAGGATATGCTGTAGACTTCCAATAGCTCAAGACGGTAAGTTGGAGTGTTGTCGCGGGTGGGAGAGCTTAGAAGATCCATAGTGGACAATAAGGTCACTCGTATCCTTTCTTTTTTCGGAGAAAGAGCTATCGGCCATCAATCACCATGTCGAATCGTCTATGTTTTTTTTTTTTTTTTTTTTTTTTTTTTGTTGGATCGACATCTAACTGGTTTGTCATATAATTAAGAGGGATCGCCAATCGCCCTTGTAATCTGCACCAGGAAGGAAGGTGGTCCCATTTGCAACATCGAATTAAGTAGTAGTGGCTGTGCACATTTGACACAAACTACAAGATCGCGTTTTTGTACGTGTGGAATGAATAATAAGCTCTCTTTTTTTTTTTTATAAAAAAAAGAAAAAAAAAAAAAAGTAGCAAACAAGCACAGCAACTAATTTATGGTGGTTGAGCAGAGCGGGCCAGCGCATGCTCTTGATTCATTGTCGTTTTTTTTCTTTCTTTTGATTCAATAATAATAAAAAAAAGAGCATACTAGTCTACATACTCTGCCAGTTTCCCAAAATAAAAATAAAATAAAAATAAAGAGAAAAAAAAAACAGCGCAACTTTTTTGTTCAAAGGAACATGTCGTTAAAAAATAAAAAATGAAGAAGAATGGAAAAGTTTAGGTATACACAGAATATCGACGATATATTAATGCTGTTCCTCCATAAGCGACTCTGGTATACGATCTTTGGAATAACCATGGCTGCTCTTCCCTCCAAGGTCTCTAGTGGGCGTCACTGGCACAGTTCGTACAGGCCTTGCCTTATTCACCGATAGCTTACTAACTGTAGTGGTCGTCGTTGTCCCAGAGAGGGAAATAGAGCGCGACTTGCGCGTGGTCGAGCCTCCAAAACCACGCTCAGTATTCTTAGAGATCAAACTAGAGCTAAACGATTGTCGGCGAGGGGTCACAGATGGAGAGGCAGCAGTACTTGATGGCATCGGGCTTGTAGGCGAGTGGATACGCAAGCCAGCCATTTGGGTTTCATGTTCCTGATCTCTATACATGTCATGATGCGACTGACTGCCATAGGATGATGAGTATTGACTATATGTTCCAGAGTGGTGGTTTGACATCTGAGCAAATCGACTATACGAGGGAGAATCGCGCCCAACAAACCCTGATGGACTGTACATGTCTGGTGACATTGGTTCTAGAATCCGAAAAATAAACAAAGTAAGGTTAGCCATCTTGATTAAAAAGATGAAATCATATATGAACAAATAGCAAATTGGTGAATGATGTTCTTACCCCCAGGATGGAGTCCCGCAGGCGATAGAGGGCTCGCTGGATAGGATTCATTATTCTTACGGTCATAGTAGCTTGATTCATGAGATTGCGCAGCAAGATGAGAGGCCGAGCCTAGAGATTGATATGGATATGAGGAACCATAACCATAGTTTGAGTAATATGGGTATTCACCCGGAGAGGCTGGGGACCCCAGAGGCCCAACCCCTCCACCCCCTCCACTGCTGATACTGTCATTCCTGTAATGATGGCGAGCATCCCCTCCATGAACGTTCTCCATAGGAGTATCATCATTGTCAGCATAGTGTCCAGGAGAACGGCCTCGGACAACCAATGGGGCAGAGACTGATGTTGCCACGAGGACCAAGTCACCGTTGTCCAACTCTGCAAAAAGATCGACATGGACCTGATAGTACTGTTGAGCGGCCCTCCGCTTACCATTATTTGCAGTTGCCGTTTTGAATTGCACTCGCTCAAAAGTGACTACATTTGGATTAGATCCGGACGAGTTTAAGGAAAGATCGCCGCCTGCTCTGATGAGAGTAGGGCGTGGCGTTATTTGAGGGCCTTTGTCGCGCTTTGGGGTATGTTGGACCAATTCAATCACCTTATCACCGCTCTGGATGCGAGCGCCAATGCAAACTGAAAAGGCCCTGACAGAGAGCAGCTCGCCATTTCTGTCCAAGAGACAAGGCACCTCGGGATGAATGGCAGGATCGAGCCCACTGATGGAAAATGCGGCACTGAGTTGAAAATAGTTGCGGCGGTAACAGGTCCAATCGTTCGCAGCTAAAAAGAATCCCCGATCAATCTTTGCTGCAATCTTAATGTTGTAGCTGTTATTAGGGCGGAGAAATATGAGGGGGTGATAAAGTAGGTGCATCTTGTTAGTTTTGTTCTCCTGTATAAAAGTGGACAAGTCTGCAGAGAAGCAAGTGGGAAAATGAGCAACAGAATATTCTTACCTCATAGACTGATCAACGCTGTAGAGGTTATAGTGCTGAAGAGCAGGGCTGAAATATGGGCTCTCTTGATGAGCCAGCATCTCGGACCGTCGCTTTGGCCTTGAATGACCCATGGAGGGAGAGGGTGCTGAGGTCGAATAAACCATTGAAGACGAATCAGATTTGGTACTACCATTGCCGAGCATACCATCTTGGCCATTGCCCACGCCCGCCCCATAGCCTTCAGAGGGAGCGCCATCGATACTACCATGACTTTGGTAATGAGCATTACTGTTGCTGTAGCCATGGGCACTAGTGTTATAGGTGTGGTTTCTGCGTAACAAGAAAGAGCATAAAACTAAATTGGTCAGTCCTGTGAGAAAGTAACTCGACTGTTGATTGGCTCGGCAACTGTCATCTGTTATTGCTTCGTGTGACGAACTCAAACATTTTTTTTTTTTTTTTTTGTTTTTGCGCCCATTGTTACATTGTAATTAAACTTCACTTTTGTGCTCTTTAACAGCCAACTGTCAACAATCCTCTCCCTTAAGCTCTTATTCCTGACAAAGAACAAAGAGGCCCGAACATAAAATCCAAAAAGAAATAGTAATTGAAAAAATATTATAGAGAATCAGGGATCTAGACCAAAGTTAGTTCATTTCCCAGAGTTTAGGAACTTTGCGGCGTCATTTAATATAGTTTGTCTCGTGAAATTTACCCTCACTAACACCCTTTTTTTTTTTTTTTTTTTTTTTTTTTATTCCAGTTCCTTCTGAATGCCCCGTTCACAAATTGAAATCTCAATGGTGTAAAATTCGCTTAAAGTGCCTCGGGTGTATTTTGAATAGAGTATTTGCTCTTTGTCTTTGGATGGTGGGGAGAAAAGAAAAAGCGAAAAGTGAGTATTTACCTTGAATAGTGTGAGGATGATGCTGAGGATGAATAAGATCCATTGCCTCCGTCCACCTTCCCACTTGGGGCAGGATGACCATTGTAAAAATGGTGACCATTTGCTTCATTGGAGGGACTTCTATGCATGTCACAATAATAATAAAAACAATAAAAGATCGTAAGCAGTCCAGGTCTGATCATACCTTGTCCCTTTTCCTTCGTGCATCTCATTCGCCTTTCTTTTTTTAATTTTTTTTTTTTTTTCTTTGGCCCCTGAAAGAGGAATCGAGGACAAATCGGTAGAGCACACCCACCATCCACCACCCCTCATTTGCAAAAAATAAAAAATAAAAAATAAAGTAAAATAAAATAAAATAAAATAAACAAAATAGATAAACAAGCTTGTACATTTGTCACAACTTACAGAGGATGTTGGTGATGATCTTGAGGGTATGATGAGTCATGGGTATGATACGCATGGTGTTGCGATGGGGGGTAATCATATTCATGACTCTGTTGATGATAAGTATGGGCACCATTCGACGACAAATGGGAGGATGACGCAGAAGAAGTAGGGGAGACAAAGGAATTGTGGACGGATTGGGCATGGCCGTGTTGTGTGGCATATACGGGGTCATTATTTCCGTTGCTGCCGTTACTTTGGTTAGCAAAGGGAACAGTCTGGATTGGAGGTGGCAGGTGTGAGCTGTTGGAGCTATGAGGATAGTGTGATGAAGAGGAGGAATGGTGACTATGACCGTTGGCATAGTGCTGCTGGTTATAATAATCGCTGGGATGAGCTCCAGCATGGTCTTGATAGTGACTCTGATGACGAGTCGAGTAGGATCCGTGTCCATTGCTAGTATAATCCATTGGCATGGACCTTGGCTCAGACCTCTCAGAGTATTCTGTGTGCTGCTTGGATATGACAGAGCCAGACATGGAAGATCGATCCTTGGCGAGTTCTGTCAGGTTGACTAAGGGGGATGTGGTGGTCATGATTATTTATATTGTTTTTGTTTTTTGTTTTTTGTTTTTCTGATTATGTGCTGGATGTGCTTAGGACAAGAGGAGATTGAATGTTTGTGTGTGAAACAAAAAAAAAAAAAAACGCTGTGGAGATGCAAATACAGTGTGTCCGACTCTGCAAGTTTGGGAGCTGTGAAAGGATTAAGGCAGAAGATGGGAGAGAGGAAATGAAATGGAAATGAGGGTTTGTGAAGATATCAGTATGTTTGACTGACAAAGGAAGAGAAGAGAGAAGGGAAGAAGAAAAAAAAAAAAAAAAAAAAAAAAGTATGTATGTATGTATGTATGTATGTATGTATGTATATATATAGAGAGAGAGAGAAACAGAGATGGAGAAACTGACGGACAATGTGGACGGATCACCCGCGTGTGTTTGTGTGTGGTTGTGCTGTGATTGTACGTTGGGATGGGATGGGTTTGCTCCTGTGCTTGTGCTTATTCTTGTGTTTTGTGCTCGTGCTTGTGCTTTGTGCTTTGTGCTTGTGTTTTGTTGGCTCTAGCTCCTTTTCATAAAGACTTTGGGTTCTTCAGCTGTTTAAGAAGAGCGCAAAAGGAAGCCGAGAGCAATTGAAGAATGATAAGGCTGTATTTGTAGGATGAAAAACAAGGAGACACGACGCTTTGTCAACAAGAAATGAATCTAACCAAGACGATGTTGTAAAAAAAAAAAAAAAAAAAATGCTGATGCAGATGGCGAACCTGAAGTTCAATTGTCGTCAAGGAAGAAAATAATAACTACAACAAAATAAAATAAGAAAAATGATAATAATGATAATAAAAATAAATAAATAAAAAGGAAAGGAAAGGAAAGGAATGAAGACGAATGAATGAAGACGAATGAAGGTGAATGGAAGGAAAAAGAAAAAGGAGATAATGAAGATGGAAAAAAAAAAAAAAAGAAGAAAGAAAGAAAGAAGAAAGAGAGAAAGTAGAGAAATGAAAAGAGAGAAGAAAAAAAGATAAAAAGTGAGAGGAAAGAGAAGCGACAAAATTAGAAAAATAAAAAAATAAAAATTGGTGGGCGTGTGTAAGTGATGTGTGCAATGTGTGCAATGTGTGCAATGTGCGCAGGGAATCAAGAGGACAGGCCAGGGCGAGGAAGGCCGAAGGAAAAAAATAAGAGATATCTACAGTATACTGTCATTCAATGCAGTAGAATAGAATAAGACAGTATACAATATAATCCAATACAAACATTCTAATTCAATGACATGGTTACGATGAATATATACAAGAAAAAAGAAAAAGAAAAGAGCCAAAGGAAAAAGAGTTAAAAAAACGAATGGTTGCGCTTGAGAAACAGTGAACACAAGAAGGATGGGTCTAAAGTTCAAAGGAATGGATAGGTCTGTCTGTCAGAGCAAGGGCACACAGGGTGAAAAAAAAAAAAAAAAAAAAAAAAAAAAACGGCTTTGGCCACATACAACATAGATGTAATGTATACTTTGGATTATATACACAAACATGTACACTTCCATTCGAGCTCATGCAAAATGAATGTGTTCTACAGACATTCCCTCTTCACTCAACGTGTAGACAACATCCAGCATTCAATGTATAAAAACCCAAACTCAAAAGCAAGGATGAGAATAATGAGAGGATGGATGGATGTGTAAAAGTGGGTCTAAAAGAAAACCGTTCTTGTTGTTTTATTGTTTTTCTTTTTGTTTATCATGACTACAGACAGACATAAATATATATATTTTTATATTTTTAATGTTGATATCCAACAGATGGCGATGGTGATGATGGCGATGATGAATAACATGTACATATTGATTATGGATAATTTTTTTTTCTTTGTTTTTGTTGTTGTTTGTCTATTCAGTTCTAATATTCAATCCAAATGTTACATTGCACACACATTTGATGCATCCATACTTTGCACTCTGCATTGCACAACGATAGTCTACTCAGTAGAGCACCTGCAGACAAAAGGAGAGAGCGTGTGTGTAAGTTGAGTTGTCTGTTGGATTGAGTTTCCAATGGATTTGAGCACAACATACACAGAAAAGAATGAGAAAAGTGAAAAGACGCAAGAGAGGTTGAGCAAGAGCCAGGAGGCACAGGAACACAAGCGCAGGACTTTTTTTTTTTTTTGTGTAAATGTGTCTTATGGATTGCATAAATGAATGGCTCATCTGTGAGAGTATACTCTCCGCTTGCGTCCATTCAATCAATCGTCTATACTTGCCTTTGTGAACCAAGCAATGCTAGGCAATGGTTTTAATGGTCTGAGTAAAATGGCGCTAGTAAAAAAACGCGCTTTCTAAATGAAAGGAAAACAGAAAAAGGAAAAGGAAAAAGAGAGAAAAAGGAAAAGAAGAGGATTCAAACCATCCAGTCGCCTTTCTTTTTAGGTTGAAGGCTTTTTTCTTTTCGATTGACGTGACACTCTTTAATAAAACAAAGAGCTTCTTCCTTAACACCTTGGAAAGGAATGCACAATAGAAAAAGAAAAAGAAAGAAGGATGCCTTGCTCACACAGACCTTTCCACACAGATACATACATTTCTCCTTCCTTCCTTAGTCCTGCACCCCCACAATTCAATCACAAATCACAAATCCGGATGTAAATAAATAAAAACAATAAGTGGAGTGCATGTTGACTAGTCTCCTTCATTCTAGAACGCGTCTGGAGAAAAACAGCGATGACCGAGCTATGAACCATGTAACGCGTATGAAGGACGTTCTATACCATATTCTTCACAGACAATTATAGTGCATTCCCTTGTTTCTGAAATGACTTGCGTTACAAAAAAAAAAACTTACTTCTAACCGCAAATATCGTAAAGAAAAGAAAAGAAAAACATAGCACGTATATATATATAATATATGTATAAAACATGCTAGTCTAAGGAAGACTGACCAACATCCAGTGTTATATTTGTGTGGTGTATGTTTTTGAGAACATCGCATAGAGCTTTTTTTTTTTTTTTTTTTTTTTTTTGCGTAAGGTGGCACAAGCAATCAACTTTTTTTTTTGTAAAGCACAGGAGCAAATATAAATGGAGGCATTACACAAGAGAGCCGTCAAACAACGAAACGACGAAACGAAAGTCCTGAGTTTTTTTTTTTTTTGTGTACATGTACTTTCCACAATCCACACCACTTGACTCAAAAGTATGATTCAAAATGATAAAAGAAAAATGAAAGGTTGCATGTGTGTGTGTGTAATAAATCAAAGATAAAGAACGTCGGACGAAATGAAAAATACCTTTGCCCTATCCCTATCCCTATCCCTCCCACCATCATATCGATATGCCACTGCCCCTTTCCCCCTTCTTTTTTCTTGTGTATCCCATTCTTGTGATTGATAATTTCATCCGCTTCGGTTCTTATTCCATTACCCTTTTCTTTTTCTTGCTTAGATGCAAGTTGTGAGCAACATCGTTAATTCGGGTGTCCCCATCCGTTTAATGATCTGTAGGTTACATTTGTATACATATACTTGAATTGTCTGGCATGAATAAAAATAAAAAATAATAATAATATATATAATAATAATAATAATAATAATAAAAAACGCTACGGCAGTTGATTCTTTCTTGTCATACTTTTTATGCTTTATTACATTATTGAGCCAAGGGACATATACCTGGGTTAATAAAATAAATATACTGCACTCTGAACAGATATAAGAATAACTCATCGGAGTAAAAAATAAAATAAAATAAATGTGCAACTGTTCCTTCTCATGCTTCGATATATAATTATAAATGAACAGGGTTTCCGTGTTCACATGCTTCATATTGTGATGCCCTGTGGTCTGTTAGTCTGTTAGTCTGTTGATCTCTTGTTGTCATCAAAAGAGAGAAAACAGTATATAAATATATATACAATAATGGACACAATAAGATTCTAGCTTATAATAAAGTCAAGCAAAAAAAACTTGAACAATGTGACAAGAAGGATCTACCATTGTGTATATAAAATATATGCTTAGATAGACTGTTTGAGTTTTAAAAAAAAAAAAAACAACGGTTGGTTGCTCCATGTTTGCAATTACATAGAACAACGATAAAAAGAATGATCAAATATAAAAAGAGGATTTGAAATGAAAGATTACCCAAGACTAGGGCAAGGATGATATAATCGCCACATTATATATATATATATACTAAAGAACAAGAATTATTTTCGTTGATCGAAACGAAAAACAAAAATATTATCGTTTCCTTGGCAACACTGACAAGGGCAATCTAATAAACAAAAACAAACCAAATGACCTGTAAACAAAAGAACCACATCTGTGAACAAGTGAACAGGCCGCCTTTTCTCTATTTCTGCCTCCATGTGTTCACACGCAAAGCACCACTCAAACGGCAATGGGCAATGGGCAATGGAGCAATACACCAGCCAGCCCCTGAAAAAAAAAAACAAGAGAAGAAATCTCAGCCAAGGTTCATGTACTTTGGATAGTACACAACAAATGTATACATGAATAAAACAAGTCTTTTAATTTATTATTAATAATAATTAAAAAAACAACAACACCATTTACATGTATATTTATATATAATGTCTATAATATGAAGTCTGCATGGTTAATTACGATGATTGTATATATAATTTTGAGACTCATAAAAGAATATTATATCTTTGTATATTGTATTTATAATAGAATATAATGCTATCGCCATTTCATCGCATCCAGTATTATGGGCGCACAGCAGGTCCTGGAAATAAAAAACCCTTTCTCCTGTGGCACCTATTTTGCATGCAGTGATCGAGGAATTAGTGTAAAACACACCGATTGCACATTCTCATGCTAACCTGTCTTGTTGCACATTGATGCGCCCCCCTCCACTGTCCCACCGTTGTAAACTAGACAGAAACATAACCACAAAGCTTTTTTTCTTTAATCATAAAAAAGCCCTTGATGTAAGATTTTATAAAAGTTAGGGTGTATAAGATGTATATATATACATATATTTATATTATACTTTATAATCTATATCCTCATTCAATAGCCCTTTCACATGGACCCATTCCTTTCTCCAATAAATGCAAAACGAGATATGGCTTGGAGATATCGTTTATCAACCTCTCATCAGTACAGTATCAGAACGGCCTTGGTGTTTCTTCGGTCCTTTTTGTATTTTTTGTACGACCAACAGAAAAGGGAGGGAGGAAAGATAAAAAAAAAGGGAGTAGGAAAGCAAGAACATGCCCAACCCATTTCCTGACCATTGTTGACCCGAAGGGGAGGCACTACCCATCACAAATAGGAACGAGAATAGGAAAAGAGTAGGATTCGGGGGAGGAACTGGGAGTGGGAAACTATTGATTCAAAGGCGATTTTTTTTTTTTTTTTTTTTTTGTCCCTCATGCCCGATCGGTCGTTTTTTCTCTTGTGGTCAGTGTTAAACTTTTTTCAATAATTTTTTTTTTTTTTTTTTTTTTTTTGGAATAACCCATGCATAATGCATGGACGTAGAATAATGTAAATCTAAAATGGCCTGCAGCTTCGTAAACACGGAGGATTGTGTGGTGCGGAGTATGGACCATGGGCAATAGACCCAAGATGGTTCCTTCAGTAGCCCACTCGTGCTGGTCTCAAAGGCAAAGGAAGCCTAATAGGAGTAAAACCATCATACATTATATGAGTTAATCAACAATAATGCATCGCTGACAAAGAAGGAGACAGATGTTTCCTTTGCTTACATTAAAAATGCAGGATAAACATCGTTTGACTGAATACATGTAAGCATCTGCAGACGACCGCACACATTTTTTTATTTTTTATATATTATATGGGTAAATACATGTATAGATATATATATATAACTTTTTAGTATCTCCAACTGTTTGAAGTTGACACCAAGTTTTTTTTTAAAATAGATTACGAATTACATTAATAAAAAAGAAAAAGAAAGCATGATCAGTCACACACATTCCAAACAACACAGCTCACATCAGTCAACAATAACACAGCACAGCACCGCGATCTAAACTTACATTTTTAGTGTTTTATCCTTGCTTCCACTAGCGGCTTTATCTCCAGAAGGACTCCAATCCACTGTGAAGACCTCATCGAGATGTCCAGGTAGTTCCATCTTCATTTTTTTAGTCTTAATATCCCATAACTTGATGGTACTATCTTTACTGCAAGAGAGTAGCATCCTACTATCACTAGACCACACAACTTGGTATACTTCTGCCACATGTCCACGAAGAGATGCAATAAACCTTACAAAAAAAAAAAAAAAAAAAAAAAAGTACAAGCCCATACATATTAGAATCCTATCTTAGCTGACTAATCACCAAAACGCTAGTGTCAAAGAAAACTTACTTTCCATCACGACTATCCCAAATCTTCACAGATTTATCAAAACTAGCCGAAGCAATGTACCGTCCATCGGGTGAGAAGCTGACATGGTTGACTGTCTTTTGGTGACCAACCATCCTCTTTGGCGCAGCCTTCTTTCCATCCACTTCCTCCTTTTTGTTGGGCCATAAGTACATTGTAAAATCATCTGAGCCAGAGCATAACCGCTCTGGGTTGAGAGCAATGGCTTGTTCATAGCGCTGAAGTGCCCTCTTCTGTGCTTCGTTCTCATCGCTAAAAGTCCTTCCTGTATGATCATGAGCGCCCGTTCTGAGAACCCCATCAGTGCTGAGTGCCAATGTTGTTACCCAATGAGCATGCCCTGTGAGCACCTTCACTAACTTTCCTGGATGAGGTTCTGTCGATGACCAGACCTTAATGGTCTTATCGCGCGAAGCAGAGTAGATTAAACCATCACCAGCCCACTTCACACACATGACAGGAGCCGTATGCTGCGCCATTGAGAACTCGAGTTGTTTCTTGACAACATCCCAGACACGCACTGTGCCATCCGCGGATGAAGAAGCAAGCCTTCTGCAAGAGGCATTCCTGTCAGACGCAGATATTCAGATGGTGATTACATTTTAAAATAAATAAAGAAATGTGATGTAAAGTAATTAATGTCACTCCTCGTAATATTATCCATCACTTTTATCGTAATGGCGAACATTTGATACAAATTGCAAACAAAGGAATTGCTTACAGATGCAAAGGCTCCCATGCCAAACCACTCACCCACTTGGAGTGACCCTTCAATGCCGCGTGCTGCTTTCCTGTCCTTGGCTCCCATATGATGACTTGCCCATCCATGCCTGCAGTAGCCAAATATTTCCCATTCGGGGACCATGATACATGCTGTACCCAGTGTTTATGACCTTTCAGTAAATGATGTGGTGTTTCCGTGTTGAGATCCCAGATCCGGATATTGGTATCACCGCCTCCGCTGGCAAGCATAGTTCCACACGGTGAGAAGGACACACAAAGAATCGCATCTGTGTGACCTGTGAGAGAAGAGGAACACCGAGTGACCGCACGAACCCTGAAAACTGCCTGAGGGCGATAGATAATCCTGAAGATCTCTTCTGTAGAATGCTTTCCTGGTTGAATAATATCCTGATCCAATGTATTGCCGATTTCTGTTTCTGCGACTTCGAACGTATATGGTAAAGGATCCTCTTCCTGCAATGATGTCCAATAGCATCAAAAAAGAAAGAAAGAATGATATTTCCATTTAATCTGATTATACATTACGACATTTGTCTTAACAAAAAACAATAAAGCTGCCTTTCTATGCATACATTGCCAAGCAAGCTATTGAGCAAAAGAGCCAGCTGTTCTGGGTTTATGTCAACAGGCAAACTCAGAGCAGGGCCCGAAGAGACTCCCTCCTCGCTGTAGAACTGAGCAATGACATTTGGCTTGTCCGTCATGTTGGTATATGTCTGAATGGAGAAGGGAAGGAGAACTGGTATGGAGGGACATATACCTGACTGTGCCTCTCATGTATTACTTATTGGGTTAAAAAAAAAAAAAAAAAAAAAAAAAAAACAAAAGTCAGGAGAGCAGTCCCTTATCATGTGACATAACTTCCGCCAGCGCACGAACCATGCTGAAGTTTAATTCATAAACTAAGCTTGAGGATGTCATCATGGCCTCGTGCAATCTGCTCACGGTGTGCTTCGCACGGAGCTTTTTTTTTTTTCTCTTACGAGGGGAAACACAGCAAACCAACAGCTAACGCTCTTTTCAATAATGAGTTCTTATAAATCATAGGCATACCTGGCTGTCGTCGAAAAAGCTTACAAGTTAGATATTTCTTTGCTGTTACTACAGATTATGCAGATTAAGTCAACCGCTATCATGCGCAATAATGGTCACAATAGGGATGTTAAAAGGGATATTTCCGACAAATATGGCTTCTGGCCTCCATTGTACTTTCTAAGACAATTCTAAATAAATCTTTCTTTTTAGACATTTCGACACAATGAACCGGATCCATGGATTGTGGGAAGACGATCGGGTAAGCAGGCCTTGGGAGATTGTATGATGAAGCGATCTCCAAAAACTGCAAAGTTCTTTTTTTTTTTCTTGTTTCACTTGCAGTGTCAGGTGCTTTGCTTTTCAAGTAAGCCCTTGTTGTTGCACCTTCGATCACCACCTTACCTCTTCTTTCTTACAATAATTTAATACATGTACTTTGTCCTTGACCCTTCTCGATGGACGAAACTGTCATCAGCCCATTCTCACCGGTACCTGGAGCCTCTCCGAATGCGGAGTCATTCTCTACTGGCGTATTCCCAGCCATAAACAAGGAAATACCCAACACTGATTTCTTGCCTTTAGATCGACATGGTTCTGAACAATCATCGCAAGCACAACAAACGTATCTTCAGCCTCCGCAGTTACCACTCTTACTCCAACAGCCTTCCCTATCACCTCCTCCGTCACCACCACAATTACAGTTGCAATTGCAACCTCAAAGTAACACTACAAAAAAAAGAAGACGACATCGCCGGTGGCCCTTGGTAGGTCGACTTTTTGGGAGGAAAAAAAATTCAACCGAGAATTTAAATATACCAAACCATCAGTCACGGATTGTCACCACTGAATACAATAGTTCGAATAGTAACATTGTCCAGCATGGCGGTCATGGAGGCATCAACGTCATTGAAGCTGTGAATAGTTCGAATGCACAACCAGCGATTCAGGAAGGAGAAGCTATGCCGAATCCTCCAACGTTTGTTAGTGATGGCGGAGAAAGCAGCAGTGCTCTCAGTAGTTATCGCTCAAGCCTTACTGGCGATCCCAAGGCGTCCCCGTCTCCCTTTCATCGAGCACCCTCGTCATCCTTACCGGAAGTTACAGATGGGGCATCCTTTCATCATTCACATCAGCGACGAGATAGTAGCGGCCCTTTGAAAGATAGTGGTGCAGTAGTTGAAGAAGTGGACATAAATGATGAGGATGAAGTGAGTGCGCCTATTATGACGACTATCATGACATCCAATGGCCATTGTCAAGCTCTAGTGGTGCCCCCCAAAGCACCCCCACAGAGTCGCGGGCCTCAGCAGTCGCATGAGCCCAAGCAACCTAAGAGCATCCTCAAGAAACCTACTTCCATACAAATGACTCCACCCACGCTTAACAAGAACACAATAACCCCTAGAGTCTCCTCATTTCTACCTACTACAACTGGCCCTAGAGCTCACCCTTTAACTCGGTTACCCGTCTCAGTTTCAAATCAGCAGCATCGATCTATGCTGCGCCCATCACTTGATCGCATTGGACCATATGTCCACTACAGCTCCCAAGATGTGACAATCCAGCCAGATTATATACCTGGTATTCAATCCAATGTGTACGATAGTCGAGGCGGAGAGCGACCTCAGGGTATGGTGGATAGTTATCCTGCTGGCGCTGATGATTGTGAGACTAATATGCAACAACAAGAGCAACAATCCATGACTCCTTTTAACGTTCGAGCCAATAATCTTTCAATGCAGTATCAGCCTAACCCATACAGCTCTGATCTTTCTCCACAACAACAGCAGTGCTTGTCTGATCAACAAAACTCTGTGGTTGATTCAATGAGCAATAGCAACCATTCGGCAACAACGATGAGGCGTGAACGGGCTGCCTACATCTATAGTAGCAATGGCCATAACTATAATGACCTCTTTGGGGCACCTAAATATCAGAACCAGAGCCAAGGCCAGAATCATAGGCAGAGGGATGGCAGAAAAGAAGTAAAATTCATGGATATAGTCGAGTTTATTCCCGCACATCGCAATGCAGAATATAACCGACGGGCAGATGAGAATGCTACCTTCAAGAAACTGACTACGGCAATGAAGTCTGAAATCAAAGACGAGCTTAATAGCTACAAGATGAAGGAGATGATGGTGCATGTTCAGAGTATGGGGAACACTGCATTCCATTAATAATAATAATAATGATAATGATGGTGATGATGGTAATGATGATAATAACATATATAAAATATTAGTATATATATATATTGATCAATTATGTTATTATATAATTAGCATTGCAACGACTTTAACAGAAAGTGTGGGGTGGCACGGTTGCACAAACAGAAAAATCTAATTGAGGAAATCAATGGTAATCACCATTTTTTTTATTTGATCCATCTCCCTTTGACTATTACAGTATACATGTATGTATATATTATATATATGTATACATTTTCATGATTGTAAAAGATCATTTCTGTATTCTGCCTATAGACTAGAATATACTTTTTTTCCCACTGTATAGTACATGTACAACATGGACTAGGCTGCATGTCCTGTGAGGAAGAGGATCCAGAGAAATAGTAAGTCAGATCTGGTCATGGCTCTTATATGCCCTTTCGCCTCTTAAGATGTCTAGAGGCATAAGCTCCGCTTTCATTTTTCTCAGCCCTCCTTGTCTTTTTCTTTTTCCTTTTTCCTTTTAAAGCTGAGATTCAAAAGCCGAAATAAAACACTGGGCAAATCATAGAAAACTTTGCCGAGACCGTAGTCTTTCATTGACCAAGTCTCTGACAAATCCACACACATATATATACCGTGTGATTCACTTTGGATCTAGTCTGATATCCCCTGGCTCCGACGAAGCAACGTCTTTTTTTATTTGGTCCTTTCCTCTTTTTCTTTTACCTTCATTCTCTCTCTCATTCTCCCCCCTCCCCCTTCAGCCGTTCCTTCGCTCCGCCATCTATCCCCACACATATACCATATATATGATGGCGACCTCTCCTCTTAAAGAGCAGTCCACCGTGAATCTTTCGCTTGAAAAAAAGCTTTCTCAGACAGGATCATCAACAACTATCTCCAGTGACGGTATTCATGCAGACAACAAGGAACGAGGCTATTCTGAGGGCGGAGATCTCCTTGCAGAGAGACCATCTCAGGGTAGTAACTTTTCAGCATTCTTTAACATCGTCTGTGTTGTTGCAGGGACAGGAACCTTGGGTTTACCCTTCAGTCTAGCCAAAGGTATACATACAGAATAACATCCTTGGTTTTCCCAAGTATAATTTTTTTGTTTTTGTTTTTGTCGGAAAGTTCCAGCCTCTAACGTTAAACATTGTTTTTCTTTTTTGTCCAATTATAGGTGGCTGGATTGGTGTAGGCATTCTAGTCTTGTCGATGGCCATGTCCATCTATACGGGTATTTTGATCATCAAATGCATTTATTACAATGGACACACTCGTCTTGCTTCATATCAGGAGATTGGTCAACATGCATTCGGAAGGATCGGTCTGATCGCTGTCTGGTTCTTCCACACATCGATCGTCTTGGGAGCACCAGTCATGTACTTCATCTTGTCTGGCACAGAGATCCATGGATTGACAAGTTCCCGCGTCAATGTTTCGGAAACAGCTTGGATCTGGATCTGTTGTGGTGCCGTATCTATTCCTTTTGTGCTCATGAAGACGTTGAAGGAGGTTTCACTTTTGAGGTAAAGGGACTATATATATTTTCGTTATTTTTCTCACGTCTTCCTAAAAATATCAGTATCGCATTAAAGGAATGATCGGAATTGATCGCTGTTACCGTTGATCCAATGATTTACTGGGAAATGTTTGCTTTTGTATTTCAATAGTATTTTCGGCGCCATTGCTACTGCAGTCTTGGTCGTTGTGACGATGGTAGAGTCCGGGATCGACTACAAGAACCACAAGGATACGGTTCATTATGATGCTGTCATCCTACGTAATCTTCCCGTTGCAATCGCGACTATTTCTGTATGTTTTGGTGGCAATGTTGTTTACATGCACGTCGAGGAATCTATGCGCTACCCACGTGCCTGGAATAAGGTTTTGACTTGGGCCGTAATCGTTTGCTGTGTCATGTACGCCATGGTCGCAATTCCTGGATATCTTACGTATGGTCCTAATGCTGCCTCGCCTATCCTGACATCTTTGCCTGAGGGTGCTTCGCGCAAAGTCGCTACCATCATGATTGTTGCACATGTGCTTCTTGCTGCCCCAGTGTTAATGACATCGTTCGCACTTGAGGTAGAGCGCGTACTGAATGTGACTGTCGAGAAGCTAGGAGTTTTCAAGGAAAGATTCTATAGGACACTGATTCGACTGATCATTATGGGAGTAGTCGGAACAATCGCTTGCTTGGTTCCCTTTTTTGATTCACTCCTATCGCTATTGGGAGCATTGGGCAACTGCATGTTGGTTTACGTATTACCGGTTACGTTTTATTGGAGGTTGATCGGTTGGAGACAAATGAGATGGTATGAATTGGTCTGGTGCGGGCTTATCTTGGTCATTGGTATGCTGAGTTGTGTCATTGGATCTATCGATGCGATCAGGGACTTGCACCGTGATTTTACTCAAGGACGTGACCAAGGGAAATGAGGGATGTCTTTTTTTCCCGTTATCCATTGGCCAATCTTTTTTTTTTTTTTTTTTCCTTTTTTGTATTATACATGGCATCTTTTTCTTTTTTAAAAAAAAAAACCTAATAAGATAGACTTTTCTAAACCCAATCAGCATGATTCCATTTCTTTCTTGCTTTTTTATTTTTTTTTATTTTTTTTTTATTTTGGTTTATCATCCTACAGTTCTTTTCAAGGCGTATGGACACATAAATGTAAATATATATAGGTTACACTGCCAAGCTTTTACTTATGCATGTATGATGCTGTGCAAATTCAAATTTTACCTTGAATAATATTGGTTAAAGTGTCAAACAAGGCCTTAATGCTACTCCAGGCCACGCGAAAACTTTTTTTTTTGGGGAGAAAAGGGATGAAGAGATTGAGGAAATTATGCAGACTTTTTTTTAGAAATGCATGGGATGGTTGATCTTTAACGTACATGATAGACTTTTTCAAGGACGAAAGATGAAGGTTAGGGACAAACTATTCTTATAAGTTTTCTGCGTCAATAATCGCTATTCTTTTATTCTCTGAATCAAAGAGTCCTTGTTGTACACACATATTTGTACACGGACATTCTACGCCTTTTTTTTTTTTAGATCGTCGCGAGTCTTTAGGAAAAAAATATTGTTGCACCAGTAACGCTTTGCCAAGCCCTTTCTTCTTGATTGACCAAGGGAAAAAACAAAAAAGGGTCAATTGCTCTCTTTTGTCTATCAAATATATATATATATCTATGTTTGTATTGTGTACCTCTCGAAGATGCAAGCGCACGGACCAAGAGAGCGATTGTTCACTTTACAACTCACTTCACATGTTGCCCCATCGCGATTAAAAGATTAGCTACAGACGACATTCCAATTCTTTTTATATTTGTCAGTAACTCATTTGTAAAGATTTAATAAAAACGATGGTTGAATTGATTTGGTGGCTGATATTTTGAACTTACAACAACCAAATTAATGGCTCCTTCCAGTACATTTAAATAAAGATCTGTAAGTGGAGACAGAATGTAAAAAGAGGAAAAGGAAAGCGCCAGCGGCTCGTGATTGAAGAAGGATTCATTATATGTAAGTCCAAAATCCCACTCTTTTTGTTTAGGAAGGTTATGTCGAGGATTATTTTTTAAGCATGCAAGAGAGACCCCAGCTCTTTTTTTTTTGAGAGAGAGAGAGAAAAAGAAAGAGATCGAGTATAGTTGTAGATATTTTGGCGTACATGTACCGTACATGATCGGGGAATTAATACAAACAACCTGGATCTTTTGCTAGCCATGTGCTGCCACAAATTGTGGGGAAAGTAGAGACGTGGGGTGTGAGCACTTGACAGAATAAAATAAACATTGCTTGAAGGGACGTTTAAAACTCAATTTTGCCAAAAAGGTCAAGTCTATTGTAAAGTCAAAGCTACCATCATATGCTGCCAAGAATCCGAGGGTCAAGAGAGAAGGGAGTCGTAATTTATACTCATAAAAAAAGAGAGAGAGAAGCCAAGATTTAATCTAAACATGGTTTTTGTGCACAGCTTGGCAAAAAATGGATTAATTGTCAATTAGAGTTAGTAGCACACACAGCACACTAACTTCACATTAATATATTTAATATTACCATCAGACAATAAATGCTGACAGAACGAAACTTCTGGCCATAGCACAATGCAATATATAAACATACTTATTTACTTCGTAGCCAAGCAATTATCACTTTGTATAGAGCTTGCTGACAGATTCATGTTATTTCCGTTGATTGCATTAATGCACGGTGAGTGTTCAGGCCGCACGAGAACGATAGATCGTGCGTAGCGCAAAAGAAAAATGAAGACGCGTTTGGTGGTACCAAATTTTTATCTTCAGTTTCTTGGCATTGTTCTACAAAAAGAGTAATGTGTTTCTTTGATTCCCCTTTCTCGTTTTTTCCCCTTTTTTCTTTGTTTTCATGTGCAAACGACCAAAGCACCCACGATGGGGACACGAACGCTGTATTTACCAGCCTAAATAACTATGACGAAATTCGATGTCCTTTGTCTTTTCTGTTTCAGAAACAGAGAGTGTTTATTCAAAGTTCGGTTTTTCAGTGTGGGTCAGGACCCTGTCATGTCCTGTCAAAAGGAGTGGGCTTCGCCTACAACTGTATATATATACAGATGTACACATGGCTTGGCAGCCCATGCGATCATAGTTTTGTTATATCTGTCGCTTTAGGCCAACATTTTATGTATTGTTGTTTACTCGGTGACATTTGTATTATATATATACTTTTGAATATCTATATATTCATTCACAAAAAACACGGACTAAAAAAAAACAGAGTTCTGCATCTGCATCGAACTACATCATCTGACGCGCCATGGATCACATATCGAAAGAAACAAAAAAGCTTTGGGGTAAAAACAAGGACCGGTGTAGGCCATATTAATACGCCATGTTCACAAACCATTAGTTTAGTCACTTGAAATGATGAGAGATGGTTGGAGCATTCAATAATGGTATATACTCATCTACATACATGTACATGCGCATGAGGCGAATGCTTTCGCCTTCATTCCGTGCGAGCCTCTTCCGCTGGTTGGACATGGATATTATTAGAGCCTATGAGTGGTGCGAAAGACCGTAACATCTGTATTGAATCGATGTTCACTTTTTATATTCCATATTTCATTTTCTCAGGTACGTAATGTGCAACAATGTCAGTAAGATGTTCTGGAGTAGTTTATTAACTCTGTTAAGGTGGATAATGATAATAGAGCCAATACGATGTACAAATGGCATGAATATATATACATATATATATATATATAATAATATTATATATACATGCACAGGGCGATCGTAAACAAACAAAGGATCCAGTTTAAAGTGATACTTTTTTCTAATGGCACAACAGCGTGTCCTAGATCAATTCAATCAAAGTATAATATACCACGCCTTCTTTGTTTACAACACTAAACGAAGACGCAGAATGATCATCACATCTACACCTCATTCTGGACTGAATTGGGATAACCATCAAGGAAAAAAAAATAAAAAAGTACATAAAGAACCTCGATTTCACTTTTATTCCTTTTTTTTTTTTTTTTAACCGTTTTTGTTTTCAACTTGAGAAAAAAAATCGATTCCTTCTCATTCTCTCTCTCTTTCTTTTTCTTTTTTTGTTCTTATTCTTTTATCCTGCATTGTATATTTCCTTAACTCCCCTCCACTCTCTCCTTCACTCTTCATATATCAGTGTCTCATAAGCACCAACCAATTACTTCGTCTTTATACTATCTATCCTTTTACAATGTCTGCACAAGTGGCCACCGTGACTCCTTCTATGGTCTCAAATGCTATCGCATTACTTCGTCAACGCCAGAAGGCGCTTATCAAACGTGGTAAGGCCAACCCAGCCATGACCATGTTGGCCTTGACGGCAATTCTCTACTACTGGCTCGGCCGCATGCGCGCCAACAAAGCTCCTCCACGTGGCAAGGCTATCCCACGTCTCAAGAGCAAATTGTTCATGATCGATGTCGCATATGCTTATGTTAGTTCCAGGATTAGAGGAAATGAGCTCAAGTATGTCCAGAATCTCTCAAAGCAAGGCTACACATTGAACACATCCGTCATCGGTCACAATTTGACCCTTGTCTTTGAGCCATCTTCCGTTCAGCATATCTTGGTCAAGAATTTCGAGAACTATCCCAAAGGTAATATTCTTTTTTATCTTCACAAACTCACAAATTCATACATTTATGCACGTACTTTGAACAAAAAAAAAAAAAAAAAAAAAAAAACCTTTCCTAAAGATGGCGGGCAATTGGGTTTTATTATACAAGCACACAATCTTTTTTTCTCCACAAATGAGAGGCTCCCATGCGCCATTCCCCCCCTCCACACCTTATTTCATTTGCCCTATTCAAACTTCTTGGCATTGCTCATAAAATCCACATGCTCCTCTGCCTCCATCGCATCACTGTGTCACTTCATCAATGTCTTGGTTGTCTTTCCTTTCTTTGGACGTTACAGAATGCCTGCTATGCTTTGTTTACTCTTTGTAGTAACCCACCCACCCCACAAACATCGATATGAATTTCCTGAAATCCACAACCCCAAAAATAAACACCTTCTTTTCGCTTCGATTCACAGCATGCATACACTCTAAAGTAAACACGTACAATAGTCTGCCGCTTTTTTTTTTTTATTCCGTTATTCCATGTCTTAATGTAAACACGTAAACAAATAAACACAACCATTATGTCGTTTTTTTTTAAATATACTAACCTTTTTTAATTATACGAATATGTAAACACAAACATTAGGAGCTGCATTCCACAGAGCCTTCTCTGCATTTATGGGTACTGGTATCTTCAACGCTGACGGGGCAGCATGGAAGAATCAGCGTGCGATTGCACGCCCTCATTTCCAGGTTACGGAGTACAAAGGAGCCGCCCATATCGAAACACAAATTAACCAAGTCTTTGGTATCCTTGACAAGGCGATTGAAGCCGGGGACATACTTGATGTACAAGATCTCTGGTCCCGCTACACAATCGATACAGCGACTGGTTTCTTGTTCGGGGCCTGTGCCAATGCATTGGATGTTCCTCAATCCAAATTCGTCTCTGCATTCAACTACACACAAAAGATTTGTGGTTGGAAGATCCGTCTATGTGATTACCAATCACTTATATACGCACCAGAATTCCCACAGAAGATCAAGGACATGGACGCGTTCTTGATGCCAATTGTCGATCAAGCCGTCGCTAAGGAGATCAAGCGTCGTGAAGATGGCAAACTTGGAGATGCGAATGAGGATCGTCATGAGAACTTGCTAACACATTTCTTGAACTCTGTGGACGAGAATGGCAAGCCCTTCGATCGAATCTATCTCCGTGACATGTTGATGAACTTCTTGTTGGCTGGCCGTGACACCTCGACGAACCTGTTGAGCTTTATGTGCTACCATCTGGGCAAGTATCCTGATGTGATGGAGCGTGTTCGTCAAGAGATCTTTGAGGTCGTAGGTCGTGACCGTAAGCCTGAACATGATGATATCAAGAGGCTCAAGTTCTTGAAACAGGTCATCAACGAGACCTTGCGTCTCTACCCTGCTGTGCCCTTCAACATCAAGACCTCCTTGGAGGACGATGTTCTTCCCAATGGTTACTTCGTTCCCAAGGGTTCGATAGTCGTTCACTCATCCTATGTCACTCACCGTATGAAGGAATACTGGGGTGAGGATGCAGAAGAGTTTGACCCTGACCGCTGGGGCCCAGAGCGTGTCAAGATCATTAGGCCCTTCATGTTCTTCCCCTTCCATGCTGGTCCACGTATTTGCTTAGGCCAGAACTTTGCTTACAACCAGGCTATGAACACCTTGACTCGTCTCATCCAACGCTACACATGGAGGGTCGCTGATGGCTTCGAACCTATTCCTGAATCCGATATTACTATGTACTCTAGAAACGGAATGCAGATCATTTTCGAGAAATACCGCGACTAAGAAATATTTGTAAAAAAAGTAAATAAATTAATCAAAAGGAATCAAAAAGAAAAAACATATGATATTGAAGTAGAGCAGACTGTTTATTGGTACATAGATAATAATAGTACAGGCGAAGCGATCTTTGCAGGAAAGGTGGTTAAAATGGGAATATGTAATTGCAAGTATTTATAAAAACAGGTGTGAGTATATTTTTTATGAGGGATGTGAAAACGTGTCTTAATGACCTTGGCTCGCGAACAAGTTTGGGAAGTGCCGCCCATAATACACGCTTTCAATATGTCGACGACTTTCCATGATTTTATCTGGAATCCAGAAGACGTTTTTGAGTAATGATGTCTGTAGTCCATTTCCCTTCCTTTTTTCCTCTCCCTCATTCTCCAGATCCCGATGGCGGCTTTCAACATTCTGAACCAAATGCTTAAAAGCGTATTCAAATTTAGGTCGGATACTCTCGATGTTCCTAGCGCCCAGTCCAATATTGTTATTCACGTCGTTCGGATCCAATGCATTCATACCAAGGCGTTTGCGATTGCTTCCTTTTTTCTTCTTATCCGTTGGTGGTGGTGCCGGGAAATAAGCCCCGCCTGTACCACTAATGCCACAATCATTGGCATCGCCATCAGCAACCATGATTCCCACTTCACTATAATTAAAGTGAAAGCCATAAAGCTCAAAGAATTCAATCAAAAGCACTCCAAGGTTATCTTCTGGATCCAGCATTCGACTCTGAATCATAGGGTGCATCTGAAGGAAGCTTAAAACCATGACCATCGTCAAGAACGAACCAATGCCTCCGTGAAAGGGCTCATTCGATCGATTTAATTTTAAAAAGTGCTTGATCAATATCGTCAGCGGGCGTAATCCTGGAACCGTGTTCATATACTGCTTCGTCAGAATCGCTCCTTGTATCCCATTCGCCACATTGAACGAGATGTCCACCGACAGCTGACTGATATTCTCTTTGAATTTGATGAGAGGCACTTTCGTTCTTGTGATACATTCAACATCCTCCGTCACCTTCAAATGCTTCAGATGCCTGCTCAATTCGTGGAGCTCCCCTGCGGAAAAATTTCCTCGCCTTAATACAACCATATCGATATCACTTTTTTTTTTTTTAAAAAAAAAAAAAAAAAAAAAAAAAAGTTAGTTATAAATCTCATAAAAATAAAAATAAAAATAAAAAAAAGGCTTTCTATACCTTGTGGGCAGATATATTTGAGTCTCGAAACTTCCAAAGACCTCAACGACTGCACCATCCCACAAGGCCTGAACTGCCCTGCAGACCCTTTGGTAGACATAGGTCCGCACCTGATGCTCCTCTTGAGTCGGACTTATGTACGCCACGAAATCCTTAAGTTCCTGAGTCAGCATCATTGGAGCCGAGGGTAGATCTGAATATCGACGACGGCCCATCCATGGACATCCAGGTGGTGGACCTAACGTGGTAGTGCTTTCTATGTCTTCAACATCATCACTATCGCCCATGGCAGAACCAGCATCCCGCTTCCTTTTATGTTGTACCAAAGAGTAGAGTCGTTCTGTCGTAGCAGTGGTAGAGAAAGAAGAAACTGTAGATTCGAACCGGACAAAATCCTGACCCTCTTTAAAGCCATCACTATCCTTTCCAAATGAGCGACGTTGCTCGGATCTCTTTGGTCTGCACCTACTAATGACATTAGAATCAACTTCTGCTTCCCTCATGAATATTTTCTTCGGTACGTATTTTTGAGCACTCGAAGCTGCGTCAATCAATCCTTCAATGACTATATCATGCGATTGACCTCTTAGAGACCTCACTCTTTTCTGGACGTTTTTCGAAGACTGGATGTTTGGAGATGGATCCAGTAAAGGCATATTTGAAGAAGGAGAAGAAGGAGAAGATTTCTTTGAGAGCTTTTCTTTTCGCTTTTGACGATTTCGTTGCCTAATCTTTGCAAATTGCTCAGCCAACAAAAGCCCTATCGATGGAACGTTTAATGATGATGTTGCCTCAATGTCTGTTCGCACTGACCCATCATTTTGCTGAATAGACGAAGTTCCTGATTGTTTTTGTTGTAGTTCTTGTTGATGTGGTCGACCCGAGGACGATGATTCGATCGGATCATAAAGATTTGAAGTGGACGTAAGTAACGATTTCTGTGTATATTGTGGATCCACGTGTGGTTGTGAATAAGATCTAGGCTTTTCCCAAAGCCCCGGTGAATAGTCATATTGGAGGTCCTGTTCATATTCATCAAAATGCGTTCCAGCATGTGCAATCGGATCTGGAAAATAGTGATAATACTCTGAAGTTTCTTTATTTTGCTGATATTGATCCCGATCTTGACACTGATATGCCGATTCCTCGGTGTTCTTTTTATTCGAAGCGCTATTTGCGCCACTACTTCTATCCCAATTATTTGATTTTCTCTTGGCTTCATGTTGCCGACGATGCTCCAAGAGGTGAGGTCCTGGTTTTCCGATTCCAAGAATTTGATTAAGCGATTTCTTTTTCTTCTTCATTTGAGACCGATTGCTTCCATTCTTCTTAGACTTTTTGCCACTACTGCGGTTATTGAGGTTATTGATTCGCATTAAAAATAAAAAACCCCAGCAGTGTACTCTGTAAACAAATGCAAAACATTAAAAAAGGTTGTGACTATTCTTTTAATAAAAACGAAGGGTTAATCTAATTGGCTAAATTTTATTGACAGTCCCAGCTGCCAAGGAACACCTTATGATTTTGCTTTTTTGATCCACTCTCTGGATACACTCTCGCTAATTCGAAGTTAGGCAGAGGGAAGGCTGAGTCAATTCTCGTTGCAAATTGCCTTCGGGGAACAACAACAAACTTTCAATATTCATCTACGTTCTACCGACTCCGCTTTTACAAAGGACATTAGTACTCTCTCTTCTAAAAGCTCCTTTCCAGCCTTTTCCACCAGTGTCTGATTTACAATTTTCTGTATCCTTGCAGCGAATGTCTGTCTGTCTGTCTTCTAGGCGCTCCTTTTCGAGCCTGCTATTTTCTGATTCAGAATGTCGACTTGTTGTTGCGTGAACTGACGGTTACTCCTTTGCTGATCTCCGAGGAATGCTAACTGTTGGTCCACAAACCTACTTTTTTGCTGATAATGTTCAGGCGTAGTCGCTAGAACTGGCATCTCCTTTCCTTAGGAGTCAGGCAAGAGCGGTTTGAAAGACCTGGATGGCTTGAAAGACCTAGCTGTTCATGACACTCGTCATTCACACTGGTTTCGCCGCTCGCAAGCACTCGTTCATCTTCCTTGTCCGGTGCCTCTTGTTGCATATTTCACAGTACACGTGCTACATAAAAATTAATATGTGTGCCACACAAGATCTGTATTTTATACACAAAATAATATATACAAACGGTTGTATATCATAAAAACACGCCCCATGTGTAAATAGTAACAAGCAGGAGGCGCAGTGCGAGCGTAGTGGAGGCGTAGTAATTATACACGTTTGCACCATGGTTACTCTATGTATGGTGCCCGTAGACAAACTTGTAGTTACACTTAGATACGATTTTGAATAAATACCCCATGGATGTGATGTGTGTTCTCACATCTTATTTTCACTTACTTCTGTCCCTGATTACTACTTGTCTGTCTAAAATTTTTCACCTCCAGATTCGAATCGCAAATTCTAAATGAATTGGTGGTAACTAGGCTTTCCAGTTTGCAGCAACCTTGTCTGAAGTGGCGGCGAATTCCCATACCGATTGGATACGTTTTACTGCACACACACTGAAAGGGCATGCTCGCTTTCAGGGTCCCGTGTGAAAATGGCCGTAGTCCCTGTCGAAGAGCACCGGGTTTTGACTACGATGTCGGAATGGACCTTCTGAATATGTTCCTTTTCCCCCGTACTTATTAGCTTTTCGTCCTTGTCCAACAATCCTTTATCACAACGGTAATATGAAAGGCATCTGATATGACAGGAAGAAGCTGATCTCCTAACAGTTGAACCATCTGCAGGTGGCCTGATTAAAGTCATAGTAGTTACAATGAGGCAAGGAAGGTGCAGAAGAAAAGTAAGTGTGGGGGAGCAAGAAATAGAAATAAGGTAAGTAAGTATCTAAGACTGAAATAAAGACCCGCAAAAAAAAAAAAATGTTTATTTGCACGGAGGGCGAAGTGTAAATAAGGCATGTACGGACCGTGCCAAAAAAACGATTTATAAACAAAAGAAAGCTCTTTGACCGGGAATTGAACCCGGGTCTTCCGCGTGACAGGCGGAGATACTGACCACTATACTATCAAAGACTCTTATATGAGAGCTGTCGTAGAGCATCTACTAGTGATCTCTGGAAACTAGTAGGTAATGATGAAAAATGAAGAATTGGGCAAGAGCCTCGTGGTTTTGGGATACGATAGTGATCCTAAGTAATTAAGCCCAATGGCTGAGTAGTATACTCGTCAGGGCACCCCCCTGTCTAGCCCAGGGGCCGGGTTCGAGTCCTGGTTAAGGCACATAAAGTGAAGCAAACATGTGCCAGGTCAGGGATTTGCTTGAGTTTTTATACTTTCTCTCCGAGACAGCCTAGTGTTCTCCGCTAAGGCTAAGATCGTGGGTGCACTACCCTAAGTCGCCTGGCTGGCCACATGTCTTAGGTTTATATTCCACCCCCCAGCCGAACCAGCGGTACATCTGGCAGCACATCCCCCCCATCCACCCACTTGACTAGGACAGCGATGATCACAAAGTTTGACGGAGTCCAAAGTAGAAATTTCAGACCAATCCCGCAAGATTTGGGTCCACATGCCAGTGGATTTGATCGAATAGAAAAAAATTAAAAGTCGTCCTTAGCTAGAGTCGGCACGCCAGCCTCCGCGGCTTTTCACGGGCGCAACAGGCCACATCGGAAGGATGGACTTCGAGTACCGATCACGGTGTACATTGGTAGAGAAAAACATGGATACGAATTGGCTCTTCACAGCCATCCCGTGCGAACTTTGAGAGTTTCGCTTGTTTCATAGTTGAGGGCGATATCATTACTTTAGAGCGAGATTATGAAATAAAATTCCTCACCTCTGTGGGTTCTTGTTAACAGGAAAAAAAAAAAAAAAGATAGTGATCCTAAGTAATGCTTTGAATGATTTTGAGGATGCTGCAAAAGGGCATCGATAATAAGAAGAGAGATCTTTAATAACTGCTAATTTTCTGAGAATTCATAATGAGAATAATGAAGATAAACTCACCTGCAAAAGGGCATCGATAATAAGAAGAGAGATGCCGTTTTTGCAGTGAAGGAAAAAGCTACTTAAATACTATTTAAAAATGGTAGAAAATAGGATGATAGGCAATAAATAAATTGAAAGGAAATACATATTTAGGTAAATGAATAGGCGTCATTTACGACAGAGCATTTGAGACGTATATTATATAAATATCAAACTAAGATAAGAATTAATCTATTTGACAACCCGGGTTGTCACTCTTGACATGGAGGAAAGAGTTGAAAGCAGTGCAGGAGCAAGCACAAAGGGCCAGAGAGAGAGGTGTAGACCCACCAAGGACAAAAGAGCCAACTTTTACTGCGGCAGAGGAGGACTACATTTGGAAAACTCTAGAGATGCATATCGATGGTGTGCGAGAAGTACGACGCCATGGTGATAGGAACGACGGTGATGAGGAAGAGAGAGAGCACACACCAGAGTGGTCTGTGCAGGACATTTACCATGGACTTACGCCCAAGTCCATTGCTCAGAGTTGGAAAGTTGGCTTCAAGACAACAACAAGGATAGCTACATATATGGCAGGGCGCTTCGTCAAGGCCATAGAGGAATTCGGTCGTACAGAAATCTGGAACAAACGGTGTAAAGTCACCGTTGAATGGGAAAAGGCTCGCGGAATCACTGCTATGAGCAAACGCGCTAGAGGACGCAACTGTGTTGGGGAGCACAGACGTAGTAGCAATGATTTCCTTGTCCCTTCCCTCAGATAAAGACAGAAGCTGAATGTAAAAGAGATCTACAAGATCGCGGATGACCGAGTCCGGGACAGTTACCTTGGGAAAACCAAACTGGACGTGATGGAGCGGCTAGGTGGAATGAAGTTTTTGATGACTATGGATAGCGGATAATTTGTCGCGTTGCGCAACAGGCCACGTCGGAAAGGTGGACTTTGAGTACCAACCACGGCGGTCAGGGTTTATGAAATCATGGATACAGCGGCTCTTGTCGTTTGTGCAGTAATAGCTGTTTATTGACTATAGTTTCTGGAGCATTTTGTTCATAGAGTGTAGAAAATAAATCCCATGACCCTGAGGGTCCTTGTTATCAAAAAAAAAACCCGGGTTGTCACTCTTATTTGACAACCCCCCCCTAATTTAGCAGTCACGCCGGCTTATTTGGCAACCCAGGTCTTCAATTTTCACTTTTTTGTAATTTGACAACCTGGGTTGTCAAAAAAAGAAGAAAAATTGTCTTTTTCAACCTGTCACATGACAAGTCTTCACCCTCTTGCACTTATGGAGGGCCTTTCTCAGCTGGATTTCTAAAATGGTGGCAACACTCCGTTATCATGACTGTGGTTATAGCTTCTTCTGTCTCTCTTTTTTTCCTTTCCGCGTCTTACGCATGCGCCATCAAGCGTCGCATAACCACTCCGAATTTATGTATGCTTAGTGCATGTTACCCGTATAGGCACATTTTCTATAAAGCAAACCCTTGTTTTAGAAATCAGTTGTAATAAAAAACAACACCTCGTAACCAAAAAAAAAAGTTTGTTATTTGAAGGAAGCTTTTAGATTGCTGGAGGGATTTCGTGTTGCTGAGGGATAGCAATAGAAACGATTTTCACATAATAATCTTGCCAATAAAAAAAGGGTTGTCAAATAATAATGAGCTTGGGGTTGTCAAATTAGATATTTTACTATTTGGCAACCCGGGTTGTCACGCAAAGAAAAAAAATTGAGAAAAATAATTAAGGGGGGGGTTGTCAAATAAGAGTGACAACCCGGGTTGTCAAATAGATTCACCCCTAAGATAATGATGCTAGTATATCACGTGAATATATCATGTGACATCCTGATTAGATGCTGGAGACTCAGGCCGTGAAGTGGAAGGAGATAATCCAAAATGTGGATGTGATAGGGAGAGGATATGGAGGAAAGAATTGAAAGCAGTGCCATTTATAGAGCTAACATCTAAATAAATCCTACATGACCTCGTGGGTCCTTGTTATCAAAAAAAAAAAAAAAAAAAAAAGGAAAGAATTGAAAGCAGTGCAGGAGCAAGCACAAAGGGCCACCATGGACAAAAGAGCCAACTTTTACTGCGGCAGAGGAGGACTACATTTGGGGAACTCTAGAGATGCATATCGATGGTGTGCGAGAAGTACGACGCCATAGTGATAGGAACGGCGATGATGAGGACGAGGAAGAGGTAGAGCACACACCAGATTGGTCTGTGCAGGACATTTACCATGGACTTACGCCCAAGTCCATTGCTCAGAGTTGGAAAGTTGGCTTCAAGACAACAACAAGGATAGCTACATATATGGCAGGGCGCTTCGTCAAGGCCATAGAAGAATTCGGTCGTACAGAAATCTGAAACAAACGGTGTAAAGTCACCGTTGAATGGGAAAAGGCTCGTGGAATCACTGCTATGAGCAAACGCGCCAGAGGGCGCAACTGTGTTGGGGAGCACAGACGTAGTAGCAATGATTTCCTTGTCCCTTCCCTCAGATAAAGACAGAAGCTGAATGTAAAAGAGAGAAGTTTGTCGACCTAAAGGTTCAACTGCACGAATTAATACTCCTTGTGGGTCACCCTTGTCTGAAGAAACAATGTTGAAACAATAATACATTCCATAAATCAAATAAACATAAACATAACCACCGCCTACAAGATCGCGGATAACCGAGTCCGGGACAGTTACCTTGGGAAAACCAAACTGGACGTGATGGAACGGCTAGGTGGAATGAAGTTTTTGATGACTGTGGATAGCGGATAATTTGTCGCGTTGCGCAACAGGCCACGTCGGAAAGGTGGACTTTGAGTACCAACCACGGCGGCCAGGGTTTATGAAATCATGGATACAGCGGCTCTTGTCGTTTGTGCAGTAATAGCTGTTTCTTGACTATAGTTTCAAAAAAAAAGTGGCTCCTTGTAATAAAGCAACCTGCTTATTGAGTATTTCTAATGGAAGTAAAGCCGTACCACAGGACAACAGGCAAGTAGGGAGTAGAGCCGTCCCACAGGTCCCCAGGGACCAAGGAAGTCTACTCAATGCTGACGTATTTTATGAACAGGATGTTGTACTCTGGTAGTGTGATGATGCGGCTTCGGCCGATAATTGGATACCGCTTTATTTGCGACCCCAGTAATGGGGCAACCCATTTATAGAGCTAACATCTAAGTAAATCCTACATGGCCTAGTGGGTCCTTATTATCAAAAAAAAAAAAAAAAAAAAAAAAAATTATCGAGTCTATTTCCAATAAACCCTCACGATCACTTAGGCCTCTGTTATAAAAAAAAAAAAAAAGGATTTTTTTGTACATTGCTTCTACTAATTTTTTGTACCTGTGCTATAAATATGCATTTTGATTCAGGTCTATGGATTTTCACTCATAATGCTTTAAGCAACAACTGCAGCTGCCTTGGTGGACCATCCAGAAGCGCCAGTACGCATGCGCTCGCCTTCAAAGACTTCCTTGACCTCCAAAAGATCGCCTACGCGGATCTCGCCTGAATGGGTATTAGGTACTGCATTGATTCCAACACAAGCGAAGAATTTGGCCTTCTTGCCCTTATCAACTCGGCGAACACTCTGCAGGGTTTTCTGAGGTTGAAGCTTGTCCTTGATGCCAGTCTCAGGATCAATATTAGGCATGTCACAGCGTGTGCAGCGACAGGTAAAGTAGTAAGTCACTCCGCGAATGTCGACTGTACACCAGGTGTCCTCTTCCCAAGGTTTAGAAACACCTGAGATGAGAAGGTTAGGGCGAAAGTTGAGATGTGAGACAGGCTTCTCCAAATGAGTGTTAACATCCACCATCGACTCTTCTGAAAGGCAGAGGAGGGGGTAGTTATCAGCAAACGCAGTCTAATTTTTCAATTATATTAGGGAAAGAGGAAGAGAGAATGTGTGTTTTAATACCAAACAATGATTAGCGGGTTATAATTATGGTTGAGAGTGGTTGAGCGAATAAGCTTACCTCAGGCTCAAAACCAATTTCAGCAACACCAGGCGCATGCTCGATAACTGGGCGCTTATGGTGAGGCGATTTGTAAACGAGGCGGGAAGGGACGCCTAAGTAATCGGTAAAGAACTGAGCTGCTTCATCACCAAGATCAGCGGACTCAAGTAAATCTCCCCAGACGTTAACGGTGCGCTTCTCGTACTTGCTGATGCTAATACAAAAAAAGAAAAAAGAAGATAGATGGTCCCAATTGCTAAATTAGCATCGCGATATGAGGGACCAAAGACAAGGCAGAGATGGCTAACAGGCACGAATACTTTACTCAGGGACCAAGGGAAGAGTCAAGGTCTTGTCTGCAGCGATAACAACAAGCTCATTGCCAACAATCTTCGGTTCGATCAATGTCATCTAGTGATGATAATTGAAAAAGCATCTTTTAAAAAGTCGTTACTAAAGCAGTTATAGATAAGCAATAGGAGCGGTAAAAGGATATTGAAAGAGCAAACCATTTGCATTCCAGGAAACGTACCGAAGGAAGCTCTCGCATGGTTCTTTGTTTGTTAGTTTCAGGATCGACAACCAAAAAGACGCGATCATGCTATTCCATCAGAAATGGAGATAAAAACACTATGCTTTAGTTTCCACAACATTGAATGGGTGAAATGTTTAAAGTATCGTTGCGCATGGCAATTGGAATAATTTACCAGAAGACCGTCTGTTGATCCCCAACATTTAAATATTGGTTCATTTCGTGTAAAATAAAGGCAATGGATAGGAAGGTGATGTAGAAGATAAATATGAATATGGTCAGATTTATTACTTGGCGCTGCGCAAAAGCAATGGTGGCATTATTATCATTATTACACTTGGAGAGCTGCGACTCCTCCAACTCGACAGCCTTGCACGACTTGATAGGATAGATGTAGATCTTTGAAATAACAGGAGCCATGATGAAATGAGTCTAATTGTGAAGTGGTGAAGAATGACAAATGTAATTTGAGGAAAATGTAATTAGAGGAAAATAAAAAAGTTTACACAAATCGATTTTTTATAGGCATAGAGGAGGTGACGGAGGAGCCTTAAAAGCTTCTTTGGATCAAACCCTTTCAACTGAGAATCTCCTAAAAGCCGGAGACTTTCTTTGTAAGCGTGCCTTATCCACCTTCATTTTAGGCCCTTTACTTTCATGACAAATCGTGACTCAAAACAAAAGAAAAAAGTCCTTGGCTTGCGCCCATTGGCACTATCCTAATGGTTTATCAGCCAAGAATAACATTTTTCATCGTTCACTAAGCTTGAGGAATACATATTTTTTGGGGGACAAATTCAAGTCCACTATATCAGTTCACACAGATTGCTTCTTGCAGCACCCGGATTGGCGACAAGTGTCGACGCCAACAGTAGCTGGGGGTTATAGGGCTCATATGCCGAAACCAATTAGTGTCTTGTCCTTATGGCTATCGAACTGAATGGATCATTGACGCTTGAGACTACATTGTCCCCAAGCTCTAGACGAATGTGACTTGTTTCATGTTAAGCCTACTCTTGTGTATCCACACGCGTTATTCTTTTTTCAATTTTGTAATGTTCCTGTTCAACATTGTCCTTTGCTTCATTTCTCATTCCATCCAACTGACAACAGCAGCAATAACAATAAATGGCTCTGCCTAAGCGTATTATCAAGGTCCGTTGAATGTCATCAAGCTATTCAAGGATATTCCCTGCCTTTTTTTGTCAAATCCTCTTTCCTTCTCTTTGTTGTCCATGTTATGATGTCTTTTGGGATCATTTTGTTTTTAATGCGTAACTAAAATTCAATATAGGAAACAGAACGTCTGATGGCGGATCCTGCTCCAGGCATTAGTGCAATGGCTCATGAGGACAACCTCCGTTACTTTGATGTCATCATCACTGGGCCAGAGCAGTCTCCTTTCGCAGGTAAAAAAAAAAAAAGCTTACAAACATGACTATCGTAATGGTCAAAAAATACTTTTAATGGAATCATATGGGGGTTTCACGAGGTTCCTTTGATGCAGGTTTTATGAATAAAGATTTCATTGAAAGCACTTTGTACAATGAAAAGAACAAGCAGCAGCAACGGTCAATGTAGCTCATCCACATGGACAGCAATATGCAATATTAATAAGAGTCCGTCTACAATGGATCCTCTATTTATTCTTTATCCTTCAAACTAAAAATTGATGCATTACTACTTGCTCTTGTGTATAGGTGGCGTCTTCAAACTGGAGTTATTTTTACCTGAAGAGTATCCCATGTCACCTCCTAAAGTCCGATTTTTGACCAAGATCTATCACCCCAATATTGACAAGCTCGGACGTATTTGCCTTGATATTCTGAAAGGTAATTAAAAAAAAAAAAAAAAAAAAAAAAAAAAAAAAGCCGAAGCATTATATGCTGTTTGCCATAAGTGTCAAAAGGAAACATATATCCATACCATTTCATTTTGACGATTTACATAATATTGTCTCAATTTTCTTTTGTATTTACTTGCATCATGTTGGTGTGTGGTTTATCAACAATCAGACAAGTGGTCACCTGCTCTTCAGATCCGCACGGTGTTGCTGTCTGTCCAAGCATTGCTCTCCTCCCCCAACCCTGATGATCCCCTTGCAAACGACGTTGCTCAACATTGGAAGGAGAACGAGAATGCTGCAATCCAAACTGCACAGGAATGGACGAGAAAATACGCCATGTAGCTTGAATAATAAACACAAAAAATTATGAAAAAAGAAAAAATGAGAAAAAAATAACCATAAATAAAAAACTACTCATTTTGTGAGCGAGTATGTATAAAAAAGGAACAAAACATGCGGTGTCTATACTATCAATGACTCTATTTGATTTCAAAAGAGGTTTAACTCGACTTTTATATAGTAATCAAGGTTTCAAAGGAAAGAAGGCAAGAAGAGGTTTTTATCGTACATGAGTGGTGTATTAGTTTATTTGACTATATGATGTATAATGTTACAAGTTCTTTGGGAACCACTCTCCATAAAGATTTGGCCTACGTCTTTCGACGGAATCTTTATAAGCTTTGAGCATGAACCCCATCCAGCTTTTTGGCTCGATTGATGCCTGCCAGCTATTATGCCAATGATATGCGTAAGCTCCAGTAAAGAAGACTTCAGGACCAGCTGAAAATTCGACTTCTTCACCTTCTTGTCTAGGACAAACCGTATTCGGTGCCTCATGGAACACATCAGTGAATCCAGGCAAGTCCTCAAGCATTTTTTCTGGATCGGTCGATTTTGTAGGCTCTGCATGGTCTACACGCAACCATAGTGGGTCAAAAACTGCAGGAGGAACCATTATCAGGCCATTGCCCTCGATCGCCTTGTCCTGTGGACGAAGATATTCGCGCAACCGTGCTGGATGATAAATTTCTTCAGGTCTCATGCCATGCAGGACTCTCAGCTGACGACGGCGGAGACGGCGATGGGAGGATGATTTGGGAAGCGGTTTCAAGGCTTTGTTCTTGACATGGGTCCTGACTTGGTGGACAAAATCCAGGGTACTTTTTTTGGCTACTGATGCTTCTTTCTCTTCGTCCCTGATATTTTCTAACTCTTTTTCACGTCTTTCTTCTTCCTCCATCTCCTCCATTTCTGCTTCTAGCTGCTGTTCTTCCATCCGTTGTCGCTGCAGTTCTCGCTCCAACTGTTTCAACCTTAAAATCTCTGCTTTTCTCCTTTTGGCGCCATCCAAGATACGTCTGGCCACAGAGCTTCCAGGAAGCAATCTAAGGATAGCAGTGTTGTACATTCCGGTATGGCTCCATTCGTATGCAAATTCGAGCCCGGCATCATAAAACGGTGACATGTCCTTAAGAAGTAAGACGTCTGCATCCAAGTAAATGCCCCCGTTGCGGTTCAAAATCAAGAAACGAGCTTCATCTGAGAGTGCAACAGGCTTCGCGGGCCCATCCTTCCCGATCTCTTGTTCTGACTGCTGATTCGGATAAGAATATGCGAGTTCTGCTGTCTGATTCCACGAGTGGATGGTAATGTATTGATTCAAAGGCTCTGTGACTAACGGGGCTGAATAAGGATTTTTGATATAATCCTCTGGGACACCTCCTGGAAGATCCGCAGAGTCGATCCACAGATGCAAGTGTGCACGGTTAAGAGGTTGTGTGAATAGAAATGCATGCGAACTCAATGATAGTTTGTCTGTGATAGGTCCACGCCAAAAGATATGAAAATCCATCTTGTTGCTATCGATGGTGATAGGCGGCGATGCCGAGATTAGATACTCATGCTCTCTTTTAGCAAGATAGTCCAAACAGTGGGCAGATGTATGAATGCGGCGATTGCAAGGCTCCTTGATCGCGGCAAACTCGATAACGCGGTTATGAGGCGGTCGCTCCAAGAAGCGCGGGTGTTTACTGTTGGCTTCACTGTCTTTGGTATTGTGGATATACTCCATCCATTCGCGATATGAGGAGAAATCTGATGAAATGTCGTTGGAGTTCACAGTTGGCTGTCGTTGCTGATTGATGATGATGTTGGTGTTATTTATGGAATTGCAGAAGGCCACGAAGGCTCTTGAGTTTAAATCTGTAATATGTGCATTCTTACTAAAAAGTCTCTCATCTAGTGGTTGATACTGTTCCGTTGACTGTTCCTTGGTCATATTAGGATTTGATAGTGAGGGTGACGTTAATGACGACGGTGAAGAGTGGGTATATGGTCTCGGTGTAGAAGATGATTCATCCATATCCACGCTGTTGAGATCTGACCATAAGGAGAGATAGAAGAGTGTAGCGAACGCACTAACAGCAGCCAAGATGGCGACTGCTTGGTACTGCAGCACCAGCTGCATTAGAAAGAGGGATTTCGTTACGCGTCACAGGACTTAGGTTGCTTTGCTTTTGATGATATATTCTCAAACAAGTAAAAGGCAGGAGAAGCAAATAAAGACGTCTAGCGTTTTGAATGAGGAATGAGGAATGAAGATGGAAGAGTGAATCAGTTTGTCAAGGAGGAGAGGGATGATACAAAGAAAAACGATAAAAGGAAGCGGTTTTCTGGAAGCAAAAAGAAAGAAACAAAGAAACAAAGAAAAAAAAAACGTTGTTTGTATGCGTGTATCAAGGATGCTCGCCGCCAATATTTATACAGATGTAGTTTGGTATCAATTGTGTAATATTAAAATGTTTGATGTCTTTATTTGTCTTATTAGTGTTTGAAAAGAAGAACTGTGATTCTAGAGATAAAAGGGTATGTACAATGTAAATGTCCAATGAGGAGGCAGAAAGATCTTTATTTGTTACAACACTCACATAAAACAGCCCCATCTCTTGTTCGCTTGGAAAATTTAAAAATGTTGCTCCTTAGTAAAATTTCGAGTTTGGTCCATTAGATAATACGCTACAGAGGCTGGTCTGGTGAAACCCCATAATTTGTATTATAGATTAAGAGGCATGGACTTGGTAGCTTGCTCGTGTCATTCTTTTCTACCTTTTTGCATGCATGTACTAATAGATCGTAGCGAGTAGGCACCAAACAGGTGTTTTTTTTTTTTTTTTTTTCTGTTATAAAGATCTCCCTCCTTGACTGTTGTTATTGTTGTTTGTAAGTTATAAGCAGACGAGCACTGCCCTGGTTTTGAAAACAAGGTTGTCACGAAATTATTACAATTGTGGAACAATTGGAATTGGCAATTCAGAAGCAGCACACGAGCCAATTATGATTGCTCATTTGATGGCGAAAAAAAAAGAGGGCTCACAAAAACGATGAAATTCGGTAATATCAGTATAGATATACTTTAGGAACATTTAAAAGTGATGTTGCCTTGTTTGAACAGTAAAGATTATACAGTATATATTACAAACGTTTGTCTGATTATGTTCTTCCATAATGAGGAAATACAACAGTAGTTAATTTTCGAGAATTTGTCTTCATACCTTTGCTGATTGACAAAACGAATCATTCAGGATTGAATGCGTAGTATATGTTTAATTCGGAAATTAAAAGAAAAAGTCTTGTTCCTTACCCTCATAGCATTAGGATATAAGCCCTTCATATGCACAGTGGATTGAGCAATTAGCCATGTTCAACCCACGTTTCTGGTATCTGGACTGGAACTTAATTTGTCAATCTGATAGTGATTCATTAAACCTCAGATAAGGCAATAAAAACGTGCATGGTTTGCTATTGCTAACTCAAGTAGACTTTTTTTCCTCGGTTCCATTCCAGCTGAGTTGAATAGAATAGTTTCTGTCTTGGGGAATTCATTAGTTAAATATCCTAACTCTTGCAAGTGCACAAAAGAAAAGAATGATGGTGATACTTATTCAACTGCCATGTATCGTCTGGTTCATCTAGCTGCGACTCCATACTAAAGCAATGATTTGATGGTTGCATTGATGTATCCGAGGCTATTCAGGAATTACACATATATAATCCTGACTAAATGAAGGTCGTTGGTGCAGCATCACCTTATGACGATCTACTACCATTTTTTACAGTCGAGCATCAGCGAAGTTCTCGCAGGTCGCAGCAGAAAGAAGGATAGGGACGAGAGAAGTAATAGCAGCAGTTGCAATGGTGTAAAATACTCTTAAAAGCAAGAAAGAAAGTCAAGGTGGTGTGCTCTAGACCAATATGTGTGAACAAGAGAGATTCTGCTTTAAAGGCAAGTTTTTTTAAGGAGCGAATTAGAAAAAGAGCGGACAAAGGTTTGAAGTGGCTACCTACTTTCTTGGCGAAAAAAGATAAGTACGATTTTCTGCAGCACCTCAAGTCATTGAATGGGTTGTTACTGACTATTCAAGCAGGCTTTAAAACTGATAAATATATGTGATCCATTTTAATTTATGACCTACATATTCTTCAAGGAGATGGTTGCGTGGAAGATAAATAAGCATGTATGAATGCAGTTTCGTTGATTCTGTTGCTGATCAATTCATTGAGCAGTGGGCTCACGGATTTCAAAATATATATATTTGAAAATATATATCAAAATATGGCAGTGGTTGGAAGAAGCGAGCCACATTGATATGGATGCACAAGTCAACTGGCATTTAGAGCTGCACTGGGATAGGGTTTCGTCTCAGGATCATGGTTAATAGCACCTTACCAGATATTAGACTTCTTGATCCAAGAGTTACAAAAGACGCGCGAGAATCAATCCTTCTGTGCTGCAATGCGATGTGGTTGACAAACGGAGGCCATCTGTGTCATGTGAGGCATGTATGTCTTTGAAAGTTTTGTATAAAGACGATCCATAATCTATAGCTTAATTTATTTTTTTCTTTCTTCTATACGTTCCTTATTGCCTAAAAGAGATGGGGCAAGGAGCTGAAGAACAGCGAAAATATGCTACAAAGACTCAATATATTTGACACGCAAGTTGTTAGATGAAGAATTAATGAGATTAGTGTAGCTATGGAGGGTCCCGGTTCTTTTCGAAGGTGACCTAGGATGTGGGTTGACCTTTGGTTAATCTGAATGCCATCATTGAAGCGACAGGAAAACAAGATTTACTTGACACTAATAGCCTTCTTGGTTGATAAAGATGCACGATAGTGAGTGCCTATCACATGTGGTTGAAGTGGTTATCATTAGTATACTTGACTCACCATTTCAATAACCTGCGCAGGAATAATGGCTGGATTTATTCGTTTTTTGTTGTGTGATTAATAAAAAAAGAAAAAAGAAAGGAAAGCCAAAGTTACCCCGATCTGCCCGCTTCAGCTTTGTTTCTTCTGCTAACCAGTGTAAGCATGAAAGAACTTCCTTTCTTTATGCGAACTCATGAATGAGAGGCCTTATGAATAAATTGATGTAATATATACGTGCGCATGTAAAGGATAATAAAGATGACAGACGGTGGAAGCATTGACCATGTTGCATAGGAGTGGGAAATTGTCCAGATGTAGTCTTAGGGATGCTCCCTTCTTTCTATCACAATGGGGTCTGTGAGTGTTAGTGTAATAATACCGCGTCGAGGTCTACGTTTACCGTTGTGCAGTTAAGGGTAAGAGAGAAAAAATGCAATCATGTCACTTGGATCGTACAGATCATGTAAAGAACACAACAAAGGTGCTTTTTTTTTTGTACCCCCTTGGAAGTTTCTATTCCATGAGAGGGGTTGTGGAGAGAAATCAAAAAATCCAGTGCTCTTTTTTTTTTTTTTTTTTTTTTTTTTTTTTGCCGAGGGATATGATGCATGCATGCAAGTTTTGAATGTGTGGGGTTGTAGTCTTTTATTTACTTTTTTTTTTTGGTCTGATGACCACTTCCTTTTTTACTTATTATTCTAATCAAAGAGTCCAAAAGAGTGCTGTTTCACCAAACGCGACCAGGACGCGTTGTTTTTTTTATCCTTGTCTTGTACTTCCGGATCATTCTTTCTCTCTCCATCTAGGCTAAGTACTCACTCACACTCACCTTCATTTCCATTGACTCCACATAAAGCATTGAGCGGCGAGCATGGACGAGTTTTTGTTTTGCCACATTGCCACATTGTCATCACTGTCCTTGGCCTTATTTTGGGTACATGTACATGTTGAGGAAATGAACTTTAAAGATCTGTAAATAAATAAATAAAAAGCACATCAGTTCTCGCCATCATCATTCTTTTTTTCTTCTTGCTCTCACGGTTGCTATTCTCTCATTTTCTCCCGCTTTTTGTGCTTTACCTTTTTGTTTGTTCAAGATCTGCCTGCATATCCCTTCGCGTGACAGCATTACTCTTTTTTTTTTTTTTTTTTTTTTTTTTTTTTTTTTCCCCCATCGCATCGAGCCACAATTGTGTCCCTGTCTGTCCCTGTTTCGCTTCCCCTTTCCCCATTTTTTTTTTTTTTTTTGTGTGAGAGAGGAAAGAGATTTTTGTTTATCTAACTTGCTTCCTCCACAACTTCGACATTGGTCATTCTTCACCATCTCCCAAACTAAGGCAAACACATCCGAAATTTACTTCATTTCACATCTCTTACTCTCATTACTTCTTTCACTCTCACTCTCACTTCTCATCCTTCATATAAAAAGACACAATGACTCGAATGTCATGCCCAGTTCAAGAGAGTGTACTCCAACAACTATTCAAGGTTCTCACCAACCTGGTATCAAGTGATAACACAATCCGAGCCTCGGCCGAGACCTATCTTAATGCTGATTGGATACTCAAAAAGCCAGATGCTCTTCTCTCTGGACTTGCACACTTTGCAAAACATAGTGAAGTGGCCGATGTAAGTCATAAGACAAAAAAGGGGGATCTTGTTAGGAAAAATAAAGATAATGCAGGTTCTTGATCTGGCTGATCAATAGAGAGATAGAAAGAGGGGAAGAGTGAGAAAGGGTTGGATCGCGTGAGAAAGATGCATCAGACATAAAGGGCGTGTTGTTCATTTTTTATATATATGTATATTTATTCATATTTCTTATTGTATTCTACTATCCTTCACGTCGGGACAGTTACGTTCTTTCGCTGCAGTCTTAACACGTCGAGTTGCTTTCAAAGCTCCCGCGAACCAAGATGCCAGATCATCAGGGACCAAGTCTCCATCATCGCCTATTCCATCTTCAGCTAGTTCGGAAACAACGTTATGGGGCAATGTACAAGAAGATACTCGGACGTATGTCAAGGCTCAATTCTTGGAGTCACTTGTATTTGAGATTCAGAAATCTGTTCGTATTAAGATCTGCGACACCATCGCAGAGATTGCGCGTGCCAGCATCCAGAGAGAGGATGAGAATAATGAAAGAAATGAGAGTAAGTATCTTTCTAAAAGAAACAAGAAAACTTCCCATCTATTCCTTTTTTTTTTTTTTTTTTTTTTTTTTTTTTCACAGGATCTTTAACCTGCATGTTTGTGTTTGTGTTTGCGTTTTTTTTTTGTGACACCATCACTATTAGATTCCTTTTGGCCAGAACTTCTCCCAGCACTGTTTGAATGTGCCAAATCTTCAACTCCAGAAGTACGCGAATCTACTTACAGGATCTTTGCGTCAGTGCCACATCTCATCGCTTCACAAGATGTGGAGGTCCTTAAAAATGTGTTTGCTGCAAGCCTCAAAGATGAGAACCTTCAGGTATTATATGAAATCATTTTATCTCTTCCCGCAGTCTAGTGAACGTGATTAATCTTTATTATTATTATTATTATTATTTGTTTCTTTTCACCAACAGTCTAATGCCATGTAATTCATATGAATGAAACAAAACATAGGTTCGTCTAGCTGCAACAAAATCCGCAGCATCTTTCATGCTCGACACTGACCACAACACCCGTAATGCACTTATGCCTTTGATGCCATTTGTGCTCGATACCCTTAACAGCCTCATGACCGTCAAGGATGAGGCTGGACTTGTGGAAGGTCTCGGCGTCGTGATTGAGCTTGCAGAGAACTCTCCACGACTTTTTCGTCATGTCCTCATGACTATGGTCCCCTTCATGCTATTGATCATCAAGAACAAGTCCTTTGGAGACCAACCACGCCAATCTGCATTAGAGCTTCTACTTACGATTGCAGAATGTGCTCCTAATTTGATCCGCAAATCTGCTCCAGATTTCACGGTGACTCTTGTGCCAGTGATCTTGGAGATGATGAAGGAATTGGATGATGACGATCAAGAATGGTACGCAACCGATGATCAAAATGAAGATGATGAAGAAGAAAATTATGTCCTTGGAGAACATGCCATGGATCGGCTAGCTCGCGCTCTAGGCAGCAAAGCAATGCTGCCGGTCTGCTTCCAATACATCCCACAGTTGCTGGGCAACCAACAGGACTGGACAGCACGGCATGCAGGTCTTATGGCTGTTTCTTCAATCGCCGAAGGTTGTGCCCGAATCATGGAAAGAGAGCTGGCCAAGGTCCTCCATATGGTTGTGCCGTTCCTCAAGGACTCCCATCCAAGAGTTCGTTACGCTGCCTGTCACGCGATCGGACAGATGGCAACAGACTTCAAAGGCACGATGCAAAAGAACCACCATGCGTTAGTTCTCACCAATCTGATCCCAGTTATGGACGATGCCCCCCATCCAAGAGTCCGTGCTCATGCTGCGGCGGCTCTCGTAAACTTTTGTGAGGCAGCAGAGAAGCGTATTTTGGAACCATACTTGGATGCTATTTTTGAGAGACTGTTGTCGCTACTCAAAACGGGGACGACGTATGTGCAGGAACAAGCCATCACAACCATTGCCACTGTGGCTGACAGTGCTGAAGACCGTTTTGTAAAGTACTACAATGGGATTATGCCCTTGTTAATTGATGTTCTTCGCCAAGCGACAACCCCCGAATACAGGCTATTGAGGGGTAAAGCGATGGAGTGCGCCAGCTTGATTGCGTTGGCCGTGGGTAAAGATGTTTTTGGGCCTCATTCACAAGAGTTTGTCAAGTTGTTGGTTCAGGCTCAGACATCCTTGACCGAGCTGGATGATCCTCAAGCTTCCTATCTTTTGGCAGCGTGGGCTCGCATCTGCAAAGTGCTCGGACAGGACTTTGTCCCTTATCTCGACACTGTCATGCCACCACTCCTCACCAGCGCTGCACTCAAGCCAGACTTTGCAATTCTGGATCCTGAGGACGATGTTGCGTCCAAGTATCCTGCAGAGGACGGATGGGAGTTTGTTACTGTAGACGGCCGACAACTTGGTATCAAGACGACAATGATGGAAGAGAAATGTACTGCTCTTGAGATGCTGAACTGTTATGCGCGTGAGCTTGGATCCGGATTCCGGCCTTATATTGAAAGGGTTCGTGACATCGCATTGCCTCTCCTTCGATTCTACTTTCATGAGGGAGTTCGACGTGCATCCGCGGCTATTCTGCCACAACTGATCTCTTGCGCTAAACAGTCGGAGCTTGGGGAAGACTACCTACATAATATGTGGAGCGGTATTTGTCTCAGAATGATTGATACCATGTCTACAGAGACAGACGCTACATATTTACATCACTTGTACAATGCGTTCCACGAAGCGTTGGACTTCATGGGGCCCAGCCCTAGTCTCTCGCTCGAAATGATGGAGGCTTTCACAAAGGCAACCAAACGTCAGTTGAAGGAACTATACGCACGTTTGAAGGATCGTGAAGAGGCAAGGGCAGCTGCGGGATTGGAAGTGGAGGAACGAGTAGCGATTGAAGAAGAAGAGTTCAATGAGGAGTCTGTTTTGAATGAAATTTCGGGAGCGTTACAAAGCGTGCTCAAGTATCATGGCGTAGCATACATGGCCTCATTCCGAATGCTCACGTCGGTGATGAACAGGTATCTAGGCTCATCCAACTTGATTGCACGTCAATGGTCCCTCCGTGTGTTGAATGATTTTGTAGAGTTCACAGGTCAACATTCATGGCCGGTCATGGTCTCGTTCCTTCCACAGATGCTCGAATCAGTTGTGTTTGCAGACTCAGCAGAGATTCGTCAGGTAGCCTGCTATGGTATTGGTCTTTGTGGACAGTATGGAGGCTCACAATATGCAGAAGTCTGTGCCGCGGCTCTGTCGTTGCTTTTCCAAGTGATCTATGAGCCTGGCTCCCGAGACCCCGAGAATATCTTGGCGACTGAAAAAGCTATCGCTGCAGTGGCAAAGATTTGCAAATTCAATCATTCACAGTTTGATGTTAATGCGGTCTTACCTTCATGGATTCAAACCTTACCGATCCTGCATGATGAACGCGACGCGTCAATGACGTATTGTTATATGTTGGACCTAATTGAGGCGTAAGTGTTTCTCCCTCTTTGCTTAACTATCTGCCTATGAAATATAAAAGATACTTGATGATCGTCTATCCTCATTTTCTCTTGTTAATTATTAATAACAATAATATTGTTATTTTTTAGACAAAATATGGCACTTCTCGGTCTTAATAATGTAAATCTGCCCCATATCACAGCCGTAATGATTGAAGCGTTGGCAGCTGGGATTGTTCCTGAACCAATGATAGCAAGGATGATGCAGACATTTAAAGCAGCCCTCAGCATGTTAGATTCTAATACAACCACAGTCATCTGGAGTAAGATTGCACCCGAGAAGAAGAAAACATTACAGGAACTAAAGTACATTTAAAGACTCTTTGTGGGGTTCCGTTATATGAAATGAATAATAATAATAATAATAATAATAATAATAATAATAATAATAAAAAGTGTACATATTTTTATTCCTTCATATTGTTAGTCGGGCAAATCTGCCAGATAAAAGTTTTGAGCACTTTTTGCTTATTATTTTTTTTTTTCCTCGTCAGCTCATTAAGTAATACCTTCCTTTTCTGAGCACACATTTACGTCTGGCTCCGGACACATCTAGAAAGGTACCTTGAATGACAATTGCTTAAGTATCAAGTAAGGATTTTACTGGAATGTCGCTCGACTTAAAAGTTCCACATATAGGCATGTCTAACCACAGATTGACTCTTCGCATTGAGACGTTGCACAATATGCACGTGACTGGTATTTGTGTTACAAATTGCTGCGCCTAAACTTAATATTTTTGCTCCTTCGAAAGGACATCAAAGCTAGTATGAAAGCCATCCAGTCATTGAAGGTCATTCCTTCATTAATGCTTGGGATCTAAGAGAAGCATACAAAAGAAACATCTATCGCAACGCTGTAGGAGCAGACAGCATCGCTCGACGTGTAGACCGCGAGCTGACTGAGCTTACTCTGCCTCACATTATGGCCAAAAAAAAAAAAAAAAAAAAGATCCAGCCAGAGCTGCAACGTGCAAATATTCCTGAAGATGTTCTAAGACATGATAGGTGAAAACGTTACGTATACCTACTACAAGCGTATTCTATTAAAGATGTGATTCCTTTGCCCGCCAGACCATGTGGTTTAGGAGATATTATTAAATATTACGTTTTAAGGCACTTGTAATAAACGATGCGAGAATAAGTGTGGTTAAGGAATGATATGAGAGATGATGAAGGAATAAGAGAAAAAGTAAAAAAACCTAATGAAATAAATTATAAAATAACTTTTTTTTTTAATGGTTCTGTTGGTTCTCGCGCTTCTTATACGGGTTTCTCTCCTCTGCTGGCGTAAATGAACTGGTCAGCAAAGATGCGGGGCGATGGGTAGACGATGCTGAATCCTGAGTAAGGCTGTTATTGGAATTTGCATTCGCGATGGGTGTAGGGGGGTGCGGGCCCTTATCAGGGGCGTGAGCATAGTTGCTCTTTGTCATCGTAGGGCCACCGGCGCCACGGCCTCCTCGTGCTGTCATAACCGGGCTACTTGTTGCGATCGAAGCCAGGTCGTTGTATCTAGTAGCGGCGGCAGGTTCCTTGAGCTTACGTGCTGTGCTTTTTTTTTCTGCACGCTTATTGCTAAATCGGATTACATAGAACCCTACAAAGCCAGCAAGGACCAAGGCACCGACAGCAGAGCCAACGCCGATCAAGATCATCTTTGTCTTTTCGGTTACTACAATTTCACCGGGTGGAGGGTCATCTGCGGCTATTTGTGCTTCTGAATCTGCGGGCGGGCCACTGATAGATGAGCCTGGGCGAGGAGCTTGATTGCTTGGGATGAACAGCATGAGTTTGCAGCGAGCTGAACCATAAGCAACCGCGCCTGTTGAGTCATAGTAAGGCCAGTCGAATGCGACTTGATATTGCTTTATATAAAAAATAAAATAAAACATGTTATTAGTCGAGAGTAAATCCATTATTGATTCGGGTAATAATGAATTCTATCTAGAATAAAACGATCATCAGAATATCCGTCTTTTCTAGGGCATATTCCCACCCTTTGTCAAAGATCTTTTTTTTTTTTTTTTTTTTTTTTTTCACAGAGTGGATGAAGGAAACGACATACGCCTTAAAAAAAAGAGCAGGTCTACTGTTTCTATTTGTTCTTTGGAAGGAACTTCTCGATTTTTTTTTTAGCGGATGGCGTTTTATTACTGTTGGGTTGGGATCCCACCAGATTGATGGAAATCCATACGCACGTGTATGCAATGTCCGATTTTTTAGGCAAAACAATCTCGAGAACCTCGTTGAGAAAGGCGAGCAGGTTATTTTAGTTAAGCATCTCTCATCCCGTAGGCAAGGCACGCTTCACCATTCCAGATCATGCACAGATGCTCTTGATCAAGTTTGGTAGACCTTTTTTTAAAAAAGGGGCTCCTAGCAGTCTATTTTCTCCTACACTCTTGTACACGTGCATAAATACTTTAGATACCGCTGATGTCACCTCGTTCTTCGCCCAATTGCAGTAAGCTTGCAATAAATAGAAAGGAAGGTAGAAGGGATTGGAAGGGAGAGTAAAGTAAAAAATAAAAAAAGAAAAGAAAAGAAAAGAAAAAGGCTTACATTATGAGGACATACTGCACTATGACCAGGCATCGTGGAGTCGACGGTCCAGTACACAGGTGGGGTCGAGTTCGTGTTGAATGTGGTGATGGTCTGAACCACCTTATGGTTCTGAACACAATACAGATTCATTTTAAAAGACTCGAGGACCGGAATCTTTGTATTGCTCCAGTAGAATTTGAGTGTAGCGTTGACGCGAAATGTATCAGGGCCAAATTTTCGACAAATCAGATCTGCCTTTGCTGATAATGGAGCCATTGACATCAACCCGACTGCTCCTGCAAGAGCTAGTGATGCTACTGACTTGAACATGTGGAATTGTGCTCTCATTTTGTTGGTGCTGTTGTTTCGTTAAGGATGTGTTAAGGGTTCAAGGATGATGACAAGTATCTATTGGAATGTGTATGGAGAAGAGGATGAAACCGAAGGCTCAGGGAACTGTAGAATATGTGTAGCAAATAAGAAACATAAAAAGCGGTCCAGGAATATGATTAGTCGCTATTAGTAAAAATGAAAGGGCTGCCTTGGACATCAATTGAAAAAAAAAAAAAAAAAAAAAAGAAGAGAAAAAGAAAAAGGAAAGGAGGCAAAAAAAGGGAATAGAAAGAAAATGGTAGAATTATGGCATGGATCGGAGGCTGCTGTTATCATAGATCTGCTTTCTTTCTTTCTTTCTTTCTTTCTTTCTTTCTTTCTTTCTTTCTTTTTTTTTTTTTTTTTTTTTTTTTTTGGTTATTTGTGGTCAATGGTAGAAAGAAGGAAGAGAAGGATTTGAGTAAGCCTCTTCTCCTTCTTGAAATACGGCGCTGTATAAGTATGCCCTTGATTATCGCAAAGTGTCCTGGTCGTTTTTTTTTTTTTTTTTTTTTTTTTTTTTTTTTTCATTAGCTGCTGATATTGATGTGGAAGCTGGAGTTGAAGTTGATAAGGACCATGTTCGTTCGATAGAAGGTTGACACCTGTGGTACAGTATTTACTCACCCTTAATAAAAATTATTATTCTTAATTCAGTACTTAATGTAAACTGAATAAAAATAAAGCATGTCAAGCACGGGAAGTGGAAATGATATTCAGGGATGGAAGGAGGTCAGAGTGTAAAGTCGCAAGGAATGTCAATGAATAATGGGCAATGAGATTCGAATGAATGGAATGGGAAGCTGTCGAAGCAATGGCCTAACTAAAGAGAAAAAAAAAAAGAAGGAAGAAAAGAAAGCGAAAAAAAGAAGGGGCGAAGTAGCCAGATGCCAGGATCGGACTGCCAGGACCAGACTGCCAATTGCTCTCAGTGCTCGGATGCTATGCGGTACGACGTCTCCAAACGCAGTTGGGGTGTCCTCTTTTTCTTATTGTTTGATAATAATAATGACGATCTCCTTTTTTGTTTTGTTAATGCAATGAAGGCAATGAAGAGAAGCTTTTGTTCATTTTCGTGCCCGTGCTCTCAAAATTACTTCGCCCCGATGTCAACTAAAAAAGAAGGACAAAAGATTGTTCATGAGTCCATGCAAATCAATTAATAAATGTTATTAATACATCTATGGACTATACAACAGATAAGCAGACCTTTTCCTCTTTGATCTTAACTGCTGCTGCTAACTGGTAACCTACTTCTGGTGGGTGCTCAGATGCTCTCACCTCAACCCTCATAGCCAATCTTCTCCTTTATCTACCTCCTCGTTCCTCCACTTTCTCCCACCCTTCTACCCTTTTTTTAAGGAAAATATTTATTGTTCCTGTCAGTAAAAATAGGACAGTGGAGGAGAAATGTCGGACATGTTGCTCTAGGCACTATTTTACATCATGCTCTAACTCCTATAGTACATAGATATAGTGAGAGCTCTCGGAGGACCGCTTTTTCTTAAATCCCCAGTCTCCGTTTCGCTTAATAGCTCGAATATGTATTTTTATATATACAAGAGTAGAAAAGTATCATAGATCATCCAAGTAAAGACATGTTTCAAAAGAAAAAACTCATTATCGTTGATAGAAAGATAGATGCAAGGTTTTCAACACGCCTTGCGATATAATCCGATTCAGAAGATAACCAACATCGGTGAAGAGAAGTCTCCCTATCCCCCCTCTCTCCTTCTTTCCTCTCCTTCCTCATGGCTCCGGAATAATAAAAGCTCGAGGTTAGAGTACACGTTTCACAAAACATATTATCCCTGTATAAAGAATTCTATCATCTCCTCCAGGTTGCTTCAAGGAATAGCTTTCGTAAGCGTTGCTTGAGTGTGTTTGAATTCCTGCTTGCATGGATGTGTTCCTTGGTGTCGTTTATCATTAAAAAAGTTCAGGTGCACAGACAACATTTGAATTAGAATTTAATAAGGCTCCCATGATCCATTTTTGACCAACGATTTAGGCCATGTGCTTTTTTATGATCTTTTTTGAGTACATGTGAACTCTATAAACTATGACTTTTTATCCTGAACTGAATAGCCTGTCGACTACTGAGCTCAGTGGTAGAGCTTGCATGAGGTTGGCGGAAAAGAGAAGCTGCTAGCTTGCAAGGCTTGTAAGGTTTGCAAACTTCCAATAGAACGAGCTTGAAGCAAGATACCCTCTTACGATTTTAAGGAAGGATACATAATTTATTTCCTAGAAAATGTCGCCTAGAAACGACAGCAGAGTGGGTAGAGGTGGGAGCAGCAACCCCTAGGAGGCCGGATATGTTGTTTGTTTGGTACGCTGCCAGCTCATGCTTTCTAAGCCATAACCTGGGAAAGAGTCATCTACCATAATAGCAGTAATAGTAATGATAGCAGTATACTGACTGATATGTCGCGCTATATCTTTCGACGTTATCGGGATGATGAAGAGCCTTAAGACATCATGCCAAGGCTTTGAAAAGCATGCTGGAGTTGGAGGAGGACAGCGACGGATATCTGGCAACGAGAGGAAACCGTCGCTCTTTAGGCGGATATCACCGCCTGCTTAATTATACTTTTAAGCCCAGGCTTTAACTCACAATGATCAGCGCTGCTCACGGAGACCCGCTTATTAAAGTTTCGTTTATAAGAGATAGAGACGTGCTTGGTTTAATTTGTTTGTGGTCCAGTTTAACTTTTTAGCACTATCCTTTGGTATATTAAGTATCTTACTATTATTACTTTTATTTTTCAATATCAGCCATTGCACTGGAGCACAGATGCCTGTCGAATAATGAGGTAAATCGACTTGCATTAAATAAAAGAGACAGATAAAAAAACCGGAACATGAATAGTAAACATGATTCCCTATTTCTGGTTTATTTCCTCTCTCCTTGTCCCGAATCCTTGCTGTAGCAGAATTAATACATGTCAATCCTCGGTGCACTTTTATATTTTCATTATTCAAAGTAATGTAATAAATGCTTTACATTGTTATATCGTATACTATTGCTACATCACTAACTTGGCAAGTGAAGGCAAGTGCTAAGTTGATGAGCCGTGTCATTTGCTAAATGCCAATTATCCTCCTTCCTATCCACTTCCTTGTATCGGTGTAACTATCGAACATTCTCTGTGAAAAGCGAATACGGAAATTAGAAAAGCATGATAGACGAGTTAATAGGATAACGATGATAGCAAAGGTGAATGAAATCACGTTCACCAAGAACACGAAGGCTGATCAGGACTTTTGTCCATTGCATTGCTAGATGGTTGGTATGCGTTTATGTATTTGCACTTAGTGTGTTAGTGAAGGCTTCTCGAGCATACTGGATAAGTCGTATGCTGTTCGTTTTAATCTTCATCTAATGGTTTAAGGGCCTGCTCTTTTTTTTTTTTTTTTTTTTTTTTTTGTTGATTGTAAAAAGTAGGGCCAGGAGCTGGCGCCTATTTCGCCGCTAACTCATAATAGCAGGGTTCGGTTGTTTGCCCTGTTAGGCTTGGGTATGGGATGCGCCATGGATAACATGGTGTAAACCCAGTGCTTTTTTTTTTTACTATAACGAGGACTGTATTCTTGATCATGGTTGCTGATAATAAACCTTCCATTAGTGATAAAACCTTCGCAGTTGTACGGTAATTTTTTGCTACTTTGGTGTGCTCATTCTCGTCTAGTAAATCGTTGACATGTGGAACAATCGCGCCATTTCATGGCCCCTCATGTTTTTGTCTGGGTTGCCCTTGGGAAATACATTTCGGAGCATTTAGATGAGGCCCTCTCAGTTTTTTGTGCGAGGTCTAATAGTAGGCCTCTACGCATTACCTTTCAATGCTCTCTATCATCCCTATCTCATCCGGGATTTATCCTTAGCACACTGGGTAATCTCTCATCATCATCATCATCATCAAGGTCCTGCTTTTCGCCGTGGCCACCTGGTTTCCCTCACATTCGTCACCGTTATCTGATATTTTCAGCACGGTCACCTGAGCCGCTACCATCTCCCGCCACTGCAATATGTGCACCTCCGTAGCGGCGTCGGGTACCATAGCGAGAAATACTCGGTTTGGAAATAGGATGGGAAATAGCCACTTCTCCTTGGGCTACATTTCACAAAAAGGACATATGAATACATTCTTTGATAGAGAAGAGAAAACTATTGTAATATGACGATATTCATGTCGTATACAGACGATAGACTAGCATTTACAGTTCTACAATGGAGCACACAGGAAGCCGTGGGCACAACGAGGTTATTGGGATGCTTGTGAGCTACCTTTGCCAAGGGTCCGTCATTTGGATGGTCGTTGCCTTTAGCTAGGACGAGGGTGCCCCTTATTCTAGTGCTGTTAAGTCTATTACCGGTCTAGGGCACGCATCGCAGCTGATGACCTGAGGATACCTTTCAGCTTGCTGACTAGCGCTACACTTGGGCTCGACATTCACGGCGCTATCGGGGGCTCGTTGGAACCAACGATTGGTGGAATGCTATGGCTCCTTTGCACGATTCTTTTTGCTAGTGCTTCCTCAGCATCTCCGTTGGGCCACCGTTAATCGACGGCTATTGGAGGAAGATGCCTGACCCAGCATCGTGGTTCCAGATTTCCTCTTCCTACTCGTGGGTATTCAGAAGATATAGGTGCATGAAGAAAAGAAAAAATAAAGCTTGCTTAGAGCTTAAAAAACTTGGCGACAAAGAAAGGAGGGAGAGATGCGCCAAAGAAAACAGATGAAGTTGTGGATGGTTATATTTGAAGGAAGCCTTTTTTTTTACCTTACCAAGGGTACAAAAAAAAAAAAAAAGGAATGGAGAGTAAAAAGCACTGGGAATAATATTCCATCTTCAATAGTATACAACTGACTCTATACAAGCAGTTGGAGTACGAGCCACACTGTGAGCGATGTAAAGTGATTGAAACTCAAACTTGCATACGCTTATCTCCACTCTGTTCACTAGCATTAAGCTTAACCAACAATTGATGACTCTGCCAGTCAAGCCTATTATTTTTTCTTCCTTTCCTTACCACCAGTGATTGCCGCCGGTGCATTTCTTTTTTCGCCGATGGGCTTGACTGGTGCAATGCTCCGCTAGTCTACAAGTATCAGTATGATGCACCCTAACACAATTATCTTGTTGCATCCCTGGTACATCATACCAGGAACCACCAAGTGATACACCGCACCGAAAAAAATCTCACACCGTGGTGCAAAATTCACCAGTGAAAATCATCTGCACGCGCTCTATCTGGCAAAACCCATACCATCTCTAACAAAATGAATTATACAGATTTATTCATAGATCGACTTGTGGTTTTTGCCAGTAACATCAGTGGCGGTGTGGTTTGCAGCAATGAAATGGAAACAAAAAGACAGAGCTAAACACGTTGGTACGCCAGTGGCGTATATAGATGTAATGATGGCAACAAAAGAGCCGGGGGCTGGTTAGGGTGATTCAGGAAGTTGATCTAAATGAGGAGAAAATTACTACACAACGTTGTGCTTCAAATGCATTGGTTGTTTTAGTTTTGTGTCATCCATTATGCTGGTTGAAATCTAAATATACTCCCGCACTGGTCATGTCAGACATGCACATGTAGATATTCTCTTGACGAAAATGAATAAATACCCACTGTGTCTGGTGTGTGGACCTTAACTCTTTCTAATTTACTTCTCTCTCTCTCTCTCCCTTCCCTTCTCCCGCCAAATATCCATTCATCTCACTACTTACATTAAAACTCTACATGACTCCCATCAAAAACAAACAAACAAAAAACCCCTCCCATCCACATTTTTATACCAATCCTTCTCATCGTACTCGAATGTAGTGTCCAGCTAACAATGACCTAAGCCTGGTTTAAGTTCGTATCCAGAAGAAGTGGTTGGAGCAGCATTCGGCTTAATGATATCATCATCAAGGGTATTATTGTCCTCAAGAAGGCGAAGCCAATGAATGATGTCGCCTCAAGACAGGAAGGTGCCGGCGAGCGAGGCGATTTCCGGGCCCCCCAGGGAAAGCAATTTTGGGATTGTTAATCATGCGAAGAGACTCCCACAAAATCCGAACATAGTTCCCTATTAAGTTTTGTACTCAATTAGAGCTCGCTTCTTGACACGAGTGCAATTTTTGTGCCTTTCTAATATCCTTCTTCGAGTCCTTAGTCCCACATTCTGCAAAGACCTGCTGAAGTGTTTGTCGAGCCTCTAGTGCTACTCCTTGGTTGTGCCTGCTATCCTTCTCGGTTTTCTTGAGATCAATTAGAAACAAATCGTATCCCTGGAACATCTCCAAGACTTTCCACAGCACAATTGTATCAAAAGGGATCTGGCAAGTATGTTGTGGAAAGTCTTGGAGACACGAATACAATACAAGAGTTCTTATTAAGGGAGAAAGCTGTCAGCAAGCGAAACGATTTCTGGGATCTCCAGGGGATGCAATTTGGGGCCGTTCATTTTATGCAAAGGGAAATGAGAGAGGGTTCAAGGTTAAAGATTAAGAGATAACTTTTTTTTGCAAACAATTATTGCCACTTTTTTTTTTTTTTTTTTTTTTTTTTTTTTCTTTTCAGCCAATTGGAATAAAAATTTAGCGTATCTTTTTAAATGCTCATCGCTGAAAGTAAAATATCGTTTTTTTATTTTATTTTTTTAATCTATTGAGTCTATGAAAAACAGCTCATGCCATTTCTTGACTGCCAATCGATGTATAAATGTGCAATTATACTTCTACCTCACTACAGCTGGATCCCAAGTACCATTCTCATCTTCTCCAAGCACAGTTCGGAATTGTTACTTACAGGACCAAAGCTGACATTATAGTAATAAAAGATCTCGAAAAACAACATTGGCATTGGTAACGTAGTTAGACGGGCTGCCCGTAGGTTACTCCAATTTTGTGTTTTGCCTCGTAAGGCTTATTTATTTATTTAGGCTAGTGAAGTTGGTCTTTAATTTATTTCAGATCAGGGTTCACCATTGTCGTCCAGGTCATGAAGATTCCTTGGACGCCAAACTAGACAGCGCATTTCAAATCAAAACAAAATAAAAAGAAAAAAGTCCAATTAATAAAATAAAAATAATTGTCGTGTAATTTATGTCATTCAAGACTAGACAGCAGTTTCATCAAGGTAATTGCTTGTTACCTTGAATATTTCCTGCTCGTTCTTTCGATCCTGGGGCAACCGTTGAAATGACATCTTCTAGGTATGGACACCAAGCGAAGTCCGATACCATCAAGCTAACAAATATCGAAGAAAGGATGAGTCAGAACTTTTTTTTTTTTTTTTTTTTTTTTTACAGCCTCGTTATCCTTAATAGACATACTCATGGCCTTGATGACGAAATAGCATTTCTGGGATCTGTTGAGGCGTAGTCTGATCCACTGGTCCATCAAACTTCTTAATTTTCCAGATACAAATTTGACCGCCTATTGTTAATCCTGCTATGCAGTCCGATCGATGTGGCGACCATTGAGCTTTGCGCAGCGTATGTTCCCCCAAGTTATGGAACGTGGCAAATGCCTAAAAAGTCAGCCGAGGATTAGTTGGTGCTAACCTTCTAAGGGTATATATTCATATTATAAGCAGAAAAAAAAAGTCTCCCTTCTCTCAGTCTTTTTTTTTTTTTTTTTTTTTTTTTTAAACATACATCATGATCCATCTTGCGCACATCCCAGACACGCACAGTTTTAGAATGCGTTGTCATGAATTCGTTCGAATTGTTTGGATTCCATTCAATACTGTAGACTGGGTCATATATTTGACCGGTCCCTTCTTTGTCCATACAAGCCATGGTAGCGAAAACAGCCTTGTTGGGTGATCGAGGATCCCACCGAGCGATTTGCGCATATTCGTCCGATCCAACAAGAACTGTCGAGTCGATTGAATTAATCGAGATGCAAGATGAGTGGAACTTGAAATCTCGATCAATTTCAACTCTGGCTGTACTGTCAAGATTTACTATCGATCAAAGAGTAAAAGATAAAAGTGAGTGAAAACCATAACCAACGTAAATATGATACCGGTTGTTCGACAACAACAACAACAACAACAACAGTAACAATAAAAAAATAGATAAGTGTCTTCAAGGTATTAATTGATATTTATGCTTCAAGCCTTACTAGTAGCATCGCTTCCTACAGATGACACGGACTTGTATAGATCATAAGAGTGGATCCTCCCGAAGCAATCTATTTTTTTTTTTTTTTTTTTTTTTTTAAAAGACCATAAATAGAAAACCACTGATATTACAAATAACCCGGTCATAGGAAATGTATTCAAACAAACAGAATGCCATGCATTTGTCGCCTTACCCACACTGCAGACATCCATGCCTTGCACATCGAACCAAATTTTGTCGTGTGGTTTATTCCTCTCCAACCTAATTTCATAAAAGAGCACACAAACATTCGTTAAAGACCAATATATACATACATTATTCATTTTGAGATTAGGATGTCAAATTTACTTGACTATTGGAGTCTTGGCTCGCTCTACGGTGTCTCTTAAATCCCAAACATGAAGGCTCCAAGGTGTGTTTGTGGCTGCCACCAGATGACCGGATTCTAAGCATCTTTGTTTTTATCAAGGCGTAATTGAGCAAATAAAATAAAATAAAATAAGAAAAAGTGTTCATAATTCCGAGATAATAGGTAAACAAGAAAAAAAGAAAAAGTATTTACTTCATTGCCATGATAGGTCCTTTCCCGGTTACATTGATACCCTCAACTAAAGTCTGAAAGCTCAAACAGAAGAATTTCGTTAAACTCAATTATTATCTTCGATTTCAAGGGCTTTTTTTTTTTTTTTTTTTTTTTTTCTGTTTCCACACACATATACAAACAGATGTGGATATGAACATTACATCTCTTGACTCGGGCAGTTGACCGCTATGACGAATGGCTAAAACTTGAGCAGCAGACTCCTTATCACCATACTCACGCATCTGAACCGTTAAACTAGATAAGACCGGAACAGGATTTGGACTTTTCGATGTCCAGAACATCGATCCTGAAGATTATTTTATATAAACATTTTAAGGAATTTATCAATTATCGAAGGGGAAATAAAATAAAATAATAAAAAAAAGATTTGTATTTACCATAGTGTAACCTAGCGGTTGAAATATCAAGCTGTGTGCTCCATGCCAATGTGGATATTGCTAAATTTCCTTGTTCGGATGCTGTTGAAAGATTGTAAAGAGTTTCGTAACTGATATAGGCTGATTCACACCAACTCGTAAAAGATCCACTGAACAGATCAGGTTTGACATGCGTAACTTTAAGCTCGCCAGGATGTAGCGAGAATTCTTTTTCAGCAATACGTCTTGGATAGTGACGTAATCGCTGTTCTTCTGCTGGCCCTCGCTTTCGTTTATGACTGTAGGTATGGCTTTGAATATAATTGCTGTTGTTCTCTGATGATGCTCGATTTTGATCATTATCACTGCTTCGGCTGTGGTTGTAAAGATTGGCTTGTTTGGCATTGATATTACTGGAGGTAGACGGAGATGAACCTTGAATTTTTTTGAAGATCTTTGATAGTTTTTTTTTTTTTTAAAAAAAAAAAAAAAAATTAGAGAGCTGAGCAAAATACCTTTAAATAAATCAGCATTTAAATCATATTTGTGTTTAAGTGTTGATATACAGAGGTAACTGGCGTGCCTATCACACGTGTGTTTTTGGTAGGCACTTCAATCTGGCTTCCTTTGGTCTTTGGCAGCGTATTGTTCGGTTGAGTCCAAAAATTCGGCAAATGAGGTGGTAGGGGTCTATAAATGATGTCGCGGATATGTCCAAAGTCAGAAAGTGGCCCTTTCTAGGTCGAGAAAGGAAAAAGACACAGAGAGGGAAATAGGGAGATGAGATTGTAGTAAGGATTGTTATACGAGAAAGTAAGCATGCAAAAGCCTTTTTTTTTTTTTTTTCTTTTTTTACCTTGGTGAGTGCATTATGGGCTGAATATGCTCCATCATTTGAAGTGAAGGAGATATAGTACTTATGGCATTGGGGGGGAGGTCTTGAAGACGCAAGTGGACGAGAAAAGACTTTATTTATTATTATTAGCTATTCTTAAGACAATAGAGCCATATAAAAATTTACGTCTTTCTTTTTTTTTTTTACCTGATACAACAATTCCAAAGCGCTGAAAAAAATTGTATATTTTCTAAATCATATTTCGCAGTATACATTATGCACAAAAACCATAGGATTGATGAGCCATCTTAACATGCACAAATGGCTGTGGTTAGTAAGTCCATGGGAATAAAGCGAAGATAGTAGGGGACATACCCAGAGTGGACATGATTTCTCCGCCTCGATCTGTATTCCTGGAATGCGATTGTACACGCTTGGTGGCCAGAAGGCCATTCTTATCCGTCGACCTTTGAGCTCACTAAAGTTGTGTCTCCTATCAACCAAAGAAGGATGGGATGACAAATATAATAATAATAATAAAAAAGGAAAAGTTTAAAAAAGCGGCCAGAATGCTTGTGAAAATCTTCTTCAGTACTTAGAATCGTACCTGAATATGGGCATGGCAACATCAAGTGAAGGTACGCTAACCCTAAATGCTATTGAAGCCTCCAGATCAGATGACTCATGAAGACTGACTGCTCCGTCTGGTCCTAATCCCAGGAACATGGATAATTCCTTCGCTGCAACGCTGTGGACATAAATATGTGCATCGATATATATTGTTAAGAAAAAAAAAAAGTTACATAACTCAATGATAAAAAGCTCTTTTACGATAGTAGACTGATGAGGGATATGGTGTATACCTCGGATGTACATCGAGGACCAGAAAAGTTGTTTTATTAGAGGTGCTCATGGTAAGGTGTCTGACATCGAAAGATGCATTCACAAGAAGATTTAACATTGCAAACAATAACTTGGGGCTGAGTAAATAATACCAAAAAAAAAAAAAATGTGGCTGTGCTTTTCATTATCACCTTGCGTATTTACAAAGTTAAGTCAAGCATGCTTGCCTCGGTACGTCGGCTTCGCCAAAGAGATAACGAATGACAGTAATCAGGTTGATGCCAAGACTGAAACTTGGGCCACGAATTGACGCAGTATCTCTTATTATTTTTTTTTATGTCAGTAATGTTATGTACATTGTAATAGTCTTCTGCAGAATCAGGCGGCGCAGTGACCGTTTTGTGGAAAAGACTTGCGTGTTTCTTACAATTGTCATGAACCATTGATGCATGCTCCTTCTCTTCCTCTTCCTCTCTCATTCATATTCTGTCATTCATATTCTAATATTTGATAATTAATCAGGAATTACTTTCATCAAGAACTCAATGTCAAATCTACAACAGCCGCCTCCAGAGGCAGCAACAGCCTCAAATAGCCCAACCAACGTTCTCGACTGTGACTCAGTCTTGACACTGCTTCAGACGATACTTCCCAAGTCTAGCACGGCCAGTGAGACTAACACTGAAGCATCATCAACAGCGTCTGAGCCCCAGAATGTCCCTATTACCATTCTCAGTAGCCCTTACGAGGGCCTCGCAGCACTTTCTCACGCATTAATGACTGCGGTTGGGTTCAGGCTGGTTGGACTTGGTGAAGACGATACCCTTGAGCCTAGTCGTAAGAGTATTGAAGGTAAAAAGCACCCAAATTTTTCTGTCCTTTCCTCCCCTCTCTCTTTCTGGCCCGTTTACCTGAGCATCATCTTCATTTCCGCTTAATCATCTCTTAGATCTCTCGAAAGCCAACGAACTACCTGAACGATGGAACACATCCAAGGAGAGCTACTCTTTCAGATACACCCATTCCAATTCACAACTCACTTATCTTATCAAATGTATGCGTTTGGCAGGCAAACTTGTTATTCATGGAACTACTATCGAGGTAATATTAAAGAAACAAGCTCAGGAGTTTAGGTTTGGTTGCCATTGCGAAAAAGCTAATATATAATTTTTTTTTTTTTTTTTTTTTTTTAGACCAATAAAATCTGCTCATTAGAGCTTGATGTCAAGGACTTTACCTCGCCTTCTTATTTTCCATATACAACTGCCACAGACTTGAGTAGAGATCCATTATGGAATGCTTTCCTCTCACGTTCCAGGACCAACGACCTTATAGGACAATTTAAAATTAAGATGATTCAACAGCTCATCCCTGGATTATCAAAACCTGGTTATCAGGAGGAACAACCAGCAACCAACACTAACACTAACACCGATACTAGCACTAGCAGCAGGGGTGACAGTAGCGGTAATAGTAGCAGCACACCAACAAGCGGCGGTCCTGCTGGATATGGGCCTGGTATTTATCGAGATGATCCATCTACATTCCCAGGAATCGGCGGGGGTGTTCCTTTGCCAGGACGACCAGGCTTTGTGCCACGACCACCCATATTCGGAGACCCTTTTTCGGCGGAAGACCCAGACTCCATGGGCTTTGGGGGGGGCCTTGGTGGCTTTGGAGGAGGTCGGCATAATCCTTTTGAGATAGGAAGAAGCGATTTAGATCCTTTTGCGGGACGCCATGGTGGAGGAGGGTTTGGAGGTGGCGGTATGGTTGTGGGACCTAACCATCCCATGTTCGGAAGACCAGCCCCAGGTCCTAGCAGCGGGAGTGGAATCTATGGCGGACCTCAACCATTGCCGCGCGGATCTGTCCCGCCAGGAGCCAGGTTCGATCCTATTGGACCATTCGGTCCTGGGGGCGGAATAGGTGGTCCGCCTGGCGCTGGAACTGCCCATCGAGGGCCAGGGTTTGGAAGAGGCCGTGGTGCTGGACCTGGATCTAGGTAAGCTTTTCAGTAATTTCCAACTTTCATTTTGTTTGTTGTTGCTCATAAATATGGCCTCATTAGAATAGCGTTAGCATCATTACTAACATTCCTTCATTATATCAGTTTCCTTGGAGAGCCAGACAACGATGATGCTCCTCCACCAGGATACATGGACATGTACATGTAAATATTGTCAAATAAAGAAGCATCGCTCTATATAGTAGTAGTATGCTCTATATGTTTCTATCCCAATGCTTTTGAGCGTCTTTTTAGTCAACCGTCTCACGATCCTCTTGGAAAGCATCCACCTATCAATTGTATAGAGCAAAGTACAATATTATATCTATAGATCTTAGCAGATCAATCCAGGACTTTTAGCAATCATAGTAAATTAAAAAAAGGAGGTCATTGTTGTCTAGATTTTGGCCTAGTTATTACCCGCATGCCGCGCGATAAAAGCAAAGCAAAGAGGAGGGAAATAAACAAAGGCATTAGGCAATGACGCCATTAGCCTCATCAAGATCTTTTGGGCCTGGGAACTATTGCGCGCGTTAAACCCGTAATCTCTTTCCTTTTGAGCCTTTGGAGTGACAGAATAGAATACTGAGAGTACAAAGGACATCAACGCTCGTTATTCGAGCTATCAGTCTACCATTTTTGATATGATAGAAGAAAGTAAAGGTGGCGGTAATGGTACTCCTCAAATTCTGTTCACTATTCATAAAACCATAAAAGCCTAGCAATTCGGGCCAGGCCTGGTGTCGCCACAGCAATCACAATCACAATCATAATCGCAAATCCTTGACGGCCTCTTAGCTGTGGGCCCAATCCGAGAGCCTTCTTAACGGTTCCAGGCAGGCGGGGGTCTTATGGATCCTTAATGTATCTGCAATCCAAGGTGGTGCAGACATGAGGCTCCCTGACTTACCAGCTTCAGTTTTAGTAGGATCGCCACTCAAGGATCGCAAAATGTATCTAAATTTTCGTCAGCGATTGCACTATTTGTAGGTGGTCAACAAGAACAATCTTTATGGGTTTCTGGACCATTTTTTAATGTGGAAGGTGGTCGCGTCCTCAAATGAGAGATTTCATCGGTTTTGGGCTTTAGCCAAGGTTCAAAGGCAACCAAGCAGTGCTTTCAAGGAAATCCCCAATCGCGAGCTCGCCTTGGCGCGAATTTGTTGGCTATTGACTTGGAAGGAGACATGAAGGAGGATCCTATAATTACGTCTTCGCGCGCGTGACTCACGATATGCTGAGTAAGTTCTTTATGTGAAGCCCATACAAGGTATGAATATAGTGGCTTTTTTTACTGATCATCCTTTTCTTTATCCTATTTCTAGCTATTGGGCACTCTTACCATCAAGCATGGCTTATAAATGATTGTACCAACAATTGTTATATATCGAAGTGGTCGCAAACAGAATGTGTTGCATTTATTACCACAATGAAACTGACGCTATATATATGTGTAGATATATACAGAGTTGTTTGTGGTTTTTATTCCTTTGAATGTTCCTTTGGTGATAAAGATTGGAATGTTTCTATTGTTTTTAACATCATTGAAGCAAACATAAATAATAAATAAGTAAAGATATTAAGAAGCAGCAAGAAGCGGATGTAGGCAAAAAAAAAGGACATACTAAGAACAATCTCGGTGAGATGCTTTTCGGTGCCATCCTTTCCAGTATATGATTTATAGTGAACAGGACCCTCAACATAAACTAGATCGCCTTTGTGGACCCTATCTGCCAAGAAAGGGTTCCTCTTTTGATCCCAGGATACGATCCTATGCCAATGTGTTGTCTGGATTAAATTGTCTGAAAAGCATGAGAAAAAAAAAGATGTCATTATTCAGCGAAACACAATGATGTTGTTACAGTGATATAACAGTGTCTTTTTTTTTTTTTTTTTTTTTTTCACACACCTTGATCATCCTTGCGGGTCTCAGAAGTAGCTACTGAAAAATGGACCACGGTACGGTCGCCAACCTGGCTGGTCTCAGCATCTTGTCCGACGCGTCCAACGATAATCGCTTTGTTAACTAAAGTACAGATCAGATCAGATATAGTTTAACATAAGATGAGCTCAGTTAATAATAACTGATCATTTATGATTATAAAGATTATAAGAAAAAAGACATACTGAGCGTACGGACAGACCCAATTGCAGGCTGATGGCACAAATATATGATAACCATTGTAGCGGTTTATAGAAAATGATGCAGAAAACTTAGTAAGTCAAAGTTCAATATCTTTCATTTTAACGCCTTTTGTCAAAGCCCAAAACAATGGGCTCAAACATAATCTTCATTGCACATTTATTAAACATATACCGTTGCAATGCGTTTTGCGATGGGGTTAATTCTTGTAAGAAGCATGTTTAAGGGAAGAGGGGTTGGGATAACAATAATGGTGAAGAAGGTGAGGAAAGATGAAGTGGGGGACAGAGGCTAAGATATTTGACTTGTTTATACGCTTTTTATTACCCCGAATTAGAAAAAGGACGCCACAGTCACAGGCAAGCGTGGCTAGGGCAGAATATATTGACTGTGGCCACAGTGGCTGGAGAGATTAGTATAGTCCGTCCCATTAAAAAACGAGACATTCCATCTATTGTAAAAAGAAGAAATGTATTAGAACACAGAAATAAATAAATAAATATATTAACCAAGAAAAAAAAGTACTATCAAGCCAATACTTACAATTTTTTTAAGACGAAGGCCTTTCTGGACCTAGTCATGTTTGTAGTAGATTGTGTCCTACTGTTGTTGCCGGCTTGTCTCTCCCCCTCCTCCTGGACCCAGCAAAGGTCCTTTCGGTGGTCTTGATCCCTCTACTCCTCCTCCTCCTTCATCTGAAAATTTCCTTTTTCTGATTCCTCCACTGCCACTTCCACCACTACCTCCCTCTCCTCCTCCTCCTTCCCCCGGGCTTAACAAAGGTTCCTTCGATGGTCTCGAACCCTCAACTTCCCCTCCTCCATCATCCGAGAATTTTCTTTTTGTGGTTCTGCCACTACCACTACCACTACCACTACCTCCTACCCCTGGACTCAACAAAAGCCCTTTCGGTGGTCTTGATCCCTCTACTCCTCCTCCTCCTCCTTCATCTGAAAATTTCCTTTTTGTGGATCTGCTACTACCACCACCACTGCCACCACTACCTCCACCGCCGCCACTACCGCTAGAAGCTTGGCCTTGAGTTCCTCCGTCCGGCGGCATATATTTTGAGGTCGTTTTTGCTCTCTTATCTGCGACTCACAGACCCTTGCGATGTTCTCAGCACCAACAGCATCTCGATCAAAGTATGCTTTACAATTTCGACAGTACTTGGATCGAAAAGGAACATTCTCCAATATACTGTCACAGTGAGGCCGTGGACACTTGGCAGATGTGTAGTATTCATGACAACCTGCAATGGGGTAGTCTAGAGATTTTGCCTGTTCGAGCCAGATTTAATACTCGTTAAAAAAGAGACTCAAAAATTGAATGTCATTGATCAAGGGATTTTTTTTTTACCTTTTCAACAAGCTTCTTCATCAATATCCCATGCTTCGATACTTGTCCTCGGTTTGTCTTGAATGATCCTAGTCCAATACAGATCACCGCATTCGTATTGGCATCTCTTCTTCTTCCATTGCTTCCGCCCGCAAGCTTCAGAATTGCCTTGATCACATAATCAACGCATCCGTTCTGTGCTTTTCTATTATCCCAGCTATTCCGAACAAACCACCCGTCATTATAGAAATCGACAAGCGCCCTATATATAGTCTCCCTATTGTCGTCACTGGTCCCAGATCCACTGCTACTACTGGCCTCAACTCCACTGCTACTACCGGTCCCTGCTCCACTGCTACTACTGGCCCCAACCCCACTACCAGAGAAACTACCTCCAGTACTTGATGGAGCTTGATTTAGCGGCAAGCTCATATAAGCGAAATACTGTGTTAAAGTAGGCCTTGAGAATGACGGAATATTGCTTTCAATCTCTGTAATTCCTCTTCTAAGCTTTCGCCTCTCTAGCTCGCCCTGAAACTTCTTGGATGGTTTGTAAAGGTACGCTCTAGAAATCCGGAGGATCTCACGTTCGTTAGGTTTCCTTGGATCCAACTTTGCAATTGTCATCGAGTACCTCTCGCCTGGATCGATCCCAATGATAATGGTACTTTCGGGGGGAGGGCATGCTGCCTGGGTGTCATATTTAACTTCTACATTCTCGAGGAGACGGGATCTCTGCTTCCAGTTGATCTCACGCCGGGGACTGGGACTCACCGGGGACAGTGGATTTGTGCTCGATGTACCTTCTTCAGCTGCTTCTTCTCCCTCGTCGCCATCTAAGAATGGTTCATCAACTTCCAGCAAGTCAATATCGCTGATACCCAGCAAGATATCGTCATCTTCATTTCCGTCGTCGTCTCCATCATCACCACCATCACCTGCACCATGGCCTGAAGACGAGGATCCCTGCTGAGCACTTGAAGAAGCCTGGACTGCTTGAGATCTTTGAGTATCCGAAGGTTGGGCAGCTTGCGAACCTCTACCTCTTTTTTGCTTCGATGTGTCATAGGCAAGAAGTGTTAGGGTAAGGCCGTTTGTAAAGAACGATGTCCGTAGTTTCCTTCTAGGACCATCATCAGATTGCAGTCCAACGTCCTTGTATCCTTTCAAGGAAAACAGCTCCTGCAACAATATCCCCTTGTGGTTAAGGATCTTGTCCTCTGCAGCCCCCTTGGTACTCATCTTTAGTTCCAACAATTGGGCTATTTCCTCTCGAACTGTTGGGTTAGACCATAATATATCCAGGAGACAGGCTTCCGTTAGGCAAAGAGACCGAGGCGAGAAAGCAGACGTAGGGAAATCCAGATATTTTTTGGCAGTTGCATTTTGCTCAAAAAAGAATTGGATGGAACTTCTTCCATCGCCTGGAATATCTATGTCAAACTAGACATTATATTGAAGAAATGATTAGGAACATTTCTATAAACATATTATAAGATAACCTCAAAATATTATAATATTATATTTACCTGCGCATTCCGATAGTGAGACCTTAGCGCTGCTTGAACAGGGACCATGACCATCCGAGACGACTTGCTGATCACCAAATCGGGATAGATCTGGTTTAAAGGACCAAGCCCTGTCTTTGCATAGAAGTTTTCGTATGCTTTGAGCTGGGACGGCTTGGCTACGTTCCCTTCGCCTTTTTTCTTCACTTCCCTGCTATACCTAGATAATGGACTCATCACTCCGTGATACAACAACGCAGCAAGGCCGTAAATAAAGTCCCTGGTATCAAGAACTTCATCTAGGAGTTGTGGGAGATCAGCTGGATTGGATGGCCCAGTGGTAAGCAGGTTATCGATCCACAAGGCGCAGGCCCAGAAAGCTCGAATCCGTGCCTCATTCAACATTTTAATAAATGATTGAATGAGCCCTTGAATTGTTGCAGCAAGTTGCTCGGGATTGAGATTGGGATCGGAAGTAGAGTCCAGCTTGGCAACTACACATGTCTTTAACGTGCCCAGAGTTAATGCAACAGTGGGGTGGGCCCTCTTCAACCGTCGGTCCTCGGCAGTAGCCTCCTTCACTTTCCTGGTCTTATCAGTCTTTCTGATATACTTGGCCTTCCCTTTGTTCTTCTTTTTTTTCTTCTTTTCCTCCTTAACCTCCTCTTCTTTGTCATCCTCTTTTTTTTCCTTTTCCTTTTTTTTGGGGGACTTTCTTTGACGGCTGGAGCTGACGGGACGGTCGTGTTGTTTGCAGTTGGTCAGGTCATATTTCTTAGGGGAAAGTTCCTTTTTCTGGGTAGGGAAAACAGGCCGATAGCGATTCGGCTTTGCGCGTTTAGGGATATAGAATCTAATTAGGAACAACAATGTCAAGGGTTAGATGACTTTTTTTTTTGTATATGCTTTGGAAAATGTTCATTTGAAGGAGCTTACCTGGGTTGAGGTTGATTATTTTTATTCTGGTACCTAGCAGATATCGCAGTCCTCATTCTATCATGGTAATGAAGGAATCTTTCAGCGGTTGGTTGCTGCGAGGCCTGGGTTTGGATCCCACCAAAGAAAACATTAATTGAATGGTCAAACTGGCCTTCTGCAGGAGTTCGACGGCTACGGGCATGGACCTCACGAACATATGATACCGTCAACTTTTCGGCATCAGTGTCAGTGAGCGCGGAGATAATCTCAGCATTTGTAGCAAGACCAAAGGTTGGGATATTTGGGGTGTAATCGTTATCGGATATAATGCCATAGACCAGGAGTTGACTGTTCCTTGAAAACCCAAGGGCTTGCAGGACCTCTTGTTTCTCATAGAGTGCAAACATGTGATGGCGACGAGGGATTGGACGAAGAACTCTTTTTATAGAAGGATAGATGAGAAGGTCAGAGTCCCCAGACACAGCGATACTGGTTGGTGTACATTTGGCGGCAATACACACATCAGCCTCATTTCTACAATGGCAAATCACAAAGTTATTGTATCGACCGAATGGCGCCGCGAGCTCCCTCTTCTCGTTATGACTGAATGTGAAGAGCTGTCGAAGATTCTTTTTAATGGCAATCATATGGCTTCGAGATTCCCATTTGCCTTCATTGGACTTGGTTTCCATGTTGGCTATGAGCGTATCGAGTTTTGCATCCGCTGCTGTACGCTTAGCATCTCGGTCCCTATAGGCACGCGTTTTTTCTTCGCAGCGAGGCCCATCAATGTGTATCGTCACTGTGGCAAGAGGACCAAAGATCTTTCGAATGATACTAGCCATAGCATGGCCGCAGGCAGTGAAAGAACTCTGCCAGCTGAATCTCCTTAGGATGATATTATGTATATCGCTGTGGAAAGTGCCAAGCAGATCCAGCTCAAAAGATGAATGGGGTTCAGCAGCAAGCTCATGTACATCAATCTCCTTTGGTGGCAGGTCTCTCCTTGAAAGGTATGAATAGAGTCCTTTAATACCCATCTAGAGAAAGTATAGTGTAAAACAGTGCAAGCAATGTTGGTTTAAGCGGCTAAAGATTGAAGCTGAAGTTGTTAGAGTAGAGATAGTTTACCTTTAAGAAAGCAAAAAGTTATGATCTGTGAGGGGATGAGGGTGTAAGAGTACGGGTGAGAGCGCGAAAGCAATGTCGTTGTAAAATGAGAGAGAGAGAGAGAGAGAGGGAAAAAGAGAAGGAGGCAGGACGTATTTATAGGTGTATGAAAGAGAACGAAACAAAAGGCTGATGAATTTGGAACAACTCGAAACAATAAGTTTCTCAGCAACAAGTTTTAACTTTTTGGATTTCGAGTATTGTTTACAGCTCTTCTCCAATCATCTACATTTACCAAATCAAGCCTTCGCCATGACAATCAACAAGAAATAAAAAAAACAGACTTCCTTACGTCCCCCCTCGGTATGTGTATCTGTCTGAACACGTCCTAACTGACATCCTCTCGACAATCCTTCCAAGGCTGCAGTGTTTGAATGTGTACAGGGAACAAAAGAGGTCTAGATACAGGCTCTCTTTGTGACATTGAAGGAGATCGCATGTTTCATGGCTATCAAGACAAGGTACCCCTACAGGCACAAGACAAAGGTATAACTCGGTTCAAACTCAAAGGAACGATTTTACCAATGGCCTTGTTCTGAATCCACTTGCCTATGACACAGTCCAGACGAAGAGACAGCAGCAGTCTGACGTAGATGAAGAAGATCTCAGCCAGGAATTGAAACTTTCTCAAGGATTCCTTAACACGGCGTGTTTTAAAGGCAGCCGGTGAAGGCCTGATAGATGAAGACTACGCAAACATAAGCTGGAAGAGGGGCCCCAAACTTCTTGAAAACGTTGGACTCATATTCCATGAGCCAGGGCGATGCTCATTTGCAAATACCACAACTACCGTCTAATGCGATCCTGGTATTGTTAATGCCCTTACGTTTTCTTCGCTAGACCGTCACAACCCTGACCTGCGTCAAACGGTGAAGGTGAGAAGTAGGCTCGTCAACAGCCTGTGTGCCTTATATGCGTTGCACCAATGCTCACTGATAGGTTGGGAGGAAAGACACCAAGCCGGCAACAACAATAGGATATGATCAGTTGCATATTTCACAGTACACGTGTTACATGAAAATTTATAATACAGACATACTAACAGCTCTATGCCCCATGGTGCCCGAGACAAACTTGCAGTTTTATTTTGATACAAATTTGGATAAATGCCCCATGGATGTGATGTGTGAACCCACATCCTATTCTCACTTCTGCTCCCTGGTTACTATTTGTCTGTCAAAAATTTTTCATGAGCTACTACAAACATGACTAGGTCGGGAAAGGCCTTCGTCTTGAAAAAGTTGCAAGTATTAGCTTGACAGTGCTTTCTTGACTAATCTCTTTATTTCTATGCTTGGTCTAGATGGTGTTTTTTTATGGGGAGGACTATTTAGACAACATATAGACCCCACATATCCTAATCATAATAAATTGGTTTGGTGGCATTGTTGTAAAAAATATCTTTGCTTAAGGGACAGAAAGATAGACACAATCAGGAAAAGGCAGGACAAAGAGTGTCAACAAGATTGACAAGAGAAAATAGAGTCAAATAACCTTGACTACAAACAGCGCCATAGAATGTCAAAAGAAAAGATGGGAGCTTTATAGGTGAGCTCACAAACTGAGTTACCGGAAGACAAATGCTTGTTGTGAAAAGGGGAAAAAGATAAATGGCAAGATGAACTGCGGGTGAAGAATAAGACATGTGGGGAAAACTGAAGACTTTATTAAGAAGGAAATTTCTTTGGCTTTTATACTCGGTAGCTTCTAGGTGAGGCGGACCCGCCTATGACTACAAAGGGCTTTGCGCAAAGATTCCTTTAAGCTGGTTCGACAGATTAGTGGATACAAAATAAACTGAAATTAATTTTAATGACCAGCCACACCACTTGCAATAACAAGCGAGTCAATTGGCTGCCAATACATTTAAGAGTATTCAAAAATATAAGGGATCGCGACCAAATGGAACGGGCTATACTGTAAAACTTTGTTAAGATACAAGGTCTAAAGTGCTGATAAGCTACAATAGAAGCATCCTTCTTACAGGATATTCCACGTGACTATCTGTCACAAGATTCATGACGTCTATGGGGCACGCTTCACTTTTTCATCCCTCAATCATACGAATCGTCCTCTTTCTCTTCACTTTTCATTAACCCCTAGCACTTTAATCACCCATACACAGTACATTCTTCACATTTATAGCCATGTCTGCCCCTCTTGTCCCTACTGAGTACTGGTAATATTTATATTTTTCTCTTTTCATCAACCATACAATCAAGACTGATGGGCACTACTTGGGTCCTCGGCAAATACTCAGGGCAAGGTTGCCAAGCTGGAGACTAGAGTTGGTTCTCACACTCTTGACCAATACTTTTCTTTGATACCTTTAATAGCCCTGTCTACTCCCCCTTCTTTGGGGTTATGGGTGCCACCACCGCCATCGTCTTCTGCTGTAAGTTTTTAATATACCTCTATGGGTACAAAGGAGAAAGAAATAAGCAACTCTCGTTTGTCCTTTGAAATAATCAAACTCGCGCGCAAAAAAATTCCCGTATCTCCCCTCTGCATCTGTATCGCGTTTTGTCATAACTACTTAACTGGATCAGAGTTTGATGGAACGAGTCATGACAGAGCTTGTCTATGCAGAAGGAATTTTTTTTTTAAATCCATCATACATTTTGGCATTCACGAAAAAAAAAAAAAAAAAAAAAAGCAATGCGAATGTCATGCGAGTATCGGGGGCATCTGTGATGATCAGACCTGGACGAGGAAAGATGTATAAGATATACACGCTTTGATCACAGGACCCTCACAACTCGCTGTATTTGCAGGGAAAGCATTTTGAGAGCAAGAGAAAGGGGTAAAAGTATAGACCGCGAGGATCATACATCCCCATGGATTGAGATTTAGAAAAAGACACTAAAGTTGAAAAAGACTCTTTGTGTCGTTGTGCGAGGCACTTTTATTTAATGTATTGCTTATTGCTTCACCCCTCTTTTCCCCATATGATGCAACTAGCGAAAAAAAAAAAAAAAAAAAAAACGGTTATTTTATGAGATGTCCTGCTGACCAAATGATCGACTGACAAACTAACCCCTTGATCTTTTTATGTCACGCTTGACTATTTGTCTCACAGGCTTTGGTGCAGCCTATGGTACCGCCAAGTCTGGTGTTGGCCTTACCTCCATGGGTGTCCTTCGCCCTGATCTGATCATGAAGGGTGTTGTGCCCATTATTATGGCCGGTATTATCGGTATTTACGGACTAGTAGTGTCCGTACTTATCGGAAACGGATGTAAGTTATTCATTACATAGTTATCAATTTGAAACAAGACGTCCGTGGTCACTTTACTAGCAATTAGGATCAAGGAACTATAAACTAAACGTTTTATTTCTCTCTCTCTCTCTTTTTTTTTTTTTTTTTTTTTTTTTTTTCTAACACGTTAATACACAATAGTCTCCCAACAAATGTCGTTGTATGCGGGATTCATTCAATTAGGCGCTGGTCTCAGTGTCGGTTTGGCTGGTATGGCTGCTGGTTTTGCTGTCGGAATTGTGGGTGATGCTGGTGTCCGTGCCTCTGCTCAGCAGCCTAGGCTCTTTACTGGAATGGTAAGAAGCATCAAGCTGACACTTATATTTTCAGACTGTTCCCTTTGATAGAAGGTGTATAGTGTACCATATATACTAATGTGTTACTTCATTGCGTGTTCTTCTACAATCTAGATTCTCGTTCTCATTTTCGCTGAAGTTTTGGCTTTGTATGGTCTTATTGTTGCCTTGATTCTCAACACCAAGGCTTCAGACGCCAAGTGCTAGATTATTTATCATCGCTTATTTTTTCTATCAGATTACACCTTTCATTCTTCCGTGCGTGATTCGCTCGTTCGCCATCACCAGTCATCCTTTGTCAATAAATTTGCCCGTTTGTTCCCTCACAAAGTTGCATGGAGTGCATATGAGTCCAGTAAAGGATAGTTCTTTTATGTGACGAGCTTAAGAGGCTACATGGGCTTCTTTGCTGATTTTCCTATGGTAGCAGATATTTGTCTGCTAAACTAGAGACCAGCTACTCTCTTTAAATTGATGATGGCATATTTCAAATAATTAAACTATGAGACAATATGGATCTGGAGATCAGAAATCGAAGTGATCCTCTTGTTCCTGAATCCTTGGCCTGATTTGTTGACAGCCCGAAAAAGGAAAGAAACGTGGCAGCACCGCCACGACCCTTGAAGCTCGTGTTTGCTCATTCTTTTAAGATGAATCTTTCTCTTCAATCAAAAGCATACGGCAGTGGAATCCAGTAGGAACACTCGGATAGCGTGGAGGAAAGAAAGGAACAGGAGAGTTCATACAATTGCAATATAGCAATTCCGGGAAGCTTGCATTCTATACGTGCAAGCCAAAATTTGTTGCCTTTTACGGGCAACGACATTTTGCTTCTCAGGCTGGAGCAAACTCGGACTAAGGAAAAATGCACCCCCCCGGCTGAGAATTCCTAAAACCCCCCCCGTCAACATACCTTTATTCGGAATTCTTATCCCCCGGCAACCACGTAATCCTTAACCCCCCTGTCAACATTCTAGAGCTATTTTTTGAAATTGAGAACCGTTTTTCATTCCTAATCAAGAGCATAAAGTTGGACCTGAGTTTATGCAAGCATCTTTGTGGCTTGTTGACAGTAAAACACGTCAAAAAAAAAAGAGCCCAACTGTACCCTCACACTGTAAGTGTAAAAGGCCCCATTGTCCCAATCTGTATTTAAGACAATAAATGTCATTGATTGCGAAGATAATTTGGATTGTGCGACATGTGGTGTTATATAGTGTAAAGTCTTTTTTTTTTTTTTTTTTTTTTTTTTTTTTTCGATGACTATATCGGGCTTGTGTGGTGCATGTAAAGTTGCTGAAGGTTCTGAGCCTAGAGATAAATAAAATACTAGGGAGGGAGCCATTCATCAAGGAACATGTGTCTGTCTAGCTGATTTTTCTACTGTCAAGTTTTTGATGATAAGATAAAAAGTAAGAGGGCTTTAATAGCGTTGAGTTTAATAGAAAGACAGATGCAACCAAAAGCAGAAAATAAGACCCAAAAAACAGCCTCAAAATGTTGACGGGGGGTTAAGATTTGCCTTTCGAGAATCTTTACGGGGGGTGCTTCGGAATTCTGACGGGGGGACGGGGGTAAGAATTCCGAGTTGACGGGGGGGTTTTGGGAATTCTCAGCCGGGGGTCAATTTTTTATTCTGACGGGGGGATGCATTTTTCCATTATTCATAAAATTATCCTATAAGTTATCCATTTTTTCAAACATGATAACCAAATACCATGTCCTTTTCATGTCCCACAAAATTCATGGTTAATTTCGCATGACCACTTAGACAAAATTTGCAAACACTTGGATAAATTTCTCAGCCCTTTTCGGTCAGCTTTTTAACTTACCTTTGGATAATTTTTTTTATTCATTGGAACAATTTTAATAAAACAATTAAAAACGCTGTAGCACCGCCTTTTTCATCTGATCTGAATACCTATAGTTAATTCCGCAATGCAGGTGTAGCAGTTCATAAGCATACTTTGCTGCTAGGCTGCCTTGAAGCATTACTGTGATCCATTGCAAGTCTTCTTCAATGCGTCCTACATCACCAGCCCTAATAGCATTTGCTAGCTCCAGGTACCACATCATGTCTCTGAGAAAGAGAGAGGCGTTCCTTGTGGCCACATTGCACTCTTTGGTAAATCCAGATCCAGATATTTGGAGATAATGAGGGATACTTTCTCGCCGACCAGACGGGATAGCTCTTCCTTAGTACAAGCCTTACCAAGCGTTGCCAAATCCCCAGTCACCAGCTCCAGTTGCCATAATCGGAGGACCATTGCATCAAATGTATGGTGCAGCAGCTCGTCGACAGCATGGAAGTCTATTTTTTTAATGTTGACTCTCTTTCTTCCTAGCAATGCTGCATTGAACGCTAGCGGCCCAGCGGTGTCTTTATCGCCGTAATGATTGTTGAGGATTGTTCCTGCGAGCGATATTTGTAGGTGGAACAGTTGTGGCACCGGTGTTACCCATAGTAGCTTATTGTAGTTGCTTGTGTCGTCCCGCCGTAACTTCTTTGCAGTCCTGATCTGGACAGTGGCGAGGAGGTCCCCAGCCGTGATGATTTGCTTGTGTTTGAACCAATCTTGATTTAATTAGAGATGGCGAACGATCTCCTCTAGGACTTGCATATTTCCATCCACGCTTGACTGGTTGATGGGCATCGATGGTAGTAGATATCTTCGTGTCTTTATTAGAGGAAGTAGGTCTTTCTCTAGCGCAGGAAGCACACAACCTTCAAAGGTCTGGACACGGCAATGCAAAACCTACAGCAGCAATATGAACATCAATTTTGATCCATTTTTCCAGCCGTAACTGTTTTCAAAAACCCTGCATGCAGCAAATTCACATCACAATACCTCGGAGAGAATATTTGATAAACAAAGTCGAGGTGCTTTGCATTTTCGGTATCAGACATAAGGTCATCCGCTTTGAGTTTCCCGTAAGTCTCCGCATAGGTCCGCTGATTCTGGTTTCCTGGATCTTCGCCCACCACCATCGTCGCAGTCGTGCCACTCTCAAAGCTGTCAACATTATTCGACCGCTGATCGCACTTCTGAGTGGCGAAATTGATGTTGTCATAAACCAGGAAACAGAATTCCATCCCTATATTCCTCCGTACTTGTCCTGCAGAATCCTTTCCCAGTGATTCCAATGCTCGATCTATAGTCCATGGAGACACCGATAAACCAGCTAGGCAAAGGACCTCAATGACTTTTCTTGGAGCTCCATGGCTGAATAAGAAGAGACCGAAGGCAATCTGCAGTTTGTTGCAGCTACGGTTACGAAGGTTAAGGATTATGCTACCTATGGTTGGAATAATGACTGTCAGATCACGCCCAGTATGTTGGTTTAACTGTGTTATGGATCTCAGGAAGGAGATGAAGTATAGAGTCTTTTTATACAGGCACATTGAGATGTTTTCCAGTGAAAAATCTTCTAGCTGTTGACGGGTAAGCTTCGTAGATGGAGTTTTGAAGCGATTGTCTATTCAGCACTATTAATTTCTTGGCAAACCTGCTTTGTTACCACGTCCAAGGCTGCCTCAAAGAAAGATGCTCTTGAGAATTTCGCCATTTCCTTGGCATCCCAAACTCTAATAAGATACGCGGGACCTTTTTTTGCGTAAAATCGGGAAACCTTTTCTGAGATCAATTCAATCTTTGAAGTAAGCACTGAGCAAAGAAATAGAACAGTGACCATTGAAGCGCCTCAAGTATAGCCAGGACCTTCTGTATTTTCGTCCCCGGCATAGCAACAAGCTGCGCCATCAGAAGGTTCATGTTCATGATGATAGTATGTACTGAAGGTTATTTTATTTGACAGTTAGTTTTATTTGACAGTTAGATGGTCTACTCTACAAGATAATGAGACATGACGCGTGTGAAAGCAAGTATATGGATGACAAGCCTACAAAAGGTGTAAATAGGTGGTATTGACAGAAAGAGTTGTCTTATAGCGCGGTGAGGGTTGATGAATAGTTGGAGCGATGAATGGGCCGATATTCAGGAACAAAAAAAAAAACAAAAATCACATGATCGACAGAGCATAGTAGAAGGCCTGAGAAGCAAAATGTCGTTGCCCGTAAAAGGCAACAAATTTTGGCTTGCACGTATAGAATGCAAGCTTCCTTCTCTGACTGGATTCGAGCCTACATTCACTCACAATGATCAAGGCCATTTCAACTAATAGAACCTTTGGCAACTTTTGCTCCAGGGGCAACCTTTCAACGCGTAATGTAGACACGCGATCAAGTTTGGTGTTGATCAATACTTCTAATAACATCTCTCCATACACCCAAACGACAGGATGCAGAGCTAGTTTGTTTCGTTTCATGGCTACATCATCAAAGACAGCACCTAATGCAGCTACATCGGCTACAGGATCAGCGCCCGCAGTAGCCAGGCAAGCAGCCAAGGATAGGCCCGAATCAAGGTTTTCGTCAACCTTATTACTTCCAAAAACCGCATTTCCTCTCCGATACGAGAATGTGACACGGGAGGCAGGATTTCGTCAGCGATGCACTACAGATCTGTACCCGTGGCAGGTAATTGTGCAGGGGTTTTGTTCGAAATCCGAGCAAATTCGGATTTTACTGATAAATGAAAGGAAGGAGCGCATAGTCGGTTAACTATCTGGGTTCAACATAATTCTTTTTTATACCAGCGTGAGAACAATCCTGGAGATCTCTTTGTCCTACATGATGGACCACCATATGCGAACGGACATCTCCACCTGGGACATGCACTCAACAAGCTAATCAAGGATTTCGTTAACCGCTATCGAGTCATGCGAGGGTTCAAAGTAGAGTAGGTTCGGCCTTCTCATTCGTTAAATCTGTCGTTACGATAGAGAAAGTTTGCTGTTTTCAAGTTATAGCCATCTTTTTTTATGATGGATGGTACTTTACCCCCGTCCGGGGACTGGCTCTAATAGATGACATGAGATTTTTTATTTAGTTATCGCCCAGGATGGGATTGTCATGGTTTGCCGATCGAATTGAAAGCCCTGGCAGAGCTCAAGTTGAAGGATAAATCCCTTCTCTCGCCAATGGATATCAGAACAGTAGCTCAGACATCTGCCCGTGCAGCGATCGATGTTCAGAAGCGCGAGTTCCTGTCGTATGGTATCATGGGGGATTTTGATAATGGATATCTGACAATGGATAAAGATTTCGAGACTCGACAACTGAAAGTATTTCATGAGATGATGCGGAAAGGATTGATTTACCGTGCCAACAAGCCCGTCTACTGGTCTCCTTCATCCCAAACTGCCCTTGCAGAATCAGAACTTGAGTATAAAGATGATCACAAGAGTCGTTCTGCGTGGGTTAGCTTCGAGATAAATCAACCCTGTAATTTTTATTATTATTACTATTATTACTATTACTATTATTATTTTGATTCATTTTCTTGCAGGCTCTGATAGTATAGCAAAGAATTTGCAGTAGCTAAATACTTTATATTTATTTATCTGAAACGAATTATAGCCAAGAAGTTGTCTGAGGCTCTGCCCAAGGATGTCTCCTTGCAGGCAGTTGTCTGGACAACTACTCCATGGACCTTGCCTGCCAACCGATGTGTAGCAGTTCACCCAAAACTCAGCTACACTTTGTTCCGTGCCAGCAACTTCTCGAGCCCAAACACTGTCTATCTCGCTGCAACGGATCGCATGGAGGAAATGAAGAAGCGATTTAACCCATCAACGACAGGAAGTGCTGGAGCTTCTGAAGTGAGGCCAGAAGTGACCTTGGAGCCTATTGGGGAGATTTTAGGCCAAGATCTTGTCCGTACCACATACAACCACCCATTGACAGCTGCAACGCATCCATTCATTACTGCCGACTATGTTACCGCTGATTCGGGATCAGGTCTGGTTCACACAGCCCCTGGCCATGGAATGGAAGATTATAAAGCTTGTTTATCCTTGAATATTGAAGCATTTTGTCCTGTGGACAATATCGGGAAGTTCACAGCGGAGGCAGGCCCTGAGTTAGAAGGTCTGCAAGTCCAGACGGATGGAACAGCCAAAGTGATTGAAATGCTTACAGCCAAAGGTAGCTTGATTCAGGAGCAATTGTACGTTCATAAATACCCTTACGATTGGCGTACAAAAAAACCAGTGATCCTTAGAGCAACTTCTCAGTGGTTCGCCAACGTTGGGTCCATCAAAGAAGACGCCCTCAAGGCGATTGAAACGGTCAAAATTATCCCAGAGCCGTCACGCCGTCGTCTGGAAGGATTTGTACAATCAAGGACAGAGTGGTGTATTTCTCGTCAGCGATCCTGGGGTGTTCCCATCCCAGTATTGTATGAAGTTGATACAGATGAGCCGCTTTTAACCGATGCCTCCGTACAACATATTGTTGATATTGTGAAGGAACATGGAACAGACGCTTGGTGGACCATGTCGACAGAAGAGCTACTCGCACCAGAGTATAGGAACAATGGGAAGACGTATCGCCGCGGCTATGATACTATGGATGTTTGGTTCGATAGCGGTACGAGCTGGACTATGATTGAGGAAAAGATGTCTCGTCCTCATCTGCCATATGTAGCAGATGTTTATGCAGAGGGTTCTGATCAGCATCGCGGTTGGTTCCAGTCATCATTATTGACATCAGTGGCCCTAACGGGCAAAGCCCCTTATGGAACATTGATTACACATGGATTCTTGTTGGATGCTAAAGGTTTCAAGCAGAGCAAGTCCCTTGGAAACACAGTTGACCCGGCAGTGGTTATCCATGGTGGCAAGAATTTACAGAAGGATCCCGCATATGGAACAGATGTGCTCCGTCTCTGGGCAGCATCATCAGAGTACACAAAGGATATTGCGATTGGAAAAACGATTTTAACACAGGTCGTAGAGAGTATTCGTAAATTCAGAAACACTGCACGATTCATGTTAGGTAACTTGAATGGCTTCAAGGAGGATCTGCAGGTACCTTATGAGAGACTTTCAAGGCTAGACCAATTTATGTTGTCCGAGGTTTATCAGTTTTCTAAGAACGTGAATGCCGCTTACGACGAGTACATGTTCAATAAGGGTAAGAACTATGCTGCGTTAGAATCATAATGGAATCTGATACTGTGTTAATTTTTTCTTTTCTTTTCTTTTCTTTTTTTAGTATTTACGCAGCTGCAGTATTTCACAAGTACGACCCTTTCATCATTCTATCTGGATGTGATTAAGGACAGCCTCTACTCTGATGCTGAGCAAAGCATCCAGCGTCGTGCCATTCAAACCGTTCTATTCCATGTAAGCTGCTGCTTCTTACTGCTCCTGCTGTAACGCTCTTGTCTTTGGTATCCTCTAACATCTTTCAACATTAATTCTCCTTGTATGGGTTATATCCTAGACGTTGAACGCGTTTACAAGGAGTATTGCCCCCTTGGCGCCACATCTTGGCGAAGAAGTCTATGAGCACTACCGCGATTGTTTCATCACTCCTCAGCCTACTGTATTCCGATCTGGGTGGCTGGATACACCCGAATCCTGGAATAATGTTCAGCTGAGAGAAGAGTTTTCAGTCCTGAAGCAGCTTCGTACAGAAGCAAACCAACTTCTGGAGCAGGCCCGTACAGCCAAGATCATCCGCTCTTCATTAGAGGCCACAATGGAGATTCAAGTAAATGAAGCATTCAATGAGACTGAATCCGAAGTATCGTTGCATAAAGACTCAATCAGTAGCATTAGCAGCATTGTCAACAAGGTGTCGCTCAAGAAGCTTTTGCAGTCATATGAGGATGACTTGAAGAAATTATTTATTATCTCGGACGCCGTTGTTGTACAATTGCCAGATTCCTTCTCTACATCATCGCTCACACAGACGAGTGCAGAGAACGTGTTCGTGAGGGACGTGTTGATTCCTAGAGTAGGATCTTGCAAGATGGTGTTGCGCAAGGCAGCGAAGCACAAGTGTCCTCGCTGTTGGACGTTCACTTCTACAGCGGAAGACGCACTCTGTGGACGATGTGAGCCGGTTGTTGCTGCGTTACAGCAATAGTAATGTTGAAATAGGAATATGATGACAGAATGGGATAGAAATGAAATTTTCGTATATATTTTATATTTTTCCTTTACAAAAGAACCTTTGATCATGTTCTTGGAGTAAAGTCTATATTTTGGCATTTAGTATTACAGTCGGCCTGAGATGTCTTCTAAATGCAGAATTCAAGTTGGTATATTCTTGTGCCTTCATAATTTTTTTTTGTTATAAGTGCCCAGCACACAAGTGTCAATTCTACATTTATCAAAGCAATATCAGGTCAATTGACAGCAAATGTCGCTAGCAATCAAATGGGTGGGATACAGAGTACGGAGTTCATTCAGTCACTCAAAAGCGTCTTATATGCTAGCGATTGGGATCTTTTAGATCAATGTGTTCACAATGCTACCACTCAAAGGTTTTCCCAAGACATCCTTATTGAGCATTCGCATTATCGTTTTGATTGCAGCAATCAAATGCATTATTTGTCACTGATTGTCCAACATGGGTTCTCATGGCCATTTACATGAGCGAACATGGTAGGAGGCTTGCTTCTTCTGCAGGTGTTACTGCCATTGGAGATAGTTGCTTTGGACGTTGCAAAAAGGGTTGGTACTTGTACGTACACATGTCAGCTGTTGGATTGTGAGGCTCAATCTCCGAGGACAAGAAATTCGTGCTCAGACGAATTCACACACTGACTGATTGAATTAGCGGAGAAAATCTTATTCCAATTCTCACCATGCTCCGTGTTGCCCGCACAACTGCCATTGTCTTTGCCAGAAATAAAGGATGCAAAGCAATGGCTCCAGTATTCGGCGCTAGACTTGATTGCCATTCTTCGCGTTTATTCTCTTCGCCGCCTCGATCGCCTCCAACACCAGAGGCAACTACACTTCATGATTTGGTTTTCACAACAGTTGCAGAAGTCATGCAAATCAATGAGCTGGCAGATAGGGCCCAGATCAACCTTCAAAGTAGCCTCAAATTGGATTTGGGTATGGATGTTTTCAAAACATATCAATTGCTTGATGAGCTGGAGAAAAAAATCGAATCGCTCGATGTCCCGGTTGAGGCAGTAGACAAGGCACAAACCCTCCAAGATATTGTTGACCTCATTACGCCCAAATACTAGCTAAGAGATTGAACAATCATTGCTTTAACGCCATAATGACTATCCTCTCATTTCCATGTTCGATATCAATGGCTATAGTAGCATCCATATACAGTTAATAGAGAATTGGTTTTTATTAAAAAAAAATTATGCCAACTGAATCAAGGCTGCGATACCATCTTCTGATCCACTCTCCTTTGTGAACCAGTATTCCTCGCAATCTTCAAGAGCTACACCAGATTCATAGGTAATGGTCATGAACTGGACGGGCTTCTCAATCACAATCATGGGATGGTGCCAGACGTTGGGTTTATAGTTGATGCCAAGTGTGTTGTCACACCTAAAGGCTTCCAATGTGCTCAAAATGGGCTTGTCGTCTGGTCCATTTTCTGCTGTGACGACGACATAGCTCCCATTACCATCACCTCCCATGGGCATAAACATTTGTGAAGAGTATGGATGGCGCTCCAACAACTTGATTCCGAATTGAGGGGTGGCGACAGGTTTATAGCACTTGAAGATTGCAATGTTGGCTGTAGCTGAGTCTAACGACTTGTTAGGGTTCGCACTGTCTGTCTTTGGTGGGCGCAAATTGACGAACTCGGCAAGATGTGAAAACTTTTGCGCGGTGCCTTTGTTTTTTTAAAAAAAATTAAATAAAATCAATTGCCTCTATAAATATGAAGTGTCCTGTCCGAATCGTAGATCAGAAGCCAAGAAAGATTTTTTTTTTTTTTTTTTTTTTTTTAAATTTACCTTGGTTAACCTGGACTGCATTTGGGTCTGTATCCGGTAGACGAACGACCTGACCCCAACGAGCAAAGTTCTCGTTAGTAATAGGTTTTGGTTGCACAGTGATGCGTTCAGTGGTTTCGCTGGTCATTGGTATTGCGGTTTACTTTTTGGAAGTTGGAATTGATAGTGTGGGTTTGTACGGTCCTAAGTCTTTGGTATTTTATGAATAATAGACCGAAGAGACCTAACAGGCGTTTGCTGATGGAATGAGAACAAAGATGAATGAACAAAAAAAAAAAGAAGAAAGATGCACTAACATTCTCTTCTCTCTTTTATCATTTCTTTTTCAAAAGACGGAAATTTTAGGACATCGAAAAATGTGGATCGCGGGGATTGTAGGCGGGCAAAAAGTTGAAGACAAAAACTCCATCTAAAACGCAGTTTAGGTCTAATTGCCGCTAGAAGAGACCCCCTTTGTAAGGAACCAGAGGCTTGACCTAATGGACTTGTCTCGACTTTGTTCTTTTTTCCGTCGAGATCAACGTTTATGATGTATTTTATTTTTTTTTATTTAGAGTACAAAGAGGGCGAAGCTGGAATGTTAAAACCGAAATGTCCGAGATGTCAAATTAAGGGGCTGACAGGACCAGACAATGAATATTGTCAATAGAAATGCCATATCATGATTTTGCAACCATCCCAGAACTTGACCTAGGCGACTTATCATCATCTAGCCAAACAGAGGCAATCTAGAAACCTACAGCCCCGTGACTCATCCAGTAGGCTCCTTGGTTCGAATAAGAAGTCTTTCTATATTATATACAACTTTAGTGAGTGGCTTGGATCGCGTTCTACTTTTGTGATTTTGCCACCGCATTTTCAACAATGCTGTTGAACTATCTGAGGTGCTCGTCCTCGTTCATTCATCCGTTCACATTCAACCAATCCAAGAGAATCTTCATGAGCCAGGCCAAGCGACCACTTGATTCCGCTGGTGATGATGCAAGTGCATCTAAGCGTCTCAATGCCGGAAAATCGGCGTCCTCAGCCCCTACTAAACAGACATCCTTGTTAGACTGGGCAATTAAACCTAAGGCCCCTGCAGCGACGATTGCCAGCGATAATACCACGGCTACTACTGATGCATCCTCCAGCACTGAAACCGAGGAGTCATCATCTGCTTCGTCGTCTAAGCCACGGCCTGATATCCTTCAAGGCCTTCCTGGTGATAAAAAGGCTCTGTTGAAACTTGAGCAAGAGACTATAGATCCAACATGGCTGCGTGCGCTCCAAAGTGAGTTCACTAAGCCTTACTTCATCGAGGTACGTGATGTTGAGAAGAAATGTTTTAGTTGTCACGTTTAAAAAAAAATAAGGAAAATGAACTCATCAATTGTATATATATTTTTATTTTTAATTTAGCTGAAGAAGTTTTTAATGAAAGAGGAGATTAGCGGACAGAAGATCTTTCCCCCAAGAGCCGACATTTATAGTTGGTCTAGATTTACTCCTCTGCCTCTTGTGCGCGTTGTGATCTTGGGTCAAGGTTTGTAACTATCCTTTTTTTATTTATTTATAACTCAATTGCTTGTCAATGATTCTAAGTATTTTTCCTTTTTGTAATAATTAGATCCATATCACGGAGATGGCCAGGCCCATGGACTGTGCTTTAGTGTTAAAAAGCCTGTCCGACCGCCTCCTTCGCTTCTCAACATGTTCAAGCTTCTTGAAAAAGATGTGCCAGGTTTCCAGATCCCTGATCATGGTTATTTGGAGTCATGGGCCCGTCAAGGAGTGTTGATGGTCAACGCTGCTATGACAGTACGTGCTCACCAGGCTAACTCACATAAAGGGCGAGGTTGGGAAAAATTGTTGGATGCTGTTATCAAGATAGTCAGTGATCAACGCCGAAATGTAGTGTTCTTAATGTGGGGTAAAGATGCACAGAATCGTGGTACACTTGTGGATAAGAAAAAGCACTTGGTATTGCAGAGTGTTCATCCTTCTCCTCTTAGCGCGCATCGTGGTTTTTTTGACTGCAATCATTTTTCAAAGGCAAACAAGTATTTAGAGGAACATGGCCAGAAACCCATCAACTGGAACAGCCTTATTGACGACAAATCGTAAAGCGCGAGCTTATAGGACATAAAGTCTGGATAATAAAAAGAGTCAAGGATACCCACGTCAAGTGCCATCATCGTGTGAATATGCGTTATGTTTTTAAATAAATGGTGAATAAAACGTGAAAATAAATAACAAAAAGAGCTCTGAATGTGATGGTCGAATTGCATTGGACAACCTTACATTGCTGGATCTTGCAGCATCTATCTTTTTTTTTTTTTTTTTTTTGCCCTGATCTCAAGTTTTCCATAATTTGCTCGTCAGTCTCACTGGACATACCGTTGACGTGATATTCATCATGACCTTCTTGAGTACGGAACGCCCTCCATTTCATTGTCGCTTTGGTCGTCCTCTGAAAAGTCATAGTCATATTCTACAGAAGAATCGTGATGCTCTTCCACCAACACATCCATGTCGATATCATCTCCTGAAAACTCTTCTTCATCTTTGCTACGATTCCGATGATATCGTCCCCGACTCATGAATGAGGGCCTCATATATGGCGGCGGGACGAACCTTGACAAACCTGCAGCCCTCATAGCATCTCTCCCAACGCTTTTATCGAAGAGTAAAGCACACATGAATCAATGACGATACAAGAGTAGGTGACGAAAACATTGCTGAAGAATAAGACCCATGCAGAGACAAAATAAAAACGTGCATTACCAAGTGCCACAGCAGATGCACCAGACTAATCCAGACATGGCCAGAGTAAGGCATAGAACCATGAGGGCGTATAGCCCCCATGGTGTAGAGGCGTCGTCCATGCTTAGACGTTGGAATGGTGAGTAATAAAGAGAAGCATTAATTAAAGGCGCTTAAAAGGTTAATAGGACAGAAGCAAAAGGTAAAAAAGCCACCACAACCCCTTTCATAACCGAAGAAGACCGATCCTTCTCATTCCAAAGAATAAATCCTTTCTTTCCTTCCTTCTGCTGTTGACCTCAAATTCGCCATGCCAGCCATTGCAGAGACAACATGCTATAACCTCTCAAAGTTCAGAGGTACGATAACATACACATATACGCACAAAAAGGGAGAATTCTTAACAGAAATACAAGCACCAACATCAAAGAGTGTTTAGATTCTAGGATAGTAGGCTATTTGTATCATGAGAGGAAAAGTTGTCGAGAGAATTATTGATCTAAGCGTGAAGTAACGGTGGAGCTAACGATCACATCATGTATTTTTGTTATTCTTCTTCTCATGTCACCAATTATCCTTTCAATTGGTCACTCCTTTTTCTTATAGCGACCATGAAATCATTCCGTGTTTTGGACGACAACATCATGTTGCGCCTGAACGAGACCAATACTCAAACAGAAGCCGCATGTGCAAGCTTCTTCAACGAATTGGTTGCAGCCTATCAGAAGCGGGATGCTAGCATCAAGTTCTGCTTGGATGTATGTGAAACATAAAGAAAAGAGAAAGAAAAGAATAACAGAAAAATCCTGACCCATCGCTTTTTTTTATTTTATTTTTTTTAATTTTTTTTTAATACTTTTCCTCGGTGGAATGGCGGCCAGGTCATGGATAAGAACATTGCTGCAAAGAAGGAGAAGTTGTACCAGGACCCTGATGACTATACACTCAAGGATAGCATCATGACGGATGAATCCAAGGTAAAGGATCATATTCGTATTCTCAGCTGAGAAAGGAGACATATATGATAGAAAACCATCAGAGATGCCAACAGCAACACTCTATCTTACTCTATTTATTAGCGTCAAATCATTGCCAATGAGAGCGTGGTTGAAGATATTGTACGTGGTCGTTCACTAAAGGCATTCCAAGAAAAGTGTGCGCTCTTTGATTTGCCAGAAAACATTCAAGAATTCCTGGACAAGAGGCATGGATAGAAAGGACGCGTAGATTAATATTTTACTTAAAGAAGATACTTTGTATACTGGACCGGATAGATATGGCTTGGAGTATCCCTGTTGCTCCGTGCTTCAATAAAGGATTCTCCGGCAAAGTATGAAAAAGGAAGAAGGATTCTTTTTTGAATCTGTTCGGATCGCATGTCATTTTTTTAAAGGCTACAAGCCACTTTGTGGAACATGTAAAATGTCTTTGCCCAATCCGCGTTGCCTTTTTGACAGGCACTTCAAGATTGCAAGGATCGTTTACCATCAAGGAAACAGATGGATCCTGTGTCCTTTCTTTACATTTCACGCGATGAATGTGCACCGCTGCATATAGACCCTTCATTGTTTGAAACAGTTGGGGAAGGTGTTGCGCCCAATACATTCACTATCCCTCAACCATCTTTGCAATCTGCCACTCAGCTATGGACCTCTGAACCTCTATTACATCGTCTTGAGTCACTGGTAACACAACTGGACCCTACATACGAGGATAAGCCTCATTCTTGTAGAAGGGTCGAGGATGAGTGTATTTGTTTGGGTGCAGCAGCAAAGGCAAAAGGGAATGATACAAAGGTATCCTGCTTAAAGAATCATGGTGTCGAGGACTATGTGATAACAGGCGAACGTGATCCTGTGGATCTTCAGATTCGAAATATTGGGAAGAATGGTGGCAATATCTTGAGCTCTTTACTGAGCAAAGAAAGTGAAAATGATTTCAGTCTCGCATTCGAGCAGAAACGATCGTCATCTCCAATATCATCGCTACTCATATCTACTGAACCCTCATGGACATCTATGCTACAAGGACAGGAGGACGGAGAGAATAGTGTTAGTGGATCATCAAACATCGACACGCGTCAGCAACAGGGTGTACAATCTATGTTTAGTTTACTCTCCCATTTCGCCAGCTCCGAATCCGCAGCAGCAGTGAACTTGGGTTCTGTTAATATCTCTTTGGAGCTTCCATCGCTGAAGCGACCGAAGAATATTCTCGATGAATTAACGTTTTCAGAGTCCGTCACACGGACGAAGCACGAACCAGGATCCCGCCAGAGTCATAAGAATATAAAGCCTATCAAAGCGCATTTATCCAAAAAGACTAAGGATGAGAATAATACTCCAAAGGTAGACATTTGGCGTGCTGCAGGGGAAATGAGACTTCAAGATACAACCGCTCAAGGGTATCGGGGGCCACCTGTAGATGGAGTTGCATTAAAGGATCCGGCATCTCCCCCTGATAAAGTGTGGTTAACGTGGGATAATTGTTCAAAAAACGGGCCGAAGATGCCACTTAAAGTACCAGTTACTTCATCCTTTATAACTGAATCCGAACCTCAATTTTTTGAAGCTGTGTATCAAAAGTAAGTACTAAACTTTTGCATAAAATCTATCGTTGATTTCCTTGATATCATCTTTTTATTTCACATACTAATACAACTCTCATTAAACCTGGAACACTAATAGACAGCTAGACTATGCCTTCAAATTCCGACCGTTATCCACAGTTGTTCCCCATGATTTCCTTGTCAATGTAAATACTGAATCGAATTACATGTTTCCTGCAATTTTTTTTTTCTTCCTTGAATCCAACATCAATATGTTAATACATTTTTTGTGCTTAGTGCATATTTCTTCTGTTGAATGGGACTTCATCATCAATCTTTAACTTCAATCAGGATACCATGATGTTTGAAATGAAAAATGATGGTTATAGGATTGAGGGTTGTAGTATCTCTAGCATTTCTCAGTAAGGATATGTTTTTTTTTTTTTTTTTTTTTTTTTTTTTAGGAATTGTATGAATCAGAATAGCTCACAACTAAGTCTCGCTTTTGCTTACAGGCCTTCCATTTCATTCATGTCTATGATAGCCTCCTACAAGATATGATGGTGATTGGCACTCTTATCCGAAGACTAAACAACGTTGTAGACACCTGTATTCATCATCCGGAGTATGTTGATTTTTTTTTTCCCTTATTTAGATTCAAATTTATAGTGCAATCTCCCTAAATCTTGGCCAAATGATTACGCATGCTCTAGTCGTTCGTTTTTAACATAATCTGACCCACTATTTTTTATTTTGTTTATTTTTTGTTCTTATTACTTTATCACCTTATAGAGGATTGAGTTTGACCCGTATCGCTTTCGGCCGCGCGTTATCTTCATATCTTACATTCCTCCAAGGAACAATTATGGCGCTACAGCAGACAAATGACGCAAAGAGGATGAACATCTTGGAGCTACATCACAAAATGTATGAAATGAGCGTGGTTCTAGAGCGACTATCTCACTTTTGTAGATGCGTAAGTTTTTAGGTGTAATCGATTAGTCATTGTCCAAATCGCAATGCCATTCTACCTTCTGTAGGTCAACAGAAAAGAAAAAGAAGCTTTATTCATTTTCATTAATATTATTATTTGGAACTGGAAACACTGGTGTGTTAGCATTTAGAACAGGATATCACGGATAAATCGATTGGACGCTTCGGATTCTATTTACCATTCGGCGCAGACCTGCTCTCTTTAATCTATAAGGAAATTCTGGAGCAATCAGTTACCGCGGATCCTCTCTGGATTGCTCTTTTATTAAGCCTGTTGGAACAGGCGAGCAAGCCCTATAGGGATATGCTTAGTCGCTGGTTGGGTACAACGCCATCTGTGCACAGTGAGCAAGACGACTATGAACAGAGCCAATTCTTGCGACAAATGAGAAATCCCGGACATCAAGGATCTTGGCAGCTAAATGAAGGTGATAAAGCCAACACTAGTCATCATGCAGAGGAGCGTGATCGAGCGAGGAGCCGGTTGTCTGTCTTTGATTGCCATCTTCAGCAGTCTTTGCAAGGGCTTGACCCTTTTGGAGAGTTCTTTGTTCGGAGCAGACACGCTTGGTCATGGGATGGATCTGAGCCAATCATTCTTGCAGACCCATTGGACTTTAACGTCGAATTCTTTATGAGTGACGATGTCTTACCTCCGATATTTATGCATGATGCATTAGTAGAACGGGTTCTAGAGGCTGGCAAGGAACTTCAGATTCTAGCAGAGTATGAACCAGAGCATCCGCTTATTGCGCACAACCGACAATTGAAACAATCGAATAGTGGATTCGAGTGGCTTTATGCTCAAGGAGATATTGCAAAGTAAGCTACATTTCACGCAGTAAGCCATTGTCTTCCCCCTCCCTCCCCTTTATGACAAGTATCTTGAGGCTGATATGTTATTATTATTTAAAAAAAAAAAAAAAAAAAAAAAAAATAGGCACCATGGGCAGTTTAGAACTTCAAGCAATAATGTCCTTCGAGCTTTGGCCATGCGACTTGAGGCTCGAGGTTGGTTACGAAGGCCTAAAAACAAAAAGACAAGCGAACAAAAAGGGAAACAGAGAGCACTATCTTTAGTAAACGACCTCTATACACCATCAAAAGGCGGATTTTCCCCAATGGAACTTGATATACGCCCACCTGGCTCACAGAACACTAGAGGAGGTCAGCTGAATGAGATGGGTCTACACCTTGAGTTTAATCCAGATTTACAAGGCTTTTTTTCATTATCACATACTCTTGGGCAAACAAAAGACATGTCCTTAACATGTCCAGATATGATGGAGTTTTTACTGGAGCCCTTGGAGGAGCCAACTTCTAGTATGCCTTCCCCACTGTCACTTTGGACACCAGACTATGCTTCACATACAACAACGGCAGCAGGATTTTCCGAGCCTACAGGAGCAAGGAAGCAAGGACTATCATTTAGTGTAAAAAGCACTAGACTCGAAAACATGGCGCCACTTACGACTTTGGCGAATTGTGTTTTTGGGAAGTCAATTTCAATCCGTACATCTCTGATTAATACCTGTGTATTATCGTTATACTTTCATGATTTAAACTTACTGGGACACTTTGACACCCTTGGGCGGTTCATGTTGATGCAAGATGGAGTATTTGTTGCAAGGATGGCTCAGGCGCTTTTTGATGAGGACACCGGTCTTTTAGCGCGATCAGTCTTAGCTGCTACAGCAGTAGAACCAAAAATACCAGATGAGGATAGGGCGCCAGTAGGCTCAGTAACAGTATTGCCGAAGGCGTCCACATCCACATCAAAATCGGAATTGAGAACATCATTAAAATCAACTTGGCCACCGAGAAGTGGTGAGCTGGAGATGACATTGAGAGCTGTGCTTTTAGATTGCATCCAAACTCAAACAGCTGAGGTACGAAACTTAGGTGACGAAGACAAGTATGACTCTGAAGTATCTGATATGGATATCTGCGATGACGATAAAACCTATAGTCCACAGAGACAGCAGCAGCAACAAACACTGTCTTTTCGAAATAAGCTCAAAAAACAAGATATCTCCCGCATCAAAAGAAGTCTGGATACGCAAGAACTAGAAGAGTCGTTGGCGTTTGCAATCAAAGAGTACAATGATGTCAAAAAGATCCCTCGGAATGTCAATGGTATTTTTTTTTTTTCTTTTTTATCCTGTATTACTCATTTGAAATCATTGTCCTTTGGTAATATCTTTCTAACGCTTAAGGATATCTTCAAATCGTTACATACTACTATTGTCTACCGTCTAATAGCATTAGAGGCACTTGATTTCCTATATCTTGACTACAAAGCTCCGCGACCATTGCGCCTTTTATTCTTGACTCCAGAAACTTTTGACAAGTACACCCGTCTATTCACTTTCCGACTTCGTTTTGCACGGATTGATGCTACATTGAAGCGAATCTATCAGCAGCTGAGGACTAGGCAAAAGGATATACAACTGTCAGGGTACAACAACAAAGGCACTCACTCTAGTAATAGCACATATGATCACAATGATTACAATCATATTGAGATGAAGATGCTGTATCGATACCGATTTGAGGCGCAACAGATATTTGATGGAATTCATGGATATATCTCAGACGTAGCGATTGGCGCGACTTGGAAAACATTCATGACGCAACTGGAAAATGTACAGGAACGCATCGAAGACAGAATTATGAGGAGTGTTGATATTGGTAACGTTGATGGTAGCTCAAGCATGGTGGAAGATGGTGATGGTGATGGTGATGGTGATGGCTTCTCTCTTGATCCAGCCTGGGATAAAGAAACAGCAGCAGTGCAGTTTACCCTACTTGATAACATGGCCGCCCTACATGACTGTCATGATCATTTCCTAAACTTAGTACTGCAGAAATCGTTTTTGAAGCGTATTCAGGCTCCAATCCTAAAGCTTGTTCATGGGATCTTGAGCATGGTTCTCAAATTTTCACAGCATGTAGATTGCCTCCCCCCTGTGGCGCTAGTGCTGGATGGTGAAGCAAATCAAGATCTGAATCTGGACAGACAAAGAGAGCAATTGGCAAGGATCACAAATTTGAAGAAAATGCATAGCAAACTGAGGTCACTGTGTACTATGCTGGTCAAAATACTCAAGACCCTAGACGAACGTGGGCTGGATATTGAAGGCAATAGAGGTGCTCCGGAGCCAGGAAAGAAGAATACTCATGTGGATGGAAACTATTTACAGCAGCTCCTTATGAGACTGGACATGTTTGGATTTCATGAAAATGGACATCATGAATAACGTAATATCACAGTTACTAAGGCAAAAATACATTAGCGAGACGAATCACGTCGACCATAGTATGTATAATGTACAATATATTGTTTTTTTCTTGTATTGATTGTTTTCGGATGTGTATAAGGTTGAAGTATTGGTTATTTCTGCATGAGCTCAGCTCCAATTTTAAATGACCCAATTAACGACGAAAGCTGCAATCTTTCGTTTGCACCTGTAGAAAGCTTGTATCTGTCATGAAAATAAAAAAAAAGGAATACGTTTAAAAAAAACCCGTATTGACAATTTACTTTAATATCCATTGCTGTTTGTGATTACTTACTCCACATCGGCCATCTTATCCAAGAGATACACGCGTGAATTGACAGGCATGTCGATCAATTCAAGATAATTGTAAACTTCTGTCAAGATATCCTGTAGTGCCATTCCTTTGACCATCTTTAAGTATGAAATATCTATCATTAAAAAGCAGCAAAATAAAAAAATAAAAAAAAGACCGTTAGTTTCTTTAACTTCTTTGCAGTACATTAAGATATAATAAAATGTGTATAGAAATCATTTTCCTGGGGAAGGAGATAAACCTTACTTGAATTGGCGGTGGTGAAATCCTCTGTTAACATGCTGTTGACGATCGCCTCAATATCTGTTGGATGAGGGTTTCCAGTACAATTATAAATCGCATCCTCATTGACGACTTCATAACCAGCATGACATGCCTGCAAAATATTGAGTGCACGTCTCATATCTCCCTTTGATAATTGCAAAAGCGCCTTTCGACCTTCGGATGTAATTTTTACACTGTGAATTGAAGTTGTAAAAAAAAAAAAGTTAAAAACCAATGTAGCTAGTTACAATTAGAAGCAAATGTTGAAAGGTGATGGCCGTCATACCCTTCGCTTTGAATAATGAAATCCAGTCTTGAATCAACTTGGCTCAACTCCAAGGGACCAAATCTGAATCTAGTGCATCTGGATTGCAGTGCGGGAATAATTTTGCTTACATAATTACAAATGATGCAGAACCGGACATTACGGGTGTACTTTTCAACAACTATTTCAATTATTATAGGCATCAAAACAACAACGAAAGAAGTATAGGATGTTCTTAATTAAAGATGTTGTCTATATTTTCCATTCTTGACATTTTTCCTCTATCAAGTCGTAAATTCTTTTTTTTTATATCAATATAATTGTTATTCTTAAAGCCTTTTTACCCACTCACCTCGACGAAGAGCGTTCTGAGCTGTCTGAGTCATCATATCGGCCTCATCCAAAATGATCAATTTGAATCCTGAACTGAAGATTTTTTTTGTACTCGCAAAATTTTTGATCTGCTCGCGTACCACCTCAATTCCACGATCATCTGATGCATTGAGCTAATATCATTTTTATTATTATCATTCTTATTATTATGGAAACGTAGTGCTAACATCACGACCTCAAAAGAATCCATAGTATGCTTATAGAAATGTGTATATATATACCTCCATAGTCATGCTTTTCCACATGGGTCCGTAAAGTTTCCGAGCGCATGCGAGAATTGTGGAGGTCTTTCCAGTTCCTGGAGGTCCATAAAAAAGCATATGTGGTAACCTATTTTCATCAATGAATCGTTCAACTAGAAGTATCAAAAGAAAGGGAAAAAAAAAATGAGTGTCCAAAGATAACTTTGTAAAAAAGATGAAAAGAAAAGAAAAGAAACACGTACTAGTTGAAGTGATATCCTTGTGTGAAACGAGGTCATCCAGTGTCACTGGTCTGTATTTCTCAACCCTATTATATATTTTACAACCAAAATTAAATATATTTTTCCATTTTTCTTTAATTGACCGATAGACATGTAACGCGTTGTATATTTTTTCTTACCATGGCAACGTGTCATCGGTGGCATTGTTAGAATCGACCTGCTTCCCTGTAGAATGAGAACTGGCGTCGAATGTGTCGAACGCATCAGCCATGACCTGGTCTTCATCCATGGTAGAAATGGTTCCTATGGAGTTAAGGAAACAATAAAAAAAAAAACTTTTGTCGTTTTAAGTAATGAGAGTAAAAGCCACCGCCACCATTTTCACTCTATCCCTTAAACCGTTTATTGGACAAATTTGTCCAATAACCTTATTTTTTTTCTACTTTACTTGTTTTTCTCGCTTTTTCATTAAGCCACCTCCCCCAACACCCGGGTAAAGTGAAAGAGCGCAAAAAATTACATAGACTGGTGTACATGTACTCAGATCAACTCGCAAATTAAGTAAATTCCAAACTTCATTTACCAATGAATGCTCCATCACAAACAAATGACATTGAATGTGGCCCGTGCTTATGAGGAGGACAATGTCTTCGACATTACTTTGTCTTTTCCACGCCGCTGCAGAATACAAAACGAAGATATTGAAGAAGAGGAAGAAGACTTGGAGGATACCCCGACGCCCTGTGTTCGAGTGATCAACAAGCGAAGAAAAACCCAAGTTACTCTACCCTTACCCCCTGAATTCAGTCCAATGTCTAGACAATATCATAAGTCTTACATCCGTTTACCTCATGAGTACGCAGATGATCCATCCCCCTTTAGTATCTTCCGCCTTTTTTTCCCGATAAAATATTCGACACAATTGTGTCAAACAGCTACGCAGAAATAAAGATGGCGGGAGTTGCAGGTCGTAGTTGGACGTCGTCCTAGGGAAACGAGTACCAATGGCTTAAAGATAAGAAAGGCAACTCTCCAAGAAAAGACCTTAATATTCTAAAGGTCGTTGATGATTACAATTACCACATGGGAGGGGTCGATATTGCAGATCAACTGAGGTCCTATTATAACACCCAACAACCCTCACGACACAACTGGCTGCCCCTCTTTTTCTGGTTGTTGGACACCTCAATCGTCAACTCCTATATTATTAGCCTAAAAACAGGCTCCACTCGCACACACTGGGAGTTCCGATGCAAGCTTGTCTGGGGTATCATCAATTCTGTTCATGAGAACAGAGGCTCAAGTCTCAAGAAGACACAGCGTCAAAGAGTAACTAAATACTTCAAGTTACCTGAGTGCCGCTTCGAGAGTGATGGTCATTGGCAGGAATTGAGAGATGAAGAGCGTGCAATATGTGTATGGTGCTCCTGGGTCGCACGCCAAGAAGCAAAAGATAGTGGAGCCCCATCGCACGGGACGAACAAAACCCAAACATGGTGTGAAAAGTGCAACGTCCCTCTTTGTTTTAACAGCAATCGAAATTGTTTTAAAGCCTTTCACACTCAAAAATAAAGTTCAACTTAAAAATTTTTCATGTTTTTACATGGGTTTAGTAATCCAAAATATATAAATTTGTCCTACAAACCTTACGGTTAAGGGATAATAACTTCTTGCACAGCTGCCTGCATCTTTGTTCCATTTTTAAAAGTTCACGCCAAAGTTAATTGTAATCAGCCATTCTTTCCCTCATCTACTCACAATGAAAACTTTTGAACAATTCATCAATGAGAATAAGCAAAAGTGTAGTGATTTTGACGAGATCTACGCGAGTTTCTCTTATACGCAAATATCGAACACTATTTATTTACGCCACTCCCGTTGTCGTTGATGGACATGAATGGTAAATAATCTGTTTTTAACTCTTGCACTTTAGACACATTGGAAGCGTATCAGGGCGAGCAAGCTGAGGGGGAGGAGGAGATGGAGAAGGAGAGCGGGGAAGAGGCACCGGCGGCATCCCCAACCAAAAGAAGACGTATTTCAATCCAAATGCATGAAACGCCAGAGCCATGGCGTTCATTGACGGTCGCGCTAATAAGTTTGGTAGGGTTATGACGTGCCGATCATGTAGGCACCATCTCTATTAATAGATGTCTTACTGACTAGGTACTGTTTTCATTTATTAGGTTAATGGAGTAAAAAATGCAGAAATTCCTCCAGTTCCTCTAGACATGTTGGCAGATCATACCAACCTCTTCAGACATGCCAGCAATTGTCTCCAGCAATACCAGGAGAATGTCAAAGAGACAGTTCACATCATGAATGCAATGTATGTTATTAAATATTGTTGTTGCTTCTCTACTCTACTACTCTTACTTATTACCTTACCTGACCTCTTAATATCTTCTAGGGTGTCAATGTCGTGCGCCTTGAATCTGTGTGCATCAGGAATGGAAGAATACTTCAAAGACGCCTACCTTGATTCTGCGCGTAAAGCATGCATCCGAAAAGGCTTTAACAAGGATCACAATGTTAACGAAGTTCTCAGCCCCATGCGAGAGATACTAAAGAAAGGGGTTGAGCATCTGTCGCACTGGATACAAGTGCGCAGAGGCGAGAATTCCCAGCTCTCTCTTGCAGGCACCCCTGGCCCTTCGGATCAAATTCATGATCAAATACTGAGTGTAATACAGCACATCTGTCATTTCATCATGGAGCCTCCATTTGGGTCGTCACCGCCATCTGAGGAAGACTGTTCTCATCAGTGGTTCACTATTTGCAATGTTAAAGCCCAAAAATATTTCGATTCACACCTATGTCTGTCTCCAAGTCCTAAGTTAATTTGAAAAGTGTCTGATGTGTATTATATATTAATGATTACTTTAAATCTTTAATAATCACTCATTTCTGTAGAGGAGACCAGATGCTCAATTGCACAAAGACCGTGCAAAGGATCTGCAGGGCGAGTTTGGTGATATCTCAGAAAGTGGAAGACGATGCGACCTATTTTTTAGGTCTAGTAAGCATGAGCTCGCCAATTTTAAGATAAAGCGACCTTCTCGATGTGGGTCGATTCTGACACAACAGAACAGGAAGAACATCAGGATCAACCGCTGTGTACAACTTGCGCTACACGAAGCAGGGCTGTTATTGCTGGAGACATAGTGGGTATGCCTTTTATCAATATTCGTTGCTTTTTTTTTATTGCATTTGTAGTTGTGTTGCATCTGTGGTTTCTGTTGCCCTTACCGCCATTAAGAGATTGTGTCTGTAGAATTCCTTGCGATGTTTTACGTTATTCAGAGCTATGGCGACATCTTCATATGCGGACAGGTGACAGAGGAAGTCGTCTATATTCCAACGAATGCCGCAGGACTTGAGGACTTTCTGGACGGAAAATCCCTTTCGGTCATCTTGAACTTCCTTGTAAGCGCTCTATTGCTATATTACATTGCTATGCCTTTTTTTTTCTTTTTTTTCTTTTTTATACCCTTTATTTGGCCCAGGGGGACATCTTGAGATCCCAATACCTACCTTGGGGCTACATTCATTCTGTCTCAAGACAAACACTGCAGTGCAGCCATTTAATATATTTAGTCATGGTTCTTGTGACTTTATAGAGTTCGAGGTGACTATCGAAAGGTGGCGTACTGACATGTGAAATCTTATCATTGAAAGAATTGAAATGTATGGCATCAGACAACTGGGAATAGCTAGGGTGAAAATGATTGACGGTTTATTATGCTAAAAGCACGATACTTATGCAAGAGATGAAGGTACAGCTGAATTGGAGACCTAACTAACATCTGATTCACTGTAAGGAGACAGCTGCGCCTATATTTATCAATGCATTTGTCATACAGAGTGTAGAATTAGACTGTTTATTGCTGCTACTCTTATTGTTATTACTGTTATTATTATAATGATAATAGCTCGGCTATGTAATTATCAGAATAAAGGAACATTTACCTGAACCCATTTTATGCTGCACTCCTGTCAATCTTTTGCACAAATGCAAAAAAATGGATTTTTTATTCGTTCTGTAGTCTAGAAAATATGCGTGTCAGCAAACATGCTTAAACTAGTTATCTTTCACAGTCACGTTTTTTGTTTTTTTCATTCCAACCTTTAATCATTCCTAATTCCTGATTAACGTAAATATGTAAAAGGTAAAGTCTAACAATACCTAATTCTTTTTGCTGCTTCTAACGCGTTTGTGAGGGTGGGATATACTTGCTGTATGTTCATACGGGGAATCCGCTTTTTGCCAATGCTCGGAGATCTCTGCCTCTGTATATGCACATTGACGATAACCTGATGCCTCACAGATCCATGCAGAGCGGGAAGCTTTCTTTTTTTTTTTTTTTTTTTTTTTTTTTTTTTTCATTTTTATTAGGTTTGATAAAATGATATTACAGTCTACTAGCTAGATTATATCTTAAACGTAAAAAAACCGAGTATACATGTACTTGTGGCAATCCTTATAGAGCTCCCGGATCGATTCTTGGTTATGTCATATTTATAATAAATCGAACAACCTTCCTTGCAAGGAATTGATATTTCGCCTTTCAGGGGTATATCCATATTTTACTCCTAAATGTTACCAAGTTCGCCCAGCCAACGACAATACACTGTATATACGCAGTGACGGTAAAGATTATGAAGATGACAGTGTTGTCAACTTCTACTCCAACTATCTTGTTACATAGGCTTGCATATCCTAGTCGACTTTACACCACAAAGCAAGTCTCTTAATCTTATTGTTCGGTTTGTGGCCATCCGATAGGAAAAACTTATTTTCGATCCCATTCGATTACTTCCTGCTGTACTTTCTGGGTTCGCAAATAGAATACATAGCGCTGGCGCCATGTTGGATCCAAGGCTATGATAGTCATTGTAAATTGAACACAAATTCAAAGTTAGGCGAACAGTAGCGCGCATTGTACCATCGATGAAAGCAAAATAACAATCCAAGTACCAATCTACCATGATTCCCGACGAGATAATCATTAAATTGTGAGAACCTCTTGAAGTGAAAGTGGTGTATTCTTTCATTTTTAATAATTAGAATTTCAGTTACTTCTCTGTCCTGGCATTTATCTAATCCTTTACAGACCACATGTAGTCAAGTTAGTCTAATCTACATTTTCCTTACTCCATACAACTATTCGCCATTTTTTTCCCTAGACGGATCACAAGCGCGCGACTCACAAACGTACCAACTTATTTTTTCTTTACAAATCAATTAAAGCCTTATAGTATTCTATTTTATTAGTGAACTAAAGAGAGATACCATTGGCATCTTTTCATCTTTCATTCTAGCTAACTTAAGATGTTTATTCAAGAGTTTTTTTATAATGATGTTTATTCAAGACGCCATGGTGTGGCTGTGTCTATGATCACATGCGCTTTCCCATACCAATGAGTGAGAAGAACACTTCTCGAATAGAAGTCTGCTGGGTTCAACTCCGAAGGGATCCACATATTTGATAGCTTGACTTGTTTTTCCAAGTTTTTTCCTAAACGAGGGTCGTTGTTTTGAGATTAGTAAATCATTCGAAGTACCTTTCTTGAGTGTATAACATACACCAAGGTTATCGCAATTAAGGCGAAGATGATGGTGATGAAGATTGGCTAGGATGGCTTGTCTTGCGGCGAAGAACTCCGAATGGTAAGATGATGACTGATACTTCGTAGGGATGAGGAAGTTATAGGAATGTTAACGACGATGTGTGCCTCTTTTGTCAAAGTTGCATCTGTGCCAGCTTCTGTGTCTCTGTGTACATGAAGCCTATGAAACATTTCGCCTATTAATGAAATATTGCACCCATTTCCTCCACTGCCAACAGTGACCTTTATATTTACAGCCCACGGTGAACGTGGATATTATCTATGGATAGGATTAAGGCACGGGAAATAGAGAGGAAGAAAAATGACAGAAGCTTTAGTTCTTAATTTTTTGTAGCGTCAAATCCAGAACGAGTCAACGATAGCTTACTAGGCTAGGAGGCAATGATGCGCCAGATGGCTTTCTATGTCTGAGAGTTGGCACTGTGGGCCTACTTCGAGTTCTTGCACGATCATATGATGCCAGATAGCCTACTACGGCTCCTAGGCTCAATGGAAAGTCGGGCAAGTCTTACAAAATCCCTTCCCAGTCCACCCGGAGACAGTTTCTATCTAATTAATTATAGGGCCTACGATACTCAAAGAAAGGATGGAATGCAAGATGTGGGCACACAACCGTTTTTTATTTTTTATTTTTTTCACCTTGCGATTCAGCAAATCGAACTCTATGTACATGCACATGAATATTGCTTTGTATTGACCAGATCTCCACCGAGCGACATCAAGAAATGTTGCATAGATTAAACTAGTCTCCGTTGTAATTTATTACTCTTAGTCTGCGAAGTGATAATACAAAGGAATGCAAATACAGACATTCAAAACTGCAACTATACCGATCAGGATGAACATAATCTTTTCTCCGCGTGTAAAACCAGACGATGACGCCGCATTGGTCGGCATTTTGGTTGTTGTATTGCCGGTACCAGCAGAATGACCCACAAGAGTATTCGAAACCGTCGTGCTGCTATTGCTTCTACTTCCTTCACGGTCCTCTGGCGGTGATAACGCTCCCAAATGACGCCGCTGAGTGGCTTCAAGGTCATCTCCACGGTAGTAGTAGTTCGGGTCCGTCTCCTCTGCAGCCAGCTGCTCAATCATCGTGCTCCTGAGTGATGGTGGGATACTGGCATTATCCTCTAATTCTCGGATCACAGTAGCAACTCCCTCAATGACAATCTCAACTTCTTGTAAATTTGTCAAGGCCTGGTGTTGTTCCAATCGCTTCATTGCTTTACGAAGAGACCTTTTGCCAAAGATGGAAAGCGCCAGGACGCAGCAACCTATGAAGACGCCATTCATTACTAAGATCACTAGGTTCTTTGTCTCCAACTCTGGGTTGTCGATTCCGGAAAGTCCCTTCAGTAAGGACCCAATCCATATTCCGATACATGAGCCAGGAAGAACGCCTACGCATGTTGCCCACACCACTGTCCATAGGCGAATAGAGGTAATAGAGAAAAAGTACGTGATAAGACTGAAAGGAACCGGCGTCAGCCGCAACATGACTACGATTTTCCAACCTTAATAGTTATTGCAGAGAGAAAAAAAAAGACATACGTTAGAACTACCCGACATTTGGTATCAGTCTATCAGTTTTACAGTTATTATTATTATTATTATTATTATTATTATTATTTGATTATCCTTACCATCATCCTTGATGACCTCATCCAGTGCGTTGAACTTTGGGTGCCTCGACATTAGATCCTTAACCCAGTCATAAAAGACATAGCGTCCAAAAATGAATGACCAAACTGTTGCAAAAACATCACCCATTAATATAATGAACAATGCAAGAGGAAAAGGCTTGAACAGGAATCCAGCGCCGACAGTGAAGAGAGACCCTGGTAAGAAGAGTGTACATGCCGCTGTATACGATAGTATGAAAAGCACAGCACCAATCTGCTTATGATGATCGATGTATCTATATTTTTTGTGAACAAAGAAAAACATCGATAGAGTATCATTGGTAAAGCAGATAATAATAACAATAAAAAGAATTAGCTCAACCTTATGATAGATTGCTTGAGTCCTGTGCAATAGGAGTAATAAAAGTAATAAAAATAATGAAAGCTCACTTTAGAATATCCTTGATATGATCTTGGATGCGAAACACTGTAAAGGATAAAACGACGAGTGTCAATAATGTCACCAGCAAAGTAGCTTTGATAAACGTCTGACAAGTCCAAGTCCTAGGATGTAGCCCATATTGTACTGCCCATTCTATCCATGTAGTTGGCTGGTGCTGTTGAGGACTCCTTCCTCTTCCTTGTCCTCGCCCTCTTCTTCGAATTTGACTTCCTCTGTCACCTTCGCTTTCTTCATCACTACTGTAGTCATTGCTATCCCGTGAGGCTTCATGGAGAAGAGGCGTTTGTTCTGGATTGCGGTGATCTTGATAATCTTCGTCATCATCTTCGTACTGCCTTGGAGCAGCACGTTCAGTCTGCTGCTGCTGCTGTTGCTTGATGGGCTTATATTGACTATTTTCTTCAGTAGAACCCTCTCTATTTCGCCCCTGTGCTTCATTTATCCGTGGATTATCATCAGAAAGTACGGGAGTAGGTGTGTGTACAATGGGAATGAAAGTGTCTCTATTATCCGGCTCCGAAGAAAAGTGCAGCGGCTCGATTTTTGCCGCTTCTGCAGGAGCGGCAGCTACGCCCATTGTATCTGCACTATCGTTATGGCTGACAACATGCGGTTGTAGTGGCATTGATGCTTGGTCTGATGCAATCGAGTTATTCTCAATAGCTGCAGTAGGCTGCGGTCCTTTGGAGCCATTCTTGGACTTTTTCTTTCCCATGGCTGAAATTGTAAGGAATGAATAATGAACAGGTTTTACAAAATGCTTTTTAAAGCATGGAGGCAATAGAATGTGAATGAGTGACTGTCTTGTCTCTCAACCCAACCCATTTTTGGTGTCACCAACACTTTAGCCTGTGCCCCAATTGCCCTCATGACCTTCACTCACTTGATACTTATTACTTTTTACTAAACGAAAGAACTTGTTCGCAATAGGTATTTGTATATTTGTAAATAAAAACAACCCCATGCCATGTTGTCCGTGTTATACTATTTGCAATGCTCAGTAAAGAAATCAAGCGATACAATCTCATACTATTCATGACGTGTTAAACGCGTGGCGTAACGTACTGATCTCAGGTTGCACAAAGAAATTACAACAGTCCATCATCAACGCTTTAATAACTGGCTTGTGGAGTCAAGCGTTCATAGCGAGTTGCTTTTTGATCCTTCAATGTCGACCCCTCCTATTATACTGAAGAAGAGCTCGATAAGCGTTGGATTGTTCACTCACTAATAATGATCGTGAGCTGGGTTTAGACCGTCGTGAGACAGGTTAGCTTTACCCTACTGATGAAATGTTGCTGCAATGGTAATTGAACTTAGCACAAGAGAAACTGTTCATTTAAATAATAGGAATTTAGGCCTGTCTGAATAGACAATGCCCCAAAGCTATCACCTGTTGGATTATGGCTGAACGCCTCTAAGTCAGAATCCGTGCTAGAACGCGACAATTACCGCCTTTTCTGATAATTAGTTGAATACAAATAGAGCTTCGGCAGCTGAGATTAAGCCCACTGTTCTACAGATTTGTCCAAAAGAACATCTCTCTCTTCATTGTCTCTTTTTAGTTTTATTTTCACAATGGATGAGGGAATATAATGAGATATATATAAGGAAGCAGGCTGAAATATTAATTTGTCAATCTCATCTCAAAGACTAGGGGCGGCGCGTCACCCAAGAGGGTACCGCCATTTGGAAGTCGAGTATCGGGTATGCAAGGCCTTCTTCCTTCCCGGAGTCATCCTTCCAACTTGTACAGCGTGTCAGATGCACATCTGCTGGTAATTCGAGATTACCTTCCGGGAATGAATATAGATTACTGTGTCAAGGTGCCGCTGCTGCTGGTCCCTTTTTCAAGATGAGTTCGTAGAATTTTTTTTTCTTTTTCGTAAATACAGGTGTCAATTTCGCAAAAATTTTAACTTTTTGATGTTTGATGCTCATGCATAGAAGCGACCCAAGGGTTTGCCTCTGCACACTAGGGAAAATTCCCGCTAGCCTCACGTATCCACTCACAACACATTTTGGATGTAATGCTTAGAATGCTGTTATTGATGTGGCCTGCTAATATTCTCCGATCATGAAGATCTTGGCGTTGTACATGCGTCTTGATCTTCTCAAAGACTCATTCGGTTGCGTTTAGCTGAGGGGCATACGGAAGCAGCCGCAAGCAAGTGTGTTTACCACCGATGACATCTTGTACATCCTGCGATCTGTGGAAAGACGCATTTTGCATGATGATGACTCTTGGGGTCGGGGCGGGGCGGGGATGAACTTGTCGACCAGGAGGACTTGGAAAGTCTGAGTATTGAAGGCGCCCAAGCGTACTTCTGAGGCGGCAACCCCCTCCTTGCCAACAGCGACTACGACAGAAACATTTTGTCCCCACTAAGTAGGGCCAATTCTTAACGCCTTTTTTCCTCGCGGTGCTCGACCAAATCTACGCATAAGATGCAGATTGAACCCGGCTTCGTTAACAAACGCTGTCTGCCAGGTCTGTGCCATTTATGATCAGATCCTGTGTCCATTGGACACGACAGCAATTCTCTCCGGGCAATTGTAATCCTCAGGTTCATTGCGCATTAGCTTGAGCGTGTAGTCTACCTGTTTACTAACCGTTCTATTGACGGATAATGACACAGGCGGATCGAAGCGAAAAGTCCCATTGAGGGAACTATGAAGACTGGCGACAGTCAGGACAGGGCTTCATCAGGCTGACCTTTAACCATGCAATATGCTTGACTTGAAGGGACTGAATGGTGATTACCACCTTTTTCTTTTTGTTCCATCCTTTCCACTTCTTCAAACATCTGTGTGAAAGTGAGGGTTAATACGATGATATTTGTTTAAGCGTGGACACATAGTTTTGTGTTATAAAAAAAAAAAGAATGTTTAGCATACCCATTCTACAAGGTCCTACTTGTTCTTTTATCCAGCCCAATCATATTTTACTCTCAAACTCATCTCGAAAAAGAAAGTAAGGACAACAGCAGTCTTAAGAATAGAAGCAATAATTTCAAACCTCCATATCTCCAACGAGCTACATTGGTCAGCACTCAATGGTAACTGTCTTTTTTAAAAAAAAACACATAACAATCTTCTCGACGGAATCATGCTTTCTTAGTTATATTATATTATACAGGTCATTAATAAAAAAGAAAAAGAAAAAGAAAAAGGAAGAAAAAAAAAAAGGCAACATCTACCAAATGAATAATCGCTTGGCTGCTAGAAGTTTGAAGGACTACGGTTAAGGTTGTTTTGGTTCGGACGTTGCAACTGACGATTCAGCAGCGTTATTGGACGTCATCAACGGTTCCTTCACGATCGGGTCCTTCCCTCCTTTCAAATCTGCCTCATCTATTGCAGATTTGCTTCCGGGTGCCTTGTCAAACTCTCCTGCAACTACCCCATTGCTCTGCGTATTTGTCTCTTCCTTTTTTACGGCCGTGCTCGCCAACTTGGCGGCAGCAGCAGCAGCAGCCTTGGAGTTCTTGATCGACCGGGAGCTGATCGATGGCCGCTTCAGGTTGGCTCTTGTCACACTTGCCGCATTTGCAAGTGATTTTTTCAATGCAGGCGTCGGGCCACCTGTAGGCCCAGTACTAGGAGCTCCTGGGCTTGTTCCCTCCAACCCACGCTTCCATTCCTTCCAGGCATCAACATCGATAAGAGCCTGCATGCATCCCCAATCCACAATCTTACGCTCTAACCATGGAAGTACAACAGGTTTGGTAATGTAGTCGTTACATCCCGCCAAAAGCGCTGTCTTCCTCAGATCCTCGCTTTCTGCAGAAGCCGTCAACGCCACAATAATGACAGGGGAGCGGAAGGGCGATGCTGGAGGGCTGGAAGCGGAAGACGAAGAAGCTGCGGATGATGCCGAAAGTGTTGCCTGCATCGAGTTACCAACCGAGTTGGGCTTATCCGTGGGGAACACACCAATCTTTTGTGCTTTTTCCAGCCGACGGATCTCGCGCGTGGCCTCAATACCATCCATCACTGGCATTTGAATATCCATCTGAGTTTGGAAAAAAGCAAAGTAACGTATTAGTACAGGAACATTAACAAATAAAAGTAAAATGAAAATAAAGCTAAAAATAAAATATGACAACAAACTAAAATAAAAAATACGCACCAACACCAGATGGAATCCTCCTACGCGCCACTTCTCTACAGCCTCCAAGCCGTTGTTAGCAAGATCATATTTGATTTTGCGTTGTTGCATGAACTTGACAAGAATCCTTTGGTTAATATCGTTATCTGTGAAGAAAATAAATATGGATAGACAAAGAATTAGCTTGCTTGTCACAACAAATATCCCGGTGTCGAATGGAGGAAAAAAAAAAAAAAAAAAAAACACACCTTCGACAATAAGCACATTCACCAAGGGACTGACTCTCTCTACAACCCCACTTTGGATCAATGAAGGGGCTGACTTGGATGGCTTCGCGTCTTTTGTCTTCTTTGCTGAAAGAGGGCCTCGTGGACGGACAGCAACAGCATCGGAAGGAGGTGGTGATGCTGCGTGGCTAGAAATAATACCAGAAGTGCCCGGACTTGCACGAGGCAAAGCGCCAGGTGATGTGGGCAGTGGAGAAGGGGAGGGTATGGCACCATGTGGAAGAACTGGATGAGGAAGTCTAGGGCTGTCCATGCCACTGCTGCTTAGAGATCCACTACCACTACTACTATTACGCATAGTTGCAGGCTCGGGTCGTTGTGGCAAAGGTGAAGCCATAGACGAGTGTCTAACTGCAGGCGGTGAGAACAAAAGTCCGTTTGCCTGAGTGATGGCAGGCGGCGTGCTCAGAGGCGAACGTCCAATATTTGGTCGCATCATCTGTCCGTTACCTAAACGGATAAAGCCACTTGGGGTACCAGTCTCAGTCCCTCTCTGGCTGTGAATGAATGAGAATGGCTGATGGTTGCCAGTACTAGTAGCGGAAGGTATAACAACCGTACCACCTTCATTGTTCATGGCTAACTGATTAGGAGTACGTGTAATGCTGGTCGAGACACGTCGAAGACCAGTTCCTATTAGTGAAGGAGAAAGCGTCCCTGATGGCTTCGCAGTAGGGTCAAATTGGATAACGGCTGGTTTATTGCCATTTCCAGGGATGAGAATGCCGGTTGGGGAGCCAACTGATTGCAAAGATCCTGGTGTTTCTGGTGACATCATACTTGCGGTTGTATGGTCAAATGGGTTAGTCACCGGCCCATTGCTTCCTCCTGCATCGATTAATTGACGTACAAGATCATCCCGATGTCGATTCTCACGATTTAGGCTATTGTTAGGGCTGAGACCACCGGGTGAACTCTGAGTGGAATGAGGAACGCGAGCAAAGGCCTGGTTTAGTACTGGATCATATATGATCTGATCTCTATCCAAAGGATTAATCTCCTCGCTAAAGCGATGAAGGGCTGGAGCAGGTGACGTGGGCGCAGTAGCGATAGGACTGTATGACTGATCCAAGACCGGCACATTGATGGCCGTGTGTATCGCAGTCAATACACGTCGGGGGCCTGCAGGTTTGGGAAGGACCAAAATATAAGGAAGAGGCCCGAGTGGTCCTTGTAATGTGCTTCCAGCTAGCGTATTAGCAATACTGTAATGAATAGTCGAAGAGTGTGTGCCCAAAATAAACATGATAGTATCCCTAGCTTGCTTAAATGTTGGCAGGCTAGTAAAGTAGATGACACTGGTTTGTTGAACGGAAGTGATTGACTTGTGCCGACGATGGGTTGGCCGTTTGCTCGCCCCAGCAATAGGCGCTGGTGACGGAGGAGTGGATTGCATTTTGATAATCTGCTGCTTAAGCGCGTTGATATCATCGTCAATCATGATAAAAGCCGGATTGAAAGATTTTGCTGATTGCGATTCAGCCTTGCCAGACAAACCAGATTTCCCACTAAGAGACATGGAAGAGTTCGTCCTCTTACCGCCTAGAGGCGTCTGGGGTTCCTCTGAGACAACAACATCGCTCGAATCGAATTCATTGTGCGCTCCATTACAGTCGCGAATGGCTCTCTTAACCACATTAATTCCCCATGACTTCAAATATCCTGTAAGACGGACAGCGAAAGCAGAATGCTCCCTTGCTATTAAAACTACTTTGAATCCTGAAAGTTTTTGGCTGAATTGCACAAGTTCCGGTACTGTAGGTTCTCCAGAAACTTTTTGGCTACTTTCTACACCAGTTCGTTTGGGTGGGGGTGATGAGGGTGGGGGTGAAGGGGATACAAGAGGAGTTCTGATATGCTGCTGGTAAAATTGTTGTGATTCGTGAGCGGGATTTGCTCGCGCCTTTTCCGGTTCTTGAGCATTGTCTTTAGTGGCTGCTACCTGGGCTGCTTCGTCAACTTTAGACTCCAAGGGATGAACAGGACGCTGCTGACCGTCTGATTGCTTGATATTGCAGGTTTTTTCTTCATGAGAAATGGAGCTAAGTTCAACTTCGATTTGAACAACAAATCTCTTGACAAAGCCTTCCAGTTGCTCGATCTCTAATGATCCACCCATGGCTCTAACTAGCTTGGAAGCTAGGAGAGTATTCAATTGTGCGAGATCATCCTCCATCAGTTTGGAGTCTGGATTCGGATAATACATGATCTCGAAGCTGACCATAACCCTGTTCTCTTCCTGAGTAGGTGTACCCACGGCATACACTGAAAGGCACAATTCAACAGTAGATCCGGCTTTAGCGCAATCAACAATGCTTTTAATAAGCTAGAAAAATGATTGTAAAAGAGGAAAAAACGCATGGGGTCGTTAATATTCATCAAACGCAATACCAATAGTAACATCATTCTCTATTTTATGATTAGCATGCGTTTGGTTCAAATTTAGGTCCAAAGTCGACTTACATTAATGAGGGCATGTCTCCAGCTCTCTTCACTTCCCTTAATGGATGCGTGGTTGAGACCGTATTGAGAGTGGTAGATAACGAATTCAACTCCCTTCAACGAAGCGTCGGCTGAAACAAGGTCACCGAGACTTTGAACAAACTCGCCGACATCAAACTTATTCTCTCCACGGTGGTAGTGAGGCGAAGTCCTTTCAACAATCCCCTGGACATACTCTGTGAACATGACTCGTGAAAGACGCTGCATGTTCCTAGCAATATACTGTAAGTGACGCATGGTCGTGAATAAACCGAGAATACTAGTGATGGGTATTGGCAACGTACACGGACTGAGTTGTTCGCGAGAGACACTAGGGGGAAACAAGCTCTTAGGAGTCATCTGGCGCAGAGTCTCGATAGCTAAGGTTGCCGCATCCTGAACTTCCTTGCCAACTGTCTCTAGCAGCATATTTTTCTTGAGAATGTTGTCATTCCTATAGACTTCCATAAGATCTTCGTGACGCATCTGCAAATTATCAATTTCTGCTGCATGGTTCGTCTCGTCTTCAGAAGCGGCATTGGCTATTTTGTCCAGACCGATTAAAATCGGCCCAATCACTAGAGGCGACAGGCTGGCAAGGACGAGGACTGGGCTCCAAATGTATGATTTCCAAGCGTAAATAGTCGCAGCAGGGGTGAATCCAAGGAGGCCCAAGAGACCAAAGCCCAATATCCAGTAGGAAAGCGATGAAGACTCTTTGACGGTTTTGGTGTACGAGGTTGCATGAGCTGATTCAGAACATGTATCTTCATTGTCACTCGTCATCGACGAGCCCACGATATGACTTGGTTCTGAAGCTGTTGCTCCTGAAGGATGAAAAGCACTGTCGCTAGTGCAGTCAGTTCCCTCTTTGCAATCACTTTTATCTTGGCCGACACTGTTACTGCTATTGAAAGCCATTCGTTTGAACCATTGCCAGGAACAGGTTGTCGCAAATATACCATGGTAAGTGACTTGAACAATCAGTCCAATGGTCCCAAAACCATTCCACTTGTGTCCCAGCTGGCTTTGTCCAAGAAGGACAGCACAGCCCGCCACTGAAGCAATAGCACCAAACGCAAACACATTGCTACGCATAGATTGTACAACTTTGGTAGTAGTTGAAAGCGTTGGGTTATGGGATGGTTGTTCTGATGCATGTTGATTAAAGTAGCTGGCATGTAGATTTCTGATCAATCGAGCGGGTCTACTACGGTCACCGCTGCCCTTCTTATGAGTTGTTCGTTGAGTGGGCATTATAGCATCTTTTTCCTCCTGGGATGATGAGGATTTGTTAATGAAATCGAGCGGCGTGGAAACATTATTTACATTGACATCCTTTTTCACACCGGTGCTTGTTATGTGTTTTGTAGTGCCCGAGTCTCCATCAAGAGAGTTCTTTGTGATGCTGATGGCTTCATGGTTAGATGACTTTTCAGGGAGGATTGAGGTGCTGTCAGGCACAGCAGGTTGCTGTTGGACCATGACCTATAGAAGGAGTAAAATGTGCGATAATTTTATAAGCCAAGGGAAGACTGAAGTCCTATGAATCGATAGTTGTATTGGAACGGTAGCGATTTCAGTGTCAATGTTGATACCTGTCAGTGCTCTGCTTCACTACTGCTCCGACTGTTCGATGCCTGTTGTTCGTTGCTCGTTTAAAGGGCGCAGTGATGAGCTTTCAATGAAAAGGAAAAAGGATAGCAACCGCGTATTGAGAATGAGTAGTGTCGGTTGGTGAATATGACGGGAAAGAGAGGAAGTTATGCCTTGTTTTATTCAGAACAGGCAGTGTGATGGCGAGAAGTGAAAAAGATAATTTGTGTGAAGTGTGGTGTAGTGTGAAGTGTGAAGTATGAAGTGTGAAGTGCGAGGTGTAAGAGAAAGAAGAAAAAAAGAGAGAGATACGTGTTTGTGTATGTGTTTGTGTGAAGAAAGAGCACAAAACACAAAGAGAAAAGGATTGCAACAAACAAGCACAAAACACAAAGAAAAGAAAAGAATCGTGAAGAGGAGGAAGGAAGAGAAAGGAAGAGAAAGGAAAATGAAAGGAAGAGGAAAGGAAGAGGAAGGGAAGAGGAAAGGAAGAGGAAGGGAAGAGGAAGGGAAGAGGAAGGGAAGAGGAAGGGAAGAGGAAGAAGGTACAAGAAAAAAAAAAAAAAAAAAACCGAAAAGGAGTGTGTTATCTGTGTGTTTCTGTGGCTAATGAGTGCGTGAAAGAAGAAGAAAGAAAGAAAGAAAAGAAAGAAATGGACTTTCCTCTAAACCTTGAAGACTGGAGGAGAACATGGGTGGTCCACTTTCTCCACCCTTTTTGTCTATTGAGTTGTTTAGTGGGCAAACAATCATTTGGTCAATGCAAAGAGCATGAGCAAGTGCAGTGCAGGCGGACAAACAATACAAAAATTATAATCAGTGGATTGGTTCTTTTTCTGGCCCACATTGATTGGTGCATTGGACATAAAAATTTTTTTTGTCGAATGTGTGACGGAACAAGAGAATAAACGTACATCCCTCGCAATTACACATTGCCACATTTACACTTCACAATGCACAGCAAAAAACTGCATGGTGGGTACATCATGCTGGAGCATACACAGAGCATACCAACGTTCATGCAGTCTACTAGACACCTTGTCTCGTTACAGTTGTGACAAAATTACGACAGAAAACGTGATCTGAGTGGGAACGTGATATGACAGCAAAGCCGATCATTTCCTCTCCAAATACAGATGTATAAATGTAATTGCAACCTCATTTTTACAAAGAAGGTTGTAAATCGGTTATTGGCTGTATTAGAGCTTTTGAAATCTGACAACCCGGCAGGTATCAAAAAAAAGTAGCACACATTGTAGATCTGAATGCTTTGGCTTTGCCAAACCAAGAGAGGCTAGACTGGGCAAATTCAGTCTGCTTGCTGCAAGAACGAAAAATATAAGATCCGTGTGACAATTGTTCGCCGAGAATTTGAGAAAAAAAAAAAAAAAAAAAAAAAAGAACTTGTGTATATAATACGAGCATCTGTTCTTTTCCAAATATTGCAGACTGAAAGTCTTTTTTGAGACTACAACCTCCAGACTTTGTATCCTAGCCAGACTTCACTGAGCTTTTCAAACTTCAACAGGTGGGCTGCTACTCTGTCCACAACAGGGTTTGCTGGTTCACCCTCGATTTCTAAAGGAACAATACTGTTAAAATCGTTGCTTATCATATCATCTATTTCATCCTTTCCATCACTTCTATCCGTCATTAATGCTCGTGCAACCTCTTCAAGGATAGCAGCAAGGCTATCTGGAGTTTTGATCGCTTTACCTTCATATTTACTTGCAGTCTGCCCCTGTTCGCCCATCCATCTTTGTCTCCGTCTGATGTAAACCCCACGAGACCACTTACGGATCATTGCCATGATGAGCTCTTTGGTATCGAGTCCCTTGATTCGAATGCGAAGTCGAGCCAGGTCTTTACACGCCCATGGGAAAATATCAATTATGTCCATGTCCAACTCATGCTCTGGAAGGTCTACAGACGTCAAGAACGCGCATCTCGAAAAGATCATGTGAATCATCCACGCATTTGGAAGTGGGTCTGGCACAGGGATCACCCGGTCCGCATCATAACTCCAGTCTCTAAAATTAGGGTCTATGGCTCGGAGGGTCCTCAATGTGCTACTGTGCAAAAGGAAACCCAAGATTCCAGAAGTTGACAGATTTTCATAATTAAAACAAATAGACTCAATGTTCTTAAACGCTTTAGCGAGCAAATCATGCACTATTGAACCAGTAGCTCGATATGCGGTTAGCTTCTTGACTCCCGGGCTGTACTTTTTAATAGCGGTTTCGATGGATTCGACTCCGGAATCCTTTAGTTGGATGTTATGCGCCCACACGTTCCAGTATTCCAGTTTTGGAAAGTGTGCGAGTAATGGAACTACCGCAGTATCACTGTCTGATGGTGAATCAGGATCTGGGTTGAAAACTCGATGGTATGAGGCATGGAGGTAGATGACGCCTTTATGCTGATATAGTTCCCCTGGACTTCGTCCATCACCATGAATAGCGCATGATAGGATATCGATGTATGTCAGATTTGGACATCGTGAGAGTAAAGTTGAAAGCGCTTTTCGGGTCATCGTAAGATTTTGAATTCGAAGTTCAGTGAGCCTCGGCATAAAATCTAGGTCAGGTGAGACAAATGCGTCCTCTAGTGCAAAGTCTGGATGCGATATAATGGACTTCCCCATTCTGATGTCCAGTTTTAATAGGGTACGCGAGTTCCTTCGGATGAGCTGGAAAGTCTGCTGTCGACAACTAGGCTTGGGTCTGACTCGAATTTGTTCAATGTTTTGGATACTGGGATCCCTAAAAAGCTCAAACTCCGACTTTTTTCGGACGGTTCTGACAATACGAATGTGTTGTCCATTCTTAGCAATGATATTTGATGGCAGCTCTGAAAACCGAGGCTGACTACTGAGGTTAATTGTGTTCCATATCCTTGGAGTGAATTCGGCGCTCCATGATTTTGAAACTTGACTACAATTAATCATACTCCTCAAGTCAAGAGCTTGGTGGATTAGAGTTCTGATCTCAGACCACTGATTGGTAGGAACTGCGGTGGTAGTGGTGGCGTTAGCAGATGTGGCCTGCATTGTTTAGTGTAGAAAGCGCCAGTGCGCGTGAGTGGAAATATAAGTCGGCTGTTAATAAGTGAGGAGGAAAAGAGAAAGAAAAATGGATGAGTAAGGTGAACCAAAAAAAAAAAAAAAAATCTTTGTGTGGATCGTAAGTTGTGAGGGGATCATAGCCTCAAATAATTGTGACTCGTGTGGCCGACACTACATCATTGTGCACAAACATTGCCACCATCTCCCTTATTCCATTGCTACCGCGCAACAATTTCAAAGGCGTGGGTGCACGCATACGTAGGCAGTGTTACTCATATCTATTTTTGTTTTATAAAGATATTCTTTTTTTAATCTTCAACAATTGAAGTGAGTTAATGGTAAACATTGGCTTGCTTGTCATGGTGGGCCACCAAGGCAATAATTAGATTAAATTTATAGTCTCAAGCAAGAACGCAGGTACTCACAAGACCCTACTGAATGCAGCAAATGACTGGGCGAATTGTCCAGAAACCAGTGCCCGAGTTATTTTTCAATTGCAATCTCTAACATAGGCGCATTTATGACGTCTGTCGTCCTCTTCTTTCCATGTATGTGATAATGGCAACAGGTCACGCATTTCATGTACGCGGCTTTGCCAATATCTCACAAGTAGTCAACAGCTCTGAAAGTGCGGGAAGCGTGGAGAAAGGCTGGTAGATGCACAAAGTGGTGGCAAGTGAAGGATGGAAGTAGTGTATTGTTCTGATATCACTAGTATACGAATATGACATTCAAGCCTTGGCGTGCACTCATTAACACTAACCAGACATGTGTCAGTACGCAGATACAGCTTTTCAGTGTTCCATCCCGATTTTTGTTCATCATATTAATTAAAGTGTAAAAAAAGATGTCGAATAGGTGGGAGCACTAGCAGTGTTATCATGCTCCATTATGGTGCCTCGTATGGGTGGCAGGAAGCTAATAACTGGTAGCTTCCTGCGCTACTTATGCTAGCACCATCGATCTTTCTGGTGCAGAAAGCTGGGTCTGGCCTGTCCATGGGTTGATAAAATTTGAGCTCTCTACACAGACGAAAACCGCTGAACGACTTAGTCTTAACTATACTATGCTAACTGTATCCTCCCATGATTAAGCTTTAATACATACTTGGAATGCTCAAATAACAGATATTTGGATTGAATTCAAAGAGTCGGATAAAAAGTTTTGACCATATGATTTTATTACAGATGCTAAATAAATGATATTAAAAATGTTTACTTGGTGTCATCACTGACATGAGTCTTTTCTTGGAGGCATGAAACAACAGCCGTCATGACAGCAATCTTGCGAATACTATCAATACTGTCCCACACACGCTCTTGTTGGGCTTGTGCAACCTTACGGTTAGAAAGCTTGTGGCGACGAGAGTTTGTGGGAACAAGCTTAGCTGTGAGCTCGAAGGACCAATGCTTGAAGATCTGCACCTTAACCACATCGAGGACAATAAAATATACGAATGAAATCAATAGTACAATAATGGCCTCACCAGCAGGAACTTTGGGAGTCAGTCCACCAAAAATGACCATCAATAGTGCAATAATCTGAGTACCAATAATGACAATAGCGAAAATAGGTGAAGGCAGGTTCTCCCAGAAGTAGCCAGTCAGACGGGTTGAGAAGATAACAAAGTGGGGAGCCGACGATATGTGTAGGTACATGATTGACTCAAGCTTGCGCTCGTCATAAGGAGCCTTGTCATCCACAGGAGCATATCCAAAGGCCTTCCAGAACGTAAAGAAGTGGGCAAACGAAAGGGCAGTCAGGCAGAGACCAAGCACTATCGACATGGTGATCAACTGTCCTATCCTCCACTTGTCAGGATGAGCAGAAATCTGGGCATTATCAACGGCAATGACCAGCGTGGCAAGGTCGTTCAAGATGCAAATCAATATAAGCAAATGGGCAGGCAGGGACCAATCATAAGCCATAACGACGACAAAGAAAAACATCAAGAAATGGACAGTTGAGGTGATACGGTAGAGAGCATAGGAGCGCATGCGTTGGAAGATGGCACGAGAAGTCGTCAAACCATCTACAATGGTAGAAAGGCCAGGAGCAAGCAGCACAATATCGGCAGCAGAACGGGCAGCATCCGTGCATCCATGGACGGCGATGCCAACATTGGCCTTTTTAAGGGCAGGGGCATCGTTAACACCATCGCCGGTCATACCAACAAGAATACCACGCTTTTGAAGTAGCTCAACGACACGATACTTGTGCTCAGGAATAACTTGTGCAAAACCATCGGCACGAATGCAATGTTCAGTAATTTCATCTTCAGACTTGTCAGGGTCAACCAAATGTCCAGCGTCTAACATGACGCGTTGCATACCAAGACGGTGAGCGACCTCCTTAGCGATGATCAATTGATCTCCAGTAATCATCTTGACAGACACACCCATGTCGTTGCAACGGCGAATAGTATCAGCAGAGTCGGGGCGTGGAGGATCAATCAGCGAGATCATACCAATAAGTTCCCAGCTATCTAAATTGCCCGCGATAGTGCGGGCGACACCCAATGCACGAAGGCCACGCTTGGCAAGGGAATTGACAGCGCGGACGGCGTCATCATCGCCACCGACGAGACGAATAATGACCTGAGGAGCGCCCTTCGCGACCTTGAATGTAGAATTAGTCTCGGTGTTGGTGATGGTGGCCTGCGTGAGTTTAGTGGAAGGATTAAAGGGCAAGAATGACGTAACCTTATAGCCGGGAACTTCATGCTTGTGAGTGCGGCCCTTGAGGATCTCGAGCTGCTCCTCTGCAGCACTACGAACAGCAGACTCAATAGGGTCATTAGCACCAGCCTCAGCAGCGAGATATGAATACAGGAGGATATCGTCCGAAGTATAGTTATTGGCCAAGTAAGGCTCGTCAAAGGTCAACTCGTTCAAGGTCAAGGTTCCAGTTTTATCTGAACAGAGGACAGAAACAGAGGCCATCTCCTCGACGGCTGTCAATCGCTTGACAATAACTTTCTTGGCAGCAAGCTGCTTGGCGCCTACGGCCATAGTAACGGACATGACAGTTGGAAGGCCAACAGGGATAGCAGCGACAGTGAGAACCAGGACTTTGCCAAGCACAGTGAGGAAATCACCCTTGCCTTTAGGATCACCATGGAAGTGCACAAGCTGGTAAACTAGGATAATGCCGACGAGGACGACAGTGATGAGGATCAGGAAATTGCCAATGCGGTTGATGATCTTTTGGAAATGGCCCTCTTCTGTAGTAATTGAGATCAGGTTGGCAGCACGGCCAATAAAGGTATCTCCACCAGTCTTGGTGACAACAGCCATCTGCTGACCTTGCTTGACAATCGATGACGAGTAGACAGTCTTTCCTTTATTTTTAGCGACAGGAAGTGATTCTCCAGTAAGAGCGGATTGGTCAATGAGAAGATCACCCTCGGTAGCTTCGCCAGTCGCACCAATCCCAAGAAGACGGCCATCGGCAGGCACAATGTCACCAAGACGCAAAACAATGACATCTCCAGGGACTAATTGACTCACATCCAACTCAACCAAATGGCCATCACGCCAGCATCGGGTCTTTAAAGCAAGTGTTTGACGGAGAGCATCTAAAGCAGACTCAGCCTTAGATTCTTCAATAAAACCGATACATGCGTTGACGAGCAACAGGCCCAAAATAATACCGAAATCCAACCAGTCCTTGACGACCGCAGAAATTACACAGGCGACCTCGATCAGGTACGCAATGGCACCGGTGAAATAACTCAAAAACTTTAAGAGGGGATTGCGCTTGACTTCAGCCAACTCATTTGGACCAAAACGGGCGAGACGTTCGGCTGCTTCAGCGGAGGTCAAACCATGCTTGGGGTCTGTCTGAAGTAAAGTCTCCAACTCTGGTGAAATTTCATCTGAATGTTCATGATGTTCAGTTTCTTCGACCTCGAGCTTTCCTTTAGTCGAGGTTTCTATAATAGGAGCAGCCCATTAAAAAATGCAAAGAAAGAGGATATTAGTTCTACGACAATATATATAAAGCAAGTCAAAGCTTGGGTGTATGTTCTGGAGGATGGACTCAGAGGAGGTATCGTCAAGGTCAGAAAAGATATGAGAGGAGGCTACATGGACTAACACGTTTTGACATTGAGCTGTTAAAAGTGTGTGGATTTAGTTGATTTGCCGACCAAAAGCTGAGCTTGAAACCACCGTTACTAAGCTGTTCACAGAACACACGCCCCTAAAATGGATGCTGTTAGGACAAAGGGAAGAGGTGGAAGGAAGCTGAAAGGCTTACCCTCGATCTTTTCGCTCATGGCTATTCGTGTTGACTATGTTTTCCCCTTGTAACTGCTTATTCAGAGCAGATGGAAGCAGAGGGTTTGACGACAGGGGAAGGGTGAAGAGGAAAGGCAAAAAGGAAGGGAGGAAATGTGCTGAGCCGATAAGAAAGAGTGGTGAGGAAAAAAGGAGACAAAGTATTGCTTTTATATGGATGATTTGTACAGTAACGAATACCTTACTCACTCTTTACTTTCTACTCTTATCTTCATTTCATGCAGACCCTCTTCCCAAACAAAAAGGTATAAACAAACTAGCAGAGCAATTTGATGAATAGATGGCAGAAAACCTTTTAAACAAACTTGATGATAGAATAAACGAAATAGCCATCCTTGTCCAGTTGGACCATTGTTTGTTTGTTTATTTTGAAGGGACGTGGTACAGAGTTTGGGGATCAGTCAAGTCTAGCCAAAACTGAATTAATTAATAAGGTACATGTACATCTTTCCATACACTGACTGTTGCTCAAAGCGGTGCCGGAAAAAATGCAACAAAAGCGCCTGCAAGCCCACATGAAGTTCGTCTGAGTCTCCAGTTATTATTTTCCTATCAAGAAGAGCAAAACCCGTCCGACCTTTGGGCCTGTGACTGTTTTCTCCTAGCGACCTGAGCATATCAGAGACGAGCATGGTTTTTATATTCTCACTGAAGTTGTGCTTGTAGTAACAATAGCAGGATTATGATGAATTTCTTAACTTTGTTACTTAGTAAGCACCTCTTTCTTTCATAATTGATGGATTGATCATCCAAATTGAGAGATAGAGTCGGATGGTTCATATTATGTATAAACATCCTGATTTCCTTCTCTGTAGTGATGGCATTATTAATTATGGGGTCCTCCGTTTACTCTGTTATGTAAACAAGCCTTGTTCATTAATTCGACTCCCTGTATCTGAAAGATATTGCTGACCCAATCAACATGAAGAGGGGCAGTAGTGAATTCTTATACCAACTTCAACAATGCTTTTCCTATCATGAAGCTGCTCCTTTGTAGTGAGAGGGAAGTTAACTAGCGGAGGCAGAACTCTCTACTTGGGTGCACATGGTCGCTTGATGTCTTCTAAAACTGAGCGATTATTTTTTTTTTGTTTGGTTATTTGTTTGTTTGCGGGGAATAACACCAAATCTCACAAGATTAAGATTCATTTGTGCCTTGATTAGGAATGGCCACATCAGATGGATTTTCTGAATGCATGTACGTGCATGTTTCTTCTTTGCCATATCCATAATGAAATACATATTTCTCTTTCTGCCCCCAGAGCAAAAGAAAGAAAACCATCTTCCACCAGATGATGGCCATGATCCTTTTTATTTTATTTTTCTTATTACACAGTAACCATATTCATATTCCTCAGGATTCCCCTTATTAATGGGATCTTGTTAACCATCATCAATTGAAATAACTAGATCTTGTGTGTATTCTTATTTCTACTTTAACCACACCTGGCGTACTGGGCTTTAACAATCTAAGGAGTAATGAAATAAAGCAAAGTCGCAGGTCCTAGTTTTGCCGGAAGTTTAATTTGTCTGCTCTTGTCCTTTGAAGTCCACTTGACTCAATTCTTTCCCAATTCGATCTTTTTAGTTTTTGCTCAGCAACTGTAGTAAAGAACGTGGGATGCATTTAGGGGCCTCTGTCATCCTCTCTTTTTTAATTTGTCCATACTACTGCTCTTTTAGACCGCATGAGAGAAGGGGTCGAGTACTTATGTACATGCTAGGAGGCAATCATCCTTGCATCCTAACTATCGATTCAGAAGGTCACGTCTCAATGCAGGGGATCATATCTATCCAGGAACAAAGGTTACATCTTCGTAAATGTCGAAGATCTAGGCCCCAGTTGATAAAAAGGACAACCCTTTAGGATATCGAAATCATTTTGATATGAGGCGAGAGTGATAGGCTAGAGACAAGGGGTAAAGAAGAAGAAAAAAATGACTCACTTTCTATCAGTTGCTTTTTTATCAATGTGGACATGTGGAGAACGAGTATCTGTCTCATTCCGGGTGAATTGTCCCAACCCTTGTCCTGGATAAGGCGTACTTTATAGCTTACAAGGTTTTAGAGTGTAATTATGATTTGTCTGAATTGGTTTTTAGGACACGACAAAAGGGTCTACTGAATGGTCTACGAAGGACATTTTCTACGGTACCATGTCCGTATGTACCACTCACACCGCTCTTCTGGCTTGAGAAGTAGATACAGATCAGATTTGTAGGCAGAGGAGCTTGTTTTTTATTTCACGTCCGATTTTCAATAGAGAAAGGTGACACACGGACATGGCACCGTAGAAGATGTCTAGAAAGCGGTCACTTTCCTTTTTGAACACCCTGTTGTCTCATTCGCGCGTTTACAACATTGATTGGCCTTACTCCATGCTCCTTGAGAATGCCACAGCCGCCACTCATGTCAATTGCAGCTACTTTGGCTGCTCACAGGAAAAATTCTGACAAGCCAAAAAAAGCTCAGGCAGCTGGAGGCGCACAACAGACCACATCGACAGGATCCTCTCATAACCAGACCCATATCCAGCTTTTTCCGTCTACTGTAGCCTCAATTACATCTTCAACTCCGTTGTCAGTACCACCGCCAAAGCCACAGCAGACACGGGCGCAGGAGTTGCATGATTATTCTCCAAACCCATCATTGTCATCAGCATCGGGCTCGATAAAGAAAAACCTTTCAGCCTCCTTCGTACAACTTTTACCCATCTTTCAAGACCAAGTCGTCTCAGACGCCACGGGGACACAAATCAATGCCTGTCAGTACAACAGCACCGGCGAATATATTTTGACAGGAGGCGTTGATCGCACAGTAAGGCTTTGGAATCCAGACACAAGATTCTGTATAAAATCGTACGAAGCACATGGGTGGGAAGTATTAGATCTGGCTATATCACCTGAGAATGGGAAATTTGCGAGCTGTGGAGGCGATAAAACCGTTTTCTTATGGGATGTAATGTCGGGAATGACGATTCGGAGGTTTACGGGACATACTCAGGTACTAGATCAATGTATATATATGAAACGTGAATCATTATTCCGAGCTAGTTATTCATTATTATTTTTTTTAAAAATTAAATAGAGAGTGAACACTGTCGATTTCAATGATGAAGGCACGGTGTTAGTGTCAGGTAAGGAACTAGAAATCCTCACAGACAACAGTAGCAGTTAAGTACATACTTATTCGTTTTACTATGTAATAACACTTTAGGATCATATGATGCGACGATACGACTCTGGGATTGCAGGTAAAAAAAAAAGAAAAAAAAAGAGAGAGACTACATTTGTTTCATGCCCCTGTATGCTCAAGTGCTTTGATTGATTGGTATCCTAACTGTTCAACTTCGAGCGCGATGTATATTAGATCAAACTTGCGAGCACCAATACAGATTTTAGAGGAACCAAAGGACAGTGTTACATCTATTGAGCTGAAAGGAAGTGACCTGCTGGCAGGGTAAAAACAACCACTAATCTGGTGTACTTGAGCCCTTAGTCTGAGTATCATGGATTCTGAACCACGCGAAAACTTACTCAGTCATGTGCATGATTCTCTCGCCTTCTTGGTAGTTGTGTGGACGGGTCAATAAGAATATACGATATCAGGAAAGGATCACTCATCACGGATCAGATTTTCGGTACATCCAAATATTGTTACATGTGCATTTAATCCACCATTTGCCTAAGCATACTGACTTTTGTTTTACCTTATCAAAGACTAATATTTAATGTGTCACATTTACTCATCTTATAGAGCCAATTACATCAGTGGCATTCTCGTCTGATGGTAATTGTGTACTAGCAAGTTCGCTGGACGACACAGTAAGACTCATGGACCGTGATAATGGCACGCTTCTGAACGCCTATAAAGGTCATAAGAATAACCAGTATAAGATCCGATCATGTCTCGATAACTCTGACGCGCATGTTATCAGTGGCTCAGAGGATGGCAAGATTTTTATCTGGGACTTGATGGAGGTAAATTAGTGTGTTTGGAGGCTATTGCTAGTACTTCTATATTCTACCGTTTGAGTGCTGTAGCCGAGGTAGCGTTTAACATTTAAGATCACGCTCGCCATTTTACTTTTTCCCACAGGGTGCGATCATTCACGAGATTGACGCGCATTCCAAGATTGTGTCGGCAATTGCGTATCATCCAACACAAGATAGGATGTGCTCAGCTAGTGTCGATGGCTCTATCAAAACCTGGACTTCACAACCTGCGACCGCATGACAACAGGGCATTCGCCGTCGAATATTGCATGCTGCACTCCTTTTTTTTTTTTTTTTTTTTTTTTTTTGCACGTTGAATTCCTCACAGTCACGAAAAAGAAAAAGACATGGTAAAGTTTTACCATCGCATATCTCTTTCTACTTTTGTTGCATTGCCATCCTTCTTTTAATAAAGCTACCACTTTCTTTCTGCACGACTTACAGGCCCTAGGCTTCCTTCATTGAGCAGTTCTTATTTCTCTACATCTGCAAACAATTACCTACCTTGTAAATCCTCTTTCTTTCGAGGAATCGGCATTGTCTTTCATCATGAACATGAACCAGCCCATTTCCATAACCGACACTTTGAAGCGTCGTAAGTTCATGTAAACACGGATAGTAATTCAGCGTGGTTATAGCACAGCAGTATATTTTCTCGCCATTCCCGTCATAAAACTCGGGTTAAAAAAAAAAAAAACATGGATAGCGATCTCATGCGCCCAATATGTTTATATGTATAGGGTTCCTGGAAGCAATTGACAATGTTAAAGTAGAGCCAGGCCGGTACAAATATGTTATCGTTGATGCACGCGCAGCAGATATTATGGCATCAGCAGGCTGCCACTTGGCTGATGTTTTGGCACGAGAAGGAACTATGTGTAAGTTTTTTTGTGTTTTACATATATTGTTGAAATGTGTTCATTCTGTTTCTAGTAATTATCATATACTTTTACTGTATTTAATAAGGACATGATAGATATCGATGCTTTTTCAAAGGCCTTCTAGTCTTTGGTGATTTATCGTATTCTAATCAGTCAATTGGGATCTCATTTGTATTGAATCATGCCGTGTGGCGTTATTATAGACCTTGAAAACCTGGAGAAAAGACGATCGCCTGCAGTGAATGTTGAAGCCATCTACTTTGCAATGCCGACTGAAGATTCTGTACGACGCATCATCCGTGATTTCAAGAATGGACGACCTGCCACGTATTCTGCTGGACATTTGTTCTTTTTAGCAGGTAGGAAAAAAAAAAAAAAAAAAAAGAAATCGGATGATGCGAAAAAAAGCTTCGCCTTTTTTTTTCTTCTTTTCTTTCGAGTGGCGAAGTTAGGATCCAGATTCAATCAATCAACCTGAACACTGTCCTTTATTTTTCCGCGGAGCTATTTTGTCTGATGAATGGAACTGAGGGCTATGTTTTTTTTTCTTTTTCTTTTTCTTTTTCTTTCTGTAATATGTAGCAATGGATGACAAGACATTTGACCATCTGCGAGCATCCACGGACGCAAAATACATCAAGAGCTTGAAGGAGTTGTTTATGGACTTCTATGGTAAGGCACTTTAATAATCTTAAGATTGAGAATTAGAAATTATTCAAATGATTAGCTAAACATTTCACAATATTACGCAAATCCCTATAGCCGTTGAATCAAGGGTATTTTCCTTAAATAATAGGAACGCATTTTTTAATCTCTTTTGTCCTATGCTCAAGGAGCAGAATCAGCATGCAGAAATCAATTCTATTTCTAAGCAGGTAAGGAAAATCTAGAGAAGAAAAGTATGAATTGTTTGCTCTCTATAATTGATACACGATTTTTTTTCTTCGGTTAGCTTATCTCTGTGTGTGCTTCCTTACAAGTCAACCCTATCGTGTCATATTATCGTGCAAACGACTTGACGATGCAAACCTCCAAGAATATTGCAATGACTGTTCAAACTGACCTTGACGAATATTTTAAAGGACAACCTCGCATCGGAGTATGTTATTCGTTATTATTGAAAAAAAAAAAAAAAAAAAAAAAAAAAGAATAACTAAGCAAGTTAAATCGACTATCTGTTATGCTGGCATTATTCTGATTACTATCCTCTTTTTTTATTTTATTTTTTATAATAAATCGATAGCTTAAGCCCCCGCATTTGATGATCATTGACCGTACGATCGACCCCATCACACCAATCCTACATGACTTCTATTACCAGGCGCTTGCGACAGACTTGTTACCGATCAAGGATGGCACCAAATATGAATATAACTCATTCAAGGAAGATGGGACACCCTGCGAAAAAGTTGCCATTCTGGATGAAAACGACAAGACATTTACAAAGATTCGTCACAATCATATCACGGACTGTATCAAGTTTTTGAAATCTAATGTGGATAGCTTTGTGGCTGAAGCAATGAGCAAACCGTAAGTGAAGTGCCACAAATTGACATTAGTATAAAGGGGAGAAAGAGAGGAAATAGGACGTATTTTAGACATGAATTCCAACGTTTTTTTTTTATATCTTTACTCATCTCAGAAATATATAATATCGTTTGCTTATTTAGTACCACTGGAAACCAGTTGGATGCAATCAGAGAGCAGATGGCGAAACTACCACAGTTTCAAGAAAACAAGGAGAAGGTATACATAGTTTAAACCACAATCATTCTCTGTGCTATGGGCCCAACACGTCTTATTGAGAATATACACTGATCTAGCTTTTTTTTTATCACTATTATTACTATTAATACTATTCAAGTATTCGGTTCATCTTTCCATCGTTAATGAGTGCCTGGAATTCATCAAACACAATAAGCTTGTTGACATTTCTGGCTTGGAGCAATCATTGGCGACAGGACAACTAGCTAGTGGTGAAATCCCGAAATCGTTCGATCCTGAAGTTGCAGCATTCTTAGATGATAGCAGTGTCAGGTAAGCTTCAGTGGACGATGAGCAAGGTCACTTTGATGAGCTATCGCTTGTTCCCACTCATTTGATAATACTACTTACTGAAAAGATGACCAATCTCTTTCATTTTTTATTTTACTTTCTTTCTTCTATTCCCAGGATGGTAGATCGCTTGCGTTTATTAATGCTATTTTTCATCACCCAAGCCGTGCCCCAAGAGATGCGAAACCAGCTTTTCCAATTGAGTCGATGCAATTATGCGGATCGAGATATTGCTAATAATCTAGAGTTCTTGGGCGTCAAACTGGACGTGGTAAGGTTCTTGAGAATCCTTTGATACTAATCATCAATCAATGAGATTTCCTAAAGCTCTTTTTTTTTCTTTTTCTTTTTCTTTTTTTTCTTTTTTTTTCTTTTCTAATGTCAAGGCCGCACCGCCCCCGGCAAAGAAGTGGTGGATCACAGAGCTGCTCAAAAAGAAATCTGTCACGGAAGACGATATCGAGTATGATCTACCACGTTATTCCCCTGTGATCAAGTCTATTATAGAAGGAGTTGTAAACGGAACATTAGATCGTGACCAATACCCTTATACATTAGCACCTGATCAACTTGAAACGATCCAAGCACGCAAGACAGTTCGCTCATTGCGATCAGCACAACCAACATTCCATCATAAGGGCCGTCGGAACGAGCCTCAGGGGCGATTGATCCTGTTTATTGCTGGAGGCGTGACATACAATGAAATTCGAATTGCCTATGAATCTGCTGCAGCACATAATTGGGACATCTTGATTGGATCAACTCATATCATTACTCCACCCTCATTCATGGACGATATGCGAATGCTCCGAAATGGGCCTCCTCCACCCCCACCTCCACCACCTCGCTCACCTTCCCCACCTCCAGAATCACACGCTTCATCGTCATCAAATAGGACTAGTGGATCTGGTGGAAGCAACCCTTTTGCAAGTGTCAAGAATGTTTTTGGAGGGCCTCTTAACAAACCCCCCAAAGAGCAGCCACATCAGCAGCACCTACAACAACAGCAACAACAACAGGTTATGCAGCCCCTCCCGCAACGACCGTCAAATCAATTGAACTCCAGTGACTCATCTAGAGTTAAGGATAAACTTAAAGGTTTCTGGAACGAGCTCAAGTAAAAAAAACCATGCGAATTTTAATAATAAACACATAATAGCTTTCTACGTCAATCCATCTTCGTATTAATTATTCTATTTTACCACCCATCTCATTCCCACGTTGCTACTAAAGACTATACTATCCATACAACTATACAGTTAGTCTAAAAAGCCAGACTTGATCCCCTCTGCTTCTTGTTGTTTGCACACGCGCCATTTCATACGCCTAGACATAGCACGTTGCTTTATTTTAAAAAGCAGCAGCAGTAGCAGGTTTATCGAGTATGGGAGCTGTGCAACAATATGTAACCAATATAAATCAATCCTATGCAAAACGAACCATTACTAAACATGCTATTAGTAAAGAAAGGTCAATACAAAAGCACAGAAAAATCTTACCTTCAAGGTTATACCCTAATTTAACTAATGAATGATGTCTAAAAACAAGTTTTTGGTACAATGCTCTTAGCCAGGCGCCATTCATAGTCATCGTTCTTGTAGGCATTTTAGACCGGTAAAAATAGAGCAGTTTAGTTTATGGCAAACCTACGACACTCGTCGAAGTCTTGAAGTCCAGGACACAGGCCGGTTGTTGCAACACCAAGAAACCTGAGACACTGCCACAACAGGTTGCTTTTTTTTTTTTTTTTCTTTTTTTTTCTTTTGAATATATCTCCAAGTAGCGAGAGATGTTCATCTTTCTGTGAAGTCAGTGATGACATAGACATCCTCACTTGTTCCTTTGAGAGTATATCACTTGAAGTTACACCTCAAGCGAAAAACGCCTGTACTAGCGGCCGGAGATCGCATAACTTGAAGTCTACTAAAAAGAAAGAAAGCCCTCGCTGTGAAATGAATTGAAAAGAAAGTGTAGCGAGACAAAAAACTCATTCCGGTGTGAAATAAAAACCAATCTTTTGAGAAAGAGAAAGAAAGCAGCGAAAGAAACCCATTCCTCTGTGATAAAGAGAGAAAGTACAACAAGCGAATTTCGCCCTACAATGGGATGAATTCCTCACGCTGTTGTCGCTTCTTCACATTCACTGGATAGAAAATGCAATACCACGTATATTAGAGAGTTCTTTAAGTCTTTAATACAACGCCACCATTTAAGCGTGGGAGTTTTTTTTAATTGCGTTCTTTTTTGGAAATTGATATATTACATGAGATGATGAGAGGGGAGGAGGCTTTTTTTTTTCTAAACTGTCTCGTCTACAAGGATGTGTGAGTAGTAAAGAGGGGGGAAATTTTAGTGAGAGAATTGGGTCTCAGTGACACCAGCACCCATAGCAGCAGTAGAGGAGACACCACCAGTAACAGTCTTGATCAAGTTGTCATAGTAGTTAGCACCCGACCAGTTTTGGTGTGCCAAGGTCTCGACGCTGTTATGGCGCTCCTGGCGCTGAATGCCATTAACGTAGGCGTACATGCCCTTGTCAGCGAACTCACGAGCAAAAACATCAACACCGAGAGCATTGCAGTGGAAACCAGCAAGAGTGATGAATTGCCAGGAGAAACCGAGCTTGCCAAGGTCGCTGATGAATGTGCGCATGTCGTTGTCGGTCATGCCAGCAGCATCCCAGTTGAACGAAGGAGACAAGTTGTAGGCAAGCATGATATCGGGATGCTTGGCCAAGACACCTTGAGCGAACTCAGTAGCTTGGGCCAAGATGGGCGACTTGGTCTCCATCCAGAGAAGATCAGAATAAGGAGCAAAGGCAACAGCTCTATAAAGTTGTGATTGAATAGTTTTAGTAAGGACGAATAAGTAAAAGTGAGCCCTCGAATTTAGTGTCCAGGCCAGGACTGATGCAATGCAACTCATCCAAATGAGGAAGCTGTTCCTGTGTGGGGCAAATTCTAATTTATCCTTGGTCATCCCTTCTCTTCGTTTGTCACTGCTAAGCAATGACTCCGCTCCAAGTCCAGTCCAGCTTGGCTCAGTCCAGTCCAATAGAATCCAGTCCAGTTGAGTTGAGTCAAGCCTGAGCAATGGTTCAGTGTAATGTGATAGAAGTGATGGTATAACGTTACCTGTTGATGGCGCAACGAGTGCCGCCCTGGTATCTGTAGTAACCCTCGCGAGTACGGGGAAGATCCCAGTCCCAATGGACTTCGACACCATATTCCTTGGCGAGCTGACGAGCCTCAGGATTGGAAAGGAACTCGGACTTGGACAACCACTCATTGACCTTGGCCTGCTTGCCCTTGGCCTTGAGTTCGTCCGCAACAGCATCACGGTACAATTTGATGTTGGCCTCCTTGACCCAGTTGTCCTCAACAGCTTGCAAGTCATCACCGTTCTTACCAGCAGCCTGAGCATCTGCCATGACGACAACCAGAGGCTGGAGCTTGGGGTTGGTGGCTCCAAGAATAAAGGCGTGGTCACGAGGATCGATGTTGGAGGTGATAAGGGTGGCGGCCTCAGAATCAGTACGAGCAACAATCAAGTTTTCAACTCCCATGATGTCGAACTGTACTCTGCTGGCAACCAGACGGTTGATGTGCTCAGAGATAGGGACAAGAACCTTACCGGCCATGTGGCCGCACTTCTTGGTTCCAGCCATTTGATCTTCCAAGTGAATACCAGCAGCACCACGCTCAACAAACATCTTGGCGAGCTTCATGTTGGCGGTGATACCACCATGACCAGTATCAGCATCAGCAATGATGGGGCGCAAGAAGTCAATGTTGGCCATCTTGGTGCGCTGGGCCTTGGGGGCTGTCAAACGGGCCTCACGCTGCTTACGGTCATGGAAGAGTTGAGCAAAGAAGAGATGTTCGACCTTGTTAGGTACAGTGTCCATGGGGTAATCAGCCAGATCGGGGCCGGGTTCGTTTGAGGTTGAGGCGGTGGACGAGCATTGCCAACCAGAGACGTAGACAGTCTCAATGTACTTGGCCATCTGAGCAACTTGGATGGGGTCCAAGGCGCCGAAAGTGTGGGAAGCAGTGCCGTTCTTGCGGTGGTTCTTGAGAAGCTTCCACAACTTCTTGGCCTGGATGTTGGAGGCATAATCTGTTTGGATAGTACCACGCTTTGAGACAATAGATTCTGCAGAGTAAGGGCGAGTGATAAGTTTGAAGCGATCAGTGGCCCACCAGGCCTTGACTTTGGCGACCTCCTCCTGGAAGTGAGCGTCCTCGGCATCGACGTAAGCAGCAGTGGATGTGTTTGTATGGACCATTGTGAATGGATGTGTTGATGAGGGAGCTGAGAAGAAAGGAAAGAATGTAAGATCAGGGGAAGTGAGGGGGGAAGGAAAGATCGGAAGGATGATACTGATGAAAAGGAAGAAAGAAAAAAGGGGGAAAAAAGAGAAGAGTTCCCTTTTATAACTCTCCCCACATCTCTCAATGACGCATCTTTTTTTTTAGACGGTAACCGAGCTTACTTGGACAGAGATAGTCCCGCCAGAACAAGGGTAGTGTGAATAAGTGAGCATTAGTTGTGCGGGGTACGGTTCAGAAATGGTTATTGATACAACGCGGGGTAAAATAAAGATGTATTCAGGGTTGCACACGGGTACACTGCAAAGTTCAATAAGGGAAGGCAGTCACATTGCACCAGATTCGCTATTGAGGATGACGGATGATTCCTCAAGCATGTGAAGATGTTCCCTATTGTAAAAAAAGATTTTTTTGGCTCGCTTTGCACACTCATTGGCCACAAAGATCTTTGGGTGACCACGGACACATTTGCATTGCTACTCTTTTCTTTGATTAAAACCGAGCCCTGGTGTATACCATATAATATTTGTATACTTTGTTTAAGACAAAAGGCATTGTGTTTGAATTAGTCAATAAACAAAAGCCAGCAACAACTATATATATTTTCATAGACTCTTCAAACGCAAAACGCGGAATGCCCGATTCAGAATAAAGGTTTTGTTTTTGATGACACATATCCCACCTTTTGACTCTTAATGCTTTCTTTGTTGTCGTTTTTCGTTTGTTCTTTGTCATTGCTGTTTTATAACTGCTTGGTACTTGTTTACTTTGGAAAGCTTTGTACGCACGATCCACTGCTCAATTGCATTCATAAACATTCATATACATTCATACTCACTAGCTTTGCTTGTTCCTCTCTTTTCTTTTTACTTTTAATGGTTCGTTCCATTTCCCACCCTCCGCATTTTACTAAAAGAGGATGTATTGTTGCTGGTGCGATTTGTTGACATCATAGCCTGTTTCTTTCTTCTCTTTCATCTTCCGCATATTTCACCACTCTGATTCGATATGTATACAATTATATGCACGCTATTCATCATGACAAAGGCATGGAGGGAAAAAGAAAAAATGTATCCGATATTTCTCACGTGCGTTGTTCAAAACAGAAACTTGGTAAGAAAAGGGTCCAAGGCAACATTGATTGCCCAAAAAAACCATCCGCCAATTGACAAAGTGCCTGAATGTCAATAATTTCCGTGTGCCACCTTGGGTGTTAAATATGTATGAAATGACACGATATTTGCCGACTAATAAGTCGAGTGAGTGCTCTTCTAATTTTAAACCCTCTCCTATTTTCTCCATTAAAATATCTTTTTATATTACTTTCCATCAGTCCGATCAATGTGGGAATTCTTTTTCTATGAACATTTTTATTTCAATTTAGCTACCATGCTCTAAATCCTTCTCCCTGCCCTTGGGCTTTAAATTCGCTTTAGGATGGCCACAATGACTACGATAGGCGAAATCACAATGAGCATCCATCCAAATCGTAACAACACTATTGACATTCGGGACAAAATGGTTGCTGGCACGAAGAGCAATCCTATAAAGATCACAGTGATACTTTCAAAGAGTGATATATCGATTACTCGCCTCTTCCTTTCTCTTCCTTCTCTTATTTCACCACCATGGATACTATGGATCTCATGCCAATAAGGGCTTCGAACATCATGAAAATGTTCCGGATAAATGATTCGAATTTGGTATTTAAATGGATCCACACCTTGTTTATGTCCATGTTCATACTTATTATCTGTAGTAGACACTGGGTCCAGAAGCTCCTTGACAATGCATCTCCATGGGCAACTGTTAATATAGCATCTCAAGGATGATACGCGAGTCCTCTAAAAATAAAGGATCAATCATGTCAACGTCTTCTGAACGGGGATTTTTTTATTTTATTTAATTTATTTCACTCATAATCTGTATAACATAATATGTTACCTCATTTCTACTTTCTAAAACTATTGCGAAACCACACAAAAAAGCCGCAATGTGAAGCCAGGCCAAGGCGTCCGAAAAATCTTTGAATCGCCTTTTGTGGGCTGTGAAGGTGACAAGACTATATCGAGGATGGCCATATGACATGTGCCTTAATGCACGGCATTCAGGACAGTTATTGGTCATTTGAACAAGGAAAAGGATAAAATGGTATTGTTACACTGAAAAAAAAAAACTTTTCAAGTGGGAAATGTGATCATCGGTGACGTTAAACTTAAATGCTTTCATTTAAATGGTTGTTTGGTACATGTACATATAAAGTACAATCCACAAAAAGACAGAGACTAAACTTCTTTTGCAAATAGTGAATAGTGAAAACAATAAAAAAGTTTAATTAAGATCGAGATCAAAGATTCCTGCTGCATCTTCATCGTCTTGTTCCGTTTGTGGTTGCTCTTGCCCTTGTTGTTGCTGCTGTTGTTGTTGTTGCTGCTGCTGTTGCTCCAGTTGTCTCCGTTCTTCTTCTTCCCTGACGCGTCCATATAATGAAAATTCCTCTTCGTCAGAACTAGATATCAAACCATCATCCTCATCCTCACCCACCCCACCCATACCATGAGGCTGCAAATGACTTCCATTAACAACATTGACATTGCTATTCATAACTAAGCCTCTATCACCAGTATCAACAGAGCTAACACCAATTCCAGACAGAGCGCTCACATTGTCGCCTCTCATGCCATCCACCAGCCTTGATCCTGGCGTTGCTCCAGTTCCTACCATAGCGGCACCTGTACCCTGTTGTGATTGACCATGACCTACACTTCCGGGCATCACATTGCCATCTAATGACACTAATGCTGCAGCCGGGGTCCGCTGTTGATTAAGAATACCTGCACGCATACTGACTTCCCGAGGGTAAGGTGGCTCGAACGGATGGTTGGGATCTGATGGATTAAAGTTGGGTGGTGCTGATGTATAGTTGCTAAGACGGTTAGCATACGCGACAATTTCGCCCACTGATACTTCCGCTATTAAAAAAAAAAAAAAAAAAAAAAAAAAAAAAAAGAGTGAGAGAAAGGAAAGAAAATTAATTGTTAGGATAAGAATATCTTGAAAGACTTGCCATGAACCTTTTTTTTTTATCAAGCTTCTTTTCATCATACATGATCGCGCAGCTGCAGCGACAGCCCGCTTCTCATCCAGATCCTCCATACTAGCTTCCAGAACCTCCTTAGCATCGCGTAAGCTCTGGATCACTGCCATAATAGTCTTGTTTTGTTCCTCAATCTCCAGCCGCACTTGTCTAATCTTACGCTGTTGTTGTTGATGTAACTCAACTTTTTTTTGACATGAAGTGAGTCAATGTCAGTCAATGATAATAAATTTATAGAAGAAAATCTTGTCAGAATGTTTTTTATGCCTTCGCATACTCTTCTCAACCGCGCCCATGAGTGTACTATCAAGCTGAAGAATTTGTTGCACAATGTCTCCAGGTGACGCTGGTGGCGTCTTGCCATCTGTCATGAGCTCTAACGACGTGAATAACGTCTGTGTCAGCCTTGAGTATTCTGTGATTTGGTTACGCACCATCTGTCGAAGTGAATGTTGTAAATTCGTCGAAGTCGTCATCATTCCCAGGACACTGCTATTCATCGTTGGTGCTGGTGACATCTCTATACTTTCTCTTTTTTTTTAAGATATCAGTTGTTTTGTTTAATGGTCGCTCCGAAATGCACGTTCTGTTCCTGGCTTAAAGTGATGATTTTAACCAAAAGTGAATTTAAAAAAACTGCAAGTCAGTGGTACTTGTTAGCCATAAAATGGATAGTTGTGACTTTCTTTTTCCAGTGCAATTAAAAATGAGGATGCGATTTTTAATGTTCAATACAAAAAACAATTAGTTTTTTTTAATTATGGCAAAGAAATAATATCTACAAACAGGTCTAATCTATAATATGCAATTGAAGATGCAAGATATGCGTTGCAAATATGAAATAGAAACGAAAAGTGGAAAAACAAATCATGAATATTTAAAAAGATGAAAAAAGAGAGGAGAGGGGATATAGAGAACGTGATATAGTGAGAGCGAGCTTAGAAGTCCTCCTCAGAGTCAGAGACCTCCTCACCACGCTTCTTGGCAGCAGCACGACGCTTCTGCTTGTCCTTGAGCTCCTTGCGAGAGAGCTTGCGGGTAGACTTGACCTTCTCAACGTTACCGAAAGCATCAACCTTTGTCTCTTCCTCTTTCATAACAATCTTCTCCAAGTTCTTCTGAGTGTAGTTGTTGCCAGTGACAGTAAGCTGACCAGCGTTAACAGACCACTTCTCAACACAAACAGTGTCAGTGAACTCGCGGTTGTGGGAGATAATGACAACTCCACCGCCGAATTCCTTGATGGCTGCAGAGAGAGCTCCGAGAGAGTCGCGATCCAAGTAGTTGGTAGGCTCATCAAGAACCAACAAGTGAGGGTTCAACCACATAGCGGCAGCAAGAACAACCTTGACCTTCTGACCACCAGACAAACCGCGGATGCGGTTGTGGGTTGCAAACTCAGCATCGAGACCAAGATCACCCAAGTGCTTCTCGACCTCAACAGCAGTCAAAGAGCGAGTCCAGGCACCAGCCTTGGCAGCCTCCTTATCGTCGAAGGCCTGAAGAACCTTATCAAAGCCCCATTCCTCGAGCTTCTCACGAGGAATCCATGCGTTATCCTCGTAGGAGCGACCGACGAACTGAACCTCGTACTCGAACGAGCGCTTAGCCTTACGACGACCATAAAGATCCTCGATCTGAAGCTTCTCCATCTTCTCGTTAATCTCCCACTGAATGAACTTCTTCATCTGAGCCTCCTCCTCGGGTGAGATCTGACGAGTAGCTTTGTTGTTCATCTCACGATCCTCTCCATACTGGTAACGCCAGCGGATATACTCGTTAGGGGTCTTGTCCAAGTGTTGTTCGACGTGATGGAAAGCGTGCTGGGCAACATAAGCAACACGAACGTTAGGGTGCTTGGTAACCGTACCACCAGAGGGAATAGTCTCGCCAGTCAAGACCTTGATGAGAGTCGACTTTCCTGCACCGTTGGGTCCAACGACAGCAACACGAGAGTTAAGCGACACTTGGCAAGACATGTTGGTGATGGTCAACTTTGTGCTGCCGGGGTAAGCGAAATCAATGTTTTGGAGCTTGACAAGGGCCTTATCCTTGGACTTGACACCATCCAAGAAACCGGGCTCGGGGAGCTTGAAGGCAATGGGAGAAGCAGACAACTCATAGTAGGACTTGCCCTGAGGGTACTGCTCAACGAACTTGGACAAGTTACCCTTGTACTTCTTGAGCTTACGGTTCTCATAATGAATAATACCAGTGCAGACGGAATCCAAGAAACCAGAGTCGTGAGAAACGATCATGGAAGTGACATTGGTAAGAGAGGTAAGGTAGTTCTGCAACCAGGCGACATTGGTAACATCCAAGTGGTTGGTAGGCTCGTCCAACAACAAGATATCAGCGTTCATCAACATGGCACGGGCCAATTCCAACTTCATCTTCCAACCACCAGAGAGAGATCCAACAGCCTGCTCTTGCTTCTCCTTGTCGAAGCCGACAGACTCAAGCATATCGACAACAGCTTTCTTATCAAGGTTCTTGATGTTCTCGTCATTGAAGATGAAGGTAATGACGGGAAGATCAGCTTCCTCAGCCTGAAGGTTGTGCTCGACAAAGACAGTGCGAAGTTCATCGGGCGAGGGGAAGCCCTCAAGCTGGCCCTCAGCAATGGCACGCATGAGAGTCGACTTTCCGACACCATTGGGGCCACAAAGACCATAGCGCTGACCGCGGCGGAGGTTGAGGCGGGTCTTGTTCAACAAGATCATACCACCATAAGCGAGAGAGAACTCGCAGTCGCAGAGAAGCTCACCCTCCTCAACATCAGCAGCAGCAGCGTTGGAAAGAGCGTTCTTGGCATCGTAGTCAACATAGAAAGCATTGACATCCTCAGCAAAAGCAGTAGCTTCAGACTCAGAAGCAAGGACGGCGAGGTAAGGGACGATGGAGGAAATCCAAGCATCTTTCTCAAAGTTGCGGGAAGCAATCAATTCAGCGCAGAGAGTTGAGATGTAAGCAAGGACGACGGAAGAGAAGGAGTCATCCTTGATGAAGGTAGCCTTGGCCTTGAGGGTCTCAAGAACCTGAGCAGAGGTAACAGTATAGGCAATGGTGACGACCTGGTCCTTGGAACCAGGCTCTCCACCACCGACACGGACCAAAGTAGCACGAGCACGCTCAGCGACGTTGCGGAGCTCGGGGGAAGCACCAATCTCAATCATACGGTCCAAACCTGGCAAGAGCTTGGGCAAGAACTGTTGAGCGTGAGCGGGATTCTCGACGAGCTTACACATGTTATCGATAATGACAGCAGTCTGGCGTTGAATGGAAGGAGTACGCTCAGCAAGACCACGGACCAAGAGAGGGCACATGATGGCAAGAGTGGGTTCTTCGACAGTGGTGACGAAAGTGGTAGCTGCGAGCTGATGAATGCACTCGGCAGCTTCCTCGGGACGGTTGATGCATCCAACCAAGTAAGGGATGGAGGAGATCAAATCGGGGTTACCAACGACGTTGAAGCAGTCAGTGGTGGTCTTGGTCGCCTGGGCACGAACCTCGGGCTTGGAGTCCCACATAGCCTCACTGATAATTGGGATAATATCAGAAAGAGCAGCAGAAACTTGCTATTTGAGCGAAACAAAAAAAGACAGTTAGATTACTAATCCTTCCTATTGATGTCCAGTGTTGTTTAGTTTCTAGTTCGGAAAGATAAATTCTCGGCAATCGTACCTGAGGAGCAGAAAGAGTCAAGCCGGACAAGATGTCCAAGGCACCGATCTTAGATTGCCTATTAGTTCATTAACGCATTGCCAAAGAAAAGGGTTAGGAATCTTCAGAAAAAAAAAAGTTTAAGCTCCGCTAAAAAAAAAAGTTCAACACTCATGACGACGGACTAGAGACAAGTCCAAAAAAAAAATAAAAAAATAAAAAATAAACAAAAGAGCACAATATTAAAAAAAAAAATTTTTTTGCTTACCACTTCGATTCTTTGATGGCGTGGAAGATAACAGGCAACAAGAGACGAACAGCATATCTGGTGGGGAGGCTCATGATGGCCTTGGAGGCAACCTCAGCAGCCTGGCGGACAGGGACCATCTTGTCAGAGTAGAGCTCAAAGACCTTAGGCATCTGAGGAATCAAGAAAGGCTCGGCAGCTTGACCGAAAGTGTTGGCCAAAGAGGCCAGAGCGAGGAGAGCGCCCTCACGGTGGGGAACAGACTTCTTGTTCTCAAGGAGGGGGGCAAGACTGTCGATGGTAGCAACAGACTTGACGAGACCCTCGGACTTGGCGAAGGCTGCCAAAGCATCAGCGGCGGCCTGACGCTTCTCGGTGTTATCGGCCTTGACGATGGCATCAATAAGAGGAGCAGACATGGTGGGTTGAAATTAGGAGGGAAGAGGGTAAAAGAAAAGGTTAGGGTAATAAAGGGTAGATGAGAAGTCTATAAAAAAAAGTAAAAGAGTGGAAGGATGGTGAGGGAATGGATTCAGACGGCGATGAAGAGAGGATGAATAAGGGAAAGTGAATGCCGAATCCCAAAGGTGGTTGATGCTGAATGAAGGCCGGGTGAAGAGGAAAGAGCAAACGGTGCCTGCGTCTGTGGCCCTTTTATAATGAAAGTTTTTTTAAAGTTCAGAGGTCACAACAAGTGGCTTTTACAGGTCTTATTATTATTATTTACCGTCATCCTCGGGCAAAGCACAAAACCCCAAGAAACAAAAGCAGTAATAATCAAGGCAATCGTAATAGCGGTGATTAAAAATAGCCAAGAGAGAGAGGCAAAGCAACCACGCGAAGCAAAGCGAACTAAACACAAAAGGGGAAAAAAAATAAAAAAAGAAAACAGAGACGGGAAATGAAGCGACCCAAGCGTACATGAAGAAAGTATTTTAGACAAATATTGACATCAGACCACGTTGCAATGGTGTATCGTCATTGGTTCCACACAAATCAATGGTGATGTCTCACCTCTATCCCCTTTGTTGGATTCGTATTTGTCTCTCTTTCCAAATTGCCAATCTCGGCACAGGTACAATAAACAAATTCATCCGTTAGGCTAATGTTTTGGACAGGATGAAGTCAGTCTCAATAACAATTCATGATAGGCCTAAAAAAAAAGCTGTAAACAAAAGATAGGAGAAGTGTTACCGTCGCACCACTTATACTGCAACATTCCAAAAAACAAATGACATGTTAATATATCTGTACCGCCCTGAAAGATCTATTTTTTGTTTTGTTTTTTCACAGGGGATAGGGGCACACTACTAATTGATGTTAATGTATCTAATCGATCTATTAATATAGATACATACATATATATCATGTTCCCCTTTGGAATGAAGGACTACTAGCGATAGCCCCATCAAAATGAAAGAAAAACAAAGGGCGTCTGTGAGCTGGCATTGATTTTTTATGCCTGTTCTGAATGATTGATCGTTGCTAGGTCTCATTATGAGTAGTACAAAGATATATTGTTGAAAGTCAAAAATTACAAAAATTCCTATGGAACAGAATGTCTGTGACTTCATGGACGTCTCTTCCTGTGCTGTGCTGCACAGCTTTACTAATGCTCTTTGGATTACATATAATACACGTTCTATGCTCTCTGTAATAGAAATGACAGTCAAAGATCACTAGACGCGACGACCTCTCTGGTGTAGATTTCAGTCTCCGCCTTGACCTGTGGCAGTCCGACAATTGGAATCGCAATGAGAATTAGAAAGCTAATAAGCTAATATGAAATAAACAATGAGCATTGATCGGAATATAACATACATGTTTCTCCTCCACACAGTTGCACAATCAAGCACATGCTAGACATGTATGGATTTTCATTCGATTTGCAACTGCAGCCTAATACAATTGTTCACCATTGGCCTGAATTTTTTTTTTAAGTTGAAAGCACGTGGATGTTAGAAGAATTTAGATTGGAAAGCCTGAAATGTCTTCATTGAAAAATACATTTCACGAGAACAGGAACATGTATACAGATGTTATACAATAAGGAAGGTGAAATTATATTTTTTATTATGAGCTTTTTTACTATTAATTTAGATTATTTTTTCTACAAAGCTTACTAGGCCTTAGATGACTATAGTTTTTTTTTTTTTTTTTTTTTAACAAGCCTCCTATTACACAACGACTAAGTGCATCATTGATTTGAGGCGTTTGAGATCGATCAACCATGGGGGTAAATACCTCTCTCCATCCAAATCAATTTCTCTCAACTCTGGGGTTTCAAACGAGCCTGCATCATCTAGTGAAATTGCATCCAACATCAAGATGTCATTCTTCTCATTTGCAGCCACACGCATAGCGATCGCCTTGATCAGCTCAGGACTCACAGGCACCTCATAGTCTGCAATCATGTAGTTCTGAACCAACTTCTGCACCTGCGTAGGTGTCAGCATCCAACAAACATCATAGATGATCTCAATATCACTATGCGAGGCCTTCTTGAGCTGTAGTAGCTTGGTTGCTTGCATCAAGTGCTCTAATTGCAATGTTCCTTCAGGCAGGTCATGTCCTTTGCACCACTCCTCAATACGTGTAATATTGTATTGGATCTGCATTGCACGCTTCCATGTGCAGAAGTTACGACGCATCAACAGATCATTGAATCCAGTAACGCCAACCATTTTGAGTAACTCTGTCATGACCTGTCTCACAACCGAATGCTCTACATAGTAGCAGCTCATGGCTCTCCAGATCTTATTGAACAACAATAAGAGATCGTCCATGCTAAATGATGGGCCAGAGCCCATCAGCTTGTTAAAGAATCTTCCAGAGTCGTTCGTAATGAAGCCTGGCAATGCCTGACTCTCAATAATAGCAGGAATGATCATTTTACTGAGTTGCTTCTTGAGAGACTTCATCCAAACGTGGAAGATATTGTACTCCAAGCACTCAAGTTCATACTTGACGGTCGAAACAAGCTGCTCAAAATCATCCCAGAGGCTATCATTGCCTCGCGCTGAGTACTCCTCACGCGTTATCTCTTGCTCGCTCATACAGATCAACGATAACAGCTCGTGTACATTTGAAAGCCAGTATGCGCAGGGAATGATAGACTCATCTCCAGATATTGACATAGACTGCTGCTGGATCGCCTGCATCACATTGATCATCAGTCTCTCTGACTCCTTGACATATCCGTATCTCCACATCTGTGCCGTCAAAAGGCCGATCAGATGAGCAGGGAACATCACCTCCTTCAAGTGAGGCAAGGTCGAGTGACTTGGCGACGGGATCTTGACGTTTTTGATCAGCCCGTTGAGGATCTCGTCCTGAAGGCCATCCTCATCATCCAAGATTCGCATGATTTCGACCTCGGGCTGCTCGACTAGGCTATGGGTGCTAGGACGAGGACGTGCCACCCGACGGGACCAGTCATCGCTCGACATGGTCTTTGCTCCCCTACTATGGTTGTCCAGGTTGTCAAAGACGCTGTTAGTTGTCTTTTGAGGTCTAAAGATCCCACCATTCTCCAGACTGGCAACATCAGGTGTACTGTTGCTTCGGTTACGGTTGCCTTTAGTGCCCGGAAGCTTGTGCCCGCCGTTGGCATGCGCTGTGTAGGTGGGAGGTGCCACTGCCGGAGGCATTCTGTGGGGAACTGGCGCCTCATTCGCGAATGAGTAATGGTTCTCGTACTTATCAGCAGGATGACTATGAGCAGGAGTGGCGCCATAAGACGGAGGCATAGTTGCAGCGTTACTGGAAGGAGCTCTGGATCCAATAGGGAAACTCGAAGTATCACGTCCTGTGGCCTTGGAAAGCTGAGCCAGCTGGTCTTTGAGATATTGATTTTCCCGTTTAAGTGCGATAACAGACTCTGAATCCTCGTGCTTGACCTTGGACTGGGCTGCGAGCTTATTAATCTCTTCCTTCGTCTTGGCAAGCGATTCTGTAAGTTTGGTAATCTCGTGATCGAGCGAGCGAGCCCTCTCGACAGATTCATCATATTTTGATTGTAATTCGGTATTCGCTGCTTTCAAGCTCTCGTATTGCGCCTTGGGTACAGTTGGGTTCTCGGCAGCATGTGCAATCTCCTTCGACTTGGATAGTTGTAATGATTCGTATCGTTCTCTCCATTGTTGGACTTGGTCCTCGAGGCTCGCCACTTGCGAGTCGAATTGTTTGTTCTGCTGATGCGCCAAGTCCAATGCTCGCGTCAGCTCCACCACTTTTCCCTCGAGGCGATACGAAATTTCTTTTAAATGGTTTACAGACCTAGCCTCAGCCTTGAGCGCTGCCAGCGCCTTCTTAGCTTGAGCACGACGGATACAAGACTGGATCAAGATAATAGCCTTGGTGCTCTTCCTATGTTCTCGGCGCACCTGTAATCCGCGCCAGATCTGCTGAATCTTAGTTGCTGCAAAGGTTTCATGCAGCGTTTGGAATGCGATACGTGCTTGTTTAGCACGAAGAGCACACTGAATACGTATGATGTGGTTGCGGGTTTCGACATATTTCTTGCGTTGAGCATAGCCACGGATGAAGGTTTGTAGTAACGTTGCGGAACGCTCTTCGCGTAGAGACCGTGCTACTTTTTGGGCATGTATCCTGCGTGCGAAGCATTGAAGCTTGACTGCAGCACGACGCATAGTATTGTACCTCTTTTGGTAGATGAAGCGGCGCATGTTCTTCTGAATCAAGGTCGCATAAGAATTTAGCTTTTCGGTACGGAGGTTTTCCATAAATGCAAGAAGACCTGCACGGAAGAAGATCTTGGTTAAACCAACTTGATACTTGTCTGCCTCCTTGATCGAAGCTTCTAAAATTGCAGAGCACATCTTTTGGGTATCAAAGCCCCAGTGCTCAGAATTGACCAACATGTAATACCGCTCTACAAACTCTTGGAATGACCAACGCGAAGGATAACCAGCGCAACTAATACGGATCGTCTCTAGTACACCGCAAGCTCGCAATTGGCCGAGAACCATTGGGGCATCGAACACCCAAGGTTGTTTTGCTTCGTTAGGCTTGAGACAACGAATGTAGTGGACATTCGTAGAGTTGATGGTGTCCATGAGCTGGATCAATGAGCCTTTGAAAATGGATCCTAGCGTCGGCTTTCGATTGATCGCGCTCTTGCGTTTGTCCCCAGTCAACTAATCAAGAGAGAGAGGAAGAGAGAGAGGAAGGAGAGTCAGATCCGTTAACAGATATGTAACGTGTGTGTAAGGGCAAAGACATTTGACATCTATTAAAGTTCCTCACTTACAGTACCGCCAGCACCAATAGTAGCGCTAGTCATGAGAATCTCCTCCAAGAACTCATTGTCTGAATTTTTGATCAAATTCAACAGCTCATCTGGAAGTGTATCACGATTCTTTTCCAGGAAGCCTTCGCAATCGTACGTGACATCATGTGCATAATGAGAGATTGTAAACGCTGTGTTGGAAAATCGAGGTTTTGTGAACCACTTCTTATGTTTTTCAGTACCAAACTGAGAGAAGAGCTTGTTGCACCAGCCTTGGTCCGATCCTGCGGGAAGACGACTCTCCTCATCCAGAAGCGCCAGGACTCCCAGTTTGCCTTCGATCATTTCAATACACGGTTGATTGTCGCTGAACTCAATAAACTTCCAATCGATCTGTTCGCGGATATACTCTTCTTGCTCTAGCTTGAAGACATGCTGGTTGAATTCCTGTTGGAGCTTCTCGTTTGCATAATTGATACAGAACTGTTCGAACGAGTTCTTTTTGAAGTGCTCGAAACCATAAATATCGAGGACACCAATAAAGGAATGAATCTTGCTTGCAACAGCCTCACTAGATAAGCTCGAATTGATATTGCTTACAAGCCAATCAAAGAGCGCAGAATAGATGTACTTTGCAACTGAGTCACGAATGATCAAGCTCTGTTCGGCCTTGAGATTGGTGACAATCTTTTCGGAACGAGTGACGATCTGCTTCTTGACAAGCCATTTCTTAAACTCTGAAAGTTGAATACCAAGGACACGAGTAGCCGTGACCAAAGATGGATCATCATCTGCGATGATGGCATCCGTGCGCCCTGTAACTTGGATGTTTCCGATATGGAGCAACGCAGCCAAGAGTCTGAAGATCTGCCACTGGACCTGAACAGAGATACCAATGGTCGATAAGGACCTTTGAGTGATTTCAAATTCGGCAGCATCATCCACCCCATTGATAATCTCGACGCCTCCTTGCTTCAAGTAATGGAATTGGGAGATGGACTGCAAGTCCAATTCTTTTTTCTCCGATGGTGGCGCACCTGCAACCAGCTGGTAAAAGATGTGGTAGTTACGCTCATGTTCAGGCTGATATACAAGACGAGATCGCTCTAACAAGTATGTCCTAATTCTAGCGCCGATGATATTACGTTCTTTGTCAAACTGGATCTCTGTGAATTTTCCGAATCGAGAAGAGTTGTCGTTACGTGTCGTCTTTGCGTTTCCGAAGGCTTCCATAATAGGGTTCGTAGCTAAGATCTGCTCTTCAGTTTCGCTCATGCCCTTGGAGGAATCTGCACCTTCGCCGTCGTCAGCCGTGGCGAAGTAGCGCATAATAAATTTGGCACTGACCGTCTTACCAGCACCACTATTTTGAAGGAAAGAAAGAAAAGAAAACAAATTTCAAGTGTTAATCGTATGTACCTCCTTCTCTTTTGGGGGAAAAAGGCACTACAAAAAAAAAAAAAAAAACTAAACTAAATGCGCATGCTGGTATTAATTTACCTCTCCCCGGATACGACAATTGTTTGATTCTTCTCATCACGAATCATGCAACGATACGCATCTTCTGCAATTGCAAACAAATGTGGCTCTAATTCACCACGACGGCGACCAGAGTATGCTTGGATGATATCTTGGCTGTATAGGTTGACACGGGCAAAAGGATTGGCGGCGATCAGGACAATTCCCGAGTATGTGTAAATATTGCAAAGTGAATAACGAGTCCTGATATTGCTAAGGACTGTACCATGCAAATGGAAGTCATAGTGTTATGTTACTGCTATTTGCTCCGCCCAAACGGCTAATGATGGTTCGCATTTATCATTGGAACCCAAAAAAAAAAAAAAAAAAAAAAAAAAAAAATTACCAGCTGGTTCGTTTAAATAAGAGAGGTTGGTCAAATCTTCAGTACCCTCCAATAGTGGTGGGTTACGTAAGGGGGGTAAGATGGCATCATTGCTCTCTTTGATCTTGATCAGTGTAGATGAAAAGACATGATCCTATAAACCACAAATAAAAAGATGCAGAAAATAAAATTGTGAGGTGTCAGTCGCTGTTGCCAAAAATAAATGTTAAAAAGCACTCCGACATGATCAAAAAAGGCAAAAATAACATTTGCATGAAAAGGAGTGCTTTACCTTTCCGTTGTCGTCCTGAAAGGTCAATGTGACTTTGCCATCTGCTGTCACCTCCTTGTTGGTCAGCGCGGCACTGATCCATCCTTCTTTTTCGTCGGTGAACCAGCACTTTGTGCCCTTGACATATGTTTCGAGAGACATGGCTCAGACACTGGTAAGTAGTAAGGAAGGAACGGGCACAAACGTGGTGCGGTTCTGTTGAAGGATGATGAAATAGGAGAAGGGTATATATATATATATATATATATATATAAGATTTACAAGGTGTATGATGAGATTACAGCATTTATAAGAACAAGGGCTTTAGTTACTGCTCAGATGCCACGCGAGGAAATGTCCACACGGCGTCAGAAGGAGAAATAGGAAAAATAGGGGCAGGAGAAGGAATAAACAAATAGAACAAATAAACAAACAAAAGAGGAGAGACTTGTCTACAGTGTTCTCTCGGATGAAGGATTAAAAAGCCAGAAAAGAATAGGTGTAAAGGATATCTTGAACGAACATGTCAATGTGTAGTAGCGCTACTTCTGGCGTTATCTTAAGAGCGAACGAGTGCACATGAGCAAAGAGAGATCAAGATGGGGTATACTGGGTGTTGAGAAAGAAGGGTATGCAAAGGAAAGGAGACAAGAGAGAAAGAGAAAGAAAGAAAGAAAAAAAAAAATAGAAAGAGAGAAAGAAAGAAAAATAAAAAAAAGGGGAAAATGATCAAAGGAAGGGGGCAGGACAAGTATATCGGACCCATGTTCTGTATGCGAAGATCGTGTCCCACCTTCACTCATAATTTTTTTTTTTTTTTTTCTTAAACCGAATTAAAAATAAAATAAATAAACAAACCAATTGTACAAAAAAAAAAAAAAAAAAAAAAAAAAAAAACCACGCTAGTAACTTTCTCTCTTTCTCAGCATATAGAGGCGAAGGTAAGAAATGTTGCCCTGACTAACATCTCTTGTATTAAAATAATTTATTCCCGTGTCTGATATGAATAGAAGGCATGTGGGAAGAGAGATGCATGAGCACTACTTTTGCTGCTGTACCTGTGAAGTTCGTTTATGGGATAATAAAGGATAGCGATAATATATAATAATGACAAGGATAATGATAATGATGGTAATGATGATGGTGATGATTATAATGGAAATAAATGTGATAGTAGGACATTTCTAGTCAAAAAAGATATGTCTGTCCGTTGAGCTACTCTTTGTGTGCATCGCCACCTCTTTTTCCTCGCCAGGTTTTCTTCTTCATTCATGTGTCCTCGTCTTTTCGTTTAGTCCATCAGTCTTCTTTGATATACGTCCTTCCCACTTCTGTGATCAGCCAGGAGTAAGGAGGGGATGGAATGGGATAGGATGGGTCTATTTTTGTAGACTTGCTGCTGTTTGTTGCCTGGAATGTGTATTTTTTAATATTGTGCGTGCATGTGTATGTTATCAACGAAGTTTCGTCCAAGATGAACATTCACACTTAATCGCATCTCTTGAATGATTCAGAACCAAATGAGCGAACTTCTTTTTCTATTCTCTCCTTCTCTTCTCTCTCAAGGAAAAGAGAGAAAAAACTGTAACGATGGTCTCGTCGCTGCTTGGAATATGAGAAAAAACATCTTTCGCCTCATCCATCCATCCATCCATCCATTCATCCATCTGAATGTGACCATGGTATTGCTCATGTGCAAGCTCATCTTCTCAGGGGATTTCATTTCAAGTCATTCATGATTTCCATTACATCCAAATAGATTGCATATTTTTAAGAATACGTTCGTACCTTTTTCTTTACCTCCTTTTCTCCACTTTTTTTCTTTTTTTTTTTTCTTTCTTTTTCTATAGACTGCTTTAGGGATAAGGATAACAGTGATAGATGATGAAGGAAGAAGGTGAAGAAGAAAAAAGAGGAAAAAAAAAAAAGTGAGCCAAGAGCTGAAAATCTGGTCTATACGACACTGTAACAACACAAAGATAAGAGAAGCCCTCCTCTGTAGTATTTCTCTTGCTCAGCCGAAAAAGAGAGTACTCCGTGAGGTAATAACCTGTCTCAGGGATTACAACTGTGAGCCATGGACAGCTCTTTCTCTTTCAGTTTGATCCTCGTGGCATGGTATTTCATGTCTGCGCCACCAATGCAAAAATATGTATTGCTCTTGCATGCTGGGCTGAGTCGCGTGCAATGTCCCCTGCGTACATTAAAAACTCGACCTCTTTGTTCTTCTGTTCGCTTCTTTTAGTCCTATCCTTCTTCTTTTCTTTTCTTTCTTGCTTATTTTTTTTATTCGCCATTGCTATTGCTATTGCTATTACCACCACTCCAAGCCGCCGCTACATCCATAAACTAACCTTCTAGAAAGTAAACCTTAAGTAATGGCCATTTATTTCACTGGGGCGGATCTTGTTCTCTTTGCCATCGCGTTCTTCATACCTCCACTCGTAAGTTGTGCGAAGAAAAGGAAAATAACCTACATCCCTCTATTATTCTACTAACGCATCATGTTTCTAAAAAGAAAAAAAACTCACCCCGATTGCTTGCTTCTCTTTTTTTTTCTTTATAAATGAATAGGCAGGTAAAGACCATTGTTTCATTTACCAATTTCCTGCTATCCAAAGCATATAATGAAAAAAGACTGGCACGCTGCTGTATTGTATTCCCTAACAAATAAATGAAATGGTCTCACTTCCACTTTACTTTTCTGATATATCAGTGGTCTTCAAGCAAGGATGTGGATGTGAACTTCTCATTTGGTAAAGAAAACTCTGTTACGAATTTTTTTTCCCTCTCTCTTTACTTTTTGCTCGTATACTTTCCATTTGTTTTTCTATTTTGTTGATGTGGGTTGTCAGTAAAATGATGATGCCTATTGACCCCTGATCTTTTTGCCCTTGATCTTGCCGTTCAATGCATGAAAACCTTTTTTTGTTTGCATAAAATTACCGTTCACAGATTGTCCACCATTTGATAATCAACACAAGTTGCTTCTTGCTTACTTTTTTTTCTTTTTTTTTTTTCCCTCTTGTTTTAAACATGATAGCCTCTGTTTGACCCTTCTCGGACATATCCCAGGCGTTGTGTATGCTTGGTGGGTCATTTACTCAAACTGCGAGGATCCTTTGGCGTATCGCCCGCTCCATAATAACAGTCGTCCACCCCTTCGTCCGCAGACTAGTTCTCAACGTAGGACCTATTGCGAAGTGGCTGCCTCACCTCCACCAAATGGTACTCTTCCTGAAGCTGGTGTCATTCACCACTACAATAGCACTAAGAGCCAAAGTCTATCCAAAAAATAAAACAATCCCTCTACATCTTTCATATATTCACATAACGGGTTTATACAGAGCTCGGAAGATTTGGGTATTTAAGTCAATTGCTTTACTTTGAAGAGACATAATACAGATGTCAAGACTATTTGCAAAATATAAAAATAAACACTTTTTTCCGGCCTCAATTGCTGCTGATAGGAAGACCTTCAAACTTGATGTCAAGACCGTTCTAGATGGTATTATTATGGTGTTGGTGATGATGATGGTGGTGATGACTATTCTTGGCGCCATGAGTAGTAGCAGTGGCAGCCAGGATGGCCTCCTCTACAGGCTTGACTACCAAATCTGGGTAATGTTGTTCCTTCATTCGCTTGAGCGTCTCACGGGCCTTCTCTACCATACCGTTGTCCAAGTAAGCAGTCACCATGCTCTGGTATGTTGAAGGCTCCTTAATAATCACATTGTTGTTCTTGCCAGTAGATGTAGCATTAGCTGCGCTGGGATCCATCATGGCCTCAAAAACCTGCTCAGCCTTGAAGATATTCTTCTCAATACCGTATCCACGGATCAAGGTATTTTCAATATACGCACTGGAAGGTTGACCTGTTTTCAAAAGTTCATTTCGCACCTGAACTGCACGCGAGACTTGATTATTGGTGATAAAGGACTCGATTAAGGATTGATAAGCTGGACCTTTGGGAACAATGCCTGCAGCTCGCATATTATTGAAGGCTGTCTCCGCAGCACTTACATCCCGGTGCTCAACGCCATAGGCATGAATCAAAGCTCCATAGTGAGCCTCAGTAGCACGGACAGGGCCACGCTTCAAGGACTGAATTAAACAATTAGCCTCCGTCAGATCATAAGGTTGAATACATGCAAAAGCCTCCACCAACAAAGTATAGGTATGCTCTGTCGGGACCAAACGTCGCTGGAGCATGTCCTCATAGTAGAACAGAGCCGACTGACGATCCTTCTTTTGACGGACATAGAATTGAATCATAGCATTATGAGGACCATGACGAGCATGGTAGTTGGGTGCGTTAACCATCTCCTGGAACAGATTCTTGGCCATATCTTCGGATCCAACTCGGGTACAGGCGCTGATCAACGTACCATAGGTGATAGCATTGGGACGAATGTTGTGCTGAACCATCTCTTCATAAACTTCTAGCACACGCTCGATTTTGCGGCCGCGTGAAAGTTTACCAATAACCACATTATAGAAAAAGATATTGGGCTTAATGTTGTGGCGCTTGACCTCTTCCAGGATTCGAAGTGCATCATGAGCTTCGTCCACAGCTCCTGTAGTCGTAGCGATCAACAGTGTCGCATATCCAGTCGCATCCGGGAACTGACCCAACTTCACAATATCGTCATAGTTCTTCTTCGCACTGGTCATGTCACCCAGAGTCGCATTGGCAACCAACATGGCGTTGTAGATCTCGTATTCTGCGGTTCGCCTTTGGCTCACATCTGTAATTGAAGCAAGCGATTGTTCAGCTAAGGCAAAGAGTCGTTTGTAATCTGTTGCTCGCTCCTTCTCGCGTTTTGCGCATACTTGAATTGTATCTGCAATGGCCTGAGCAGAAGGAAGTTGGTTCTGGCTGATCATCTTGTTGATACTCTCTATCGCTGTAGTTGCATAACCTAATCGGCATGCACGGATAATTGCTTCCGAAGGATCGTTGGCATTGCTGTTGTTGTTTCGTGGAGATGTTGCTGAGCCCTGAGAGCTAATGCTGGAGGATCGACTGCTATTGTTGCTATAGTAGGAAGAGGGAGTTGTCGATCCTGACACTGAACCAATTTCGCTCAATTCCTGCTCTAAATCTTCAGGCACAGTGGGGCGATATCCAGGGTAGATCTCTTGTACAGCAGTATCCCATGCAAGCTGGCCAGTGTAATCGTTGAGCTTCATGAATGAGAGCGAGACTTGAGAGCACATCTCTTGGCTTGGTATAATGTTCATTTCCTTGGCATCCAAAAGAATTTCAATCAGATGCTTGTATCGATTGATAGTTTTGAGAGATGACTGCAAAGAGAGCAAAGTCTCGATATCATTCACATTGATAAGGGTTTTGACTGCATCCAATCCTGCATTGGTCTTAAAGTTGCGGTATGTACGAAGAGCGCCATCTGCAAATCCTGAAGAAGCAAGCAATCCATGCCTGAAAGAAACAACGTACGGAGTTTAATAAAAACAAGCACATTAGCAGCAGGAAGAGAAAAATAATATTCGGAGCAACCGGAGTTACAAAAGAATAAAACTGTCTTTTTTTTTTTTTTTTTTTTTTAAAAAAAAAAAAATACCTTTCAAGTAGCTTGGCAAGTGAGAGTGCTTGCGAAAAATCGCTGCTGTGGTTCGCAATGTCTTTGGCTAGAGAAGCATAAAAGGTCTTGTGGGAAGTTGTCATACCTCTGCCCTGATTCTGGTGACAGTCCACAAGCATAGACAGCGCCTTTTCTGCATCCTTGGGGCTATTCATGTCCAAGAACTGTGCAACAATACGAGAGGAAAGAACAAAGTCTGCATACAGCCCTTCATGTTGCATCTTTTGTAGATATGAAAACACTGTTCGAGCATCCTGTCCACTGATGGCTTCCCATGCATCACTCGAGATTTCGCTGTACTTTGGAATCACAGGCTTGCTGCCATTGTTATTTGTGGCAGATTTATTGAAGTCCTTGCGGAAGTTTACATTGGCAGTCAAAGGTCCTTGAAATCGTTGGTGTGATGTCGACAAAGAGAGAGAACCAAGTGGGCTGTTGGTCGAGAAATGCGACGAGGCAGCAGCATTGTACCCATGGAATTGATATGCCCCTGTGACAGCAGCACTGTTGTTGTTACTATCGCGGTTCGCTTGAGTGGAAGAAAAGGAACGGACAGGGTTGGAAGGCGCATTGGCTGCGGAGACATTTCCTCCTTGAGCGGCAGTACGCTGTGACAGTGTCAGAACCGAGTTCTTGGTGTTTCCGAGAGGCATGAACTGACGAGACACACCCTGACGGGTGATGTTTCCCAGCATAGCAGTTGTCTTGAGGTTCATCATCTTGGATATATACTAGGTTTTTTTTGTGGTAAAGCTCGTTACGGAAAGGGTTCTCCTTTTTCGTAGGGTATTTAAATTTAAAAGTACAAAAAAATGTCGTAACCAAGAGTGGGGTGAGAAAGAATGAGAGAAGAGAGGGAAAAAGATAAAACTAAAAAATTGCTTGTTTCGTTGCTTGCTATTAGAATAAGAGTAGGAAAAAAGAAAAGGAAAAAAAAAAAAAAAAAAGTAAAAGACGCCAGCATATAAACAGATCCAAAGGAACCATGAACAAATGAGCTGTTTGTCATGTAACGACAGAAGCCGATCGAACCGAATGGTGTGTTGTTGGGCCAGAGGAGGCTCTTATTACAAAAAAGGAAATTTGTCTCAGGGAATGAAAGCAGGCGGGTAGCTCCGAAGACGAAAACGGTCTCTTCCGATGAGGGGTAAAAAAAAATGAGACAAATTGTTGACATGACATTCACAAATAGAAAAAATAAATATTTAATTGCATGTATATACCATCTCGTGCAATTAGATATGCCCCATTAATCCCATTAATTGCATGTCGTGGACACCAATCAACCAAAAGTTGAAGCCTTGCAGGGAAAAATATTTCAAGTCTAAAGAATTTGCACACATGAACCATATGAACGAGTCAAAAAAACAACTGCTTCATGCTACTGGGCCACCATCTGGTGCATGATTTGCATATCCGAAACTCAAAATAAGCATGATTATGCTTTATAATGTCAGATGGCTCATGCTCTGTCTCTCCGTCTCTTTTCACACCCGAGACAACTGATGGATCTACGATTACAAAAACATATCATTAATAAATCTCATTTCGTGCACAATATCCCAGGGTACATGAGCACACGATTACCAAGGACTGATGCTAAAAAAGTAACAAGTCAATGTGATATATCATGATCGTTTTAGGCATTGTGCTTTTGAAAGAAATGCTACTTCCTAAGACGCTCCAGTAAGGTAATTACGGCAATGATTCTTTGAGACTGTCAGCTGTGCTAAATGGGCTTATCAGTCTAAATGGAGTAACATTCCCGTCAGAAAAGCCGACGTGGTTGAGACTGCGGTAAAGGGAAGTTGACGTGCGTGTATTAACAAAAACTTGGCGGTGTGCCCTCATAACACCATGGCCCCATAAATATCTGAATATTTTCATCTTACTCGCAATACACTCACATGTAAATGAACTTCACATATTCATCTTATTTGACAGCAACTTGAATAATTCTAATGATAAATATTTCCATGAGTTCGAAGCCCTATTTATACTTCTTCGGCTTTCTCCTACTCAATAGCAGACTTTAAAAGCAGTAATGAGATTTCAAAATTACTCTCTTAACTAAATTCCTGCTACAACTACCATAATGTGGACCACGTTAAAAGCAGTTTGGATAAGTACTTTGTATGTACATTTGTTTTAGGCACCTTATACTATGCTGGGACTGGCTTCCTTCTACGGAGATAAAGAGCAGGGCGTAAGTGGACCAAACTCTTGACATTGCACAGTGTATTCAGTGTATGTGGTGTAGGTATCATTTGGACTGGACGCGCTGTTGCTCTTCTTGAAGCACTATTTCAAACAACTGAAGGCTGCTTAGGTAGACTCCGTCAGCTTTACACTTATGGGACTATATAGCTATAGCCCAATCATCCTCTGCCCATTTCCTGTACCTTCTTTAATGAACCGCTGGTCCTTTGACAATCATTTTGGCCATTAGCCTTGCTTCATAATTGACACTAAATTTTAATAGCGGAGACGGATCGTAGAAACAGCTTATTGGCTTCATTAGTAGCCTCGATTGCTGTTCTGAGGACTCCTTTTCTACATTCTCTTCTTGGACGATATCATTTACTCCCTCGTGTTTATCAGAAGAAGCTCAGTAATGGCTGACGTGGAGCTCATGAGGCGCCTGGCAGATTCACGAGTTAACCTTGCATCATCGGATCATATGGCCGCCTTGACTTTTGCCCGAGTGACCAGCTTCATATTTGGCTGGAGTATGGAGGAGAGAGATGGATAAAGGAGGATAGAGATAGATGATTTTATGTGCTTTAGTTGCCAACAATATGTCAGCATTCAAGTGACCAATCGACCTGTTGTGACAACCATAAGCCAAAAATACCGATCCTATTGCTGAGAATACGGGTTAGCATAGTACAGTAGTAGTGTTTATAGCGTCTTCATGGCCAATCAAGGATACATAAGAGAAAACAGCGTCAAATCAAAATTTTTGATTCGAAACACTAAATGTATGTAGTATGTACGATATGTTTGTACATGTGTGTGTGAGCGAACCATTACAGGCGATAAGTGGTAAAGACGTAGCAGTAAAAAGACTTTTAAGGTGTGAAATGAATGTTGGACCGAGTCTAACTGCGTCAGCCATTTAACCGCATGATAGTCCCTGATCTCAATCTCTTCTTCTTACGACCTTGATAAAAGAACAAGGAGGATGTATCAGGCATCCATTACTCTGCAGTCTTCGTCTAGAGATGGATGACTTGGAAAGCACCACATACTTCGTGCAAGATAGTCCATGGCTATTGATTATTCATTTAGCAAGCGCTAAAGGATGTAGAGTATATACGAGTCGTATCAGTCAATTATCATCTATCTATCGCCTCAACCGCATTCTCACATATCGTTTACTGTTTAATCGCGCCAACGTCTGTCAATGAAGTAAGCAGTAAAAAAAAATTCTTCCCTTCTGAAGGTGCATGCAACAGGAACGTGGAAACTTTGATCTTTGCACTGCAAGTCAACAATACAGTTGTGAGAGCCCTGCACACGAGAAGAGTCATCGATTGCCAATTGTCGAACCAAAAAGGAAAAATGAGTAATAAGTTATCTTGTCCCTCCAATGTGGAGCGGGGAGAGACGCATGCATGGACCAGCCTAGTAACTAAAGCTGATTTCTGCTCTATATCTCCCCGAGTTCAACCATTTGGCATCATTACACTCACGCACAAACGCTTTTGTAGATCTTACGCTTATTCATTCGATAACAAGTCGTATAGATTTATTATACCACCCAAACTGCGAGAACAATAACCATCGAAAAATACTGTGAATGTGTGTATGGTATATGTTACCATATCATACCATATCATATCTTTAACGTTCATTTCTGAAGGCTTCTTTTACAATTGGCTTTATTGATTAAAAGAGAGAGGAAACTAGCGTTATGTTCCAGCTGCGGCTGTAGAAGAGAAATGTGGGAGTGAAAGTTGATGATGAAACGTTCAGAAGAAAGCATGGATGTTCTTTTTATTTCAGTCTCGAACGTTGAGGGAGCGGGACAAAGATAGCTACTTGACTTGGGGTCAATAAAAATATTAATTTTAAATCAAAACTGACTCATTCCACACCCGATTAATATTTGATTTGACTTATCTCTTATTCCTTGGAAAAGTCGTTAATCCTCCCCTGGATCATAAAACGCATTTTCTCTCTTCCTTCTCTTACCCCAATCTTCCTTCTCTCTCCCTTCTCTCTCTTGCATTGTTTCATTCTTTTGGTTGCTAGTTTTGATAGATCACTTCTCTCCGCTCTCCCTCTCTTTTTCTGTTTCAAAAACAAGTTTTTAATATTCTTTATTCATTGCATTCATACACAAGCATTCATTCATTCTTGCATTTCTCATTTCATTCTTTAAAGATGCCTTCCATGACTGCTTCTCCTCTCAGGGACTCTCTTCCTCGCCGTGTTGGTATCGAAGTTAACACCAATGGCCACTCTGCTCCTCACACAAACGGCCATGCTACAACCACTGCAGCAGACCCTGAGGACCCTAATTTTGCCAGTCAAAAGCCATGGCTTGTCCAAAAGTTCGGCGGTACAAGCATTGGAAAATTCATTGAAAACATCACAGGCACCATTGTTCAGTAAGATATCTTCATAATACAAAAAAAAAAAAAAGGGAAGTCTATAATCTTTTCTGATGGGCTATTAATCATTTTTTTTTTTTTTTTTTTTGTTCTATTTTTTGTACCAGATCATATCTTCCAACGAATCGAGTCGTTGTTGTTTGCTCAGCAAGAAGCAGCGAAAGCAAGTCACTCGGTACTACGAACAGGTACAATGATCATGATCCTTTGTTGGCAGTGCTGTCGATCCAATTGGTTGCTATTCCAAGACTAACCCCTCCTATCATTTTCGGCTTTCTACTTTGACATTCAAACAGACTGTTGAGGGCTGCTAAATCAGCTATGAGTCCCGGATCCATTGAATATATCGAAGTAGTACAAGAGATTCGACTTGATCATCTTGACGTTGCAAAAAAACACATATCAAATCCTGAAATCCTTAAGCGGGTAATGGAGGAGGTTAACCAGGACTGCGACCGTCTCAAGGCATTCTTGGAGGCAGCCCAGGTAAGGAATGATTACATTTCTCAAAAAAAAAAAAAGAAAGAGAGAGTCGAAGAGGGAAAAACTAAGCATGCCAACTATAATACTCTTTTTTTTTTTTTTTTTTTTTTTTAGATTATTGAGGAGATTTCACCAAGATCAAATGACATTATTATGGCAGTAGGCGAAAAGCTATCATGCAGAATTGTTGCCGGTCTGTTAGAGGACCGAGGTGTGGAGACCCAGTTTGTGAATTTGGAAAATGTGATTGAGACCAAATTCGAAGTTGAATTTTTGGATCAGAACTTTTATGATTACCTCTCACGTGCATTTGCATGTGCCATATCCAATTGTGGCCACCGTGTCCCTGTTGTCACTGGTAAATATCGTGGAAGTAATGGTACCAAAAAAAAAAAAAAAAAAAAAAAACTTAACATTTTTGTCTCTATTATTATCGGTTGTACTTTTAGGATTCTTTGGCCCTGTTCCTGGCAGTTTGTTGACCAGTATTGGCCGTGGTTATACAGATCTTGCTGCTGCACTAATTGCGGTCGGTCTTGATGCAGAGGAACTGCAGGTTTGGAAGGAGGTGGATGGTATCTTCACGGCCGATCCTCGCAAGGTCAAGAGCGCAAGACTGTTGAACATCATCACACCAGAGGAGGCCTCCGAATTAACGTATTATGGCTCTGAGGTCATTCATCCATTCACAATGGAGCAGGTGATCCGTGCACAGATCCCGATCCGCATTAAGAATGTGATGAATCCCCAAGGCGAGGGTACAATTATCTTTCCGGATCAATCTTCGAGTACGAGCACGCCCAACGGCAGGAATACGCCTCCACCTTCGTACAAGGTCCTGTTAGAAAATGGCTATTTATTAGATATGTCACGGCGGCATCCTACGGCGGTGACCATCAAAGATAATGTCTGGGTGCTGAATATTCATTCGAATCGCAAGTCGGTTTCGCATGGGTTTTTTGCTCAAATTTTTAGTACGTTGGATCGATTTGGTATTGCAGTTGATCTGATCTCAACGTCCGAGGTTCATATTTCAATGGCGTTTGGTGCAGTGACGAGTGAGATTGAGAAGAAGTGTATAGAATCATTGCGGTCGATTGGTACAGTTGATGTGACGAAGAATATGGCGATCTTATCGTTAGTTGGCAAGCAAATGAAGAACATGGTGGGAATATCAGGCAGAATGTTCACGACGTTAGCAAAAGCGGGGATCAACATTGAGATGATCTCCCAAGGCGCTTCTGAGATCAACATCTCGTGCGTGATTTTGGAGCGGCAAGCTCTAGATGCCTTGAACGTCATTCATGAAGAGTTACTGAGCAAAGTTGGAAAATACGAAGAGGCAGAAGACGATTCGTAAAAAAAAAAAAAAAAAAAAAAAAAGAACAGAAAAAGAAAAAGAAAGCACTCCCTAATCAATGTAAATATTTATTCTTTTTTGATTTCTAAAGATCCTTCCTTTCTCTTCTTACTTGCATCTTTTACACTGATGATTTTAGTAATAACAATGATAATAAAAAGAATAGAAGTGAGTGACACAGCCAAGCCTCTACTACGCATATTTACCATCAAATTAGAGAAAATTTGATCTTCGCCACACAGACTTTTGACATTGAGACATTGACCAAGGTGCTGCACAGACAGCAGTCCCAAGTAATAAGATTTCTGTGGAGTTTCACCGGAAGCCTTGATCGCTGGGAGGAAAAGGCCATTTTTATGGAAAAAGGTTGATGGCATTGGAAAGTAAGTTGGTCTAGAGCGATTGAAAAATATAATCCTGAAATAGAAGTAAAAAAAATGGGACTCTGGTGTAGAGTCGAGAATGGAGCACAGCCCAAGAGGGAGGGAGAGTTTTGGCTCAGCTCCATTCTGTGTATTTATTCATGATGTGGCGGAGGTATTACATGATAGGATGGGAGATGTTGTTGAGGCAGGCTGTGGTCAATAGGTTATGACTGATGGTATTGAATGTTAGCGGTATGAGGGAGACCCATTCATGGTAATGAAAAAAAATAATAATAACGGGCATTGCAATACACAAAGTCCTTGCTCACACAGGCATATTTTATTCACCTTTTTGAACCCAACGTTTTCTTTTTCTTTCTCTTTCTTTTTCTTCTTTCATCACTTTAATCTATTCGTATTCGCATTTGCATTTGCATCCAGGGGTCATCAAATCAACCAATTTCTATTTCACAATCATTGTCACCCATTCCATTCCAAAGCAGGACTTTCTGACACTCTCATATCTTCATACTCTTACATCTCTCATCAATCCATCATATAAAAAAGAACAAAAGATGCATCGAGTACTACTGAACCATGGCCGTCCTCCAGTTGGCATGAACAAGCCTTTACCAGAACCACTCGTTGACCCTGATGAAGGAAAAACTCCCATTGGTAATAATAATAATAATAATAATAATAATAATAAAAAGAAATTGAAATTTTAATTCCAGTTATCATTCAAAGTATCATTCGAAAGTGTCTCACACATTGATATCATTTTATGCTTTTTTTTATTGTTCCTTTTTTCAGGTGAGTTGGTCATTATCCCTATTCAGGGAAAGGATCTTCCTAACCGTGAACGATTCGGAAAGCAGGATCCCTTTATTCTCTTCAAGCTTGGAAACGTCAGTAAGAGGAGCACTACAGATATCCGCGGTGGTCAACGACCCATGTGGAAGGATGACCAGGTAATCAAAACGCAAAAGCGAATTTCGAGGCGTGACGCATGGATAAAATTTTCCCCTCGGGAGGACAAACAGTCTCCAAAACAGTGATCTTATCTCAGCATACAACACGACATGGATTAGCATTGGACATTTAGTTCAGCTCATGGGTTGAAATATTGGAAAACTGCAACATGCATATTTGTTTTTTTCCACGCATCTCTTCGTTGCCTAGGCTTATTTAGCACCCCCTCCCCTTTCTCAATTGCCCTCGTGCACGACAGATGGATGGAAGGAAAGAAAGAGAGAAAAGTAAAGTGAACAAATTTAGGAGAAGATGCGACTGCTCAGCAATTTTTCAAACCCTGATTAACCAGCTGGAATCATTACCAGAGTTGGGAAGAGTCAGCGGAAGGTCATAAGATAGAAAAGAAAAAGTGACAACAGAAACAGACATGCACATATACCACACACATATTAGATATTGTAGAATCGCAACCTTCTGGAGAAGTCTTTATGACTGTCTAACTTCTCTCATTAATCTTTTTTTTTTTTGCTACCGCTGTTTTTTATAATTAGATCAACATAAACATGTATGAAAGCGATGCAAAAGATGCTCTATCGCTTTATGTTACCTGCCTGGACGAAGATCCTAAAAAGAACGATTTGATCGGTGATTGCGTCATTAACCTTTCCAAAGTCATGGAACAAGGAACACAAGATGGTAAATGCAGAAAAATGAGTATATCTCAGGACTTCACGCTTGATATCCAGTGAGAAAAAGGAGAACGTTTGATTAACCCCTTGATTCTAAAAAATTTGCCTGGATTAGATTGGTTTGAGCTTACGTATAAAGGAAGAGAAGCAGGAATGCTTATGCTTCAATTGACATACTATTCACATGTAAGTAGTCTATACCATTGTGCTACGTTCTTTGTATCATCTTGCTTTGTTTCTGTTTTCTGCTCGAGTCTAAGCGTATGTCTTATGACCTTGATGTAATACAGGATCCTAGCCATCGGTTTTTCAGAGCAAATCATCCTGCAACAAAGGAAGGTAATTCAGGACGTCGATCCATTCATCCACCCAAGAAACCCAAGGCAGAGGAGAAGCCAGTTGTGGAGGAGCATACGGATGAAGGTCCTGTATACAAACCACCAGTTGTACCTGAGCCTCCTACTCCAGCTCCACCAGCTCAAGTACCTATGGTTCCTGGAGCCGCAGGATATCCATATGGTACCTTGCCAGCTGGAGGAGCGGCTGCTCGTCCAGTATCACCATCAGGTCACGGACATTTTGCTGGTCACCATACTCCCCATGTCCCGCCAGCCACTCCTTATGCTGCTCACCAGCCTGTGCCAGGCAATCCCTATGCAACCCCCGGTGCTGGTGGATACCCAGCATATCCAGCAGCAGGTACTGCTGGTCCATATCCAGACCCTGCATTGAGTGCAGATCCAAGTAAGCGTCTGTCATTCCCAGGACAGACGCCAATTGTCCCGCCTCAACAGCCCGGTGGATTCTTGCCGGGTGGGTACCCTCCAGCAGGAGTAGGGGCTATGGGTCCAGTTCCAGGTGCCGGAGGTTATCCTCCTCAAGTTCCTGGTACACCGGCTTTCCCACCTCAGAATGTTGGAGGTGCCTATCCACCCACTACTGGAGCAGGAATGGCTAATTCTCCTTACCCACCAGCACAACCATTGCCAAACAATGCAGGTGGACCACCAGCTGGATACCCATTTGCAGCGTCCAATATTTATCTACCTAATAGCAATAGCAGTAATAGTAGTAACAACAGCAGTAATGGTAGTTTCCCTGGAGCATACCCAGCGAACAATAACAACAACGGGAACATGAATAACATGAACAATATGAACAACATGAACAACAACTTCAATAACGGCGGCAATAGCTTCAATAACAATAATGGTTTTAACAACAACAGCCCAAGTAGTTTTAACAGCGATGGAGGCAGCTTCAACAGTGGAGGCAGCTTCAACAGTGGAGGCAGCTTTAATAACAATAACAATTTTGGCAACCAAAGAAACAGCTTTAACAACAGCAATAATAATAATAACTTCAGTAATAACATGAATGGAAATAACGGCTTCAATAACAACATGAATGGCGGAAACAACTTCAACAACAATAACTTTAACAACAACAGTAACTTTAACAACAATAACAGTAGCTTTAATAACAATAACAACACCAACTTTAACAACAATAGGAAAAACACCATCACACCCACGCCAATTGTAGCAACCTCGGCGCAGCAAAGTCGTCCGACAGCCATGTATGGGCCTGATGAGTTTTAAGAGAGGCTTGTAGCCCTTTTGCATCCTTGTTGATGATAGATGTGCAATTTTGGGTTTTTTGTTATTCCATAAAAAACACGTTTTGAAAATAAAAATTTTTAACGGGCAAAAAAAAAAGAAAAAGAAAAAAAAGCTGTGGCTTTTAATGGATACACCAGTGAATCATTCCATCTCATCGAGCAAGACAAGTTCCCAGCAGATCAATAGTCTATCAACTCTTTCTCCGCAATTTTTCGATTTCCTTTTCTGTATTTTAAAGTGAATTTGTATTGTATGGTGTATGAAAAATATCGATCTCAAACTCTTTTGATTGTATACATGTACATGTACATGAACCAAAATGGGCAAGTAATCTTGTTCGAGCCCAACAGGCAATATTCAAATCTTCTGGGGTAAAGATCAAGCTTAGAGAACAGAATAAGACACGACTGGTGCCTGTGGCGCTTCATCACCGTTAAAATTGAATTGTAAGAAAAAATAAAAATAAAAGGAGACATTTGTTTTGTTTTTGTTTTTGTTTTTGTTTTTAAATTCATTTCTTCCTCACGCTCCTTCATTCTCTTCTCTTCATTTCGCCAACGCTCCTTCCCTACGCATCTTGCTTCCCGTCTTTTTTCTGTTTATTAGTCAGTTTGTTGCCTTCGCTCTCCCTTTTTTTTTTTTTTTTTTTTTTTTGTTGTTCATTCAATAATAGTTCACGACACATATCACATAAAAAATATCACATCTTTCATAAACTATGCTCGTACTTCCTGGAACACAAGCATTGTCGCCTTTCAAGGCACATGCTTTGTTGCAGCAAATTCAAGCTGCGGTGCCCTCAGTCAAGTCGGTCTCCACACGCGCGGTCCATTTTGTACAGCCCAAGGCCGATCTCGATCCAGCAGCTTTGACAGAGTTCTTGACCAATAGCAACACAGCTGAGAGACGTATTCTCGATACCATGTTCTCCTCGCCTTCTGCTGCGACTAATGCACCCATCGAGGTATAAAAAAAAAGACATTGTGAAAGGTGAAAGGTGAAAAGCGAAAGGAGAATGTGAAGTGAGGAAAAGAACAAAGGATAAAAGGAAGGGTAGAAAAATCATAGCTGATCTCTCACAATGATCGCTTCATTTTTTTTTTTTTTTTTTTTTCATAAAAAAGGACGACCATGAACTCTTGAGACTTCTTACTCAACATAGCAGCAGCAGCAGCAATAGGACAGAAGAAGGATTCAATTTTTTTATCGTCCTACCGCGTGTTGGTACGATCTCGCCATGGTCTTCCAAGGCCACCAATATTGCACAGATGTGCAATCTGGATCGCCATGTGCAGCGTGTGGAGCGTGGTCAAGCCTATTTAATCAAATTAAAGGAAGATGCAGCCAAGCAGTTATTGAGCGAGCAAGAGTTCAGGGCCATCACTGCCCTTGTTCATGACCGCATGACCCAGGATGTATTAAACGTCATCCCAAACGAGAAAGTTATTTTTAAGGTATATAGAAAAAAAAAAAAAAAATGAAAAGAGAAAAGAGACGCGAATCAAGGATTTTAGGAATGAGATTCAAAGCAAGGAAGAGGAATCAACTCCAATTGAAATATCGTGATCCAACAACGAAGCCGTTTTCATGACGATTAGATCAGCTCTACATATTGTGTCTTCTTGGGATTTTGCTGCTGTTGATGACTCCGAGTTTTTTTTTTTAAAAAAAAAAAAAAAGTTTTTGCTGGCAGTCACAACACTGTTTTTGTTTTTGATTACTGTCCTAATGTCATCTCTCCCAAACCATGTTGTCTTGTAGCAAGGGACCCCTGCCCCACTCAAGGTCGTCCAATTGATGGACAGCAATGAGGACCGCAATCCTCGCGATGCCCGTCAGCGTTTAATCACTGCTAACAAGGAGCTTGGATTGGCTTTAGCTGAGGATGAGATCGATTACTTGGTTGCTGCTTTCATCGGCAGCAGCAAATTGAGCTCCGACAGTTGCCTAGCCCGTAACCCTACAGATGTGGAACTGTTCATGTTTGCACAGGTCAACTCGGAGCATTGTCGTCACAAGATCTTTGGAGCGGATTGGACCATTGATGGTGAAAAGAAGCCTCACTCACTCTTTGGCATGATCAAGAACACCCATCAACTCAACCCTCAGCATACCCTTTCAGCATATAGTGATAACGCCGCTGTTTTGCAAGGCCACAAGGGAGTACGGTTTGCACCTCTGGCGGAAGACAACTATTCATACAACTTGTTTGAAGAAGAGGTTCATATGGTGGTCAAGGTTGAGACCCATAATCATCCTACGGCTGTTTCCCCCTTCCCAGGAGCTGCTACTGGATCTGGAGGAGAAATCCGTGATGAAGGAGCCACAGGCGTGGGTTCCAAACCCAAAGCTGGTCTCACTGGGTTCACTGTCTCTAACCTATTGATCCCTGGACATGTCCAACCTTGGGAAACAGACTATGGAAGGCCTTCGCATGTTGCTTCCGCGCTTGATATCATGATCCAAGGGCCTCTTGGAGGAGCAGCTTTCAACAACGAGTTCGGTCGTCCTGCTATTACTGGTTACTTCCGCACGTTCCTCGAGTCCGTCCCTGGACCTAATGGCAAAGACGAAATCCGCGGGTTCCATAAGCCCATTATGATTGCTGGAGGCCTTGGAACCATCCGTCCTCAGCATGTGATTAAGAACAAGATTCAGCCGGGTGCCCATTTGGTGGTTCTGGGAGGTCCCTGCATGCTGATTGGCTTGGGAGGTGGAGCTGCTAGTTCCATGACCTCGGGAGAATCCTCTGCAGCCTTGGATTTTGCATCTGTCCAGCGTGAGAACCCGGAGATGCAGCGTCGCTGCCAGCAGGTCATTGATTCTTGCACGGCCTTGGGTCAAAAGAACCCTATTCAGTCAATCCACGATGTCGGTGCTGGAGGATTGTGCAATGCCTTGCCCGAGATTGTTCACGACTGTAACTTGGGAGCGTCAATCGAGCTCCGTAACATCAACAACGACGATCCTAGTATGTCACCCATGGAGATTTGGTGCAATGAGTCTCAGGAACGCTACGTACTTGCGATTGGACCTGAGAACATAGAGACATTCAAGGCAATCTGTGAGCGTGAAAGATGCCCTTATGCTTTGGCCGGTGTCGCTACTGCGGAGGAGAGATTGATTTTAACAGATAGTCTGTTGGGTACCACACCCATCGATCTACCCATGTCGACTCTGTTCGGAAAGCCACCAAAGATGTCACGTACGACTAGCACAATCACCCCTGCTCGCCATGCCTTTGACAGCTCACTCCAGTCTTACTTACCCTCATTGACCCAGACAGCTGAGTTAGTCACAGATGCTGCTCACCGTGTCCTCCGGCTTCCTGCAGTGGCCTCTAAATCCTTCTTGATCACAATCGGTGATCGCACTATCACAGGACTAGTCGCTCGTGACCAGTTTGTGGGGCCCTGGCAGGTCCCTGTAGCAGATGTAGCGGTCACAGCTACATCGCACGGCGCCTCGACCGGAGAAGCCATGGCAATGGGAGAACGTCCTCCGATTGCATTGATTTCAGCTGCCGCCTCTGCCCGTATGGCTGTTGGAGAGTGTATCACCAACATGGCCGCCGCTAACATTCCTTCTTTGGGCCAGATCCGTATGTCTGCTAATTGGATGGCTGCTCCAGACCATGAGGGTGAAGGAGCTCGTCTATATGAGGCTGTCCAGGCTATTGGCTTGGACCTTTGTCCTGCTTTAGGTATCAGTATCCCTGTCGGTAAGGATTCCATGTCCATGAAAATGAAATGGAAGCAAGGTGGTGAGCAGGTCGAGGTCACTGCTCCCTTGGCACTCAACATTACTGGGTTCGGGCCTGTGGCGGATATCCACAAGACATTGACGCCTGAGTTGATCACCGATATTGAAGGAGAGTCCACAGTGCTGGTACTGATTGATCTTGCTAATAATAAGGAGCGTTTGGGTGGATCTGCTTTGGCTCAGGTCTATAAGCAAATTGGTAATGAAGCCCCTGATGTCGAGAGTGCGGATCTCCTTAAGGCCTTCTTCCAGGCTATGCAGGCTATTCGTGAACATGAAGACTTGGTTCTGGCATATCACGACCGTTCAGATGGTGGTCTGTTTGCCACTGTAGTTGAGATGTGCTTTGCAGGTCATGTGGGAGTCAAGGTTGATCTGTCATCGATCTCTCTAGATGCTGTTGCTGCGCTGTTCAACGAGGAGTTGGGAGCTGTGGTCCAAGTTAGGCAGTCTCAGGTAGAGCAGTTGAAGAAGGTCTTTGCAGAGCACAACTTCCCAGTAGAGCAAGGTTTGAAGGTTATTGGAACTGTTAACGTCAAGGGTGATGACTCGATCGTGATTTCGTATCAAGGAGTTAATATCTTGGACTCCAATCGTGTAGACTTGCAGCGCATCTGGACTGAAACTTCGTATCACATCCAAAAGATCCGTGACAATTCTGAATGTGCTCAACAGGAGTTTGATGGATTGTGGGACGCTCAAGATCCTGGTCTGTCATACCAGTTGACCTTTAACCCTGCTGAAGAGATCTTGTCCGCTCATGATTTGTCACTGGAGATGGAGAGCCGACCCAAGGTAGCTATTTTGCGTGAACAAGGTGTGAACGGACAGATTGAGATGGCGTATGCATTCCATGTAGCAGGCTTTACGGCTGTAGATGTGCACATGTCGGATATTTTGTCCGGAAAGGTGACTCTCAAGGATTTCAAGGGCATTGCAGCCTGTGGAGGATTTTCATATGGTGATGTTTTGGGAGCAGGGTCAGGCTGGGCGAAATCATTTTTGTTGCATGAACAGGCTCGCAACGAGTTTCATGATTTCTTGACGGTCCGCCAGGATACTTTTGCGTTGGGTGTCTGCAATGGATGTCAATTCTTGTCACAGATGCGAGAACTGATCCCAGGAGCAGAACACTGGCCGTATTTCAAGAGAAACCAGAGCGAGCAGTTCGAGGCTCGTTTCAGTATGGTGGAGCTGGAGGACAACACGAAGACATCAGAGACCACTACACCTTCAATCTTCTTTGACGGAATGCGGGGATCCAAATTCCCGATTGCGGTCGCTCACGGAGAAGGTCGTGCAGAATTTGTTCAGGCTTCAGATCTGGAACAATTGAAGGCACAGGGATTGATTGCAGCTTCCTATGTAGATAACTATGGCAAGAAGACGGAGCAGTACCCATTGAATCCTAATGGATCTCCCTTGGGTATCACGGCAGTTCAGACACCTAATGGTCGTGTGTTGGCAATGATGCCTCATCCTGAGCGTGTTACAGGACGTGAGGCTAATTCGTGGTATCCTCGCAAGGAGGGTGCTCAATGGGGTGAGTACGGGCCCTGGTTGAGGATGTTTAAGAATGCTCGCAAATGGGTTAATAGCCATTAAGAAAAATAACATTTTAATCGTCACCTGTTGTAAATAAAATGTTAATTTCACATTGTAGTCATTATTATGGTATTTCTCTCCCCGTTTTTTTTTTTTTTTTTATTTGTACATGTATACAAATGCAGAATAATCATGGACAACAACAAGATGTAAGCGGATGGAATTGGTGCACCTTGAGGATTCATTCATGTGCTCTGCTAAACATTATGTTCACTTTAACAATACTCGACAACAATTAGCATTATAATAGAGGTAATAAAAGATCTTTTTTACAGTTCATTTTGGTGGCAAAATTAATAATTGATCACACAATTGATCCCACCATGTAATTCATGTCCATATTAATCGTATCATGTACCTTTTTTTTTTTTTTAGAGTAGCGATGAAGAAACTGAAGGACCCGGAACAACATCAATGGCTTCAAGCTCAACTACTGCCTTTACTAGTATTGAAGAAGCCAGTCAACAGTACTGTCATAGATATGAACATCAAGCAGCCACAGTTAAACGACCTTTACCCAATACTGACACCAGTAGTGATATCAACGCCGAATGCGCTAACAAGTAAGGGCTTTTTTCTTATAGTCTGTTTGTTCATGAATGAGTGGAGGGACGAGGGTCCATGAAAAAAAGAGGATATACTCACACACAGCCAATGCGGTTTATTTAGAAAGCAAAGGTCGATTTCCCTACAATACATCGATCCTTCGATCTACTTGACAACAGTTCAACGGGCTCCTGCATCACATAATGCTGACTGTGTATCGCTGGAATCATTGATCGGCGATGTAAGCCATTGGAAGAAGGGAAAAAAAGAATAGAGAATCAGATGAATAGTCCATAGTTCATTTGAAGTTAATATTTACTTTTTCGATAGCACAACCTTGAGCTGATGGTACAGATAAACTATATGATCGAAGTGGATTTTGTAATGTTCAAGATCAACGAAAGCATACGCAGAAGCTTACGGACGATTATATATCATGGTATGAGACACACCCCAGCTCAGATAAAGGTATACTTTGTTGCTCTACTTCTTTTTTTCTTTGGTACCTTAGCTCAAAAATATATATATATATGTTAATGGGCATGTTATCATATGACAGGCTATGGAGAATGCAACAAGAATACGATACCCAAGGGTAACTTTACATAAGGTACCTGTTCCTGGCATCGGTAAGAAAATATTAAAAAAAAAAACTATGTTCTTACCAATCGAGAACGCTTTTTTTCATTTTATTCTTTTTTTTTTTTTTTTTTTTTTTTTAGGTACACATCATACCAAGGCAATGCTCCTCTTCTATCGAGATGACACAATGCAAGTTGTCGTACATACAGCCAATATGATTGAGCAGGACTGGAGGTAAAAAAATACATATATATTTATATATATTGATTTGTCATATTTAACAGATTCACCATATTCTTGCTATTTTTGTTCACCGACATTTTCGCTTTTTTTTTTTTTTTTAATTTCATAGAAATAAGACTCAGGCCGTGTTTTCAACAGGACGCCTTCCGAGAAAGCCACAACAAGCCTCGACTTGTGCATTTGAACGCGATTTGATAGAGTATTTGCAATACTACCAAGATCATCATGAGTTCACAAGGAAGCTCTCACAGTACGACTTTTCGAGAGTTAAAGGAGTTTTGATTGGATCAGTCCCTGGGAAGTTTTCGGGGCCTGACAAGAACAAGTGGGGTCATTTAAGGCTACGCTCTGTTTTGAGACAACAGGTTGAGATCTCTCAAGGACGGTTGAATGATTCCGAGGTTATCTGCCAGGTAATAAAAAAAAATAAAAAAAAAGAATTGCTCGTAAAAGGATTATCAATAGACTGAATCCATAATCCTAATCTAACATTCCTACTCTTCTTTTTATAAAAAATAACAAAAAAAAAGGTATCAAGCGTGGGATCATTAGGTAAAGAGTCCCAAGACTGGCTGCAGGGAGAGTTTGAGACGAGTCTAAATGCTCATCGTAACGCGAATCACATGAATCCTACAAAAGCAAATCTTTGTATAGTTTATCCAACAGCGGAAAATGTTCGTATGAGGTAAAAAGAAAAGAAAAGAAAGACGCGTTTTGGGCTCATAAATGTAATAACCCATGGGGCACATATTTTATGATTCGCGTTCATTTCAGTCCTAATCATGCTGTTATTGCTATAGTTTCGAAGGATGGACAATGGGGGGTAGTCTACCATTTAGGTCTACAAGTTACAAAAAGCAGGCTCACTACTTTAAGCCACTTTTACACTCCTGGAAAGCGGTCAAGAGTGGTCGTGAACGAGCTATGCCTCATATTAAAACATTTACACGAGTGACTAGAAAGGAAAATGACGGCGATTATTTATCTTGGTTCCTCCTCACGAGCGCTAACCTTTCAAAGCCAGCTTGGGGCGAAATGAAGTCCAATTCTGTTTTCTCGATTCAGAGCTATGAACTAGGAGTCTTAGTCTTTCCTGGTCTCTATGAGGTAAAATATGAAATGGCTGAAAGTGAAAAAAAAAAAAAAAAAAAAAAAAAAATTGCATGTCCTGTCTGACCTTCCTTTTACTTTTTTTTTTTTTTTTTTTTTTTTTTTTCGTGGATACATGTAGGATGTAAATGATGCAGGAGACCATCATCGTGCATTCTTAATGAACAAAACGTTAGATGACCCGTATCCTGAACCTCACTTTACCCATTTCACTGGGGGCGAAGAGACAGGAAAAGAAAAAGGATCTAATGAACAAAGTCAAATACAGCAAAAGATCAATGTTGTGCCAATTCGCTTACCATATGATCTACCACTGAAAAAGTATGATCACTCAATAGACCATGTTTGGCTTGCGGACAAGTACTTTCCGGGGCTGGACGACTTTGGGAACTCGCTTGGGATGTAAAGGAAGAGACGAAGCAATTAATCTTCCCATCCTTCCTATCGACGAACATCGACTGCTCGGACTTACTTGTAAAAAAAAAATAAAAAATAAAAAATAAATAATTTTTTTATTTTCATTTTTTTTTAGTCTTTTTTAACTGTATGTATTATCGGTGTATTTCTTTTCCTTCTTAAGTACTTTGCGGATACATCATGTGGATGGAAATCATCTGGGCATCTTGAATGGTTCCCAACAGAAGAGTAACCATGTACTCAAGGTTTGTAGTATGCAAGGTTCTGATTCCATCTGGAGTGTTACTTCAACAATGAAAACGATACGGTTTTTGTATCGGGCTTATAACAAGTGGAAGCAAGGCACATGTATATAACAAAGCGGCTCTAAACTGAAATTCAAGAAAAAGCTCAAATCTTCCCACAATCCACGCTGAGCTAGCTCAAAGGCGCTTGATGTGTAAAGTGAATGGATGGCCCAAGCCAAGAGGAGAAATTGAAAAAAAAAAAAAAAAAAAAAAAAAAAAAAGTGGGGTAAAAGAACCCAGTGTGACAAACACGTCAATGTTAGGCAAAACTCCCATCGAACTGTTTATCAACTGTGTTGTGTAGCAATGATAGCAATGCGAGAATGAAGAAGAAAGAAAGCATTGAAGGAAAACAAGTTCAGTCAGTCAACTGACAGCGTTGGAACGGAATAAATCGAATAATGGGTCTAGACACCCGCTCTCACGTCTTACATATGGAGAGTATCTGTAATAGAAAACTAAAATGGCTCTTAAGCTCGAGATGACTGCCTGTACATGCACCAATAAAGTACTGGTTGTTCATGGGAAAAAAAACGAAATTAATTAAATGCCGACCGTTTTACATGCAATTTGTGTTCCAATCTCATAGTTTTTCACTTTTGACATTGGATATACACCAATGGTATATAATAATTTATGCACAAAAGATTTCGACGGAGATGGAAGTAGCACAGATAAGCCTTTTCTTTGAAACTCTTTCTTTGAATTCAAGCACATGTTCACGAACTTGATTTCCATATTGAGCAGAGGCGAGTGCGGGGAAGTTGAGAGCAGGAATTAGTTGAAAATTAAAAAAAAAAAAAAAAAAAAAAAAAAAAAAAAGAATCGCAGGAACCATTTAAAAACAAGCATTTGGGGCCCTCAAGGTTGAAGCGGGTTAATTCCAATGACTTGATGTATAAATGAGACTATTTCTTCTTGAGACGAGACGAGTGACAGAAATTTGAAAAATGTAATGAATTCGGGTGTGATAGGGTGCATTTGTACAAAGGTAAAAAGAAAAAAGAAGTCTGCTCATGTATTCTAACAGCCCATCAAATGAACAAAAGAACACAAAGATCACAAAGGAAGGAGTAGGAAGAGCTGCTGGCCAATAGGATTCACTCCTACGATAATATGCATATTTGTTTTGCGCTCAGGAATTCTTTTTTGTTTGTTCAATATGGGTGGTGTCTGCTTAATTTTTTTAAGCCCAATGAAAGGGGTCCAAATTAAACGATTAAACTAATAACTATATTCAAAGTTCGTCTTGAGAAAAAAAAAAGCGTGGCGTATGTCCGAAAAGATACATGTTGAGCGAGCGGAGAAAACTGTCTTAGATAGACGTTACAAGCTCATGTAAAAAAAAACAACTTTGGGTTGTTATTTAACCCTCAAATGCCAATATACACACGAGTAGTTTGGCGTTGACTAGGACACGGGGAATATTCCACAAACGAGAGCTTAATGGGATATGGATTCTTCGTGTTTTTCCTCGTATGACTGAAAAACTTGGGAACTATAATAGTAGATGACAATAACACATCCTCATTAACAACAGTAATAAAAAACAGGATATGAGACAAAGGGCTGTCAAGATCCTTCTTCTGCTTTTCTATTCGAAATAGGCAAAAAAAAAAATAAAAAATAAAAAATAAAAAAGTAAAAGGAAGATAATAAACAACGGGTATAGTCAATCCTACGAAAACCGACCCTTTTCCCACATCATTGCAAAGCGGGTTACAACAACATGTCAGAAGCAGTACATGCGTGTAGGTAGACACATGCATAAGATAATGAATATTGCTTTTGTTTATTTTTCAAAATGTTGCTTACCTGTTAGTGCAGCACCTTGTCTATCCCTGTGAAAAAGTGAAAACTAAAAGCTAAAAAAAAAAAAAAAAAAAAAAAAACATCCAATCGTAAGTGGCGAAACAATAAAGTGCTTTTTTATAATGTCAACGCTTCATACGCTCTATCCTTTGCAAGATCAAAGGCTGTGGTCAATCGCCTCTTACCCCCGTTCTATCTTCCCTTGAATGTGTTAATGAATAAATAAATAAAAAACACAAGTTATCTTTGTGTAAAGGCACTCGGAGAAAACTGCTGCAGGGTAGAATGAAAGAAAGGAGTGGCCGTTTTGGTTTGTTTTCTTTCACTTGAGCTCTATAATCGTGTGATCTTTTGATTCTAGCCAACCGTTATGCGTCCACGCTCCATGGGTTCGTTTTTCTCCAAGACGATGGTTGGCGAGGCAGAAGGCCAGAGCCAATCAAAATAAAAAAAGGCTTTGTTTAGTTCCCTTTTTCTGTGCATCAATGATGAGAAAAATTGTAAACATGTAATCAAAGAGAGCAACGCATGCAAGTAGCAAATAAAATAACAATATTTATCCCAGACGATCAGCTCAGAGAGTTTAGGAAATTGAATGAAATAAGCAAAAGATTTAAAGAAGTGAATGAAAGAACGTTGTTTATGTTGAGCAAAAGTATAATGATGTTTTATGCTTCTCATGCACACAATCGAGACAGTTCACCGTTTTTGTACCATAGTGAAAAAAAATCCCTTTTAGGCACCCTTGGACATCATCTCGATCGTTTTAGCGTTCGCCCCACTTCTTCATCGGATAAACAAATAAAAAAGCGTGAGCGACCATCCTTCGCTTGTTTATATAAACCTCAAGCAACAGAGAGATTCTCTTTTCTTTTTTTTTCCCTCCTTGATTTGATTCCTCTATCCGAATCCTTGCTTTCCTATCCTTTTCATCCTTAACACCCTTTCCTCACTTCGTTTTCCTTATACCACACGGCTCATACCCCTTCAACAGGCGTCAAACCGAAGGATCTAGAGGAACAAAACATAGACCAAATTATAAAGGAAATGTCATCCGATCACATTGAGCATAAAAAAGATGCTCCTGTGCCTTTAGAGCATGGTGTCTCATATAACACCTCTGTTGAGACCCCCTCTCAAGAGAGTATTAATGAGAAGGGCGACGGCTTCTTCCAGCGTCGTCGGACCAACGAGGAGATGATCGATGAGGAGCTAGGTGGTCCCAAGAAAAATGCTCTTGTTGACCAGGAAGATAACAAGAAGGTCTTTGGGCTTCAGCAGAAGCGGTTTAGACTGATCTGGCATATCGTTGCTTGGCTGTGCTTCACAGGTACAGTGCTCTTTCATATTTTTTATTTGTTTCCTTACCTTTACCTCATCCCTTGATGTGAAGGCCATGGTTGGAAGAGAATACCTTTTTTTTTTATTTTTGCCTATGAGTTCATCAATTTCTGATGAGTGGACAGCAGCAACAACAAAAAAAAAAAAAAAAAAAAAAAAGGCAAAGAATTATGAACTAGTCAGGACATCTATGCCGTGTGACTGAAAACAGAGCAGAGCAGTTCTAATCCAAGCGGTCTTTTTCTTTTAAGATATACTTGGAATAAGCATTTTTTTTTTTTGTCTTGCACAACATGTCAGTGTTAATGACCATTTTCTAATGCTTTTCTCTTCATGCTTTGTTCTCATCCACACATCCATAAAGGCTGTGTATGGCCTGAAAATGAAACATTGCTGCATAAACTGTCTGATCCTGGGAAATATTGTTTTCTCACAGAGCCATATAAGACAGTAAGACTTACATACCCCATTTATTCCTTTCTTTGATGTCGCATTTCTTAGCCTTCCTCATTGTCGCCATTGTCTTGAACAAGGGAAGCCCTATCTCGGTCTTGGCTGTCGCCTATGCCTTTGTCACCTTGTACTTGATCTCGGCCCATTCCCCTGACCGTTTCTTTGCTAGTCCCACTCACAAACTCTGGAATGCTGGAGCCGACGCTCTGGGCCATATGCCCCTCAAAATTCGTCAGATTGTTGGCTACGGCATTATCCCTATTGCGCTTATTTTGACTGCTGTCATCCCAGAGGATAACGAGAACGGTACTCGTGTTCAGCGCATCATCTCACTCTGCGGCTTGCTCTTCTTTATGCTCACTCTCTGGGCCACATCACGCAACCGTAAGCTTATCCACTGGCCCACAATCTGCACCGGCATTGGTGCTCAGTTCATACTGGGCCTCTTTGTCATCCGTACCTCTATTGGACAGACCATCTTCTCGTATATTGGAGGTTTTATGGCCAGTTTCTTGGGTTTCTCTTCCCACGGTATCAGCTTCATTGTGGGTGCGGACTTCATGAAGGCTTATGGATCAACTTTCTTGATCGGAGTCTTGCCTGCCATTATCTTCTTCGGCGCTGTCATCCAGGTCCTCTACTATTATAATGTTATTCAAACCGCTATTGGCGCCATGGGCCGAATCATTGTCTACCTCTTCCAGGTCTCCGGAGTAGAGGTCGTTGCTGCCTGTGCTGCTCCATTTGTCGGAATGTCCGAGTCCGCCATGTTGGTTGGACCCTATCTCGAGAATGCGACCAATGCTGAGATCCATCAAGTCATGGCTTCTGGGTTCGCTACCATTTCTGGATCTGTCTACTTGGGTCTCATTGGCTTTGGTGCTTCGCCCACCCACTTGATCACGTGCTGTATCATGTCCGTTCCTTGTGCTTTTGTCACCTCCAAGATGCGCTATCCCGAGGAGGAGGTACCATTAACCCGTGGCAAATCCATTGAATTGGAGCGTCCTGATGCTGAAGATTCATTTGTCCATGCTCTAGCCAACGGTTCCATCTTGGGAATGCAGCTCTGCATTGTCATTGCCGCCGTCTTGATTGGTTTCCTCTCGCTTTTGGGCTGTGCCAACTATGTCTTAAACTGGATCTTCCTCTTCTTGGGTGTGACCGACATCACAATTGAGCGTCTGTTAGGATACTTCTTTTACCCTATTGCTTGGATCCTGGGTATCCCAGCTGCAGATGTGTACGCATCTTCTAAAATGATGGGCGTCAAGTTTGCATTGAATGAGTTTGTAGGCTTTGCAGCTGCCATGGAAAGCGGCTTCTTCAAGACTGCTTCGCTCCGTGCCCAACTCTTAGCTACGTTTGCCTGCTGCTCCTTCGCAAACCCCTCCTCTTTGGGATCTCAAATCTCACTATTGGGCAAGATGGCTCCTTCGCGCGCTGGAGACATTGCTCGTGTTTCTGTTTCAGCTATTCTTGCTGGTGCTCTGAGCACCATCATGTCCGCTTGCATTGCAGGCGTTGTTCTGTAAAGCTTTTTTTTTTTTTTTATTTTCCTTGCATCAACACCTTTTATTTACTATGCACATATTCTCCTTTTACTATTTTTACGAACGCTTAATTGGTATAATGGGGAGGGCCATCAATCGAGCTGTAATAAATATTAAGCGATCCCCACCCCCTCCCAAAATACCAACTCCATTCTTGTATAATTGGGATCGCTTTTATCAACTATTAATTTCGGTTGTTGCTTCTGATGTTCTGATGTAGATAAAAACGTGCGCGTTATATCTATCACTTCAAAAAAAAAAAAAAAAAAAAAAAAAAAAAAGCATTTATCGAATTGGGAAGCATCATTGTACGTCGATGATTACTGGTATGACTTGATCAGGCATTGGCGTAGACAGAGCACAATCAATACCTCGCGTCTCTGTGTTTTGTCTCATTCGTTTGGGCTGTAGAGCCATACTCTTTCTTTCTCTTTGTGCTTTAAGGAGCCTTAAAGCCCGTTTGGCTGTTTTCTTCCAGACAATGATGGCTGTGCTATTGACGTGACATGCCTACTTCCTTTTTTGCGCCATCAGGGGATGCTGCACCACAAAGATTAGTATCTCTTTGTTTCCACAATCCTCTTTTTTGAGATAAAGAATATTCTGAGCTTTCCTTTCATGCACTGTTCATGTGCATGGACAGGCATCTGTTCACATAGTGACTGTATTCTGATTAACTCACGCCCAATATTCCACTTGACCACTAGACCACAAACGCATTTTTGCCCCTGAAATTTTATTGGACCCTCTGTGTCCGAATCACTTTTTTCTAATGGCTTTGTTCGGCTTGTGTGTTTAGTATGGCGATGGTGTTTAGGACGTTTCAAGAAGAAACAACTGTCTAATGGATGGAAGTAACGAATTAATAACAACAAATATAATAATAATATTTAATAAAGTAATACATGCAAGCGGGTTCCTTGAAAAACTTTTTCTTTTTCTTTTTTTGCCCACATGGCATGTTCGCATCTTTCCGACTTGAAAATAAATTTAAGTAGGCCTTTTTCTATTCTGCTCTAACACATGCTAATAGAACAAATTGGCGTACTTCGCCTCACGCGTGTCACTCTTTGTCATTTAAAGTATTTAGTTTTTTTCCTTTCCATGTTGTCATTTGTAAATGTTTCAGTTGTTGTTCGAAAAATATATAAACATTGTGGAGAAGGATATATTTTAACGATAGCAGTAAAGTATACATGGCGACAAAATAGACAGGGGTCTTTGTCAACCATGAATGGACACCAATCTTTATTTTATAAAAATACATTGTTTACCAAAACAGATACAGAAAAAAAAAAGGTACTTCAATAAACTTGTATGTAGTCATTGCACATGTCTCCTGCTCTTTTTTGTGGATATGATTGAGCGGAATAGAAAAGAAAGTAGCAATTACAAGGCGTACATGAGTATCGTATGGACTGAAGAAACATGCTGATCGGCGCGTTTAATGTTGACAACATTACAACAGTAACAACATATAACAAAGAGCTCATTCATAGCTGGTCCAAATGAGCTTGCCTTGGTTGTATATATTAAAGGCTTTCTTGATTTTCGATCTAAGAAGGATAAAAAAGAGTACTTGGTTGATATGCAGGTTGTTCGGCACGTTTTTTATCTTTTTTCTTTTTTTGAAGTTATAATTTAGAGGGAATATACTCAGAAATAGATAGTCAAAAGGAAGTTTTAGGAACTGGATGTGACCATGAACATTACCATAACTTACCTTTGTCTATTTGTTTTTTTTTTTTAGTCCAATGCCAAAGAGAGAAGAGAGTTTCCGTTCTTTTATGGATTGGTTCTCGTTATTTGGCAATAAAGTAATAAACTGCCACAAAAAAGGAAGAAATTCATAGAACAGGGGAACAGGAATTACAATGTTGCAGATTTCATAGTCGCAAATGGATTAATTTTTTTGCTTTTGGAGCATTCAAATGATTTTTTTTTTTTTTTTTTTGATTTGTGATGTCCAATGGTCTATAGTTTGCTTGATTTTGTTTTGTTCGTTCTTTATCCCTGCGTGTATATATGCACTCCACCTTGTGATGGTCATATCTTTATCCAAAAGGTCAATAAAAAAAAAAAAAAAACCTCACTCACAACGATCATCCTCATTTGTGTTACATAAAAATGGCCCTTCGGTCTATCCTTCCTCCATGGTTTTGTTGTTGGCCTCTACTCGGTCTTCCATCACCACTCCCAACCCAGCAACTAACTTTGTTCCTTGAGCGCATGGAAGCTCATAGTAAAGTCTTGATTTTTCCAAATGATGTTACGCCAACCCTAATTATAATTAATACGTTAGAAAAATACCTGCTATGGTTATAATAAAAACATGAAGGTCAATATCGACAAAGGAGCATGCCCAATTTAGATGCTCCCATGCCGATGCCAGATCAATGACCTATTTTTCTTTTTCTCCGAGGAAGAAAAAATGCAGTCCGTCCTTAACCACCTCCTTCCTTATTTTGATGATCCCTTTTCCCGTTTGCGTATTCTATGTATATTCCTAACAAAAAAGAAAGAAAAAAAGAAAGAAAGAAACGAAAAATAGATTGACGATCATACAGAAATATATAAACAATTGAGATAGTATATGAAAACGAGAGAATCAAGGTAGAAGCCCTACATATTGGGGACGAATACTTATCACCGCTAACTCGATCCAAGTTCTGGGATTGTATATATTTCTAGCCCGGGGTCCTTGAAAAATGGCTCTGCTTCGCGCATCTTGTCATTCCAACATTCAGTTCTCTGTAATACAATCCACTGCTTGATTACTGATTGCTATGTTTAAAAGGGCAAGGCCAAATTAGTTACGACTGTATCCCTTTTTTAAAAGATTAATCAAGATGAAGGACGCGTACATGCAAATTGAAGAAGGGTATTACTGGCATGACGTGTCAGAATGCTCAAATTATCAGTGCTGGCATTGCTTACTGCATTTGCATCAGTGGATCAAAGTAAAAAAAACAGTAGCGGACGAAATGAAAACGAGATTGAAAGTGAGGAAAAAGTCTACCATAGTGGCAATTTTCGATCGTTATAGAAAATCATGGAAAAAATGCAACACGATGTTGCCTGGCTGGGTTTAGACTGTTTTCAACATGGTTGCTATGGGAGGGTGCAGGATTGATTTAATGATAATAAACGATAAAAGGCCAATAGCCGATGTAGTATATGTAGTATGATTGACTAAGTGATCTATTTTTTTTTTATTTTTTTATTTTTTTTTCGGACCATGCACGCCCTTCTTCTGCCCAAAGCAATGTGCGCTTTGTTTGTTTTGTTTTGTTTTGTTTGTTTGCATTGATGCCGCTCTGATTTTATTTTTCACTTTTCTTACCTTTCCTCATGGAAAGTATAGCCCGTTTCATTTGGTCGCGATACCTTATATTTTTTGAATACTTTCGAGTGTATTGGCAGCCAATTAGCTCGCTTGTTACGAGTATTGTTGCAAGTCCGTCACGTAGTGAGATGCCACCAGAACAATTCAATCATCGTTTTTAGATTAAAAATATAAGGTATCGTGACCAAATAAAATTGGCGATATAAAAACCACAACCTTGGTCTTTTTTTCTCTCTTTTCTTTCTCCCTCTTCTCTTCCTGCTCCTCACCTTGGTTGCTGACACATCATTAGCGTTCGCAATTAGCACATATACATTTACCGTGTTTTGCCTCATTCAAGTATTATATCTCTAACCATCCAAGGTGTAAGTAACGGCATTGTGATTGGAGAATGTGCAGAATTTTAGAATCTCGCCATCTCAATATGGAATTTTTTTTTTATATGATGCGTTTGATAAAAGAAAAATCTATGTAACGCAGATCTCTCTCAATATTCATCCTTTCTTTAACCCACAACGTGTGTGGGTGCATATAAAAAATGCGATGCTCTCCAAAGGAATAAGAAATATCCTGGTGTGGGTTTGGCCCATGCCCCATCATACCCCTGTCGCTTATTGAAAAAATTCCCTCACAACATCCATGGACATCGAAGTTTATCAACGTTCCATCTATAAACACACTCCATCCTAAAAGTAACATTACAAAAACAATCAATGTTTATTTTTTTTTAGCTTCTGTTTCAAAATACCCTCCGCTCTTACCGAGAATCTTTGTACTGTGCTTGTGCGTTTTATATAAAAAAGCTACGAGAAGGGAGGATGGCAGTGAGACGTCTGCTATCGGGTGTTTGTCACTCTTTTGGATACTTGTTTTCATCACATGGGTTTGCTGTCTGAACGATTTCAGTTTTCATTGTTCAAAACAATGTGTCTGTCCAACAAAAGAAAGAAATGATCCAAGGATGGAGCAAGAGGAGGGAGGAGCCCTTTTAGTGCGCCATATCATCCTACTCAACCAAAAGCACAAAAACACAAAATGAAAAAGAGTCATGGTCTTCACGTTTTTCATTCCAATGGTTTGTCGCACGACCATGTGTTGATGGATTTGGGTCTGTTTGGTTCAACCAAACCAAACCAGACTTGGCATGCATGCATTTTCACAACCAATGTCAATACCTGTGCATGCGCATGCACGACCTCCCTTGGGATTAACATCATGGACGTACAAACCATCATTGTCATCTCCATGACAATCGATTACACTTAAATCCCTTAAACATGCTATTGGAAGCAAACATCTTCATGTAATTTAATAATCAATTGCAGTCCTTTTTATATACGTCAATATGCACTCGGTCCTGAATTATTTTTATTTGGATTTTTGGATAAAAAGATGCATTTGCTTCTCATTTTAGTCTTCTCACAGCATCTTGTAAACAAACAGGCACAAACACTTCACTTCTGAAAATATAGTAACTGACGGACGCTTTTCTCTTTCCCAATTACAGACACTTACGCCACTCATCAATCAAAGCTATCCTCCCCCTCTTTTATTAATCCAACGTTCGATTAAGTTATACCAAGGTAAATGAAATAACTTTCTTTCAACATGATATTTGTTTCTATACTATTCTTTGTGGTTGGTTACCATAGATAATCTTTGCAAAAACCAGCTTGCAAACCGATGTGATGTGGCTTTGCTGTTGCAATATACGCGCTTATCGTGAAAACACTCGCAGACATCTGGGCAAACATGTGCAACTGGCTATACATGTTTGCCATATTCGTCTTCTCTCTTTAAATATGGCTCACAGGTGAAAGGCAAGAAAGAGTTTTTTTCCTTCCTCTTCTCCTGAAGCTGACTGCTTTTCAATGGCCCCAACTTTGGGAATGGATTCTTAATTATAAAAAGTGGGCGGAGCGCTCACACCATTGGCGTCTTCCGTGTTTTCTTATACTTTCATTTTATTGCATATCTTGACACCATTTTGTATTTTGATTCCTCTGCTGAATCCTCTGCATGCTGTTTTGGACGTGCTCCTAATAACTTCGCCCATAAACAGAGGTCACCCTCCTCGTTTTGTGCTTCCCAATCTCTGACATTTTCATTCCTTCGCCTTTCATCTATACTTTGCACAACAGCCTGCCAAGGCATGGCAAAATATCCCCCGCAGCACCACAGCACCTAGCTTACACCCTATGTAAGTATGCCCGATGCAATAACCCTTCAGCCTTTGGCGCTTCGCTAATTTCAAATGACCTTTAATAGATATTTCTATGGAAACAACAAATGTGTGGGTGATGGCATAATGAGAAGAAGGGGCGCTTTATCACTTCACTGGAGGCATCAATCAGCATCATTATCGCTCTATGAACTACTGAGAATGATAAAAGCCATCCATATCCCTCCATTCCATTGTTTCGTCTTTGGTCTCCTTTTGTTGCATTTTTCCACTTGAAAACTGGTAATTTATTTAACTCTTATTCTCTTTCTCCATGCCATGTTATGCACGTCGTTGTACATCGTTGTGCATCCTTGCTTTAACGTGCGTTGTGGAATTCAAAAGGAAAAGGCAATAAGGTTTCTTCTCTTGCCCCTCAAAGTCAAGGCAAAGAGAAGCCTAAAGACTCTACCCCTAATTTGCAACCTCCTTTTTCCTTCATTCCTTCAGTACATCTGCACCATTCACCATCGACTCTTCCATTGCTTCCATTACAATCGTTGGCTATTTTTTTTTTTTTTAAACCCCTGTCCACAGTGTCACGTTTATATTTAATGTACAAGAGATAAAAATAATAACTTACCAATTATTATTATTATTATTTTTCCTTTTTCTTGACATTCTAGTCTTGTCCTTATCGCTCATTTTCATTCTTCCCGCGATCGGTTTTTATTTAGTTCACCTAACTACACCTACCGCGATACCAACAAAGCCCATTTCTTTTTGCTGCCGCCACCAAAAAGGTAAAGACTCCTCGTTTTCTCCCATGTGCATGTGAAACTTATACGCCACCTCCTTGCTGAGAAATAGAGGGGGTTACAAAGATAATAGAGTGAGCATCCTTTTCATCAACTTACAACCAACCCTCTCCTTTTTTTTTTCTATTCTCATCCTCACAGATTTTCCATCAACTTTTTAATTAAACAGAAACAAACAACTACACTTTTTATTACCAGGGAATGGTTCAACTCGGCAGGAACAGGTCCTTGCCCGCACCAACAAGTTATGGAGCACCACTTCGGAAGGTCAAAACAAATGTCTTCTCATTTCCGACTCTCAATTTGACCAGAACTTCTAGTGAGAGGAGCTTTGCGACCATCAATGAGAAAGGCTCCACCTCACGATCCTCCTCAAAATCCCGCTATTCTGGATCACATGCTCAAGTCCCTCTGGCGCCCATCATCACTGCAATTCAAAAGGGTAACTTTGTGATGTTGTCTGAGATGGACCTGGATGTTCTCGTCAAAGATATGACTGGCAAAGATTCCAAGGTTCTCGAGGCGCTCAACATCACATCCTCGTCGGTCTCGATATCTGATGCAAAGATCTTGGCTAAATTGATAAAGTCTTCAGATGCTCTCAACATTAAGTCACTCAAAATGGAGGGTAATATGATCAGTCAGCAGGCCAGCAAGTTGATGTTTGAAGCATGGAAATTTAACAAGACCATTTCAACACTGAGTTTGGCACGATCAGGTGTGAATGACAAGACGATCAAGTACCTGGCACGCGTCATAGTAAAGAATGAGTCTCTAAAAACATTGGACCTATCTGGTAACCTAATCACCTCAGAGGGAGCTGAGATTTTGGCTGAAGCCATGATTCATAATCGTGGTGTAACACGATTATGTTTACAATCCAACAAAATCAAAAAAGCTGGAGCTCCGTTCATTGCCAAAATTCTATCCAAAAACAGGGTCATTCGGCACATGAACATTGGATCCAATGGACTGGGAGTTGAGGGTATCATACACATTGCAGAGGCGGTCAGGTTTAATCGGACATTATACTCCTTGAGCTTGGATATGAACGAGATGGGACCCAAGGGCGCCTCAGCCATTGCTACAGCTTTGATCTCTAATCGACACCTGACTCATTTGTACATACCACACAATAATATTGGTGACAAGGGCCTGGCAGACATTTGTGAGAGTCTCAAGAAGAACCAATATCTTATCAGTCTTGACTTAGAACTCAATAACATAGGCCAGGGACAATCGGCTGTGGGACTGAAAGCACTAGCAGACGTTCTTAAAATCAATACGACCCTCCGTGAACTCAACTTGTCGTATAACTTGTTCTCTTCGGACGCAGTTAAGGAGCTGACCGCTGGAATGGCAATGAACTCAACATTGGAGAGTGTCGTTTTTACCAACTGTTGTCTATCGACTGATGCAGCGATTTATCTCTCCAAGGTCTTGTCTACCCCAACAGGGCTTCAAAACCTGGGTTTGATCAATAATCCAGATATTGGAGTGGACGGTTACTGGGCTCTGGCTTCGCATCTTATTAAAAACCGGTCCCTTAAAGGAATTCAATTGGACTACAACTCTGAGGATCGTCAGGCACTTTACGAAACCTTCCAGAACTCATTGACCAGGAACCATATCTGGCAACAGGCCATTTACGCAGCCGCCTGTCGTATCCTGGTCCTTTCCAGAATTGTTCTTTTGGGCCGTCCTGCAAACCAGAAACAACTTCATCTTCAACAGCAGCATCATATCCAACAACACAACAATCAGCACTATCATGGATGGAACATCTTTCGACGTGTTAAATTGGGCAGAAGTAACTCATCTAACTCATTGGCCTCATTGTTGTCAATTGGGAAAAGCGGTGCTAGCCATCTGGGAAATGGAAATCATGTTGCTCCACAGTCTAACGGTGCAGATGGCGATGGTGCTGAAGGAGAAGTTGGGTCTAATATGAGTCACGATAACTCAACATCACGACAATCTTCAAGTTCGCGTCACTTACATAGAGGATCAATATCGAGCTTTTCGACCATTGCTGATCATCATCATCACCCTCACCATCACCAACAGAACAAGCAAAGTCACATACTTTCAAACTCGACCGTGACCACACCAGTGGAGCCAACAGCAATCGAGTACAATCCGCATAGGATTTTGGCCAACCTAGTAAACATGCCTCACGAGATCTTTGAGAACATTTGTGCGTTTATGGATCCAGGCCGTACCATGAGCATTGCCCAAGTGCGTGCAACTGTTCAAGCTGCCGGCGATAGGAAAACATTAGCGCGTTATTATACCCGAGAGAAGATGTTGGAGCGGATCTTCAACAGTCGCTATATCTCGCCCAATGGCACACGCTATGGCCTCAAACCGGGCGATGAGCGAATCTAAGTCCAAAGGAAAAGAAAGATGATTCATTTCTGTCTTTCTAGTTTTATTTTATTTTTTTATTATTTTCGAGCTTGTATTTTTTTTTTTTTTTGCATCCACCTTTCTTTCAGTCTTTGCTTTTTTTCTTTTTCTTTTTTTTTTAACTTGTTGCATACAAAAAACACTCCTTGGCATAATCTACAACTCATATACTCGTACACGATAAAAAAAAAATAAAAATAAAAAGTAAAAAATAACACTCCTTATGACCAATATCTGATGCTTCCTTCTAAATAGGCATCAATGAATTCTTGCGAATTGATACATTTGTATATTTGTATTTTATAAATGTACATGTCTAATTATTATTGCTATTTCTTTTAGAGCTTGGATTCTGGGATGATCATGCTTTCCAGACGGTCCTTGATGATTTCTTCGGCTTGTTGAACTATCCTCTTGACAAGGACATCGCAGGTAGGGATATCGTTGATCAGACCGACGATCTGGCCGGCAGTCCAGATACCATGGTCAGGGTCACCGATCTCATAGACGAGCTTGCCTCGTTGACCCGAGACCAAGGGAGCTACTTCCGAGAACTCGGCTCCACCTGGCTTACGTTCAATCTCAATCACCTCCTTTGCAACCTTGTTTCTGAAAACACGAGCTGTGTTGTGGAGTGTACGGAAAATCAAGGATGTGTCACGCTCACCAGCTTGGACGATTTGTTCCTTGATGTTGTTGTGGATGGGGGCTTCCTGTGTGCACATGAAACGTGTACCCATGTTGATACCCTAGAAACAAATGCACATTCACATGAAGATAAAAAGAGTAAATGTTAAGAACTCGAGTTTCGTTTGTTTCTTTAAAGACCATTGATACGATTTTTAGTGGATTCTAACCTCAGCGCCAAGAGCAAGGGCAGCAGCAAGACCAGCACCATCACCGAATCCACCTGAAGCAATGAAGGGAATCTTGAGTGCCTTAGCAGCAAGGGGTAACAAAATCAATCCCGTCACATCGTCCTCACCAGGGTGTCCAGCGCACTACCCATCATCAAAGGAAAAAAAAAAAAAAAAAAAAAAAAAAAGAGGTTAGAAGATGCTTAACTTGGAGTAAAGAAAAAAAAAGGCAAATAAATACCTCAAAGCCATCAATACTGAGCATGTCTACACCGAGACGCTGGGCGCTCAAGGCATGACGAATCGAAGTGCACTTGTGAATGACAGCGACACCAGCTTTCTTGAGCTTCTTGATGTGCTCACCAGCTATATTATATATAGGATGCGTTGTATGGTGAAAGATGAGCCATTTGACGCAGGAAAGAGGATAAAATAAGCCGAAAGGGATCAAATTGATTCCGGTTAGATCGAGAGAATTTTGTTTTTTTGACACTTGAGCAAATAACATGTGATAAACAACAACAATGTATGGTACGTACGATTGTTACCAGCAGTCTCAACAACCTTAATGCCTTCCTGAATGATCACGTCGGTATATTCAGCATAGGGAGGGGGAGTCATAGCAGGGAGGAACGTCAAGTTGACACCAAAAGGGTTGTTTGTCATCGTACGGCAACGACGGATCTCTTGACGAAGATGCTCAGGGGTAGGTTGAGTCAATGCCGTCAAAATACCTAAACCACCAGCATTCGACACTGCTGAAGCGAGCTCGGCCGTTCCCACCTTTTGACAGCAAACAAATAAGTGACAAGTCAAATGAAAACAGTTAATAAGTGACACTACAGAAAACTTGTTCTTTTCGGATCAATTGATGAGGCGAAGCGAAACAGAAACGCTTCACAGACACACAACATTTGTAAAGAGAGAAGGGCTAAATTCATCACAGGTTCATCATTTGTGGAATGCATATTTGTACTTGATCGTGTCGTTTTAATGTAAAAGCTACACCAACTGATTTTTTTCTTTTGCTCGTCCAACAAGAGCGAGAGGGAAGAAGAGTAACATTGTCTTTGTGTGTGTATAGTGTTTGAAATATGTAAAATATGAGAAGCAAAGGTGTGCATTTGGCTGCCATGACATTGAAAAAATAAAAAAAAAAATAAAGATTCATTTCCAAATTTACCCATTGCATGCCACCTTGAACGATGGGATGCTTGATGCCAACCAGCTTGGTAAGTTTAGTTTGAAGAACCATGTCTTTTTTTATGGAAAGTGAGTGGACTGAGGTAAAGAGAAGTGAAACAAAGAAGAAAAAAGGAACAGAAGCAACTTTTATGGGTGAATAATAAGGTTTGGCGGATAGAAATCGGAGATCTGTATTCCACGAATTACAGTTGGGCCCGTCGATTTACCAACCCACATGTAGAACCTCTGTAAAATGAAGTATAGTCGTACACCAACATGGCTTTGAATGTGGTGTCCTAGTGCCTGAAAATGATGATTGATAAATGAAGCATATATTCTATCCATCATTGAATCAACAACGTGACAACTCCATCCAGAAACAAAGATAACGTCCTTTTTTTTTTTTTGGATTGTTTTTTATGGATGAAAAGAAGATGATGAAATCTATACAAAAATTGCTTGTTTTGCTTTATTTATTCCTCATCATCAGCCGTCTTCTTAGCAGCCGACTTCTTCTCTTCCTCAACACCGGTGGCACGAGTGTAGATCCACTGGGCGCCGTGGGTGGAGACAGGGACAATGTGACCCAACTTGACCAACTCGCGGATAGCATTACGGGCAAGAGAGCCGTTAATGCGGAGACGGTCAACCAAGACGGAGGGCGAGACCAACTTGTAAGTAGGGACCTCCTTCATGAGCTTGTCGTAGGTAGCCTTGTCAAGGATGACAGCGTTGTTGGCCTTATCCTTGACCTTTCCCTTGGACCATTTCTATAATACACATTATATGCAAAATATAGGATAATGAAACTTAATTTAGTTTGGGGAATCTTCACACTTTTTGTATTACGTGTTGCGCACCGACAAGCTGAGCCATTCATGTAGTATCTTTGATTTTTTGGCGTCCATGAATATTATTGATCATAGTGAACTGTTAGGCAATATTACAAGGGAGTGCCAATTTGGAAACGAATCATGGAAAACAACACCGATGAACTCACACCTCTCATTCATCGTAAAAGTCTCGCCTGCCACGACTATGGCTGTAACTTTCTTTTTTGATACTCCCGACTACAGATCTGTTTTTATCCAATGTCCATGCCATGTTTTTCCTTTTACCTTTTTCTTGGCTTTGCCACCCGAAGATGACGAAGGCTTGGCAGCGACGTCCTTTTTGGCCTATAAATTTTGAGTAAATAAAAAAAATGCATAAAAAAGTGATGTCAGTGTATAGATCACGAAAAAAAAAAAAAAAAAAAAAAAAAGCCGGAAGCCCCAGAATCAGGACAAAGAATCAGTGTCAGACAAGCCGTGTAAGGAGACACTCAGTTGTTGACAACTGTCCAGAAGTCCAAACTGCACTCTTCAACTTTAGATCTAGATCCCGAGCCTGATCCTGATCCTGATCTGAAAAAGATGAGTTCATAGTCTTTGTTATATCTCAACACTGTCCAAACACCAAGAATAAAGCTCGGGATAAGTGTAGCCCTGTTGTAAGTAATAAATGAGCTGAGCCTTGTGGATTCTAAGGATAAGTTTTCCTTCAAGACAGCCATAAACAGTCCATCTGTAGACCATTGATCGCAGCAATAACACTGGAGGCGTATAGATGGAGGAAGTATTGATAGCTGGTCCAGATTAATTGCGTTATAAACATTAAGTCAAACCCAAGCAGTCGCTTAATCCAGTTCCATTTCTTTCAACGCTGATGAGATTGTTTTTTTTTCTTTTTTTCAATTCGAAAAAGTAGCTGAATAATAATGATTCCTGAAGACGCAAATAAAACCGCACACAAAAAGAGTTGGATGGATTGATGGATCGATCGATATAATGGATTGGATGGAAGTCAATATCCACTTCCCATCCGCCACAGTCTCAGAGCCTATTAATTTTTTGGTAGTAGCCAGCGACTAACCATTGTGATTGTAAGAGAGGGTTTCTTACGATCCACGGCCTGCAGACTGCCTTATTCCTCTTCCAGTCACGTTATTTACCTTTAATTCCTCAAATATGTTATTTCCTTCGCTAATTCAATCAAAGTTGATTTCTCGGTGGTTTTTTAGCATCTCATTCACTCACAACACACTCAAACAAAGGAACGATGCCAAAGCCGCATCTTGGAAGGGGTGCAGCAGTAAGGGGAATGCCAATAGCAGGACATTCATGGTCATGGTCATGGCCAAATCATACTCGGGAACATAGATTAGCGGTAGCTTCAAACCATGTCGTTGACTTTTTCGATCGCCATTGGAGCGCCGTCATTCAGTTCTCAGCACGGCATCTCTTCTGCTCCGCTCACGCGGCCACAACACAAGCAACAGCAACAGCATCAGCGACACGACAAGCACGGGGATATAGATCGTCATTCTTTCAGGCAGCTCGCAAAGACAGGATTTTGCTTCAATCCTCACTTCCGAAAACGAGTACCTTGTTGACCCCACGAAGATTCTCGTCGACTGCAGAAGCAATCTGTTCCGACTCACCTCCTTCAAAATCATCACCAACGTCAATATCAAAAACCTCATTGGACTACTCTCCCTCAAGACACGATGGACATTATTCACAACAGCATCAACGCCATCATCGTCTTCGACGCCAACATAGCAAAACAGATCAGCAATCCTCGACACTAGATCCATCCACTCTCTCACATACTCCAGGATCATCATCTTCAACCTCGATATCTAAACCGTTCGCAGCAACCGCGGTGAATATCTCGGACTCCAGGAAGACTATCATAGTGAAGGACGAGATGGGTCGACTTAAAATCACAGACACCTCTTCAATAGAGCCGGTATCAGACATTTATGACGATGACTTTAATGATCGCAATCTGCGCAATGTCCTGACAGAGGCTTCATCCAGTTCGTCGTTGTCACTGCCAACAAGATCAGATATCTCCAAAGGACCTGACCATTCAACATGCACGCGTTTTACTGGCCCATCGATGTTATCTTCAAAATCTGACATGGCTTCTGAACACGACCACACTCCTACATCACCGTCACCATTACCGCCATCATTAAAGAAACCATCGGGTCTAACAGTGACACTAGAGCCCACATCGAGCCCATCGTCACTCTCACTCTCTCCCGCCCAATTGTCCACACTGTCACAATCTTCTCCCTCCATTTCGGCGACCCTACCTACAGTAACAAAAGCACGATCTACCACTTTCCATTCTGACAAATCCGGGCCTTGGCATTTCCCAACTACGACCGGCTTTTTAGATCAAAGTGCAAGTGCGTTAGGCAATGTTGACCAGTATGGACACCTTATTCCTGCTGAGCACGTTATGTCTTGGACCTCTACTTCTGATGCTCTATCTCGATTTTATGCTTCACTAAATCAACTTTGTTCCTTATCAGGCGCAGACAATAACTGTCTTAGTGCGAATAATGACAACAAAAAAGCCACAGGAGCGACAACAAGGTTTATACTTCGGTCAGCACTAGTCCATTACAATTTTCTGAGTCGTCTACAATCCACATTCGATACAATCCTGATTCCTAGAAGAGACACTCGAGCTCTATTCCTGCTTCAGGGGCGGGAGCCCAAGACAAGAGCTAATTTGAAACAGTTGCTCAGGATTGCCATGGATTTGGTTTGGTTGAATGAAAAGGAGCGAAAAAAGATCAAAAAGCATGGAGTATTGTTTTCTTCTTACCGTCATAACAACAATCACGCCAAACCAGGTTTTGCCCCTCATCTGATGAGTGGCGACTACCATGGATTAAGGGTCTCTGAGTATACCATCCTGATGGATTGGATCGGATCTGTCCCTCCATCCCCACAAGAAAAGAAAATATTGTATAAGCCTTCCTCCTTTGCGTCGTCTACAGCCAGCTCTTTAGATGCTTCTTCAACGAATCCTCCAAGTTCAGAACAAGCAACAGCAGCGGCAATACCTGCAGCAGCAAAAGTCACCGACACAATAGCAATGACAGCGGTGGACAGGATCTGGGGGATTTGGCAAGACTTCTTACTCACGGGTATGAAGCCCGATGTGGTCCTTTACACTGCTTTGATGGATGCGTTGCTCAATGCCAAGGACTTTGAACGCGCGGATCAAATATGGAATCACATGCATCAAGTTCATCAGAAAAACCAAGACCATGAACACCATCCTAACTATAATGCAGACCGTCTTAAGCCCATCCCACAACGACAGCAACAAAATCACCAAGAAAAGTGTCCTAATGTTGTCACTCCCAATACGCAGACACTCTCTGTTCTGATGCAGGCCCATGTCCTTAAGCGTGATCCTGAAGGAGTTGCACAGATCTATAAGGAAATCATTCGATCATCGACTGCTGCAACAGCAAGCACGGATATGGATGCAATCATAGCCTCAAAGGATCCTTTGTCAGCCCAAAGGGATGATGAATGTCAACAACATCACCTTTCGAGACAAACGTTGCCAGCAGAAGGCCTGGCCCGTCATACCAATACCGTACTGTTGAATCAGATCTTGAAAGTCCTTGTGGACTATGGAGAAGCCAGTGCTGCCAAGGAGATCTATGCAGAGATGAGGCTAAGCCCTAGCGGCAGTCATAGCCCTAGTGCACAGCGTGTCAGCATTACCGACAACAATTATAGCGATGAGAGTGGCGCCGATAACAATGACAATGGTAAATATACCCATACAACACAAAATCCATCGTCAGTCCCATCAGCATCAGCTCTCCCATTTTTCAGACCAGCACTTCCTCTACATCACCAGACTTTTATGCGCCGATCGAACTGGATACATCAAATTCATCGCCAATCCGGAATTCGGCCTGACAAGGCTACTCACAACTTGATGCTTCAATTGGCGAGACGAACAGGGGATCATGAACTCGAAAAAGTTGTTTTGCAGAATATGCAATCCTCAGAATAGAAAAGATTATAAACAAGTGACAAATAATGAATATGCAAAATTTTCGTCGTTTATTAAATGCAAAGAGTAAGCAATTACTTTGTGTGTGTGAAAGTAATGTCCCTGCAAGAAAGAACCAATAAAAAAAACTACCGTATGATAAAAAAAGGAGGTTGCAAGAATTTTTGTTTTTTTAAACATCTGCGTTCTCAACCGCACTTTCCTTCTTGGGTTCGTCTTTCCGCTCCACCACTTGTGATTGAGGATTCTCCTCTCCATCCTGCACTACTTGCGATTGAGCGTCCTTCTCTCCATCCTTCATCATTTGTGATTGAGGATTCTTCTCTCTATCCTCCGTCATTTGTGATTGAGAATCCTCATCCTCCACCGCTTGTGATCGAGAATCCTCTTCTCCATGCTCCTCGGTTGCGTTAGAGGATACAGTAACACCAAAATCCACAGCAGGGGTGGGGGTAGTGCCTCTCGTTACCACAGGGCTTGTACTTCTAGCTTGGTTTTGAAATGAACGTAGGTTGTCTTCCATGGCCATAGCACTCAGCACCTCACTGCTATCACTACCTCTGCTGCTAATACTGCTTGTACGCACAATAGCAACGCGGCTTTGATCATCTGCAATCGTAGTCGAAGGACTGGCAGGCGCAAGGGGCGAAAGCGACGACGATTCGTTGTCGCGTTGGCTCCCCAATTCTCCGGATAAAGGTGGTGTCTCTCCATTATTACCATCATTGGAAGTAATGCTTTGCCATCCCATCTCTCTTCTACGCTCAAATTCCGCCTCGCTCTCATCATTTTGATCCGCTTGCAAAGACCAATTTGGCTTTACTTTACTCTCTTGCGCTACTTCGTTTGTATCTACATTTGTATCTGCTCCAGTATCGTCCTCGATCCTCGCCTCTTCCTCTGGAATTGAGCGATCATGTGACTGTGGCGTTTGATAGCCGGACCCTTCCTGTTGCTGCGTGTTCGTGGAGGACTGCACGCCTCGCTCCCATTCGGGACCACGGTTAACACTACTTCCTCGACTATACCCCCCTGTACCCTCACTATTATCATCTTCATGACGACTACCATCATAATCACTGTCCGTCCTTCCTCTTTGGTTTCCTTTCTGTCTAGTCGGAGCTGATGGAGTAAACGCTTTAGCTTTCTCCATGAAGCTCTGAAAATCATTCACTGTCGCTAGGATACCTGGCGTAGCCGAGTTTCCGCTCGAATGGGATGCTCTGTTAGTTGGCGATTGAGATGATGAACCACCTGACTCATCTGCGGCTGATGTAATCGATGGAGACATAGTGCCTGTAGGGTAGCTATTGCCATTAGCGCCTGTAGGGTTACTACTTAGCTTGGTTGCGCCCATTGAAGCTGCAGACCATGCTGAAATAGCGGATTCATGTCCAGGATTAGTGCTAACAAAGCGCCGCGCAGAAGGCTGCGCGGGACTATTAGGATCAGGTCCAGCTCGGAAATTATGTTGATGCGATTGCTGGCCTTGATCCCCACGACCCTCATTGCGTCTTCGTTGAGCTATTGCTCCATCGCGATCAGCTCCGCTTCTATAAGGTTCGTTATCGTATTGACCACCACCGCGAGGCTGCAATGCTCGATCACCATACGCCCGTGAAGTACTTGGAGCTGAACCACTGACTGCTGTTGCTCCACTGGCAGATGACATACCTCCGCTGACTGCTGTTGCTCCACTGCCTACCGAACTAAAGTTGCTCTGTACACTGTCTCGGCGGCTATTACTATTATTAAACCGTTCCTCTGAAGTCATAGCTCTACGTTCCTGAGCTGGAGGTGATGCAAATGTCGAGCTCCGCTGGTCACTAATGCCGCCATATCCGCTCTGCGCCTGTGTGTCTAGTTGATGGGAATCCCTGGCAGGAGCTTTTCCACGGGTATCCGATGCACGCGGATACCCATCATCCGACCGATACTCCCCTGCTACATTACCGCTGCCGCCACCTTCACCCATCCAGGAATTTTCAGTAAAGGCTCGCCTTCCTCCTCCATCTTTCTCATCAACGTCATCATATTTGAATCCTTGCTGTTGAGATTCAGCCAAAGACTGATGAAGCTCTTGGCCCCGGGGAACGGGTCTGTCTGTTTTGAATGTGTCTCTCTGCGAAAATTGATGTTGATGCTGTGAAGACCGCTGCTGCTGTATCCCTTGGGCTCCAATTAAAGGCATTGCCTTGGGTTTAGCCTCTTCAGGGAAGCCCTCAACTTTGCCGCTACTCCAGTCAACCATGGAGCCCACACTCTTTTGCCCTGGCGTAGCATCCCACCCTTTAGTACCTGGAGCAACCGACCATTGGTCGATAGCTGGCGCTGCAGCAGACGGCTTTTGGGACGTGGCGCCTGGAGTAATCGACCACTGATCAATGGCTGGGGCTGCAGCAGACGGCTTTTGGGACGTGGCGCCTGGAGTAATCGACCACTGATCGATCGCAGGCATCGCAGAAGATTGATTTTGAGATGCAGTTCCCGTATTATTCGCCGTACCGAAACCATCATTCGGTTGCGACGAGAGGCCACGAGTGGTTGACGTAGAGCCGTACCATTGTGGTTGCTCATCCTCCTGTGGAATATTTTGGGACCTGCTTGGTGCAGAAGTTTTGTCTAAATATCTTGCTCCTGTTCCATAGCCAGGAGCATTCGACCCGCGAGTGGGATCGTCTGAACGGGTCATACGCTGCTGTGGTGGATAGTGGTCTTGACTGTGTTGATGCTGTTTTGAAGATCCTCCGGCATTTGCAATAGAAGAACCAGTGCCTGAGACAGCTTTCAATAACGACGATGTATGCTCTGTAGGTGGCTGAGTATAGCCCGGCGAAGCTTTGTCTGTAGGATGCTTTCTAGTGACACGGACAATCTGAATACCGTTCCAGGTTGATTCATGGGGCAAGACATCGTCTTCCGTCGTTTGAGTAGCCATCTCACAGAATGTTTTGATTATTGTCACAGAGTGCTTAGTACCTGAGTAGTGCTAATCACATTAAGAAGAAAGTTAAAAAAAAATGCATTGCTCTCAGAGACAAAAAAAAAGAGACGCGTGACGAAGAGTTGGCTAAATACAGTCAATGTAGGCACATACGTCTGCCAAGCCGGTTTTGCGGTCAAGCTTGTCATAAGTCTCATGGAAGTAAGTAGCCGAGGACTCAACCCCAACTGCAAAGGGGTCACTACTCTTGGCTTGCTGATACGCTTTGAGTGAATCGGTGGGGTTCTTAGGACGGGGTTCAGAAGAAGAATAATTTGTAGAGTCTCTTCCCTTACTATCATAATTATTATTGTTACTCTGATATTGTTTAGTATCGCTCGAATAGCGTCCAGGACCGCGATTATCACCACCACCAGAGCTATGAGTGAGGTAGCCATCACGAGAATTGGGGTATTCGCTCCGCGAGCTTGAAGAATAGTTTTGGTTGGAGCCACGCGAGAATGAGCTTCCTCGATCCATTCCACCGCCTCCTGGGCCACCATTTCTCCTGTTGCTTTGTGAAGCATTGTCATCGCGATCTTGGCGACTATTATGATGGGCATAGTTCTGTCTGATATTGTTTGCTGAGAAGCGATGGCCGCTATTTTCATAGCCGCTAGAATTGTGGTAATCTCTGTCCATGGTCAATGCAAGTTGTAGTCAGACAAGAGGAGAATGAGTTGGGACCATTCGACAAGACAAAATTTATTTTGAAAAAAAAAAAAAGCTTATTATTCTTATTGTTGTAATATCATACGTACATTTATTGTTTTAACTCTGTTGTGAACATGGGTGCATATAAACTGACATGCCGTCCCTTGATTTGTTCCAGCACAGTACAAGTATGTCCTTAGCAGTGGCCTCAGGGCACACGTATCTCTTGATAATCCTTCCAGGACATAATCTTCCACCACTACATTCTCTGTGAAGATGATCCCCATACGATGTTATTCGTTTGTTTTATTTGCTTTCTATCTGTGTTATTGTAAAAGAACAGAGATGTCTTTTAATGGATGATCAAAGAAAGGGGTTGATTCATTTATCTCTATGAATTTGCTCCAAGTCCTTAGCTTTCCCCAGGTCCCTCTCTTCTTGTTCACCGTGTGAAAAATAATAATAAAGAAAGTTTACATATCACATCCACGACCTTCATTAATGAGTATATGCTAAAGGCACGCATTTTTTTTTTTTTTTTAGAAAAATTGTTTAATGATTAATATATTAGCTGCAATAGTAAATAAATTGTATTTTCATGAATTCGTTGCTATCTACAAAGCCTTTTTATCTTTTCTTTTTTTTTACATTTCAAAGATAATTAATTTCTGACTTGTTATCATTATCACCGCCTTGAGTTGCAGTGGTCGGCTTCCTTCCTAAATTCAGTCGTGTATACTCTTGCTCTGCTTCCGCATTCAGCTTGAACTGCTGGCGGTCACGATCATCATGGTATCCTTGACCCTGGCTGTAACCATTACTACCTTCACTTGACCCATTTGGCAGTGTCGCATTAGGTAAAATAGGCGTCTCATAGATCGGAATAAGATCAATATATCCTCCCAGATATTCGGATTCCGGTCGCTCCATTGGTGTCTGTGATGGATTTACGGGTTCGGGTTCGGGTTCAGGCTCGTATACAGGCTCCGACCGTGCCATCATTGAAGGCTGTAAGGGTGCTGATATTGGATTTACTTCTGACACAGTTTCCGCCATAGCCGGTGGGTTTTTACGTACTTTGGGTGCTCGTCTTCTGGGCGGAGGCGATATCGGTCCTTCTACGGTATTGCTTGTTGTTGTTGTTGTTGTTGTTGTTGATGACGATGCTGCCGCTGCCGCTGCCGCTGCCGCTGCTAATGCTGCTGCTTCCGCAGGAGTCAATCCACTAGTCAATAAAGATGCTGGTGTAGTTGTAGTTGCAGATCCAGATGATACTGATGTCGAATTGGATGCCCTTGATACATTTCCTGGAACATATGTACTCTTGGGTGTATATGCAACAGATGTGGCTACGGGCTGAGGTTTTCTTGGAAATTGAGGAGGAGTAGGATATGAATCTCCGTTGGAGTTATCTGATAGTCGACTCTCTGTCCTAGGTGCAGCAGGCGAAGCTGATGACAATAACGAAGGTGCTACAGACCTAGACGGAGAGGATCCCCGAGAAGAAGACAGCTGACGCTGTCTCTGTTGATGGTAATGCTGATACCGCTGTTGCTCATCAGAGTGTGGGTTAGAGACAACAGTTGATCCACTAATACTACTTGGACTGCCGTTCAAATGTCTGTTCCCAGTGTTATTTTTCATCGGTCGTTCTGACGTATCGACCGTAAGCGGCGTCGTGCCACTGTCACTATGATGATTAGCACCAACCGTACGACTACCCCGACCGCTGCGAGTATTACTACCATACCGAGACAATGCAGCCGTGGACGTTTGTGCACTATTACGGGCACTAGCAGCTTCAGCTATCGCTCGATTACTATTATTTCTCTTCCAATATCGCTCATCGTCATCGCCTCCGGCTTGAGCCCAAGCTGCTGCTGCTGCTGCTGCCGTCGCTCCACCTGCACGAGTCAAACCTGTGGGGCTACTAATGTGCATTGGCGGTTTCTCATCGTAAGGATCCAGATCAACCTCACTACCTCGTGAGTGATGATGTCCATCAAGTAAACCATCACCATGCTTTTCTTGGACCTTGCTCTGGCGCCTTCGTCTCCTCATACAAACAATCAGTAAAATCAGTCCCACCAACAAAAGCACGCCTCCTGCTGCTGACCCCGCAATAATAGCTGTCCAGGGTAGAGATGATGAGCTGCTATTGCCACCACTTGCCGAGGAAGGCAAGGGCATTGCTGCTGATGTTGTAGCGTCTGTCGGTAATGGAGAAGGAAAAGACGTGAACGGTGCAATGGTCTGATCATGCATTGGGTCTGGTGCTGTCGATGTTGATGCTGGTGGTGTTGTTACAAGAGAAGGTGGAGATGAGGGTGGGGGTTTAGGGACTGCTTGCTTAATGGTGATGTTGGAACAAGCCGTCGCCAACTCAATTGTACAATCATCCTTGACGGTATTGCCCTTCCGAGTAAGCACACACGTATTGGGATTGCCGCTAGGCGCCGTTGAGAAGGTGTAACGATCATTGTTGGTCAGCGTCAGATGCTTATTGGAGTCGAGCTTCACGCCCGTACATTCCGACATTGATGAACCGTCGTTTGTATGTTGCTATTGACGTTGATGTTGATGCTGCTAATGATTGATTTTGGAGGGAAGAAAGAAGGGAGGAAAGCTATAGTGGATATGATAGGAAATCAGGAGTGAAAAAAAAAAAAAAAAAGCTGTTGAAAAGACGCCAAGACAAAATGTTTGCGGTCAATGTATGGTGGTCAATCCAGAAGCAGAATTGGAAAAGAGTGAAAAGGAAGATTGAGGAAGAGGGCAATTGTGGCGCTGTGGTTAGAATGAGAGAGTAATAGAAGGCACCAAGTAAGTATTTAAAATGGAAAGAAAGGAATGGAGGGTATATCTGACAATGCCAAGGGATGGGTGAAGGAAAGGTGGTTCGAAGAGAGAGAAAAGAAAGAAAGAGAGAGAGAGAGGAAAGATGGATGGATGAACGGGAAAGCGTTTGTCTTTGGTTGGCTTTTCCCATAGACTAACTAGATCAAAAAAAAAAACCTGGAGGGAAAATGCCCCGAAGTGAGCTGAGAGCGAAACCAAATAGGGAAAAGAGGGAAAGCAGACTGCAAGGAAAAGGTTTAAGGACAAGGAGCGGATCAAAATGTCTCGTCTTCTGACACTTACACAAGCAGTCCTTTTTATAAAAAGGCTCAATTTATTCTCTCTTGAGTGAAATATCATTTCGATTTTGGGTTACGCTTGGGTCCCCTTCGCTCTTCCTCACATACTTTTCGGTGCATTTGCCACCTTGTGTGTGAATGAGCCTGTAATGGCTTCTGTTCCGCATGCAGTCTCTGTAACGCATTGCGGAAAAATCAGGGGCAAGAAAAAAATTACTAGACCCTCTTTGGGCGTTTTGGATAAGATTTCGATTAAAACATGTCACATCCAAATCCAAGAGGCGAAGCAAAAAAATGTGTTTTATTTTTATTCTCGAGAAATGCCCAATGTCCATACCAAGAATGAGTGGCTAAAATGATATAAAAACGCGTGGCTCTCAACATTCCCTTCGTCTAGATCTATGCTGTCTGAACAATTCCTCTTGCCTGCTGATGCAATAGTACTACGACGTAAGCACACAAACGATAAACACATAAATACACGACCTTCACTGCGAAAAAAAAATAAAATAAAATAAAATGTGGACAAGATAGAAAAATGTGTAATGTCATAAACTGTGTGTGCCTCGATGTCAACAAAGGACAGCTGCGCCATGTAAACTTGAGTAGAATTGTTTGTTGATGAGAAAACAATCGAAGTTCGAAGACTGAGGACCGAGGATCGAGGATCGACAGCTATTTTTGTCGTTCACTCTTTCTTTATTCTTCGCCCATCTTTGAATTTCGAGCAACCCAAACAATTACAAATAAAAAGCATGCAATTCTGTAATGTGTGTAATCTAGCATACAAAAAAGAAACCCTACTTAAATCGAACAAAGAAGTAAACAAAAAACCAAGAGCATGAAAGAAACCCAACTTTGCAAAAAAAAAAAAAAAAAAAAAACGTTGCTCCGAAAATAGAGATCACTTGCCTACGAATGTCAACGCCAACGCCAATGTTCATGCAAACAGTCTCTACTTTAGATGAGGACCAACTGATCATCTATGCCCGCCCTTGCTTCGCATCTGTCTTATCTGCAAGCTGCAGTGCACGTTTCAAATGCATCATCTCAAGTATAAAATGATTTCTTTTTTATGCCCCTGCGCATGCTTTTACTGTACTTGTCTGTTTTACAGCACGTTTACTAATACAAAAAAACCTCTAATTCATATGACGATGTATGCTTAAAAAAAAAAAAAAAAAAAACTTTTCGATTTCTCTGTGGCGATCTGGGCTTTTACTCTTGTTATTCGTCAACAAGAGATCGCTATCCGCTATTTCATCATTATTGTTGTGGAGCCAAGAAATGGCAGGCTTGAAAAAGATCACCTGGCTGCTGGGATCTTTTGGCCGCCTTTCAAGCCCAATCTCACACCCACTCCTTGCTTTGTTTCGCCTCTGACTACTATCTATGGTGAATATCACTTTGAAGCCTTCTTTTTTCCCCATTTTGCTCCTCTTTCACAAAAAAAAAAAAAGAGAGAGAGATTGCCTGTATCGTTTTTTCTTTTTTTTATGAATACTTTTTTTCTTTTTTCTTTTTTTTCTTCTCATCAATCAAAATCCTGGAAAGTACATTCCAAGTTCATCAACTTCACCCGGTGGATATATTCCATATGGTTCTGCATCCTCAGGGTAATCGTCGAAATTGCTGGCATCACCATCTCCCAAGATCGTCGGCCGATAGGGTGCCTCGATCTGTCTTGAATACACCATATCCCAGTTCACGCCCTCGAACCATACATGATTCTTAATATCAGTTGCTCCTCCTTTCAAATTTCCATAGCGCTTCGTCAGATCTGCTGTCAACAATCGCTTCAACAAATCCTTCAATTGTTGTGAAAAATGAGATGGATACCGAACCTTGCCTGTCATGATCTTGCCATACAATTTGATATGGTCCTCATCAAAAAATGGTGGGAAGCCTGCACACATCTCAAACATTAATACGCCCATCGACCACCAATCTACTGCTTTGCCATATCCCTTTGACTGAATAATCTCAGGCGCCAAATAATCAGGTGTTCCGCATAATGTCCATGTCATGTTCTGAGGTACATGTTTTGCAAAACCGAAATCTGTGATCTTGATATGTCCCATCGAATCCAACAACAGGTTCTCAGGCTTGAGATCTCGATAGATTACTGCGTGTGAATGTAGATATTCCAAAGCTAGAAGAACCTCACATGTGTAAAACCGAGCCACATGTTCAGGGAATCGCTGTTGTTGTTATTTTTTTTTAAAAAAAAAAAAAAAAAAAAAAAAAAAAAAATCCGATCCATTTTAAAAAAAGAAAAAGTAGCGTAGCGGTTTGGTTCCAAGATAATTCAGTTACGGGTTGAATGAAGATGCATCGATAGAAAGATAAAACAAATAAGAAAGGATCATTGGTTAGTTGGTCTGTCAAGCCATTGAAGCATAATATGCAGGACAATGAAAGTTTGAAGGGAATTAGGAATATTGAACACCAATAAGATCGCTTTGTTTTTAACAATTAGATTGCGCGGTAAAAAAAAGAAAGACATGAACTAAAAGAAAGAAGATGAGCAGGAGGGGAAGAAAATAGAAAATAGATTGCAGATGTTGATATAAGAAAAAGGAAGCTAGCAACATTTTTCTTTGCAGCTTTGTTCTTTGATTAGTACCAGGACAAGGGACTAATGAAGACAAAGGATAGCAGATATACACCATACACACAATTGCTTCTATAATCCATGCCCCATCTGGGAACATCTCATTGCACAACAGTAATCTCTTTGTACGCGTGCTCCCTAACTTTCTCCCATTCCGTCTCCCCCTGGATATCAAAGCTCTACTATCCGTCCCCAAAAATGATGCCAGGGCAAACTGATGATGAGGTCTCTTCTTCTTTGTCACTTTCTTCCTTTATAATGCTCATGCTTCCAATGTGTTTGGCACAAGTCTCGTCATCTTGCTCGCATGTGATGCGATATCATGAACATAAACGTGCTCATTCAAGGTAGACAGAAGAGATTACAGAAAAAAAAAAAAAAAAAAAAAAAGAGAGAAACGACGAATATCTTTTTTTTTTTTTTTTTTTTTTTTAATCTCCCGTTGCGCACACGCTCTCGCTATTTTCTCGCCTATCCTTTCATTTATGATTCCGTAGGTGATAAAAATAACAAAGATGTAGGAGAATGAAATAGATTCATGCAGACTCCAAAAACTGGGCAAGGGTTGCTCCTTGGTCATATCTCGTCCACACCTTTTCATTTTTTGTTGTACATGACATGTAGAAAGGAAATATGTAGCAAACAGACAGCAATAAACAACAAACAAAGATGAATAGATAAAACCCAAATTCCTCTCCAAAGACAAATTTTGCTCTTTTGTTCACGACGCAATGGTGCATCCATATTGATTTTTTCTTTTCCTTCTTTCTTCCGAAATGACAAAAAGTCAAGAGTACAAAGGGTACAACAACACAAAGTTTTGTACACTTTGTATTCAGATGAACAAATGTTCAAAAGAAAAAAGGAGGTACAAAAAAGAAACCCCTATTCAGCCCATTCAGAACAAAATACAAATGTGTGCGTGCACGACAATCCTCAATCCCAATCATCTCTTCCCATTCTCCCACCATGCCACTTTTTCTTTATACCTCTTCCCTTTCTCCATCCCCCAAAAACCTTTTTTATTTTGTCCCGAATGCTCAAAAGTACTTCAATCATGGTATGTATCGCATGTTCATACTGAACAACTATGCCTCCCTCTCCTTTCTTGCATCACACTTCATCTCATTCTCGCACATGCCCTTGCTCCATCTTTGCACTCTGTCCTACATTCTCTCTGATGATGCCAAGTTGCAGATGTATATGTGTATAAATATATAAAATAAAACAAAACGCATGCGCCGAGAGAGATGGGCGCGTTTTGTTTTGTTATGGCAGATAAAATAGATGGTGAACATGGCTGGTGCGCGTGTATGAACAAAAAAAAAAAAAAAAAAAAAAAAAGCACAACTTCAAAGGGTGAAGGTGATGATAATGGGAGCAATAAGGATAATATTAAAAAAAAAAAAAGAAAAAAGATCTCTCGTTACCTGGCTCTTCCTTAAAACTGAAAATAACTCGCCTCCGACGACATAGTCCATGACCATATAGAGGTTCCGAACATCTTGGAAGGTGCCCCACATGTTGATCAGGAATGGATGCTCAACACGTTCGAGGATCATTTTCTCGTTATTGGTGTGCTCTACTTGCTTCAGACGGACTACCTCGGTCTTCTTGAGTACCTTCATTGCATAAAACCGAGAATTGAATCGAGATTGAACTAGATGGACGCGACCGAAGGATCCTGTGCCGAGTGTTCGATGGATTCTAAAATCATCCAAGTTGAACTTGCGCCGGGTTGTTTGAGGAACCCGTTGCTGTACTTGTTGTTGTTGTTGCTGTTGTTGCTGTTGCTGTCTTAATTGCTCTTGTTGTTGTTGCTGTTGTTGTTGTTGTTGTTGTTGTTGAAGAAGCAACTGTTGTTGTTGCTTCTGTTGCTCTAGTTGTTGATGCTGCTCCAGCTGCTGACGCTCGGACAGAGTGGTTTCAGCAGAGACCATTTCAACTGATTGCATGCCAGAGTATAATGATGGTTGTAGTAGATGAGACTGATGAGACTGATGAGAATGAAAAGAATTCGATTTTGTTTGGGCTTTAAACGACGTGAACAAAACACGGATAAGGAAAGAAAAAAGAAAAAAAGAAAAAAAAGATAGTGGAGAGAAGGAATGGTTCAATTGGGATTGACATGTAAAAGAAAATAAAATAAAACGCGGTCAGGTCAAAAGCTTTTATTTTTTTTATTTTTATTTTTTTTAATATTGACACGGGATTAATACTTTCGTGTCCGTTTCGCGTCTTCCTTTCATTTTGCAAGGCCAACATCATCACCCTTTCCTTCTTCTTTTTCTCCTTCCCTTTCCTCTTTCTCTCATCCTCTTCCTCCGCTTCTTTCTCTCCTTCTCTCTTCTCTTCCTTTTCATCTGTAAACTCGTTCTTTACATTTGTTCAGACCATGTAACATCTCTCCATTTCATGCATTTGTATCGTTCAATAAACACTCTCTAATTTTTGTAACCCAAAGGGGAAACATGTAACACATGTGTATCAAATACCAATATGCATTGCCAGATTTGCTTATTTGCCTATCTCTTTTTCATCCTGCTCTCATTCCTCTCTCTCTCCCCTGCAAATCGATTTTCGTGTCATCGTCCAACGGCAATGGCAACGGAAAAAAAAAAAAAAAAAAAAAAAAAAAAAAGGAGAACACAAAGCTGTTTTAAGAACAGACACAACGTACATGTCATAATCTTCCAACGAGCAACGAAAATGGAAAAATAAACGGGAACGGGACAAAAGGGATGTAATCGCGTCTTTCCTTTTTTTTTTAATGTCTTTGTGTCCCCTTTTTTTTTATAATCAAACATGCATGTATCTTTAGTGTCCTATTTCACAAACAGAGAAGGGTTTTTACCTTTATGGGAACCTGAGTCTGTGTTGCCATGACGCCTTGCATTCAGAATGTCCGGTTCTACACCTTGACCTAACTTGTTCCTCTCAACAAGCATCGGTCCTACTTCATAAGCATATATTGGTGATAATGATAAGGAAGATGATGAAGATGACAACATTGAAGTTGATGTTGTTATAGAAGTTGTTGTTAATGAAGATAATGACAAGGTTGGTGAGGAAAACAAAAATAAAGGTGAGGATAAAGTAGTTTGCGCAGCGGAAAAAAATGAAGGCATTATCGACAGTTTTTTAAACGCTGAAAACGACGTTAATGAAGCAGCTCTCTTCCTTGAGGAAGGGATAGGAAATGTGGGAGTAGGAGGGGATGGTAATGGAGAGAGTGGTGGAGATGGGGATGGGGATGACATGGTCATGGTTGCGTGGGCTGTTGTAGTAGAAGTTATCGTGGTTGTGGCGCGTTTAAGGATCACAAACATAATTGGTGGACAGATACTCCACAAAAAAGCCAATTAATAAAGTAAGAGACTGAAAATGGTGGTTTGGCGCGCAATGTGGGTTCTAATTATTAGCTTGTTCAAGAAGAGCAGACGAAAGATTTAAAGATAAAGGAGTAATGCAAAGTAAAGGCAGAAGTAGTGGAGAAGAAGGCACTCTTTTTTTTTTAAAAAAAAAAATAAAAATAAAAATAAAAATAAGAGAGAGAAAAAGAGAGACTGATTGAGAGAAAAGAAAGATGGAGAAAACAAACGACATTGCTCACGCGACAATAAATAAAAACGATCCATAGGTACGATGGACGAAGATTCGGATGGACAAGGTTTTTTCCCCAGTGCCCAGTGTTGTTTACAGATTTGATGTTTACCAGTTTAAAGAAATGAACAGAGTATAACAACTGCATGTCACCGGGCATATATTTCATACATGCAAAAAAGAAAAACCCCTCAGACGACCAATTGACAAATGGGGGGGTAACGACCGCTCGGGTTGAGTAAGGTTGGGTTGGATTAGCTGATGCATATGATGCCATTTGCTCCCAAACTTGGACACAAATGAATGATGGCCATCTTTTCTTTCTGACTGCACATCCAACACCATTGGCCAAGACAGCAACAATAGCGAATGAACTGTTTATATCAGAGTAGATTCACATCACTAATAAACAAACAAATAAATAAAAAAGATCTTCCCATCTCTTCTTTGGCAAGATGTTGAATATTATTAATACTCTCGTTATTGTACTGCATGCATCCGACTTCACTTTCACATCCATAAAAGTACATGTGCATATTTGCTAACGAGGGCAATGAGTACAACACGAACCAAAAAAATTGGAGGGAAAAGTTGATGTAGAGAACCACAAAGACAAAGAAACATCAGGACTCTAACCACTTCCTTGTCTGTCAACTATCGCCCTCGTTTTCCCACAACACGTTAATTCGTGCGACAATAACATACTACGAGCTGTGTTTCCAACTCATCCAACTGGACTCTTTTTACTTTTCTCAACATGAAGATGTCACCATCGGGTAATACTCGGAAGCATGTAATAAAGCATGACAGCGGATACCGGCGACCTCTGTCAGAATGCTCAAGACTCATTCCTAAAGTCAATACAGTATTCATTGGAGAAGCAGCAATCGTAGGCTATGGTGAACAGAGATGGAAACTTGCAATCAGTAATAAGAATATGAGCCCGCAGCTTTTCATAGTGGCACATATTCAAGCTAATGTCGCCAGAGGATGCCTTGAAACTAGATGATTTCCCAACAGAGCTCCAGTATCCCCTTTGGTCCATCTTACCATCTCTTCAGCCTAGTAGCTTCTCGCTCTAGCCTCCCAAAGCCAGCATGCACATCACGACTATATACAATACGCCAGCACAATCCCTGGCATCCATCAAGATGAAACATGAACTGGATGTAGACCGCTCATGAGACAATTAATATTGCTCTACTGATGAAATGCCGCGATGGTGGCTGAGATTTGTGTACTGTACAAGAAGACCGTTCGTTCAGATTAATTGGTATTTAGGCCTACCTGAATCATGTTACACGAAATCATCATGCAGGGCAGAAGTCTTTGGAATGTTAATTTCTAACAATTTTGATGGCACCACTTCCTTCTACATTAATATTTCGTTATTATTTGAGCAATTGGCCTATATTGCTGGGTAAATTATTTTCAGCTGTTTTACTCCTCCCTTTTCCTAATATCTCTAGAACTGTTAGACATGCAGGCCGATGGATGGATCGTCAATGAGGGAGAGAGAAGGGACAAGAAGCTGGAAAGAAGCAAAAAGGAGTTCAGAAGCAGAAGTTAGGGCCGAGGTGAAGTTGTGGATGAAATGAGAGCATTTACAGATATAAGTTGGAGATATAAGATGACATGGGGAAATATCTTGTAAAATAATTGCAATATCTCTCATGATTGAAGGAAAGAAATCAAGAGATCGTCTTCAGTAATAATACTCACCCACGCTCACATTATGATCCCTATCCATCCCAGGGAGTAGGTATTGCCCAAATTCATAATGCTTACAAATGGGATCATTGGCACAAAATTATAGTATTCCTTGATGTATCGGATACGATTTCTTTTTTTTTCTAGCGTCGAGCATAACTATTCACTCACTCCCGACAGGATCGGTTTCTATGGCATGCAGTGGCATTATCTCGTGAATAATTTTGTCGAGAAATTTGCTTAACAGCGACATTTCTCAGTTTTCTTGTATTATAAATTAAACAACAACAATAATAATAATAATAATAAAAGACAGCGCTAGAATGACAAAAGGAATGAGGCGGTTGAGGTGTATTAGTGAATTATGAGCTGTGAATAAAGCAAGGCGAGAAAGAGAATATGCTTCTTGCATTGAGACAATAGCATGCATCTTCAAGACAAAATCGGGCATTTCATTTCAAGATGGTCCGTGCTAATCCCTCAACGCCGATTCATCTACACATGTTACATCTTGTTCTGAAAATAACAAACCCTTCTTCATCCCCATCATAACAAGATAACGAGCCATATTATGTCATTTTTAATGTTACAAAAAGGTGTTATATTGCTTAAGATGGACAATAAATATATTAATATACTGTGTACTTGCTGATTAGATTTAGTGTTGGTGGGTGCCTTAAGCAGCGCCCATGATGATCTCGGAAGGATCTAAGAGACGCAACTTGCGAATGAACAGCGATAACAAGAAGGCAGCACAGGCAATAGGTGTAATGCACTTGAAAATGAACTGGAATGTGTCCACATAGGTCATAACCACCATGTCTTTGATATCCATTTGCAACAACTTAACTGCTTCGGTCGATTCTCTAATATGAAACGCTTCAAGCACCGCCTGTGCTTCCTTGGGATAGCTATTGAAGAGACTGTCTCGATGGTTGTTGAACAGCGCTGAGCACATCGCGATACCGATCCCTCCTCCAATACTGTTGAAGAATCCACACAAAGCTGTCACTACCGCCATGTCCTCCTTCTCAACCGATGCCTGAGCTGCCAGCATACAGGTCTGCAAGATCAATCCGATACCCAAGCCCACAATCAACAGGTATCCGATCTGTTCACCCATATTCGAATCATATGCCAACAACGTGCACAGACCAACACCGACAGACATTACTGTTGTACCAATCCAGATGAAAATGCGATAATCCTTAAGCTTGGCTATCACAGCCCCAGAGGCAATTGACGAGACCACGAGACCCAAGACCATAGGCATCAAATGCAATCCTGAACTTCTCGCTCCAACCCCCTTAACGACTTGGAAATAGATGGGTGCATAAAAGATCACACCCAAAAAGGCCATGCCTGTCAAGAAATTGACTCCGAACAGTATGGTCACATTCATGTTCAAGAACAACCTTGGTGGAATGACTGGCTCGTATGCTCGGCTCTCAATCCATATCAACAGAGCTATCAAGACTGCAGCGACACAAAACAATGTGATGATCACAGGTGATCCCCATGCATATGTCGTACCGCCCCAGGTAATAGGCAACAACAGACAGATGACAGCGGCAATGATAAGTGCGGTACCCATATAATCGATACGAGCCAATTGTGTCTTCAGATCCTGGCGCTCGAATGGCAAGCGCAGGAAGATCAAGACCGAAGCAATCGTGACCACCCCCAAGGGCAAATTGATCAAGAAGCACCAACGCCAAGTGGTCTCTTCAACAAAGACACCTCCCAACAGAGGACCGATGACTGAAGAGATACCAAAGACTGACCAAATGATGGATTGGTACTTGGGACGCTCTTCCAATGGGAAGATATCCGAGATAATGATCAAAACAATCGATAACAGTCCAGATCCACCTAGACCCTGGATTGCTCGGAAGACAATCAGTACGGTCATCGAATTGGCTCCTCCAGCACCTGCTGATCCAACCATGAATGTCACACAGGCAAACAGAATCATCAACTTGCGGCCAAAGATGTCACTGAATTTGCCGTACAAAGGTTGGAAAGCATCTTTTTTTTTTTTTTTTTTTTTTTAGAAGGCAAGAAAGGGAAAAAGCTGGTTAGTAAAATGACTGATTATTTATTATGTTTATTTTATTTTATTTTATTTTTGTTGCTATTGCTTAAAAGCTCAGCATCCATTGTAACATTGTTTTACTTACTGTATGTGAGTAAATAGGAGGTGGCGACCCAACTCATTTGAGAACTTGCTTGAAAGTCTGAGGCAATCTTGGGAAGAGCTGTAGCAATAATGGTACCATCTAAGCTAGCCAGGAATGTAGCCATAGCAAGTCTACATGTCCATCAAGCGGTTTTTTTCTTTGGTTAATTCCGAAGCAGCCAAAAGATTTTCTGCGCTCCATTAATTTGCAATATGGGTAAAAGATTTGTCCATAAACGTTTAGAAAGACTTACCCGATGAAGAGAAGGATTGCAGCATTACGGCTAATCGCAGGGACAGGGGGTGCAGCTCCCTGACGCTCAACATCCAGACTGTCAACCTCTGTCTTTTGAGGATTAATCTGAGGTTGTGATGAATCCTCAACTGACTTCATTTGGATTTGCTCATTTCGTGTTGATTGTGAAGATATGGATGAAGGCATGCTGTCACTGTTTTATGCGCGTGTTATCCTTAGGAATAGATGGGTAGTATGCAAGGAAAGCTTGCGAGTATTTAACTGCCTCCTATCTTTCTTCAATTGTTTGTTATTGCTAAATCGATGTTTTAAAAAGAGTTGATAGAAGGAAATAATGGCATGTGAATGTCAAGAGGAGATGGATGGCTGGTGGAAACCTTAGTAGCAAAAAACTAGGAAAAAAAAAGAAAAAAAAAAGAAGAGAGAGAGGCCATTTTATAAATGTCAAGAAGACCATAGAAAAATATGGGACCACGATGATCGAAGAGTGAGAAAGCTTTAAAATAAACAAGAATTGAATGGTGTACGCACTCATGTGGAAGTAAATAAATGACTGAGCCTACAAAATGTTTATTCCTGTTTATTGTTTCCGTAGCCGCTCTTGGTGTTCAAAACGGGTTTGACAAAGGAAAACTGTGTATTGCGCAATGAGGGGCAAAAAGGGAACAAATAGGGATAGGTTCTACTTTATTATTGTTTTAATTATTCGGTAACTAGTGTTATAAACCACAGATTCACAGTGCAGAGTAGTCTTCTAACCGTACACACAGACTGCCGTCTTTGAAGAAAAACAAAAACTTGGTTTAATGGAAGCATCCATAGACTAGTATCCGCCTCGTATGATCAAGCGAAAAAAAAAAAAAAAAAAAAAAAAGAGGACCGATAGTGTCTCCATGTAACATATTCTTAATGGATTCAGACTCATTTAAACCTCATTTTTGGGGATCTGAGACCGATATACTTCATCCTAACTCCGCTCTGTACTGTGTGGACATGTACAACATAAACCGGTTTTTTTTCTTTTTTTTTTAAGCACACGTTTTCTTTCCGTCCATTCCCTACAGCGCAGTATTAAGTCAATAAACAGGTTTATCTCTTGAAGAAATAGGATAAAAAGGGAAGTGGATTGCCAAATCAGGCGATATAGAAAGGTACGCCATCTTCCCCCAAGCTCACTTGAAAATACACGAATGTATGGATCGACAATCGAACGTAAGAAGAATTGCTCTAAAATGAATTTGGATAAAATAAACAGTTCCATGGTATAAAAATACAAACCAGCATTTATAAATGTTCAGTCAGACTTCCATGTTGAAACGACATATATACTCTTGCGTACTCCCTTAAAACAAGAGCTTGTATTTAGGTGGGCATGCTATGACCCAGATATACATGTACATGAATATAATACACCAGGATCATTATCAGACATAAGGGGCTTTAGAAGCGAGAGAAACATGAGGAAGGAAGGGACAGAAGCGCAAAACATGGAAAACAAGTTTACCCTGAGTCAAGCCATGGAGTAACAGATGGCTTGATTGAGAAATATTTATTTGTTATTCTGGCGACCTGTTTCTTGTTTCCCTAATCCTGATCCATTCAACTTTTTTTCTTTTGCTGCTCTACTCATGCAGTTCCTCTTCATTAAATAGGGGCATACTGAGGGCTGAAGAAGGGCTGAAGTTGATTTCCACCTTCCATTTCTTTTTTTTTTTTTTCTCGATAAAAGAGTATTCAGGACTCGAACCACGCTGCACGATCATTGAAAACTAATCCCTGATCTATTCCTTTCTCGTCGTTATTAGTTGCGCGTCAAAACAAAAAAAAAAAAAAAAAAAAAAAAAAGGCTCGGCTGGGTGAGCTTTGATCATTGTCCAAGAAGTAATACTAGAACAGCTGGATTCCCAATCGCCACCTCATTACAGCCTCTCATTACAGTCTCTCCTTTCAGCCTCTTTTTAAAGTTTTTGCGTTTAGCATTCTTCAAATTTATTTTTCGGAAAGTTTTTCCTGGAGAACCGAAAGTCCTTAACGAGATAACTTTGACTGCGCCATTCGCTCCGAACTTTTCTCTTCCAAAAAAATCAAAAAAAAAAAAAAAAAAAAAAAGCATGTGACTGCTTTTTATTCGCCAGCGTTAAAATACTGTATTACGATAGAAGCAATGAGTGCATTAAAATGATGGAATTGTAGTTATGAGCACGGCTACTTTGTTGCCTTGCCTTCATAGATGTAGCACCCATTTCTTCCCATTACTTTTAAATACTAATGCTCCTAGATCGTTTGATTACACGTAGAGATCCATTCGCTTACTTGACTGCAACTGTTACCGCTATTGCTTCTTACACCCATGTTTTGTTGTAATAATAAAAAAGTGTGTGTGTCGGTAATGCACCTAGAAATATGCGGCCTTTGGTACAGGTAGAAAATGCTGATGAGGAAGTTTTATGGTGTGAAGTGCTGATGCTAAATACAAAAAAGTGGATGCCAGTCTAGGATCGTGTTTTTACGATGAATTGGGCTTTTGGCATTAACATGTCATTCAGAGGTCGAGGTCCAACTTCGGGTACGAGCACGAATTTTGGATCATGGAGCGTCCGTGTGCATATCGCTGAGGAGTAAAAACGACTGTGGCAACAGTTGCATTAGAAGAAGGTTTGACGGCAGTTGTCCCCAAGTCGCTGCTGTTGCTAATATGATTAGTTAGCTTCTCCATAAGGTAATAACAAAAACAACACAGATAATGAGGAAGTCCGAATGGAACGCTTGCGCCTCCTCCTTGACGCGTCCATCTCCTTGTTCACCCATCTTCATGCAGTATGCTTCCTGCTCTTCTATAGATCACCAGCTAGTCTTCTCTTTAGTATCACTATCTGCGTTTACCGCATTGTTCATTTACGAACTCGTATTTTGAGTCTTTGGGTCATCATCATTACTTTTATCGTTGCCTATCACCGTTATTAAGCAAATCACTTTTGGGGCTGTTGCTGGGTTGGCATACAGCTAGCTCTCATAACATTATTCCTTTATTCTTGCTCGCTTAATGATTTGTTTATTTATTTATGTGGTGCATATTCCAAATATTCATGCGAATACCAGGAACAGCTCTGTTCGACAAAACAAACTAAGGTTTTAGTGGATTGTAGTACACTCGCAGCTTTTCTGATTCAGGGTCGCATGAAGGTTGGGTGCAGTAGAGCATTGTACAAATGGTGCAACGGAAAACCGAACTCAAATGTCTATCATATGCGTTAGTGCAGTTGTATCTTAATGCTACTTCATATAGTGCTTCTATCCTTGAAGTACTTTAACCTTCCAAAGCTCTGACGACAAAGAACCGGATACTTATGATCCTTGCTTAGGAAGCATGATCAATCTCTGCAGACCTTTTACTATAACTGGACGTACATGGACGTCTTTTCAACATTGTTTTTACTTTTACAATTTACATACGCTTCTTTCTCATCATCAGATGAAATAATTCAATCAATATTTGAAAGCGAAGTCTCGAAATATGAGGCCACAAGGCAACGGTTCTTCGTATCGACAAGTTCCAGTACCCATCAGTGATGAGAAGCTTTTTCATATCTTAATGACACGCGCTAAATCTCGTCACAACGCGCATGTAAACGAGAAGCGATAAAGTGCGAAAGCTTCTTTCCACTACAACAGCACAAATCCGAGTGGTATTTCATCGAGTACTTTAGCCTCATCAGGCTTTTGTACGCTACATGACCAGCAGTAACTGGTTTATCAAGGCGCAGGAAGCAAAGACAGAAAGCCCAATTGCATTAGAGAGCAAGTCGAAAGTTGCAGTGATGACAGGGCATTAGGTATTGGAGATCATATGACCGGGCTGTTCACTGAACATAACTTCATTTGAATAATAGCTAGAGCAATTGTTGACAATTCTTTCTATTACAACATGTCCATCAGGTGCTCAGGAGTAGACGATAGTAAGCTTCTAGCGGAAAACATGAATATGTTTATGCAGTACCACCCATATTAGTTTTTAAGAGCAATAAAAAAGCAGGTCACTCTGTGTCTAATAGCGATGAGTCATTTAATATGCATTTATTCCAATACTTAGAATCCGTCGCTAAAAACCTCCTCGCCTTATTAGTTGAGTGCTTCGCGCTCCTCTTGGAAAGCATCCTCGTCTTTTGCTACTTGTATAATACAAAGCTCAGTATCAATGCCCAGGGACGTCAACAGATCAATCCAAATTCTTTGCTTGGACGAAAGACGATCGCCGGGACCTTTAACTACCACAATAAATCAAACAATAAATCAAACAAAAAAAAAGCTGTTTTTCAAACTCTGGCTTTCCCACTTTTTCTGCATCTGCTAAGTGTGAGATGAGTAGCATCAACTTAGCCACAAAACACATTTTCCCTTTTTTCCTTTTTCCATACCTTCGACAAACTTAACCAATTTCCTTTTGTAGTCCCAACAACATAGATCGGGCATGCCTGAACAGCGCTTACTGTATTCCTGAGCCATGACTTTGCAAATCTCAGACAAAGCTGTCCCACCGATGCACTTTTTATTGAAAAAAAAAAAAAAAAAAAAAAAAAAAAAAAAAAACATAATTTAAATTAAAATATTGGGCGCCTAAAGAGTGTCCTAATATATATACTTTGCATGCTTACCTCAGCAATCTCCAGCAGCTCAGTCTTTGTAAAGACCCAATTCACACCGACACAATAAACATTCTTCTCACGATACAAGTCATCATGCGTTTGCATCAAATTTAAATAAAAACATTCCTTTCTCTTCTTGGCCAAGACCTCCTCACGCCCATTTTCAGTTTGTTGCTGCTGTACCGTACATGGATGCCCAGCATCCTGTCCAGAAAACTCTTGCTTGATTGTATCATGAAACGATATTTCATTATTAACGCCCCTTTCCAATGTGTCTTTGTGGATTGATTTTGGTCTCTGCTGCCTATTCAGAAGAGGCTCATCTTCCTCACCTCCTTGTCCTCCTCTTTGCCCCTGTCTATTTTGATCTAAATTCACACGTTGTTCCTCTATGATTTTGGATTTTGCAATGTTCTCAAGGCGCTCCATGATCATCTCCTGTCTTTGCATGAAGAAGGCATCTGTTCTCAAATCCAACGGCTCCGTTTGGTACGAGGTCTCAAATACACCAGGCTGTGGCGAGAAGAGGATATCCCAAAACAACAATCCAAACAATGTAGACAGAATGTTGTTTTCTGAGTGGTAACCCATATATCCAAGGGTCTTGTAATAACTCAATGCAAGCTCTTCCACAGAGCAATCTGAACCATCAATATTTCTCCACAAAGGCCGCTGTTGTGCAATAATACGGGAGCCAGATAATCCTTCTCCTGTAGAGCTGGGTATGTACGAGTACGAATGCGAAGAAGCATAGCCTGGCGCTGCTGTGCCTGGAGTGTTGAGTCGCTCTCCTGTAAGAATGCGTGTCTGTGCCTTTCGAAGAGTAAGATACGAAAAATCATGTCTATCCCGGAAAGGGATCTTCAGTTCACTCTCTAAACGAATTAGCCTGCCTTGGATGAGCGTAGCATCCACTAATTTACAAAAAATACTGTATAAGTGCACTCACTTCAACAAAAAAATACTCGCTCTCATACTTTGAAGAGATCCGGCTAATAATAAAATTCACAGCATGACTCACCGGCATGAACATGCTTGTCACGGAGCGCCATCATACAGATCTGGTGCGCCTCTTTCTTTCCGAGTCGTTTCTGAAAAGCATAATTGGATTTGATGAGAGCTAGTCGCTCATACCATCCGCCTCGTTGTCCTAAACAGTATACATGCTGATCCAATAGTTCGTGCAGCAGGATTGATTCTTCTTCAAAGCGCTTTAAGAACGCAAACGCACGCAACTCCAATCTCAAGATCTGTGTATACACATATCCTATTCAATAAAACTTGCAACATTAACAAACGATGCAATAGAAGATAAAATTAAAGCCTATAGCCGACAGCACCACTAGCATCACTAATACATTTGACCATAGCTCACCAGGGGAAAAGCGCAAAAGGTAATAATTGGAACTTTTTTTTGAAATCTCCGTTTCTGTCGCAACGTATTCACTCCATGCACCTCTAATCCCTTCAGCCTCCTGGATCACTTTCTCATAAATCCCAATTACTTCTAGACGGCGCCGCTCCCGTTCTGTATCTTTACCCCTACTGACTGGTTCTCCATCAATACTATTCACATTAATGCCGTTGGTGGGCTTCCTGATTGGCTTGACAACTTTGCGAGGCTGCGGACTATTTAGCCCGCTAGCCTCGTTGCTCTCATCGCTCCGCACATACACCACTGATTCGCGTCCAGGCCCCATGGCAGATTCTATCAGCCTTGAGAGATCAAAGTGAAGTTTTATAGCTGCCTCGTATTTCAGAAGCTCTTCTCGATTTCGAAACACAGTGTTGGTCCTCGTGATTTCATAACTGGGAAAGGTGCGCTGGCCAATCTTAGCCAAAATAGCTTCTAAAAGTGCTGGTTTCTCTGTAAACTCTCGTGCACGATAGAATACAAGGTGTAAACGCTCAAAAACGGTCATGACGCTAGGGTATATTTTGATACAAGGGCCTTGCGTCCAAAATAAAACAAACAAAGAAAAAAATAAAAATGAGAGGATGAGAAACATTACCAAAGTTAAGATGGAGCTAGGTTCGTGATTAATACCATTTCATAGATACAGCTCCTTGCCTTACCAGAAATATCTATGATTTTATCTATGAGTGCATTATTCCTCTTTGCTGCGTCACCTGAGAAAGCGTGTGTCGCTAAGCCAGTCTTACGGCCAGCTCCATCGCCATTTACCGTCCCCCCTGGAGCTAAAAGCAGCCTCTTCGAGATGAATGCTTGCTGTCGAAAGTGCTCCAAGATGGTTGAGATCATTGCTCGTCTCTAAAGTGTCCCATATTCATAGCATTTATTGTCCAGTTAGCTTAGAAAAATTAGGATACTCCATCACACTACACTTTTTTTTTTTTTTTTTTTTTGGTGGTCACCTGCTTCCCTGACATTTTCTCCATAATACCAATTCTGCGCGCTAATAGCTTGAGTTCATCCATGGTCAGCATGGCAAGTGCGTCCTCCGGATCCTGGATAGCGCTCTTATCCATCACCAGCCCTGTCACGACCAGCTGCTGAACGGCAGACTTGAGATGTTCAATCTCCCGGTACCGGCCCTCTAATTTGTCCTGTCGCTGCCAAAACTCTTGTTTCCGTAGAAATAGTCGAACAAACAAATGCTTTGGGTCATCTACAATAGACGGAGAAAATTGGTGAAGTATTTCTTATAAATGTTTGTTTGATAATACTAAGAAATCACCGACTAGGTCCCTAATTAAAGGACGTAGCATATTCTTAATTGCTTGATACCTGGCAAAGCTCGATATGTCTCAATGATCGTGTGCTCCTCATCAGTGAAAAGAAATGCTTCTTCTGGAAGAACAGTATCTAGGGCTAGCTCAAATGCTGCCACATAAACTGTCTTCCACCTAAATGGCGGCGAAAGGAGGGTGTCTAAATTCCTGTCCTCATCTTGCGACTCTGACTTAGTCTGCAGTAGATCATCAACCATGGTGTCTGTTTGATCTAAAATTGATGGTGTTTCTGTATCTTCACAGTCCTGTTCATTGTTGGGATGACTAGCTTTAGAGGCTATAGCGCGCAAAACTACAGCGCCACTGTCATTTTCATCATCTTCGGGACTAGATAGGTCGTTAGTTTCTTCAAGTAGGGTATTCGAAACGCCTGTCAGGGTTTCAGTCTCAAATACATAGTTGGGTCCACTTCCATAGCCTACTAGTCTGTCACAAGGCTTTGAAGCTGTTAGATTGACCCTGATGACTGGTGGTTCCGATAGAAATGTGGAAGTTAAAAAAGCTGAGGAAGCTGAAGAGGAGGAATTTGAATGGATAATTTGGTGGCGTTGTACGTCAATTTGGTTGTGAGCAGAAGTAGGATTCTCCTGGGATGCCTTTTTGGAATGAGGGCGAACAGCATGACTACTAAAGTCTAATGGTAGCTGTCTTTTGGTGCCAGTTAGAGTTTCTGCTGTAGACGCCTTCCTTCCCGCCTTTTTATTTTGGGCAGTGGTAGCCTTAATTGTACCTCTCTTTTTCATGACAACAGAATGTAATAGAATGTGAATAAAAGAAGGAATGAGCATTCAAGAAGGACGACAATTGTTTTAATTTCGAGGCAAAGCACATTAAAATTTAAGGTTTGCCAGCCACCAAACTAGAGGAAACCATCCTTGCGGAAGAAATCCGTTCAAGCATCATATCACGAATGCTATTCATTCAATATTCAATAGAGAGGAGGCGCACGCTAGGACCGTGCTGCCAGGACCATTTTTTTTTTTTTTTTTTTTTTTGATAGTGAGTATCCACAAAGGTATGTAGGTTTTATTAAGACATTGGCTCTATAATTGTTGTGTTTAGTAGTGATTGCTCAATGACCTATGCGCGGCAGAGCCTCCTCCTAAATATTATTGTGGGCCTCACCAAGGGCATTACAAGTCCATATATGGTTATTGTCCTCATCTTCAGCCTTATAGACACAGCAAACTCGGTCCGGATAAAGAAGGTGTTGTCTTGCTTGCATAACATTAAGGGTAGGTAGCTTACCATGTCAATTCGGCTGACACCACACCTTGGCATGTAAAGTCTTGCGTTGTTGGGCGCAACGTCCTGTAGGTGTCATGGAATTGCTCTGTTTGAAGATTGGTGCTGGCCCTTGTACAATACTTCCTGTCAATCCTGGGGTTGCATACATAATAATATAATAATTACTCCCCTGTGTTCTGCTCTCTTACTAATACATTCTCCTTTAGGCCACTCTGCGCTGTTTTTCCTTTTCTTGATTCGTTTTATCTTCACTGGGTATATAGCAGTTGATCACCTGAATCTTTAATTGTCCTTTGAAATAGACTGCTCTCTGCTTCTGCGTGTGGTTATTCTCCCAGCATGCACTCATAGTCACTTGTGAATAATGAGACCGGATCCCGTGCCTTGAGTTTTCCCTTCCTTGCCTGTCAACCATCAAAATTTAGTCGTGTTTGTCTCTTGTAACACAATAACATCATATTCTTCCGACTCCCCGACGACAAAGTATTTCGAATTTTCTAGCTGTTAAAATTTCCTGTGTATTGAAGATTCCTAGCTTCAATCTATCATTCTTTCCATCTCTATTTACTGTCCTACGTGTTACTATGTTAGACATATTACTCATTTATAGAGGATTTTGAGGATTGCCCAACTATCACTACAGGCTTTAAGGGTACTGGTACTGTTTTTTAGCATCCCTGGGTGGCTCCATTAACGCCATAATAGTGGATAAAGTCTTGTCCGTGTCTAGGATGACTAGTCCACTGGTGTTCTGGCCTTTCTTTGACTTCATCGTGCTACGACTTGTGTCGGCGCTCAGATCAACTGCCATTAATTGCTCCTTAGGGTCAGTGATACCCATATTCTTTGAGAGCATTTGAATCACGATGGACATCAGTATCTGGACGGTCTGTGCAAGCTGCAATTACTCCTGTTGCATTCTAACGACAGTCTCCTCAAGTTGTCCAATTTTCTTTTCCAATACGTTTACATGATATTGATTTATCCATTTTGCAGCCCGCTTTGTCTTTGTGCATGTTCTCCATTTTGGCTGTTTCTTCCAGTGATCTGTGCAAATGTACGGTTAGCCGTGACCTTAAGCGCTCCACCCCTTGGCACTCTTTGACTGCCTGGATCTGAGCCTTAATCTTCTTTCTTCAATGTAAATTGTGCATACTTTTTGAATATGGCTTAGTTCACCGGACTCTCCACATCTTTTGTCTACTTTGTCTCCCCACATAGTTTCTTTCCCCCCTACTTTAATGGGTAACCTCATACGATTAACCATGTCTGCTTCTGATGAGAAATAAACGAATGCTACACGTAAACCTTTGTGTATTTTCCTTCTTTCGAGATAACCCTTGGGATAATCAGAAATTCAGCCTTATTTTCATCCAGAATCTCCTTCAAATCCAGAGGCATTGTTCCCATAAGGAGTTGAGACAGTTTCGCGACGTTTCGCAGCCCCTATACCACTTTCTCCTTTTCAATTGTGGTCAAACGAGCAAGATCTCTACCAACGAAATCCACCTTTTCTTTTCCGCTTGAATTTTTTTATACTTTCCTCTTGCCTAAAGAGAACCCTTGCCACCATTTTTGCATGGACGAGCTGGAATTTTTTCCACTTCGCCAAACTGGGCCATTACTGGTTTGAATTCATCAGTCCTGGGATAGACCGTATATCCCAACTGATCTGTCCTGTTCAGCGGTGCGTTGGTCCTGGTCGATTCTGGTAAGGATAGACTACTCCAAAGATGTTTCGTTTTCTTTGTCTCCTTTATAGTGAGTGAATTCCAGTGGGTTCTCTAGGTCACTCAGTATTTCAATGGCGACGCGAAAAACTTTTTGTCCGTTCTTATCTATGATACGGGTTAGTTCCTCCGTGCAATGGATACCTTGGTGGATGAGGACCTGCTGAAGTTCATCTCTTTTCATGGCGTAGGTATCACCATAGATCAGATCCACGGAGGCCATGGCCACGGAAAACCCCTCCTTAGTTCTCTGGACTTCAATCCACTATGTATTGTCATTCATTTCTTCGTCGTCTTCGTCAATTGCTACTCTCTCAATAGCAGCGTGCCCTTGCTCAGCATGCATTTGTTTTAATCCCTTTTGAGGCTGTAAGAACAGCGTTGGATGGGATTCGTTGCAATTAGGTGGTGGCCTCAGTACTTTGACTTGGTTTTTGCGCGTCCTAACCGTCAGAAGGAAGTTTTTGTCTTTTGGACTTGCTCATTCTGCTTGATTCTCCATCATCTAGTTGATGATGTTGATTTTTTTTCAGCAGTCCAGAATGTACTTGATGTCCCATCCTCCGGAGAGGATCGCTTTACAGTCGCCATAAGTCTAGTCACATTCCCTCGGTAAGCCCTTCAGGTGCCGTACGACTATTGCCAGAGCTCATCACTGTGTTTGACGTCGAAAATATACTGTTACAGGAAAGGAATTACCCCATCTTATCAACCGTCGCTGTCCTAGCAAGCTCTAAAACACTATTTTGTCTGCGACGGATGGGTCAAGCTTAGATCCTGGACAGCACCTGTCGCAATCCGCATCCATTGCCGTGCCACAAGGACAAAGGCCTTCTGCTGTCATAAATCCATATTCGTTGCTCCTGCCACCTCTTGGTTCAGTGTGTAGCACATGCTTCTACTTCGGTCGCACACCTTGGCCCTTCTCTTTTGTGATGGTTTTCTTACAGTGTGGCCTCCAAACCAACTTTGAAGCCCGCTGCCCAGGATAGCCAACGAACTTGTGAATCACTTTACGAGTGATAGATTGCGTTGTGCGGAACAAAGGGCCCATTTGTTTATCAAACTAAGCGGTATAATGCCCTAGTAGAGATCGCTGAAGTTCCATTTGAGATCAAAAGCACGATCAATTTTGTTGGTGCACTTAAAATCGCACATACTCCACTGATTCATGAGAGTCCTTGTAAATTCACGTCTCCGCCAGGGCTAACCCATCTCAGGCTCATGCTCGTGTGGCCATTGATGTATTTAGTAGTGGCTGCATGATCTCAGTGATCTATATGCGACTGAAAGTCTTTTTTTTTTTTTTTTTTTTTGATAACTGGGACCCATGAGGTCGTGAGGATTTATTAGAAATAGACTCTATAAATGGGTTGCCCTATTACTAAGGGTGTAAATAAAGCGTTTTCCAATAATTGGTCTTAACCGCATCGTTGAACTGTCACTATACAGCATCCTGTTCACAAACCACGTCAGCATGAGTGGTTGCTCTTGATCCCAACGGAACCTGTGACGAGCCCTGCTCCCTACTTGGCCTGTTGTGCGTGAAAGTCATCTTCTAGCCGCAGTTCTCAATCATCAAAAAACGACACCTTTTTTTTTTTTTTTTTTTTTTTTTTGATAACAAGGACCCACGAGGTCATGTAGGATTTATTTAGATGTTAGCTCTATAAATGGGTTGCCCCATTACTGGGGTCGCAAATAAAGCGGTATCCAATAATCGGCCGAAGCCGCATCGTCATACTGCCACAGTACTACATCCTGTTCATAAACCACGTCAGCATTGAGTAGACTTCCTTGGTCCCAGAGGACCTGTGGCACGGCTCTACTCCCTACTTGGCCTGTTGTGCGCGAAGGTCATCCTTTAGCCGCTGTCCTCAATCATCAAAAATTTACAGCTTTCCAGGCGCTCCATAATCGCCAATTCCACCTGCTGCCGGTAGCTTGCCGCCACTCGCCGGTCTGCCTCAGTCCTGATCGCCTTCACATCTGCTGTTCGTCGTTGTCCCTGGTGAGAGCCAAAGAATTCACCTCTGCTACGTCTGTGCCTCCCAACACAGTTGCGTCCCCTGGCGCGTTTGCTCACAGAGGTGATACCATTTTCTCTTTCCCAGTTGACGGTGACTTTGCAGCGTCTGTTCCAGATTTCAGTCCTGCCGAGTTCCTCGATTGACTTGACAAAGCGGCAAACAATGTACCTTGAGATCGATGCTGTGGTTCTGAAGATCGTCTTCCATTTTTGTATCAGTTCCTTCGGCACCAAACCGTGGTACAAGTCTTGGACAGTCCAGTGGGCATGCTCACCCTCGTTCCTCCGTCCCATATCCACATCTTCCTCACCAAACAGAGTGCTCGCATGTCGAATCTCTCTGACGCCCTTGAACATCGCTTCCAAAGAGCCCCAAATCACGTTGTCGGCTACAGGTGTAAACGAGGGGCCTCCTTTATTCAGGTTTGGCTCCTGTGTTTTCCCTTGTTTGTCTTCCCAGAGCTTCTTCTCCTTCACTAATGCTCTTTTGCCATCCTTCGTGATGAGTTCTATGGCCTGCTTCCAACCTTTCAATTGCTCGTCCAGTGTCATGGGACATCGCCAGAGGTGTTCTATGTCCTCCTGCTCCTGTTCACACATCCTGCAGATGTCAGTCTCATACAGGTCCGGTCGCCACTGCCTCATATAAGTGAGTGTAGGAAGCATACCATGGACCTTCTTTATTCTGTGCGCTCTCTTGTGACAATCTGCTGGGCTGGTGAAGAGGCCTCTAGGCGTGTTGCCATCGTGAAGAATATGCAGGCTTGCTTTCCATTCTACTTCTCGCCAGTCTGCAATATAATTCCTGACTCTGTTCTGAGACGCCCACAAGTAATGTGTTCTCACTGCTGATTGGAGTTTTAGCAGGTGTCTAAGATCATCCTCCACCACCTCGTTCTCGAAAATAGCGTGGCAGCGCAGATCGTTGTGTTCCAGTACTTTGATTGTCCACATTTCGCTAAAATGAGCATCTTTGGCGGCTTGGTCTGCCCTTATATTGCCTCTATTCCCAGCATGGCCCTTGACCCATTTCACAGTTACCTTCCCGCCCTGCTTAAAGAGCGCTCTCGAAATGGCTGCCCACCACACTGCGTACTTGGATCGCAATCGCTGCCGTTCAGTGCTTGCTTCTCGCTTTTGAGCAAGGTCCTTGAACTGAACCACTACCGCCATGTTGTCTATGTAGACAGTCGTTGGAACGTTACGGGGACTGACTAGAATGGCTGCGTACAGTCCTACTAGCTCTGCCTTGGTGGATGAAGCATACCCATCGACTCTACCTGAAACTACATTTGAGAAGCTTTCTGGGCCTATCTGAGCCACCACTCCGAAAGCCATCCGCGCCGCCCTTCTTCCTGCCTCTTCAAGGGACCCATCGGAGTAAAGTGTTAGCTGACTCATCGTTGATAGTTTCTCTCTTTGACGCAGTATATTGTCCATGTCAACCTGTGGGATCTCTACACCTAGGCACTCAGAGGAGCCAAACCACCGATGATGACCCTCTGGGATTTTATTATTCCTTGTTCTTGAGGAGTCCATCTCTTCTTGCGCTTTCGTCCTGAGCCTCCTATCGAGAGCTTGTTCGTCGAGTTCATGGCGTCCACGTATCTTGTTTCGCTCTTGTGCTCTACGTCTTGCTCGGTTGAAAGCCGCTCGTCGTCGCTGTTCTCTTCTTCCTTGTTCATCGAGCCTTTGAAACCTAGCCTGTAACCGTAGGCGTTCTTGACGGCGAGCTCTTTCGATAGCCTTCGAGTGTGCGGCTTCTTGCTTGGCTTGCACCCACTGTTCACGTCGCCACACTCTCCTTCTCTCCGCCTCTTCTTTTTTCCTCTCTTGCTCTATTTTTCTTAGCAACCATTGCTCCCTCTTCCCTCTTTCCAAACGGTCGCGAAATTGTAACATTTTCCTTCCTTGAGGATCTTTCCACAGCCTATGCCTCTCGTTAGCTTCGCGCTCTTTTTCTCTCAAACGCTCTCTTTTTTCAAAATTTTCTCGCAAGTATTCTTTTTGGAGTTCGCGATCAGACTCAGTGTATCCTTCATACCCCTGCATACCCTCTTGTATGTAACACTGTGCTCTTCTTTCTCTTTCCTCCCGCTGTTCTACACTTAGGGG